ATGTTCTTTCTCGTGATTCCACGGGCTTCCGCCAAAATCCGTATTTCTATGTCTTCGACATAGACGATATCATCTTCTTGAATCAAACCAGAATGATTGACCATACGCTTGTGAGTCGGTGTCTGTTTATACTGCGTAGGAGTGTTATCACCTTTTGAAAGGGTTCTAGTTGGCGTGCGATCACGCGTGCGCTTCAGCACTTTTTTTGCCCGGCGAGTAAATGTGGCCCTCAGTCTTTTGGTACCACCGCCGAAGGCTTTGTGGACTTCTTTGAAAGCTTTCTCTGCCGCCTGCCGGCGAGGACGCGGTGGGGATCTGGCAGGCGAATTCATCGCCACGGTATGGGAGCGAACTTATAGCGCATAAGTGTGAATAGCGTATCAAAAGCCTCCTTTTGATTGCAGACAAAAAGCCACGTTGAGGAACTGGACAGCAAGTGGGCGAGGTTGTAAGGGCGGATAATCGTGATGATGCTCTTAAGGTGAGAGTTTTCTCCCCCTTGCGCGTCCTAAGTGAATACGGTATCGCGTGCCCGTAGATGCAGCCTTTTCAGTAGTGGAAAGCTTGGCGCCTAGAATTAGTATTTGTTAGAAGTTAACGCAGAAATCCGCAACCACGTTGACATTTGTTGGAGCTTTGGGAATGAAAGCAGAAGCGGTATTGAATAATAGACTGTGCGTTATTGTTCTATCTAGCAAGAGAGCAAGACTGAAGAGGAGGAAGGGTGCAAGTTGCAACATTGCCAAGCCAATTGCATCACGTGATGTTGCCAAGCAACGTATCACGTGATTGACAGCAAGTGCAGCGTTGGTTGGAGTTTTGGGAACGAAAGCAGAAGCGGTATGGAAGACATGTTAGACGATATGGGAGAGAAGATTGATTGATTGTCTATCTCAGAGCACTGACGAATGAGTGGAAAGGTTGAGGGTGCAAGTTGCCTCGGGCGTTACTTCAGGAGTGATGGTGGTCCACAGACTGGATCCGATGGGCGGACGACGAGCTCCCACCTCCATGTGGTGTCCGCTGGGAACTCTCAGAGAAACAGTCGAGCTGTCTTTGAGTGCCAGGAGGAGCTCAACAACGCGGTAATCCTCTCATGGACGACGCGTCGAAGTCCCGAAAATCACCCTCTGCACCTCACGAAACACCCAACATCACAGCCCCAGTACGCGGGAAGGGAGTGGCGCCCCTTTCATGTACGCCCACGACGGAGAACGGACTCGGGTCCTCCGTTTTCCTGCCCGACCGCAGTTTACGGTGTCAGAGTGTGAAGAATACGCGACGAAGAGGCGGAGTCAATAAGAGACACATAACCAACACGACATCACTGCGACCACCCACAGCACAGAACACATCTTCAAGCACATCCATCTCCTCCATCAACGACGCGTCGACACGTCGAAAATCACCCTCCGAGCCTCACGAAACACCCAACATCACAGCCCCAGTACGCGGGAAGAGGGTGGCGCCTCTTTCATGTACGCCCATAGACGGGAGATGGATCTCGGCACTCTATCTTCCTGCCCGACCACAGTTTACGGTATCGGAGATTAAAGAGTACACTACGAAGAGGCGGAGTTGAAGGGGAAGAGATGGTCCACCACACAGAACAATCACACCAGACAGAAAATCACGCTATTACTACCAACACCACCCATAGCTCAGAACAGATCTTCAAGATACGTCACATACTACCACTTGCACAGCTAGCCGACATCTCAGCACCCCATCAATGCGAAGGACGCGGTGGCGACGCGTCCGGTTGCTGATGGTGTCTCGATTGTCGAGAGCGAGCACTGACCCGGGAAACATCAACGACACATCTCAAACACTACAAGTACTTCCAACACGGTCACATCGGCGCTTCATGCAGCGCCCCCCAAACAAGCGACTATTGCAAAGGGCAGCAAACCGCTCAGGCAGCTCAGCGATAGACGTACAGACATACAGAACAAAGAACTGGACGGGGACCGCGGATCAAGTCCAGGCGGTCACGTCTATGGCACTGCAACACACCAGCGCGGACGAGTGATTACTGTCATACAGAAGCAGAGGAGGGCCGGGAAGGGCCTGACAAGTACATAGATACATAAGGACGATGGGTGCAGGTGCGACCGCGTGGAGCAGAAGGGGGAAGCAGTCTGACGGGACAGCTTGACATTTGGAAGCAAGACGGGGGACCATCTGTATTTATAATCGAACTGCTGCATAGCTGCTATAGAGCGGCTGGGACAGTCTATGAATTGAAGAAGAAGAAGAAGACTGGATCCGATGGCGGTGGTCTTTCATCGGATCCAATCCATAAATCATCTCGATATCGAGGCTCGTCCGTTAGCGCCCCGTTACGAGCCACATCGAGTGTGATCAGTAAGAGCTCGTCCTAAGTGGTCCACAGATTGGATCCGATGGAATACCACGACCCATCGGATCCAATCCAGGGACCACGTTGACATCGAGGCTCGTCCGTTAACGCTCGGTTACGAAGCATCTCGAGTGTGACTAGTAGAGCTTGTCTGAGGTTGTCCATAGACTGGATCCGATGGGCGAGTTGGGAGGGCGGCGCCGGGGGGGCACGTGATCTCGGAAAATAGTTAATCCGTCGAGCGCCCCTTGCACGTGGTTCCGGAAAATAGTTAATCCGTTGGAGGTTGAGTGGCCCATAGACTGGATCCGATGGGCGACGAAGGAGGGCGCCCCTTCGAGGGGTTAGCACGTGATCCCGGAAAACAGTTACGTGATAACGCCAAGACATATGCTTATATGTCGCTTATGTAATGCGGTAACGGCAACGGGTTGCGGTAATCCGGAGTTCAAGGTAAAGTCAAACTCAACCCTCGCCCTACACCAAGCGGCGGTGGACAGCGGACCTCACCCAGCTCCGGAGCGACTACACATACTGGAGAAATAAAGCTCGCGCTCATCGACACGGACGCCCAACTTGAAGTTCGAACACAGATAGTCAGGAAGGAATTCCATAAGAGCATGCGGGTGCAGAGACATCATTGGGAAACGTTCTGGGAGGATTCGCAGAATATCTGGTAGGCGAGCCGATACCTCCAACCCGACTCCACCAAGAAATTTGCCAGAATTCCCTCCCTTTGTGCCACCGACGGACGAGCGGTGGAGGATGACGAAAGGCATTGCCCACTGCCAAGGAAAGCGAAAAGGAGAGTGCTCATCATTAGGCAATGGCTGTTACCATCCACCAGCCAGGCCGTGGAGGGTGAAAGAGCGACACTGACCAATATGTAACGTGTGGCACCGGCAAAATCCCACCTATGCTAGTCAGTGATTTGCTCAGAATGACGCTTTCATCTTGCTGGAGCTCAGGACAAAACCATACTATTCAGCCTCTGTCCTCAAGTCAAGGCCCCTCGGCTCAGGATTGGCCTCCTTCCAGGGTATAAGGCCCCTTGTTGCTTTGAATCACTGCCATATTTCATCAAAGACACCTCTTTGCAATTCAGTCGACTGGGAATGTCTGCTTGTGTTTGATGGATAGGTGTTTCCAGGGGTCAGTTTCGAATCCAAGGAATGAGTTGCCCCAGAGGTTCAGAGTCTCACTTCAAATATGGCTTCTTCTGCCCTTTCTCTTCGTTTACTTCTCTTCTCAATCACCAACAAGCACATACCTCTTATTCTTCGCGTTTTCGGGTCTCTTGTCTCAGCTCTTGCGTTCATTAAGCTGGGGGCTCATTGCTTCCATAATGGCACCTGATAAAGCCAAAAGCTTTTCAGAGCCCGGCGCCCACCCACCCGTTCTTGCCTTCAATATTCCTGCTCCTTGTGTGGTTACCAATGATGGACTGCAGACAAAAGGCAAGGCTTCATTGGTCTTTCCACAGGGTGCAAGTCAGAGGCTAAAACACCCAAACGAATGCCCTTATCATGGTCCTCTCCTTCGCCTGCAATTCTCGGACAAGCGAACTCGTGGCCTGGGACCAATGGAAAGGTTCCTGGCCGAAGTCCCTGGCGAGCAACCCGCTGTCACAATGGCGATCTGTCCATCTCCACGGAATACACTTGTCTGACCAAAATTGAGAAGTCCGGTCCTTGTTTCTGAAAGGTGCTTGTCAGATATAGTAAGTTCTTACCTTTATGGTTACACCTTCATCGCTGATTCCCACAGGATACTATGACATGCTCCATGTTGTTAACTTTTTCCTGTTACCTTTTGTCATCTAAAGCCATAAGGGGTGGTATTGCTCGCTTCGATTGTATCGAGCGCATAAAGGCGTTGTTGATTATCTGTCAAAAATAGAAGGGCATCGAATCATGATCATGCTGAAGTGTATCACAGTCGCAAGCGCTGTCCGGTTACGTAGAAAGCCTTCCCCAATACCATGCAATGATATATCTGCTGCCTAGCCTTGGTTAATGGAGCGTACTCGATTTGGTTTTCTCTCATCAGACATCTTCGGCGTCAGATTTCTTCTCTCGCATTATCCAGACGGTGTAGGGAGGACCTTGCCGGAATGATTCCGAAGAATGTCATCACGACCTCAGTGTCATAGCCCGACTTGCCATCCAGCTCTGTATGAGCATGACCACTGACTCAAATATGAATGAATATTCTCCTTGAAAGGTAGATTAATCTGTGTTATGGCGGAGCATTGTGTCGCCTTCGCAATCGACAGCCTTCCCCCTTTAGATCTTCCTCGAAGCAGTTTCTGTCTTCTCAACGTCTCCAAGCTTGGGACAAGTTGGCTAAGATATAAAATAAAATCAATATTGGCGACCACCTACATTGGGACAACGTTAAACATCTTCAATCGAAACAAAGGATTGACAGAGATAGTTCGAGATACAGAGAGACTTCCTTCATTCGATATCTTCTCTCGTTGATGGACTGACCCTTACGCCCTACTGCTTCCGATTGGATCTCTTTCAAGGGCGGGAGTTTTGAATTTTCCGGCTCAAATCCACATTGAAGCCTCATCCGGATCATCTTGCCTAGAACCATTCTCATTCTCCCCTTCCTCAAAGGACGAATACTCAACATGCAAGCCTCCCCATCCAAAGCCCGCGCCCAAGCTCTGGAATCACACTCCTGGTCAGTGGTTCTCTCATGGCTATCGAACCTCTACTACCCCTCGCCCATTCCTTCCTTCGAATGCAATACGACGACCCTCAGAGCATTACAAAGTCTGATGACCGAAAATCTCGCCGTAGAACGAACTCGAGAACTTCTCTACAATGCGCGAATCGAAGAACTTGTCTTGGCCACTCAAAATGGAGAGCAGATTCGTGCTCAACCTCCCGACGGAAGTGATGCAGGATCCCTCCTTTCACTCCTCGAATCCTATCTTCCACCATCATCAAAACGGGCCCTGGACTCTCTCGCGAACTCCGCCGTTCTCCTGGGTTGCCATCTCTCCCCTTCAAGTCCGGCTTCTACTCCTGGAATCCTACAGAATCTTCAGTCTCAAATCCTCGCTCTTCCCAGACAAACATTCAATCTGGAGTCCCAAATCTCAGCCATCGACACTCTCACATCCACTCTGAGTACCGAAATAGCCCAGACCGAACAATGTCTCTCGGGCTGGTCAGCAGACCCCTCCGATCCAGAGACAACTTCACCCCCATCCTCACCGTCTCCAACGAATACTAGGATAGACTACTCGGCCCTTCACGATCAAACACGGCAGCACCAGCGTGAAGCCAATCAACTCATGCTGAAATCTGCCGAGTATAAAGACCGCATCGCAGCGCTGGAGCGCCAAGGGGCCGGCGGCGCCAGCGCTCAAACTATTCAAGGCCCTACGCTCACAGATCTGGCTATTAAGCAGGATCTCGTCGAACGGAAAAAGAAACAGGCCGAGGCCCTGGAGAAGAAGATCCTGGCGTTCCACGGATTACCGCCCGACTTGGAGGTGTCGAGGGCAGAGGTTCTGCGTGCTCAAACGGAGCTGGATGCCTTGAAGAGGCGGAGAGATGAGCTGTTCGAGAAGATGGGCGGATAATTACCTCGGTCGAGAACAGTTCTTCGAACTACTAACCAGGCCATATAATCATGCTGACCCCTTACGAAATCAAGGTAGGAAGTTCAGATGGGATTGAAATGCATCGAAATTCATACATTAAAAAAGTTCATTGGCTAATCATCAACCATGAGAAGTTGATTCGAGACTGAGGGGTCCTCCAGCGCCAGTGCTGGTCCCGGTGCGCTTGCAGAAACGAAGCTCTTCAGTTCCAATAGCCATTGATGACGTTGATGATTAGAAGACCGTCCAAGCAAAGCGGGTGGATACAGGCCAAAGTCTTCTGTCCTTATTCTTTTCAGAGCGGTTTGGGCCATCCCATCGCTTTAGCAATCCCATGAGCGAGTCTCTCATATAATTCCCCGATAGGGTCACACTTTCGCTTTCCCCCCGCATTAACCTTCTCTCCTTCGGCCTTAGCGTTTTGAGCCTGTTTCTCCTCTTCTTCTCGCTTGCGCTTTCGTTCGGCAATGAGCTGGTCACGTGTCTCCTTTGCTTTCAAGTACTTCTCGGTGTGACGCAGTGGTGGACCATCTCTGCTTCGAACAGTTCTATCGTGGATGACTGGAGGTTTGGTGAAGAACAGGACACGACCTTGGTCGTCTTGAGGGTAGCGGTCTCGGATACGTTTCGGAATCGACTCGTTTGCGGCGTCAGAGAGGACAAAGACATCAGCTCCACGATATTCTGGGATGTTGACTGGATATGCCGGATACGCTGGTTGAACAGCTGGTATCTGTACACGGTAGTTTTGGGAGGGAGTCGCTGGAGCATAGCTGGTTTGGTGTGCCGGAGTCAGACTTGGTTGAGGATGCAGTTGTTGATGAGACGTGTAGGGAAGAGGTTGCTGAGGAGCAGGGGTCTGCGCAGGCATGGTAGGGTGAAGCTGCGGAGTTTGTGCTTGCGGATAGGAATTTTGACGACTATACTGAGGAGCGGGGGAGATCGATGGCGCCTGGTATGAGTTGACTTGAGGGGTCATGTTGATAGCAGCGCGCGCTGGTTGAGGTTGTATGGTGGCAGACGCGCTACTGGTTTGTCTGTCTGCGCTTGGACGAAGTTGTTGATTCCCCGTCGCGGTTGAGGGAGGAAGCCGTACTGGGGCAACTGGAGGAGTTGGAGGAGGCGGTGGTGTCGGTTCTGGTGGCGGTGATTGCTGTGAGGTGACGATCAGTAGGCGTCGCAGAACGTAAAAGAAACAACCACAAAAAAACCTTACATTTTCATCACGAGGCTGCTTGTGGATCCCACCGATGATCGGGGGCGCATTTGGATGGCCCCATTGAGGCGAAGGAATCTCATCTGTCTCTTTCATATCATCCTTCAAGAGGTGCTTGAGCGGACTCGGCACTTTCTTGATCTTTCGAGGGTTATCAAAGAGATCCATCTCATAGTCCTTGTCTCGAACCTCATCAGGCAAACAGCTGGCCCATGTTTTGATCTTGTTGAATCGGTGCTTTTCCTCATTGTATCGAGCCTCGCAGACATAGACTTCCTTAGCAGGATCAACATTTCGAGGTCGGCCACGACTGTACCGCGTGAAGAACATAACGAAGCACCGATCAATGACTTCTTCAATCCGATGATCTCGGTACTGACCAGTCTTGACGACTTCATTGGGGAAGAAGTGTTTTTCGTACTGATGCACAGTCTGTTCTGGTCGATAATACCAACAAGCATTGATCCATTTCTGACCGTCAGAATCCTCCCAAGTTCGATAAATTTGTGCCACAATGGGCTTCGTCACATCATTGACATTCTGAATGTGAATCCAGTCACCGACTTTCCAAAGCTCATTCTTGTGAAGAATTCCTGCCGGTAGGGGTCGTCTGCCATCCTCCATGAGATACTCGTCATCCGGCTTGGCCTTCTCGATTTCAGCGAGTTTGAGGGCTTCAGCATGCAATTCGACCGCGTCCCGGTAGATCTCGCTGCCGTCCTCATTGAATGCCTTGGCGTTGTTGAAGAGCAGGTCGAGATCTTTCATGAAATGTTCCAATGACTGGTATTTCTTCCGCTTGGCCTTCTTCTTGATCGTGTCCAGTGCGATTGGGTCCTTGATCTCCAGAAAATAGGCGGGATACTCAGCTTTGTCAGGCAAACGTTCGAAATGGCGGACTTTGAGATTACCAGTCTTGTCTTTGGGCTTGCGAATACCTTTCAAGACCGCCTTGATCCGAGCCTCCATTGGGGTGTCTACCTTTGGAGGTCGTCCACGGCGCTTTCGAACATCCCCGTCATTGAGCTTGTTATCATCATCGTCGTCACGGCCTTTGCGTCCGGAGATGCTGTGTCGACCTCTCCGACCTCTTCTCTTCCGTCGATCATCGTCTGAGTCGTCGGCATCAACATCGTCATCGTCATCGTCGTCCTCTGGATCGTCGTCATTGTCTTCGTCTTCGTCGGAGACAGGATCTGGTTCTGGCGTTGCATATGGAATCTCGCCGAGATCGGGAAAGACAGTCTCTTCTTCTTTGGCCAAGCCTTCTTCAACAAGCTTCTTCAACTCATCTTTGAACACGGCCTGCAACTCAAGCACATCACGGACGGGACCTGAATTTGGGCGATTGTACACCTGGGCGTTGTGGACAATCAAGGCAAAGTCGCGAACGAACTCCGGGATGCCTGTATATTGCTTCCGCTGTATCTTGCCCTTGAGAGTACTGAGAGCCACAGGATCTTTGATGATTTCGTGATAGTCTGGGAGATTTCGTCGGTTCGGAATGCGTCTGAACAATGTAGAAGGATAATGGTCCCTGGCGTGACTGTCAGTCCGGAAAAATCAACGTCATTGAAGTGGACAGACTCATCGTTCTTGAGTTTGATCTTGAAATTGGTCAAGACCTCGGTGATGTTTTTGAGGGCCTTGTATTGTTCATTCGACACTGCCCGCTCTTCTCCCGCTGTCTCCTCTGCTATATCGGCATCGTTGTCTGTTTTGTCTTCGCCAGCATCTTCTTCCTTGACTTCGACGTCCATCTTGACGGACTCGTTTGCCTCTGGCGCGATTGTCTCTGCGGGTTTGGGGTCCGCCATCCCTAGTCTTTCTGGCTACCGCGACTTAGTGTTGAGCGATGCGAATTGGTAACATGGGACGAGGTGATGCGTGGCGTAGATGTGAGAACGGTAGTATATCAATGCGATGCATGGCGAGTTGCAGAGTCGCAACGCAGTGACCTTCAATTCGAACCGCGCCGCAGCATCGCAGGGAAAGTCTTGGCGAGGCTCTGCCCGTGAAAAGTGAAAAGTTTGAGAAAGCTGCTCTCACTTCATATATTTTCCATCTTGCTTTCCTACATTCATTGTTCAACATCGGTGGTTGCTGGAGTGGAGACGCGTTGCACGTCTACAAATCTATGAATCGCGGAGAAACAGGCCTTGCTGAAAGAACGCGCAAAAAGCTGGCCCAAACACCTACTCGCCTCGCATCTTCAGTTGCCGCGGCCCTGGCCAATCTAGACCCCATCTAGCCGAACGCCTCTTTATGTAAGAAGGATGATTTCATTCACCATTCCTCATTCCTGTGCATGATGTAGCAAGCGGAGGTTCGCCAGGACAACCGAGAATTGCGATTGATTCTATTCAATAAGTTAAACAAGACTGCGCCAGATCTCTCATCCAAAACTGGTCTCGTCTTCCTTCAGTTCTTCCAGTCTGTGCTACACAGTTCTGTGTGGCAAGCTGATTCAAATCAACTCGTTTGTCAACATCAAGTAAATATATCATTTCTGCTTGAAGATCCTCACGATTCTGCCACAAATCCATCGCTCAGCAAATTCGTGAGCAATAGAGACGACCGGCAAGATGAGGATTCGGATCAGAGGACCTTCTGGCACATCGTCAACTGCAACTCTTGATGATACGGCAACCGTCGAAACTCTCCGCAAGACAATTGCCACAGAAACGTCGCTATCATCTTTTGATGTGAAATTCGGATATCCGCCCAAGTCTTTGAACCTCGACCAATTCCCACCCTCCAAGCCTCTTTCGGAATTAGATGTAAAACTCAACGGAGAACAGCTGATTATCAATAATGTCGAAACAGCTGCCCAGAAGGGACCAACTCAACAGACTTCGCCGGGCCCAACAAATATAGCAGGACATTCAGGGGATAAGAATACTTCCTCTACCACATCCTCGTCAAAGCCCGCCGTGAAATCCGAGCGGACATCAGCAGCACCGTTATCATTGTCCCGGAAGGAAAATATAGAGATGGCCGATCCACCTGAGATATTTCTTCCCAATCTAGGAGGTAGTTTAGTCCTCCGCATCATGCCAGATGACAACTCGTGCCTCTTCCGAGCCGTCGCTAGCGCGGTCATGTCGGACATGGATACCATGACTGAATTGAGATCCATCGTCGCCCAGACCATCCAAGGAAATCCGCAAAAATACACAAGAGCGATTCTTGACAACAAGGATCCAGATGCATATTGTCGATGGATTCAGACCGAAGACGCCTGGGGCGGTCAAATCGAGCTGGATATCCTCAGTCAGCAGTTTGATATCGAGATTTGCAGTATTGATGTACAGAGTCTCCGAGTCGACAGATACAACGAAGGTGCACCACGACGCTGTTTCATTGTATATTCTGGGATTCACTACGACACCATTGCCTTGAGTTTATTTGGTACGGCGCCGGAAGACGATGTCAAGCAATTTGAACAACCATTGTCCGACGAAGTCCTTCCCCAGGCCGTGGCTTTATGTCGGAAGCTCCAAGCAAGACATTACTACACCGACACCGCTGGGTTCAAGCTAAAGTGTGGAGATTGCGGCGCGACTTGTATTGGAGAGGCTGGAGCCACACAACATGCACAACAGACTGGGCATTATAATTTCGGGGAAGCCTCATAAGATCGTTCTCCTGGGATCTCCGGGAGTAAACTCCGCATGTCAGGATATTGCTTATCTGATCCACGGAAGAAACTTTGGTAGTTTGATGATCTGGGTCCACAATGGTGGAGGGTGTTCATGTTCACGCATTCTAACAGCATGATGAGTGGAAGTACATACCCACGGTATTCAAAGGAATGTGGTCTTGGGTCCTTCTGATGAAGAATCATACCGTCCTGATGAAACGGCAAAGTACTTCCGCTGAAATCCCTCCGCCAGAGTCGAATCGCCTTGCCAAGTTTCCCTCTTCAATTTCAACATAGAGTTCCTTCATCCAAAGGATTCAAGTCAAGTCGCCAAATTTATGCAGACATTCTTGACTGATCCCTAAGACATAATTACATTGGGGAGGCAAAATATCTCTATCATCCCTGGCTATATCCAGATCAAGACCGGCCACTCAGACTCAGTTTGCCAAATCCGATTCTCTGTTCGTTTTCTAGCGTGGTTTCTGGTGAGTTTCTGACTCGTTCGAATTGACGTTTTCATTTTTTTGCGGGGGAAGTTTGCAGTGACCTTGGGAATCAGTCTCCCTCGAACCCACCAAGTAAGTAACCGAGGTCGAAGAGAGAGAGCGGAAAAAGTGGTCCCGTTCCCGTTCTTCGTACACAGATGCTGCCCCATATGCTTCCTCAGATCACGTCGAAATAGCGTTTCAGGTTGACAACACAACGTTCAAAATGAGTTACGCACAGTCATGGCTCGATGTAAGTACGAATATGGTGCATCGTCCGGTGCCTTCAGCATTAACCGGACGATCAGTTAGAGAAGGCTATGGGCGGCTGCGTGGTCATGGGCGGTACCGCTGAAGAGATCAGAGGCCAATATGACCGGCTAGTTGCGGCTCTACTTCCTCAGCTCCCTCCGCCATCAGACGCAGTGGAAAGCAAAGACGGTAAAGTCGACGGCATCAAGTATCGCTTGTACACTCCCAAAGAGGCTTCCAAGCAAGGCCTGCTGCCTGTTGCCATCTGGACGCATGGAGGAGGTTTCATGACTGGTGATCTTAACTCCGACGACTTTCTTTGCAGAGTCATCGCCGAGCATGTCCCATCCATCATTGTGAATGTCGACTACCGACTTAGCCCTGAGCACAAGGTCCCAACGCAGCTTGAGGACACGTTGACCGTGTACAGATGGGTGAGATTTGCCCTGAGGTCTGCCATTCCGTACCGAAGTGCTGATTGAGAATAGGCACGCCAAAACGCGACCTCACTCGGAGGAGACCCGAACAAGTTTTACAGCATCGGAGGTTCTGCAGGTGGTGCTTTGGCTCTACAAGTAGCCAATCGCATGGTCAAGGATCCGTCGAAGCGGGATGGAATTAAAGGCGTGGCCGCGATCGTTCCGCTCACGCTTCACTGGGACCACGTACCTGCAGAGTATCAGTCCATCTTCAAGGCCTATGACGAGAACAAGGAAGGTGTCCCCATCATTGACAAGAACTCAATGAAGATCTATTATGAGCACGCCGGCGTCGATCCTAAAGACAGCGACACCTTCACCGCTCTGGCCACGGACAACCACAAGAACTACCCACCAGTTTACTTCGTCAGTTGCGAGAAGGATCCCTTAAGGGATGACGCTTACGTGATGGAGGCAGCTTTGAAGAAGGCTGGTGTACCCACCAAGCATGATCATTACAAAGGAATGCCACATTACTTTTGGATCTTCCCTTCCCTACCAGAAGGCCAGCAGTTTGTTGGCAATTTGATTGGCGGCATTAGGTGGTTGATCTCCCAGATGTAGACAGATTGGCTCTTTTGCCTGTCAAACTCCTTCCAAACGAAGAGAAGAAGCTGGGGAATGAAATGATTCAAGTAAATAACTGCCTGTGCTCACCATCTGAAATGGTGACAAGGGCTTGCCCCGTATTCTCCGATGTGTCAATTCTTTTCTCCGCGCCGCGTGTCCTTTCACGTCCTCACTCACTCGTTTAACCTATGGCGAGGCCATACTTCAACAACCTCGATGGCCTCACCACTCCGGGACTCGACAGCCCCATCAGTCCTAGCGGAGATGGCCTCCCATCGAAGAGAACCAACGCCCTCAGCACCAAACTCACGAGTGTCCTATCCTCTTCCTACGCTGACTACGAGATCCGCGATGCCCTTCGACTCCTCGACGAGCGAGGCGTGCAGAATGACGAGGAAACGAGAAGGAATTTGAAGGCAAATGCACAAAAAGAAGTTATGGACTGCAATGCAAAGATCGTGGATGATTTCGGTCAAGTTGCGGAAGTACGCACCCCCATCTACAATATACAGAGGATGTTACTACTCACACGCACCGCTCATCCTCCAGCAACTCAAGCGAGTCGGCGCGATGATCGCGACCCTCAATCAGACCTGCGCATCGATGCGTCAGCACATCGTCGCTGCGAAACAGGAATCCAGCTCTGTCCTCGAAGAAGCCGCGACGTCGATTGGCCACAAACGAGAAATTGAAATGAAACAACAGCTCCTCGACGCCTTCACCACCCACTTCATCATCTCTACACCCGACTTAAACATTCTCACAAGCTCCGCGGAGCCCCTGGACGAGCGGTTTTTCACAGTTCTCGCTCGAGTCAAGCAGATACACCGCGACTGCGAGATTCTACTAGGTTACGAGAACCAGCAGCTAGGGTTGGAACTAATGGAGCAAACGACCCGGAATCTCGATGCAGGATTTAAGAAACTCTACACATGGATTCAGCGAGAATTTAAAGGCTTGGACCTTGAAGATCCGCACATGAGTGGTTCTATTCGGCGGGCTTTGCGAGTCCTGAGTGAACGACCTGCTCTTTTTCAAAACTGTTTGGATTTCTTCGCAGAAGCAAGGCAATCTACATTGTCTGACGCATTCCACGTAGCACTTACAGGTTCCACAGGAGCAGCGAAAGCGATTGAATTCTCCACGCATGAGCCGCTGCGGTACGTCGGCGACATGCTGGCGTGGGTACATTCTGCGGCGGTGTCAGAGAAAGAAGCACTCGAAGGCCTCTTTGTATCAGACGCCGACGAGATTTCTAGAGGCCTTTCAGTAGGTAGAACGAGCGAACCGTGGGCGCGCATCAGCGAGCGACGAGTAAGCGTCTCATCGGCATCCGATCCTGAGCAGGAACCTGTCTTCGACGGTGTCAAGGCTCTTTCGGACCTGGTATCTCGCAGCCTCGCAACCGTCTGCCAGACACTTCAGTCCCGAATCGACATCTCCGTCCGCAACAGCGGTGACCCGGTGCTCATGTTCAAGACATTCAACCTCTTGGACTTCTACTGGGGTATTTTCAGTAAACTGCTCGGCACGGAATCCTCGCTCAGCAAATTGATCCAGAGTCTGCAGTCCTGGACGCTGTCACAATTCGAAGCCACAATGGAAGAAGAGACAGCAGCTGCGACCGCCGACACCACGCCGTCCACAGATCTCAGCCCGCCCGTGTTCCTCGCGACGGCGTTGACACAGTTTGCAGAGATATCGCGTGCAAGAGGCCCGCAGATGAGCGAGGCTGAGCTGGAGCGCCTCTTTACCGCGATCCTCGGCGGAATCGTGACCGCATGCGCCGGGGCCGCGATGCAGATCCCGGATGCGTGGCGGAGCAATATCTACCGGATGAACTACATGACGGCCCTTCGGGCCACGCTCGCTTCTCTATCATCCCAGGTGCCTGCCGCGCAGATCCCTCTGGATAAAGCAGTGCAGGAGATGCAGGTGCTCCGGGATCAACTGGTCGAAGACCTGAGCTCAACCTTGCTCGAGGACTCTGGTGTGCGGGAGTTGATGCAAGAGCTCGACACGCGGCGGCGTCACAAAGCCCCGGCCTGTCGAGCGTGGTTGATGGCCAACCTGGACGAGGCGGCACAGCGGCTGGACGATTTCCTATCCTCCGCGCTGATGGATGCGCAAGAGAATTTGAAGAACCTTCTCGACCGGACGTTAGCCCAGGATGTCATCTCCGAGGCTGTGGAGAGATTTTGCTCCGAGTTCGATGAGTTGGAGAGCATGTTGGAAATGGTGGAGGCCAAATCTGCAATGTCAGAAGGAGAGGATGAGAACCAGCATGAGGATGTCAATATTCAGCTTGGGTCGTTAAGGGAATTGTATCCCCGTACTGGTGCCGAAGTGAGGGCTTTACTGAGCTAGAAAGTAAATACCCAAGAATCTCCCAAGTCACGCAAGTCAAAGGATAACAAATCCTCACGATGAAACATGTGCTAGTCATGCAGATATAAAATCACAGACAAAAATGAGAATCAGTAGCCTGTTCGACGAGAAAGCTATGTTCCGGTTTCAGCGTATTAAGTTTTGGCCCGCAAATCTAAGCAAGTTCGATGTGATAGCAGCTAATCGGTACATTGATATGATTGGTTTTTCTTCTTTTGCTTTTCGGCGGCTAAGCAGCCATGAATCCTTTGGTATGGTAACTCAGGATAGAAAGGCATGCCTTACAACATGGCCTCGGCCGCAGAGACTGTTCGGTGTTAGATTGGTCTCATTATGGAGTAACAGAGGGTTACTCACTGGTGACACCAGTGTTGTCAGGCTCGACAGCAACCTTGACAACCTTTCCGTCCTCGGTCGCGACAGCGTAACGCTTGCTCCGGTTGTTGCCCAAGATCTTTGCAGCATCGAACTCAACATCCCAAGCTCGAGTGAAGTCGCCGGCAGGGTCAGCGAGGAATCGGATGCCACTGCTCTTGGACTCGTCCAAGTTCTTTCCCCAGGCCTTCATGCTGGACAGGTGTAAGAGTGATGATTGGCTGAATGGTGGGGAGGGGCGCTCTTACACGAATGCATCGTTGACAGAGACGACAAAGACCTTTCCAGCACTCTTGAGCTTGTCACTGGCAATGTAGCCTGGGACGTGGGTATCGGAACAGGCGGGAGAGAATGCGGCCGGGACACCAATGACGAGACCTTTGCCGGAGCTAAGCTCTTTGGAAAGGTTGACCTTGTTGCCTGGTGAATCCTCAAAGAGGTCGATGTTAGGGATGGAATCGCCTTGTTTGACCTGTAATAGAGTGAGTTAGAATCATTATAACACACGACGTGCGTGATGAGAAAGATGAGGGGTGTACCATGATTGCAGCTGTTGAAGAGAACGATTTGACGAATGGAGTGGATGGTGAGAGACGAGCTGAGGTGACAGAGCGTAAGATGGATCGAGAGAACATTTGGATGTACGGAGGATTTTATTGCGAGCCAAAATTTGAAATTCAGATGCAGATGCAGATGCAGGCAAAGTCACAACTTGGTAAGGGTTCGGAACTATTTTAACTCATCAGCAAATAACATCATTGCGGGGGAGCTTTTTTCTCCCCTCGCAAGCAGCGACATACATTACCACACACCGGCTCCCCCCAATTCAAGAACCATGACAGTCATTGTATTATCATGTGCTCGTACCCTGCCCTACCGTCATCCTTCCGATCGTTTCACCAACGCAAAATCAAGTCCTTCCAGCCCACGACGGTCCCCCGACAGAACAGTTTCGTCCCTTTCTGCTGGGGCGCTAGCCGGTGGAAAGAAAAAAAGATTTGGAATGGACAGCGCTCTGCTGCTCTACTCCAACTCCGTTGGGTGATGGTCTGCTCGCCTTTAACAGATCACAACGGCAAGCGTCGAGCTTGCAACAAACTGCAAGCCAACCTTGCATCCTTCTCGAAGGAGCAGAATCACAGCTTCGATATTTCCATTCCAAGACACTGGTTGGCATTGTCACTTCCTCATTCATTACCGCTTCCACCAGATTCCGAGTTGAACACCTGGCCTAGGCACCTCGACAACTGTTTGCAGTTGCCCATTTCTCGAGTATCCGACCTAGCTCTATCGTACTTGAGGCCAAGAGCCTTTTCTTTTCTTTTCTTTTTTTTTTTCCCACCCAGCTTCTGCTGGGCAACCTGTCACAATTGTGCTCTCCGCCAAGTAGAGCCGACACGACCATGCATTACAAGAGGTGGTTCAGAATGTGTCGGACTCTCCGACCATCAAGCTGTCATACTCAGTACTTATCAGGACACAGAAGGTCCGCGAGATGTATCTCGAGATGATCTCCCTCACCCGTGAGGACAAAACTTGAGGTGTTTTGTCCGAAAGTTTTATCCTCCATTAGTTAGAAGGCTAGCAGCGCCACAATTTCATTTTGACGAGTCGTTAGTACGGATCCAGCATGGCTTGGTCCCCCAATCCGGATTTGAGGCTTTTGTTATCCTTGAGCCGATCCGTGTTGTCGGAAGCGAGCGGTCTCGAAAAGCATGGTTTCTTGTTGACCTTGGGGATGCTGAACGTGCTAGCGTCTAGGACGTTTTGATGCAGAACACGGTAGAGACAAGTACCAGGAGAATGGGTCGACAACTGGCTTTGACAGCGAACAGCTCTTATAGCCCCTGCGCCCGGTGGAAGTAGGTTGAAAGCCATTCAGCTTATCGAAGTTGAACGAACACTGAACGGAATGCTATTATCCACGCAAAAAGCAGGCCATCATTGCATAACGGAGCTAACATGTTTGACGAGGTCACTTTGGTGGACGATTGACATCGGTAGATACAACATACATCAGCGATATCCAACAAGACAACGGTGTCTCGACAGAGTATCTCATTGCTCCGGCTCAAAAAGGCCGATTGAGAGCACGTATTCTACACTAGGTATTCCGAGGAACAATAGCAGTTAACGGATCAGGTTGTGTGCAACGAATCAGTGAGAGCTGCCAGAAGTCACACAAACCCCCAGGGGATCCGTCACTCATTCCCTTGGGCAACTGGTCAATCGTCGGTCAATTTTCCCCTTATGGACCTTGATCGCCCAAACCAACCAGTTGCATTTTCTCTTGGCCACTCATCATTGCAAGCTATACTCAGAGCAGAAAGTCGTAATGTGAGGGTGGAAGATCGCTTGCGAGGACAGTACAGTAATACTGTAGATCGATATGGGTGTGCAGCAAGGACCAGACACTGAAACTACTCTGTCTCTGAACGGCCGTGCCGGCAATTGCTGCCGTTACCTGATTCTTCTGATTCAAGCACCTTACTGCTGTTCTGAGAGTTTCTATCGCCAAATCGGTGCGAGAGGGGACGCCGCTCTCGTCATCTCCACAACCGGATCAAGGGGCCTCTTAGCGAATATGCTGGGGCAGGGGTCCGGGCGACGGCGCATTAAAAAAGCAAACCAGATCAAAGATTTTCAATGGGGAAAGCGTCAAAGGAACAGTCCAGTGGTTAGTCGGACTGCGGGACTGAGGAGGTTAAGGCCCGTAGTCCCATCGAGTTTGCCCCCCGATCAGATCAACCCTCATCCGACTGCCCTTGTGGACGAGCCTCCCCAGTTAGTCGCCCAGTTAGCGTGATGCCCCAGTGTGCCTTAGCCGAGTCTTTCCTCGTTGTCCGTCTGGTAACTCGCGGTTGCTTTCGCTGCAGCTACGGCCCCCTCTGGCTCTCCTCTCCCTATCCCCTCATTGCCAATGGCCTGGCTTCGGAATGCCCCATTGCCCGCCATACGCCTCACGCCGCCAACCCGAAGGGTCAGCTTTTCTAATCCCAATCCCAATGATGATTCCCAAAGCGAACCACACCAGGCGAGCTAGCTCGTCTCAAGCAGGCATGCTCCTGGACAAAAAAACCAACCCAGCGCTTCGCTGCCCTGCAGTCGAACTGGCTCTTGAGGCAATCTGTGGTTCCTGCCGGCGCCGACGCGGCAAAGCTACAGAACCCGAAACTCTGGCGGCGCTGCCCTCCGCCTCAGCCAGATATGCTCTACCTTTGCCTCTGGCTTCTCTTGTGTTGTCGTTGTCACTGTCTTTCTAACCGGCCACGCTTCGCGGACTTGACGGTTTGACCTGATTTTTCGACGGTCTCTCGCACACACAGATTCTCAGAGTTCTCCAGCAAGCCCCTCCCCTGTTCCCTAGCTCTCGCTCCAAGGGTTTAACGAGCCGACAACGGAAAGATCAATCCCTCATCTATCAACCCGCAACCCACGCATGCCTCTTTCAACGATCTTTCGGCGAACCGTGCATCTGTCTGCTCTCTACTTCTGCACACCCGTCCCTTTCTATATCCATCTAACCAAACCTATCCTTCTATGAAACCCGCCTTCTCCTGTCGTCCTCCTTTCTTTGCGTCTGACATAGACTTGCAACCGTCTGCCTCACCGGAAGCCGTCTAGGTGTCACTTGCCAAACACTGTCAACATTCCATCTCATTCGCAGTCATCTCGCAAAAGCATCCTCATACATATATTGTGGTCTTGTCGCAATCGGTCTCCGGAAATGCTGTCGTGATTTAGATGCCATATACTGCATCACCAACTCCGATCACCCCCAATTGCACGCATCTACCTTGCAGAATCCCTCCCAGAACATCGAATTGTCCAAGATAGTGTTGAAATTGAATCATCCATCTTGTCGAGGTGTTCAAGATGGACAGCCAAAGCGGTGGCGCCGGATCGGCCAATAACTCTAGCGACTTTGTTCGCAAATTGTATAAGTATGTTCAACCTGTTGTCGTTCTTGCTTGTATCTCGAGGACTAAATCGTGTGCGCAGAATGCTCGAGGACCCCTCATATTCCTCAGTAGTACGATGGGGCGACGAAGGAGACAGCTTTGTGGTTCTGGAGAATGAAAAGTTCACCAAATCCATTTTACCCAAACATTTCAAACACTCGAATTTTGCTAGTTTTGTCCGTCAATTAAATAAATACGACTTTCACAAGGTGCGACAAAACAATGAGGAGGGTGGAACGTCGATATACGGTGCCAATGCGTGGGAATTTCGCCACCCTGAATTCAAGGCGAACAGTAAGGATACCCTTGACAACATCAGGCGAAAGGCTCCGGCGCCACGAAAAACGTCCAATCTCAGTGATGAACAGATCCCCTTTCAACAGATTGACCTTATGAACCAACAGATAGTGGCGCAAGCACAACAGATCGAATCTCTGGTCCAAACCACCAATCAACTTCAGATGAACCATCAAATGGTGGTGCAGGAACTCCTTCGCCTTCAGAAATCCGCCCTCAACCATGATCGAGTGATGCAAGATGTCATGGCATTTTTACATTCCGTTGATGCAAAACAGCGAAGGGACAGCAAAGCACCCTTCGCTCCACAAGCAGACTCGGCGCAAACAGGCACCACTTTAACTCCCACAAGTCAAAACATGCTTCCTCAAGATGATGACATCCCTGCCTCACCGTTGCAGCACGCCGCCAAACTTCTGAACGACATCAATGCGGATGGCCAATTCAATATAACGGGTCTAGAACAAATGCATACCAGCATTGCCACTCCACCCATGAACCAAAGCAGTGGTCAATTCCGAGGGCCCAATTCGGCCACTTCAAGCGGCAGCATGGGATTTGCGAAAATGAATCCGAATGATCTGGAATCCGTCGTGTATCCCATGGGAACAACCAATGGCATTGACCCGATGTACGCTGAACACATTCACAACATTCCCTATCCTATGCCGTCAAGGGACACTCATGATCCTCGTGCACAATTTGCCGATTCTCGGAAGAAGAACGGTGCATACGATCCAGGCTGGAGCAGATCTCCAAGAATTCTTTTGGTGGAAGATGACTCGACCTGTCGGCATATTGGAGGCAAATTCCTGCACTCATTCTCCTGCACCGTGGATTCTGCGCTCGATGGTCTCGAGGCTGTGAGCAAAATGCAGGAAGGAACCAAATATGATATGATTCTGATGGATATCATCATGCCGAACTTGGACGGCGTTTCTGCCTGTCATATTATCCGACAATTTGACAGGACCCCGATTGTCGCCATGACCTCGAACATTCGATCGGATGACATCCAAATGTATTTCCATCACGGCATGGATGACGTCTTACCCAAGCCATTTACTCGAAAATCGCTGCTGGACATGTTGGAGAAGCACCTGATGCATCTGAAGAAAATCCCACAGGGAATGGATGCCCCCACCACTGCAGGAACCATCGTTCCTTCTGGCGGGCCTTCGTCTACAGCACATTCGGTCCGTGATGACATGTCCGCTGGAGCGTCTCCCGCGGGCTCAAGTGGAACTTGGAATTCACCGAGCCAATACGCAGGAGTATCCCCAGTCAACGCCAATATGCACTTTACTGGGATGTCTCAGCAGCAACACTACGTCGATGCCAGTGGGAACGCCACATCGTTTCAAAGTGGTCCACAAACTCCTGTGGGTATGAGAGGACCCGGCATGATGCAACAGCAAGCTCAGAGAAGGGGACAATCGGAGATGTCTGGCGGAGGAGACACGGGAAGTGCCAACAAACGACAACGGATATATGCACCACCACAATCCATGGCCACCCCAATGCGACAATAATGAAGGAGTAACTTTTTTTTTTTTTAATTCCCCAATCGAAGAGATGGGCAACAGATAGACGGAATCCTTTGATCGCTCCGTCATGAGTCTTTTGATACGACTAAAGCGATGCGCTTTAGTCGCATCTTCTTTCAGCCTCGCATTGCGAATGATCTGTTCAGAAGTCTGTCAGATCATTCATTACCAGCTTCATAATAGTGACAGATCGGGCGTGCTCACCCTTTCGACGATGCCGGACGTTAGCAGGGACGTCAGACTAGGATGATGGAGGGGGTTCTTTTGGTAGGGGCACACAGCTACCCGTTACCTCTTTACGATTTGATGAAAGACATAGGCGAATAAAGCCGCCAGGAACTTTCTATGATGATACCTTTTCATGGTTATTAGCATCTGACGGGTTGGTTGCAAGGCTATGCAAAATTTTGCTACGGCAATTTGGTCTGGTTTATGATGTACTTGGTTCAGAGATACCCAGGCTCCTACACCTCTATGCTTGATAGGTAAAATTATCCCCGGGTAGACTCCCTGGGGCATATGGTTGGCCCCCTTCGACAGTCTTCAGGGGACACGGGTTTTGATGTATAGAGGTTCGATTGAGATGTAATACTGTGCCGTGTCGCGTTTTCAAGTCAGGACTTGACATTAGAAGCATCCCTGTGATGATGGACAAAATCGCAATACACAGATATGATGCTTCGATGTCAGCTGCATCTCATTTTTCTACCATTAGTGATTCACGTCAGAATTGTCTCTTTAGGCCGATTTCGGCTCAGAGAGTTGTTATGCATTGTACATTGAGAATCACCGCCGTTCGAATTCCATGAACATATTATCAATCATACAACGCCCAGCTTTTTCCTCCCTCTCAACCCTCGATCTTCTCCTTCTCTTTCTCCCACTGCTCAGGCGTCAAACATCTAGGCGTCCAGGCATGTATAGCCGCAATCTCGGCTTTAAGCGCATTATTCACCAACCGATGCCGGGCCAGTAACGTCTTCTTCTCGAACTCCGGCGACACGATGACGGCGTTGAACGCCTGTCCGCACCCGCCTGACATGTCTTCGATCGATACGTACGTCGCATTGAGGATTTCTTTCAGCTTTGCGCTCAGGGTTTCGGGCGTGATACCTGAGGGTGCAGCCTCGAGAGCGCCAGAAGTGTCTGTTTCGGCGGCCATGGGTGTGCTGTGCCGGGATGGGGTAGACGTTAGTTGCCGTCGAGTGACGAAAGGTGATGATGGACGGGGTCGGAGGAGATTGCTCCTCCAAGTCGAGGCCCGGAGCGAATTTTTGATGGTTGTCGTTGCGTGGACAGTGGATGATGCTCTGCGGGTGGCCTGCAATGCTATGCGGATATGCATGGACGGATGGCGGGACTAGTAATGGAGTGTTTTGAGATTTTTGGATAGGATTTCTCGCGTGATGTTTTGTTCACCAGCTCTCTTGTATTTAAATGGGTGCTCTGAATGGATTCCGAAGGACAGGGCTTCGAGTTCGGTAATTGGCGTGTAGCGCGTGTGAGGGTCCTGAAATGTTGCCGCTATTGTGTCCACAAGGTCTCTAGCCCACTCTCGAACTTGCTTCTCTCTTTTTACTTATCTTGGAAGACAACTGAGTACAAGTCCGACGGAAAGCTGGGCCAGTGCAATTGTCCATCGTATTTAATGTACGCACTTCCATCGCGCATATAACACTCGCCCTTACGGACGCTCGAAAAGGTGAGCAGTCCGCTTTCTTTCGTTTGAGCGCCGAAACATTCGTCAGCATGGCCAAAATCTTGCTCCTAAACAGGGGCCTGGCTATCACTGCGCATCAGCCGTCAGAGACCGCCTTGTTGAGATCATCTTTTGGGACCAACGACAACCCCCTAAAATTCCGGAGAAGCAATGTCGGAAACGAATTGAAAACATCGATCAAGTAAGAAGGCGATGGGACGGGTTAATCCAATCGACGGGCCACGAAATATTCCTACTCACACCCACGGTTACGGAGAACCAGGAAGTCTGGTGTCGGCATTTCCTCACCCTGAGATGCAATCCCTCTCTTGCGTTATCTTTGAATCAATGTTTCCATCATTCATTAAGCCTACTCTGTCGACTGCTGCTGCACCTCGACACTACGGAGATGGATACGTTGGTGCTTGCCTGGGAAAGACGGTTTGCCGAGATGGATGACGCATATCTCGTCAAAGTCAGAGGGGCAATGGAGCTTCCTTTCATACCCTTCATTCAATGCCAACTTCAGGTTCTCGAGACCGACACAAGTTCCTACAACGCGGGTGGAATGGCAGTCAACCTTGGCACCATGTCCCGGCCGAATGGCAGTGTGCAATGGACAGGATGGTTGAATGCGAGCGTTTTTGCAACTCCAGAGCTGATTACTTCGAGCTCGCCGAGATCCGTTGATGCTCAAGAGATCGAAATGCCTAGAGCTATCGCTGAAGCCATGTTTTGAGGAAGGAGTCGGAGTGCCCTGGAGGAGTTTAAGCGCAGGAACAGTCGTCAAGGACCCTTCGTGGTGCGCTCGACAACGGCTCCAGCAGTTCGTTCGACACGGTAGCTCTAATCCGTCACACCTTCGAGGAGTACGTCTCTCCTATGCAGAAATGTGACCTGCTTTTGTGTCGCTGGTTTCAGGCCAAAAAGGGTTTGAAGAGTGGTGTTGAATGGTTGAACAGTAGCAGGTGCCCCCTTACTGGGAAAAGGGGTTATGGGTTATCACTCATATGTAGGGTATAGGATAAGAACCGGAGAACAAACGGATTCAACCAACCGTGTATAAATGCCGGCAACCTGGCAGGACCAGCTGCTAGATAGACAGAGCATCCAATACACATTCTCTTGGCATGCCCAGTTTGACTAGGGGGCGGACCATATCTTGAAAGTTGCATACAGCTGATGCTATGGAATATGAAGGTGGCATTTCCTATCTTTGTGACCGAGACACGCCTCATCGCGATTGCGTCGCCCTCAGCACCAGGCTGAACAATAAAATAGCACGATTGTGCCACTTTTCAGGGCCCTCAGCTTTTTGGGCATAGAGATACCATCATTAAGCAACCATGCTAAGCCCCCCAGTGGGTAGAAAAGATTGGTTCTTTGAAACCTTGTCACTACCAATGCCTACCTCGACACATGCTCAGGAATAATACAGTCTACCTCCGCTGTTCGAGTCGCCGACTCGACACTGAAATGGCCCCTTATAGCCGGAAAAGGAATGGCCGGGAAAGAAGGAAGAAGTATGAACTTTGAAGTTGTGCACTGATGAAAGAATTAGAATTTGTCAGCACAATCATTTTGCTGTCAGAGCGTATAAAGGGGACAAGGACAAGGACAGTGTACGGCCATGTCTCTCCGCCAGAAGAACGTGCCCTCCACCTCTCAGTTCTGTTACCAAATCCTCTATCGAAATGGCACCAAAGCTCGAAATCGCTTTCACCATGCGTGCATACTTAAATAAAGCCAATGTACTAGATTTGGGGGCAATCAAATCAGGTCCTCAACGCGTCATTGTCCCTATCAGCCATGGTTTTCTCGACGGGTCGGGTGTCCACGCGACGATTCTTCCAGGAGGCTCCGACTGGTCTCTGGTCAACACCAGCGGCAACACCATCCATCTCGACGTACGCACGCAAGCTAGGTCCGATGATGAAAAGAACTTTTACATTCACTACAATGGTGTGGTCAAATTCGACGAGAGTCTGGTAGGATTTTTTCAGTGGGGCCAGGATGCCAAAACGACATCATTCGGTGACCATCACTGGTTCACGATGCCAATCATGGAAACGAATCATACGGAATACAAGTGGGTGGAAGAGACCGTTTTCGTCGGGCAAGGCCGTTGTGTTGTTGACTCGGACGGTGCTCAGGCAGTCGAGTACCAGATATACAGGGTGATGAACTAGTCAGCCATTTGCCTCTGTCTCTTCGGCGCGATTGTGATGGGAGGAGGACAATTCCCCAATCATTTCGCACAAGACTCCTTTCGACAGGGACAGCAGTGACAGTTCCATGATCAGAGGAGATTGAGACTGGATATCCACTAAAAAAAGATTCCTATTCGGTATGCTTTCATGCGAGGACCTCGTGTTAGTCCTGCCACAAAGGACCGGCCGGCTTGCGTAAGAGGTCGATGGCACCATAGTGGGCGGTAGGCCTCCTGCAAAGGTTTCGGGTCCGTTTGAGTATAGAGAGTCCCTGAGTGAACATTCAAGCGGTTGGTGCGATTGAGAAACATTGCTCATCTTGCCTGTTTAGGTGGAGATCAAAGGCAGCTTCTGCAGAATTGCGTCATTGGAACATCTGCTTCGCGAAGCGCGACAAGATATCAAACACCACCTTAACATAACCAACAGATAGATGTATTCCGCCGCTCCCTAACAAACCATGCACCGGCTTGTCCATTATCCCTGATGTTCCGACACCTCCTTCGGGCTATTCCTAGACTTCAGCCTCAATATATCCAAAATTCAATCCCGATCGTGCGCCAAATGAGTACCGTACAGACTCCCACTGTCTCTCCTTTCACCACGGCCGTGGTCTCGTCCATGCGAAGACTCTACCCTGAAGTTTTGGCAGACAAATCCTTCGATAACACGGGACTTCTGGTGGAAGCTCCTTTTGTCGCTTCCCGACCGCGAAATCGCAACTCGGTGCTTTTGACCGTCGACCTCACACGCGCCGTGGCCGACGAGGCAATTGAGAACAAACACTCAGTGGTCGTCGCGTACCACCCCATCATCTTCAGAGGCTTGAAATCCTTCACGACAGGTGATACGCAACAATTGTCTATGGCGCTTCTCCTCGCCCATGGTATCAGCGTGTACTGTCCTCACACCGCCGTCGATATCGTCCCTGATGGTATGGCCGATTGGCTATGCGATATTGTCACAGGAAAGATGGATGCTCCTGAACCAGAAGCCGACTCCAGGTCCTCAACAAAACCTACATCCCTTTTCGCCGAAGGCCTCGACCAAGACAAAGACGCCCTCTCCGACCCATTCACCACACCTACAGCGGCAACAAAATCAAAACACCCCCGCCCGCCGGCGCCACACAGAACGTACTCGAAACCAACATATCTACGGCCCACATCCAGCTTCCACGCCGTCGTGGTCCCGCATACGCGAAGTGTAGTTGTTCCATCTCCGCCTGCGTCCCTTGAGGCAGCGAACAAGCCCGCCTCTATCCTAGATACCAATTCGCCTAAATATACGCCTTTCAACACCGGGGCCGGCCGCTTCATAGAATTCGCCTCCCCTCAACCGTTGACCGTTCTCATCACACGCATCGCCCACGCAATCGGCCTGCCCAAGGGTTTCGCAGTCGCTATTCCACAAGGCCGAGGGATCGAAAACATCCAGATCGCCACCGTCGCAACATGTCCCGGCAGCGGCGCCAGTGTGTTACGGTCTTGCCACGCCGATCTGATCTTCACAGGCGAACTAAGTCACCATGACGCCCTCGCCGTGACGGAGCGCGGAGGCTGTGTGATCGCGCTGTTCCACTCGAACTCGGAACGCGGGTATCTCTGGAGCGTGATGCGTGAGAGACTCGAGAAAGAAGTCAAGAGTGAGTGGGAGCGCGTCAGGAGTCAGAATCGTGGAGAGAGTGGGAAGAACGGTGTTCCTGAGCAGATTACGGAGATGCTGGATGATGATAGTGTTGGAGTCGTAGTGAGTCAGAGGGATAGAGATCCCTACGGTATTGTCGTCCTGGATGAGACGGCTGTAGAGAGGTGAGGATTGGGACGGAGTGAGTAAGTGAGTCACGGCATGGTTTGTATCGCAACGGGAAACGGGGATGAAGCCGATACCGCGATGAATGCGGACTCCAGCTCCGAGATGGAACATGCTCTCAACCTGTGCCGACGTGGAGCACCGCCGAGATGGGATAGGTACAAAATGACCCCATATACGGACGAAGAAGCTCTTGCACAGAAGGTGTCGTCGAGTCCCTGGCTGTCCGATACAGGAATCTGACCCGAGTCGCCCAAGGACGCAAAAAGGTATCAAGAAGGAGGATGATATTTTGTGTCCGCCTCAAGCAGACCCATCGACCGGCTGTTCGAACAGATCAAAGCATTCTTGAGCTTCTTCTTCGTGTTCAAAGTCAATTGGAATGAGGTGATTTTTGGTAGCAAAGCACACATCCCCACTCTCGTCGAGAATGTGAAGGTGCCATAACAGAAAATCAGGGCCCGAAAATGACTCTTTGGGAAAAATCCGCGGATATAATCCATATCGCATTGCACCGTCACTGACACTTTGTGACGATAATCTCGATCTATAGATTCCATCATACGTATAAAGTAGTCGTCCAAGCCGGGAGGGATATTTTTCAGCTCACGAGATAAGTGCTTCAAGTAGTCGCTGTCCCTCAATAGGTCGCGCTTGACGGCCCCGTAAATATGATGTCTCTGAAAGAGTGTGTCTCCGCTGAGTGTATCGCAGACATTAGTTACTGATATCTTCCAGGTAGAGTTGAGGACATTTCTGGAATGCGTCTAGGAAAATATTCCAAGTTCTTTTTGCCAGTAGCGGCGAAAGTCGTGAGTAGATTAATCATGTTGCTACCGTCATAGAGCCGGCAATATTCGGCCTCAGGCGATGCCTGTCTAAGATTTCCTTTTCAATAGAATGAGGCGTCTGGTCAAAGGTTACATGTTTGTCCATCAAGCTGAGAGGGAATTGATGAAGTTTGACTGTTGGTCGTATGAGGCTGGCTGTGGCTGCCCCACTATTTGGTTGAAGTCATGCGGCAAGGCGACAAGCAGGACAGGAAATCGAGAGTCGGTTCACCAGGGAAAACAACGTTCAATGACTGCGAAATACCTTCAGGATATCCTCCCGATGGTTCAGTAAGGGAGGCATTCTGGACGCTTATTCCGAATGCGCAGGGACTACACTAATGGCATGAACCACCGGAGATTCAATCTGTCCATTCCGTGTTCATCCAATCTAACATCCCAAGCGCTGCTGGAAGGAAGGGTACGTCTCTGTGTCGATTAGAATAAAATCCAAATGTGTGGATTCAAGATTGCCTCACAACGTTGATGTCCTATTCCGCGTGATGCCATCCAAAAAAAGAAGAAAAACGCCATGATTGCCACACTGAATGCATCAAACACCTTTCTCAAGAATCTTGGACCTGGACCTGGACCTGGACCCGGAATCGAAATCGATCCCTCAAGCCATTCAAACAACCACACCCTCCCTCATTGTCTCAAGCGTCTTTTTCCCAACGCCGCGCAGTCTCGTCAAATCATCCCAGCATCTCAACAACATATCTCCCTGCTCCCTAGCATCATCATCCTCGTCTTCAACTCCCACGTTGAGATGTTCCACGATCCCTTCCGCCCGCTTTGCACCCAGGCCGCTGAGAGTCTTGATCTTCGTCACATCCCGCGTATTGATTACGTCGAGAAGATACTGCGTCCGTGGGGTGACGGTACCAGCGTCGTCGTCCTGTCGAACGAGAGGATCCGGGGATGAGACTCTGACTTTGCGCTTCTGTCTTGGCTTCTTCGACCGAGCACGGCGAGAAGACTCTTCCTCATCGCTGTTATGGTATGCAGATCCCTCGCCATCGTCGTCGTGATAACTCTTGTCGCCTTCATCACCATCCCAGCTTCTCGACGTTTCTCTCGCCGGACGCCTAGAAGCTCTCGGTCCTTCCTGAACTCCTTCATCGCGTTCTTCTCTCTTCCGAGCCAATTTTTCTCTCAGTCTCTTAATCTTACTCTGCAGCTTCTCGTTGTCGGGAAAGTAGGGTTGCGCAAGCTCATACATTTTCAATGCACTCCCGTCCTCACCACGAGCTTGATGCTGTTTGGCCATGAACAGGTAACTCAACCCTTCGGCTCGCTCGCCGTCTTGTCCTTCTAATCTCTTCTCGATGTTATCCAATCGTCTTTGGACTTCTTCCGATACGCTCTTGGTTGGTGCCGGGTCTGGCGCGTTCAGGGCACGAGCGGCGAGGATCTCAGAAACCTTCTTCTCTACTAAAGTTTCGATTGAGGCTTTCGTCATCGCGGCGGGTTCCGGTCCACGTCGAACGACGCTTGGAGTAGGCCGGGAGACTTTGGTGGGACGAATCGAGGCCAGGAAAGAGACGTCGGCCGTTCGCTTTAACGGGGATGACTTCGGGGGTACCTGTTTTGTAGCCACTGGTTTGTTGCGGTCTGAATAAACCGAGAAAGCTTTGACAGGTTTCTCGTTCTTGGATGACGCATCACGATTGGCATTGAGGTTTACATTGATACTGTTCGTGAGAGGCCGGAGTGGTTGGCGTTGTATCGTCGGACCGGTCAGTTGCATTCCAGTGACCTGGCGTGGTGGCCCCTGGAAAATGGGCTCATTCTCCACTTCACGGACCTCAATCTTCTTTGTTCTGTTGGCAAAATTCAAGGAGCTGAGAGTATCCAGGTGGTATGCCTTGACGGGAGCCAGGTTGAGTATCATGACGGTGAAGCCATTGTTCTGTCCCAGGGAGAGGATTCGAGTCATCTTGGACTCTCGGTACGGAATACGTTGCTGCTTCCTACTGATAGCTTCGACACATTGAGCCAGAACAAATAGAGACTTGTTGATACTTGCAGATTCAACCATTCTATCTTTCCCATTTCCAGTTCTTCGGTTGTCTTCAGATCCAGCAAGGTCAATGGCAGAAGCGGTGCTGATGCGAGTCTCGGTCGGACTAGTAATGGTAACCTTAACGCATAAAATAGCATGTGACCGCGAAGAATGAGCATTGAGCTTCGTCGCACCAGTACTTCGATTGGAGTTGGCCTTGTCGTAGAGGGTCTCAAAGTCCTTCAGAGAGCTACAAGGAACCTCGGTCAACCCAACCACCACTGTCTTGCCGCCCTCTGCTTCTCGGATGGGCAGTCCAGTCGGTGTCCGCTTTTCGGGCGCGTCAAACAGATCGAAGACCCGGTCGTTGTAAATCTCATAATAGCTCATGGATACTTCCACCGCGGTGTCGCCGTTACTGTTCTTCTCAATGGCCCGACTCTTTCGGTATATGCTGCTGAGCAACCGCGGAATCATCCCTCGGTCTGCCAGAGACTTCCCACCGCGCATTGTATGTGTCTTGCCAGTACCAGTTGAACCGTACGCAAATATCGTGACATCGTAACCGAGAAAGAGGTGTTTGATTGTCGGAGAGACTACCAGTTGATGTTAGTAGAGGTTGTCGAAAAGATGAGATGGTGCTACCTTCGGCGTCGAAGATCTCCTGCTGCGTGGCATCCTGTCCATACACACTGTTGAACTGAAAGCTGTATTCTTCGGCGAAGTTCTTGGGATTTGGGATCTTGACGACGGTGGGCTTGCCGTCGGGTCCGTTGTGACTGGACACGATCTGGTCTTTGTCGTTCTCAGACTCGAGGAGCGGTCGGATGCGGGCGACAACTCGAACACTCATTTTGACCGTGGTCAGAAGCCTTTTCAGGATGACTTTGTATTGTCGTGATGAATGGATTAATTCCTGGCGCACTTTGCACCGGAGCCTAGAAATCTCAGTCAAGGAAGAGTTGATCCCCCAAGTTTGGTGGCCGCGTTGGGGGGGCAACCACTTCAGGCGCAAATCTCAATCCCTGAATCTTCAGCCTTGCCACCACCAAACATCAACCTCTTCGTAATGCCAGATTCCAGCAACCATACGAGATGGAACAAGTGGGCATTTTCTTTGGTATATGCAGATGCACCAGTCTAGTCACCTATGCTCAGCCGCTGCCTCTTGAGCTATTCTGTCATGCATTGATCAAGTGTTGGACAAGTTCGATATGTCCTTCTGCCGCCGTCTGTAATGCACTCCGTCCTCGGACCTCACAAGGAGGTGCAATCACCTCAGCATTCACCATAATCCGTTAGCTAGCAATATCAATATATCCTCCCTCTACCACTGCTCGAGCATCATCCAGCCACGATGCAGCCCGCAATGCTGTTCGTCTACTCTCTTTAGCGGGCCGAGCATTCACACCGGCGCCAAAAGCTATAAAGATATCGACGACTTCAAGATAGCCTTCTTCGTGGTGCAACTTGGAATGCTGTATCCCGGGTATCGGGGCGCAGATTCACATCAGCCTTGTGTTGCAATAGAACTTCCACAATTTCGCTTGATGGAGGTGTCCCTGTAGTTGCCATTTGAAGTAGTGTCGTGCTTGCACCTTTAGAAGTCCGTTTGATCATCAGGCCATGCCTTGCTCCAACCTCGATTTGCAGGGGTGTCATTCGCCCCAGTGAACCACGCCCAACAACATCAATGTCGGCCCCCTGATTCGATGAGGAACCTTATCTTTTCAATGTTATTGTTTATCACTGCATGGCTAAGGGCAGAGCAACCAACCGGTGTGGCAGCAAAGAACATGTCGCACCCCAGGCATAATTTGAGAAAGTCCCAATTTTCCTCTCCATCTATTGATATATGACGCATCCGAGATCTGTCCATGCCCAAGGCAATCCGAATGTCCCTCCCTAACTGTATTACTTGTTACACAAATTCTAGGATTGTGACTTAGGGCTGTGACCTTGACGGCTTTCCGGTCAATACGCCCTCCAGAGGATACAAGATATGAGATCATTACTCTTGATGAGTAGTATCCGGCTGACTTAATGGCGATTTCAAGGATAGACTGCTTCGTGAAGGGGAGAGCCACGTGACGAGGTCATTGCGAGAGTGTTGACATCGACATCGGAGGAGATAAAAGCCTGAATGAGTTCTCTGTTCCCACACTTTGCTGCGGCGAATAGACCACGCCCTTGATCTACGTCAAACTTGGTCTGATACGCTCCCAGCATTAGACCGAAAGTCTCGTAATCCCTGCGCCTGATGACTGGGGAAAGCATGAGCAACAAACAATATTCCACTGATATATGGATGCGCTGAGCAGCGGCTTCCAGCAGAGTGAAAACCCTTCGTAGAGATCATCCAACATATATTTTGGCCCACAAGCCGCCACACAAGTCGACGTTTGCCGATCAGACCCGGCGCTGCCTTCAAGAGGATTGTGAAAAAGTCAAGGTCTCCGCGTTGAACGGCACTCGTCACTGCGGAATGCAAATACCCCCTCAGGACGCCAGTCTTCTCTGGGCCAGAAGCCGACTGAGGACCACGTATCGCACTCAAGAGCTATTTCACATACCAAAAGTCCAAACCTGTCCATGTTCATAACTCCCAGCAACGTCATGCCGCCAAACATATCGTGCCTCAATGCTCCTTACAAACCAAGCAGGGCCCCAGTCGGGATCACGTTCGACGGACTCGACTGCTCCACTGACGTCGTGACCCGTCCCTTGTAGTATCTGCTTCCGATCAGTATTCGTTCCACCCCGGTCGCATAATCCTTGACATTCGAACCCGCGGCTTCGGCCTCAGATCGCACACGCTCATTGTCGCCGATAGTTCTGGCACGGTGGGCTTCGTTCTTATGATTGTTCGGCGTGCTTCCGCTCCGGATGATTTCGTCACAATCCTTCAGGTACGAGTCTAGGAACGAGGTATCTTGTGGAGAGAATGAACCAGATCTGCCGGATGAAATTTTAAAGGAAAGAAAGAAGAAGAATACTCGTGGGAGAAGGAAGGTTCTAGCGCTTGGTACGATCGTGGTGACGGAGAGGGCTTAAGATACGATAGTGTTGGAAACGTAGTTGGGTTTGTTCGCAAAGAAGGGATATGGAAAGGGAAAAGGCAAGCCATTCTCATTTGCTCCTGCATTTTGTATACTCTCGAAGACATTTCACCTGAACTCGCTGTTTGCAAGAGTGATTGGGACGTCCGTAGGTGATTCGTGACAAAGAGCCGTGAGGGGGCATGGTAAAAAAAAAGATAAAAAAACCACACTCATGAGATTCCCTGAGGGTATGAGCGAATAGGTAGGGTGAGAGGAATAAGGATAACAAAAAGGAAACGAGACTGGCAAGTAATGAAATGTTAGTGTTGAGGGCGTCTAGCGGCCATGCGGACAGCTTACTCATGATGTGGCAAGCAGAGAGAAAGAGTTTGCGAGCTCAACTTGCAGTCGACTTGACTGTAATGAGTGGTGAGCAAATGGGCATGAAGGCTAAGAGTAAAAAGAGGGTAATGTCATGGTCAAGGTGCAGGTTACCGTCTCCAATTGCAAGAAGCTGATGGATTGCTGGGTTTTGTGGTGCCTGGCAGCCAGATTGGGTTTGGTACCAAACAGCTTGTCTGAGTTTGTCTCTCCTCTGGAAAAGAGTTTCTCCGACTCCGTGGTCACGAATACGCTCTGCCTGGGTCCCATCCGTGCATGGCGCCGTACCGGTTGCCCCAAGCCACGGGGCCACCAACACGCAACAGCTCATGACCAGGTCATGTTCACGCCGCGTCGTGGTCGGCTCCCATTGACCGACCTTGGGAATCCTTGAATGAACCACACCACGTCCACGTCTGTCCTCGGGTACCTGCACATCTTTGCAGCCCAATTTACATCTACTGTAACATTGGTCTGATGCTCAGCCATATATACCGCTCCTTGAACGCGATACTTCACCTCGCCTTTCCTGCGTAGCCCAAGTTTGAGCTAAACCTTTAATCTCCATCTCAAAATAAACAATACCGTATAAGCCCGCACGAACCTTGAGCATCTTCTTCTCTGAGCATTCGAACCAAACAACCGCCCGAATTCATTTTATACCGGACGACAACATCTCAAACGACAGACGCCCTGGGCATTCGGTGTCCAGTGCATTTACGTTCCCCTCCCTTTTTCTCCCCACATTCCCTAAACCTGCAATGGCGACCGAGGTGGTCTACCGCGAAACCCGCCGGCGGTACAGGTGGCCCGAAGTACAACTGAACCTGTGGATATTTGTTGTCCTTGCGGGAGCCGCGACGGTATTGGGTATCAATGCGTGGTTTATATCGGTGCAGAATCAGTTACGGATCGGTGTACCTTGGTACGTACGTCCCTAATCATACGCACAGTCCTGCATGTCGCGGTCCAAACTCCATCATGCAAAGGACCTTGAGATAACACTTCTTAACATGTCTAATTGACAGGCTGTTCACCTTTGCCGTCGTCGCCGGCGGCCTTACGATTCTTTTCCTGATCATCATCCTCATCCTCGCAGCCCGCCGACTGTTGATCCCCGGCGGTATCCTGTTAGGCTCATTCATCCTATTCGTGCTCTGGGTGACGACGCTCATCGAAACCGCCATCCAACTCTACGGCGAAGGCAACGTCAACAGCAACTGCAACAACTATGTCACGGGCCAAGAATATACGGGTGTCTCGATAGAGACGTTAGCATGGCTGACGCAGGATAATATCTGTTCGTGTTGGAAAGCTTCGTTCGCCTGGTCGATTATATTAGCGGTGTTGTTTCTGTGGATGATGATATTGTCCTGGCAAGTGCAGAATTATGATGACTGAAAAGAGAAGGGGGGAAACAAGCAAAGACCCAGGTCTTTCAGAATGGGCTTGGTTATGCATATTGATGTTGATGAGAGGTGTTTAATGTGATATTTGAACATATATATGGACGGTCATGCATTCATGGGATCACGTTTGATTTCGAACATCAGCTTTGGTTAGGAGACATTGGCGCATATCTTGCACGGAGTTGGATATGGAGGAACTATTTATCTGTCTTGTTTTCGGCTGCTTGGCATGTGGACCATGAACCTTTTGGGAGATGATTGGCGAGAGTGGAACGGTTGTCAGCAAATGGTACATCAAGCAATCAACTGTGCTGTCTTACCTGGATGCCGAATGGGGTACAGAGCATTATGTATATCCCTAAGTCAAAAAGAGCCCAGTGTGCATAGAGTGAGCCTTCAAACTTCCCAGTGAATATGCGTAACCTTCTCCCGCCGACTCATTTAGTGCTTGCGGGTCAAGTTTGGGGATTTTCCTACCAACAGCATTGTCGGATAGTTCGGCGGCCAAGGCTGATGTGCGAAAGGCTGAGGCCTCCTTATCCGATGCACGATCTACTGTACTATCATGCAGGCCGGCTATCGCCTCGGGCGCAAAACGGTTTTCCATCATGCCTCATTATCAGGGGAGCAATCTGTTGAGGAGAATGATGCATCCCAAACACATTTATTCGCTCGAGGGAAGACATGCAACAACAGTTCCTTTCGGAAAGGGGCATTGTCCGTCAATAATCCTCGATGTCATTCCTTCATAAACTCAACAATTCTCTCACTCATAAATTGGGCATCGTTCGGATTCGCGCCTCCCCCAGCAATATGTCCCCACGAGCTCTCAATCACATTCAACGTGCCGTGTTTCAGGGTCTTCATCTCAATCTCCGAATCTTCAGGTGGGAAATACTGATCCGTCCGACACGGCATAAGAAGGACCTTGGCTTTGATGCTCTCTAGTGCTTTAGTATATGCGGCGTCGTCCGGGACTTGGCCGCCTAGTTGGCTTAACGTTTTCGTGTCTGGGTCAGGGATGACCGTCCCAATATCGCCCATCTGCCACATGCGCGCGAGAACCAGCAAGTCATCGGCGTCCCATGTCATATAGCCTTCTTCGCGCCAGCGCATCCACTGTTCGACGCTGTCGGCTTGGATATCGCCCTGGGTGAATTCTCGGTCGCGGAACCATTGGGCACTGGTCAGCCAGGCACCATACGCGCGGGCGAAGGCGGCAAGGCCCTTTTTCGGCACAACTTCCTTGAGATTTGCGCCCACTTGCTCGCCCCGTGCGGCTTTGGCCTTCATGGCACGCCAGGCGATGTAGTCGATGGACGAAGTTAGGGCGGCAATTGGTCCTTCGAGAAATGCGTAGTTGTGCAGGCTTGTACGGGCGGAGGAACAGATGGAGACAATCCGCCTGACGAAATCCGGGTACATGACGGCCCAGTGGTACGCTTGTTGGCCACCCATGGAGAAGCCGATAACGGCTTCTAGCGAGGTGATTTTCAGGTGTTCTGTGAGGAGGTGGTGTTGGGCCCCGACAACGTCTTGGTATCGAAGCTCGCCGGCTTCGGGAAAGAAAGGTTTGTTAGACGGGGAGGAACTCTCGCCGTTGCCGAGCATGGCGACAACGACGACATGGTATGCGGCTAAGGCGTCAAAGGGGGGTCGGGTGAATGTTAGGGTCGTGTTGATGAGGCCACCGTAGCAGGTGGGGATGAGAACTACGCCAGCGCTCGAGGAGGCGTTGTAGCTGCGGTAGGCGACGCGGACGTCGTGGAGGGTTGTTCCACTGGAGAAAGAGAAGTCTGGGATCTCGTAGTATTCGATTCCAGTCGGGTCGTAGGGGGCTGGAGGTGGCATGGTTATATGTCCTCCGGGGGGGAGGGCGCTGAAACTTGGGAAAGTGTGGTATGGTAGGGAAGGCTTGTGAGGTAGCTTGAACTTGAAGATCCAGCTGTCTTGACAAGTCCTAACTGTTACTGTAGGTCGAAGACACTGTCGCGGGGTGGAGCTCGATCGGGGGGATCCAGTGCCCGTCAACACTCAGATGAACAATGGCACGGATAAGGATGTTCCAAATACGGCTCGCCAATTCAAGATTCGGAATTCGAACCGGTAAAGTAAAATGGACCGGCACTCAGTCTTCCATCCGTTCTTCAGATTTGGTGATCAATGGGCTGAGAGTGTGTGAGATTCTGGAGTCGATGATGGGATGGACAGATGGAAATTGCCGCTCTTCTCCGTGGCGATTACTAGATGGACATATGGCAGCAGAATAAATGCCCCCGTCTTTTACCTCAGAAGGGAGACCAACGAACAACCCGAGTAAGATTCTCTGCTGCTCTGCAATTATCATTTCGTCAAGTCGTGATGCTAAACAAACTCCCAACAGTGCAAGAATTTGAATCCCAACCAAGAGAAGATGCGACGCCCCACGCCCCACGCCCACGCCATGCTGGTCATCCCCAAGACAGTAACAGACAATATATTAGATGCGTTCGCAAGAGCCATTCCATTATATCTCAAGAATCCTAATTCTGGAACGAGGTTTCGTTTGTCTGGCCCGAATCAATCTCAATTCTTGACCAATGAGTTTGGCATCTCTCCATCGTTCTTCCATGTTGCTCATGCGAATGGCAGCGATAACAGCAAACACCCCAGCTCGGAACTTTTGAACGGGGTTCAACTTGACCTCGTACTTGCGCTGGTCCAACGAAACACCCATCTCCCCGAGAATGCGAAGATCAACCTGGTTGCTATCACTTGTCAGTATAGTACGCCATACGAAAAGGAAGCTAACAGCACATACCATTGAACTCTCATCACTTCACCTTGCTCGAGAAATGATTTGCTCCAAGCAAGATCCTTTCTTAGGCGTTCTTCTCGCTTGCATTTGGCTTTCAACCACATGATCTCTTTGATCAGCCCTTTGATCTCTTTCTCTCTGATCTCGTCTTTGCTTGATTTTCCCGAAGTCAACTTCTCGAGCATGTTTACATATTTGCTCTGCAAGACCTCCAACTCATTTTCCACGGCTTCAGCCTTCGTATTCGCAATGCTTCGTTCTTCGCGCAGACGTCGGAGTTGATGTTTCATCTCACGAGCTTCACCATCGCGAACAGAGAGACGCATCGATAAGTCATTGACTTCTGCTTGTTCTTCTCTCAGCAATCTGATTTGAGCTTTGAGATCGTTGATCTGTCCGTCACGTTTGCGAATCTCCGAGGACATATGGTGTGCCCCATCATTTTCCTCGCGGAGACGATTCAGTTCCTCTCGCAAATCATGTACAAGATCATTTTGCTCGGCAAGTCGGGCGTTCAGGCTTTCGGCTTCCGCTCTTCCACTCTTGACTTGGGTTTGCAGATCAACGAGCTCATGCTCATCTGTGGAAGCTCTTCGGACTGCCCGTTTCAGATCTCGATTCTCGGAACTTAGAACTTGGACTTCAGCTCGCGCATCAACAAGATCCTGTCGAAGTTTGGCCATCTCTTTCGAGTGTGATGGAGGAGGGGAGATCGACGGGGACTTGGATTTGTATTGGGCAATTTTGGCCTGGTGCAATTCCCGCTCTAGATCGTTGACACGCATTTTCAAGTCTCGATTAGTTGTCTTTAATTCAATCTCTCGCTTGGTTGATGTCGCTTCATTCTGCCTTGCTTCGTTCAGATTACGCCGCAGTCCTGAAATATCACTAGCTGGTTCGCCAGCTAACTTGGATGGATTGTCTAGCATCTCCTCCAGGTCTTTGACTCGAGCCTCCAACCGAGAGGCTTTGTTCCGTGCCGACGTCAATTCTCGATCTCTGTTCTCAGAAGCGGAGATTTTTTGATTGCGCAGTGAATCGATTTCAGCGTTCAATCGGTTCTCTTCCTCGGCGTTTCGTTCAAGTTCCGCGTGGATGTCGTCCTCAAGTGCCTGGTTGGCTTTGGCCAGATTATCGCGCTCAGTTATCAGCCGTGCAACCTCACTCTCAAGCTTGAGCCTGAGACGCTTCAACTCGCGTTTCTCCTGATCTACACTGCAAGTGTCATCGTTGGGCTTCTGCGCCGACTGGAGTTTCGCTTCGAGGGAATCTCGATCTTGTTCAGCAGAATTCAGGGCTGTTCTCACATTCTGCAGGTCCAGTCTGACATTCGCTAGCTCTTCCTGCAACGATTGCTTTTCTAGACCCGTTTTCAGAATCTGAGCATCAGCATTGCTGGAGTACTTTTGTTGTTGTTTCTCTGCAAGTTGATGCTCTTGCTCGATGTCTGCTTGCAGCACTTCAATCTCTTCCTCCAATTCCGACACCTTTTCTTTCAGTGCCGCCTGTTCTCGAATGGAAATCCTTAGCTCCTCTTTAGCATTGTTCAACTCCATTCGACTTTCGTCGGAAGCAGTTCGTTTGGCCAGAAGGTCTTGCTGGAGCTCGTTAATCTGTTTGGAAAGGACCTTTTCTTCTTGTTGATGACGCTGCTTCTCACTCTCGAGCGCTTCTTGTAACTTCATTTCACGTCCTGAAAGTGTGCCTTGAGCGTCTTGAAGCTTATCCACAGTCCGTTGCAACCCTGTGGCCTTTTCTTCGGCCCTTTGGGAGGCTGCTTCCAATGCTCGTCTCTGCGCTTCCCATTCTTCCAGGTCAGCTTCATGATCGCTCTGCTTCGAGTTGACCTCACGATGTAGTCCATCGATTTGTTCGTGCAGGAGATCAGTTTCACTCCTATGCTGTGATCTCAATATGCTATCATGGTGTGCAGCACGTTGTTTTTCCTCCTCGAGCAGACTCTCAAGATCTTGAATCGCCTTTTGGGCCTTGCCGAGGTCTTTTTGCAGCTCTGCAGACTCCTTTGTCAAAGCATCGTGACGGGTCTGAAGCAGATCTTTTTCGTCAACCTTGATTTGTAGTTCTCGCTCGGTCGACTCCAATTGTTTCGTCATATTAGCCAGCTTCCGCTCAAGCGCATCACGCTGTTGATGTAAAAGATTCGTTTCTTGTCGCAGCTTGCGGAGTTCGGACCCCCCTTCCCTCTCTAACTCACGAATTCTTTCCCGAAGCTGCCGCTCCGAGTCTGATTTCTCCCGTAGCTCGCCTCGGACAGCATCATGTTGCTCCTTCAGCTCCTGAAAATCGTCTTCTAGCTTATTTGCTTTCTCCTCCAGCTGTCTGCTCAGTCCCTTGGTTGTGAATGATTTATTGGCCATTTCATCACGAAGCTCATCCAGATCTTCTTCAGCTTTCCGTTTCTCGTTAAAAGCCTCTTCTCGATCTTCCTTTGCCTCTTGCACCTCTGACCGGGCTCTTTCTAAGCTCTGTTTGAGGTCTTCAATTTCTTGCCTGGCAGATTCTAGCTCATCTTCAATCTCCGCAGCGTCCCTGGATTCTTTGCTGGCCTTCAATTGGAGTTCGTCGATCTGGTCGTCTCGCTCGCCAACGGCCCGGTCCTTTTCCCGAAGGTCGGCCTGCAAGTCCTCAATCTCGTGTTTGAGCTTCCTGATGGTCGAACTTTCTTCATCTGCGGCGTGGTCTTTTTCATTTTCCAACTGCCGAATCTCTTTGTCTTTGGCTTTAACTTCCGACCGAAGGTTCTCGAGTTCAGCACGAACACTTTCGTCCACCTGTTTCCGTCTGATTCGTTCTCTAAACTCTTCAAGTTGTAGCCTGTAGACCTCGGCGTCTCGCTCAGCTTGGGCAATGTTCTTCTTGAATTTGTGGAGTTCGCGCTGCATTGTAATTCGATTCACTTTCAGGTCGGTATTTTCTTTGAGCGCTGCTTGGTTGAATTCATTCCCTCGCTTCGACAAAGCGTCTTCTAAGAAGTGTATTTTCATCTTCAAGCCAAAATTCTCTTTCTCAATCTTGTCAATGATATTTTCTTGTTCACGCAATGTCATCATGTTCCCGTCGCTAACGAGCCCAGCTGCATCGCGTCCAGGGAGTTGAACTAGGGGGGTGCCCAGCGCACTACTGCTAACCTGCTGAGGTATTGGAGTGTAGTCGTTGGCATTACCGGCCGAGCTAGAGGTGTTTTCGGTCTCGACCTGCGATAGGTCGCTGAGTCTAGGAAGCTTGGGATCGTAGCCATCTCTGAGGTACGCAGGCGTACCAGAGGCGCTTACTTTCTTTCCGGAAAGACGACGCGCAATGTTGTTCTTCGTTGCACTCTTCATGAATGGTGTAAATTCCGGTCGACCTCGGTTGCCGTTAGGTAGGAGGCGCAGGGGGTCTCGGGACCCGGATCGGGGGGATTTGAGGTTCATTCCATGACTTTTCATTTGGCCGACAATATCATTCTTCTGTGAAGGCGGAAGAAACGACTTCTCTGGCGATATCTCATCCAGTCGATCATGCCCAGTGGTAAAATATGAGGCGTTGTTTGTTTGCGGTGTATTGATATATCCAGCCATGATGAGCGGGTAAACGCCTCAGAGTCCGCTCTGATTCAGTGAAGCGTCCTCAAATTAGCCAAAGCAATAACAAGATCAGCTGCTAAACATCCTGTTTGCTGTCAATCCAAGGCGATGTGATGCAGACTTTGTTTTCATTGTGGCTCAAAGAGGAATGGCGCGGCTGTCGAATAGTCTAGTCCCAACATGTATTAGCGCGTAATCAAGGCTTGGCGCTGCGAGGTTGTACTTGTAGTCTCAGAGGTCGTCGAGGTCAGTGCCGGGTACAGCCCAGGCCAACCAGGAAGGGCAGGACCGAAAGGAAGACATTGCTGATAGTGCAGTGCAAGTTTCGCCGCATCTCATTTCGTGGTCTCAAACTCCAAAGCACACATCATTTTCATTGCCATCCGTCCTGACGACACCCTTGATCGATAATAGGAATTATGCCTCCGACTGATGAAGACCTTACTTGGTTCCGTTCTACCTTCCACCCTATCCCGAAACCTGCATTACCAGACGATTGCATCGAATACTCCCTCTACATAATTTCATCCTCACTCGATACGAGCCATGATTCGGAACTACGATTACGGTTGCGAGAGATACAACAGTATGCTACAGATTTGTATCGGCAGTATCTACAAGACTATATATGGCAACGCCAAGGGTTCTCTCTCGAAACACGGAAAGAGGATGGTGAGGTCTGTAAATATGTAAAGAGGACAGCCGAGAATGATCTAACTTGAGGCCATAGGACTGAGTTTCTTACGCGGTCGGACTGAATATGGCGACTCTGTGGAAGACGAATGGGTCATCGTCTGGCTCCTGCGGGAACTGACCCGCAAGTTCGATGATCTCTGGATCAAGGTCATTGACAGCGATGGCGAATTTCTCCTGATTGAGGCGTCAGGCACTTTACCGAGCTGGTTGGAACCCGAAGTCGCGGAGAATCGCGTATGGATCAACAATGGGCAGTTGAAGATCATAAAACCTGCAAGTGGCTCAAGAAGCGCCAAGCGAACCGAGGAGAAGTTATCTGTCCAGCAAGCAAGGGAAATACTACTACAAGAACCGAAAAGGCTGATGCATTCGACAAGTATGGAGGAGGAAGCATTCTTCAGGCTCCGGAACTATCCCTCCCAGATCGCAGGAAATATGCATCACGCAATAATCACTGTACCACGAAAGGTGGCGTTCCTCCTGCATCAGAAATCAGCCTATATTGCACCAGCTGTCGAAGCATTCTATCTCCGAGATCCTATTGCACTCAAGCCACTACAGTCCAAAGAGCATATGAACAAATTGGTCTTTCCACCGCGAGATTTTGTGACCATCAGCGTCAAGTTCCCTCGTGTGGCCTATGCTCAGGTCAAGTCACAAAATTTCCCCGCACCGGCTGTTTTCGCAGGTGCTATGCCGTCAAGGGCGGACTTTGAAGCCTATGTTCGAGCTGAAGCTGGCATGAAAGTGACATGTGGGTTTGAGATGTCAGTGTCGGATCCTCAATACCAGGATCGACCGGTAGTGAGAGAGATGAAGATCCTGTTGGAAGATTTGGAGTCAGGGGACGAAACATTGCCATCGGATGCTGACATTGAAAAATGGGATCGGCGAGAAGACGATGAAAAGTGGCTGGATATCAGCTTTGATGACCTCGAAAAGGAGTTAGGCGGCCAAAAGGGTCAGGCTGGGATGGACAAGAAACCTGGCTTCGGAGACAAGGCCGCTCTGGAGAACTTACAGAGGATTGTGAAACAATTCGAAGAGTTTCTGAACGATGACAAAGCCGGCCCGGATGGTGCAGGATTATTTGACGAAAATAGTGATGATGATCTCGACGATGATGATGATGACGACGACGACGATGATGGTGAAGATAAAGATGCGAGTTTTACTGAGGATGAATTTACGAAGATGATGCAAGAGATGATGGGCATGCCACCTGAGGTCATGAAGGAAATCATGACGGGCAAACTTGGCCCTGGGGCTCAAGATCCTGCGATTCGGTCTACGTTGCGCTCACCGCCTCATGGGATAGGCCTCATCGAAGACGTGGAGGGCTCGGAATCCGAAGGGGATGGCAATGATATGCAAACGTGCACGAGGCAGATGGAAGCAGAGCTGCGAGACACAGGCGTGCTAGATCTAGGAGACGGTCCTAGGTCTTCATCAGACAAGCGCCTCACTGCGAAAGAGACACCGATCAACCACGCCAAGCAAAGTGGTGGTGATGATGCCGACGACACATACGAATTGTCTAATGACGAAATAGACAACGAAATTGACGTCAGTTTAGCGAAGAATTTGCTTGAGAGCCTCAAGGCGCAGGCTGGTACAGCTGGACCCGGTAGCAACCTCATGGGCTTGATGGGTCTGGGGATGCCGAGAGATGAGTCGAACGAAGGCGATGATGGTCAACCAGGCGCCAGTGGGACTGTGAGAGCTGGTGGAAGTAAAAAGGTGGTTGGGGGCGAGGGTGGAGACGATGAACAGCTGAAATAAGCGTCTAATCTGTACTAATATCAATGCACCATATGTACCGGTGTATGAGAACAACATCTACATCAATCCCATCAAAGCTGCAAATCAGTGCCCATGCCTACCCTTTACAACACCATATGCGCCACCTCCCTTGCTAAACATCTCCCTCACATCCGCCACAATGTCCATCGGGCGCTCCCATGCCGCAAAGTGACCACCCGACGCATGCTCCTTCTCGAAAACACACTGTCCTACCGTCCTCGTCCACGTACTTGGAAGAACGTGAATATCGCGGGGGAAATGGCTACTACCAATCTTGACCCGGGATTGCCACTCTCGGATCTTTTCTCTACTGATTCTGGTTCCCCATGGTCCATTACGGCCTATTTCATAATATATCCTACAACTCGCAGCAGGACCGGCGGTGCTGAACCAGTAGATGCTGACCCAAGTGCAGATCTCCTCGTCGGTCCAATTGTGAAGTTTCTCGTAAATCCAGGATAGGAGAGCCACAGGGCTGTCGGCCAACGCGTAGCCTAGAGTCTGTGGTGTCGTGGACTGGAGCAGGTTATATCCGAAGCCTTCTTTGTCGAACCATTCGTTGCGTGGGAGTCCTTGCTTTTCTCTGGGTGACAAGGGCCGGAAGGCAGCCTCGAGAGCAAGCAGCGGGTTCTTGAGGAGTGCTGGTTTCGTGCCCACGTCCATGTTGAAGTGCGTGGCTTTGCAGTGATCGGGGTAGAGCAAAGATATTGCTCGCGTAATGTAGTATCCCCAATCACCTAAATCTCGTTGTCAACATGCACTAGCTTATAGAGAGGCGCATCAACTTACCGCCCTGGGTGACGTATTGATTGTAACCCAAGCGCATCATGAGTTTATGCAGTGTCTCTGCATACTGCTCAATCGAGAATCCTCGTTTCTTGGTTCCCTCCGAGAAGCCATAATTAGGCAGAGACGAGGCAACCACATCAAATGCGACACTGCTCTCCGAGGTTAGAGGACCGATCACTTTTGTAACCCCGAGATAGCTTCCAGGCCGGCCATGAACGAAGAGCAGTGGGATTGCTCCCTTTACACTCGACTTCTTGTGCAGGAAATGGATTTTTAGCCTTTCATAACCTTCGCACTGGATCGACGTGACAAAATGGGGGAGTTGATTTAGTTTCTCCTCTGCTTCGCGCCAGTTGAAGTCTTGACGCAAGAATTTAGTCAATCTCTGAATATCGACAAGCGGTGCTCCCATGTCCCATTCCGCCGCGTCCAATTCATCCGGGAATCTCGCATGATCGAGCTTGGTGTTCAATTCACGAATTCGAGATTGGGGAATGGATATCTGATGTGATTCAACGGGAGAAGACATGGTGCAACACTGGTGTGCGAATGATCTTGCAGTTTCAAGGCACTTGCGCGATTCTCATACGCACATACCGAAAGGCCTAGCAAGATCATGGCCATTTATATATGCTACGACATGAACTTACCTGGGTATACGGGCTGTCATGAAAATTCATATCTTGGTGGCTTTGAAATTAAATGTCGCCAGTGCTCACGCGCGATGTCAGTCAGCTGTTCAATAGTAAAGGTCGACGGGGATTCTGCGTCTGCGCCAGCAGAAGGGAAGTGATGGTACCTAGAATAGCGTTCACCACGAAATCGTCCTTGCACCGAACAGCTCCGATAACATTTGGTTGAAGCGAACCGAAGAGTTTGATCGGCGGCCAGCTTTCGGGCGAGCCTTGTGGGAAGGGAATTGAAACATCGTGCTCGGGAGACCTTCCAATGTTGTCGCCCCACTATGAATGAGTGCCGCCTGCCTTGTCGCCTAAACTCGGGATTATCGTTTCTCGACTTGTGATGCCAGCGCCCGACACGATGAGAGAGATTCACTCACTCCTTCAGACTGCGCGGCCTTGCGTTCGTTTATGTGCACTAGAACCAGGCTATATCACTACTTACAAGTCTCGCAGAGGCGATTCTCGACCATCGACACTGGTTAATTCATTCACATTCTACCCACCTGTGCCTCTGTATCCCTCCAAGCCTGCTTTCGATAATCCACTTTCTTTGATGCGCGATGTCAATTCATAGCGGGGCCTTGGGCTCCCTTCATCCACCTCGAAATGTCCAGCAGATCACCAAAGCTGCTCAAGACTACGAATATGATGCTAATATTCCTCTCCGCTACTGGCTGCGATCCGCTCTGGCCATGCTGAAAGAGGTTGGTTAGATATGTTCCACAATCCCCGGTCCAACATTGACACGATGTGCAGGCAGGGATATATATGCGTGAAGGCGACGAAGAAACAACATATCTCCTCCTCTTCCGACATGCCCACCTCATTCTCTCTCAATTGCCAGCCCATCCACAGGCACGAGACAAGGCGAATAAGTTATTTTTGAAGGAGGCGGAAAAGGAAGTCAACAGGAACTTCGAAGTTCTTGACCTGCTAAAGCCTCGGATTAACGAGAGATACGATCAACATATAAAACTGGTAAAAGAGAGAGAAGCGAGAAGTCCTCAACTTCCGGACCAGTCTTCTATCTCATATCCGACTCGACAGCCAGCACTAGAACAAAGAACGCAACCACTCCAAGCACATGAACACAAGGACCTAGCAGTGAGAATAGCCCAGAAAGAAATATCGAGAAGGGCCGCAAATCGACAAGCCGCGTGGCCCTCGGGCGGCGATGTGGATGACCTTTCGCGGAGACTTCAAGAAATTCGGGCTCGCGTTGAGAGAGCCACGTTGGATACGGACAGTCGGACCCGGGCACCGTCAGCCAGCAGCTTGAGTTTCCACTATCCTAGAATCCCTTCACATCAAGCTCAGCCAGTGCTGATTCCTCCCGTGCCGCCCACACCACGTCGTGAGGTCCCGAGACATATTATTCCGCTATCTCCCCCAGCAGTTCCTCCCAAACCTGATATTGAGGTGACCGCACCACCAGCTCGGCCAGAAAAGGTGTCGGAGAAACTAGCGTCAAGGTCAGCAACGCCCGAACCGGTACATATTTTCGCTCCGGCTGCGTATCTCGAAAACGGTACTCCGCTACGCACAGTTTTCTTACCACCAACATTACGAACGACGTTCCTGCGAATTGCCCACAAGAACACACTGGCGAACTTGGAAACTTGTGGATTTCTCGGAGGCACGCTGATTGCAAACGCTTTTTTCATCAGCCGGCTGATTATTCCCTCACAAACGGCCACTTCGGATACTTGTGAGATGACGAATGAATCACAACTTTTCGATTATGTGGATTCAGAAGACCTCATGATCCTGGGTTGGATCCATACTCACCCTAGTCAGACTTGCTTTATGAGCAGCCGAGACCTGCACACCCATGCAGGATATCAAATGATGTTGGCTGAGAGCGTGGCTATTGTATGCGCACCGAGTAAAGGAGACACGACACACGGTGGGGACTGGGGAGTTTATCGGTTGACGGATCCTCCAGGAAAGAGAACTATTCTTAGTTGTGATCAACCAGGTATCTTTCACCCTCACGACGTTGAAAATGTTTACACGGACGCGCTTCGACCGGGACACGTAGTTGAGGCTAAAGGAATGGAGTTTGAGGTGGTGGACCTCAGAGACAAGTGACGACGGATGGAAGATAGTGTTCGTGAGGCCGTCCTAATTGGGATTCCGTGGTCGGACATTCTGCCAACTGTGACCAGGGCCCGGGCTCGGGAGATTCAACAACAGCATGAGCATGGCGTTTGAGGGTTTAATTTAATGATATGAAATCGAAGACGCAAGCAAGCACATGGCTTGGAATAGCCCCAATCTTGGGATCCACGATTCATCCGATGAGCTGCTATCATTGAATATTTTGCTCATTTTAGTGTTGACCTTGTTCTAGAATTAATCATGTGTGGCTTCTTCCGTCGGGTTGTGGCAGAATGCCCGAATCTGCCTTGTGTTGCGTAATTACTGTGTATTTACTCTTCGGTATTGTGCCACATGGGCTTTGTTATCTAGCGAGATCACACGACTTGCAAGCCACAAAGCACCCGTCAATTGCTTCTTCAGAAAGAGCCACCGAATCTATCCGTGACCCTTGCTGGGTAGATTCATCGAGAAGGACCAGAGACAACGGTACGCATATGTGAAGCAGTCGACTTGTCTCATTGTGCTTGATGGCGTACGCCATTGGAGCGCTATCCGAACGGCACCCGGCGATTGGAACTCGGTGAGGAGCAGTAGAATTGACGAACAAATCAGAAGGAAGCTCTGTACCAAGTCAATTGGTGCCGACACCAATGCAGGAACAGATGCGTGGGTGCCTTGGGAGGATGCTGATCTTGGAAACGTCACCCCAAGTAGAGTTTTCTCAAGTCAAGCGTTGCAGGCAGTCCCGACAGAAGCATAAGTCGACTGATATTTCAGAAAGGAGTCGGCGATAGTTCTTCTTGATAACGAAGCGAGAGAATTGTACTGTACCAAATTAGAAGTAAGCGTCGAGGCAGCAGCAAAGGTCCCCTAGGAAATGCTGCACGCAGGAGCGAGCTCGCAGATTGGACAAGGAGAGGGGATGTGAACTTTACAGGGGTGGCTGCTTCGGGATGCAGGAAAGCGGTACCTGGCTAAGGAGGAGACCGGCCCACGCCTAGAGAGCGCCTAAACCGCCCCCTCGACCAACACGGTTAGGCGTTACCCGTGCTTTTCCAAATGTGTCTCTAGGCTGTCTGAAACCAATTTCCGACTGCGCCTGCGCCTCCTCTGTTTCTTCCTGTCCCCGGCATCCAAGCACGCTGAATGCCAAAAGCCAAAAGCCAAACTCCACCAAACAAATTCTACGGCATCTGATCTTGGAAAAGTTAAATTGACCTCCCCTGCTCCAGAAAGCTGACTGAATTGGGCCCTCTTTTCGCAGGCTAGTCCAAAAGAAGCCCAAGTCTTCTCCAGTGTGTCCATAGCGCGGTTGGTCCCCCTCAGTCCCTTTACCCTGTGGTCTGCTATCCCACTGCGGCCGACAAGTCCACTTTTGTTTTCTCTCTCCAGAGTGTCAAGGTCTTTCTCTCCTCCACCCAACCTGTCCTACACACTCACTCTCTCGCTCCCATCTCATTCCTTTCAGCAAAAACCTGAATTTCCATCACATCGCCATCGAGGCAAGCATACAACTCCAATACTACCTGTTGACGACGACATCGTGTCATTCAGTTCCTCCTTACTGTTTTCGTCCTTCTCAGGGGCCTCTGTGTCGACTTTGAAACAACACACATTCTCAGCCAAGATCGATTAGCTTCGACTCCTCAACCCAACCCTGACCTTCTCGACTCTACGACTCTAGAAAAACATTCCATGTATATCCTGTCATCCCGTAACTGAGGGTGGACAAAAGAGCAAGGAATCAGCAGTGCGGGTCGCTGCCGTGAAGGTGACAAAGAAAATCGCCTTCTTGTGCACTCCTTCACCTGTCGTGCAAGGTGACGCAGCCAAAATCACGACTTCGTTTAATCTGAACAACTTGGACTCCTATCCTCACATCAGCCTCGACATTGAATGAGGTACACGGCATAGCCAGTGCGATTGCGAGGTCCAGATCATCGCGCACCCTGGCACACTCAGCTTAACTCGCTCCCTCTCCACTCCAAGGCACGAAAGACTAGACAAAGATGACTCGATCACTGCTGCGTGCCGTTGCTCTGACTTCGGCTCTTGCCCTTCTGGCTGCACCAGCTACTGCTCAATCGACAACCACGGCAACCACAGCACCCAAATCCATTACCACTCTCGGCTGCTACCAACATCCAGACCCTCTTGTTGAACAAGGCGACTACACATTCCAAACGTCGGGATACTGTCAATCACAATGTGTAGCGATGAACAAAGCTGTCATGGCCATAACAGGAGGCTCAACATGCTATTGCGGTGATGAACTACCCTCTTTGGATCAAGAAGTCTCGGATGATAAGTGCGACTCTCCTTGTAATGGTTACGACCAAGAAAATTGTGGTGGTTTGGGCTTTTGGCAAGTCTACCTCACTGGTTTGACGGCGGATGTCGAGACTGCCCCCAACAGTACCACCGTCTCCGTTATTCCTACTCCAGCACAAACTGCTCAAAGCTCCGCTTCTACAAAACCTTCGGTGATCACCAAAGCTGGCGAGACTGTCGTGGTAACAGCTTCAGCTGCTGCCAACACTGCGGAGCCTAGCAGCTCATCTGGTTCATCCGGGGGCCCTAGCGTAGTTGGAATCGCCGTCGGCGTGGTGGTAGGAGTTATTGGTCTCGCTACCATCATTGGTGGTATCCTATTTTACTTGAGACGCCGAAGAAACCGAGAGATCGAGGAAGAACATCGTCGCAATGCTGCAGTGAGCTCATTTGTTGGGTCACAAAAATCAGACAAGTCTTCCACAGACCAACGACTTGACCCGTCGATCTATTCGCATCGCCGACAAAGTATTGGTAGCATCGCCGATGAACGAGACTTCTCAAGGAGGATATTACAGGTGCGTTGATCAGTGTGAAGAGCAATGGCGCAAGATATTTAACAGATGTTGCTAGGTGCGGAATCCGGATCGGGACTCAAAATCGTCGAATTTGGCATAGTCTATTGGAGCAATGATTTTGCAGGTGATGTCAGGCCGTCACTGCTCTGAAGTCTCCTGTTTTTATCCTGGCAATTGTTCCGGCTTCCCATGGCTCGGTCGATCCGAATCTCTCCGCCATGTAACGATTTCTCGACGACCTGCCTCAACCGCAACCTCGCTCCTTTGAATACAATGCCCTCACTGGTTCTCACCCCATTTCAGCACTCCAATGGAAATGATGACGGTCCTTACTCCTACACCCTAGTTCCTTTTCTTGTCTTTCCTTTACTGTGTTTTAGATCAGCAATATCACGCTCCTTACTGGTGGTTGAGGCATAGCTATGGTGTTGGTGGCCTGAATGTGCATATGTGGACTTCTCTCTTTCGGTCTTTGGGGAAGGGGATGGGAAGGAACATAGAAGATGGCTAGCTTGATGGTGGTCTCACAGATCTGCAACAAGTTGAACGCGCCCTCCCCGGAAGCTCAGATGCCTGCTTGCCTTTAAACTTAGTGTGTCTTTTTGGTGGGGGGGAGGAAGCATTCGGACTCGGTGATCGAGGGTGCGGCAAGGGAAGATATTCTACCCTAATATCTGCGGCACACAGGAGAGGTGTGTAGGCGAGAAGGAAAGATGGATATTTCCAAACTCCTGAGATCAAAATTCTCAAGGATAATCGACAAAGGGGAAAGGGCATCAGGGTTAGGATACCAATGGGACCAACGATCAGGACGTTTTGCTGTTTCGTTGGAACTAGGAGGGAATACGGAGTCCCGTCTGACTTTTGATTGAAAACGACGACGATGACATGGCAAACTTGAAGCTGGAGGGCAATTGGCATGGTATGGCTCACGCATAGATAGACTTTTCTTGTACCACCACCACCACCACCACCACTACTACTACTGCACCTGCGTTACTAAGTTTACTCTGGCTCTGGTATTACATACTCGTGGTCTCGATTTCTAGAACCCTAAAGCACGATTTTATCGCCTTTTTCACTATTCCGTTCTGTTATCTGTCCTGGCTGTACTGGCCTTTTATCTTTCAGCCCATCGATACCCTGTATGCGATGACTTCATCCTATGTAAAGCGATCTATACCGTTTCGCTTCATTTCGTTGCATCATCATGGCAAAGAACATGACTCGAACCACACTGGTACTGGCTTTGTTTTCCGTTCCCAAGCTTGATCAACCATTCTGTTCAAGCGGTCCTGCCCAGGCCTACTGCCATGAGGATATCACTAATATCCCAGCCAGGTCCGCTGGGAACGATTTCTCTCCACGTCTCATCGGGGATACTTTCTTCAATGGGCAGGATAGACCAGTTCGGACTGGGCTCGGCTTTGAGCCATTTGAAGTCGTCGATCTGGTTCCATTGGTTTGGGGCCGTATCGGGCTTCTCTTGGGACGAGGATATTAATTCGGACTGTTAGAAAGAAGAAGTTGGTTAGGTCTTATTCGGTAATTAGAGAAAGAAGGGAGTGGATGATGTTGATGGACGGACATGGAACTTGGGAAGAACAGCGAACCGAATCCCCTTGCAATCTTCAATGATAGGTCTGCTTATGCAGTGGAGATAGACATCGACATTCTCGCATTCATGCATACGGAATTGGCGACATTTGATAACCAGTACGCTTGACCTCACAGCTGTGATATGTGCTGGACCAGAGACCGAACCGCACAGCAGTAAAGATGAAGAAATGGAGCTCATGGTCAGGCTGGCAAACGGAGCAGTTTCAGTGGTGGGAACTGAAAGGTCAATGACACATCTGGTAAGATTTTGGAGGGAACAGGGGGTCTGGGAGTTGAGGGCAGAGGAGGGTAGAATGATATGAGTGTTTGACTGATTGTTGATGGATATGGAAGTGACGGCCGTGGGGAGAGATGTTCTAGCTCTAGAGGAATCGGTAATGCGAGGCTTGGTAGTGGTAGGGTGTGTAGTGGTGGTTGTCGAATCTGACTCTTTTCTTGAGCCAACCCTTATCTCTGAAGCTGGCTCTTCATCTGGGCCGGCGGATTTTTCGTTCTGTGGAGTATTGATATAGCTGGGGTTGCTAGAAGAGGTAGGCGAGAGGTATCCTGGTACAGTGCGACGTTTTTCGGCGGCCAATTCTGCAGCATCACTCAAGGAGAGAGCGGAGGGACTCTTGTGGGCTGATTTGAAGGAGAACTTGGGTTTAGGAGCAAAAGCTCTTCGAGTTTCCTCGAGCTTTTCCTGAAGAGCTTTAATGGCCTGTTGTATGTGAGCTGCGCGTGTGGTAATGCCCATCGTCAATACCTCAGCATATGTCCTCTGATCGTAGGCGGGAAGATATCCTGAAGCATCCTTGACTTCGCTCGACAGTCGCGTGATGCCTGCGAGGCAATGGTCCGCAGCATCTGACCGTTCGCCGCCCACGAGCGCAGTTTCTGCCAGGCGATCCATTTGTTCCTGAAGAGCTAACAGGAGATGCCCATCAATTACTGGTCTTTTTCCACGGGAAGACGTCCTCGGCTCACCGGTGATTTCATGTTGGAAGTAGTGGAAGAATCGCTGCTGGTGGGAGAGTTCGGAGACGTTCTGAGTCTGTGATTGAGTCTCCATGGTTGGTCACTTAGGATACAACCGTGATGAAGAATAATGAAACAAATAAACTTTGGAAAGAATGTTTGATCGGACCTGGTGGCCAGCACGAGGTCCTGCGTTCGAAAGAACCGGTTCGGTGGATGTGGATGTAGCAAAAGCAATGACGGAGGACTCGAACAGAGAACAGGAACATGCGGGGTTGAAGCGGGAGAGGCTCGAGAATGGAAGGCTTGTCTGCTGGTTACTGGTCAATCGCATACCGATCTTCGTGAAGACTCCAGGCTTATTGGGCTGATGGCTGCTGAAACTTGGGGAGCAGGCTGCCTAATGCTGGGGGCTACAATATGCCCAGCATGGGTTGACGGGGCCGTGACGGCTTTTACCGCTAAGGCGGCGGCGCGAGCCTAACACTCACTTGGTAAAATTCTGCTGAATTCTTATTAGCCAGATGCCTCTTGCAGCATTCAGCCGCGAGCTCAAATACTTTTTCCGTCCACATCCAATCACTCATCCATTCTACAAATCTCCCTCCGTCTCCTTTCCTAGATCCAACCCTGTCCCCCTCCGCGCATGGTCATACGATGCTTCTTTCGACAAGCTTCGACCGTCACAAAGAAAAGGATTCCCAAAACCCAGGCAGAAGCTGCCAGCAGCTCAGGACGGCAACGGAATTCTCGTCATGAAATTGTCAATCAGCAACTTTGTGGTTCGTATACCTGTGCTCTGTATATCTGAACATCGCTCATACGACTCAGACCAAATCCTCGATCGTATCAAAACAACGTTACCTGCTCCCCACAGTTGCGATCTGATCGATATCTACCCTGGCGAAGGTCTTTGGTCTCGAGCCCTCCATGCTATCCTTAAACCTCGGCGTCATGTCCTCGTCGAACCGGCGCTGTCAACATATTCTGTCCACCTCGATACCTTATTAAGTCCGAAAGGAACACCATATCGACATACGAATCTCCTTGAAGAAGCTTTCGATCCGACTCAAAAAATGCTCTCCAAATATGACACTGATCATGACGAGGCTTCTGGAAAAATTCCTCGGCTGAATCCATCTCTATTAATTACGGCAAATCTGTCTGGTGCCCCTCTCAGGATTGCCAACTACACTGGAACTCAGAGCAGAAAGTTCTTCGACGATCTATACTTATCGCTATGGAAGATTCGGGGCAATATTCATCGATACGGTTTGGTACGAGTGTTGGCATGGGTACCAGATGGCGAGAAAGATGCATACATTCCTCGAACAGTAGCTGCCCGCCGGAAACAGTCCATCATGTTGGAAGCTAGTTATGCTATTAGTGAAATCGCTGGTGCTTCAAATGATACCAAACTCACTCGTTTCACCAGGTGGCCTGACATCGATGTGCAAGATCACATTCGAGTCGCAGCTGAAGAGCAAACCAGAGGACTCAAGACACCCGAATCAAGACGTGAGCAGATTCCCCAGCCAGACCTCCTTAGCTTCAAACCGACTTCGAAATCCATTCGAAAAGGAGCCTTCACATCTGATGCAGAGTGGGTGTTCAAATTTATGGAGTTGGACGACTGGCTGAAGAAACACGACTCCGCTTGGTACAAGCGAAACGCGTCGGGCCGTTTCAGAGGTAAACATATTGACAGCGCCGAGCGAAACGGTGCGGAGCGAAAAGCATGGCGGCGACTATTGAAGGTCGCCGAAACGCGACATAAAACCCATATGAAGGCGGTTGGTCTCGTCAAACAACAACGGGAGCTTTTCGCAGAGTGGAAGAGTCTGGTCTTGACGGCTGAGAACAATACCTTGGCGCCCGGGGAAGAGAAGCGACTTCAGACTCTTGCGGAAAACCTCGATCAGCAAATCAAAAAGTTGAACCGAACCAACAAAGTTTTCGCAGAAAAGGCCATTGATGACCTTAGAGCATACGACATGTCTCCGCCCATCATGTGGTGGAATAAACGCGAAGCTGAACCATTGATTGTAAACGATAGTGATTTCCACCCTCCTCAACAGTCCATGGCACTTCTCGATGTCGTTCCTCGACCGGAATTCCTCTCCCGAATCGATACCCACGACAAGATGGTCTGCTTCGGCTATGTTGTGAAAACTCTAGCAACCCATATCGCCGGCAGTCTAGCCGATGCTTTGAAATCACTGGTCCACGAGGGTTATGAGGAATTCGTCAAGACCATCCCTAGCATACATGATCCGACCAAGGGTGGATGGTATGATTTGTCTCAGTTGAGGGTCCGAGCTCTTCCTGCCGAGATATTTGTCCAGATTGCTCTGGCGTATGAGAAATGGCCATTCCGCCTGTCCATCGAGAGTATTATCATGATGAGCCCCGATCCTCAGGCCGCATATAGTCTTGGGGATGATGGTTGATTGATACGCCCATGTGTATTATTAGATAGAATATGTATATATTATTTTTATCATTACCCATTCAAGGAAAGCTATTCATGTCTTGAAACCTCTAGGTCCATATGATCTACTCACCTTTGCTCGACCCCTTTTCATTGAATGCTTCTATCCTGCTACCGAAGCTAGTCAGAGATGAGGCCGAACGTCCATGTACCAACTACAAGCTAGTTCCTCCCTCCCCAAACAAATCCCTCAACACTTCCTCCGTACTCATAACTCTCGCAAACTCTCCTTGTAAACTCGCCAAATGAACTTTTTGGACTGTCTCAGCATCAATCCCCCCCTCGACCTTATTAAAACATGCCGTCGCATCCGAGACGATGACGATCTTTCCTTGGCCATTTTCTTCCCCTTTCCCCTGATCTTCCCTTTCGCATTCATCAAACTGAGGTTTTCCTACAGCCTGCAGGTCCGACGTCATCCTCGTCGTCGAACTGACACAGTGATCCGTCGATATTCCCATGATCACCAGCTGCGTGGCACCTATATTTACCAGGTCGTCGCGCAAGCTTGTCCCGACGAAGGCAGAGCTGGTTGTCTTACGAATGACATATTCGTAGCTCGAGGACTCGATAGGAGTGGCGCAAGGCATAAAGGCTCTCCCATCAACAGCTTCCTCCTCAGCAATCTCCCCTCCCTTGCTTGCTCTATTGCCGGGGAACAGCGGAGACTTTGGATTCGACGATGTGTGGCATATGTGAAATATATTTACCAACCCACCTCTGTCTGTGCGGTCCTGTCCAGATCCAGCTAGCACGGCAGCGTTGTGAGTTCGACAGGCACTTAACAACGCCCCGACATTCGTTTCAAATGTCGGCGTTGAGCGTTCTGTTCCGTAGAAGCCATGGCTTGTATTCAGGCCGCGTTGGATGTCGATCAGGAGCAAAGCAGTTTTGGTTTGTGTTGCTGGAAAAAGCGTTCTTTTTGTTGCTGTTGAAGAGAACATTTCTGGGCGCAAGACCAAACGCGCGAAGGTGGACTTTATATCTTGTTCTTCTCTGGACTATGCCGCTCAAAATGGCGTTTCAGGGAGATGGAGCTATATGCGGTGTTTGATTCGACTCGAGGCTGGAAACCCCTTTTGGTGAGCAGTGAGTAAGCAAGTTCTCTCTCCGAACATATAGTCTTTTCTGTGTCTACACGCTTTTGGGTTCGAAATTGGCTCCTGAGGGATTCCCGCCCGTTCACAAGCGAAGAGTTAGGTAGGTTATTAAATGCGGACATTGGCGGCAGCCTAGTTGAAAGATACTTTCGAGGATGCTGCTGCCTAGACTCGACTGGCACGGTACTCGGGCGTTCTTCCTTCAATGAGAGGAAACACTTACATCCTCCGCCAGGAACGCTTACTCAGGCACTGCTTGCATCCGGATAGAGTCATGAGGAAGGGACAAATCCTCATCAACCTCAAAAGAGCGCTTTATCACAGGCTCTCACTTCTGCCAAGGCAGCCCGACAAAAGACGATTTCAATCGAAAAGCGAAAAAAAATACCCCAAAACTTGATGAAAACCAGTCATTCGAGATAGATAGTAGCCCTTGGTCATAAGTTGTGGTTTTCTCTCCAACCAGACCATCCTCTGGTCAACTACGTCTTTCCTTTCTTTCAACATGCAATGAATGGCAGTGGACAATTCGGAGTTTAGTCTTTTCTTTTTGCCGATTCAGAATCAACGTCATCAACATCCATAGCGTACTGTTGACTTCTTCGGTCAACAGTGCAACTCGGTAGTCTTTGCTTTAATCATATCTGAAGAAAGGAATGATAGCGTCAGGAGTATGGTATCCCTTCTCAGCAAGAGCATCACTGGTATGGTTGCTTTGAGGGCCAACACCAGGTTTCACGGAACGCTCACGCTTGTAAGTTGCAACTGGCGAGAATTCCTGGCTTGAGCTACCTTGGTAAAGTGGGGGGGCGGCAACGGCATTATCAAAATTCGGTGAGGTTGTTGGAGAATTGCCACGGTTGCTGCACATGTTACGTACGCCAGCCGTCGTCCAGTGCCATATACGGCAATTGCCAGACCCGGCGTCGTTAGCTAATACATTAGACGAAGCACAAGGTCTTGCGCGGTCGTCTGCCATTGTTGGAATGCTGGCGACCGCAACACTAGCAGCCGTGGTAGTACTGTATTGATCTCCAGAACCAGAGTTGTAATATGTATTGCTCAAGCAATTGATGAACCAAATATCGGCCAGATTAGCTCATATGGTATTCGTTTGATTGTAAACTCCGATGAAAGTATGCAGTAGTAATTGTTACTTAGCCGGTATAAAGGCCCAGATTGTATTGTGAATGTTGAGGGAGTAGATAATGGCGTCGACAATGTTCGGTGCGGCAGAGGTAAGAAGTCTTGCAGTATGAACATTGAAAATCAATTTGTTAGGAGTCATAGCACCAGCTGCTCCTGTGCCGCTACCGTTGCATGCGTTGGGATAAAGTTGACATAGATGAGTTGACGGGACCCAGTATGCAACAGTGCATGGACCTGAACCAGCTTAAGTGCAAATATCCATATAGCATTCGAGAGAATAGATATTGCGGTAACTGGCTGAGGGAGTTGGACCAGTACGTGTGTCCATATAACATTCGACCTCCTCTACCACGTTTTGGTTGTTGGACAACGCCACTTTCTGATAATTGTAAGCACCAAGAGTGATCGGATAAGATGCTTGATTCGCTGCAACATCGTTGGAGCCTAAGCAAAGTGTTCTGATATTGAGGAAAGCTGACCTTGCAGAAGCGTACCCCGTTGACACCAGTGGAGAATAATGAGGAGGTAATTGCGTGTACTGAGTGGTTGTGGTAGTCGTAGTTCCTGCCGAACTAGTGCTGGTTGTGGTGATTGAGCCTATGAGAAGGTAAGTTAGTAAAATTTCTAACCGGAGTACAATTCTAAACTAGAGAAGCAAAAGTGGGTCGTCAACTAGTGTCTTCTGTTCTTGACGCGTCCCGGCGACGTGCTCGTCGTACTGGAGCCCGTGGTTGTCGTGAATTGGGTAGTTGTCATACCCGAGCCCATGGATGTGGTAGACTGAGTATAGTAGGCAGAGTGGCACTCGCGGTAGTGGTAGCTGCGGTATTCGACCCCAGACAAGGTCGTGGATGAAAAACTGCAAACAGAGGTAGAACTCTGAGCACCACTTGATGTAACGGTGTTTACAGAAGTAGACATTGATGAACTCGTAGAGAAAAGTGGCAGCAACGGATGTAGCAGTCGAGGAGCCATTGGTAGTCGTAGTCGTAGTTGCGAGAGCTGTACTTGCAGACGAGCTACCTGATGAGGATGTACTTCCAGAAGTGGTCGTGGATGCACTGATCGTGGTGGTACTGGCTAGGGAAGTACCTGACGAAGTGCTTTGCGTCGATGCTCCAACCGAGCCGATACTCGTCAATGACTGACATGACGTCGTCCTTGGAGGTGGTAGTATCGATGATGTGTATCTGCTCCCACTGTGGTTGACAACAAAGCCGATGCGATTGTTGTACTAGTAGCAGCCAAACTTGTGCATACACTGTCGGTCGGTGTTGTTGTGGTGGTAGATTGAGTGCTTTTGGGGCGGTTGGGGAAGGGGGGGAATTTCTTTCAGAACTGGAACTGTTTGGCAAGTAGGGAATTGCAGCACTTGAGAGCAAATGAGTGACTGCCAAGACAAGGAAGTAAAGCTGAATTGTAGAGGAAGGTAGCTTAAGATGTGCCGTGGCATAACGACGGAAGATCATAACAGGTTCAGAATGCAGTGTTCCAGCCATATTCCCCATCTGGACCACACTGCACAGACCTCGGGAAGTGGAAGGATCACACCATGAGAATGTAAGGGACCATTTTGATGGAATGACGGAGCTGATTTTGCCATGGTGTCTTGGACGACCTTGTCGAGTGGAAGGGACAACATTGCACATTCTGGTCATCGTTAAAAAAAGAAAAAGGTTGGGTCCAAATACCGACACCATTGGCCCCTGCAATTTGGACTGAGTACATATTCATTCTGCATGACGACAATAGACTAAGATGTTGGAGACTTTTGCTGCAAGTGAGCATTGGACAACAGGGGGAGGTGAATAGATAGGTATCTTGGGGACGATGCTTGTTTTCTTAAGATGAGGGTGCGCCTTGGGGACGCGTGCAATGGACGAGGACAGTGAACAAGAATTAGGGGAAATCGTGCATGAATCACGTTATGTAACCCGTAGTATAGCGACATGGTCGACTGAACAAAGGTCAAACAGCTTCGGCCGACGGAATCCCAGGTGAGAAGGACTGAGTTGGTTCAAGCTTGCAATTAGAGTTAGTCACATCATTTGCGGCATCAAAATGCTTGGTCAGAATAAGGTTCAGAGACTATACCGATTTAAGAGTAGCAAAATAGTGACGTCATGTCCCTCCACTTCGTCAACCCCCAACTCCCCCAAAAAGCCTTATACCTGCCAGGCGTGAGATTGATCAGATCCCCCCGGCTCCTCCATTCCTTGATTTTCTTCTCTTGTCCTTCTGCCTTTCACTCATTCGGGCAATGCCCTGTAGTTCCTTTTTTGCCTTCAAACCTGTCAACACGTATATCTTTCAGTTCTCCAGCTGTTGTCGCGTGCTGGCTGCTATCTACTTCTCTCTACATTGATCATGCATATCTAGGAAGGAATTGGCTTGATTCGTGGATTCGATCACAGTCATTGCATTGACATCTGCTGCATTGTCCATGCCTGTTTATTGAACTGGATTGTTACTGGCGATATACAGCTGTCATTCTCCTCACAATGGCACTCCATCTTGCGGCCTACTCCCTCCTTGTCCTTCGAGCATATGCTCTTCCTCCCGAGGTCTCTCCCGAAGAGAAAGCTTTAATAACCAAAGCTCCGACCGCCACACTCGCGGTCTATGAATCATATGCTGGAGCAAGACGAGGCATAATCGACGACCTGACTTCCGAGCTGGATTCTTATGTGAATAGCGTGTTCAGCGAGCTAGGATCGGCTATTCCATCATATGTCTCAAACGGCTTGCTCCCAAACCTACAGAGTCTGCCGACTGGCAGCGCCGTTGCGAGCTCTGTGGGAGCGAGCAGTTCCGACCTTGCTGCTTCTCCTACACAGGTTCTGAACATCCCTGGATACGGAAATTGGACAGACAATGGATGGAATCTGCGAATACACGGGAACGTATTCAAGCAGCCAAACATCTCCAATGCCACTGTGGACAAACTTGCCAACTTCTTTCTAATTGATACCAGTATAGCTGACCTGCCGCCATCGCAGCAGGACCAGGCCCGCAATTTGACAAGAGAGATATATGTGGTTCAACAGGGAAACCAATCAGTTACAATGGACATCCTCCCAGGCCCTGAGTTTGGCTCTAGCGGTCAACCAGGAGGAGGTGGCGGTGTCACACCAACCGGAGGCGAGCAAGTCATTGCTCTCCCCAACCCGACAACGCCAGAAGGAGACTTCGATGTCTTCGTACCAATAGACAACAGCTCTTTGGCCCTAACAGCAGGAACTGGCGAAGTTCCAGCTCAAAGACTGAACGTGTACGCCCAAGGCACCGACACAGGCAATGCAACTTCGTATCTCATCTCCGACCAAGGCCTCACAGTCATCAGCGACATTGACGACATCCTGCGCGTGACCAAAATCTACGAGCCAAAAGAAGGCCTGCTCAACTCCTTCGCCCGCCCGTTCACTCCCTGGATGAACATGCCAGACATCTACCGTAACTGGTCCACCTCGCTCCCCAACTTGCATTTCCACTACCTCACCACGACCCCCGAACAAATCACCCGCAACTACATGCAATTCATCTACGACACTTACCCCGGTGGCAGCTTCGACACCCGACCTCTCAACTTCAGCGACGTCTCCGCGACATTATCCATCCGCAAATTCCTCCTCGACAAGATTTTCCAGACCTTTCAGCACCGCAAATTCATTCTCATCGCTGACACTAGCAACTCGGACGTCATGCGCGATTACCCGGAAATGGCTACCCAATATCCCGGACAGGTACAGTGTATATTTTTGCGCAACACCTCCGCCACGGACTCCGGCGACAAGTTTCCTTACAACACTGAGGGATTTAAGGATCTCAACCAGCAGTCGTACATGTTCTTCAAAGTCCCTGACGATTTGACGGGCCTAGACATCGTCAATGGGCAGTGCCGCAATGCGTCTATCCCGCAGAATCTCACGTTCGGGTACCAGGGCCTTCCTTTCGGCCTTATCACGGGCGATAGCGAGAGTGGGAGTAGCAACAGTAGTGGCGGCAGTGGTAACGGAGCGAAGAGGATCACGTTATTGGGCACTGATGGAACCCACGCGAAGATCGGAACATTATTTATGCTAGTTGTAGGTGTTTTGGTTTTTAATGCTTTATGAAGCGCATGAGGGGGACACGAATATGAGCATGAGAGTGAGCATTTGGGAGGGAGTGGCATCTTGAGGGACAAAACAGCATCTCGCGACATTGTCACGACTGTACAAGTAAAAGATCAAAGATAAACATAAACGGAACGCCGGAAATTCAAATAGAAGTACATTCGTATCATATCCCCCAGTCAAGGGCGCTTATAAAGTAATGGTTTCCTCTTTATTTTACAGCCACTATTCCTCGTCGGCCCAATCTCAGAACCTGAACCAGTCGCCGTCACCGGGCTCATCGATTACGACGCAGCGAGTTCATAACATCTGATTCCACCAGCGGCAAATCGAACCTGGCTGCTGTCGGAAGACTGAAACCGGCGAAATGCTGGCAGAGACAAAGTATAAAGGCTGCGGCATCCAGGGTCGTTAGAGCATGCTAAATCCCAAGTGTTGTTTGTTGGGCTCCAAGGGATCAACTGGAGTCCACCGACTTATATCTCGAAGGAGTTTTCCGGGGACGTAACGGCAACCGAACAGAAGAATTGTCTTAGAGGTATGTCTCCAGTTGCCGTTGGATGCTGCCACTTGTTATCCTCGGTATCGTAAAGAATAATCTCTGGCATGTCAATCAAATGAGTGCCGTCAACATGGAAGACGTGAGCATCTGGGACAAGACCACCCAGAAAGACCAAAATTCCGGGATGGCCAAAGTTTCACGCAAAAGCTACCTCGTCATCAACATCGAAGCCACTCGATGTGGCAGAAGGAGAGGGTAATTTGGTCCAGCAATTGGCACCATAGTCAAACTCCAGCAATCCTTGCAGTGCGATATAAAGATCAAAATATGCTTGTGGTGGATTGCCGTCCACGCCGTAGAAAGCCGTGTCAGTGGCCGCGAAAGCTACGCCAGCAAATGCCGGTAAAGTGTTGTCCACATCATTTGTTATTGGAGCCGTTTGTTCTGTCCAATTCACCCTGCCATCGCTTCCTGATCGAAATGCCCACAACTGTGCTGGAGTTGTATTCAGCGATGGCCAACCACCCCCATTGATTCACTTGAGTTGTTATAGGATTGTCGAAGAGAGTGGGTCTCTTGGTCCCGTTGGCGTCGTCCGTCGGTCGCTGGGTTCGGAAGTTGTGGTCTGAGAAGGCAGCATTTGTCCAGGATTGGGATATTTAGGTTGACTGATATTGTCTGTCCCACTGCTGTATCGAAGTAAGGATGAGAATACCATAGAAGGACTATCCTACAGAAGTATATCGTGTCAGTACCACTCACAGGGGTATAGAGTTGGCCACCGTCGATGAACAACCAATTATCTACCACAACGGTGAGAGTGTAGTTGGTCAGTCACGCAGTCGTGCGGTAAGGCGTACAACAGCAAGCTGGCCTAGGCAAGTCGTGACACTCTGCCATCCCCAATTGATGATATCCAGATTCTGGTATGAACACGACGCGGCCATCCCAGTCACAGAGCAAGATAGTCGAGATATCACGATAGCCACGTCCCAGGCTAATACGCAAATCAAACGATGGAACTTGCTCGTCTCTTCGGATCATAGTGAAGGTGACGAGAAGGCTAGACGGGGTGAGAGAGCAGCACCTTGGGGTTTTAAGCTGTTCAAATGCGATGTTCAAAGGGAGCTTTGGGTATGACGTGCCTCTTTTCAGGCTGGCTCTCGTATTCCTCAACAGCTCCAAACATAGGTCTTCCAAAAGGATATGAGACACATCATCTCGTGTTCAAGCTCGGAAGATGCAGGCACCCCATTAGGGAAGCCCCAAGGTGCCCAGGCTTGGTCGCCCGCCAAGTAAATTTGTGACCGCTCCACAACATTTCATCATCTGTCCAGTCCCGTGTCCCATTTGCCGTCATTCGTTTGATCAACAACATTACTCCATTCCACGCGCCTCGCGTCAAGGCTGTCTTATCATCACCCCAGCCCTGCACCATCCCTTCACAAATCCCACCGCATTACCCTACAGCCTTATGCTTCAGTCTGGATAGCGGGCACCATTCAAAGCTGCAATAGCAGCTCCTCTGTGCGCATCCAACATGCCTCGCGCACCTCTCAAACGTCGCCACCTTAATCGAAATGGTCCCATTCTTCGCGCCGCAAAAATGATCTCCACCAACAGTTCCGCTCGAAGAGAACTGGAACAAAAGTTGGCGCATAAACCTATTGGTCCGCGGCCGAATGATAGCGATGACAGCGATAGGCTCGTTGTCAAGGGAACTGGGAGGAGAGGCAACAATGTTCCCAGGCAAGAAATATATGCCTCTGGCGCCGTCGGCGCAGGTGATCAGCCCGGAGCATATCCTAGCAGAGCTCAGAGGCGGAAAAATATGACAAAAGCCACGGATGAATTCCTTGCCAATGAGCAGAAGAAGGCCCAAGAAGACGAGGAATCCTTCGCTCTCACCACGATGCAGCCTCAACCCGCTCGCAAGTCACCTCCTACCAATGGGATTGTCAGAAATCCGACCAGCGCAAAGCAAGACAAAGGTGTCTATCCAACATCATTATCTTCCGCGATGAAGCCCCCTTCAAGTATACTGCGACCCATCCAGCCTACACCGACAAGAGAAAACTCGATTCTCGGCACCCTAAAACCCCGGCGACGACAACCCAGCATTTTACAAAATTTGGACAATGACTCATCCGCATTTGATCTCGAGGACGAAGATCTCTTCCTTCCTGATGCCGAATCCACCCCCTTGAATCTCACGAAATCCCAACCTCAAAACGCCCTTTCGACACCTCCCACGAACCCAGATCATATCTCTTCGCCGCGGAAACGTAAATTTGGCGCATCCGACGTCTTCCGGCCAAATGCGGACACCCCCGTTCAACGGCGGACAACTTCACCTCTGGCAACGACGAAACTGTTGCACGGGACGCCTGAACCTTCTCTTCTGACGGTCCCTGTATCCACTCTCCGAGAATCAGGTCGAAGACAGCGTGAGTGTATACGCGACGAGGACGATATCATGGCTTTTCCAGAAAGCAGTTCTTCACAGCCATCATCGCCTGCAAAGCCCAAGTCTGTAGCACCGACAAAGAAATCACGACAAAAAGAGGCCAAACCGGCCCCTGTCATGACCACGGAGGAATTGCAAGCTCTGATGCCTACCAAAAAAAGGAGGACTGCGAGAGAACGCAAAAAACCGCCCAGCAGCTTCGACATTCCCGCCGATTCTGACTCACCAGATCCTGACCAGGCCGCATATTCCGATCGAGACGATGAATCCAGTTTTCTCCCTACGAAGGGGAGAAGGAAAGCAAGGCGGAAAGAACGGCCGTCCAAGCCAAGTAATCCGCGGATCAAAGCCAGTGTTGGCGTTGCGAAATCTGGCAAAGTTGGAAAGCAGGGCACTTCCACTAAAGCTCGTGCTGCTGCAACTTCAAAATCCAAATCAAGTACGATAAATCTCATCACTACTACCGCGCCTATCCTTACGCCTTCCACATCTACCTCTAGCAGAAGAAACCGCGAAACTAAGTCTCCGTCACAGCTTTCTACCGTCGAACCTTCGAATATCAATATCATACGACCCAGCGAGGATCTTTCGAACAAAGGCGGAGGAGGGCGGAGGCCGTATGGTGGCTCCCTTCGCCGAGGACGAAGCATAGCGGACGGATACGACAAGGAGAATCTATATCTCGAAGGCGAACCTATTGTTGAACGCCCCGAAAGCGAGAAGCTGCCCGAGGCTGCTTCTGTGGTATTTGACCCGGAGCGAGAGCAGGAGAAGAGGAAGGAGGTCACTGTCAGTAAAGGGAAGTGGGCAGATATTGATGCTTGGAGTATGGACTTTGAGGATGTGGAGGTGATCGGATCAGGAAGCAGTTCGCCTATGCGGCGGTGATGAACGAACTTATGAGTTTCACGGATCTGGGGCCTCAGAACGTACGTATTCTTGCAGAGTCTTAGGGTGAAGAAGCAATGGTAAAGACATCTCGCGTTGCTCACCGAGCCTCGCGCAAAATATAATGCCAAGACCTTCGGAAGGCTGCCGCTTCAACGCGGGCGGCGGGAGTAGACGAATCTGGTGGCCGCAGCCCCAACTTGCAATGTGCAGTCTGGGGAAAACACAAACTCATCAACTCACACCAGGCCAGCTCACTTTTGCATAGACGACATTCTAGTCAAACTCCCCACAACGACTCTTACGATACCGCCAGGCTATTCCCTCTCCGTCTCGCAATCGGTCACCGATTATCTGATCGCGTCCTCGCCCGTCCTCTCACATGGCAGCCGCGTGATTAAATCGTCCTTCCTTCGTCGATCATGGAGAAGATCTTGGAGGAGAGCGCGGCTCTCGACCCTACGCTCCTTGTCCAAGACAGAGAAGATCAATATGACAAGCTTGCACTCGCTTTGGTGGCCAAAATAAACAAGCTCACCCCTCAGGAACTAGCAGCAGCGGAGGCTGACCTTAATGTACGCATCTGATAGCGTCATATCTTTCTCGAAGCTGATAATGAACCAAACAGGGAATTCCACCCTCCTCTCATACCATCCTCTATGTCTGCATTCTGTTAGCAAGCATCGAAACCTCTCCAGTCAGTGGAAAGGCTGCTTCGCGACAGCTCCCTGCTACAATTTTACCAGAAGGATCATTATGGCCTTACATTGTTCAACTTCTTCTGGAATTCGACCCCATTCAAGCTCGATACTGTGGAACTCAACTGATGCGAATAGTCGATTATGTTGCCTTGGGCGCAGAACAAACGGCCAATTACATTCCCGCCATCCAGTTGCTCCACCATTTAATTCTTAGACTGGACAGCACAGCCTCGACCTTGACTTCTACTCATCGAACATTCATCCGTCTTTGTCTCCTATCACAAGCCTACACCGATGCTATTGGAATTTTGGACAGACCGATCTATCACATTCCAAATTCGCAAATCGACCTTCGCCCTTTCAAATACATCTGCTCCAATTCCGACCAGCCTTGGACCTACCTAAGTCCTGCGACTGGCCTCACTCAACCAATTTCCAGTCGGACCTATCTTGAATACTACGTCATGGGTGCCATGTGCTATATGGCGATGCGACGATATCGGGATGCCTTGTTCTTCCTTGAGGTTGTCATTGCGGCCCCCACTGTCCAGAACGTTGCCAGCGTAATCATGGTCGAGGCATATAAAAAATGGCTGCTGTTGGGCCTGTTAATCAATGGTATTACACCCACAATTCCAAGAAGCGCAAACCAAAACGCTCTCAAGCATATTCGAGCACTTGCCAAACCATACGAATGCGTAGCCGATGCCTTCAAGGGCAACGACATTGGACGGTTACGGGCGGAAATGGAAGCTGCCAATGTCATTTGGCAAGAAGATGGGAATTATGGTCTCATGGTTGAAGTTTATCAAGCGTTCCAGAAGTTTTCGGTCCTGAGACTTGGTAAGACATTTTCCGCATTGCCAGTGGTTGAAGTCGCCAAAAGAATGTCCCCAGATCCCACGAATTCCGAGGAGACGGAAGTATATCTCGAGCATCTGATTGCAAATGGAGATATTGGTGCAGTCGTCGTAGATTCGGACAACAGTGGAGAAAAAATTCTACGCTTTTTGCCTGCATCAGTATCTCTGAAATCTGAATCCCAGGTCGAAGTGGCTCTCGCTACTCAAACACAAGAGCTACGGGCGCTCCTCAAACACATTCAAGACACTGAACACCGGATGGAAGTCAGCAAAGAATATATTGACTGGTTGAAGAAGCTGAAGAAGATGAAAGATGAGGAAAGAAAGAATGGGCGATCAGCAGCGGTGGACGAAGTTGAGGAGGATGTGATGGACGAATTCTAGAGGGATCAATAGGGAAGATCCGGAAAAACCACGACGACTTTAATCATCGGCACTGAAGATGAAGAGGGTAATGATGGACAATTAGACACCACTAATTTAAAAGTGGGTGAAAGTATCGGCAAAGCGGAAGAAAACATCGGCTGATATCTGCGCCAAAGCCCATGCAATTCTCGTGATTTGTCGACCGGTGGAAAGAAACGAACAAGCACGTAAGGCACGACATGATGGATACGTGCAATATGCATCGATCAGCAAGCGACCGGCGTTGATGTGCTCGTATGCTTATTTGAGCAGAGATGATTGAGAAGAGATGGAGCACGGGCCGAGAGGATGTGAATGCAAGAGTAACGGACGGGTATTTGATGCTAGACAGAGCATCACTGTGCCATGAGATGCATTAAAGGAGCCACCTCAGCCTGATGCTATGCAGGTAGCCTACTGTAGACAGGCGTACTACATTTAGCTGCTGAGAATAAGGCTGTGCCCAGCGCTCGACTTCCTTTTTCAGTGCCTCGCTGCCGGATGAGGTGGCTCTCTGGCTCTTTCTTAATTCTTAATATTATATTGAACTGTTATTTCTACCATGGTGTAAGAGGGTCGACTGCTTCGTTGTCCGTGGCGGATCCCCCGACCGCCAACCGATCACAAAAGGATATTTCCCAGGAGTCGCCTCCTTGAATACCAATCCCACGCAGCTTGTTGCTGCATCAACAACAAGAACATACCAAAACCATTGCGAAGGATCTTCGCGATGCTCATGAACGGACATTCGATACGGCCACGGACTCGAACAATACAATTGGAGACATGCAAATCCATAGGATTCTACGTCGGCTCTCGCCCCTGGATCATCAATGGAAATATGCCACCGTGGTCGCTTTGCAACAACCAGAAACCGGAACCTGAATATTGAATGAATCTCAATTTGAGATTGGCGTGACAAAAGTGGGTTTCTAAAAGTCCAGTGGAGTGGAAAACGATAGGCTGATGTGTCAAGGTAGCTCTGTTATCATCCATACCATTCATGCCTCAGTATCACATCCTCTTGCTCGCGACCCCCTCCTATTTTACTGCTGTGACCTTACAAATCAGGACAAGCTGAACGTGATGAGTCTGTTCGGATTCCTAGTACGCCAGACATCCGCAAGGACCCCGTCGATCCCACCGACCGCCTATACATACTACGCTAGTCATATGGGATCTGGTCATTAGCCTCCGCCAATAAGTTGAACTCCTGGCAGAACCGGGCGGCCTTATACTGTTGGCAATGGACTGGATGAATGTAAAGAACAAGAACGACTTCTTCAAGCTCTGCTTCGCCTCCACAAGACGGTCACGGACAAGTTCAAGCTGGCTCTACTTCTTACCAGCCGGCCTGAATATGACATCAAGCGAGCTTTCTCTGGTTCATTATTCCGTCAAAGAATACTTGCTGTCGCCATAGCTTTTCTCAAAACCGATCGACACTTCTCGGTTTGCCAGGATTCCGAGACAGTGTTAAAAGATCCTCAAAGATGGGAAGATTTATGGGAAAAGCCAGACGGTCTAGAAAGTCCTGGAAGAGCTGGAGACATATTGGGAGAATGTACGCGTCGAAGACGATGGATATCGGTGATGGTGATGACGAAACAATTACGGATCTTGAAAGGAAAGGAAATGAAAAGGCATTCTGACTCGGTGGTGATGCTCCATTTTGCTGCTGAGGTGAATGAGTCTGAAGATTAGGGAAGTTCGCGCAATCTATCTTGCAGTCTGATGATCTGATGGAAGTTTTTTGGTACTTGGTGCTTGGTGTGTTGAGTATCTCTGCCTTCTGCACACAAAAGTTACGAAATGAAGACGAAGACGATAATTGATAAATGAAAATTGGTCTTCGGCGTAGTCCCAATGATAATGCCGGGTTACGCACTGTGTATTGCATAAGAATATCGCTACGAAGATCCAAGTAGCACGAACGTGAAACTTCAGTCCATTGACCTAGCGAGAAACATGTAAAGATGCGCAACTCATACTGACAGAACAGCGTCTAATTCTTGTGTACGTCAACCTGGGCTCCATCATGCTGTCTTGAAACTTATGTACGTCCCTGCAGAGAGCACGCTCGACTCATAAGGTATAAATATCAAGGTGACGACAACCAGCGTCCTCATACAGGTGAGTCTGAACCAGAGCGATGGGCTGGACGAGGCGTCAAGCTTATGCCTATCACTTTGAATATTGACGTAACTCATAAGCCTGGAGAGGACACCAGAGCGTTATGTAATACCGTAGCAAAACGAGGTGAATCCGCAATTGCTATTGGAACCAACCCTGAGGCTTCGTCGGCAAAGGGGAAGAATCTGCTGCGCAATTATGTACGGCAAAGCGACTGTGTGATATGTGAGAAACCGTGAAGAGTATATGCTGGTACGTACCTCTCTATGGCATAGATAAGGTATGACTTGTATACGAAGCCATGAGTGATAAGGATGAAAGGCACACCCAAGCAGCTGCTACTGCCATTGCCATTGCTATTTGATAAGGAAGAGGATAGAAAGAATGCTACTCTTGAGAAGGAATTGATAAAACCGAGTCCACACTGCCAAAAGACAAACTCGACACAATCAACAGATTCCCAACCCAGAGGCCTGGGTCTTTAGGTTCTGGTACTGTGGAGATGTGGATTTTGTGGTTCAGTCATGTGCATTTGCCATTCGGAATGATTGCCATGATTCCCCAACGTCGATATAAATCCTGCTGATCCATTTCACGCTCAAGATTCCGTATGACATGTTATCGAGCCCAAGCGACGCCGCCCATCCATCCTTCCGTACAGCATGAAAGCCTCTGCGACAAGAGATAAAGACAGACACAAGAGGGCTGGAGAGGGGGGATTGGGTTAGACCAAGCCAACTCCTGAGAAAGAGCTCGTAACGCCGTCGACCAAGCTCGGAACTGCTGGTGGTGGTGGGATATACTATTCAGACAAAGAAATTTAACTCCGCTCCGAATTATGTTCGATTTTTCAGTTTCACTTTTCTTATGCCGTGGCACTAGCTCCCGTATTGGTCGTCGCAGTGACCTTTTCAATTTCAATCTTGGGCATTGCCGTACCACCCAAGTCCGTAGCTCTGCCCTTGTGCTTGCTTCGATAATTTGATATGGCCGACTTGATCGCGTCCTCTGCTAACATTGAGCAGTGTAACTTGACCGGGGGCAAACACAATTCTTTTGCGATCTCTGTATTTCGAATCTTGCCAGCTTGTTCGAGAGTCATGCCCCGGACAAGTTCGGTCAGGTAGGAGGACGAGGCAATGGCCGAGCCGCAGCCAAAGGTCTTGAATTTTACGTCCGAGATGGTCTCGGTCTCTGGGTCGACTTTGATTTGTAGTTTCATCACATCGCCACAAGCGGGGGCACCGACAAGACCTGTAGAGAGAGTGAACTGTTAGTACTTGTCCTCACCATCGGGTCAGAGTTTGGACCGAAGCTCGGTGAATCCACGGAGCGAAGTCGGACATTAAGGAAATTTTGGCGACGCACCTGTGCCTACGTCGACGGCAGTCTTGTCCATAGAGCCGACATTTCGGGGATTAGAGTAGTGGTCAAGCACTTTCTCATGGTATGGACGTCTCTGCGATGATTGTGTAACGGCTGGTCTGTGGAATAGCGATGCAGCTTGTGAGGCGAGAGAAAGTCGGACCGAGGTTTGGACCGAGGTGGTGATTGCGCGTGGAACGCTCAAAAGAGCTCTTCGAGACATGGTTGGTGTGGTCTGCTGATTGAAAGGAGTGTTTGAGTGATGAATTTTCGTAGAGTCGAGTGTAGGAATTGAAGATAGAGAAATATGTTGCAGGATGAATGATTAATGAAAGAAGATGGCGAAGGAGGGGACGTCAATCTGGCCGCTGGTTGGTAGAACCTCACGTGACTTGTGCGCTAATCCACTTTCAGCAATGACGTTATTTGATCTGCGACGCACAGAAACAGACAGGCAAACAGATAGAAGCAGCAGCAGTGTTACCTTTTCTCATTCTGACACTTTCGGCACCTCCAAAAAGCAGAAACCTGCTCAGTCGCTTCGCAATCATGTCTTTCACATCCAAAAAGCGGAAATCCTCCGAGATCGTGCACAACGATGGTGACATTAATGGAGGGACGGTAACAAAACGCGGCAAGGGCAAATCTGGCACTGTATTCAAACCCTCTTCCAAAGTCCAATCGGACTCGGAGGGGAATCAGTTTTGGGAAATCTCCAAAAACAGACGCGTGACTATATCCGATTTCAAGGGAGCAAAGCTGGTCAATATTCGGGAATACTACCAACAGGACAACAAGTGGTTACCGGGAAAGAAGGTATGTCTTTCATCTTTCGTGAAAGATCTATTGTTTGCTAAGTAGCTTGGTTATAGGGCATCTCCATGAGCATTGAGCAGTATTCCGCCCTCATCGACATCATGCCTCAAATAGAAGACGTTCTTAAGCAGAAGGGCGAGAAAGTACCCCGACCGAACTACCGTGGACGGGCTCCGGACGAGGACGACCAAAATGGCGAGGAAGAAGACGATGAGGAAATGGACTACAAAAAGGCCAATATCGAGGCAACAAGCGACGAAGAAGAGTGAGCAAGCTACCATAAAAGTCAGTGCTGTATTCGAATCAAATGTAGCCACGAATGAATGGGTTAAATCCACCAGAACGGAACAATGCAGCTTCCCTGTTGCCTGGTCCCTTCATCTTCACACGACTCAATTGTGTACAATAAGAGCTGTGTGGTATGTCTTTTCTACCCGTTTCGACAGACTTCGCTCACCAGTTTTATAGTGTATTAACATGTCTGTAGCTCTATACAAGTGTCTGAGCAATGAATCTCACGGTCCTCATCAAGAGCTGCTCTCCCATTCAGCCAACCTGGAGGCCAAACTACCTTTCTTCCAGTGCTTCTCATAATCTTCCCTCAACTCGATTTGAGACTTCTCGCCCACCTTACCATAACCACCACCTCCCGGTGTCATCTGAAAGGGAATGATCAGCACTATGCTCGTCCGAGTGGAGGCCGGGGGAGATGGGACGTACCACAATGATCCTCTCACCAGGTTGCATCCTAGCCGTGTTCTTCGCACCCATGCTAATATACCTTTCCTCAAACTCATTGTCCTCCCCACGTTCTCTCCGCTTACCTTCGTGCTCGCCACCGGATCCTTTGCTTTTCACCTTTTTGGTCTTTCTTACCCAGATATTCTTCCCGCATTGAGCATCGCCTCCACCATGCAGACCGTATGGTCGATATACTCTCCGCTCGCTTAGGATACTGACCTGCACGGGAATCCGGAACTCAATGTCTCGAATGACACCATCACCTCCTTTATGTTGTCCCACTCCACCGCTTCCTGCTCTCAGACTGAACTCTCTCAGGATCACAGGATATCGCCTTTCGAACACTTCGGCGTCGGTAATCCTAGTATTGGTCATATGAGTATGAACGCCACTGGTGCCCTCCCAATCCTTTCCGGCACCGCTCCCACCAGCAATGGTCTCATAATATCCAAAACCTTTCTGTTCCGAGCCGCCTTTCGAGTTTCCGCCAAAGCCAAACGTCAAATTGTTGCAATCGCCTTGACTTGCGGCACAAGCTTCGAAGCATTTAAACACAACGTCGGTCACGCGCTGGCTGGTCAACACATTGCCTCCGACCACAGCGGCCTTTTCGCTGGGGCTGAGAAAACTGCCCGGCGGAATGCGTACGTCAACTGGCTTCAAGCATCCCTGATTCAATGGGATGTCTTGGTCAATCAAACACCTCAGACAGTAAATGATGGCAGAGTACGTCACCGCCTCTGGCGCGTTGATATTCCCATACACCTCGGGGCCGGTGCCGTCAAAGTCAAACAAAGCCTCGCCCTTCTCGGCGTCGATGGTGATGCGCAAACATATCGGGCTGCCGTCGTCCATGTAGTCGGTAGCCTGAAGATCCTTACCTTCAAACCGTTTACTCACGCCTTTCAGGAGCTCACGCACCGACCGCTCTGCATTATCTTGGATATTGTGCATGTAAAATTGCACCACGTCCTCACCATAATCCTCAATCAGGGCACTGATCAAGTTAATACCCTTCTGGTTCGCCGCGACCTGCGCCTTTAAGTCATTCAGATTATCCGCCAGACACCTCGTGCCGCTGCATTCCGGGTATTGTGCAGGCTCGTCGTAGAGCAGCTCCGTGATGCGCTTCTCATCGAATTTGCCTTCCGACACCAGCTTCTCGGACTTAATTGCCGCGCCTTCCTGGAACAACTCGCGCGAGTGCGGCGGCATAGATCCAGGCAGGATCCCACCGATATCAGCATGGTGTGCGCGCGAGGCCACATAGAAGATAATGTCTCCTGAAGGCGAGAATGCCGGCGTCACCACCGTGATGTCAGGGAGATGCGTACCGCCGTATTCCGGGTGATTGGACACGATAACATCGCCCTTTTTCAGCTTTCCTTTCCAGATCTCTGCCTGTGTGCGTACGCACGTCGACATGCTGCCGAGGTGCACGGGAAGATGGGGTGCATTGGCAACCAGGCCGCCGGCGGAGTCGAAGAGGGCGCACGAGTAGTCGAGGCGTTCTTTGACGTTGGTCGATACCGATGTCTTCTGTAGCGCGCGACCCATTTGCTCTGCGATCGCCATGAACCGGTGCGCGAAGATCGAGAGCAAAATTGGGTCGACGTCGTGGGTATTGGCTTTCTTCGTCGTTCCTTCTTCGCCAATGTTGATGACTACGTGTGTCTCAATGATAATTGCTGACGCCCCTGGCGTCACAATGATGGTCTGCGTGCCGTCGGCAATGATAGCGGGGCCGAGCACGCGCGTGCCCACATCGAGATCTTCGAGTCTGTAGATTTTGGTATCCTTGCGGCCGCCTTCGAAGTAGACGTGCGCGGTCGTGTAGGCCTTGTCTTCGGCCACATCTTGCGGTTTGATCTCTTTCAGCTGCTGGTCTGCCGTCTTGGGCATGCCGCGGAACGACTTGCCAATTCCGCGCACTCGGACGTCGTCGACAATGATATCGCGGTCCGGTAACGTGAAGCCGAATTCCTGCTCGTGCTGTCTGACGAATGCTGCTCCGAATGCCCAGTCATCACCCTCAAAGTGCTCCTTCGCATCTTCTTCGCTCGGCTTGATCACCATCAGGGCTGATTCGGTGCCTCGGTACCGCATGTTCAGGTACTCTTCGTACTCGATCGAGTCGTCGGGGAAGCCTTGGTCTTTCAACCGTTGTCGACATCGTTCTTTGAGGTCGTTCATTTTGGATTTCAACCCGTCGCGAGAGCCGCCTTTCATGTCCCACACTTGAGATTCGGGAACTTGGCTTTCGTCCACGACGTCGGCCAGGGCCATGCCGTATGCCGAGAGTACAGATGAGTATCTGTGGACCAGGATCTGCCTGATCCCCAGAGACTCGGCGATGGCGACGGCATGTTGGCCGCCCGCTCCGCCAAACGTGGCGAGGCGATGTTGAGAGGTATCGTGTCCTTTCGCTTCCGTTAGTGATCGGATCGGTCTCGTCATAGTCTCGTTGGCGATCTTGATGAATCCGTAAGCGACTTCGTCCGCAGACATGGTTTTATCTGTCTTGCTGTTGATCTCATTGGTGAGTTCTTCGAAAAGCCTCTTGCTGGCTTCTGGGTCTAGTCCTTCATCTTCATTCTTGCCAAAGATCTTCGGGAAGAAGTCTGGGAGGAGTCGACCCAGGAAGAGATTGGCGTCCGTGACAGTCAGTGGACCACCCTTCCTATAGCATGCAGGTCCGGGATGTGCGCCCGCTGATTCAGGTCCCACCACGAAGAGACCGTTTCTGAAGAAGAGTCGAGATCCACCACCCGCTGCGACCGTGTTGATGTCGAGTTGAGGAGACTGAATTGTCACACCGGCAGTGGTGGTTTCAAAGACATGCTCATATCGGCCGGAACCATATCTGCTGACGTCTGTGCTGGTGCCACCCATATCGAATCCAATGACCGGTATTTTGGTCTCTGGGTCGTAGGAGGTCAACGCATAGCCGACAACACCACCGGCGGGACCGGACAGGATGGCCCGCAAGCCGGAGAACTTGTCAACATCCACTAATCCTCCATCGGATTGCATGAATTCACATCTGGCGCCTTTAACACCTTGTTCTTTCCTGACACTTTCTGTTCCCAGACCTCCTTCAAAGCCAGCTTGGAACCCGGAAATGTATTTCCTGATGGCCGGTGTGAGGTATGCATCTGCACAGGCCGACGTTGCTCGCGGCACCAGCTTGATCATGGGCATCAATTCATGGCTCAGACTCACATGTTCAAAGCCGATCTCGTGCGCCAGTTTACCCACTCGTGCTTCGTGATCAGGGAATGTATAGCCATGCATCAAACATACGGCAATGCTTCGGAAACCCTTGTCGTAAAGCCCCTTGAGTTGTTCCCTAATTTTATCTTCTTCAGGCCGTTTCAGAATCCGGACAGCTTCCCCCGAAAGACCTTGAACAAGATCGTTCTCTCGGTACTGTTCATGCGAGGCATTAACCTTTGTCTGATGCCGGGTCGGGTCTTCTGCGTAGTCTTCGAGAGTCACTCGTTCATCTACTTCAACGACTTTCTGATACAGGACATCGGGTCTTCGAATGGCGAGGTCGAAGATCTTGGGGCGAGACTGGTTCCCGATTTCCAGACAATCTTTAAATCCGCGCGTGACAACCATGGCCATTTTCTCACCCTTTCGTTCTAGTAAGGCGTTGGTGGCTACGGTCGTACCCATCCTGATACTCTCTATCTTGGATGTGTCCAAGGGCTCGCCTCTAGGGATTTCACGGCCCGTAAATTTTGACATAAGTCGTCGGATCCCTTCAAGAGGAGCATCGTCGTAGTTTGATGGGTCTTCCGAGAGCAGTTTAATGATTATATCGTCTTCCATACGACCTGTCCCAGGGTTTCCGACACAGTCAGTGAAAGTACCGCCGCGCTACTCAAGTTAGATCGTCATTGAGAGTTCAGGATCAGATATCGTCAAACTCACATCTATGGCGATGCGGATGCCTCTGTTCTCGCCTCCAGCGTCTCCCATGGCGATTGACTCCACTCAACGAGAGATGTGAAAGGTCTCAAATTCGACTCCGTAGAGATATTCTTTCCAGCTACTTAGTAATTCAGAAATCAAAATCAACCATCATCTGAAGAGTTGTTGCAAATGATCGGTTTGGTTGAATGGAGAAGTCCGCTTTCAAATATTCGAAAAATACTACGACTGTGGTCGCCACTTGAATTGCGAAGGTTCACGAGGATTTTTTAGTCAGGTGTAAACCAACTGTGTATCTGACTCTGAGCATCTTCTTCCATGCGACACTCAATCCAGTGAATTGTTGTAGATCAATGATCTTGTGATTGGGAATGAGAAGCACTCCGCCAGTATACGTCCATATTCCGTCATACCAACCAAAGTGTGGTGTGCAGTCGAAGCATCAACTCTCAATGGGCTTCTCACTGTATGATACTTCTGGAGGTCAATGGCTATGGAACTGCGCTGGAAATTGTGAATTCCTATCATCTCACTCATTATCACCATAACTCCTCGCCTGTGAACGTCTTTTGTCAAATCCAATCCCTCCATCAGCCAAATGAGATTTTCATCAAAATGCAATTATGTTCATCCCCAAAACACCAAACCTAAACATACACTACAAAAACAGATTCGTAGTCGTCAGAATGAGCTACTGTGATGGTCATTGCCCCGAGCTCGAGTCTTTGCTCCCTGGTGCTCTCTGTGTGTCATGTTCATGTACACCACCTTTGGTCACACAATGTTTGATGATCCAAGGATGCCGAAGGACGTCGTCGAGAGGGATTCTCTTTTCGGGATCGAGAACGAGGAGCTTTTGATCTTGTCAATAATGGTCAACCCATGAGATGGGACGATCACTTACTCTGTGTATGAGATCTTTCGCCTCGGCACTCACGAAACTCGGCACCGACATGTCCCCTCGAGCAATTCTTCTTTGCGTCATGATGGGTGTATCTTCAAACGGTGCCTCGCCAACCAAAAACTCATAGGTCAAAACACCCAGACTCCAGAGATCGACTTTCTCGGTGTAGAAATTGTCAGAGCTCCCTGGTTTGAGCATCTCCGGTGGAAGATAATCCAGAGTTCCACACATGGTCTGTCTTCGGTTGTTTGGTGCATGCACTGACCAGCCAAAATCTGAGATCTTGATCTCACCGTGTATGCCGACCAGGATGTTTTCGGGCTTGATGTCTCGATGCATGACGTGCTTCTTATGCAAGTATTTGAGTGCCGCTGCCATCTGAGCGATGTACTGAGCTGCTTTCCATTCTGGGAATCTGTGCTCCTTGCGCAGATGTTTGTACAATTCGCCTTTGCCGGCGAATTCAAGAATGAGGAATACCCTCTTGCTGTCATGGAAATGTCCAAACAGTCTCAGGATGTTGGGGTGTCTCAGATTCGATTGAATCTCAATCTCTCGTCGAACTTGCTTCTCGATCTTGCCTTGTTGCAATTCGGATTTGTGGAGGACCTTCAAGGCGCAAACAAATCCCGAAGATCTTTCTCTGGCAAGGTATACTCGTCCGAATTTTCCTTTTCCCAGGGGCTTTCCTATTTCAAACATACCCAACTGGAATTTTTTGGGGGCATTGGGCTGATCGAAATAGCTTTGCGAACTTGACTGTTTGTGCGACTCAGTGCTCTCATCGGAGGAACGAGCTGATGTCACCGCTTTTCGTCCTGGAGAAGGGGGGAGAGTAGGGACGGTCGTTGTCGTTGTGATTGTGGTGATCTGAGCAGCATTTTGTCTTGATTCACTCGTGGTTGGAAGGACGTATTTGACCAGGTTAGGTCGAGGCTGGTTGGAAGGTAGACTTGCTATGGTTCCTTGACTGGCATTCTGAAAATGATGAGGGTCAATACTGCAGCTCTGTTGGTTGAACAGGAAGATTAAGTACCTGGGACTTGACCACAGTTCCAGTTGGCATTTCATTTTCGTCATTGACGGAGAGATGCTCGAAGCGAGCCTCCAATGTTTTGGTGGCCATGGCACCGATGTCTGGGAGTGGGAAAACCAAGGGGACAAGCCTAAGTAGAGAAACGGTCGTTTGCTGTCGTAGTCGGTGATCTGGCTGTCGTCGGGACGCCGATGAGACTGGGGGATCAGTTTGTGGGGAGGGAGTCGATACGCAGCCATCGGTAAATAACGCCGTCGACCAGACAACGCGGGCTTAGTCAGCCACTGTGTTATCGATACCATTCCAAGTGCGGAGAATAGTAACAACGCCAAAACCACACTCTCATACTGACAACCCCTTGATTCGAAGAGCAAGCAGATACCAACATTGTCGTCATGGCCCTCAATGGACATCAAGCCCCTGATGAGATTAACGCACGCTTTCCTTCCCCCTCCGCTGCTCCTCCACGATCGTTTTCTATCGAGGGTTTCCGCGTCACGACGCAAAAATTACCTATCCTCAAGGCCGGGCCTATCGATGAAATGACCAATAAACTTGGGATTACTCCTCCGGAAATGATTTTTGGTGACAATTTTGTAGCAATTGAGCATGCACGGTCCGGCTGGGGAATCAAGTTTGACGCATTTGGGGCTTTGGACAGGGTCGACAAAACAGGCGAAAAGAGGCTGAAGGTGGCATACTCTAGAGAATGGCATCAAAGCCGAGAAGATACCCACGATATCAAAGAGGTCGTAAAGCCGTTCGACTGGTCCTACACTACCGACTACAAGGGTGACCTGGCTCCTGACGGACCCAAGTTCCAGCAGTCAACGGAAGCAATCCCCCTTGAATTATTGAGGCGACCGGATCCCATTTTGTTCTTTGATGATGTGATTCTGTACGAAGATGAGCTTGCTGACAATGGAATCACTATGCTCTCATGCAAGATTCGAATCATGCCGGCACGACTACTTCTTCTCTGTCGATTCTTCATGAGGCTCGACAACGTGTTACTCAGATTGCGCGATACTAGGGTATATATCGATTTCGAAGTGAAGGAGGTGATTCGAGAGTATGTAGCAAAAGAGGAGACGTATGACAAAGTGCGTGAGGCACTGGCCGGAAGGAGAGACGACGTGGCGGCTGTGCTTCGAGATGCAAATCAAGTGGCTGGCCTTCTGCCCATTGTCGAGAAGACCCTCGAACGGGCCGAGCTGGGAAAATGACGCTGTCTTCGGTAGAGTCAACCGCCCCGTCAAAGGAGTCGACCCTGCAATCCGACATCGTGTGCTTTATCCTTGGACCTTGTGCGCGAGGAAGGCCTATTTCAAGATGCGAAGGTTCAAAAAGAAGACATCAAGATAGCTGCGAAGGCGGCTAATCCATGCAACGGGACATATGCAGTTCAGGGCATCCTGACGAGGCCAAGGTTCGCACGGTCTCTTATTGCAAGATCGAAAAGACCCATATGATGATTATGGCGAACGTTTGGTCTACAGGAAGTCGATGGGCTGAGGAATTTTGTCCGCCGATTTCGCATGGCTTTCTCTCCGATCTGGTTTGAAACAATCCTTTGTCGACGTTTGACGTGTAAGGTCTATATTGAGTGGTGGGTCGCGTTGTGGATCGAGCTCATGAAGAACGAGGACAGACTTCCAACCTCGCTTCATGCTGCATTTTTCCGCGACCGGCGGCAATTCGAGCCTTCGAGTCTAGACCAATGACTGCAACGAGATATCTGCGCCTGACTGAGAGTGCTGGTGTGAACTTCGACGGGCTAAGCAACAAGTGTGAGGGCCAGCTAATTTCCACTGATCCAAAGCGGAATAATGCCAGCGATGTGAAATTTGAAACAGACCAATCACCAGACATCCCACTCTTTTTTCTCGAACTGCATCCCAATCCAGCCTCTCTAGCAGTAAAGCCACAAGAATGCGCCCGCTAGAGTCTTCAACCAGCTCTCTCTGGTCGTCGGCGACTGTTTTTGCGAATCTCCCCCGGCTTGGCAATTTAACCTTCCCCCGCCCCCCCGGCAAAGTCTAGGGGTCTTCCCTGGGCTGCCAAAGTCCACCCTCTTCTTCCCCTTGCGATTTCTGCCATTTCATTGACTCTGCGCGACTGTTTCGTCTTTGGGTTTTCGTGCCAACGGGCACAATGAGCCCATGCAAGGCTCTCTGGGTTTTCGCCTTGATTGTATGCCTTTGCAATGCATTGCCTTCAGTACCAATAGCTACTGATCCGATCCTCACAACTGAAACTGTTCCGACCGTTTTACCCTCTTTAGTTACCATTTATTCTGTTGTCCCCGCTACCGACGATCCCAATGCAATAGCAACAGTTACTACCACAGTCAATGGAAGAGAGACAATCTTGACCACCGCTGGCGGAGTGATCGCTGGGTCGGCGACAAGTACAATCATTTCAACTCTTTCCTTAACAACAAGTCAAGTTGTCGTCAACACTGTTGGGTACTCCACAGTTTTTGGACCGGACCCAACTACACCAGTAAGTTTATACAATATACAATGTTGATCAGGGGCCCCCATCAAAAGGGTGTGATAGGGAAAGAATTCTAGTGTCAGTGGAATATGCTTCTGGATCGAAACCACTTATCTTGTTGATACTGGCTTGCCGTCATTTATATCAACCACAAGGCTAACACATTCTTATTACAGACAACCGATCCTATTGTTGCACCTGCCGCAACTACAAGCACACCAGTCACAGCTCCAACCACGCCATCTGTAACATCTAATGGAGCTTTGACCACATTGACAGGGCCTTCTGTCACCTCTAGCATTGGCGATACTACTGTCAGCCTTGGAAGCTTGACATCGACCTCTGCAAAACCTTCGCCCGCATCACCCACAGCTGTTGGGGCCAGTGGTTCAACCTCATCTTCGCCCAAAGGACTCTCCACCGGCGCCAAGGTTGGTATCGGCATTGGTGTTGCCGTCGGAGTTATCTTGTTGGCTCTCCTTTCGTTCTTCCTTGGCCAGCGCTACTCAAGACGTCGCAACGGCTACGCCAGTAATACCGACAATGATCCGAACGCAGTTGCTGCGGAGGAAAAGGACACATTCCAAGCCGGTCATCCGTACGAACTTACCGGCTCAAAACACCATCCCTCCGACATCTCGACCGGGAAAGGCCATCAGTATTCAAGGACGACCACAGAAGTGGGAAGCGGCACGGAGTCTATGAGTGGTAAATCCTATGACATGACCACTTCTGGTTCTCCCACAAATCACAATGAAACTGAAGAGCTCTCGGCCCTTCCACAACTCAGAGATGACGGGCCAATGTATATTGGCGTGCCCTCGCACATGTCAGGATCAAAACGGTGGAGTATGAAAGAGTATGAGAAGTAACAGGCCTGAAAGTTTCCAAGCGAGTACTTCCGCAGAGGAAGCGCAAAGGGGATAACTGTTGAAGCACTGGTGTCCGAAATGGTTTCGCCGCTAAATGCGTTTGGTCCCATGCCCAGCTCGCCTCGACTAGCGATTTCCCGCTTGCAAAGACTGGTCCTATACGCGTTCTGCACTTCTCCCAGACATCAGATAATCTCAGCATGGATGCATCGGGTCAACAGGCCCCGGCGCCGTCAATGCCACTGCTTCAAGACGAATATTTTTCGATGCAAAACAGTTGGAGTGTGCGACCGTTTCATCGCGTCAGCCAGTGTTCAGGCCGGAAATGAGCTGCATCTACAGACACCAACTCAGAACCACTTGACCGCAAGATGCAGCGGCCAATTTCTCATGTCCCCGACTTCAACAGCTCTGGTGAATTCCAGCCCGCGCAATTCATTGAGCTTCCAGCCATGACGTGATGCTTCAGCTTTATTACGCGGGCCTGTAATTGAGTCACACTTCGTTCTGACACATATTTCTTTTGCTCGTTCACTTGATCGACATTCCCTTCAGTTTATTTTACGCACACGACTTATTTCAGACACCTTGAATCACAACAAGGGGATGGATTGGACAACAGGACCAGGGGCTGGGGAGACCTCTTCGGGGAGGACCTTTGGTATAGAAGATAATGTGTAATATCTAATCTAATCGGCATCTTGCACGTGACGGTGAGCCTCGTTCGACCCAAAGAAGACTAGCCTGCCAAGAACAATCACGTGCATAAATAGCTAAGTCAAGTCTGGCGGATGGCTCCGAATAACCCAACGTCTTGACTTTTTCCTTCTTTTTCACGATTCTAAAAATTGCACATTTAAAACCCCGCTGGCTATTACATCCCCTTCTGTCCATTACAAGACATCCTTTGTGCTCATCTGCGGTGGATGATTCACGATGCCAGCTCTATTGGAGGACCCAGAGTCGGCCGTGGTTTATCGGACATCAGGCCAGGGCCCGTATCCAACCTCGGACAATCCTCAAATTCCATCCTCCATATTCCCCAGGCCTGTCACACTCCGAGATCGCGTTACTGTTGCAACTTTGATACCATTCTTTTCTCCAGATGCCGTTCCCAAGAGACTCCTCTCTTACCTTAATGACAACCTCAATAAAGAAATCGAAAGTGGGGACACTTACCCAATGATCGATCCTTTACCTCTGGAGACCTTTGGACCCTACTGGTTTGGAAATTTTGGTGCGGTTATGGTGCTCGGCGATATCGGAGGCATTGAGGCTGTCACAGAAATGGACCGCAACGGTGCAGACTGGAATAAATTGTGTTTGGGAAGCTTTTATGTCAAGCCAAACTACCCTGGACGAAGCAGTCATGTTTGCAATGGAGGATTTTTGGTGACTCCTGCCGCTCGTAACAAGGGCGTGGGAAAGTCCATGGGCCAATGCTACCTCGATTGGGCGCCTCAATTGGTAAGTAATCGGAGAAGAAGGACTGGTGAGTCTGGCTCGGGCTCATGTTTCACTAGGGCTACACATATTCTGTTTTCAATCTGGTATATGAGACCAACACCGCCTCCACCAGGATATGGGACTCGCTCGGTTTCAAACGCATCGGACGAATTCCTGGCTGTGGTCACCTAAAGTCGTCTGATGAACCTGTTGACGCCATCATTTATGGCAGAGACCTCAAGTCAGACAGTGAAAATGACGTTTCTGAGGAGCGCTTCGACAAAATCCGGTACTATTTAAGACATCAAAACTATCCTCAAGGGGCCGACAGGTCGGAGAAAAGCCGACTGAGAAGTGCCGCCGTTCACTACAAACTGGTTGGTGGTGAAGATGGCGTCCCTGAAAAGCTGTTTTTAAAGGACAAGGAAGTAATCTCAGATCCTCAAGCACAGTACCAGATAGCCAAGGATATCCATCTGCAGGCTCATGGAGGGATCAATAAAACCACGGCCATCATAGCGACCAAGTATCACTGGATTCGGATCAAAGAAACGGTCAGCCATGTGATCAAAAATTGCCCGGAATGCAAGGACGTGAACAAACCACCGATGATTCGCTCAGAGAACCGGCCAGGTCGGAGCAAAACTATCGATGAACCTCCGCCATCATTACCACAACCTCAACCAGAACCAGAACCGGCAACGGACGTACAACGTGCTCCCCCGGAAGAGAATCTTACCGCGAATCATATATCTGATCACGACTTCGCATCGATGCAGCAACCAATGGATCTTGCCAACGAACACCTCGCCGATGCCGATGCACACCTTCACGCATATGACGAGATGGCGATAGATCCGCAGATCATGGAACAGATCGAGGCACAACTGGCGTCTGAATATGAAAACAACCCTCACGCCTATGTTCAGGCCGGGCTATCCCCTTTCACCGGTCCGCCACATCTACAGACGCATCACAATCCGCACGAGTTCGACCACCAGAATCAGAACCATCAGTTCATGCATGATCCCAACCCGGCCATGATGGCTCATGATCATGTAATGGATGATGGTGGCGCAGGCACAGGACTAAGCAACATGCAACCGATGCAACACGTATTGCCAATGGACTATATTGGTCCAAATAACGATCAGCAATACAAACTTGAACAATAAGTTGGGCGCCGGCGTTTGGTTCTTTGATGGAGTATGGCTGAACTCTCTGCCAACTTGGTGAAGGTGGGCTCAGGAGCATTGGCACATATTCAAGGGTACTCTTAGACATGGAGATGTATCGATCAGCAACAGGGGGTTTCAGTGATGTAACTTTTGATGACGATATTCATCTTTCGAGTCAGTCACCGTAGGGGCCAGATGGTCATAGACTGTTGTAGACAAAATACCGCATTTTTGATGAGGTCTCACTTAAAAGCGGGTTTCTTTGCATGACAACATCAAGAGAGAGAAAACGAATTGATCCAACCATCTGTCAGCCATTGTTGGGATAGCATGCTGACATCTTTGACGTACTATCCAGATCCATGGGGTGGCGAGAGTGTGATATTGCTAATTGCCTGTCTGACAAACATGATTCCCCGCACCGGGTCTGCAAAATCCAAATATTGAGTGTAGAGTATTTCCGTCAGACAACATAGAATTTTTTAATTGGTTGGCCATCCATCTGGCAATCAATCGTCGTTGCTTCATTACCGTTCCATTGATAATGCTCTTCCACTGCTTTCTGGGAGCATTGATTCATCTTGCTCGCCGGTGGCAATGACCGTGCAGCTTATATAATTTGTCCGTCATGTCGTCTGATAAATGGACACCATCAAAATAAAGAAGCCATCGCGCCCTCCTCCTCGATTGCGGACCAAGACTGGATGCTATAAGTGTCGGGAACGACGAAAGAAGTGCGATGAGAGAAGGCCAATCTGTACGGCATGTGAGAGACTCCAGATTGAATGCGTATATCGGTCACCAGCGAACCATTCGAATGCGTCGCCGGAGACTTCGCAGGCGTCGCAGCGTACACGGACGCCAGACAGCCTGATCGACTCTCTACCAACCATATCGCCTCGAAATACGTCGTTGTGGCTTCGCCCTGCGGGTTTGAGGACAGAACAAGACTGGAATATATTCCAGTATTGCTCGACGAGATATATTCAACTCCTGACCTCACCCGATGCCACCTCTGAATTTCGAGATGTTTCGTTCGTATTTGCTATTGGCTTTGACGAACCGTGGGTGATGCATGCCGCTCTCGCTCCAGCCGCGCTCCACGCTTCGTGTGCTGCTCTCATTCCCAAGGAAGATGCCATGATCTATACTCAAAGCGCGATCCAGGGACTTCGACAGGCTATTCAGGCTCCGACGCGCCGGCATACTTCCCGGGAACCCTTCCTCGCTGCTACCCTCTTTCTCGGCGTATTCGAGGTGAGTCCCACGCAGTTCTTCGCTCCATAACTGTCGATTTTGATATCTCATAGGACTTCTATTCTTCCCACGCTAGCCAGAGCTTAACTCACTACTGTGCCATGGCCCAGGTCCTAGAAGAACAAGCTGTGATTGTCCCACGATTTGAAATTTCCCAGCTTCCGGTTTTCTGGCGAACGCTACTCGATTCGGTTCTTTATCACTTCTCCACCAGGCTGATATTCGAGCAGGACATTGATGCTATCTGCAATTCGTTCCCTTGCCAGACTGTGGCCAAGTACATTGACGCACTCGAAGGCGAAAGCAAAGGCTCAGGACGGAACTCTTCGATATTACCAGTTCTTGGGAGGACCCCTCCCGGTCTCTTCCTTCAAATCTACCAAATAACATGGCTGAGCAGACAGCTTCCGTTCAACTACGGACATAACTACGCCTTGGCTTTACAGTGCTGGACGGAGTTGGACCACTTTCAGGAAACATGCACTGCCATTGGATCCGAGGATGTCGAACCGACTGAAATCAGTGGCAGCATGGGGACAAGCAATTCTGAGATTGCGGCTAAGCTCTACTTCCTGGCAACGCGGATATTCATTGCCAAAGTCCTCAATCCAGAAGGAGTCTGCAATACTTCTCCGCATATATACACCCTGTTTGCGAAGGGAGTCGAATTGCTGAAGTTATATGATGGCAGCGCACCCTGTGGACAGTTTATCTGCTGGCCAATACTCATCTTGGGCTGCACAGCGTGTCCGGTGACCAACCTGGAAGCAGCAATTGACTACCCCCACGACACCCCAAGCGAGCGGCTTCGCTGGGAAATGCGGGTTCTGATTCAGAATCAACTTTTGGATATTTGGAAGGTGTCTTACTCTGGCTATGTGAGACGTACAGCAGGTGCTCTTGAGCGAATATGGAATCTACCTGATATTCTGATCAAAGCTCCCGATGATGGATATTCGTCAAGTTCTGGGGTAGAGTACGATGGTCTCAATGCTTTAATTTACAAAAAAGGGTTAGGAACAGCATTGTTATCGTCGGGAAGCGCCTAGATGAATATTTCTCTTACGCTCGCTGCTTCAAACATCTATCGACTATCCGTGCCACCTTCAAACACTCCTCATCTCGCATTCGGCTGGTGAAAATCTGAATCGAGCAGGGAGCTCCATCTTGAATCTCCGGTTGATCTGAGGAGTGTGTTAGTCGATGAATTTGATGGCACCATTGCGACTTACAACTGGGCCCGCCTTGTCCTGGTTGCATCTTCATGGCCTCAGGATCCCGGTCCTTGGATGCTTTCGAGAAGGGTATGACACAGGCAGGATACTTCAAAATGTTAGTTAAACACATGTCGCAAGAGATTGGAGACGGCATACATCAAGGACATTGAGGAGACAGGTATAGGGCGGCCATCCAAATGTATCATGGGGAACTGCGGTGCTTTGTGCCGGAGGAGCGATCACAGCATCCAACTTCCTCTCCGACCATATTTGTCGCCAGTGTTCGGAGATTTCTTGTCGTTTGACGGTCAATGCCGCAAGCTTGTGCAAAGAGTCCAGCTTCTTGAGGTCCGGGACGAATCGGTAATTTCCAACGTTTGCCGGTCCATACATCCTTGCCACCGAAGGCACCATGGGTTCACCGCTTGCTCTTGTATGTCCCATCGACGTCTCCGGCTCAAGATTAAAGATCTCGCAGGCCACCTCTGTTGCATCAGCAATATGACAATCGGCAGCACCCAGGGGAATCATCTGGTGGCCTTCAGCTTCAAGCCGTTTCACGGCTTCTGTCAATGCTCTCTTGGCCGGAGGATGGAGTGGATAAAGAGGGTCCTCCGGCAAGATGCCAATCTTGAGTTGAGACGGGGCATCGCCTTTCAGTCGCCGCCAGGGAACGTCAATTGCAGTGGAATCAAACATGGCTGGTGTTGAATCAATGACGGCTTCAGTAAACACTTCCAAAGCTTCGAAATCATTGGCAAGAGGTCCTGCGCAGGCAACAATTGGCTTCAGACCAGGAAGAGAGGGTGAAGCCTGACCTCCATATGGGATTCGAGAGGATGTTGGCTTGAAGCCGTAGGTACCACAACATAACGCGGGGATACGGATCGATCCTGCAACGTCTGTTCCAACACCTAGAGGCGAACCTCGGAATGCCACCAAAGCTCCCTCTCCGCCACTAGAGCCTCCGGCATTCAAGGCCGTGTTATGAGGGTTCAAAGTCCTTCCGAAAATATTATTATCGGAGTCTGCAGTCATGAGTGTTTGAGGGATGTTCGTCTTGACGTAAAGAACCGCTCCCAAACTCAACAGAATATCCACCAACGCTGAGTTTGCCTCCGCCTTCTTTCCGAGGAATGAAATGAATCCGATGGAAGCCTCAGTACCGGTGACTTGGAAACTATCTTTGACACTGACAGGAAGCCCATGCAAGGGACCAAGGATCTTTCCTTCGCTCCTGGACTGATCAAGATATTTCGCCCTCGCAAGGGCATCTTCAAAGAATGTCTCTGTGAGACAAGAAGTCTATTTTCCCCAATCGTCAGTAGTCTTGCGGTTATCCATCAAGTGAAAGGCTCACCAATTGCTGGGCTATTGCAGCCCTTTTGGAGAAGGCTGTCGTGACCTCAAGAGAGGTGAACTCTCCCGAAGCGAGTTTAACTAGCAATTCCGAAACCGTGTATTTCTCGGTGATGTCGATCTCGCGGTCAGACAAAAGCCCCGACTTTCTTGGAATGTCCATGTCAAGCAGCCTATTGGGATACATGTCTAATGGAAAAGCCAGAGATTGGAGAATTGAGGGAGGAAGCTGCCATGCTGCTGGAATAGCCTCTCGACATTGTCGCTGTTTTTGAGCGGCTTTGACCTGCCAGTTGGCTGCATGACTCTGGTCATTGATGCTACCGTCGATAGATCCCATTTTCACCAATTTACTGATTGTCCTATGCTTCCCAGTGAGTAGTGTATAAGTAAGATATCTATCTACTGAATATATACATATTCTTCGTCTGGGAGGAACCTCGGTCCGTAGCTTACCCTCCGGAAGAAGACATTTACTGCTCGATACCCGGTGATATTACGCCTGATTGGATATTCGTTGTCAGTATGTTCTTTATCGACCATCTCGGCATTGTCTTTCATTCCCCCCATCTCGTCGATCCCCTCAACCCCAGCGCCAACGTCGTATATCGCACTTCTCCGCCAGACTCTGACCAATTGGTATTCTTTGCGCCCTCCAATCATATCGGTTTGCGACATGGCTGAACAGCCTCAGAAGCAACGGGACTCTTGACAGGTTACGCAATAGCAACATTGTTGTTAGTGTTTCCGACTTCACGAGCAAACTTAGCTTCGACCCACGTTTCGAAAATCGACGTGTGCTGGCGTGTCTTCCAGGAATAAGGCCGTAACTTTCTTCGCCTGTTGATTGTCCCCCCTACGAGTTTTGCACACTTGTTGTGGCGGCTGAGGACATAGGGCCGAATGAAACATTTGATAAACAGGAACCTTGTCCGAGCCTTGTGAAAGATTCTCGGCGCGAGCGACTTGCGAAGATGGCCGGATCTGATATTTCCTCTCTCCTGCAAACACTGGCCGCAAGGCTGGATAGGGATCCTGGCATTCCGGTTGACAATCCAACTGCATCTTTCTGGCAAGACCCCCCTCACTCTTTTGCTAACCAGCAGTCTCAAACGCTGCCAAAGGCGGCGGACATTGTCATTATTGGTTCGGGAATCACGGCAATAAGTACCGCACAACACTTGCTGAGGCTTAACTCATCTTTAAAGATGGCTATGCTTGAAGCCAGATCTGCCATATCAGGAGCTACCGGCAGAAATGGCGGTCACATTAAGGCTGTTCCCTGGGCTGATTACTACGCTCTCAAGCAGGAGTTTGGGAAAGAAAGTGCAATGAGGATCACCAAATTCCGTCTCGCCCATCTTGATGCCCTTGCCAATGAAGCAGCTGCATTAGGTGAGGCTGGGAAAGCTGGCTTGGTACGTCGTGTTCAAGGTGTGAGTGCGGTTTTCGATGAGGAGACCTGGAAATTGGCGAAGGTCAAACTTGAAGCATGGCACGAGGACTTTCCTGAAGAGCGTGACTGTTGGAGTATCGTCGAGGGAGGGCCAGAGCTGAAGGTATGGCGGTTGTGCTGATGTCATCCGCAAAATCAACTGACCGGTACACAGAAATTGGGAATTATCAATGCCTACGGTTGTATTAAGGGCCCTGCAGGAGCTGCCTGGCCATACCGCCTTCTCGGATGCGTATTATCGCGGATGTTAGAAGGCGGACAATTGTCACTCGACACCAATACGATTGCAGAACATGTCCGTCGAAGTCGCTCAACAACTCACCCGTACGAGGTTCAGACATCAAGAGGCACGATATCCGCTAAACATGTCATTCATTGCACCAATGCCTACGCAGCACATTTGCTTCCTGCGTTGAAAGGCAAGCTTTGGCCGCTGAGAGGTCAAATGACAGTACAATCAGTACCTAACGATTTCCCACGAGTCGGTGCAGAGAGATCGTGGAGCACTGTGTGGGCTAAAGGTTTTGACTACGTCACACAGTCTCCTGACGAAGACGGCTCTTTGTACCTCGGAGGCGGCTTCTTCCAAGGCGGACCGGAGAAAGATGAAGACGTAGGAAATACGGATGACAGTCAGTTGAGCGCAGAGTGCTTGAAGCATCTTGATACAGTGCCGTCCAAGGCCTTTGTCCATGGGACAGGCGCCAAAACACAAAGAAAATGGACTGGCATCATGGGATTTACTGGCGACGGATTACCGTTAGTAGACCGTGTAAGAAGCTTCCTTTCTGGACGAGAGGACTGCGATTCCAGTAATGGCGGTGAATGGATCGCTGCTGGGTGGGATGGGTATGGAATGGTTCATTGCTGGCTGGCTGGAAAGGGGCTGGCAATGATGGTGACAGGGCAGGAAACCGGTATTCGTGATTGGTTCCCCAAGGATGAGTTCGCGTGTACGAAGGCGAGACTGGACAAGATGAGTCCTGAGGGGGCCCTGAAACGATTCCTTGGACTTTTGCAGACGTAGAGGGGAGATCAATTCGACATCCGAGTCCCGATCCGACCCAGACGATATGCAATTGCCACATGGCCGCCTTGTATACGGACATCATGTTGCATAATGAAGACGATATACGTACGTCGTACCCCACTCTGTCGAGACAAGACCAGAGAGGCAGTCCTAAAGTCGTCTTGACCTTTTCAACCCGAGGGGCCGCTAACAGCGCGCATTGGGAATTGATTGGAGGAACTAAGAGCGACATTATCGCAGTTCAGCGATTTAAGTTCGGACTTGAGCTTTATCAAAAGTTTCCTCGGCACTTCTTGGAGGTGCCCGGCCGTCAATTAATGGGCAATGGATGATAAGTCGCTGTTCGCAAAGAGTCTCCCAAGGATTTCTAGACATCGATAACAACAATCCCGCCGTGGCATATCTCTGCTACTATCAATACTGCTCTACAAAAGGGTCTTGGATTTCCCCCCTTTCTCGTCAGGCTGTTCCATCTCCATACATCTCTCATTTGTGATTGGAACATATCTCCATTCAAGATGACTCTCGACAGACTCCCCCCCGGGACCCAGCGTATTGAGGACAAAACAGGAGAGAAGATTCTCCTTGCACCTCAGCCAAATGCGGACCCAAATCAGCCCCTAGTGAGTATATGTCTCTACACCACGTTCAAACCACGAATAAGCCACGAATCCTCACTGTGTTGCCATAGAACTGGTCGAAATTCCGTAAGGCCCTGCATATGACGCTCCTCTGTTTCTATGCCTTGATGGTCTTTGCTATGTGAGTCCTTCGCCTAGCCCGTCGTCACCGATCGAGACTGACTCTTCTAAGTCTCTGCGTTGCAGTTCCCCTCTGGCAAGATTTCAATACCGAGCTCGGTATGAGCTATGCGGTCCTCAATGATGGCTATGCAACCAACATGGCCACCCTATCTGTTGGATGTATCATTTTCGTCCCCATCGCTCTCCGCATCGGGCGACGACCGGTCTATATCCTTACAGCACTGGTTATGCTTGCTGCTGCAATCTGGCAGGCCAAGATGCGCACCGTGGGAGACATGATTGGGGCCAACGCCATATCTGGTCTCGCCGGCGCTGTCAACGAGGCCATTTTCCAAGTCACAGTATGTCGACCTCTCATCGCTTACCCTATCATGTACCTTAAACTCATGATCTCTATCTCCAGGTTTCGGACCTCTTCTTCGTCCACCAACGAGGCACCATGAACGGAATATACCTCGTCGTCGTCATCATTGGCAACTACCTTGGTCCCGTAGCAGCGGGCTACGTCGCCGTCTCCCAAGACTGGCGCTGGTGTTTCTGGTACTGCACAATCTTCATGAGCATCGTTACACTCGCCATGATCTTCCTCCTGGAAGAAACCAAATATACTCCGTTAGTCCTTGAGGGTCGCGAAGTGGTCGTTTCCACCACTCAAAAAGACCACCTTACCAAAGTCACCAGCTCTATCAAAAGCGCACTGGGCTCTATTTCCGTCGATGCAACTGAGGCCGCTAACAACGACCGTCGCCGCCTTGTCGAGATCGACGCTTCCATCCCTATGAACTCGTACTGGAAACGCCACAGGTTCTTCAGTCTCGACAAGCAAACTACCACTGAACGCCGCCGTCTCTGGATGCATTTCTACCAACCATTCCAAATCCTGTTCACTTTCCCTGCCGTCATGTTCGCCGCGCTACAATATGGTTTTCTTATCGCGATGCTGGCCATTCTCGCCGTTACACAGGCGACATTATATCCATTCCCACCGTACAATTTCTCGCCAATCGGCGTGGGTAACGTATGTTCTCTCAAGCCTTGTCCCGTGTTGTCCGAGACAATCATTTTCTTCATCCTTCCCTGGTTGTCAACCAAGCTATTTCTCGCGAAAATCGTGCACATATACAGTTTCATGAAGCGTAAGGTTCAAGGGACCTTGTACATCTTGAAACATTACATCTGCCATTTCTCTAATCTATCAGACCAGAATCCGACGTCCTTGAATCCATCATATGACCAGATTGCTGACACGAGTTTTGGGGGAACAACAGATGAACTTGCCCCCTGCTATTGGTGCTGTGCTTGGCAGCTTATTTGGAGGTCCTCTGAACGATTATTTCATCTTACAAGTCGCGAAGAGGAGGAGTGGTATATACGAGCCTGAGACACGGCTGTGGCTGTTTTTGATCCCGGATTCTGCATGCCGATTGGTTTGTTCATGTATGGATTAACTATTTCAAAGGTAGGTGAATACTCACTCAAGTTTGACGTCCCCCGTTCAGGAGACCTAGCGAATGAGATATATATATATATATGTTGACGGGGTTTCTGTATTCTAGGGGATGTCATGGCCCATCAACGCGGTCGGGGCCGGATTCATTGGCGCAGCGATCGGAGGCTGCGGCGATATTGCGTTGACTTATTGTCAGGATTGTTACCAATATGTACGTCAAACCCTTCTCAACCAATGACCCTCTTTCTCCCCTTCCTCTTTTCCTGTATTCTCTTTCTCCAGAGAGCAATACTTACCCCATTCTCCCATTGCTTTAAGAGATCGACAATGATGACTTTGTGAAACATCTAGATTCTCGGCGACGCACTCACATCCGTCGTCTTCGTGCGGAATATCATTTCTACCGCTCTCGTCTTCGCCATTACGCCGTGGATGAACAATATGGGCGTCTACGATATGTTTGTTCTACTCGGCTGTTTGGGTATTGCTGTCGCATTGACGTGTGTGCCGTTGATTGTTTGGGGACGGACATGGCGGGCAAAACTTGCGGACAGGTATGAGCATTTTGCTGCGAAGCAGTATTGATACGCAAGAGAAAAGAAAAGTTGGGTGTATAATGGGTTATGATTTTGGATTTGAGCGCGAGTTATGTTCTGTTATGAGTTGGACGGCAAGTTCAGGCCTGTGGAAGGCCTGGTAGCCTCTCTCAAATGTGAAGCCGTGGTTAGGTATGTGCTATGCTATACAATGCTATATGCTATGAAGCGACGAAAGATTCTCGCTTGATGTTCTGTCCGGTTCTAGGTCATGGGTCTAGGTTTGTATGTTACTTTTGTTCGAAAGGCCTGGCTTGACGAGGCCGAATGAAATACATATCCTCTCAAGAATCCTACCATATACTTCCTGTATCCTCCCTATGTACCTATGCATGCATACAAGACTCGAACTCATTTCGCCAACAATCACAGGCTGGCGAGCTCGACATCTTCGTCCACCCTTCACCTACTCAACTCTCAATATTTATCGTATGTTGGCACTACGTAATCTCTTTTCCCCTCAGTGCTCAAGAGCACAACGACAGCATCCCTATTATTCAAACCCGCCGGCTCCGGATCCGTCGCCGCAGCCTTCCTCAACGCCGCCAGCGCTGCAGCACCACAAGGGCCTGCATTCACACCATGCCTCTGCAAATACTGCACGGCGTCATGACACTCCGCGTCCGAGACCGTGATGGCGGCATCGACCCCCTTCTCAAACACCGGCCATGAAATCGGCGATACCGTCCCGCAATTCATTTCATTCATAATTGTCGCTGAGGTTGGGATCGGGCTCCATTTGCCCGCCTGGAGATTCTGGTACAGACACGCCGCAGTCGTTGGCTCGACTGTCAATACCTTTACGTATCGTCTGTTTGATTTACAATGTGCAATGGCCGCATGGCCCAGCGATCCGACGCCAATTGGCGTCACAATTGCCGTGGCCTTTAAACCTTGCCTGGCGAGTTGGTCCTCCACTTCGAATAGGAGCGTCGAGTAGCCCTCAACGGTCCAAGCCGGGATCTGTTCGTAGTTTTCGAACGCGTTATCTTGCACGAGCAAGCCGTTGTTGGGAGTTGCTTGGGACTCTCTATGCGCCATAGCCACAGCATCGTCGTGAGAACCGTCACAGCCACAGGAGGCACCTTCCTTCTCGATTTTCTGTATCGTCCATGCGTCGGCGAATTTCGACATGAATATACGCACGAGAATGCTGAGTAGTTTGCCCATGCGCGCTACCGCGCGGCCGTGGTTGCCTTCGGTTGCGGCGAAGAGGATTGTACCGGCTTTCTGCGCGGCAGAGGCGATTTCGTCGAGGCTCGAATTCGAGTTGGGGATTGGATCTGGATCTGAGTTGGTGTGATTTTGTGTCTGCAAGTCAATGATGGCGCGAACTACGCCCCATGATGCACCCAGGATTTTAAATGCAGGGAGACTGAGACGACTGCTCTCGTCTTTCACGAAGATGGTGTTGACGCCTAGCTGTTTTGAGAGGTCGGGGAGAGGGATCAAGGGGGTTTCTTGGTAACCTTGAAGACGACGGTGGAAGGCTTGAATCGGTGCCATGTCTGTGTTATCGGTATATATCCACGATTTTGCATCGGGATTGGTGTAGATTGATGAGGTGGACATGGTTGTATCAATGATTGTACAGATCAGAAGAGCAGCGTTTTAGGCTGAGATGTTAGCGAAGGAGGTGGAGGTTAGAGCCTTGGAGTCCGCTTCGTTCAATGCCTCTGTAGAATGTAAAGAGCACCCGTCTCGTCATCAGGCTGTGCCATGCCCTGTTGCATGATCATCTCCTGGTCGATGCACGCTTATAGCTCTCTCAACTGAGGATTGTCAGTATTTTGCCTTGCTTTGCCTCTTTTCATTTCTTACATACACTTCGAAACAAAAGAGGAAATGTCCCATCAAGAATCGAACTTGTAAAACAACAGGCTTTTTTCCGTAAACTCCAGGTCCGGTGTGAAACAAACCCACAATTTAGAGGATATGGGAATTCTCGGATCGGAGATATTTTAGTCCGCGCTGCCCAATCGGAATTGCGGATTATAGCCCCAAGGCTGCAGGAAGTGTAAAATTCTTGAGGAATCAGCTACGCCACACTATTCCAGCCTCAGGCCGAAAGCCACGGGGCTTGCAGCTATTGGTCGCCTCGTTACTAGGCAATAAGCCTATCGAACAGTGGCCGACTTCTCTCGTCATTCCATTCGCAAGGGTAGCTTTTCTTGCCACCAACTGATTGGCCACCCACAGTCACATCGCGGCCCAAACGCTTGTGCCGGTCACTCAGGTTCTCGCTGCTGACGCAGTCAAGCAGACAACGAATCTGTCCATGGCAGGAGGCGAGGTGAAAAGGAAGAAGGCTCATCGCAAGCACGGTGACACCAGAACATACAAATCACACAAACGATCCGAAGATGACACCACAACACTCAAATCTGTCGTTACCACTGACCGTCCCGCCGACATTGACGCTCTTCGAAAGGCAAGACTCGCATATATAGCCAAATCACCGGACGAAAGACGAAAAGAGATGAAATATGAATATGTGAAACGGTCCAGGACGGTGTCGCAGGTGGGTGGGGAAGGAGAGAAGCGACACAAGACACCTCGCCATCGTTCTCCAGATCGAGAAGGCACGCGAACAGAGCGACGCTCCACCAAGCGCCGCACAGACGATGAGAGACGCCGAACGCCCCGAGATGATAGCGAAGACGAATATGTGTATGAAAAACCAAAGAAAACGTCGGTTCATGACGAAGCGCATACGAAAACGTCCACAAGGCAAAGGACAAAGACCGCAGAACCGAATATGAGGGGAATAGACGAAAGACGACGGATACCAGAGCGCCGGCACACAGAACCGGCGAGACAGATAGAGTCGCAGGATGTAGATCAAGAAGAGTAAGTGGTGCCTTTGCCCTAGATATTTGCTCATGCTGATCGCCTTTTCCAGGCAACCTCGAGGCGCAGACCAGTGCGAACCACCACAACCACAACGTCCAAGCACCGTTTTGATCGAAAAGCCCCAGCGGCCCTCTCTCAAGAGAAGCGCAACATCCACAAGACCAAAGACTGAAGTGAGCAGTATAAAACCGTCGGAGGCGAATGTGACTCCCAAGAAGGCCCCCAGTCTCCTCAGCGGATTCCTCCCTCCCAAACCGGTACCAGCGAAGAAAGTCTCATGCCTGACATGTGGCGCCGACGATATCCCGATTTCTCAATCAGCCCGACTACCATGTACGCATCGAATGTGCAATTCATGTCTCAAGCGGATTTTCACCATGTCCGTCAAAGACCCAGCGCACATGCCTCCTCGATGCTGTACAGATCAGCACATCGACCTCAAACACGTTGACAAACTCTTTGACCAAAAATTCAAGGTTCTATGGAATCGGAAGTTCGACGAGTACAAGACCAAGAACCGGATATACTGTCCGGCACGGAAATGTGGGGCTTGGATCAAGCCGCATTATATCACCGTTGAAAATGGTCGCAAAGTGGGACGTTGCAAGCAATGCAAAACCCGAGTGTGCGCGATTTGTTCGCAAAAAATGCACACGACACGCGACTGCCCCAAAGATCCGGCGACGAAAGCCTTTGTCGAGGTCGCGAAAGCCAAGGGCTGGCAGCGATGCTACAACTGTTCTGCAATGGTTGAGCTGAAAGAGGGATGCAACCATATGACGTGTCGCTGTACCGCGGAGTTCTGCATGGTGTGCGGCTTGAAGTGGAAATCATGCGATTGTCCCTGGTTCAATTATGAAGCCGTCGATGAGCACCTTGGTGACCCAGTGCGATACCAACAGGAACTAGACCGGAGGAGAGATCAAATTGATCGAGATGAAGCGCTGGCCCGACGCATGCAACAAATGGGTCTGGGCGGCAATGGAGCTGATGACCGAGAGGAAGTTTTGCGCCTCGGTAACGCGGCTAATCATCATATGAACCAGAACTTCATCCAACAGGCACGCGAAGCGTTGACGGCCAACTATGCTCAAGCCGGTCAAGCGGCCAGAGATCTTCTGAATGGGTTTGTCATGGGTAGGGAGAATCGTCTGCCTGGAATGCCGATGCAGATGGACCAGATGTTGGACATGCTGGGTCAGGGCCGTATGCATGATCCGGCAGAGGAGATGCAAGGCCAAGGTCAGGCCCGCGGACCTGGAAGACGACCGACGGTGAGGCGAAGAACGGCTGGGCCAGATGCAGCCGGAAATCGTGGAGATGAAGAGAGGCGCTTTCACGATTGGGCTAACAATGTGGCGGCATGAGCTCAACCAGTGGGTTAACGAGAGATATGCGACGCAAAGCGGACGCCGAGTTCGACAAACGGCTATGGATATGGATGTGAACACGGATATGGACCTCAACCGGATTCGGCGTCTGGTTGCTGGATGCCAAGGTCTCTGAGGATGGAACGGGAAATTTCACGAATGGTTCCGAAAAGACGCGATGGGAATAATGTTCTTATTTGCTTTGACAGCTTTGCTTGGTATATGACGACGACAGGACTCATGACCTCTGGGCCCCTTGCTCAGGGAATGACTTTGCCTTTTCCGCTGGGATAGCACCGGTGTCTTGCTCTGGAATGCCCGCTTTGTGGGTTCCTGGTTATCGGTATGTTTCCGTGGATCTGGGTACCGGCGAATAATACGTATACATATTGCATATTTTGAGGCTATGGCCGTGATATCTAGGCGAGAATGAACGTTCATATATGCTGTCTTCACCCGTTGACGTTCACATTTATGAGCGGTGAGCTGAATTGGGAATTCGTTGCTTTTGATTTACTAATTAATCTTTTCGCAGGACCTTTTCTTTTGAGATGACCTTTTCCTTCTATCCTGGCCGGATGGTCTTGTCCCTTACCTTTGCGCTCCTCGTCTTCCCATTTTGTGATTTCTGTAATCAGTGACCTCTTTTTTCTCTCTTTTACCTCTTAACCAAACAATATGGCGTCTCTGTTCAATCTCACTTCGTCTCGGACTCATGCCCACACAAGCAGTTCACTGGCTGAACAACGTTTCCAACTCCTTCGCCACTGCATCACCCACTTCAACCGTTGAACTATTCCCACCAATATCCCTCGTCACGATCCCCTTGTCAATAACGATCCTCACCGCCTGTTCGACCAATACACTCTCCCTCGCCATATTCAAACTGTAAAGTAACATCATTGCCACGCTAAGGATTGCTGCCACCGGGTTAATCACGCCCTGGCCTGCAATATCCGGCGCGGAACCGTGAATTGGTTCGTAGATCCCGTTGCACAGACCCTCCCCATCAGGCACGCCACTGAGACTCGCGGAAGGCAACAGGCCCAAACTGCCCGGGATAACGGATGCTTCGTCGGAAATGATGTCGCCGAACAAGTTCGAAGTGACAATGACTCCGTTGAGTGCTCTTGGGTTCTTCACCATGATCATTGCTGCGGAATCGATCAGCTGATGCTCGAATTCTAGCTGCGGGAATTCCTTCTGCATCGTCTCCGTCAATACACGGCGCCACAGTCGACTGGTCGCGAGCACGTTCGCTTTATCGAGACTCCAGACTTTAGACGGCGGGTTCTTCGCCAGCGCAAGACGCGCCGCGAGACGCGTGATGCGCTCGATTTCTCTCCGGGAATACGGTTCGCGGTCCTCAGCCCATTCGTCGGCGCCGTCCGAGGGGTTCCCTTCGACACGATCCCCGAAGTAGATGCCGCCCGTCAATTCGCGGACGATCATGAAGTCGGTGCCGGTGCAGACTTCTTCTTTGAGCGGCGAGCGGGCAGTAAGGGACGGGGACGCGAAGAAGCAGGGGCGCAAGTTTCCGAACGTGCCCATCTCCTTGCGGAGCTTGAGCAGGCCTTGTTCAGGACGGATCTTGCCAACGCCGTATTTGGGGCCGCCGATGGCGCCGAGCAGGACGGCGTGCGCAGATTTCGCGGCGGAAAGGGCCGAGTCTGTTAGGGATGTGCCGTGGGCATCGATCGAGCACTGCGTGAGGATGAGGGAGGATGTGAGTAAGATAAGGGAGATGTACATTAGATGATAATCGTAGCATTGAGACAGTCGCAGGGACACGGACAAGAGGGACGGCTTCGATCAACTTATGCACCCAAGGGAACGGGCAAGATGGAATAGAAAAGGATTGATTTGAATGGCACTCACCCCCCCCAGCAAATGGTCTTGAAAATTGAACTTGACGTCCTTAGAGCATTTCTCCACAACCTTGAGAACCTGCATGCGGGATTGTAACAGTCAGCAACTTTAATTGCTTTGACATGAACCGTAGCGTTCGTCTTCGTATTCCGACACGAACCTTGACGGCTTCTTTCGTCACCTATGCATTTATACCAATTGAACCGTTAGCCACGCAAAACCCTTTGGCGTATTAAGAGATTGTTCTGAAATTGCAAGGGGAGAGAAACAAACCTCCGGACCCGCGTAATCCCCCGCGAAAACCACAATGTTGTACGTAGGCATCTTGATTCTTTGGTCTGGAACTTGAACTTTGGCTTTTGCTTGTTCTCTATTCTTCGCCAATATCACTCACTCTCTTCTTTTTGCTTGGTATGATATGTCACAAGGGAGATCTTTCGTTTCCGAGGAAAGGAGGAGCAAAGCCAAAGAAAGCAACGAGATGAGATCAGAGGTGGTGTTGTTTAGAATCAGATTGTTTCTGAATGGATGGATCAAATGTTAACGTCTCTGGCCTGGCCGGTATCGGGTCTCTGGCTCAGGCACTGCAAAGAGAAGTTTTTGATGCCGGCCCGTAGTTCCACACTGGACAAGCGAAAGGACGATGGACTCGAGCGATACAGAAATTCAGATGATGCATCAACAGCTTCAGATATCTGCAGATAAAATGGCATCGAAACCCAACGGCGAATTGATCCACCTTTTGGAACGGAGTCACGTGATGTGCATAGACCACGTGATCGCATGCCCAAAAATCTGTCTGCGAGCGGCTTCTTCCTCCATAATACCCTCGCGCTCACGTATTGGTGCATATCTCCTCTCGGGAAGCGGCTGCATCGCGTATGAATTCATCACTGCCGTCTTTTCCCCCGAGGGATATGACAATCGTGAATGAACTAACCGACAAGGTCCCCAGAGTTTCCACAGGTAAAAGTTTCCTTGATGTTACTAACCGAGGTCAGCCGTCAACGTTCAAAGGTGCCTCCCTGACAGCATCTTTCTGGCCACTTATATCAATCGATTCCACTAGACACGAGATAGAGACTCCCCCTTTTCCTGTTGTCCTCGGCAGGGTGCAGCTGAATCAAAATGACTTTGCTATCAAATGGTTCAGATTCCCAATTTGGACCAGCGTATTCAGGACCCTTTAGAAACTTCGAATTCATCCTCCTCTCTGAAGAAACAAGCCCGACCACTGTGCCTGCCACCACTTTTCTCATTACAACTGGAGTCGGGCCAGTATGGAAAGTCACAACCTTTTTCGGCCGTAGATCATCCAATCTCTGTTAAATTGGGCCGTCTTCTTTATGATAGAGAAGATATCTGATGTCGGTGTCCTTGTTGAAATCTTCATACAGCTTATACGTGAACACAGTTTCCTGGTCCTCAAGTCGCCAGCCGGAGGGGGAGTTGACACTCAAGGCGAGAGCTATCAGAGTAAGAGTAAGAAGACATATAATGTTGAAACGCATTGCATCAATAATGAGTGGAATTATTTGTGGACGACATCTCGAACAAGTCCTCGAGTGAGCCACGTTCAGAGAGAAAATTTGCCCTTGGACTTTTGGGAAGAAAGCCCGCCCACCACTCCGAAGTTGAGGAAAGTGGGAGAAGTTGTGACTGTTGGTGGGAGAGACAGCAGCCGATGTTCTCTCTCATCAATATGGCTTGTATCTCACGTCAGCTCCTTTCTTGATTTTTGATGCTTTGGATGGAGTCCCTGATGGAACTTTGGTTTCAGATGCGGCGAAGGCTGCAATTCTTCCATCTTCCCCCGCCGTAAAAATGACTCCGCTCTGGCAAGTGTCAATAATGTGACATCCTGTCGACGTGGTTGTTTTCAGCTTACGGGTTCGTCCGCAAAGATCGAGCGAACGACTTCCCCACCATGAGCATGTTCAAGGACAATGCGCTGATCAAGATTGAGCTGGTGGGCCCGATCGATTTTGACCAGATCTACTCTCGACTTGCTGCCCAATCCAAATTAGTAAAAGACGGGCTGGACGCGGTGTGAGTCAGCTCGCCTATGTGATCCACAAGCCACGATGTGGTCCGGACCAGAGTGTACAATGTCAATCACATATTCACAAGGGACGACTGGTCTCAAATCTCCCAGCTGATCTGGTGGTATCTCATTTTCTTGTGCATCTGCGTTTGTCGATTCGATGGTGAGAGAATGCAGAGCAAGGTTCTGATCTGAACTCAAGGCGTAAATGTCGGATGGACCAAGAAATCCGGCTTTGTGGATTGGACCATGACTGACGGCTTGGACAAGACTATCTTCCTCTTCTGGGATCTGGATGTTGAAAATGCTGACCAAGCCATCATCGCCTCCAGAAAGAAGCAGGTTATGCTGGGATGGATGGAAGTTCAATGCAGTAACCTCGTCGTTGATCTCGGTATTTTGCCAGCGTATTTTTGTCTGTCTACGATCCCTGTCGATGATGTTATTCAATGTCTTGCCAACGCATCAGCTGCATGGAAACACAAATAACATGGGCCCACCAAATAGAGACGAGAGCGTCGCTTCCAAAAGCCACATCATGGCCTTTACAAGCTAATGCATCGACAGGTTTTTCTGGCAGATGAGGGGTCAATTAGTTGCTCTGGCTATGGCTGGGGAGGAAATCGTGAGAATCAGTACCTATTCGAAATTGGGCAATTTTTGATGAAGTTCGGATGTCGAAAAATGCAACGACTCCATCACTACCGGCACAGATTGCTGTTGTTCCGGTATCCGCGGAAACTAGGGATGTGAGACCATGGGGAACATTGGGGATTCTGGTCAGGTCGGATGCACGGAGACGATCTCTCGGTAGAAGTAGGAGCTCGTCAGCAGAGGTAATGGTGGCGAGGGCACGGTCGGCGAGAGGGGTTATGGCAAAGATGTAGACATCTTGGTGTCGGGACGGTGAACAGTTGCTCAGCTCGTGATAGATTTGTAACATTGTCGATGCGCCGGAGCTTAGCGCAGAAGCGAAGGTGACCCGCCGTCCAACAGTGAACCGATTGGGTGGGCCTCAGGGGACGGGCCGAGCGGAAACAGGAAACAGGAAGCCGGAGACGGTGAGTAGCCTGATGGTGAAAGCAGAGATGAAGTTCGGGATACATGCAGGATAGGCGGACGACTGTTGCGATGACAGTGTGGGATTCGGAAGACGCAATTCTTGGCGGGATACATAATTGGCTTACATGATAATATCCTAACTATCTTGGGGTTAGTATCTCACTACGGAACCAAACTGTCGGGTCGAGGTCACATGATCACATGCCGATGCCCATCATCTTGTCTGCAACGGGAAATGCGAGATGCTCGTCGTCGCCGTGGCGGGATCGAGATGCAGACTAGCAGTTCAATCACACCTGTATCACATCTACTACCTAGCAAACCCACCAAGCTCCCTTCAATTGCTCGCCATTGTTCGCCTGACAACCCATTAGAGTTTCAACATGTGCCGGACTTATCTTCTTTGCTACATGTCCCAGCTAGGGTATGTCTTGCAGGCCCAGGGGGATGGGGAAGTCATACAGCGCAGAAGTCGCTTTGGTGGGCGGGGGTGCACCGATCAGTCGCTAGCTGTCCAGCCACTTGCCATGCCTCGTGCATCCCATCCAACTTTCATCCCAACTCGACGCCTGGGGCAGGTCCGAGAATCGGAATTTTGCAAGTGGAATTATGGATCTTTCACGGACATGTCACGTTCTGCCTGGGATACGCACCCGAGGATGAGGATTCTCGGTCCGTTTTCTATTCATTTGTCTGGCCCGAAACCCCCCGTTCTCTGTTCTTCTCTAGTGTGCTGTCCCTGGTTGTGACCAACTCCAGGATCCTTGGCAGCCTGGCAGAAACAAATCTCAAATCATGACTTAACATGCCGAATCCCATCTGAAAAGGATGTGATTCCTTCGGCTCTGTTCCATGAGTAATAATGGAATGCGTGGATATGATGCCTTGTGGCAGCGGATGAGCATGTATTCCAGGAAGTAAGACGGCAGGGCGTACAACACAATGCATCCCGCTTCCTGCACATTGCATTGAGACTAGCAGTTCTTATTTCACTAGACTCAGAATACCGTGGTCGCTTGATCTTCAGGCAACTTGCGGTGAGTTCGAGGTTCGAGTTCTGTAGTGGTATTCAACAAGACAGCCCCGACACTTGCGAGTCCGTTATTTGTTCTGAATCCCACACTTTTCCTGGTTTCAGCCTCAGTCCTGGCGATTCTCTTGCCCAGAGACATTCTAGCACCGTGGAGACGCTCAAGGTCGTAAGGTCGTAGAATAACCTAGGGAGGCATTCCGTCCATCACTGGTGTCGGCCCTGTCCTCGGTACCAGAAGAATTCGTGAGACTTGGTGGAACGAGCCGGGCGAGCTGCGGAGTGGATATGTGCAGTTTCCGTATTGCCGGAAATCAACAAAAACTGCGGGCTTTGAAGCTAAACTCTCTGACGACTTCGGGCCAGGTCATTGGGTACCGACACGGTGGTAATCGAGATGATTGGGACGATTTGGGCGCTCCCCCTCGAGGAGGGAGGGATCTTTGAGCATCAACGTGTGCGTGACTCTCGTTTCTTGCAGATCTCTGTGCTCTTTTCCGCGCTGAAAGGTGTGAGGCGGACCCTGGCAGCATTGTGCACACACGAAGAACACGAGGGAGAAGTTAAACCGGTCAGCGGCTAGTGCTCAAGGTGATTGGAAGCGAGGAGTGGTGGGTGGGTGTGTGTGTGGGCGAGGGAGTGTGAAGAGAAAACCCGAGAGAATGGAACAGAGGAGCGCCTTACTGCCCAAGGTCGACTTGTAGCTATGTGGTTGGTGTGTCTGGGGCTTCGGCTCGCCTCTGACATTGGGCCTTCTGCCCACTAGAAACTCCGTAGAGAACCAAATCTTTGGCGCTCTAGCCGTTTAGCTCCGAGTCGATTGCGACATTATCACGGTGGGGGATCATCACTGTAAGAAGGACACGCTCTGCATCCAACGGATTAGCTTCTTGTCGCCCGCCTCATACAGTATATACGCCGCCCTGCAGAGTCCGATGCCTCTGGCGGCAACTCGATTTCCTTGCTAAAACTCTACTCCGCGGTATTCCTTCCCCCATGATCCTTGCTTGAAACCACCCCGGTATGTCAGTTGTGGCGGCATCTGCTTCGGTCGCTGTCCCTCCGAATTCTGTTTCCGTACTCCCTCCATTTCTCATCTAAACTTCTATTTCCCCTAGGCTTGTTGAGCTGTCTTCTGGCCGGATGTCGGTGGCCTCACGCAGCATCCATCCTTCACCCTTCCAATCTTCTTCATCCTCTTTTTCATCGACCGCCATTTGATCGTTCCGTCAATTCAGCCGGTCACTGAGTCACTCAGTCAGTCCTTGCGGATCAAAGCCGTCGGGCTGGTGGTCACCAAGCCCATCAAGTATATTGTCCCATCCTGGCTTCTTGCCAACACATCCCTCTAGCTCCCTGAATTGTGCAGCGACCTATCCACTGATATCCACCAACCAGCCTGTGCCGGCCTAAGCATTCCTTAAGTAACGTAACCCTCCAGAGTCCACCCTCTCCTCTAGCCTGTCTTTCCCCTCAATACCACTAAGGATCCCCATCGGAGCTACTGCCCGGTCCCCTCAGCTAATCTTTCTCTGGGTCCCAAGTGAAGCCCGGCACCGAGCGGGCGTAAAACGGCTGCCGCATCCTGATCCAGTCTTACTCCAATCTCCATTCTCCTTTGGGCTAGGCGTCCGCTTTCTTTGGCTCTGTTGGCGAACCTTAGTGGGCGTTCTCTTGACATCCAGCCTATTTATCGGGTACAACCAATCCACTTGGCTTGCTTCGTCCTCCTGGCCATCTCACCGAATTCTCCCCACCCAGACCTTGTACATTTGTTTCCACCACCCTAGCCAGAACTAGTTCGAAGGTCAAGAAACGATCGCAGAGGGTGAGCCCAAATACCGACTGGAGCCCCTCCAGGTGACAGTTCATCTTCATCTCTTTCTCCACGATGGCATCGATGCCAGAAATTCCAATTCCTGGAAGAACGACTGAGCATAAGTATGGCCGAGAATACGGCACGTTCAGAAGGTCTGGCCTCAGCTCTTCCATCGCCATTATTTTATCACTAACCTCTTATGGTAGGGGCCAATACTTATTTCCCCACGATGAAAAGGAACGAGACAGACTGGACGTAATGCACACCATGATCAAGGTGGCCAGGCCCATGGGCATGAGATATACTCATTGTCCAACGAATGCCCTCTCTGCAAGACCCGGTCCACTTGGACAACGGCCTCGAGTCCTGGACTTGGGCTGTGGTACCGGAATCTGGATGATCGAGATGGCTTCCTCGTTCCCTGCTGCTGAATTCGTAGGTGTTGATATCCATAACATGGGCCCTCCGACCCTCTTGCCGAACATCGGAATCCGCGCCCCTTGGGATTATGAGGGTCCCTGGGCTCTGGGAGAAAAGTCTTGGGACATAATCCGCCTTCAAATGGGTCTCGGGAGTGTTTCTGACTGGCCTGGACTCTATTCCAAGATTTTGAGGCACCTGACTCCAGGCACCGGCTGGTTCGAGTCTATTGAAATCGACTTCCAGCCCCGATGTGACGACAATACTCTGAGGCCAGGAAAGTTGACGGAATGGTGGGACTCGTACATCAAAGGCACATACGAAGCCATGAATCGCCGTCTCGCCTACGATCCAGGTACAGGTGACTTGCTCAGAGTAATTGGTTTCAAAGACATTCACCACGCGGTCTACCGCATCCCCCTGAATGATGCTTGGCCTGAGGATAAGGCAGAAAAACGGGCAGCCCTGTGGTGGCACGTGGCCATGTCTCCCGGCCATGCTACGACTGGTGGATATGGCCTTGAAGCCATGAGTCTTGCTGCCCTTTGCGGCTTAAACAATTGGCCCGTCGATCATGTCAAACGTCTTTGTAACGAGGCCTTAGCCCAAGCTGCCGACCCAAATGTCCATGCCTACAACAATCTTCACATCTGGTGGGCAAGGGCTGGTGGTGAAGACGAAAAGGGTGATGGATTGGCGAGCGGAAGTGGCCAATCCGCCCTATCCTAGCCATTTATTCTGAAACGTTTGCTTCACATCGAATTGCAATCGGGAGGTCATCTGAGCATTTCATCTATTGTGTTGATACCCAATATCGACGCAATGGTCATGCATGCCGCAAAAGTCAGGACTGATTCCAATTGCACCTGAGCACTTTGACCAACGAGGGAGGAGGACAAACAAGCGTCAGGCTCCGCACAATTACTACTATTGCCACAACCTTGGCTGAGATTCTGAACCAGAAGAAACGTCCGGTCATCAAAATCTAACCCGGCAAGACGGGAGCTGGGTTTGGATCCAAGCCAGCAAATGTCAATACCGTCCTTGGAGCACTACTGGGACGCAGATCACATCGTAGCCAGAGTCCAATGGCGCTTTTCGTGATGTTTGCATGGGATGAAATATTCACATCACAATCTCAATGATCACGAAAAAGGGCATGGAGGCCTCTCCAAGGGATACTCTTGATCTGGATCTTGAACCGAGGAAGAACCCGGCCGACTTGGGTCGACTGGCAGATATTTCGTGATTTCGACAAGAAGTTCGGTGCATTCCAACAACGCCATATCTCAGCAGTGACAACCCAAATCTTTCTCCTGGGACCGAGCTGTTTGGAGGTGGTGATCGGCTACCTTGAACCAGAAACCTTGACATTGGTTAGATCGAGAAATTATCATCATCTCGTCTAACTTGCCCGAATACGTTGGAATCCAATGTCTACCCAAAATGCTCCCACAACCAGCTTTCCACGACTCTAACGCTGACCCAAGTCTTGATCCAAGGGATGTATGTGATCCAAAAACCTCCCCCCAGTGAAAATCATCCTCAAACAATTCTTCAATTGCAAGTATCTCGTCTCAGTTCACCGGGAACGGGCAAAAAACATAGTTTCAACTATCTTCACCACCGAAAATCAGATTTTCACGAGGGTACAATGATGCATATCTTTCCCTCCCAAGCTTGAACCCACATCTCACGCGCTCATGGCGCATGACGATCATGGGGAAATTAAAACCACAGAATGGTTCGAAGGGTCATACTGATCTCTTTGGGAAAACATATTTATATATATAAAAAGGAGAAGAAAGGCATGATCAAGGCGATGACTTTTTCCTAGGGTTGGATGCGGTTTTGTTTCTCCTTTCCTCTTTGCATAATTTTCGAGTTTTCTTAGGAGATCAAAGTCTTTTCGGGTATTATTTCACGATGTCTTATGGCTTACGGGTTTTATGACGTGCAGAGAATCAGGCGTTCAAGGGAGTACTTGATGATTGAAATTTCGGCCTGAAACGGCTTGGCTTTGGGAAGCAGGAAAGGGGAAAAAAATATTTCCCAAAAAAAGGGATGGTAATGGTGGGAGGCGGTGAAAGAGAGAATCCCTATCGATCCCAGACATATATGTTTGAGGAATGCATATGTACCAAGGTGGTGAGAGGGCAAGGCTTCGAAGGATTGGGAGCCTTCAGGGTTGCCGACCACACATAGTCATCAACGAATGTTTAGGCACTTGAAGATGATGAAAGTCATTTATTCACTTATCTTGTTCTGTTGCATCGTAACAAATATGAGAGCTCATGGAAAGTGATGAGAGTCTTTGATTCTGGCCTTTCTAACAAAATGATCGCAATGATTGGAGAGGATGGGAAATAGACTGTTACATATCAAGAGATTCTTCGTGTTTTTTGTTGCATGACCATTTTTATTTGTTTGCATATTTTTGGGACTCTCGAGAAAAAGAACTCTGCAGTTCATCATGCCTGGCATAATCAAGGGAGCACCATCTCCATATCCCCTAGCAGATTGATGATTCGTTGTCCGGTGGGTGGCTTTCATACACACCACACAGCTGGGACGGCTTTTCCTCCCCTAATTTTCCAGTGTGTGACTGCCTCGCACTAGAGAGTCATTGTTGTCCTTTCTCAATAGAAGACCTCAAGGGTCCCAGGACCGCTTTTAATCGCAATCACCGAACCGCTCTAACCAGCCCCCTGTATGAACGTTCCATCGTCAATAGATACCACTGCCATCTTCCACAGTAATATCTCTCTGCACGACTACACACGACACCACGCCCACCGAACCAAACTGAACCAAATACTAACATTTGCATTCATCATTTATGCAAACGTGCTGGGTCGAGTCCGGGCAAAGAGTTTCTTCGACTTGGAGGAGCGATGAGGAAGTGGGAATTTGAGGTTCCTGGAGATCAGTTGCTTGATGTAAGGACGCTTGACGTCGTTGGGAGACGTAAGTTCGACGACTTTCAGGATCTATATATTATGTCCAATTAGTTCATGTCTCACAATGTATTTCACTCTCGCGTCATCACGCCTCAAAAAGCAATGTAGAGGAAGACAAGGGAAAAAAAAAAAAAAAAAAAGGACACATACATGAATACTCCTAAACCTAGCACGATGTCTGGCCGCCATGTCCTGATACAGGGCCTCGACGGCATCGGTGCGACTCATCTCACGGTACTCCTTGTACATGTTGTGGGTGCCGGAGCGGGAGTCGTAGCGGATCCAGATGCCAAAATTTTTGACTTTGAGAGGACGTTTCTCGTGCACGATGTTCAAGGCTACGATCTCGCCGTTGGATTTCTTCACTTTGCGTAGCTTCATCAGGAAGTACCAGAAACGGGACTTGGCGACGACGGTATTCGGCGCGAAGATGCGCATGCGGTACAGTTTTGGAGTTGGGTTCGAGTCAGTCGGCAGATGGCGGCCGATGACCTGGTATTCTTGGAGGCGACCTGGAAATGAAAACCATGCTGTTAGAATGTGTTTGAACGATCCGAGGGATTGAGTTGTGAGGCTCAATCGCGTGAGATGAGTCGGCAGCGGTGCCAGGAGACTCGTCGTCGAAGTGAGACTTGAATTGAAGCCTGTTTCGAAATATACTCTATTTCTACCTCTTTCTAGACGTCCCTCTGACCTTGTGTTGAAACCTCTCACGCTGCGGTCGACATCACCCTCGCTCACATTGAAGATGGACTCGAAGGGAATTCAATGGTGCAGACTTACCCATCTGCCACACGTTAGCATTGGTAGCAGCTAGTAAATGGGTTCCTCATATACCTTGACTGGTTCTGAATGATCGGCCTCAAAGTTGTGCTCCTCGTCGTCGATGTGGTTGATCGCTGAATACCGAAAGCGAGGACGAGGTGTCGAAAAGATTTGGCCAAACGAGATGCCAAGATTTTGAACGTTGTGGGAGCTTGGCGTTGACTTCTCGACCGCCTAACGCCTGATTGGCCAGTTGGCTTTTGATCACGGTTTGTGAGCGAGATACAACCTCTCCATAAAACCTAATTATCCCAGCTTCGAATTGTCTCAATACCTTCCGGACCTCACCGATGTCTTTCTGATGGGTAGCATCTTCGCTGACTTCCATGAAGCCCAGCGCGTAGGCGACGGCCGACTTCTGGCATCATGCCTCGCTCCCGTCGACACGGCTCGGGATCCTCATCGTTTGCAGTCATTCGCCCGAATTTCGAATTACGAGTCGATTGGGCCGGATATACGCTATTACTTGATCCAAGGCGGCAAGAATATCGTGGAACTGCCTAAGGCCGAAGTTAATGTTTGGGTCGACATTTTCGTCGCCCTCTGGAAATGTGTCAAAGAACTTCTTGTGCTACAGCAAGACGACGGCACAGGAGACTGGTCCAAGGCCTTTGATGCCTACAAAGAAGTATGCAATCTCCTGGTCAGAGGGTACCAGAACTTCGGATTCCAGTCTTGGACAGTCCCGTGTCTCTACACAGCGGGGAAGTTTATCAGAATCATCGCAATTAAGTCAGATTGTGAGATCAAGGCCAAAGACGGAGATGGAGATACCTTTGCCAAAGGGCTTTCAGACGATATTGTGGGTGACACGAACAAGAATGAGAAACTCGAGCAGGCAGCCTGGACCATCAACCGTATGTTCACCGTGTGTTTGACCGACCGATCCGAAATGACCGAGTCACGAAAATGGGGTATCTACAGCACCACCAATCTTCTCTTCAAGACGTACTTCAAACTCAACTCCATCTCACTGACTCGGAACGTCATTCGTGCCTTGGAAGCCGCCTCAGGTGATTTGCCACCTCTGGAACTGTTTCCAAAATCTCATCGGTGCACGTTCAAGTACTACAGAGGAGTCATCGATTTTCTGCAGGAGAGTTACGGTGAAGCCGAGGAGAATCTTATGGAAGCCTTGAAGCTATGCCACAAAGACTCACTGAAAAATCGCGAACAGATCCTCACGTACCTTGTTCCGGCACATGTGGTGAATCACCATCAACTCCCTAGACCCGGCCTGCTTGCACCCCATCCCCCTCTCGACAGGATTTTCACGCCCATCTTCACATCCATCCGTCGTGGCTCACTGGCATCCTTTGACAAGGCCCTTTCCTCCGCCGAACCCGAACTTGTCAGGCGTCGCATCTATCTCACCCTAGAACGGACCCGCGACATCTGCCTGCGTAATCTGTTCCGGAAAGTCTTTCTCGCCGCGGGCTGGGAAGAGACCAAGGACGCCACGACAGGTGAAGTGACAGGCCAGATTCGCCGAACAAGGATCCGCATTGAAGAATTCGAGGCCGGCATGCGTGTGGGTTACAAAGGCGCTACGGATGTCATGGTGGAGAGAGACGAAGTTGAGTGTTTCCTGGCCAACATGATTTATAAGGTGCGTTTGTCTTGTCTCCCGTCTGCCTTTTGGGCAACCCAGTTTCAATCTGCTTTCCCAATGGAGTGTCGCAAGACATGGCTGCCTAAGTGAATGGATGCCTAGCATGACCTGTTTGATGCCTGAGCGCTTTTGTCGAATCATCTACTTGACCGGATGGCAACATGACTACTGACGCTGGGTTTCGCCTCTGCTACAGAATATGATGAAAGGATACATCGCTCGTGAACGAGGGATCGTCGTCCTCAGCAAAGCTGGCGCCTTTCCTGGAACTGGTGTCTGAATGCGAATTATTCTCCTCACATCGCTCATTGGGGACGCCGTTGATGCCTGAGACTGGAGAGCTTCCATATGCTCGCACGACAATATACACTCGTGCTTCGCCCGTGCTCAAGTTACTCACACACCAAACTATGCTAGGATGTGAAAAAGACCCTAGCTTTTGATCCGAGTCGATTTCAGCTTCAACAGCATGCTCGGCTTCACATCTAAATATGGCATAGCAAAGAAAAGTACCCCAAATCATATTATACACTACTCATCACCCGACCTTAACGTGGCTAGCGACTTCGTGTTCCGAAGAAAATGATACGACGAAGAGCAGTCCTTTGCACGGGAGAGGACACGACTGGCCATCAACGCGCCCAAGGCATTGACACTAAGAAACCGATATGCCACATTCGGCATCGGGAAAGTGCTTGGATTATCTTTCCATGCCAAGACCTAAGGGCTCTAGGATATACCTGTGCTGGGGGTGCAAGATATCAATAGAACGGACTATGGACGCTCCATTGGGAATATCCTCTTCCTACTGTCCACTAATGGCATTGGGAGAGGTGGGCCGACACCGACACCCCCATGTTCCAAGGGGCCGTTATCCTGGTCAGTTCCGGTCAGACCAGAACGGAGAAAGACGGTTCGAAATGGCTCTCGGTCTCCACACCATCCTCTAGCACTGAAAGGGCAACACGGCCCTTCTCGACGTTGCCCTCTCGAAACCCTTCCGTTTTAATGGGAAGGTTCTGGTGTGACTCACGTCCGCAAGCAAAGCTTTACTTTCAAGCCAGTCCTGCGCACCAGGCAGCCGTACATCTCGGCTATTTCAGAGGGAACTTTTGAGCATGAGGGAAGGGAAAAATTGCGGCTGTTTGCCTTTCTGTCAAACGAGGCAAAGGAGCTAGGGATCCCAAAGACGAAGAGGCGGTTACCAATGAGGAAGCAACTGATAAAAGGAAATCGGCTTTCTCACTCTCGTTTAGAGAGGATTCGAGTCAATTCGATTATATTAGAAAAAGGTCTCTACGTTCATAGAACAATGGTAATTTGATTTCGTTACTTCCCTAGTCAAAAAAGGAATGAGCTCTGCGTGCCGCTTAGGGCAAAAATGGAGCTGCTGAGAATTGAACGAGCCAGCCCGCCAGTCCTTTATCTGGCTCTTGCTCTCTTGATCCCGAGATTTGTAGTCTTACATAGTTGTGGTAATGATAGTGATGGCAATCTCAACCCGTCTCCCCATCCGGGCCGGAAGCGCAAATATTTTGGGATCTTTTTGTAGTTAATGATACAAGCAAAACCACCTGAGGACTCCAACATTCCTTTGAGCAACAAAGTACAATCTTGGTGCCGGCCATCTGGTTTAGATCAAATGATACAACACAACTCGATCTAGCGAGTGAATGGTGATGAAAATGGAGACCGAATAGTTTTGAGATCATCCTGATAAAAGTCATTAAGTATCAAGCTTGTCAGGGGATAAGGAGTTGAGTTACTGACCATATGATTACACATGGCGACGAAGAGGTCAAAGAACAAGGCGCCGCCTTGCTCCATCTCATACTTCATGGTGCCACTCTTCTTGAAATTGTTACGGCTGCGGATGATGAGCGTGAGATATTGAGCTCGAAGCTTCGAGTCGGAGTCGGGAGTGTTGTTGTAAGCAAAGCGTGCAGAGGCAAGAATGACGGAGATTTGCATGCCTTGTCTCAAGCCTTGCTTGCGAAGGGCCAGGCGTTTCAATTCGTCGAGCCCATATCGCTCAGCCGAGCAGCTGTTGAATGAGGGTCAGCATAACATAGGAAGAAAAGGGGAGGGGGAGCCCCAATATACTAACTAGATGACGGTGTCTCTCATAAGAGTCTGTCTGGCAGCATGATGATAGATTGTAGTATTCGCGTCGTCTTCTAATTCCCAAGTATCTTTTCTCTTATTGTGAACCAGCTTTGGGAAGTAATCTCCTTTGTAGAGGTATTCGAGAACAGCAGACAGAATCTCTGGCTGTTCGTCAGGTAAATTGATTCTTCTTGCATTGTTGTCGAAGAATTGGCCTCTGCAAGCAGCTTCGAAATAAGGGGATCGACAGAGGACTTCTTCATGACTGGCAAAGAGTCTCTGCTCAGGGCCGACGCAGATGGTGATGATGGCAGAGGTAAGAGTGCTTGGCGATGGTAAGTTAGCATTGCCATTACCACTGGGGTTATAGCTCTGACATACCTGCCGACTGGTGGACTTGTGTGACTGCTGTGTTCTCTTCTGGTAGACCTCATAGATTCCGACCTGTGGATGCCTCGAGTGATGGAGTGCTCCCGAAATGAAGACTTCGGCTTGGTGGATTTACTGGTTCCGTATCGTGATGAAAAGCTATCTGACGGTCGTGGTCTTCTGTTGCTGAACATTTTGGGCTACGATGGAAGACTGTTGTAGAGATGCCTTTGATGGCCGAGTAAACGGATCAAAGGAGAGGAATGCCGGCCGCGGGAACGTTCAAGCAGTCGGCGTCGAATCTGTTGGTTAGTAGTAAATAAAATATGAGAAAAAACCGCATTGGAGGAGAGGCAAGGAATTCGCAAGGTAAAGAAAGCAAGGCTGCCTGAACTCGATGGGATAAGACAGGTTGAGCGCCAGGATTCAAAGAGAGACATTTCTCAAAGCGAGAAGAGCCCCTTATGTTGGATTTTGGGGGACACATCGTGTTCTGCCTAGGGGATTCTGGGGCAGACCGCCGTGGAGGGAAGGAGGGTAGGCTGCTGGAGCTTATCAAGCCAGAGAAGGCTAGATATAACAGCATTGCAGCTGTCGGATGCTTGACACGCTTTCCGCGTCAGCCTGCGCGACTTAGACACGAAGGCATGTGACCCTGCAAGCAATTTAACTGGGCTTCCGCAGTAACCTCTGGCGACCTGCCGCCGCCATTTCTAATCTCACTGGTCCAGCATGAGTCAATCAATGTGAACTAAAGTGGCCTCCCATGCCAGCTTCACACTGGCATCCCGGGAACCTGGGGGTTGTCCTTGCTCCTAACCGAAGCAGCCTACGCTTCCGATTTTTCGCCACCTGCATACCTCTCCTTACCGGGGTCCCATGCGACGAACGAGGAACGTACTGTTGTATCAAGCGAGGCGAAAGAACATAGGTTACACAGGCACGCTTGTGCTGGTGACACCTCACAGACGGCTCTATGAGTCTCGGGCTGACTCATGCCTTTCGAGGGAAAAACCAGTTCAACACGGGAGCAGAGATTGACGGCAAGTTCACCGGAGAAGGCCAAATCCCCAAGAGACATGCCATTCATATCGGTGGAGAAAATTGAAACATGGGGTCTTTCGATCCATGCAAGGCACAATGCCAAGTTCTGGCGCCGGAAGTAAGAAACATTATTCATTTGTCAATAAGCGTGTGCCGGGCACACTGTAAAAGCCTATCACAATCCTGGCCTCATCGCTTCTCGAGCTACTGCAGTTTCGGTTTCTCGGTCAGCTCGGGCTATGTTGAGCTATATCCTATCATAAAGAATCAAGCGTTGGGAGACTTGACTGTCAGATGTGTTTCAAACTAATCTTGAGGAGACTCATTACTATCAAAGAAATCCATTGCAACAACAAGGGCTGCCTTGTGTTGACTCGTACTGTACGTTCTTGGGATACAATCCCCTTAAGAGTTCCACATTTGCACATGAGTCCCGCTACTTGATCAGGCTGTATGCCAAATTCACCACCTTGCTGCAAAACCGCGTTCAATAACGTGCATGCTTTGACGAGATCGACATTGATCTGTAGAGGGAAATCGGTCGCCAAATTTAGCCAGCGTCAGCACTTCATAAGAAGACTCTCTTTGCTTCCTTTGGGTGGCTTTCTATGGGGCAGTAAGGGCACTTGAACTTGGCGCCTTTGCTGAGCTTCTGAAGTGATTCTTGGGCAATAACATGACAACAGGGTAGCATCATCGGTGGGTTCTGATCCGTTGTTTGTTCCTTTGATACGGGGCACACGAAAATCGAGTGGAATTGATACGAAGGAGGAAGCGGCGTTTCAACTGGCAATTCGTTTTGTGAAGTCCATTCTGTTCGCTTCTGTTTCTGAATCGTCTGGAGCTTGAGAAGCGTGGGTAATGCGATGGCTCCGGCTGTGGCTGCCACGTACAACGGTGAGTCCGCGGATAATTCGAGCAGAGAGCAAAATTCTCGAGTAAAAGATGTGGCAACCTCATCCCAAGCGGTGGAATTGTTGAATCTGATATTGTAGGGCGAGTCATCCAAATTGGAGCAAAATGGAATGGCGCCGATCAGTTGTTGGATCTCAACCAAGTACCGACCACGAAAAGATTGGAACTCGGATTGTGCATATTGAAGAGCACGCATTGGGGCATCAAAATCAGATTGATCGTCAGGCCGTCGGTCCAAGAATAGGTTGACAAATTGTAATCTGCAAAGTTCAAACTCCAGGTTGCTACCACGAGCTTCCAGCGCGGCAGCATTGCTTCGAGCCCAATCAATAGCCGGTTGCAAGTTGTGATTATCTTTGACTTCGCTCAGAATGTGGTACATGTTTGAGAATTGTTCTTGCATGTTCTCTTCCGAGCTCTTGTCCAATCCCAACGGATGCTCCATCGGAACATCCAACCCTAAGTGAGCTGCTGTTTCTTGTTGGCTTTTCTGTCTGTCAATTGCTTCGGAATGGAACGTCGACGCTACATCAAAAAGGCCCTCTCGAAGCAAGTGCAGGTAGACGGCTCGGTTGATTAATGTTGGGTGGGAAGATAGGGCGTCAATCTCATTGCTCGGTACTTTGTCTTTGAAGACCTTATCCAAAGCTCTTGTGTATTTATTGTGCAGTCCATGAGTATCCTTTAGGCCTGAGAATATCCCGTCAAACGAGGCTTTGACTGGATTTTGCAGCTTCGCAAGAGTGATTTGTCGTGAATTTGGATCTTTGGCTATGGCGTCCCGCGCTCTCTGAAGGGATTTGATGATGTCGTCGACATGACATGCTGTCTTCGACTGCTTGGAGCTGTTCCAGACCTTTTCATGCTCTTTCTGAATGGCGTCCATAGTCGGTGGCGTCTCAACAAATGACACGTGGGTTTCAATTATGTTCCTGGTTTCTCAGGGTCATCGTCTTTCTTTGCAACAGGATTCGATTATCCGTAGAGCTCACAGATCGTGGGTTCGTTCGACGGGATAGTAGGCAGCGATCACAAAAGGACATGCGACCCGAACCAGATGGTCAGGTGTCCGTAAGTGAAGTACCACGAAGTGCGCCTGATACTCCAAACCTCCGCAGTAACCGGCTCCATCCATGTTTGGGCGGGTGGCGGCGACTTTTGTTTCTTGTTAAGCGGCGCGATGAACGTTCTTCATGACGAGTTCCATCGACCTGACTTCCCCGGTCGCGATGCAAGGCTGACTCCCGAATAGAGAGCCACTGCGCCGAGCGGACCGTTCTCCATCATGTCCCTCGCTACTCCCGGGTTCTTGATCCCGTACCACGGTCCTTCGTCCTATAGAGGCTCGACTCCTCTGGACAAATCCTCCTCCGCTCGACCTAGCCCTAAAGAAAGGCCTGAGAGCCATGGAGCAAATAGCCCGGAACCGTCCAGCCCTCCTTCGGCTAATTCTTGCCAGCCACGACCAGGCCACAGTAGAAAGCGGCTTGTGTTCTCAGATCCTGTCGCTTTCCGCTACTTGGAGGAGGATCCCGCGACAGACGCCATTGAACGTTGGAGACGATTACACGGATATGAAATGTATCTCGTGGAGCAATGGGCATGCTCAAGAACTCATCCCACTTTCGTTATCTGTACATACACCGGCGACCCATCGCATTCTATCCTAGTTAATGTCCTTTCCGTACCGAGTGATGAAAGCACGTGGTCTCCCAGGCTACAGATTTACTTCTCAGCTGTCTCACAATTTCATGCCAAGGAAAAGGAAACTCCTTTGGGCACGTTAATGGTCACCAATTTGAGCGGGTTTCCATCTGCTTTGACCGTCATTGCTGTTCCGGATGGCGACATCAAGAAGCACAGGGAAGACTTTATTGTTAATGAGAACCTCAAACGAATGGGCTGCTCTGGAAGGGCTGCCATCAACGTGCAACCCCCTCAACCGAGTACCGTTGCAAAGTTCCACCACCTGTACCGCACCAGCGAGACTGTGCCGCTCTACCAATCAGTCATGGAGCTTGTGCGAGTATGTCAGACGGCGTTGATCATGTACGACAAAATCCAACCAACCTATGCTGATGGTTTACTCTGCGATGTCACTGAGAAAGCGATCAACGATTGGTGGACTGACATCGGCACCTACTTTTACAACGTGGAGCCCAGTGATGGAATTCTCGGTCCGACCACGGTGGCAGCCCTCCTTGGTCTACTAATTGGGGCCTATAACAGACTCAAAGCCTTTGGGTCGCCGGTGGGAAAAGATGTCTTGGATACGGTCTCAATGAAAAGAGCCATTGGACATTTTCAGAAGGGTCAGAAAATGGAAAGGTCTCGACGACTTGATCGCGAGACACTTGATCGTCTCCACAGAGCCACGGCTAAGAATGCCAGTGGCGAGGGTTGGACCGTACCAAAGGCTGTCAAGTCTACCGTTGCTGAATTGAGCGGCAAAGGTGGGGAAATGGTGATGGGTATTGTGGGAGCTCGTGATAAAGCTGGCATCTCCGATGCCGAAACCATGGATATTGAACGTTTTGCTCAGCTGGTGACGGGCCCAAAGATGAAGTGGCTGTGGCAGGGCAAACCCGCGAAATCGGGGGACATGTTTGTCAATCCGACCGACGATCTGAAAGGCAGAATTTTCAGTACTGATGACCAGGGAAATTTCTTTTGGACGAGCAACCAGCATGACTCTATCTCCGACGGAGGAGTTCTCGAGCGGACTGATACCACGTACACAAATCAAACCCAGGACGGCAAATCCAGTCGCGGCCGAATTCGTGGGGCGGTAGGGGGACTGAAAGCTCATGGCCCACGATACCACAAGGACGGAGAAGAAGCCCATGACTGGGTTGAAAGCGCCGCGACAGCGACATCGCGATTGTCCAAAGACCATTATAGCTTTCGAGATCATACACTGCGTCCTCCACTCACGCCGCGACAAACTGGACCTCCCTCTTTTGACCTGGCCCTGGCAAGTGTCCGACCGACTTCACCAACCGAACCACAAGGTCAACCTCTACGGAGGGCTGAAACGACCACCGAAACAAAAATTTCTTCTCATCGAGAACAGTTGCGGCCAGCTCTGCCCGGTGACTCTCCCAGAAGGAGAAAACTCAATGCTGACATGGCCGATTTACGCAACGAATTTAAAGCGGATATATACCGAAATTTCTCGGCAGAGCTACCATATAAAGGGTTTCAGAGCCGTGTTCTTCGTCGCTCTCAAAGTGCAATTCAGCTAATGGTTCATCCTGCGGACAGTCCTCGACAGAATCGAATTAATCGGCAATTGTCTTTCAGTCTCGTTGAGAAAGCTGTCCTCGACCTGGGTGAAAGTGTTGTCGACGAAGGTATCACGAAGGGGAAAATAGAAGGTGATCTCACTAATGCACTGGCTGAACGCGATGCTTTGGTTGCTGCGGCTCAGAAGAAAGCGAAACGTATCCAGGTCATCCAGCAAAGCCTCATTCCGTATACTGAAAGCAGAGTGGCCCACGTTGAAACACTTGACCATGCCGCGAACCAGCACTTGGAGCAGCTGAACGAACTGTATTACCATCGATTGGAGGAATACCAGACACTCCAAGCAACCTCCTCGGATATTGTTTCGCAAGAGAAGAATGCGTTGACCGAAAGTATTCGCAGGATTGAAATGCTCGGAGCAAAAATGGACTATGAACTTGATTCCCTACAGTCTCGATTGCAAGAAGTCGAAGACGGCGTGGATGATTTTGAGCGAAACGTGTTGGTGATTGAAGCAAGGGTACGGGAATTGATCGGAGATGAAAGGCAAAATTCTATACCCTGGATTCAGAGAGTGTTCAACTTCATGGGATCACGGAAAAAAATGACGGTTTGATACTCAATGGCTGCAAGGGTGTTTTACTTTGAAGTTTTAGCGACGCGCTTGCCGAATGGAGAAGCTCGATTTAGGTCGTGTACACGATGGTGATTCTTCGCGGTTCGTTGCTGGAATCTGAATAGGGATTTTTAGGAATATTGAATCTTTCCGCCACGAGGAGATTTGTCCAGCCATTCATCCCCCATATCTGCCGCCCTCCAGCACCATTTCCGTTTGCTTATGGCTGATTTACTGTACAATATTCGACCATCCATCATGAATCAAGACGATAATCCCAATGTCCACATGAACATAAGACGACCTCAACCCCAATCCAAGCCGTTCCATATGCATCAACGATCTTAATTGCACGGGTGATGAACAGGAAAGATGCCTCGACCGTGTCGCTTACATTCCGAACATGCCACCACCTCCTGTTTGTCTTCCAGCCGCCTCTCCCTGCATCTTTTCTGAAACTTTGATATTGACTTCGAAAAATTTGGCCACGCATCGATCAAGACAGACACTCTCACCCTTGTTCAGGTCACTTTCGCGGTAATCGGCGGGTATGCATTTCTTGAGACATGATTGTGTTAATCTGAACGAAGTGGGTGTCAGTATAGTCCCATATCATTTCCGTCCTCTTCTCAGCTCCCAAAAAGCCTCTTTTGTTTCTGAATGCGCCATCCATACCTGCTAAACATGTCTGAGACCATTTCCACTTCTGTCTCTGCTGCAGCAATCTTCTCTGCGGATGTTGGCTGAGGCCGCCCGCCTCCAAAAAGGAATGACATGATTAAAAAGTCTATGATTTGTTGCTGAGACGTCGTGGTGTCAAGAAGTAATTGAGGCCCGTTGTCGAATTGAGGATACGGGCAAGTTGGACAAATAAAGATTGTGAGTTTGAAGTTGCGGAGCTCAAAAAGTTTTTCCGAAGCTTAAGCGAACACCAAACATATTCTCTCCGAATGCGTGATCTCTGGTCGCTCTGTTTACTATTGAGCCCCGAACTGTTGCTGTGTTTTCTGCTCATGCTCATGTCGTTATCTTCATGTCCAGCAGATTGACATGGCAGGCATCGCGATGGAATCATCTGCTATCTGCAGAAAGGTGCGTTGCATATATCTTCCCTCTCAACAGGGTAACGCAAATGAGGAGAGAATGAGAGGAACCGCTGCGAGTGATGCTCATTTCGACCAGCAATGATCACGACTACTCAAACAATATCTGAATTTGCAATCCCACTTCCAGCTTTAGGTTTGTTTCTTCTGAGACTTCCTGCTGACATTCTGCAATTAGTATCCTGCGAAAGTCGGCCGGTAGCACCGTCTTGACTCGATTCTTCCAACCCAAACCTGCCAAAGCCGGCAAACAATGGATATCCCACGCAAGATTTACAACGGCCACTCTTAGAGCCATCCATGGCGACGTTATCGACGGGGGGTCGCAATATGCGAATAAAGAGGTCCAAGAGCGCATGGAAGAATTGAGCTCCTCGACTACCAACCTGTACCCACGATACGTCCGGACGCCTCAAGTACGAAGTATCCGGTCACTACTCAATGAAGTGGACAATTCTGTGGGCGGAGATAATGCTACGCCGACTGATGAATGGATAGAAGGCAAGGCTGATAAATGAGAAAAGAGGAGCCGCTTTCCTGACTGCTACAGTTTCCGGAAGGATAACTTCCATCAGATTGAGTGGGTCAAAACTGGCGTTCATTGATGTCGTCGAAGACCAGCTGAAACTACAAATTGCACTCTCCTACTCAGCGTTGGAAAAATCTGGCATTACCCTGAATGAATTCAAGCATCAATGCCGTTTAGTCCGCAGAGGGGACTATATCTGTAGGCCTTTCAACCTGTTCCGACCTTTGCACTTCCACCGCTTACTCTGTTTAAGCATTGAAAGGAGGGCGACCATATAAAGCCAAAAATGGTCAACTCTCAATCAAGGCATTTGAGCTGCCCATCATACAATCCCCTTGCCTTCAACATTTTCCCGTTGAACAGCGAGGCGTCGCCACTAGCCCGTTGTCAGACACCAATTTCCACGCACGACATGTTGAAATGTTTACGGATCCTGAAGTCATTGAGACGATCAAGGCTCGATCAACCCTCATACGAACGATGCGCAGCTTTTTCGAATCACTCTCTTTTGTTGAAGTAGGAACACCTATTTTGTCCGCCGTCGCCGGAGGTGCGACAGCCAAGCCCTTCCGGACGACAGCAACGGAGTTCATGGATCGAAAATTGAGCATGCGTATCGCACCAGAGCTCTGGCTGAAGAGACTCATAGTAGGCGGCATGGACAGAATCTTTGAGATTGGCCCTTGTTTCCGAAATGAGGGCCTCGACAAAATCCACAATCCCGAATTTACAACCTGCGAGTTCTACGCCGTACGTCACGACTTGTCGCAATTGATGGAATACACAAAACAGCTTCTCACCAATATGGCGCTGGCCATGGAATCTCTACCCCATTCACGCACTCCCGAAACAGCCAAGCTTCTCAAATCCATTCAAGGCCCGTATCGAGAAGTCGACTTCATCCCCTCCTTGAATTCCTCACTCGGCCTTGACCTCCCGAACTTTTCATCCCCAAACGCGCAATCCGAACTCCTCGACATCTTCAAGTCGAAAAGTCTTCCTCTCCCACACAATCCTACCGTACCACGTCTCGTCGACAAGCTCGCCTTCTTGTACCTCGAACCACACTCAGTAGACCGGCCCACTTGGGTCACCAATATCCCCGAATGCCTCTCGCCGCTGGCCAAATCGTATATTCTCCCAAATGCTCCGAATGAACAACCCGTCGCCGCGCGCGCCGAGCTATTCATCAACGCCAAAGAAGTCGTCAATTGTTACGAGGAGGAGAACGACCCGTTCTGTCAGCGCCGCAAACTTCTTGACCAGCAGCGCTATGCCGCCTCCTCAACGGATGGGACGGGAAGGCCTGTCGTCGATGACGAAGTTATGAAAGTTGACGAAGATTACTTGCAAGCTCTGGAGTGGGGTCTGCCCCCCACAGGCGGCTGGGGTTGTGGAATTGATCGACTAGTCATGCTGTTCACCGGTAAGGAGAGGATAGGCGATGTCTTGACTTTTGGCAATTTACGGGCTGTGACGAGGGGCGCCGAGAAGAAGACATCGACGAGTGCACAGAAATAGAATTCCAGATAACATCACTTATACAATGTGCTGGCATATTTACCTGAGCCGTCGCCAGCGGCCCCTGACTTCCGAACATGGTGCGAATTGTACAAATACCTAGCTTGCTTGTAGATGAAATCGAGAGGAAACGTAATCTCAAAGATGCTCTACCGCTCGCAAAGTTTTGCTGTTCATTTCTGGGCGTGGAAGTGTGATATATATACAATGCAGGATCGTCGCTAATCGTTTATGCGGAAAGACGCTTGCCCAGTCCTTGAAAAAGATGTTTTCTCCCTGGATCCCTAGCTATTATCATGTCCACCTTGTTGCATGCTTTAACGCAGTAAAACATCTCGCTTTCCGCCCCAAGTCCTCGATTGATAAAAACCGCCGTTGCCCGATCCGGAACTTTAAGGGGAGTCTGAACGAGTAGCTCGAGAATGAGCTTTGAAAATCCCCGACAAATGTGCCCGATCATGCTCCAAGGTGCCCATCTAGTCATTGATGGTCTTTCTTGCTCAGCCTTTTCCGCTCCTGCCTCTCGGCACATTGATGTACCATCGTCCATACAGAATCCACTGAAGCGACATTCAAGCTTTGCAGTCTCTCCTTGTCCAGTTTGTGAGGTCATGGGTTCTCCCATCTGCGCTTTCTAGTCTCATGTCTAGGAGGCGCCGCGTTCAGTCTCAATGGCCTTTGACTGGTAGTCATACTCTCCAGTCTGAATCGGTGATTTTGACGTTCCTTCATAAGTAACTCGAAGAAAGTAACCACCCAGAACCCGTCATATCGAAAGGCCCGTTCGGGTCGAAGAGGAGCAATCTTTGCCAGTCGCAATGACCGGGAGACGTGAACGGATTCGCTGGTGCGATAGGAAGTAACGAGCGATAGCGTTGCTTTCGTTGGACCCTCGCACTTGCTATTCTTAGTCACCCGATTAGGGCGATGTTGCACGGGGTCCTTCACATTTGTAGCCTCTTATCATCTTCGTCACGACAAAGAGTGGTTTCCATGTACTAAATGGTTTCATTTTGGTTGACGTCTCTGCCCTCAAAGGTGGTTGAGTTGTCCAGCCAGAGGTAGCGAGGTCCAAGGGTTCGGAGGACCGGAAAGAGGCCCTGGGAAAAAACAAATTTCAAAAGGCATGCCCACTTGGCTTCAATCGCTCTTGCTCCAAATGATACTCTGGGGCTTTCTCTTGCACCCCGGCATCCATTTGAAACACTCTCATAGTTCCCTGCCAGTGGTAAGGGTGTGAATGTCACAAGGCCGAGCACGGGTTTAGAGGCTTGGCATTGGTGGACTTCGAGCTTGAACAAGTCGACAATAAATTCATCTTCAATCATTTCTCAATCCAGCACAGTGAATCAATGCCATGCTCGAGAGCATGGCGGTCTTTGTTCCCGCATAACCAATTGTCATTTCTCGGTCTATGCAGACATTCGAAGAGATGGCAGGGTCCGAGAGCGAAACAACACCCTTGGCCAGTCCAACGGCGGCGATTTGGTGGGGAATCGATCCCGACGGTCTTGCTACCTCCAACGGTATTTGGAGGCCTTCTCGTGACGCTATGGACATATAAATGCCTGATGATGGTCATTTTCCAGAACAAAATAATTTATATGCCATCGGTGCCACCATTCTCAAGGTCCGAGAACGTCAGCGATTATGCGACTCAGTGTAAACCTGTGATTTGGACCGAGCATGACCTCAGAGCATCTGATGGCACGGCCCTCAAACTTTTAGAAGGACACACCAGCAGAGCGACCAATTTCAAGTTCATGGAACACATCATCATCGTATACTTTCAAGGGTACGTGGAGCAAATTGCAAATTCCAGACGTGTGCTAAGCCAGACTAGAAATGCGTCTTCACTACCCCCGCGGCTACCATATCTTTCAAGCATCTTGAAATCAGCCATGAACAAGGGATCCAAGGGCCAAAAATACACCATTGCGGCTTTGTCCTATCGTGGGTTCTGGAAATCAAAGGGTCGTCCATCCCAGGCCGGGATCGAGCTTGACGCTGAAGCGGCGTTGAGGTGGGTTCTGGCGCAATATGACCGTGATAGAACTAAGATTGTGGTCTGGGGACAATCGATTGGCGCTGGTGTCGCAACGATTGGCCTTGCTAATTTGTCGAGAGATGGGAGCGCCGGTTTATCTCGAATCTCGGGAGTTATCCTCGAAACTCCTTTCGTCGACCTCAGAGCGATGCTGGTAGCGCTTTATCCACAAAAGTTTCTTCCCTATCGATACCTGACCCCTTTCTTGCGCTCGACATGGGACAGCAAAACGGCGCTTCACCGGATTGGGAAAACAAAGCCAACCCTCAGGATATTGATCTTGGAGGCCGGGGACGATGAAATCGTCCCTTCAGGTCAAGCAGCGATTTTAGAAGAAGCCTGTAAGAAGGAACTCATGATGGTGGATCGAAAAGTTGTCCCGGGAGCACTGCACACCGAGGTCATGATCAAAGGTCAAGGCCGGAGCCATATCGTGCAGTTTCTGCAATCTTTCTAGGTTGTGCATGTAGAAGTCCATCATGGCTCCTTGACCACCGAACGCCAGTTTCTATGGATCAATGCTGATATCGGTCATTGTCCTTGGATGAAACCTTGGACGACCGGGTCTGATTCGATAACGAATCCAACCAAGCTGCAACGTCGTCTACTTTGGCAAGCTGTTCCCTATCGCGAATATCCCATCGCGGGTCCAGAAGAGGGTTATGATCGCCGTCATTCTCAACCAGATATGGCTGCAACCTAGGCAACTCACGTTCTTTCAGAACACACTGAAATTTTGACATATGGTCTAGCTCCCATTGCGATCGCCGGTGCTCCGTGTAGACATATACCATTCTCGTTCGGGATCAATCAGATGCTGATGCACGCAAGCTCTGGATAGCGTTGAAGTTCGTCCTGGCCTTTCGCAATCTAGTCATCAAACGCCGGAAAGATGGATTGTTCGCACGGACGTATTATCAATAAGCCAGCGAAGTAGAGCTTCATACGCCTCCGCATGGATGGCATCGCTTTGACCACTATAAATGTGCGAAGTTGAAATTCATTTCAAATGGTGACGCTGACAGAACGCAAAGGTAACATCCCATCCATAAGTTAGATTCGATCTAGGCCTAGCAGCATTTAGGTATGCTGCAAGGCGTAAAAGGGCGACATTGAGAACGGCCTGAGAATTAAAAACCAGTAGCAGCTTCCTCAGAGATGGGCTTTTTATTGACAAGAAAGAGGCCTAGGATTCCTTTGGGTCCACCTGGGTCAGTCCATGAATGGTCGACGAATTGCTATGTTTTCAGATACTGGACTGAAATGGAGAAATAGTAAATGCGGTTGCCCCAGAAATGAGATTGGGATACCCCGGTCCATGTTCAGATCTTGTGATATTTGTCAGAAGATGGTTTTCTCAAAGGCGCTGCATCACGTGCACTGATGCCTGCGTTCTTCCTTGGTGTCCTGATGACCTCACCAACCTCTCCACCCCAGGTATTGCGTTTTGCTCATGCTGAAGACGGCCGTGCATCGAAGGTGAGTCAAATGGCACAGCCAAAGCGGAGGAAAGAGGTCTTAATTGGACAGAAAAGCTCCGGCCGATTGGCCATGGATCGCGGCTCAGGCTCACGCTTCAGCAACTCAATAGGAAAGGTGCCTAAGTCGAATTAGACCTCCGACTCGGGCCCAATGTTTGGCGAGAAAATCCAGTCGACTTATGATTTGATGAATTTTGGACGAATAGGCAGAAGGATATAAGCTGCGCCATGATGGGTAGAACTAGGGACGCCCGATGGCCACCAAGCCTGGGGGATTGCTGAGATGACGGGTTCACAATTCAACTTCCGAGCCCAGACAGAGTGTGCAGAAAGGAAGACAGTCGGGACTTGGAGAGACAAGAGACGAGAATATCGCGGTGTAGCACATACACACTTACAAATTGGTCTCCCCGCTGGCAGGTGATGCAGAAGCGGTGAACACAACCCCTTGGACTTGGCTGCGCTTGCTTCCACACTTCCATCTCCGTCTCTCCGTCCCATGCAAGTGCCAGAGCCCGTGTTTGAACCGTTGACCGAATCACCAACATCATCTGGCCAAAAACCAATAAATCCAGATTCTGGCCGTTCCCACCCACTGTTCACTTACCTCTCCAACCATTCGAAGAGCCGCCTTGCTCTGCTAGAAGTGACTTTGCTTCTGCCTTTTTATCTTTGCTGCTCGCCCCCGATTTTCCATTCGCTTTGGCAGGTCTCGAGTCCTGACCATGAGAGCGTTGTCGAGGTGGAGTAGAGACCAAGTCAACGCTGTGACTGCCCGCAGTTTCAACAGCATTCGTACAAATAGAATTCTCCAATGGCCACCAACCAGTCGGCGACGCCTGGTTTCTGGAGGTATCTGATCAATCCAGACAAGAGCGCATCACCGCAACTTGAAACTCTATGTCTAGGGCTCGCCAAAATTATTGTGAGCATTTGCTGTTGTAGACGGATTACCTTCTTGTTAACATGCCTCATAGTCAACCTTCGAACCCGGGCCCCCCGATGGCGAACTCACGCCGCAACGTCTGGCTGCTTTCTACAGAGCCGTGGGCGGCAACTATGACTCCCTTTTCCTCAGGACCTCCGACCACGCCCTCTCTTTCATGTACCAAACACTTGGGTGTTTTCACAGCCTCCAACCCACCTCCAGCCCTTTTGAAACGCCCAGAATTCCATGTCTAACTCCGACCGGCTTCGCGCGTTGGCAAACCATCCAGATACTTCTCTGTCCTGACGAAAACGTCGGCTTTATGCAAAAAGCTGTACAGAGGTGGAATGTTCTCATGCCCACTGGCGGGACATTTCCAAACTATATCCCCAAGGAGGTCTTCCCCGACAGACCCGATGCAGAGATGGAAAGATGGCACAAGATGGTTACCGGCCAATTGAACCAAAAGAACTATAACATGCGGCGCATTAAGAATTCTCCTCAATCTCCACATCCTGAGGCTTCCGATCGACGAGATGGATATTTCTCTAACGGTCAGCTGGGCAGACCTGCTCGACCTTCGCGAAGCAGCTCCCGCGACGATCAAGTTCACGTGGATCTCTATCGGAGACGAAGCAGCGTTCCCGATTTTCCATCACCTTCGGGGGAGAGAGGTTCACATTGGGACCCAAGAAATCACCATGAGGCACGGAAAACCCGAAGCCATTCTGCCCAGCGACCACCACTTCAACCAGGTCGTCAGCGGTCTCACACCAGCTCAGGGCCCCCATCGGGTCGTTCTTATAAGGGCCCATCGAATAGCCCGCCTTCAAAGCAAAGGAGGGATGGGCCCTCAACAGACCAATACGGGAAACGATTATCCGCTCATAACATTCACTACCGGTCTCCCGCACGCACTCCTTCAACCGTGGATGAAGACACAGGGAGTGAAGCCAGCTCGGAAACCTCTCAAAGGGACCGCCGGCATCGCACTTCCGACGAAGATCGAAGAAGCCGACGTTCTTCCTTATGGGTGCCCCCATTTATGAGGTCACACAAACGTCGTCATTCATCTGATGCGAGTTACCGTACTCCTGGAGGTAAACCGCCACAGCCTCTGCGGCCTGAGTACTACCCCCCGCGTGCAATCAATTCTCCTCCACAGCTGCAGCAACCGTCTCACCGAGGAAGCGGCGCTCCTCAATATCGTGACACAGTCTGGGATAGTGATCCCGTCAACTCAACACCTGCAACACCGACCCTGGCACAAGCACAGGCACAGGCTGACCCGCGTGCTCCAACTATCCGTTATCCAGACCAGAGTAACTTGGAACCATTGACGAGAGAAAGCAGTGGTAGTGGTACAGAGCAAAGACATCGTTCATCGGACTGGGAGAGAGGAGGTGCACAGAGACGGCAAGGTCCAGGCGCACCATCCAGAGTTGCCACCCTGACGGGAGTCCATGGAAGAAAATATCCCACTGCCGACCCTCTGAGTCCGATTGAACGCCAACGAAGTCATGCTTCTTCCCGTGGTGGTGTTCCGGCTATGGTCTGAGTACATACAACGTGGTGACAAACGGCAGGATTACCACTGAGCAAGATGAATGAATGTGTTCTCAATCTCGTTTGACGATATACTCGGTTGGATGAATATACATGCATGCACCGCATGGGCCATCATGACGACGTTTACGAAAGAATGGAACACATGACATGATGATGAGAAGAAGACGGGCAACATAACACATCATGCTTAGACCCTTTTTTGGGAGACTGGCGTTTCAATTCGGCGGTGGGCCTTGTATGATTTTTGATTCTGGGTCTTTTGTCTTCTCCTCAGTTGATACTAAGCTCGGGCAGCCTCGCGGCAGAAAGATCACTTTGCGTCCTGCTTTTGTTTGACATGAAATTGGCGACTTGGCGATCTTGCGTTCATATGCCTAAAGTTTGGGTGCTTCGCAGCTCGGTCGAATACTTGGTATTACACAGTTTTAGCTTTTGACTTGTCTTCACGCGCTGATGAAGGAAGAAAATGAAAGATACGATAAGATTGTCTGTATCGATGTATATCTGTTTCTCGAATGTATGTATGTTTGCACGGAGCTTCTTATAATGCGGGCATGTAGACAGTAGACACCCCCACGCCAAACAGCCCACCCTCAATGGGCGAGAGTTGCGATATCTCAGCCTTGCATGCAGCAAGACTACGTACGAGAAGATCTGTTCTCGCAACACGGGCATAGCCTACATCTCTTCGATCTGATCCAATCTCTTTTCGGTCGTTCTAAATGGCTCGTTGTTCTGGACTGTTGCTTATTAGGGAGTGCTTGTGGGTGAAATTTCGAGTTTTGGAATCTAGGTTATTTTCTCATCGCACGTCAATCCATATATCACGGTGACTATGTATTTCCATCTCCCTATTATAGCTTTCTGACTCTCGCCTGCAATTTCCCCATTTCCCTTTTCCTTTCTTTTCCTTTCACTTCGCCTTCCTCTTCTCTCTTCCTCCCCCCAAAGTCCGGTCACACCGATGTGCTGCGCCTTGATCTGTCTTTAATAAACGAAATACGTCTGACCCAACGGCACTTCCCCCGCCGGCTCCGCCTTACAAATCATCCCGTCCGCCTCGACCGTATACCGCTCGGGATCGACATGCATCTTGGGCATAGCGTCGTTGAACTTCATGTCCTTCTTGCTGATGGCGCGGCAGTTCTTGACAGCTTCGACGCGTTTGGAGAGATTGTAGGATGCGATGGTTCCAGAAGCGAGTGAGGCAGAGGAGACGAAGGTGATGGATGTGCTGGGGACAAGCGGGGCGAACATGGGGCGCGCGATGACGGGTTGGACGGTGGGAATGGAGGCGTTGGGGTCACCCTAAAGAAAGAAGAAAAAAGGTGGTCAGTTTAAGGATAGATGGAATGGACTGGTCAAGCTGATTGAAAATAGGAGAAGAGAAGGGATAAAGGGGATAGGCGATGTAATATAACATACCATTTGTGCATAACTGATCATACCACTCTTCACCACCAAGCTCGGCTTCGTACCGAACATGCTAGGCTTCCAAAGCACCAGGTCCGCAACTTTGCCCACTTCGACGCTGCCGATGAGATGGCCCACGCCCTGTGTAATAGCTGGGTTGATCGTATATTTGCTCACATAACGCTTGACGCGGAAGTTATCGGCGCCGGTGCCTTCGTCTTCCTTCAATGTGCCCCGCTGCACCTTGTTCTTGTGTGCCGTGTTCCAAGTCCGCAGAATGACCTCGCCGCAGCGGCCCATGGCCTGGGAGTCCGAGGACATCATGGAGATGGCGCCGAGGTCGTGGAGCACGTCTTCGGCCGCGATCGTCTCGGCGCGAATTCGTGATTCTGCGAATGCCACGTCCTCGGGGATGTTCTTCGAGAGGTGGTGGCAGACCATGAGCATGTCGAGGTGTTCGTCCAGCGTGTTGCGCGTGTATGGGCGCGTCGGGTTGGTAGAGGAAGGGAGGACGTTTTCGTGCTCGACTACCGAGATGATGTCGGGTGCGTGTCCGCCGCCAGCGCCTTCGGTGTGGTATGTGTGGATCGTACGGTCCTTGAAGGCTGCAATGGAGGATTCCACGAAGCCGGACTCATTTAGAGTGTCGGTGTGGATCTGGCATTGGACATCGTACTCGTCGCAGACGGAGAGACAGGTGTTGATGGCAGCGGGAGTGGTTCCCCAGTCTTCGTGGAGTTTAAGTCCACAAGCTCCGGCTTCACATTGCTCACGTAAAGCAACGGGAGAGCTGTCGTTGCCTTTGCCCGTGATGCCGTAGTTGATGGGGAGAGAGTCGACGGCTTGAAGCATCTGCTTCATATGCCGTTTCCCTGGTGTGCAGGTGGTGGCATTGGTGCCCGTGCTAGGTCCCGTACCTCCACCCAGGTAGGTCGTGATGCCTGCGGCAATGGACTCATACGCTTGTTGAGGGCAGATGAGATGAATGTGTGAGTCGAAGCCTCCTGCTGTGACGATGTGGTGTTCGCCGGCGACGACGTCTGTTCCGTTGCCAACAATCATGTTGGAGTCAACGCCGTCCATGACATCTGGGTTTCCAGCCTTGCCGATTCCCACGATAACTCCGTTTTTGATACCAATGTCTGCTTTGTAGATACCGGTCCAATCGACAATCAGGGCGTTGGTGACAACCGTATCGAGCACATCTGAGTCTTTGCGGTCAGAAGCTTGACCCATTCCTTCACGCAGTGTCTTTCCTCCGCCGAATTTGCATTCTTCACCATACACAGTCATGTCTTTTTCGACTTTGATCCAGAGATCCGTCGTCCCTAGTCGAACGAGATCGCCAGCAGTGGGACCAAACATGCCTGCATAATCTGCTCGAGTCATGGATGCCACATCTATATGGGCCAAATCGCCTGCAGGTTCCGGAACGTGTGAAAACCCAGCCTGTTGGAGTTTTTGAACAATTTCCTCGGCACGGGATACGTCAACCGGGCCTGAGGCAAGGTTGTTTCCGCCATGGATGACTTTATTTCCTGCAATTTCGACCAGCGTGACGGTCTTGGTATCTCCAGGTTCAAAACGGACTGATGTGCCGGCCGGGATATCGAGACGGAACCCGTATGCTTTACTTCTATCGAATTCCAGTTGAGGGTTGGTCTCGATGAAATGGTAATGGGATCCAATCTGAACAGAGTTCTGTGAGTTCTGGGAAGTTAGACAAGGGGTTGAATTTCAATCGTACCTGAATCGGCCGATCACCTTTGCTGGTCACCTTCAAACGAATCCTCTTTCGACCTTCATTCAACATAATCTTGCCTTCCTTGGCTGGAACAACGGCGCCGGGCATCTTCTTGTTATCATATTCGCTCTCGTCCGGCAGTGGGAATGCATCTTTCGAGGGTACAGGAAGAAAACTTCCATACAGAGCCTTCTCTAGATCGCCGTCATCGGAGCTGATGGGATGATGGACGGTTACGAGGTAAGTCCCAGTCTTGAAAGTGCCTTCGACTTGTAATTCTGTCAGTGTGGAAACAACGGATGGTTGTACATGGCGTCGACCAAGCATGGTCTTGCCAATGGACATGAGGCCGGCGACTGTGTGATTTCCATCGCGAATAAGCTAAAGTTAACCGTTTCAGTTTTTCTGTTCTCCAAGGGGTTTCTTCACCATCTACCTCTTGTAAATTGCTTGCAATGAGAGCCTTTGAGAGAGAGATTAGCGGCGGCTCGCGTTCATTAGGTGTTAACGTCACATACACAGGCCTCTGAATGATTCAGCTTAACACCTCTGGCAAGCCTTCTTTGTGCTAGCAGTCCCAACTGGGATATAACGAGCTTATCAAGCTGTCGCACGGAGTCAATATATGTCCAGTGTGCTAGTCTCAGTATGAAATCCTTCGTACCTCTTTTGGAATGAGTTGCATCGTGAAGGCTGCCCGGTTGGAAAGATTTCAATCTCGACCCCAGCACATGAAAGACTTTCACTAACGACACTGAAGTTGTTTATCTTCTCGCTGGCGGCGGCGTGGCCTATCATGGACGAGCGGTGGTGCGGGGCAAAGGAAAATCCCAAAGTGGCATGAGCAGGAAATCAAAAGCACAAAGGGACCCTGGTCGGCTCTTCTCAGCCTGAATAGAGAGCTTTGGCCCCGATGCTTGTGGCGGGGACACATGGAAGAACATTTTTGTTTATGATGCGTCATGCACAATTTTTTTTTTTAAAAAAAACGGTTGCAGTAGAGAGCTTCACATCGCATTGAACCACGATAATAGCTCTGCTTTGCGCCCGTTCATCAGAGCATCAAGACTGCCTGATGAGAGCACCTTTCATTGTGAGCATGAGAAAAGAAACCACTTGATCAAGAGTGTCCTCGAAACCGTGACCAAACCCGAAACCGTACGAATGACCGCCACATACTCAGATACAACTCGTTCCTCATCTCACAGCCATCCCCAGCCAGTCAACCCCCTTACTTCTTTGCCTTCCTTGATTTCTCAGTCTTCGATGACGAGGCGGGAGCAGATGGGTTCTCCTTCTTACCCTTCTTGCCCTTCTTCTCTGGAGATTTAGCTTCAGCCTTGGGAGTGGGCTTGCTGGGAGTGGCATCTTTGGTCTTGCGGCGTTTAGACTTCGGCGGGGTGGGCTCTCTGACCGGCTCCGGAGACGACTCGTCAGAAGTTTCAGCAGGAGCAGCAGGCTCATCTTCTGTCTCTGCTTCGGCATCGACGCCAGCAACGTGATCTGGTGCCTTGCCCATCTCCACCAAACGAGCAGCTTCTTCATCACTGGGAACTGGTTGTCCAGCCTTGTATGCTGCCATCTTGACACGATAGGCAGCCAAATTCTTCTGGTACTTGTCATCCCACACCTACAGAAAGTCAGTAACGATAGGGAGATAAAAAAGGGGTTCGTGGGGACGTGTACACTCTTCTCGGCAGGACTCATCTCAGTCCATCTACGAGTACCCTCATCGGCAACTTCTTTTGGTTTGGCCGAGTCACCCAGCTCTTTAGCGATAGTGGCACGTGCGCTCTGCATGTACAGGAAGTATGGGGTGAGAGCACGCTTCGGAGCGTTGGGGTCGTGAGGGGTCCTCTTGCGCTTCTTCTTTCCGTCACCCTCAGGTTCTGCTGCGGCCGGGGCAGCATCGGCGGGTCGACCAGTCAAGAGACCAGACTCGGTGAGGATGCTGGTGAGGTTGCTGTCAATAGGAGTCAAACCATGCTTGCCTGGGGTGAGAACGGTATTGGCATGTTGAATGTAGGCACGAGAGAGGTCTTGAACGGATGACTGGAGAGTTGCGAGAGCAACAATGACCTGGTTGTGGGTGTGAGCAATAGCTTCTGGATCATTCCGTATATCGAAAATGGATTGAGCGAGGGAAGCCAAATCAGAAGTGAGAGTTTGAATAGCATTCAGAGTGGCCTTATCACAGAGTGCAAGGTGCCGCATAGGTATGGCAGACATGCTTGACGCATGGATCAAGTGAATCAAGGATCAAGTTTGGCTACGAGGTAGGTAGTGAGAGGTGCAAAGTGTGGTGGGTGAAGCATTTGTTTCTGGTGAGAGGGTGTAGCAGAGCCTCGTCGCGGGGTCGAGGTTCAGATGCAGTTACGCGTGTGCGTGGGTGCAGATGGTGAGGCAGAGTAATAGGTATACGCAGTTCTTTGAACATACCGAATCGCGTGTTCGCTGGAAATCAGCAATGTTGACCTGAGTCGTGGCAGATTCGGGGTCATGAGTCTTCTTTGCCATGGCGAGAAACAAGCGTCGACAAGTGAACGAAGGATTGGCTATAACAATTTACAGTACTCGGTACGGGCGAGTGATGTGGATGGAGATGGCGTTTATGGAGAATGCGAGACTGGGTTTAACTAAAAGGCAGCCCTGTAGGAAAATGAGCAAGTGAGGGCGGAGTCTTGAGAAAAGGTGGAAGAAGGAAAGGAAGAAATTAGGGGGAGAAAAAGCGAGAAGAGAGGGGGGATGCCGGGTATAAGTGGCCGAGGGCAGGTCGAAGGGCCGCGCCGGATCAACCCAGCCAGAAGAGCCAGCTAGATGCCTGCCGGAGAAGGGAGGAGCTGCAAGATCAAGATCAGACACCAGACAGCAGAGAGCTACACCCGCACGTTTGGCGGGTGATGGCGAGGGTGATGGCGAGAGAAGGCAAGATGGATGGTACTGCTGGGGCCTGGGCTTGGGCAGTGCAGCTCCAAGTTCCAGGTCTCTTGCTCTTCCATTGATGCACTGGCGGTCCTGTGTGCTGCAGGCTCCACTGTTGCTGCCGCGCTAGAGGGCCTTACCTGGGATTTAATTGGACCTACCCTCCTTAACCCTCCTGTGTTTGCTGCAGTTTTCCGGCTCTATTTGCCTGGCCCCCGAGTTGCCTGCTTGTAACTTCATCAACTAGTCAGAGAGGCTTACGGGCCTTTTCCCTCCTCCATCACTTGGGCTTGTTTACCAACCAGACTCGAGCAACCCTGCACGACTTGCAAGCTAAAACAGCCTAGGCCCTTCACCCTCCATCACTGCCGAATAGGGACTCTCGAGTGCAACCCCTCCTAGAGAGCTTCCCCAGAGGGAGAAGTACATGACCGCAACAACACTATGAGAGTTATCTTGCTTGCTGGATGCAGGAACGATAAAGCCTGTTGAGGCGCCTACGGCGTCTGACAATGGAAAACAGCATAGTTTGTTAGAATACACGAAGCGAGTCCTCACCAGCTCCCCTAAAAGAGCATGTGCTCCCAGAAATCCTCGGCCCCTTCCCCAGTACGAGGGGGAAAGAAATTGCAATCGGGAGTACCACAGTGGGCGAGGGAACGTGTAATGCTCTGAGTTTCTCAGGCGTCTCCGAAATCTGGCTGGCAACTCGAGACCCCCCGGAAACATCAACGCCTAAAACAATCAGTCAGACCACCCAACTCTCAACTCGATCATCAGTGACCCACGAATTGTTGCATAAGCGCCTCTGGGCGTCCGCCCGCCTAGCAATTTCTGCGTGTCAGACTGACTCACAGAATTACCTGGTGGCCACGAGGAGATTGAGGCCAGCTATGAGCTTGGGGGGGTTACCCTGCCGATTTGGCTTGACGGCTCCAAAGTTGCTGTTTGACCTGTCACCTCCAAATTGTTAGGGGACCCTCTCGGACAAGCCGGCATTGACCCGTTTGAGCTCTCCCCGCTTCCTCTTTTTTGCGGACTGGAACTTACTGCCAAAGTTTGTCGATTTCAGCAGCCGATCATGCCTGCTATTCTGCGGCTCTTTCCGTCGGGCATGCTGATCTTGACCACCTTCCCAAGCGGTCCGCATTGATGCTCAGCGTCGGCCCCGAAAGTCCTCTCAACGTGTCCACCGCTAGGGCAGTCAATATAATGAGGTTGCCACTGCCATGACCTAGTGGGCAAGGGCCTTGTTTGGCTCAGGTCAAAGGAGTGGTTATCTTTAGGCGTGAAGGCCAATTTTGGGCTCCTTCCTGTCCAGCTGGGGCCTTGGAGGGCCCTATTTACGAGCTTCATCAGAGGCTTTCTCGCCACACAGGTCACCCATCCCCAATTCACTCGTTTCAAGCCGTGCCTCCTGCGCTTTCAACGCGCTCACATGCGGGTGCAGGTGCTGGGACGAACGGGGAACTGAGTGACCCAGTCCTGGCATCTTCAGTTGTCCGCTCTAACATGGTCATTCTAATTATTTTCCTTGTATATACGGAACTTAAACAAGGACCTCGATGCTCGAAGCACATCCCCAAGCTGACTCCAAGGCCGAAGATCGAACTCCCTAACATCGGCGCACCTCCAATTTATCATCACCTACACCCACCATTACTTCGGAGAGTTTCTCAATGCTTTCTGATCGCACTTGGAATGAAGAATGTTTTCATGATGTTACCTCACGTATTGTTGAATACCCAAAAACAGGCAGTATTTATGGCTCTCTTTCGTTGAGCTAACTATCTCGGACAAAAAATCGAGATCATTTGAACGGGTGAACAAAACATCTGGCGTGCCTCCGCAGCCTTGCTATGAATCATTCTGCCACAGAAAGCTGTTTGAGCATTCAACCATTCTTAGTGGCGTTGACCCTATCCGATTGGGAACCCTCCCCGCCCCGCGCAAGGCTGGAGTTTCATGCTGCCCCAGCCTCGCCCTTCACCCACCGCGTGGCTGATTTTAACCGCCTACCCACACGTCAACCTTTCCGCCATCATTCTTTTCCAACGCTCCCGCTCTCACCGACGGGGGAATTCAATCCTCAATATGAATTGACCAAACACATCGAATCGCGCAGCGTTGCACGGCCCAGATTAAGTAGCGCGTACACACAAGCTTGTCATCGTAGACTAGATTCGAGACCGGCAATGTTAGCAGCCAGGGGCTTTTAGGGTGTCTAGTAGCCTTGATTTTTGTCTCCTTGCTGTATCCCAAGGCTCGTTTTGGCCTGCATATGTACAAATACAGACAAGTCCGACTTTCTCCTTTGAATTCTTGTACACTTTGCGCTTGCTCTCTTTTTGTTGGTATACCTCATTTGCTCTTCATTCGAGGAAGAAGTAGCCTGATGATTGGGTTTGCAAACCCCCCTCCCCTTCCCCTTCCCTTCTCTCCTTTCATTTCGTTCTCTGCAGCTTCCACCCGGATTTTTGGCACAGGCCTAGAATTTAAACACCTGGTCCTTGGTATATCCTAGCTCCTTGAGGATGCCAGTCAACTCGCCCTGGTCCTGTGGGCTGACCTTGGCACCGCTGACGGCCTTGTACATGCCTGGGGGACCACAGACGAAGATCTTGATATTGCCACTCTTCGGGTCTGGAATGACTTCTTTTAGCAACTCCTTGGTGATGAAGCCCTTGCCGTACGGCCAGCTGTCGGGCGGGTTGTCGAGGGTGTAGAAGGCGCGGAAGCGCTGGGGAAACTCGTTCTCGAGTTTCTGCAATTCTTCTTTCAACAGGATGTCCTCCTCCTTGACGTTGCCAAAGATCAAAGATACTTTCGTCTTGTCCTCGGGATTCTTGAAGATGGCACGGATTAGTTGGTACATGGGTGTGATGCCCGTGCCGCCTGCGATCAGTGTGATGTGCTCGTGCTTGTTGGGGGTCCAGGGGTACTTTGGAATAGGGCCCTTGAATGAGAGCGTTTGGCCCGGCGTCATCGAATGCAGGTGTTCGGACATTGGTCCATTGGGGTACACTTTGACCAGGAGTTCGAGGTAACCCTTCGCATCTACGGATGTTGTGAGCGTGTCAAGTTCCGTGGGGGAGGAGTATCGAATGTGAGGAAACCTACCTTCGTCATTGATGGGCGTGTATGGTCTAACAACTGGCTTCTCCTGATCTGGCGCTTTGTATCTCGTGATAACTGCAGCTATTTGGAGCATATCGCGTCAATGATGCCTCGAGTGTAACAGGCCCGTTGTTCACAAATCTTACAAGCAACATGCAATCCTGACACATGATCCTTCTCCGGTAGCTCGAACTTGAACCGCTTGGTATTGTGATTGTAGGGCAGGACCTCGGCGAGCTTGAGATCTATGAATCCCTGATCGCCGCCCGTGAAGGTTTTAGAGGGAGCCTCTTTGCTCATTGCCTTCGCGTCTTCGGCCGGTTTGGGTGCGTCCGCAGTGGCTTTGTTCGAGCCCAGGAATGAGTAGCCTGCGATACCTGCCCCGATGGCAGCAGCTCCGACTATCCAGGGAGTCCAAGCGGAGGATTTGGGTGCCTCGGTCGCATAGCTGCGGATGTTCTATTCAAAATAGGGTGTGTGAGCATTTGTAGTTTTGGAAATATTGACTCCAGTAAAGAGCAGAGCTTAACTTGGGGCAATGAGGAATTGAAATACCTGACGGAGAGGTCCGGCAGACCTCAGCATTGATCTGGCAAACATGCCGACACGAGAGACTGGGGGAATTGGGCGAAAGGATGATGGGAAAGAAAAAGAGAAGGCTTGAGAGTTGAGATTGGAAGATAAATTCAAACGTTGGCGATGGCGTCAATTGAGGCCTGAATTCGGGGAGCTGTGAACACGGAATGATGGCGCAAGCTCGAACCTGACGTCGTTGAACTCGGGCAGGTCGGAGACGCGATCTTCAGGCCAGACGATGCAAGGCTTCCATTCTGGGTATCTTTAAATTGTCTGTAAAAACCATGTCTTCCAAAGTACTGCTCTTCAAATCTCTATCTCCAGCTCCTCGTGTACGGTTTGTTCCAGCACTTCTTATGGTTCAGTCATCCCATTTGCTACTATCATTCCCAACCAGACATAATTTTGCATCTTTGTACGCATCCATCCTGACCATGCTCGTTTCAGTCGCCCGCATAAAATTTTTAGCGATATCTTCCAGGTCGTCTTTTGATCGGGATTGTCTAAGAGCCAACTCCTCCGAAAGAGACAGGGAGTCATCCTCGTCTTCGAAGCCGACGTTCTTCTTCCCGCTATTGAGTAGACAAAAAGCTCCCTCGATTATTTTCAGCTCACTGTCAAAATGGGTAGAAGCATCTTCAGCTTCCTGTTTGCCAACAGCATTATGACTGGCGACAAGATGCTCATTTCTAGCCTCGTCAGCCTGAGATTCATTAGCTCCCGTTCGCGCGCTTTGATAGACTCCATCCTCATCCGTGGTCTCTGGAGTTTCAGTCTCCTGGATATCATCTCCTGGTTTCCTTTTGCGGTCGCTCTCCGGCTGTAAGTATTGTTGTTCCCCGAATCCTTCAACCTTTCTCGAGTCTCTTGATCGAAACGGAATATATTCCCCTGCACAGGTCTCCAAAGAGTGTCTCCGTACTGAGCTCTTCGGTCCATGAGTCTAAACCCCCGGTGCGGGCATATATGTCCTTGGACCGAAGCACGCCGACAAGATGGCGAAGCTCGTTATAGGAATGACGAGAGTAGGGGGAGGTCCATTTTTCATGAGCAATGGTCTACTTCCTGATGAGTCTCCCGTGTGGTCCATTTTGGACAGAAGAGATACAAAGTCCTTCAACCGAACAATCTCATCCTCATCCGAAGAAATGGATTCAAGGCCCTCTGGAGGAATGGTCAGTTTTCTCGCCTTTCCAATCCCCTCCATGATCTTTGATACCAGCATTTTGTCGCCGGTCAACTTTGTACCAAATTCATCAAATTGTTGAAGAGGTGTAGATTGTCCCACTCTGCCTCGATAAGAGATCACCTCTTTCTCCCCCCGCTCCAGCTTCTCTAACCTTTGTGCCATCTCTTGAGCCTTGAAATAATAAGAGTAATCCACTCGACGTTCTTTCGCTTCTTGATTTCATTATGACATCTCATTTGACGTCGCTATCCTGGGTCCAGCACTCCCCAAGCTTGTGATTCCTACTATAAATCCCATGAGTGATGCCGCCTCATTATAGTTACCAAGTCTAACGTCTTCACCAGATCGAAATATTTGTAGTTGATACTTATCCATGTGGATGTGAGACTGTAGAAAGTTGGAGAGTGCAGCCCACACGCTCTCACAGGCGCATGTCCATGCCCTAGAATAGAAACTGTGTCCGGAGGGTAATTGCCGACTTTCTGAAGGTGCTCTTCCGTCTCTTCTGCCTTTGTTGGAAATTCTCTGTATGATTTGTCATGAGTTGCGAACGTGGTGTCAAGGTACGGGCAAGTCTAAAATTCTCAAACCACAAGTATATGGCAACAGAATTGTGTTTTGCACAATTGAATTCACCCACCACTGTTCACCCAGTGGAGACGACTACCTTACCATCACCTTCAATGGGGAACACCACTGCTCCTGGGCAGCGATTGGCATCCAGCGAAATAACCTGGATGGTGGACTTGAGACCGAGTTGAAGTTCCGTTGCCGTGTTCAATGAGATTGCCCTAGAACATTTTTCAAGTGACGACAATGCAGTAAACGGGCTTCGAGAATTTCTTTTGCATAATTGGTACAATGATATACTTTTCCCATCTTTAAAAGGATTCGACTTGTGGTGGCTGAGCAATACACGAATGGCATTTTGACCGGTTCTAGGCCTGGACAAATGAGTGCTGTGGACCACACCTGGGCACTCGTCGGATATTTCTGTTGATCTCCAAGCAAGGCTGAAATAACTGACCCCCTCTTCGATCAGCACCCTAAAGCTTGGAGAGGTGGCTGGGGAGACGCAACCAGTAAGAACGCCGCCCAGAGAAAATTCCTAGCCGACAAGAATCACCTCGTGCTCAAGCGGGCCGTTTTGGGGAATGTCGTATCGGAAATGCTGGCAAGGTGGATTGGCAGAAGGTAAGCCACGCAGGTTGTCGGGCGCATTAGCAGTCTGCTTATTTGCCTGCTTGACTAACAAGAATGGGCCTGGGTGAGCCAGAAAGAGGTCACGCACGGCTCACCTGGCCACCTGACGAGACGAAAAAAAGGCGGTTGTGGATGAGGTCTGTCGGTCGTGCTGATGTGGCACTGATGAACTGTAGCCTGTTAGCTAGGAACGTAGCGGAGCGTGATGGAAAATGGAGGAAAGGAAAACCGGTCACCGCAAGCCGGATGTTTATTACTCCTCATCGGCCTTCACTACCTTCTTGCTTCTGCTTCTTCCTCACTTCCTCTTCTGGCCCCAACCTTGCCGTCTCTGTGGTAAGCAATCTGGTGCCGTTGACAACCGAAACACAAGTCGCTGTCTCAGTTGACGCTCGATCCTCTCGATTAGCAGCCAACAGCGTCACCGCCAGTGACAAGCGCGGGTCTGGAGCCGGATCGGTGGATAGTATTGGTGTACCTGGACCTAAAACGACAGGCACCCCTGCGCTGAATGATCCCCCGAACTTGAAGTTGCGAGGTTCGACGTTCGGCTTTCGAAATCCACCAAATTCCATTGGGGTGGTCTCTCTTGAGACACCCAAGTAGCTATATCAGTCGCTTGCCCGCTACCTTGGTCATTCTCCGCCTTTTACCTCAGTTCCGTGCTCCAACTGCTGAATCTCACCAGCCATCGACTCTTTCACTGTGACCTCTGAGAGTCCTCCTCCGCTCTACCTCCAGCTCTAGCCTCCATTTTCAACTCAATAGGCGCTGATCGTGACTGAGAACCAGTCACTCGGAAGCCGATTGACTACACCCGCCGAAACCACCCTTCTTGCGACGATTTCCTTCCTAACATTGCAAATTTTGTTCTGTGAGAAAGTTGAGAAAATAAACCGTCACAAGGGAAAGGGCTGTGAACAGTAGGACCACCCAATCACCCGATTGGGTTAACACCACTATGAGAAAGCCATGCATTCCAGAGTTGATTTACCAGAAGACCTTCCCGAAACCGAAGCAGGGTGAACCCGTGTCCTTTTACGCACATATTCAACGTCACATTGTGGGAGAAGTCCGGGTGGAAGTACAGACATACTATGGAGCGCTTGATACGTTAGAAGCACAATATCCCGGTCTCGACTATACCTATCCTCCACACCGTCGTCGTATGTCAAGATATCCCTGGCATAGGAGGCTTTTCCGAGTGTTTGACGAACTTGGATTGACCGACAATGAGATTTTGAATTTGTGTCAATGGGAGGGGACCAGAGCAGCCAAGGAAAGATACGAACGTGAGGCACACATAGAAGTCAAGACAACAACGGCCCATGATGTAGTGGCAGCACCTTTGGGAGAAGGGCCGAGAGCAAGATTTGAGGATTGGTCTCAACCAGCGCCTGAGGAAAGGTCATCAGACGGCGAAATGGTGGTTCAAGTGGAGGAGAAGAAAGAGACCGCTTCCAACAAATCACGGCAACCGGTCGACTGTCAAACACCTACTCCAACTGCCGACTTGTTTGAATCAATTCGTGATGCTATACATTCACGGTTTCGCGAAGCAGGACGTACAGAAGTCAATCAAGCATGGGAACAATGGCTCAAAGACGCATTAGAGCAGCATGGAATGGATGTTGAATCTGCCTTGACTGCCATTCAGAATCCAGAGCTAGACCTTTTGAATCTAAACCCTGCCCGGGAATCACCTGAACCTCTTCGATTCAGCCGAGAGATCACCCCGCTGCGGTCGCCTGCACCCAATGCACAATCTACTCAGAATCGAACTTACAGCGAGCTTCATACTATGGTTGACGAGCTACAAACCAACAATAGTCAACTAGCAGCCGACAATGCTGCATTGGCGCTTTTCTTACGACGGACACGGACACAGACGGAAGCCGCAAGATAAAGAAAAATATCGAAAGTGACTATTTCCTATGTTAACTAGAAGGGAATGCCAGCTATTATGGTGAGAGGTGTGCCGCTTTTGGCTTTTTTTTTAAAAGTATGAGCCCGGCCGTACTTTTGTCTCGGTTTCTTTGTTTTGTTTTGTTTTTTTGGGGACAGCACAGGATGGCTTTGCTTTAATTCTCTTTTTCAGCGAGGCGTTTACCGGTCCCGGGAGGTGTTCATGTGCTTTTCACTGGAGTTTGCAAGGAAAACAATTCATTTGCTAGTGGCTTGATGGCAGTGCCTGGAGACAGGGATGGGAACAGGGACAGACTGGGCAGTGCTCGGTAGGGACTTGAAGTTTCTGAGCGAAGCACGAAGCGAGAAACAAAGCGAATGAGCTGAAGTGCTCCTACTCTTGCACTAATTTACTAGAGATCGAGTGAGAAAACAGCACTGTATTGATTTTTAAAGGCATCATGCTCAGAAAAGTGACTCCCACTTTTCTAGCCTGCGGTATTCTTCTTGACCACACCCCTCGCAAACTCCCCAAATGTCAATCCCGTTTCTAAATCAACAAGTTCATCCAAATTTGGCTGCGTGAAGACCGCCAACGTATTCCTCGCGATTTTACTTCTCTGATCGCAGTTTTCCGGATCCACGCCTTTCACGAAATGCGGAACGGCCTTGAACTTGCCTCGCGTGATAAGTTCGAGAGCCTCGCCCGTTTGAAATGCGAGGCTGTGCCGGGGAATGCTGACTTTGTGGATCTGCCCCGAGCGCGAGAGTATGTAGAGGCCCGAACTCGGGTCCGGCGACGAGGGGAGTTCGGTGAGCGAATTCTCAGCAGATTCATCAAGGAACATTGCAGATGTCAACCCAGTGAGGCATCCGTGGTCCAGGTGCGTCGTGCACCAGGAGTCGTCGATATCATCTTCCTTACCAGTATTGTCTCCATTCGGACTGACATTCTGCGAGGCAGTCGTATCTTTGTCTGTTTCCGCACCATTGGTTTCCGCCCCGCCCTGGTGGGCCTCCGCTGGAGGGCTGTCATTGCTGTTTGTGGGAAAATAATGCAATAGCCTCGCCTTGGTCGTCGTGCTCCCTCTTACTACTCTTTCCAAGTACCCGTCTTCATACCCCTGAATTTCTTTTTGTGCGTATGTATCACACGCCCTCGCCACCAACACCGCCGTATCGATGATCAGCTTGATCAGTTGCTCCGCATCGTCGCGGAACCCTTTCACCTCGTCATCGGCCGGCCACACGTTCGGCGCTGTGTACTCTTCGAACCCGGGGAACTTGGAGGCGTCGGCCCCTTCGAGCTGCGGGTCCTTGTAGAACGCGCAGTTGATATAGTAGCTTCCTTTGGCGGTATCGATGACGCCGGGCCGGAGCGTTTCAACCCCGTGTGACCAGCCGACGAGGTACTTCGCGGAAGGCTTGGTGAGGCGCCGCAACACAGAGGGACCTAGAGCTGCGAGTCGTGAGGAGTTGGAGAGGACCTTATTGCGAAGTGATGGGAAGGAGGGTGGCAGATCTGTGACGACAAGGATGCCTAGGCTGTTGAGCCCGAAGGCAGAGAGGAGTTTGTCGAAGGGGACCGTGTTGTTTTGGAGGTCGTGTAAGGAAACGGTCACGGGGGAGGCGTGTTTAATGGCCATGCTCGCTGTCCCCCTTGTGAGATGGGCGAGCTACGTGGAAGAATGAAGGAGGCAAATCGAATGGAATTATATAGGTATTCGATTTGAGGGAGAGGTATTGGTGTGATATATCAGATCAGTTCCCTCAATCGTAGCATATATATAAAGTCTTCAAATCACAGCCGAAGTCCAATCCCATCTTCTCGACTGATCACTATTTTCTTTCACTCCACAAAGTACCCACGCGCGCTCATGTAGAATAATTTTCTGGCTCTACAATCTGTTTATCAATTGTTTTCCCCACAGTTGCATTGGCCCGGTTATCCATGGGCCTCAATTGATTGGGGATCCTGGCAGCCTGGACTCCTTTGTCGGCCACTTCCGACGCTTTCTTCCAAGCCCACTACATTGGCCATCTGCGAAAATGAGAACCTGTCTGATACTTTCCATGGGTTGAGGCAGACACCATGTCAGACAAAGTCCCTCTGCCCTTCAATCGAACTCTCTGAGCGCTTAGAAATGACGCGACCGAATCAGCTCGTGCACATATCTCATTAAACAGGTCTATATGCTTTTTCTTGTGCCCGTCATACCGACCCAATTAGTGCTATGTTGGAACCACTGTGTACAAGTTCCTTCTCCGTAATCTGTCCATTTACTTCTTCAAGCCAAACGCTTCAAGTAGTTTGGGGAAGTACGGAGTCCCCCAACCCGTGACGGCGTCCCAACCTTTCGTGGTAGGGAATCCCGTCGTGTTGCATCCTGCAGAAGTGCCATTCGTGACATCCGTAAACAGCTTATGTCCTCGGGAATAGAGCCAGGGGTTGATGAAGCCCATTGATGGGCGGTCTTCAGCGATCAAAGCATCGTTCAGGAGACTGAAGATCGCTGCACAAATTGGCGACGAGCCAGATGTGCCGACCAGGCCGAGTGTGCTGCCATTCCAGATGGTTGGGAACACTTGTCCCATGCATGAGATGTCGGGGTATGCGCGCCCTAGAGAAGTAAAGGCTGTCAGTATCACATGGAGTCACGATGGTATGCTGTAGGGGACTGACCTGACTTGTTGTAGAAGCCATCGTAGAGCCCATCAAGTCCTTCGATATACTCGTTCACCGTCCCGGCCTGATAGGCAGGCTGATCGAAATAGTTGCTAAAACCGGCGCCACTGGTGAAATACAGGCCGGAGCTCAATTTTCTCCACGCAGCAGACTCGGGATAGCCCGTAGTAGCACCCACAGCCGTAATATAGGGGCAGTCGGCAGGAAAACTTGGGATGAACATGTACGTCGAGTTGTCGACGTTGCTGTAGCAAGTGTCGTCTTGGCCAACTCCAAAATCGCCGCTGGAGAAGAACAATGTCACACCCCGAGCGCCCAGCTGAGCAAACTGATTGCAGACAGCCTGAGCATACGATCGACTGACGGTTTGCTCGTCGTCCCCGTATGAGGTAGAAATGACTTGTGGGATGTCTTCGTCAGAGAGACCGACCATATAATTGGCCCACACTAAGAATGGTTCGTCGCTGTTATCCGTCGTCAAGATGTCCGGAACATATGTCGGGTTGCGCCCACCCGTCGAATAAGTTGTCAATGGGGTCGGATACCCAATGCCAATCATATATTCGGCATCCAGGTTGGCTTCCCGGTCCCGATCCTCGGCAGCGACATTGGTCCCATTGTCAAGGATACCGCCAGCGATCGAGATGGCCGGGAACTCATATGCATACGCCTGGGCCTCTGGACGGTATTTCCCAAGGAAAATGCTGATATCCGACCGATTGTTTGATTCCTCCAAGTAATTGGTATGGGCCATCTTGTTCTTGCCACCCGCTTTGACCTCGTAATCGATGGTGCCGTAGAGAATCCGGAGACAGTCTGGAGTCACGGCGGTAAAGTTACAGGCCGCTTGCACGGTGGCATTGGAAGGGAGAGGAATCTCCTCAGGAGGCGACCAATCGGCGGTGACTTCGTGGACCTTGGAAGAGCGTTTCTGAATCCCGCTTCGTTTCTTGGGTCCTTCAAGTCGTGCCCATGAATTGGTGGGCTGAATTGTACTGATATGTTCATGAACGTAGTGTGGAAGTGAGTAGCTTTCTGTGCGAACCAGAGTAGAACCGTCGTGATGCTCATAGACCGAGTAGTCGGTGTGGAGGAGCTCTTCAACGTGGGAGACCGGCAGGGTGACGGAGATCCAGTCCTTTGCTGGACTGTACTTGAGTTGGGTCAAATCCACTCCATGCTCTTCTAGCCATTCGTGGACGGCGTCAGAAGCATCGTCTGATGGTTTGACAAGCCTGTGCACTTCTTCCGCTGATAGATGTTGTCCGTAACGTGCATGGGACGGGTCGGAGACTGTTATGCTTCAGTGAGTTGTTCTTGACAATGCGCTCGTTTGCGGTCAATCATACCTTCATACAGATGACGCTCAAGCTCACTGAAGCGACTCTGAGATAGACCAATGGTAAGGTGAATCAAATGCTCGCCTGGAGCAGGACCCAGATTGGACCATGCTCTTGGAGCCGGGTGATGGTCTTTGACAACAAGGTCGACACGACGAGCGACGGGACCGGCTGCAACGAAAGATGATGCCAGCAAGGGCAGGGTCGCGGCCAGCATGAGGGTAGCCATGGTTGAGAAAAGACCGTCGCAACTCTTGCACCAGAGCAGATGAGAGAAACGAAGGACGAGACAAAACAATTACTCCGGCGTCGCGACCACGGGAGCTTCCCACCTTGATTAAATACTCGGTTCTCGAGGAGCCGAGGCCTCCTCTTTGTAATTGCCCATGGTCCATGTCTCCAACGGATTGAGAACGTCATGCGGGATTGTTTTGCCATGCTACCTGCCTTTGTGGACGAAGCTCCGAAAGATAATGACAAAGTTGAGGTGGCATCGCAACTTCTCGGTGGTGGGGAGCCCTTGCATTAGGGAATAAGGTCCGCCGATCTGTGACATGGATCGAAGGAGTGGCCATGGCAAGTCCGGGAGAAGGATTGGATGAGCGTCTGATCAGCTGCTGAATTGAGGATAGATATCTCAAGGACAAATGGTGGAAGAGGGGGGTGGACGATGGGGGAGATAAGCTTCTACAAGGTTGAGGGTGGCGCAGTGGAAGCTTCTTCGTGAGGCTTGGATGGAAAATGTCTCCTGGCGCTTGGCTTGTGCCTTGTAACCTGACCTCCGTTCGCCTTCGTGGTGGAGAGGATTTCATTGGTTATCGTCAGCGAGGTACGCAATTAGGCTTGCAATCTTAGCGAAGAGACGCACTTGCATCATGCGGGCGACTTGCAGCCAACCGATTGATGGATGGATGAGAAGAGCGGCAAGGCCGGCATTGAAGGTGAAGACGATAAAGAGTTCGCGCGTTAGAGGAGAGAAAAATGCAATAGATACAGTACATATACTGTGAAGATTGTCGGGTACCACGGCAGTTAAACTCAGGTACATCTACTTCCTAACTGCATAGATCGGTACCTATGCGTTCTGCCTTGGTACAACGGCGCTTCCCGCTGCATTACTCTTGTAAACTGGCCGTCTTTGCGGCAGAATGCTAAGCGGAGGCCTGTTCCATTGGAGATTGACAAGAGACGTTGTTGACTGCGGCGCGATCTCAGGTCCTAGCGGCTTGCATGTCTTCGAACGACATTATGTCAGACAAGATCGCCGATTTCGCTCGCAACGGCAGTATAGTCGTCCTAGGCGGCTTGTTCAGCTCCTCAATGCGCGCCAGCGATTTGCATAGGTATTTTAAGAAGTGGCATCTCTCTTGGAAGGATGGCTCCTATCGTGAAATGCTTATCAACGAACTCTGACCCTATTTCTTGCTGCTGGTTAATGATGTACTACAGGAAAGGTAAACGGTTGGTTCTCAATGACGCTCCGAATTGTACAAGCATGCTTCGAACCCCTTCACCACCCAACAGTGCTGATCCTTTGCCGTTGGGATCTAGAGCTGGATGGGACGAGTACTGTGATTTTGTAGCACATTGCAGGCACCTATTGTACCGAGCGGCACAACGCCGACACCACCTCTCTAGTCTTTCCCTTGCTTTTGGCATCAATCAGTACATATCCGACTCTGACGTACCAACTACGGTCGGTTTGACGTACAGCAGTACCCTCACGTTTTACGTCGAGAGGCTATTGTGTATAAAATCCACCGCTGAAACACTGGTGAGAGGTTTCCATGGACGACGACGTTACTGATGGTTGCTCTGCGTAACGACGTAGTATTCGCATGTCTATAAAAGGAGCCTCAATAACTCAACAAGTAGATTGAGAAAAAAGAGCATTCAATACTCGATCCTCCAACTTGCGAGAGTTTTCGTCTTTACGGAGTGATGAATACACTTAAATACGGCGCCAGGAGACTGCTGAGTACCGCTGCCTTTGTTGACGACGTCAAAACCCCTGAATTAATGACCATACCTGCAAGCGAACCTCCGCCTCTTTTCTACTACTGAAAACCTCTCCAACAGCGGGAGCCGTACGCCAAATCTCTGGCTGTGCATTGACATGACGCTCGATTACACCTCGGTGATGATCCAAACAGCCTTCAGGTGCATACCAATATGAAGAGGAGGTCATTGTAAAAGAGGAGGTGCAAAAGGAGTATAAACACCAAGGTTTTGCCGACGAGGCTCTACAAACCCAGCCTTACGCAGGGCGACAGCGAGGTTTCTATGGCAAGAGTGCGAGCGACGACGAGGACGATGCTAGGTGGGAGTGTGCCTAATCTATGAACAATTGTGGCCGTTTTTATAGGCGCTGTCCTTGGCGTCTTGGCCAAAATCACAGGAGACCCCGGAACTTGGCATCGCTTGGCATAGATCTCAAATCCCATAGAGTCACTCCCGCACTTCCTGTTTTGTTCGGCACGGGTGCCCTAGAATATGCCAGCCAGCCATCCATTTCTGCTCCCAAAATTTAGGGGACATGGGATAAACTGTCCTTTCATGAGCGCCGATGGTTCGGCCAACTTTATTGGCCCACAGATGCCACATTTTTGATGAGGCTGAAAGGGGAAGTGGAATTCTTGGCGGAGCCGGACAAAAGCCCAACGAACTGGTCCCCATAGAACCGGGACATCGGTTCACAGGTGGCAGATATATGCATCTAAGCCGTCTTTCTAACATAGGCAACCGGTCCAACATAAGCGTGCCTTGCGCGAAGTACGTAGTAGGTGAAGGCCAAGAGCAACATCCCCCCATACACGGCAATCGCCCAATTCATCTCCGCAGCTATGGGATTCGGCACAGGCGGGAAGAATGCAAATACGTAGACAACGGCGCAGAAACACAGAGAGGCAATGTTGATGGGAAGACCGAGCTTGCCAAGCTTCAGGTTTGACGGGAGAAGAGGGTGCCCCTGTAGTCGTTTCCAGGTAATGGTACCAATGGAGACCATGTATGACGTGACGAGTGCAACAGTGCCAATGGACATGATGATGTTGAACGCGAGAGCCGAGCCAATGTAAATGCAGTGAAAGACACACGCCCAAGTCGCAGAGACCATGATGGCGACAACGGGAACGTCGTAGCCGGATGGCACACGGGACACCCAGTTGTGGTAAGGGACTCCCTTGTCGCGCGCGAAGGAGAACAGCTGACGTGATGAACCCGCCATGGTGGTCAGATTAGCGCAGATGTTGAGAATGATCAAGAGGCATGTCAGACCTGACGCTCCGCCAGCAGAACCAGTTGCCGTGTTGAAGACTTGAATGACGGGGTAGCCAGTGGCCGAGGCGAGATCCTCATCAAGATCGCCCAGTGTGTAGAGAAATGTACTGGAGCAGATATCAGCGGGCGCAGATGCCAAGAAAGAGGGACAGGTTTATTACACAAGCATAAGGAATCCGAGAAGACCGTTCACCACAATCGTCCAGATCATGGCTCGTGGGAGCATTTTCGAGGCATTCTTCAACTCTTCCGCCATGTGTGCTGCAGCGTCTCCACCAACAAGGGCGCCGGCGTTCGTGATCATACCAACCAGACAGGCAACTCCGACTAGAGAGGTAAGCGAAGAATATCGGCAGAGACCCATCGAAACTCACTGCTTCCCCAAGGTCCTCCGTCCACGAACGATGTCCAGACCTCCGAAGTTGGAGTACGTGGGGCCATGACCCATAGAGGGACCAGAATAGCAAAGAACCCGGCAAGATGGAGCACCAAGATGATGCCTTCTACCAGCGGGAGGTGCTTTGCCAGGAAAATATTGAAGAGGGCCACACAGATAGAAATTGCCATCGCCATCAATGTTCCATGCCATCTTTCCGGGTGGTAAGTGTCTGGATAGTTCAAAATGAGGAGACCTTGAATCAAGGTACCGGCCACGTAGGCCCCGATCGTCGTTCCGACCTGATATCCTAGAATACCCAGCCATCCGATGAAGTAAGATAGAAGTCGTTGCACGTTGGGAGGCGCAAATTCGGAGACCCAGTGGTATTGTCCACCTGTAGTTTGTCAGTGTGTTCTCACGACCGGACTGTGGGAGTTTGTAGTACCTGACGTCGGTGCCATTGATGCCATTTCCGCCATCGAGACACCAACCAGGATAAAGCCAGACCAGGCCGCGAGAAAGGTCCAAATAAGCCCTCCAGGCCCGCCGTTGCCTAGGCCGAATGCCACGGTCGACAAAATTGTCTCCCAGGTGCTCATGATGATCAAGGCAAACCCGAATATTGACACAAAGCCAAAGTTTCGCTGCAAGCAAGATCATCAGTTCTGGCTCTCTATTCACAAAAATCGACGGGACCAACTTTGAACAGTTGCTCCTTGCCCAGGCGATCCATGTCTCTCTTGTCTGCGACAGAACCAGTCTTTTCTCCAAGCAGAACCTCATCGTTGAGCTCACTGCTCGGGTCAACATTGTATTCAGCTGATTTGTCCATCTCTATCGGATAATCTTCAAAGTTCGGCCGACCATGTACAAGGCGAGCATGGAGGAGAGGAGGATGTTGAATATGAAGGGGAGAGCTTTAAGCAAGGGGAATTTTATGCAGGCCGTGTTTCGGCAATTGCAACAAGGTTCTCTAAGGGGCGTGGCAATACCATGCGATAAACTAGGGTTTCTGTTAGTCTATTTTGCCATATTTTCCCCTGTCTACGTAGAAGCAGGCCTTTGGTTGGCGTGGCTGGCCTGGCCCTGGCCTCTATAGAGGCCGAAGGTATGTAGCAGACAAATGGTCGAACTCTGTAAGCGACCTGAGCAGCCAAAGGATCATTTTACGATTGATTCTGGCTCTGATAAGCATCCTTATAGGCACAGGATTCGACACGTCCGGCTCCTCCCAAGTCCCTCTTCTCAGGAAGAGGACCTCCGCACAATCAAGATGAAAAGATCGACGACGAGGCACGAGGATGTGGACAAGCGTGACCATGCTTGCATATGTATGCATTAGACCTAGCCAGTTGGATGATTGCGACCCGTACGGAGGCGCGCACCAAAAGTGCTGTCCACGCCAATTCAAATGACATTGTATTGAGACGTGACAAAGGGATTTCTCCATATTTTAGGCGTAAGCACCCATTGGTACCCAAGAGTCCTCTCTGACAGTTCCGTTATTAGGCGAAGTTGATGGGCGTTCCGGGCGATCGATGGGGAATCTCCGATCTCTCTTGGAGGGTTGTGAAGGGTAACGATGGATAAACAAGCGGGTCTTTCGATAAGTGCGTCATTTGAGACTTAGCGTGGACAGGGCGAATCTCCTTTTTGGGGGGCAACCCACACATTTGTCCTGGAACCGGCATCTATCATCAGCATAGCATGAGTACAGTATGTACTGTAGTACACGTTACTCAATTCAAGAAAAGGCCTAATGCATCGCAGTGCAGGAGGTGAATCTAAGCGTCGTGGTGGTGGCTCGGGATGTGCAAGCTTGCCTCCCCGTTCGGCTCGTTGAGGACGGCGCCGAAATCCCGGAAAAGCCCGGAACCGCTTGGCAAGTGGATCAGCCAAACGTCGCATGACTTGAACACCAACCGATAGCTTCATGAACTTGAAGGGAAAAGGTAAAGATCTACGAGGCTTCTGCAAATTGTCATTTGCTTTGCGACAAGATCGTGGACCAGGTGCCGCCCCAGCTAAAATTACCCTTGTCAAGCAGGCATATGTACTGTATGCCTGTTCACACCACAGAGTGTTGCTGCCTTTGATGTGTTCCGAATCATGTCAAAGTAACGGAATATTGTTCGGGTAGTGAGAATGCCCAGGATGTCCGGCTTTTAAGTTCAGCCCTCTGTCGAGGAAGAATCCCTCACACAAGCCTCCGATGTATGTAAGGGGAGCTCAGGGGCATGGGCAAGCCTTTTTAGCACTGGACATGATCAGCTCTCCGACATGATACATACGTACAGTCCGAGTACCAGACTTTTAAGAATGCCGTCTCGCCACAGAGCCAGCAGTCTTGAGCAGCGACCATATCATCATCATCATCATCATGTCTGACTCTTCGACGGAGATGCCTGTGTATGGCCCACGACCCTTCCCTCTTAGCGAAAATGATCGTCGAGGGGTCGTCCTGACAATAGGCGTCTTGTATATCATCTATGCCTGCATGGTATTGGTGATGCGTCTAGCCAGCAAATACAGGAACATAGGCCTTGATGACTGGCTATCTGTTGCGGCAACTGTATGTTCAGATGTTCTTTCATCGGCTACCTAACCAAGTTCTTACAATCCGCAGGCTCTCGCAATACCGCAGTTCGGAGCCGTGATTGCCGCAACAGTCAATGGGAGCTTCGGCTCTTCCTACAATCTTCTTTCGTCAAGTGATACTGAAACGGTTGCTCGAGTTGGTTATCTCGTTGACGTCGCCACGACGTTCATGCTGACAGAAACTAGTGCATCCGCGCCAGCGACGTACTCTTCCTCCTGGCGATATTCGTCGCCAAATGCTCGGTCGTTTGGCTGACCCGACGCCTGTTCGCCGCCTCACAGCATCAAAAGCGTGGTCTGTGTGAGATAACCATCGGTCTGTGTGCTGCATGGTGCCTAGGCTCTATCCTAGCCGTCACGATCGGATGCAACGCTGAGAGCGCCATTCATTCAGATACAGAAGGGAGATGCTCAGGTCTTGTATGGTTTGCTTCGACAACTTCTTCGTGGATTTCAGCTAATTGCGGTCTAGGACAATCGCTGGACCATCGTAGGAGTGCTCGATGCATTGCTCGAAATCCTCATCTGGATACTCTCTTTGGTCGTGCTTGTTCCTCTCCAGATGAGTTGGAAGAAAAAGTTGCAGGCATCTGCAAGCTTTATTCTGAGATTACCGTAAGGCTCTCATGCCGGTGAATATTGGAATACAGGCTGACCGATGAAAGCATCATTGTCTTCATCGGGCTCAACATTAAGTATGTGTCAGACTTGAATTCAGCGTCCGATGCCGGGGTCGCCCTCATATCGCCTGTTCTTTTCCGCCAAACCGAACTTCTCTACGCTCTTTTCTCTGCCGCCATACCGGCGTTGAATCAGTATCTACGCAGATTCGACACAAGAAACGCCACTCAATTTGGGTATCGACCCGACCAATACGGGTCAAGCGGGCACAACTATGAAATGAGCAATTTGTCCAACCACAGAACGGCCACAGGAGGTGGGAACAAAACTGCGAACAATGGCATTGGCAATGGCAACGGCTCAATGGCAAAGAGTTCCGGTGCCGACTTCAGGCCTGCTGGATATGCTCAGTACCATGCGAGGATCGATGGACCGAACCTTGGCAAGAGCAATGATGGGGTCTTCAGTGCCTTACAGGAGGACGGGTCGGTAGGAAGACACGGTAGCGAGGAGCACATCATTCGCAAAGAGATGGTGTATGATGTCCGATGTGAATAGCGGCGTCGAGGACTAGTCTAACCAGTCCCTGCTGCAACGCTTTTCGGTAATTGCCTCGTCTTCCTGTGGGTGGCCGTCGGGATCTGAGTCTGGGACTGGGGAACACGCGTCTATCTATGTAGTTCTTGCCAGGGGCATTGATTCGTCCCTCTTCTACATCTGGATCCAACGTCTGACTCGTGGAGTTTGGGGGTATATCAGCGGGGGCCAGAGCAGCTCGAACACTGCTCTGGCCACTTTATTTTTTTCCGCCACCAACGTACTTCAGCAGGAGAAAGGGGTCTTAGCCGCACCGGGTTGCCGCACCGAGGTGCCGAACATGGCGACATCCACTCTGTACTTCCGTCGCAAAACGAACCTAGCTTGTTCTGGAGACCAAAGCAGGATCAGGATGTGATATACTAAATCTCGTCACCCAAAAACACCGCCTTGACAGCAGCCAATCATTCCCTTCATTCCACTCCTAGAATCTCTCACCATGCCAATCCGTGCTGCCACAAAGGCCGACATCCCGATCATGGCCGCCATCATGGCAGCCTCGTTTGGTCCTGACCCCTTATTCCAAGTGATGTTTCCGCATCAGTCTCAATATCCCGAGGCATTTGTGCAGGCCTTTGAAGAATATCTGTGGCTTTCCTGGTACGACTACAAGAGGCGTCTACTCGTGTCCTACCAGGAGACCTCCACAGATGTGAACCAAGGGCAACAACTTGGAGAAACCGAAGATGTACCTGGCGAGGCGGAGCCACTGCTTTTGCCGAAAGCGAAGTCGATTGTGAGGAAGAATGAAGTCCTCACCGGCGTTGCAGAACTGGAGCGAGTGGGCAGTGGATGGGCGCATGTCTACGGAATCTGGGAGAAACTTGATCCACGTAAGGAATCGTCGTTGACCTCTCAAGTTCGTCTTCTTGAAAGTGACACTTGTTGACTCTTTGCTTTGCTTACCAGGTCTTTTGGCCAAGCGCATATTGGCCGCATGTTACACTTTCCGCCGACGCGTCTTTGGCAACAAAGCAGCGGTCCAGGCAACCCCCGACAACGCTTCTCCTCTCACGTACTGGAACTTCCTGCCGTCCGTCGTTCCGTTCAGCGCCCCCTTCTTCAGTGCCCCTCATCGACAAATACACTGGTCGCTGGAAAATCTCGCCGTTCATCCCGAACACCAGGGGCAAGGTTATGGGAGCAAGCTTGTCAAGGAAGTGTTACAGATGGCCAAGAGTGACCCCATCGGTGATTTACCCGTCTGTGTCATCGCTGCAGATGGTAAAGAAGGGTTTTACGAGAAGTGTGGGTTCAAGCACCTCGTTGGCTGGTTAAGTAGGACAACAGATCCCCGTGGTCGTGACAATCCTCTGAGAGCGAACGGTGTCGGCGGGGGGGCTGTGCTTTGGACAAGATGATGGCTCTGAGACCTGAAATTTGCCAAATCAGAGGAGATTCTTTCGCCAGATGGGTCGCAATGAGCAATCTCTTTACTAATCACACTCGAAATGGTTCGTAACCGACCGTGAATGGACGAGCATTAACGTCGAGATAACTCGTATGGAACGTCAACGGAGAGTAATTAATTACCGAAATTTTATATCTGTCATTTGATTAATTGTATTGTAGTAACGTTGGCCACATACAAATCGGTCCCGGTTTTGACCCAGACCCATCTGCGAAGGTCGCCCCACAGGGGCGATTAGTGCCTCGGCAGAAGGTCGTGGGCGCCGAGACCACGAACTGTAAATATATGCCTTGCTTAGTTAGCATGGATCCCTGCGGACAATCCTCTAACCGTCTACTACATTTTCTCATATCCTTTGGCTCCCAGACCGAATCCTTACTTCCTTATGGACGAAGAAAAGGTAAATAAGACAAGCGCAGGAACTTATGGAGTCTGGTCAATGGCTTTACCACCGCCAGGCGCATATGCCGTTCTTTCATCAAATGAAGGACATTCTCAACAACCCGGTCCCCTGACCATCACCTCCCTTTGCTCTGTAGAAAACACGCTACGGATCCTCATGAGAGATTTTCCCTTCTTGGTTTTGCAATGCTGGACGGACAAGAATTGAACAAGAAAGTAGGCAGCCGTTTCCGCCTCGCCTTGCTAGTTTTGGCCAATCATCATCAACCATCTCACAGTCACCGGTTTTGCTACCGACAAGCCGTGAGCCTTTTGAATCCTCCACAGCTTGGACTTCATAACCTTTTCGTCTGCCTGTTCTTTGTTGTTGTCTATGACTACCCCGTCGTCGTTGCCGGATCTTCTCAATGCCTTGTCCCAACAACACCACCATCTCGGCCTCACCCTGTTGCTATCATCACCATCACAATGTGTAATCTACTCATTCCTCTCTGCCCTTTCGTCCTCTATTCCATCACCACATCCACCGCCCAAGAACTCCAACCAAGTTCCTCTTTCGCAGACGCCAAAATTCTCTTCTCCTACCTCTCCAAACGCCCGTACCATCGGTCCTCCTCAAACCACCAATCACGTCATCAAACATACCCTCTACCAAAACCATTAGCCCTCAAAACCACAAAACTCTACAAACGCACCAACTGGCACACATGTCCCTGTTTCTTCCGCCGCGTCTCCGTTCTTCACCCTTTACCCGGTCCCAGCCGACCAACTTTTGGGTCGGCATATCAATACTGCTCGCGGTGTTCTTCGGCGGCCAAACTCCTCCGACCGATGCGATTAGGTGGTATCGGCGACTCTAGCGTACGCAACGATCCATATTGGAATCGTTGTATATTCGCTGGTGCCAGAGTGGTGTTTGAGGACGACGAAGACGACTATTTGGGGGATGGTGAGGACCATTCAAATCTCAGAGCCGTTCCGGTCATATTTCAGCCAGTCCACGTACAGCCGCAGCCACAAACGCGAAATCAGACTATGACGAAGCAGGTCAGGTATCGACCGAGACAAGAGAGCCAATGGGACCGTCGAAATGGCCAGCACCGGCAGAGAAGACAGTCTGAAACGGATTCTGAATCCGAAAGCAATGACGACGAGTATCAGTATGAGCATCGTTGGACGCCGTGGACGGACAGAGCTGAGGGGGAAGCTAAATCCAACTATTCAGGATCGAACAATCGAAGTCCCAGTTACCAGGCTGACTTGGACTCTTACTTGAATGAGACGTACGAAACTCGGGAAAACGATAACACGAGATGACGCTGAATTGGTGTCTGGAGAGGAGGATGGGAAAATACGTGCACAGAGTATTGTAAACATATTTTGTAACACAATGAATGCCATTGTCTTTCGTTGGGGCAGAACAGGCTGAATCATGAATGAGAATGAGAAAGTTGTTATAGCAAATGAATGTATTGATCACATCCAGCCCCTTGGAAGTGACGGTCTGTTCGTAATATTTACCTCCTACTATAACATCCCTTTCCCGACAAGCAGAGAGCTAGAGAAATTCACGCAACCATCTGAGGAAATATGGTCTTTCTTTCCATTTCATCTTTCATTTTTCGTTGCCACATCCGCCCTCGAAATTTTTGGGTGTTTCTGTTCCAGCTCGTTGAACCCCGGCCTCTCCCTTCTACTTTACAACCTTGCCTTCCCCCAACTTCCCAACGATAAAATCACCATCAGCCCTACCGCGATAAACAGCGCTCCACTCGTATACGCTGATGCCGTGATCTTGAGATTCGCAAACAACACTATAATCGGCGCCATGATTCCAAAGACCCGATTCGAGGTCGCTGTCAGTGCATCGCCGGTCCGCGGTCTTTCGTCGAGCATGTCTCGGGCATATATATGCGTACAAGAGAGTGTACATGATGTTGCTGGTGAAATTGTACACGCAGTTCCAGTCGAGCGGTGCGTCCGAGGTCGTTACGGTCGTGGAGCAATACCGGAATACCCCCTGAGAGTGTGGTTGAGAAAGAGAGCACGCCGCGTCGGCCGAAGCGGCGATTTCGACCACCACGCTGCCGAGGAGGGCTCCGGGACGCCTAGCGCTGCCATGATCACTTGGTTGCGGTACGTGATGTTGGTGCTGTCATCGCTGAATTCAGCTCGGCGCCTTTGATCGCTTGAAGGTATGGAGGTAGACGTTGTAAAGCCTACGACCGATATAGATCTGTATCGAGTGACAGTCCGGTCGAGAGGATAATAGGCGAACGGCGCGAAGAATATAGTTAAAGGGTTCAAGGGGGAGCGGGTATGGAGACTGACGAAGACATAGTCTTAGGCGCCGACACGCGGAGAACCCAAACAGATAAATGCCCAAACTGCCATGAATCATTCCCATGCTGAAAGCGAGTTTCTTCGTCGCAAGCAAAGATCGAACGTGTGTGAGGTTGACTTTCTCCAGGTTCCGCTTCAACGCCGCCGTTGCGTCGGTTGAGTGCGACCGTCACCAAGGACCTCGCAGGCGTTCAGATCTTCGACGGTTAGTACAAAGCAGATGAAGAACATGACCATAGCGATACCGCCCATGGTGATCACGAAGTCGCACCAGCTGATGTTCTTGGAGCGAGTGCAGGCTTCGTCTTGTTGGCATGTGAGATTTCCTAGGATCGGCCAGACGACGAGCGTGGCGAACCATTGCGCGAAGGCCCAATCCACAGATAGGATGGTGCGTAGGTATGTATAGGTATGTGCCGGCGAGGAACTTAAGAAAGACCAGGCTGTCAACGGGGAGGTTGCCCCTATAGAATCGTTGTGACGAGCGGAGAGCAGAGTTCGAAAAACTTGGGAAGAGAAAAGCATTTTGAGTGAGCAGTAGTGGTATAGATACAAGTAGTCACAGAAGTATCGTGTACTAGGATGTAACCAGTTTTCGAAACTGATCATGTAAATGACTTCGTGGGCGTAGATATGTCTCTGGTGTGACAGAGCAAAATATGGCAGGAAAAAAGGTTGGTCATCGTCCCAGCGATACCAGTAACTCATTCAAACAACCCGGCAAAGATAGAAACATCATTCACCCGACACCAATGACCAGAAAGTAGCAAAACAGCCGATTGCAGCAAAATTGGGAGAGCTCGCTGCTATGAGGCCAAAAACATTAGTGACGCCCAAGATCAAATTGAAGGTCCACCGTTGTCCGAAAACATCACAACCAACATGACACCAGCGAGAAGAGCAATGTTTTGAGACAAAGCCAGTAGAGGGAGGTCTGGAGGGATTGAATTCGTTGGTGATGGGTGTGAAGATCAAAGCCGTGACGGTCGGCCAGAGACTGTCGCGGGCCTGGCCAAATCCGACCACGATACCATCTCATACCAATGTCTTGGATCGCTCGGTTCAAGGCCCGGGGGCAGGGGAAATATGACTTCCGGGTATCGAGCAAACTATTGATGGAGAAGCCATGGGTACGATTCAAGCTGATTGGATCCGAGGTGTCACCCATGGGGTCTGAACGGTTGACCGGACTGGTGTGTCCTTTGGAGTACCGTCATCCCGCGACAACATAAGTCGTTCATTGTCGCATAGATTGGCCCGATATGGCCAAAAGGCCAAATCCTAGCGGGATTTGAGGAGGCAAGCGGAGCACGTGGCTGGAGCCGATTTCTGCAGCGTGTGGGGAAGCGCTGAGTGCATCCCCATGTCTTGTCGGCAGCCAATTTCTGCCTTAACCGGCTTTCTCTTCCACATCATATCAGGCATTTTATGTTCTGGATAATTATGCCAGCTTCGGATAATGTATTCTCGCCCTCATGGTAAGAAAGTTCCCTGCTAACCATTGACAGACTCCAGCGCCAACCAGACGTTTTCTTCCTCCATCTTCCACTGCAAAGTCATCCGGTCACGCTTCGGCCCGCAAGAATCCTTTCCAAAGCTCTCGCGCTACACAGTTTCCTTCCTCTAGCTCTGCTTTCACTGCAACTCCTCGATTTCAGCGGCCGCTTGCTCCACCACGAGATGACATACAGACGAGCTTTGATGAGTACGAATCGCCAACCTCAGCAAATATTCGGGTGACGGGAAACCGGAACGATGCGATTGAATTTGGCGACGAAGGATCTCCGACCCAGTATCGAAATAGGATTCTTACACCAGTGACCAAAAGGCGCAAAATTTCCCATCCAGGACCTATTCCTGACGAGGCGATTACCATCTCATCTTCCCCAGATCTCGATGAGCTCAACAATGTTGATCCACGAGATCTCTCCGACTCTCCGGTCTCGCAGTTTGATCTGGAAGACAATTTGGAAATTCCAGTAAAGCCAACGGAAACCGATAAATCAAGCCGTATAACCCGTTTTAAACCCACCACTCCAGTCTCTGTTCAATCCACATCTTTGCCTAGAACTGTATTCAAGTCTCTTGCAGAAGAAGCTCCGCATGGGCCTTCAGGAGATGTTCCTGTCTTGCCAGATGTTTTTTCTCCGTCACGACGCAAAGGCAAGCGAGACTATGTTTCAGGTGGCAGTGCGGCTTTGGTCAGAAGTTGGGTCCTTAATATTGCCGCTCAAGAGTCACAACCGACAAAACTCTCTGAAATGGTGATTGTCATTGCCCATGTCAGAAAAGACACTAGTGGCCGTTTCGTTGTTGCCACGGACGAGAGCGGAACACGGTGGCTCCTCCCAGATCAGCAGCAAAAAAGAGACGCCGGCATCAAATCTAGCTTGACCGGTCTTCGTCCTGGAGTTCGGCTCTTGCTGAAGGGCCAGTCCACCAAATGGTCTTTACATATTGGGCCTCCTGCTTTGACCGACGTGGTGGTAGCTGCCTACTGGGAGAACCTTTCTTCGAACTGAACCGACGCGCTATAGATATGGAGCAAAGAGATCTTTCAACCTCTCAAGCCAAAGAGGGTAGATATTCACAAATTCGTCGCAATTTCTGCCTTGAAGTTCTCATTTTGGGTAGGCTTTCTCGTATTCGAACTCATTGATTGATGAAGTTCAGAGAAATAAATCCAGTGCGCCTCCTAAAGAGGAGCCTCACGAAAAATTCAAAGTGCCTGACAGCGATTTTCCGAGATCACCACCACAAAAACTTTATATCGAATTCTGGTGGGACGACAGATTTGAGAATCTTGACATCGACATGTGAGACTACGACCGTTAAGGCTTCAGCGTAATCGTCAAATTGTGTTTTCTTTTTGAAAGTTCCTGCACTTGCAGGCAACGGAATTCTATGTTGGCCGACTGGCTGATGGTGGCGGATGCCGTTGTAACAAGAGTGTGGACCATCTGAAACTCGAAACCTTCTGGCTGAAACAACAGGAGAAACCCAATGTCGGGACGCGAATTCTTTCAAAACTACAACCCCAGATGGGGCAAAACCGTTCTTCACAACCGTGGCTTGATCAAGCTTTGGGCCAAGTATGAGCAGAGCCAATACCTCCTACAAATCGACGCTGTCGATGTATGTTGCCAGGGATTTGACGGCCTTAGTCCTTCTTCTCTTGATATTCAATTCGAAGGATATCCTGTCAAGCATACCCTTGTCACTGACAGTAGGACTCCTTATATGTCTGCCGCTCATAATCGCGCTCTTGGTGATCTGGAAGCAGTATGAACGTACAACATCAGAAGATCAAGACGATCATCCTCTTAAGCTGAGCGAACTAGGACCAAGAATCTTTCCATGTCGCACAACCCACCGGCGGCTTTTCCCTTCAAAACACTCATTCTCATATTCTTACTTGCTGGTTGGATTTCCAATCGGCTGGCGTGGATCTGCAGGCTCGCTTTTGTCTTCTGAGCCTGGCCAAACAGGATTAGGATCTCTGAAGACGTGGTTTTCCGTTCACGCAGAAGACTACCTTGAGCGAGGCCATCACGTCGACGGTTTAGCTGGGAAGTTGCGAGATTATCTGAGGACTCAGAACCTATCGGTGGATGATTATGCCTATGCCTATCTCGCGACAGCACCCAAGTTTCTCGGCTATTCATTCAACCCCGTTTCGTTCTGGTATCTCTACGACGAGAACCAATCTCTGAGCGCGATGATTCTCGAGGTTAACAATACATTCGATGAGCGGAGAATGTACTTTTTACCACGGAACTTGGATTGCAAGAACCCTCCATCGCCCCAATTTCGCCATCAATGGGACAAAGATTTCCACGTGTCGCCATTCAATGATCGAGACGGTTCATATAGCCTTTCTGCTATCGATCCTTTCGAGCAAAAGACAGCCGCTCACATCGATAACACCATCGTACTCCATTCTCGGGAGGGAAAACCCAAAATTGTCACCCGCCTTTTCTCTGTCCAACCAGCCATCGACCCAGCCAGAATGTCAAGGCTCCAAACTCTCCTGTTCGTCGCTCGATGGTGGTGGGTCGGCTTCATGACAAATCCGCGAATTTTGCGCGAGGCCCGCGTGCTATGGGTCAAGCAGCTACGAGTCTTCTACCGGCCAGAGGTCCTCACTAGCGGTATTGGACGATCAGCCACTGAGGAGGAAGCTAGTCTTGAGCCCTTCTTTCGCGCATTTCTACGTCGGATGGCAGACATGTCGAGGACGTCGATCAGTTACTCTCCAGCTGCTGGCAGTGACCGGGCCCAGACCATCCTTATCCCACACAAAACTGCATCTTCAATGGATGTGGATACATATCCCATCGAAGTCAAAGTCATCACACCGGCATTCTACGCCGAGATTGCGCGCGAGCCGGCCGTGCTCAAGCCATTCGAACGCTTTAGCCTCAACTCTGCTCCAGGACAGGCAATGGTCTACATCTCTGACCCAGCTCGATTTCGAACGGTACTGGAGGCCTTTACTCTCGGATCTCCCCCTTCGGCCCCTCAGCGTCTCAGTCGTCAGGCTGTCTTGAACCGCCGGCTCCGCTCAGACGACAACGTGGTCTTCGCGGTTATCAAGGCTTTACGAGACACGATCAACCCTCAACCCACGTGGTCCACCGATAAAGGGCCAGCGAATTTCGATGCGTTTGTGCGTGCTGGGTACGAATCGGCTGAATTCGCGTTCTACGAGAGCATCTGCCTCAAGATCCATCTCGCGGACCGTCTAGCTTTCGGGTTGACGTCGCTGCTCATACTCTATGTCAGGATCATGTGGTTGATCGCTTTGATCTTGACAGTGTTACATGTCAACGGCCTCGTTCACGCCACGAGGGACTTCACTTTGCAGGATGTCCTAAGCTTCGGCGTCAAGATGTTGCTGTTGCGCGCTTTGGAACGCTTGATTAGCTAATTTTCTTGGAAGGATCTTTGAGGATTCCCTAGAGCGAGGAGCACGGGGTTCGGCATCTTGACGGAATTATCAATAGAAGTTATCCCCATATAGGTAAGATGGATGGAATGCGTTACATAGGAATTCATTTCAATCTGCTCCACTCACGGAGGTTGGACAAATTATACGCTTCATCACCAAGGTGTTAACTCGACAAATTTTGCATATTGGCTCACCCAACTCATTTGGCTCTTCTCCCTCGAGGTTTCACACCTCATCCATCTTTCTTCTTCTCCATTGGCCCGTCCCTTTTACAGGTTTCAATTTGACCATCCGTCACTACTTGACTCTTCCCGTGTTTTCCACTTCGATACTCTCACCCTCCACATCGGCCTAGTTTAAAGGTCAATGCTTACTTGCTTGCCATAGCGCAGGCGCCCAGGTCCATCTTCATCGGTTCCGCGGACGGAGAGATATCGAAGGAGAAAATGTCCATCGGGAGTCCGATTGTTGTGCAGGCGTTGGGGATCTAAGAAAGAAAATCACCAGCCGTACTCGTCAGTATATGCATAACTCCATATAGATCACAGGCATATGAATGTTTGAGACAAAGAAAATGAAGTCGAATTTAGCGCAGATCACAAAGCAGGGTAGGTAGACAAATAAGAGGTAACACTCACATCGACAATTCCCGCAACATGGCCCTCGATCGGAATGCAGCTAAGCATCAAATAAATTTGATAATCACTATATCCATACCTCTTCAAATACTCAATGACCCGAAGACAAGACTGACGATACGCCACCGTCGCGTCCATATAATGCTGCTTGCCGTGCTCGTCGACGCTGAACCCCTCAAAGTACAGCATGCGTCCGGGACCGAATTGCGGCTGGACAGGGCCCGGGATGTAGATGGGAGATTTTCCGCCGACCATGCCGAGTTTCGCTTGGCCGTCTTTGATCACGTCGAATTTGATTGTGATGATGCCCGCGATTTCGATGGCGCCGCAGAAGGAGATTTCACCGTCACCCTCTAATCAAAACTATCAGCACTATGACACATACTTAGTTGGGTGGAGGTGAGAGGAGAAAAGGAAGGTCGGCGTGTCCGAGTTGAGAAGATTTTCGCTGGGTGTTTGCCAAGCCCAAAAGGAGAGGGGGGGGGAGCGTACGAGAGAAATGTAAATCTCCAACCGAGAACTTGGCCCCCTTGACATGGACGGGCAAGTAGACTTTGCTTCCGCGAGACAAGTTTTTGATGTCGCAGTTCCCGCCGTGTTCAGGGCGACCTGGGATCGTCCTGGCGCCTTCCTTGCCGATCCGGGCTCGGGTTTCTTCGTCGGCCGTGCCCGCGTGCACGCTTTGTGGTTCTGGTGGTTGCGCAACGACGCGAGAGAGGGAAGTTGTCGATATCAGCTCGGCCTCCCGTTTGTTCCATTCCGTAAGGATTTCCGGGGACGGGGCACACCCCAAGATGCCCGGGTGGATGAGACCGGCGAAACGGACCCCAGGGATGTGGCGGGATGAGCAGAAGATGCCTTCAAAATCCCAGATTGCTTTTGCTCTGCCAACGAAAGATTCATGAGACAAGATCGTTGGTTGTGGGTTGGCGGAATACCTACGCCTCGGGGTATATCTCGTCCAAGAACCCGCCGCCATTGTCCTTGTGGAAGACTCCGGTGAATCCCCACGGGTGCTCTTGGAAGGGTTGTACGTCTTGAATCTCGACGAGGAGGACATCACCCGGCTCCGCGGTTTCGATCTCGAACGGACCGGAGAGGTAGTGGACCTGAGTCAGGTCGACGTTCAAGACATCATCGGCACTGTCATTGTTCTTGATTTGTCCGCCAGTCCAGTCCAAACATTCAATCTTGACAGTCTCCCCATTCTTGATCGTACCGCAAAAGGGAACTAAATTGAGTTCAGTAAGGGTAAATGCCCGGACGAAGTCGAGAGACAGAGAGAGCTTTACCATCGGGGTGCCATCTGTTCTGTGATAGTTGTCAGCTCATACATCCGCGTGAATACGTTGGTAGATCGTTTTCTCACATGAAGATAGGGCTGGTCCTTTGGAGGTTTGTCGAGGTCGACCTTCAATGCGGTTCTGATAGGTCCAGGCATGTTTTCGAGTAATCCGCAGACGGGTTTTACACTAGGAATAATTGAGAGCAAATTGAGCACTCTTCGTGGTGGCCGATGTACAATCTGAGCTACAGTGTGACTGCAAAAAGACTGAGCAGCTTGCTCGCGTCGGGTTGTTCAGTCTCATATCAAGTCAATGGCATGTGTATTCCTTTGCGGGGCTCGGCCGATGACGGTTTTGGTTTTGGTTTACCCCTCATGGTGAATGATAGGCACATCTCCGTAGTCTGCTTTTCCTGATGTGCCATCATTGATTCTTGGAGCTTGGATTGGAATATGATAAGGCTCCCCCACTCCACGCCCCAATGGACGCTTGTGAACGCGCGGGTGCTTTAGACCAGGAAAGGCAGCTATGCGTTTTGTCGTTTCTGGACGAACGGACGTCTTTGCCCCGCCGTGCCTGAGAATATCTGAAGCTTACGTATTCGGTACCAAAAAGCGTATTCTCGGTGGCCGTGGATTCACACGTCATGTTGATCGGCTGCTGGCGGCTCTGGCGGGCTTCTCCTTTTTCCTTCCAATAGTAGGAATTCGCAGGCTTCAAGCGCAACGCGAGGTCGCAATCCAATAATTCAACTGTAACCTCTGGGCCAATTCATATGCTGGTTCCGTGCTGGATTTCGATCTCAATCATCTTCTAATCGGCGGATTCTTGTGCCGGTGTCGATGCAGGAGTGATCTCCTCGGTGCTGGTCACGGATCCTTTCTTTGGAGGACTTGTATCAATCTCGAGCGTCACCTATGGCATTTAGCATCGCAATACTCGGTTTTCGCATTGGAATATTATGCATGTTTCAACATACCGGTCCATCATTGACCAAGCTGACTTGCATCATGGCCTGAAAAACGCCATCTTTAACTCTCTCAGGTCGATACTGGTCACGAACACGAGAGAGGAAATAATCATAGAGCTCCTTCGCAATTTCAGGCTTGGCTGCTCCGTGAAAGTCTGGTTTATTGCCCTTTTTCGTGGATGCGAACAAGGTGAATTGCGAGACACACAAGACTTCGCCATCGACGTCTTGCACGCTCTTCTTCCAGTTGGAGCCGCTTTCGTCAGGCCAGAGTTTCATTTTCAAGACCTTGGAAGCCATTGATTCGACCTCTTTCTTCCCGTCATTGGGTCCGATTGCGGCGAGGACGAGAACTCCTTTTCCAATTGCTGAAACGACTTGGTCATTGACTGTGACAGAGCTTGATAGCACTCGCTGCAATACGGCTTTCATCTTGAAACCAGGAAGGGAAGTGACCGAGGCTCTCTATGTACGTTGTGGCTGTCGTGATCGTGGAGCGTGAGGCTGTCGGCCTCTAATCACAGTCTAGAATCGAAATTTCCAAGGCCAAGGATAGGTTCAATTTTTGCTCAATTAGGGCAGCGACGTAGACTAGCCTTCTTGAGAATGCCAAGCTCACTCAATATGGTTAGTCTGTATTCCTCTCCGCTCTGGGCGGGATATTGTTCGTGTCTCTCCCACTCCTTGGCCCACTGCTTCCCGCTCCATAAATTTCCCGTTGTCCACAACCAATTATCTCTCCCTTTAATCAGCCAAACCATCCAGCGGGGTCATTGGTATCCGGTCGCCGGCGCCGGCTGCCTTACTCTTTCCAATCGGTACCATTCGCGTCTCTCGAATGTCCTCCTTAAACATCCTGTCCTCTCCAACATAGTTCTCCTCCTTTCCGACAGCCAGCAGTAAGTCGCGCTTGATGTTTGCACCAAAGGACAGGGATGGCATTGGGGATGAGATGGACAGCCGGCCGGCCATACGATGCCACATCACCGATCGCATCGACCCGCGGCCCCGCTTTGTCAGCTCGCAAGGTCGAGAGATTGGTTTCAACGCGGCCGTCTGTCGTGAGGAGCATGTTGGAGATGAAACTGGTGTTAGGTCTCCTGCCAGTGGTCGGAATATGGAGGTCGGCATCCATCGTCTTCCCATCCTCTAGCGTCAGGGTTGCCTTGGTTGCGACGCTATCTGTCCTTTCCCGGGGTGGCTCCACGGTCATGACTCGCGTGTTCTTGATGTTTCAACTCAAGGAATGGAGAGGGCGTAGATGCGCCAGTTCCGATAATGAGAGCATAGAAGTCAATTGCGCCATTGTTGCCGGTGGCCATATTGATGGAAACCGTCCCCTTGGCGTGATCAAACTTCGTGACTGTGCCATGAATGAAGCGGAAGCCGTCCTCGGGATAATGGACATTATCCTCGCGGGATATCAACGCAGAGCGCCTTTTGTGGGAACATGTCGTCCGATATAAGTGCGCGGGACAAGCAGGTCGGCAAATGACTTGAGCTGAGGCGCCGTCAAGCATGAGGATGAAATCTCCGACTCCTGAAAGCCGGGGAAGGATCGGCCTAGCATGTTCCGATGTTTCGTAGCTGCTGACCATGAACACCCTTACGCCAGTACAGCAACAAAAGGCCTCTTAGTCGGATCTTATTTATGTTCCGCCTTCTTCCCATTCAATTACTTTGCTGTTATGTGGCAAGGGCCATCCTGTTCCGCGAGAAGGGAGGGCGTGTCATATCTTGCCGTGACACAGTACTTGAGAAATATACCAACTCCACTTCTCACAATGTCCGATTTGAAGCAGGTGAGTGAAGTCATATATGTCATGAACACTTTACAGCGCCTTGTGTGTGCCTGGAACTATGAAGATGATTTTAGCCAGTTCCTGCGAGATCTCATTGCCGCCAATCACATCATTCACGACAATGGCGTGGTCGATACCTTTGGGCACATCTCTGTCCGCCATCCAGAGAAGCCCGAAGTCTTTATCATGTCGGGCTAACATGGCACCAGCTCTAGTCAGCTCGCCAGCAGACTTGGTTGAGTATCGCGTGGGAGATAGTTCTCCAATCCATGAGAACTCACCGCGAGGCTTCATCGAATGATATATTCACTCGGGAATTGTACAAGAGATACCCCGACGTCAACTGTGTCATCCACAGTCACGCAGATGACGTGCTGCCCCAAGCTGTGAGTGGTGTTCCGCTCAAACCAGTCTGTCATATGACAGGATTTCTGGCAAGTGATACCGAATCCGAACTTGGCTGTTTGTCACTCACCAAGATATCAGGCCTAGAAGTGCCCATCTACGATATCGAGGAATTCTACCCGCCAGGAGAATCACACGACTTACTGGTCGATAATGCTCGCCTAGGTGCGCATCTGGCCTCGAAGTTTTGTTCGCAGAAATCGACACCATCCGGCAAAGAAGGACGGGCCCGACCACCTACTTGTTAGCCCGGAAAATCTACAATCCGACGATTACCTCATCCTGTGCTCTGGTTGGCTAACCATCGGATCCAGTCCATGGCCCATCCAGGAGTGGGTGGAATGCTGCCGTATCCCGGAAAATATATAATCCTAGTATTACGTAATCATGTGCTTTAATTGGCCAACTCCATCGGATCCAGTCCACGGCACACCAGGAATGGGTAGAATGCCGCTGTAGCCCGGAAAATCTATAATCCGTTACCTAATCCTTTGCTCTACTCTGTCGGATCCAGTCCATGGCACACCCAGGAATGCCGCCTTTATCGGATCCAGTCTATGGATCACGCGTAGACGATGTTGATCACGGTGTCCTGTGCCGTACGATATCCTCCATCGGGTCCAGTCCATGGACCATACGTAGACGACGGTATACCCAATTAGGAAAGCCGACAACGATATCGGCGATATATCTAGCAAATTTGGTGTTGAACTTCTTGTATTGAAAGAGTGCTCTGTTGTTGGACAATAGCTGCTGAACTGTGAGACAATATGGGGCAACGATTTCAGCGTGGCAATGAATGTTCAGCTGGACAAGGGTTTCGTCTACAAGCTGAACGCGGAGACACCGAAAGATGGTGACAATCTTTGTCTATATAAACATGCGAGGCAGGACCTCAACTTGATAGAAGAACAGAGCACTCCTTCAACTCAAGTTGTACCACAAGTTCGACAAGAAGATGTGTCGCAAAAGAGGAAGAGTGTTGCAGGAAGAATGCTGCAGGCAGATGATGTCTAATTATCTATTGGTTATCTAGACGCTGGCCCTTACTTGGGTCACGGCCATTCTGGCCAGGATATGTTCCGATGAGGCTGACCTGTATTAGAGACTGATAATATAAATTCGCCATCCTGGTGGACCGAGAAGCCGAGAGTTGGGTCCGCTGAAGTACTGCTATCCACCGCATCGACGGTCGTGGCGTATCCCATGGTCACCAACACATCGCCGTTCCAGGGTCTCCCGTTATTTCTGAACAGCACGCGTTCTTGAACCAATAGCGTGAGTCAATGAGATTGAATTGGTTGCTAAGCCAAACCTATCTACAACCGCAGCACTTGAGGCTGTCGCAGGCAGTCACGTGAACGCGCCAAACCCAATCGGGATGCGCAACACGCGTACCCTAAGTCACAGTTACCCCTTTTTCACATCCTCTTGATCCGACAACGTTTGGTCTTCTGCGATGATACTTTCCGGTGGCGATGCGATATTGGCAGAGGTTTTAGAAGAAGAAGCGGAACGATTTTTTGACGGGATAAGCTTAATATCGACACAAACTAGTAAGTCCTAAGGAGGTTGGCTGAAGGCATCGATATACCTGTTCTTGACGAGGAAACGAGACCCCCCGGTCTTCATTCTCTACTTTCCATCTCTTCACCGTCGAATGAACATATTCCTCAACTTTCGTAGGGATGTTGAAACGTTTAATACGCCTGATAGACTTCCCGACTCTGAACCCAAGCACTTTGCAGTCATCGAGGTGGTCAGGATTGTCAAAATCAAATACGATAAATGTATGATCATCCGTCAGCGCTCACAATCCGCCAGCGTTCACAATCCGCCAGCCCCACCATGCGCCAGCGCTCACCATCCCGCCTTCCAGTCCACGGCGGCTTCTAACGGGTTGGGATAGTGGCTGCTGAGGGACAGTGGCCGCTACAGACTCATGGCTATACATACAATAGTGGACTCGCGTCCTAGTGGTCTTTCGCTCTCCCTCACACCCCGTAACAAAGGCCACGACATGTGGGAGTGTATGGGTACGTGAGAGGGAGTTGCGCCCCTCTCATATACGCCCACGATAGAAAACGGATTTGGGTGCTCCGTTTTCTTGCCCGGCAACAGTTTACGGTATTGGAAATTGACAAGTACGCGATGGAGAGGCGAAGGAGAAGGGGAGGATATGGTCGAAACAACAACACCGCCAACAGCTCAGAACATATCTTCAAGAACGTATCATATCGAACTACACTGTCAACTTATGTCCTAGCAGGAGTCTCAGCAGACATGGCCTGAAACATGTCAACGAGCAGGACACATAGCCCGACCCACCATTAGCCGTTGTCAGTCCCACAATGTGTTCCCCCGATCCTGCCAATACTCTTGCGATCTCTCTACTTAAGGCTCTTCCAGAAGTGATCCGTCCAGGCCGCAAGATCCGCGACATTAAAGACGATGTCGCCTTCTGGCGGTACAGCGGCTCGGAGGAAGATCTCGTCAAATTCGAGAATCAGAGGCGCTCCGGCAACGTCATAGGCTGAGACAGTGCCTGGCTGAACGGTGACAATTGGCTGACCGATGGTATTCGACTGAGTTGTAGGACCTAGTTGTGGAGTGGGATTTTGGGGGATAGTGAGCTCTTGAACTTTTGTCGGAATTAGAGCGTTGGGATTTGGGTTGCTTCTGGTAGCTGGTCTATATGCAGGAGGCGGAGAAGGGCACCACTTTTCGACCACTAGCGTCTTCTGTGCTAGCTTTATTGAGATGATAATGACAATCTTGACATCTCCTCCAGAGTTGACAATCCACCATGCTGCGTCATGTCGCAGACGAGTAAGCGTTTCAGAGAGTCCAGACTCAAAAACAATTGTTGGCCAGTCAGATTTCCTGTCTCGGATCGGGAGGGGGCGATATCCCGTATCACCCTCTTTAGAGGAATTAGGGAGTTTGTACGTTGTCCCGCCAGTAGGACAGAAGCCGTCTTCTGGGAGGCCCATTCTGATAAATGCGGTATGAAGTCTCAGGGATAGAGTGAGGTGCGCAGTTTCATGTTCCTCCGAGGGCATCAGCTTGATAACCAATAGATTGTTATCCGCGTAATGGCTCATCCGAGTATGCTTCCCTATGTCGGCGCGCTGATGGTCAATCTTTTCAAGTTGGCCTTGTGTGACACCCAGGAAAACAAGGTACTGCTGATTCGTGCGACCGTCCATCAACGCAGCGGACTGCGAGTTGACACGTTCTTTTAGGTCTCGGATCCCTTTGTACGTATACGTACGAGCGTCTTCCAATCCCTCCAAGGGCGATAAATTCGGTGCTGAACTCTCCACTGCCGTAGTCTCTCTTGATGTAGTTGAGCTTGAGGATGACCTTGACATGGGTATACATGTAGGTGTCCCATCGCTGGGTCCGCAAATTGTATTCATGTTGAAGAAGGAGCAGAAAAAGCTGATAGAGGGAATCAGGCAGGGAAAGTTGTTGATGAATCAGGGGTGTACTGAGGCGAGAAGTGGGAGCACTGAAGTAGAAGAGATTATGAATGATGACCTGTATGGGAGAGAAGATCGAGGGTATAAGTTGCCTCAGGTGTCTATATACCGTGATAATGCCAAGCCAGTCGTGGTGACAACGCCAAGCCTTACCACTGGTTTCGTTGGAACTGGTAATTGACCAGCGTCACGCTGAGAGCCCCTTCAGGATGGAGGTAAGTCGATTTTTGCAGACGATCTCCGGGCTCCGGGATCTATATCTTTCGTTGTTTGTCTAGGACTGGGCCCCTGTCGTGAAAGCCATCATGAATGCTCCACCTCAGAGCATCGGGGGATGAGCTAGGAAGGACAACGAGCGACTTCTACGTCACCAAGGAAGAGTTGTACACCTTCGCAGAGTGGGCGTTTAGCCCCCAATGGGATTGCCAGCCTCGAGGTCATTGCATATGGTGATTTTGCATTCCCTGAGATATCCGGGGAGGGGAATGCGCTGTTGTGCAGGACTGACAACCGGGAAAGCTCATCTTCGTCATTTCAAATGCTAGAAGAGGGCAATGAAGCTCTTTGGGACTGGGCACAGTCTCAAATGGATGCACTCGGCGCATGTGCTTTTAGAACCATCACGACCGGCTCGAATGTGGTATAATGTTTCGCACTAAATCCAAAAGGCGTCCTGTGGTAGTGTGTGCGTACTCTGATGTCGCGGAAACATATAAGAACCAGCCTGCTTGGTATGAAGGTAATCTAACTCTCGACGAAGTAGGTCAAAGGGGCAGCGTAATCATCAGAGACATCTTCGTCGATGACAATAACTTCGGGACAGATGGTCGGAGGGGAAGAAGTCTGTCGTTTCTGCTTTTTCCGCTTAAGGGGACAGTCGGGCGATCGCTCTTCCGGAGTTGCGGTCATTGAGTCGAGCGACTGTGCTGGCATCCACTTGGAGGCGCCAGAACTGCTCGATGATTTTCGCTTTCGACGTGGGTTAGCACCTTCACCGAGTGTTAATTTCTCGCGGGAAGGTCTTTCGCCGTAGATCGGCTCGGTCGTGTCTGGCTCAATTTATGATCGTCGATAAAGTGAAATCGGAGATCGCAGTCATTTGTGAGAGAGACGTCACATAGCGGATATGGACACACCATCGGCCAGCGGCATCTCCGTATTTCCTTGTTCACCTCTTTCCAGAGGTCGAAGTCTCGACTCCACGATTGTAATCGATCAGCGGCAGGCAACCCTTTCTTTCCGAGGCGAAATGGAGAATAGGCAGGACGGACGAGTGTGTAGCCATATGAGAGCGTTCCGCATCTTTTCGTGGCCAGCGATGAGAGGTGTGAGGCACAATGTGACTCCCATTCGTCCTCTCCGACTACCCAGTCAAAGCAAAGGTGGCAATAGTGGATATGCGACGGCAGTCGGCGGAGTTTCTTCGCCATATCGTGGCGAACGCACGTCTGAATGTGATGGTTACGTCGATTTCTGGGTAGACTAGTTTTGCTTCGATTAAACAGGAAAAGAAGTCATCGACCAGGGGTGACTTACTCATCCATCAACTTTTGGCACGGCTTTACGGGACACCTTCCCTCCCGCCGGGAAGGTAAAGGACCGTGAGATCTCGCATACATAACGAATGTAGATCGCGAATGGCCTGCCACATCGACTCGGGGGATAGCGGCTCGTCTTGACACATCCACTGAGCGAGACGGCCTCGTTCAGGAATGAGGAGAGACAGATGCTGAACGAGGTCGGTATTAACCGGGATCATTCGGTCGTTCCTGTCCGTTCGTGAGGATTCTCCAGTCCCTGCGATCGCGCACCCACTGCTGCTGATATTCGCGGAGAGCCATTTTGTACAATTTTCGACGGTAGTTTGATAACCAGCGTCTGGCCTCGCCGACGACAGGGCCGGCCGAATCCTCGCGCTCGAGGCCAGCTAATTGCTCTTGGAGTTCGTAAAGGCGTGGGCCACGACTCAGCTCGTCTAGACGGCGGGCGGGAAGCTCATTGGGTAGGCTCGGTTCCAAAAACCATTCCACGCTTTGGAAATAGGCGGTGTGGTGAAAAAGAAGGAGGGGAGGGGAAAGGGGATTTTCTCGAGGGCCTCCATGGCTCTCGAACCGGGGGAGAAGGTTGATTGCTTTTATGCACGGAGAGAACTTTGAGAAAAGGTGGGAGAGGGTCGAAGGGAGAGAATCTGTGACCCGCTTCGAGGTGATCCAAAATTGGGAACCTGCGCCAGAAAGCGGATTCTGAAGAGGGGTATTCAACCCACAGAAGTCGTGTTGTTGCCTCGCCGTCGATGCGGGATCCTGGCGTAGGAGCAACGGTCGCCATCAAGAAGAGAAAGCAGGGTCGAGCGTGAGCGGGAAGGAGGGATTGAGGGTGAGTAGAGGGTGAGCAGAGAGTGAGGAAGGTGAGCGGGAGGTTAAAAGCGGCGCGGGGCTGGGTGATTGTCCAGGTGAGCTTGGCCTCCTCTTTGCCGCCAAGAAATATGTCGCCTAAAATGGAATAGTGCCAGGTGAAACCTGAACCGCAAGTGCATGAAAAACAAAGTTGCGCGCGTGGCAGTGAGGCCAGATTTACTCGCAAACACGTCTGTCTGCTCAATGTTTGTACAATAAACCTCCACATTCGCCTCACTACCCTCATCATACATCCCGGACGCCTCGCCTATGACCCACATCCATGGCCTCCCGAAAGACGCAGCAAGAAATCGACAAGACCTTCAAAAAGGTCGACGAAGGGATCCAGTCCTTCGAAGCCATCTACGAGAAGATCTACTCCTCCCAGAATGCAGCACAAAAGGACAAGCTGGAAGACAATCTCAAGAAAGAGATCAAAAAGTTGCAGAGATCGCGTGATCAGATCAAAACCTGGGCGGGGGGAAACGAGATCAAAGATAAGTCTGCGTTGTTGGAACAGAGAAAGCGGATTGAAAAAGTAAGGCGGCGTGTACTGCTGTGGAAACGAGCTGAACTGACAGGAAACAGTGTATGGAGATATTCAAGGCCGTGGAGAAGGAGATGAAGACCAAGGCATTCTCCAAAGAGGGATTATCGCAGAACGCCAAACTCGATCCCAAAGAGAAGGAACGGGAAGAACTGTGCGACTTCTTATCGGAGCAGCTGGATGAGATCAACAGAATCCTGACCGAAGAGTTGGAACCAGAAGCAGGCAACATCCAAGCGGCCCTCAAGAAAAAGCAGAAGGACAATACCAAGGCCGATCGACTAGCCGAGATTGAAGCCATAACCGAGACGTACAAGTGGCACGAGTCGAGATTGCAACTTCTTCTTCGATCGCTACAGAATGGTAATGTGGAAAATGACATGGTCACGGCAATCAAGTCCGAAATTGAAGAGATAGTCAAAGAAGGTCGCGAACCTGATTTCGACGCCGAGGCTTATGAGGGAATATACGACGAGTGCAATTTGGACAGTGAGGAGGCTCAGTTTGGACTGAATAACGATGTGGATCGAATATCGTCTCAAGACGCGCAGTCCGTTCAAGAAGATAATGAACCCGATCCGAGCACACTCAAAAAGACCAAATCAGACCTCACGGCCACGAGACGACCATCGACACAACTGAAATCCCCGCTACCGGCTCTGGCGACACTAAATACGATGCCTCCCCCGCCGTCCATACCCAAGGACACCACAATGAAACCCGCGCCACTACCGAATCGACCACCAGGAGAAACTCTGAAGTATGCCTCGGCCGCCGCCGCCGCCGCCGCCAGCGACAAGAGTGGAGTGGGTATTGCTCCTCTACCTCCTCCTGTTGGGACTGGCGCCGCAGCCGCATGCCATCCATTGCCAGCCCCGGTCAAGACATCCGCAACGACGTCCCCGGCTTCTGTGCCCGCACAACCGGTTGAGAAGACCGCGTCGCCAGCACCTGCGGCGGCGAGCATGGATGGTTCCGCGTCGCATGAGCAATCCAATCATTCCAAATCGCCTACGCTAAGTTCCACTAGCGCTCCTGCGGCGAGTGTACCTAGTAGTATTCCTCCGACGCCAGCGATGGAAAAATCAGAGGCAGTCCAAGAGCCGGTGATCGCCGACGAATTACCGACCACGAATGGAGATGCACGTCAAGACCCCAGTACGGTGGAGTCGATATACCATCTGCCTCCAGAGTTGCAAGATCTGTTGGATTCGTTCGAGACCACGAAGAGTCGGGCTGCTCAGCCGCCTTCCCAACTGGCGAGACTCCTCCAAGCGTCTCAGGAGACCTGCCCAGAGCCCTCGGATAGTGATCGACCCCAGCACTACCGCCCAACATTCAAATACAACACCCCGGCACATTATCCTCAGGATGTGCTACCCATATTTGACGATCCCGCCCTGTACGATAATCAAAGACTGGAAACGGACACCTTGTTCTACATTTTTTACTACCGACAGAACACATATCAACAGTGGTTGGCAGCACGGGCTCTCAAGCATCAGAGCTGGCGGTTTCACAAGCAATACCAAACGTGGTTCCAACGTCACGAGGAGCCGAAGCAGATCACGGAGGAATATGAACAAGGCACATATCGTTTTTTCGACTACGAGAGTACATGGTAAGAGACCTGCCCCTTCCTGGGCCTTTGGGGTTGTGCTAACCTTTTGCAGGATGAATCGGCGGAAGGCTGACTTCAAATTTGTGTACAAGTTCCTCGAGGACGATCTGTAGAATAGCTGAACAGCCTCACACGGCCTGCCGGCCCGCTGCATGCATAAATGCGGTGCGGTTCGAGGGGCGATTCGTCTCTGGAAAGAAACTCAACAGAGTCAAGGGGGCTCCATCACCCACTTCGAATGTTGCAAGCCTCATCCTTCTGGAATTCCTGTGTCGGCTGTGGTGTCTCCGGGTGCTGTATCCGACCCTCGATCCGCCGTGTAGTTGTGATCTTCTCGTTTCATGATTTCTGAATCCATGGTCTGACCGAGGTATCATATTCCCCCGGCGCAAAGAGCGACCTAGCATGGCTCCGCCTCACTTTGAGTATGCTACGAGGACAAACGGAGAGGGATGGGGGTGGCTGTGGTCTGAAAAGGCAACCATCTAACCACCTTTCGTCCATGCCCGCTAAACCGCATCGGGCTAGTCTTCTCTAGTCTCGTCTAGTCTCTCTGCAACTTTGGGGCCGCTTCTTCTTCAGCCTCTTTTGTCGCCCTTCTCATGGTCCTCTCTCAAGCCTATGCGTTCCGTCCTTCTTGACAGAGCCGCCTGGCCCGCCAAAAAGGCAACCTGTTGCAGCAACACCCTTGAAAGCGCTGCCTAGATCTGTTGGCCTCAGGCACTCTGCCGGCATCGCTGTATCTACAAGCCCCCCTTCCGAGCCAGAAACATCAGTAAAGGCAAGTCTTCCATGTCTCAACCCTCAGTGCCTCTATAGGCATACTCTTTCTAGATCCGGTAGGTTGTAGGAGGGCCATCGACCCTCAAATAATCTATTGGAAGAAATCCCCGCTAAACATCTCGCGGCACAATCTATGCCTACCTATGCTTTCATGTTTCCACCAATTCGGTGCTGGCTTCCTGGCTCGAATTTGGGTTGACTGGGGAGGCAGTGTCACAACAACCACGCTCCCTTTGCTGGCGTACATCGCAACAAGTGCCTTTGATTTGGACTCGACGGAAAGCAAACTGCATATTCCTTTTTTGAAAGAGACTGCGGCTTTCGGGAGGCTGCGAATCGTTGTTGTGAACAACTTTCTTGGGTCGGAGATGCACATCCAGCGATGAGCCTCGTCCTTAGCCTTGCTCTTAAGTCCTTGGTTATTGGCTTGGTGAGATTTCTCACGCTTTCTGTGCGACAGCTTGCAGTCTTTTGGGAGGGGGACCTTTTTAAACACGTGGAATACGGAGGAGAACCCTTACCCGCCATCCGAACTTCTTTCCACCGGGACAGGCAACATGTGGGTTTTGATTCTGGCTCTTTGAATTATGACCTGTAGCTAAGACCTGCATGGTTCTTTTTTGTAATCAAGGCTACTTCCTCTACCCAATAGTGGCTTTCTCCCATACCCTACGGTACGGTTCGCTGATAGGTCTACCAAGTTACCCTGCCCCATTACCACTCACACTGTTAGCGTCACTGGTAGCTGTCAACCCCTCCGTCACAGCCCGATTCCCACAACATGAGTTTGCCTTATCCTCGAACACTGGAAAGAGCATTTCGGCTCGGTCCATTAAGCCCTCAAGCCCTCAAGCTCTCAAGCGGTGACTGCGGCAAGAAGGCTGAAATTTCTTCCTCTTTGCGACTTCAGTTTGGATCATCTACTCACTGATCGCATCATCATCCTTATCAAGTCAGCTTGATGGTTCATGTGGGATATCCGGAATATCATGGCGTATACGCATGCCGGCTATCCGCAGAATCACCTTTACCAGGATGAATACTTCCAACAGCCGCCGTATTCGATGCCGATACCCGATGGAACAATTTCAGCAATGACTCCTATGGCGATATCTCCTCAGCATGGTAGTCCGATACATGACAACCATTTCACAACACCGAGATATATACCGCCGCTGCCATGCCACAACTTCATTCAGCCGACTTCGCTTCAAGCATACCTCCCTGAGGATGCTTACACCACTTCCGGGCCCATGAACGGCAGTTTATCATCGTCTTGTTCCACATATAGTATCGACAGTCAACATTCGGCAACGTATGAAGGCCATCAAGTGGATGTAGAGCAGAGCAGTATCTGTGTACGCAATCCGGCGCCGTCGACCTACGGACAGGACAAAGTCCAAGGAGACTCGTGGAAGGGGAATGTTGGAGGTAGCACGTCGAATCCAAGGTATGAACCTCTTATCACTTGAGCTTTGTCGGGAACCTCTGCCGATTTGGTTCAAGCTATCCTTATTGCACTGATGACACAGTCAAGCACTTTCTACATCCCCCGCGTATGCTTTTCTGATGGGTTGATAGGTCACCGTCATCATCAAAGGACCGTGTTTTTTGCTCCCATCGAGATTGCATGGATGATAAGGGAAGACCAAGAAAATTCTTCAGTCGTAAGGCCGATGTTACGAGGCATTACAAATCTGCGCACGACATCACTTACAGAGATTGCCCTAAACCTCACTGTTCTAGGAAGGGCAAACAAGGTTTTACGAGACGAGATCACCTTATTGAACATTTACGAGGATACCACATGGAAGTCATTGCAAAACGGCAGACAGGTGACAATAAAAATAAAAAGGAGGGGAGCTCGAGTAGTCTTGAAAACGATAACTCTAAATCTCGGCGAAGTTCGACTGGACCAACCGATCCTCCTGTCCGAAAACCCTATGTAGTCTCTCACAAGACAGTCTCTAAGAAACGAAGTTTCCAGACTTTCAAGAAAGAGCCAGACTCCGAGGCGGAGGATGTTTATCGTGAGGATCAAAAAGAACACTCTCGTACCGAGGTCAAGCGTCGCAGAACCGTGAAGGAGGAACAGATTCGCTACGACGGTTTTGAAGAATCTGGGAAACTTCACACCCAGCAGAGCACGAACGGTTACCAGCCTCAGTCTCAATCCCAGCCTCCCCAAGGCTATCCAAAGCAAGAGAGTCCACCCGAGTTGCAGGCAATTTCGGTCCCACAATACCCTGGCACAACCCAGATGGCTTCGACGTCTCCGATATACACCACGCGCCCAATCATCGAACCGCTCTACGAGACTGGACCTTTACTACCGATGTACCAATTTTCTCAGTCTCAGCCGGGATCTCGATATCCTTTGACAGCGGTAGATGTGTTTCACTATCCACCTATGCCGTGATGAGGTTCAACAGGACGTCGATCTTTTCCTTTCCTTTCGAATCGCCTTTCTTACGCATGCCGCCGTATATCGGTGGACTTTTTCTTACTACCTTTACTCTCTTTTCGTCCTCCGAGGAAAATCAATCACGAGAAGATTATGTACTCATCCAAAGTCTCAACAGGTATGATGGCCACTGATACGGCTGGTGCTTTTGTGCTGTGTAACGGTTTTACGACGCAAGGAGACTTTTTTCCTCTTGTGATAGCTCCTCTGTTACTGATTTGAATGACCCTCTTACGTTAACGAAGCTTGGCGACTTTGTTTTGGGCATGGGACACTGCTGATACGGTCTCTGTCGTACTAGATACCAAACCAAATTTTTGTTGATCAATCACCATTGACTTCAATGGGATTACTGTTTCTCGTCTTCTCCAAGGAGGCTTCGCCCAGTGATCGTTCGTCTCGAGGTACTTTTTGAAAACTTCCGGAATATTCGTTATCGACTCCACATCCGTCTTGAAGGGAATATCGGTGTCCTTCTGCACTCCTAGGCACTTGACGATACACCCGTACCACTTCTTCATTTGGGGGAAACACAGTCAGATCAAAGGGCCCGAAAGCTGTTTGCCCGTTAGACGATGAAGCTCAAAGTCCTACATGATATCCGGACATGCGTATCCATGCACCGATGGGGATGTTTACGATGGAGAACTTGATTCCAACGAGAAATTCGGTGTTGGATTCTCTCAAGTGCTTGTCCACAGTCTTATATAGCCTCGTCGTTTCTTTTTCATGTAGCGGTCCATCGCGAAATCCTGTCGCTGCTCAGGACCGTATAGACTAAACCAGTTGAGCTGGCCCTGCATTGGACCGATTCCTGCACTTTTTGAAAATGGTGAGACAATTAATTTGGTCAGTGTTGACCGCAGGGCGAGGGGAGTAATTAAAGCTGTGAGGAGGGTTGTGCAATCCAATTGTTCGTCCCTGCCCAGGGGGATTATCCAGCAACAGATGTCATCCAGTTTGGGTGGGTGTTTAGCTCCTCGACTATAGGGGTGGCCATTTGTACGTTCCTTAGGATTAGTGTTGTATGATTAGAGTAAATGAGACTGCATATCTGGGCTAGGTATCGTGCGGAAGACAATGACACCAATCGTTGAGGAATCAAATACTTACATATCCTAGGTAAAGTGCGTTGATTCGGATACCATCCTGCGCATGATCCAAGGGCCATCACTCTGCAGAGATGAATGATGTCTGCTTTCGGTGTGTAGTAAGCCTGTTCCATAATCTCCACCGAGACCTGAGGCTCTGGCGGTCGACGTAATAACTCGCTTACTCTGCTTTTGCATCTCTGAGATATCGCAATCCGAGCGAGATAAAATACTTGTTGAAAGACGTCGAGGGGAACAGAACATCCAGTCGGCCGAACCTCTCGGTCCAAGCAATGAAGGCGATCTCCCTACTCTCTCGGCCGCCACATCGCAGCGTACGAACTGAGCCTTCTCTAATCCCAATCACTAAATGATGTCTCTCTCTTCAACGTCCGACATGAAAAGCTGGCATGTTTCTATTCCAACGAAAACCGCTTGACCGGAAAACGGTTCATCTTGTCGCGGATTCTTTTACCTTTGCTCTTTTCTCGTCTTTACGATACGATGGCACTTCCTGATCTGTGACCGGCTTGTGTTCTCCGGTATGACCACCTTTTCTTCAGCATTCCTCCCTGAGAACACCGTCTCCACGCCGGTAAAACAAAGAAGGGCCTGGGGGAAAACCCCGGTCCTTTGGCTCCATTTCAAAGATGCAGAGGAAGGAATGATGAAGGTCGGTGTTAAGACCTGTAGGATATAGGTTATTTCATGTCTCACATGCTCCTATAGTCGGCATTCGAAAATGTTATTGGTCCCTCCGAAGGAATTTAGTGCGACCTATCGCTCTGCCCGTTTGCCCCAAGAGTGGATCCTAAAAGTCAAAAAGGGGCTTCAGACCTGCATTAGGCTACTATTCCTAGCAGGGATTATAGCGCGGATTGGGCACGAGCCTTGTCATGCTTCGCGTAGTCCGCATCGGGGCACTCCTTTGTTCCAGTCGATTCATGGAGATATTGACCACTAAATAAAATACATATCGGTGGAATCCTGCATCCAACGATCAGGAAAAGAACCTTGATCCGTACCTTTCCATTGCCGTCCTCGAGACCTAACATGGGTCCTCACGCAGACACCTATGTGCATTCCAGCAGGACACCTGCAGTGAAGCAAGTTGCCTTAAAGACAGGATCGATCTTGTCTCCAGTCAGAGCATCATCACCAAGGCAACATCCTACGCGATGTTGAGTGTTTAGGGAACACTGATATTGAATGCGAACAGTGAACATGTCATTCTCAAAGGTGCAGCTGTAGGAAGGGCTTGGAACATGGCGAACTTCGGTATGATCACCCTCCATACGCCACAGCAGATCAATGAAACGAATGCACTCCTGCACCAAGCACCGCCTCTCTAACACCTTACAGTCAGTGTATTCAGGCCACGAACACGTACATCGGGCTGCTCTTGTCGTGGTTCTCGTTAAGCAGAAGGCAAAATTCTTCTTCGACAAATTGCTCGAATACTTCTTCACAGAGTCCGACGCCGCATTCTTCGCCGGACTCGGGCTCAACTGCATTTGGATCCTCTTCGATTACCGCCATTTCATCGATGAATCCCATCCATCTCAGCTGAAGCCAGAGGGGTTTGACATGTGGCAAGCACAACCTCTACGTCATATTCAACCTTCATGCGGTCCCGGGCGGCCAGAATCAAGATTGGCATTCCGACTCTGGCATTGCCAAAGCTATGCTCTGGGAACATCGAGTCTTCCAAGGCCAAATCGTGGATCTCTGGGTCGCGATTGCGACACACTTTGCTGGGAGCCCTATCATCGCAGGCTATAATTCACTGAACGAGCCAGCTGATCCGTTGCACACGCGCCTGATTGTATTTCGCGAGCGTGTCGGGAAAGCCATCCACGCGGTCAACGACTGAGCACATCCTTCGGATCAACGGCAACACGTACGCGATGAACTTTACCCGATTTCCTGAGAGGAGGCTTCCGAACTCAGTGTATTCCGGTCACGACTATGCTATGCAGGATTCCCCAACGCCAGGACTGGCGCCGTATGACGGCCCTCAGAAGCACAAAGACAAGTTATGCAATTAATTCGAGCAAAAAGTCGCGTACATGCGGGAGAAAGGTGTCCCGATTTGGAACGGCGAGTTTGGACCGGTGTATGTAAAACGAACGGACGGAAAGGAGCAGAAGTGTGGCATCTGCTTCTGGGGTTGCGTCGATAAGACGGGGGCCAAATATGTCTACAAACCATTTACTGAGGGGTTTAAAGGCTCAGGTTCCGCAGGAACTCCACAGAAGAAAGCATCCTCAAATTTGGACCTTTGACCGTCATGTGGAGAGTCCTGCGGAAATGTTTGATGAGCGAATATCTTGGTTGAGAGTTCGCTGAGCTGTTCCGCCACAAGTCTGAAGAGGAGCTGGACGAGCTCATTGCCAGCTTTAAACTGGGGAATTACATCAAACCAGAAAGACTGAATGAGACGCCAGAAGAGATGCTGACGGAGAAAATTCCTCATCTTCGTAAAAGGAATGGATTTGGCCCATCCACGAGCAATGATGTGGGCTCAATCTTCGGTAGAAACCCGCTGATGCTCTCAGCCTGAAGGCCATGGTAAGTACATTTGAAACAAATTTCATGTCAGTTACGACACACACTCACCCTGGCCATATGGCCTTCCTCTCCACAGCGGCGGCAAGTTCGCTTCTCGCGACTACGGCAATCCTACAAAGCTCAGTCAGTATATTGCAAGATTTGGTAGAGTCAGATGGTGTAAACCTTGGCGATGTGATTTCCGGATGCACAAGCGCGTCCAGCGGGCTTTCGTTCTTGAGTGCAGTTACGAACACGATGACCGGTCTCTCCACACAAGTAGCAGAAAACAGGGACTGGTTCTTTCGTCACGGCTTCTTCAGGGCAGGATTTTGACTTGTGACCAACGTTGCCGCAGTTGTGGCATTTGTCAACACCCCGATCAAGAGGGATACCAGCATCGGCGAGACGAATGAGGTTCTCTTCGGGAGTCCGACGTTGAGGTTTGCCAGAAAGGAAGTAGCTGACTGCATACTTCCTGCCGATTTCACCCTGAAGGTTGACGTTGGTCCAAGTATCGCCACGAGGTTTCTCTTGAGATAGAGGTTAGCATATAGTGAGCTCAATACGTAGTCTATATGGAAGTGAAACCATTGCAATGAGGAAGACACTGGAGCCACGCTCGCGGAATTCCTTCTCGAGACGAGGATAGGTGTAGTTAGGAGCAGCCTTGGAAAAGATTTGTAGGGCGTCTTTGAAATCGGTAATGTGTCTCATATCGCTGGCGTTCTTGAGCAATCCCCATGCCTCATTTTCAGACTTCTCAAGGATGTTCTGATGGTTAATCGCTTTTGGATTCTTGCAGATGATGGCCTCATGGCCTGTGGAAATTGGTGGTCAGTCCAGGACACAGAAAACTCTGAGATTCGACAGGCCTTCTTGATGGCAATTCTTGCATTTGTCAATGCGAGTTGGGCAATCAGAGGCTATGCGGCAGGTGTCGTTCCCAGAATATAGGCGACATGATTTTCCAATTTGTAGCCACCCACCTTTTTGACCGCAGTTGCGACATTCACCCTTGAACTTGCGTGGAGCAGTGCGCTCAGCCTTGGCCTAATGTTTGGTCAGTGAAGATATTGAGAGGGGAACATTGTTATACATGGCCCTCTTCATCCTGCGACTGTCAACTTTTACCATTCAAGTTTTGTAACGATTCACTTCCACAGTTGAAGTGCGCTCCTATCTTTCGTGGTTCTGGTCACTTATGAGCAAAGTGACCCTCTGTGGATGAATGATCAGCCATTATAATTGTGGAATAATTAGATGTGTAGAACTCACCTCGACTACAGTTGCGGCATGCACCTCCAGGTCCAGCAGCGTTATGATTCTCACCACCTAGAGCATCGGAGCCTCCAGAGAAATTGCCATCGATAGCAGCGCCAAAGCCATCATCGCCCGCGGCATTATTGCTGGCACCAACGACGTCCCAATTGTCATTGTTCCATTTGTCTCCGCCTAGTAGCGATCAGTTCGCATTGTCAACTTCAATCTGAGGTGTGAGATGGGGAAAGGGGAATCAGACTTTCTTCTGTCAGGTGCTCCTGCGGCAGCCAAAGATCTGGAGCTCTCCAACAGATTGGCGTAGCCCGACGGATTCTTTTTCGTCCCCATCCGTGTACTTCCATTTTCATCTGTGTGTCGTGGTCGATGATGGATGCGAAAGTGAAGATAGCGAAGGAACGAGGCTTACCTACAGATGAAGTTGGCCAGTTACTCATCACGAAAGATGGCTATTCCCGGAAACTCAGCAAGGTGTCACAGGATTGAGGATGGCTGGGCTGCGCAAGGACGTGTGTTCAATATCATTTCAGATCAGGCAACAGATATCTATGGGTCACAATCGGCAATACAAGGAGCTCTTACCTGAACTGGAATGTCCGCTTTTGAACCTATGATAGGCAAGACAGTCAGATGGTGATTTTCGGGTTGTATAATGAGTGTGCGTTGGACAGAAGAGAATCTTGAGAATCTGAGGAGAAGTGGGAGGGATCAAGTGGTCGAAGATGTCAGTAGATCGCAGAATGAATCCGGCACATGCGTCTTGTGTTCAAGCTGGTCTCTTCTGTCTAGTCATGTTCTGCCACACCGAGGTGAACGAAGCTTGCGCTTTGAGATCTTTGATGTGAGGGATCTTAGCTTTTTGGTTGGCTGGGGAGAGAGGGAATCGTGGGAAGAGAAATCATCCGCCAGGGTGCAACGTGATACAATAAGAGGTTGATTGGATGGTTTTACCTGGTGATGAAAAGATCAGTTGAGTCATTTTCAGACCGAGGGGATATACCTGAAGGCAGCACACGAGTCGAAGCAGTGACGAAAGCCAGAAACACTTCCAGCTTGTAGATAGGCGTTGTCCACAAGTTGATGATTCAGGGAACTGTGAGAAAGATTGAAAAGCCCTGCAAGAAGGTGCAGGAGTTGATGTGAACGAAGTTCGGCATGGGGGAGGAAGGGCAACACAGATACCGATAAAGACGGCATCTGAGCCAACTGCCTCTTCAATTTAGCGACGTCCTGGCAAGTCAGGCGTTCTTCAAATCTTTCTCTTGTTCAGGGATATTTTTGAAAGACTTCCTTCCTAGTCTTCCGTCGTTTTTCTCTTGATTTCCTCTTGATCTCCCCCGGTTTCTCCCTGCGTTGTTCTCAAACCGATCTGCTGACAGACCCATGGCCTCGAATTCCCATCTGATTTCACCGAAGTCCTTGTCCCCCCACCCACCTTTGAAGAGCCCGATCATTTTCGACTATGGGACATTGATTTTGCTATCCGCTTATGGCCTTGTCACGGGACGGCCGCCTGACATTAAGGACAAGCATGCCAAGCCAGCAAGCTGGCACCCTTCGAATCTCCCTGTAAGGAGCAAAGCGCGATTGGTCGATGTTATATTGGCCCAGCTCCTACGCGTTTGTATCACTACGATTCCCATCCAGTTCAGCCTTTTCCCTTTCAGCTCAAAATATCATGCCTTGGCTTTGATCCCTCGTGGTCTTCTTTGTGAACGCGAAGAAGCAGGTTTCGAAAGGTCCTCAATGCAGCTTTCGGACTCGCGTTCAAGCCAAGGATGGTTATGTCACAACTGCTAGGTTGCTGCGGAGGTGGCGGTTCTCAAACACGCAGGACAGCCACAGGACAGCAACATGGCTCACTCTCTCGTCCTCGCAGTCGTGGCACCTAAGGAACCTCTTGGAGGTGGACACCCACTACCTCCACTAGTGGGTTGCATGTACTCCCTCCTCCTTGGTCGCATATTCTAGAGTGATATGTGACAATGAAGGCTCCGATGTTGGGTTAGGTTGGAATCGGTGCTTAACCTGTCTGAATGAACAATACTTCTCCAATTTCCACGCACTGAGCATTGCCTAAGATTATTTGCCTGCTGGGGAGCTGCCAAAACAATTTCAGGCCGTGGACAACAAGGCTGCCAAGGACACCACTCCTGGGCCGCATGCAATAGCTCTATGTGTGGCTTTTGTTGTTGCTACAGGAGTTCATCCGCCCTTCTGCCATGTCAGACATGGAAATATAGGCATGGCACCGACGACACCCTCATCTGGAGGGAAGAGACATAAGGGCTGAAAGTCTGCTTCTGTTTGCTCGAAGCCACGACGCCACACCCAACGCCTGACGCATCGAAAACCCGCGGCAGGTGGCAAACAGATAATCAACCAGAAGAAGAGCTGAGGGGATAGGTTCTCCTTTTGTAAAACAGATTCCATCCGGGGTTGCCAAGATTTCTTCTTGAGTGTATGCTCTTCCTTTCACTTCTCGGTTTCCGGGGCTTCTTCCGCTTCATCAGACTTGTGGTCGGTTTCCACTTGAGGGTCAGGAACCCCCATCACCAGGATATCCAATTCCGTCCCTGGCACGACCCTTTCTGTAGAACTTGGGCAAAATTGCCGAACTTCCATTAAAGGATAAGATTTTTCAACTACCTCTTCTGCTCAGTTGTTCCTGTCTTGTCGATCGCGTTGATTTTTTGCCAGGTGGTCAATATGTCGGATCACGAATAGGATCGTTGAGAACTTCTTGCACCTTTTTGGACATCTCATCGCGTGTTGCTGAGCCATATCTTTGCGGATCATACACAACCATGTTGTCCGACAGCTCAGCACGGGGTGCCGTAACAAGGATAGGGTCAATCATCGTAGCGTGGATTTTGCCAGGATTTAGGTCTGTTGTCGACACATGCATGTGTTAGCAATAGTATTGCAACGTTAAAAGGCTACAATATGATTCGAAGAGACGGTTATGACTTGGTACGCGCGTTTATCTGTTGATCTGAGGTGGTGAAGTCGTTGGGTGTTGATCTCAGGTGGAGCGGTAGGGTAAGATACTGTAAGAGGAGGACATTACAATGAATTGAAGTGCGTCATGATCATACAGGAACGCAAAGAAGAACAGAATGCCTGAACCAAGAATTGGTGTTCAATGTTGTGTTATGTTTGTGGATTGAGAGGGAAAGTCGTGGCAGGTGACCAAGCAGCAACAAAGATGCCCGCGAACTTCACGATTAAAGCAACAATTTCAGAAGTATCTTCAAGACAGTCACCTTCGATCGAGACGAGAACATACGCAAGCAAAACTGGCATCATTTTATGGATCGCTCTTGGTTTGGTCTTTATCCTCTGATTTGGTCCATATCCGTTTGCTCTATGTGATAACCTTCTCCTTACATTCGATACTGAAAGCTCTGTTACCGCATGAACTTCGAAGAGATTGGGATAAAGGAAAACGAACCCGTACTTCTCCTTCAACTCCTTTATCAATGGATCGTTGATCTTGGAGTTCATTGGCGCGAGAATACCTGTGTCGGAGATCGTGCCATTAAGTACCTGTTTGGCGGCTGTTTGACACGGGCGTTAGTGACTCCTTCTCCGAAGCGAGTGGGGGGGCTAAGACACTGTTTGAGACCCAGAGCGGTCAATGGTGAACCTTCAGATGGCAATGCACCTTTCGCCACTTGAGTATCATTGTATCGAAGGAAGGGATTTCGGAAAGCGAGGAGACTTGCCAACTCCACATGGTACGCCGACTAATTTCGCCATTGCTGAGTAACCTCCAGCCCCAGTTGGAGCACCGTACTCGCAGAGAGTAGAAGTTCTCGTCTCCTTGCTACCATCCTTGTTCTCGATCTCGAACTTATGTTGAAGCATCTTGAGACCTAGGTGTCAGCCACCCTTTCGAGAAAGTCCCGGGTGCTGAGACAATACTTACTACTAAGTCACGCTCACCCTCCTCGAATTGCATCTTTTCTTCTAGAGTGGCGCAGAGAGTATCCAAGGGGTTTCCGTTGGGGTGGATATTTGAATCCGAGAAAATGCCAACTTACACCGCGGTTGTCAGTATTGCTCTTTCAATAAGGTTGAGGCTGCTGAGACCACGTCTCCAGCTCGGGGGGGTTTGTCCACGTGTATCACATGGTTCTGTGCTTTGGACAGTTTATAACTGTCCCCGAGAGAGACCGGGAAAGGGTTGCTTACGCCACTTGAGACCTGCCATCAATCGGTTCTTCTCATCAGTGTTCTTGAAAGTCGTTTTGGAGGAGATTGCCCATAACAGATCCTTCTCACTGGATGAAGAAGCACCAAGAATCTTCTGGGTGGCCTCCTTCCAGGTGATCGGCTCCTTTAAAAACTTCTGCTCCTCATCACTGAGGAAGCCAATATCGACTAGAACCTTGACAAATTCGGGGAATCCTTGATATCTCAGAGTCTGTAACCCTGCGGTGTTAGCGTTCCTCCATCCGGAAGGGGTTGTGGCCGTCTCCAGAAGCCAGAGGCGGAAACTGAAGGATGTCTTACACCACGGATAATGGTTTCCGCTTCTGGAATGTTATAGCGTCCCTTGTATGGGGTTGAATCACGGTTGGGGTATGCGACGAAAGCGAAGCCTGGATGCAAGTCAGGATAGGATATCCTGAGGCCATTGGGCTCGATGCGGCGGGCAGACTTACCCGGGTAGATGTGGTACTCCTTGGCGGTGGCCATCAGGTCTTTACCATGCCGTGTTAGCATTCCTTCCTGAAAGAAGAATTTTGGTGTAGAAATATTGTTTACAGCCAAGATCGGTACTGTACCTCAGACAACCTGACGGGAGAATCGGACCGCCCAGACGGCCCAGAGCGGGAAATTAGAGGGTGTGGAGAGTTGCTTACCTGGGCCGGCAACGTTGACAATCTTTCCTCCTTGGTAAAAGCTTGCAGCATTTCTGAGAGCGAGCAAGACCCCGCGGGATCTTCAGCCTGCAGTGTCAGTATTACTCCTCCAGAAGGGATTTATGTACCTGAGACCAGCCAAAGAGAGGGAAAATAAAGGTGCACAGGTTACTTACGACCAAGAGAACCTTCAACCCTGTTACATTAGCGTCACTCTTTCAGAAAAGATTTTGGGGGGTGAAGACAGGCCAGCAAAAAGAATATAGAGGTACGCAGGGTTGCGTACTTGTAGCCCAATGGATTTCCGGAGTCTGAATATTAGCCATGGTAGTCTTATATATTATCTGTATCCTCATACCTTCTGGAGCTGGGAGACCTCCGCAGTATGACAAGAATGAAATGATCTTTCCTCCGGCCTTGTGTACCCTCTCTATGACAGAAATTGCATACAAATGGTCGATTCCAGGATCAAGCTACCCATTAGTACGCTAAGAGAAGTGTGCATGGTTGATAACTTACACCAATCTCGTTCATAACGGTGATCCCCGCGTCCTTCACCTGCTGTTCAAGCTCGAGCATGGCTGGGGAAATATAACTTGTGGTGACAACATTCTTCTTGTTTCGAATCGCGGACTTGATGACGGTAACGTGAAAGGTGTATGGGATTAAGCTGATAACAAGATCATGCTGTGCTACCGCAGCGTCGAGGGCTTTGTCGTCGGTGACATCGAGGGAGATTGGCTTTGCGAGCTTGACGCCCTCGGAGAGCTTCTTTGCATTGTTGAGAGTTCTGCAGGCTGGACAGTGTCAGTGAAAGGTATGAGAAAGTGTGTCTTGCAAGTGGCTCACCAACGGTGACATGAATGCCCGCGTCACTTAAAATATCCAAAGTGGGCCTCGTAACGAAACCAGAGCCACTGGGATGCTTGTCATTCTGTGGACCGGTTTTTGCTTCATGATACTTACAGCATCAAAACACGATGAGGAGCCATGCTTGTTATTGTACGGCAGATGGGTTGTCGTCTGCCAGAGACTTTGGTACCACGGTAATTTTTTTTTTTTTTTTTTTTTTTTTGGTGCGATTACGGAATGACGTGGCCAAGCTAGCTGTGGGGTTGCACCGTGATATCGACCGAGGGTGAACTGGGTATGGATTTTCCGTCCCTTGGCACTGTGAGTGGAGATTTCATGTTTGGGTACAGTTGCGAAGGAAGCCTGAAAGACCTGAGGAGAAGAGCAGAGGATCAGGATGTCCGGGAAATGTATCTTTATCTTTGTTTGAAGTGCCGCCGTTCCGTACAGGTCGGCTTGCCGTCGCCAATACAGGCCTCCAGTCATTTCTGGCAGTCAAACGGGTCCCGTTTACAGGCACTGCCAGATCCTGATGATGGCTAGATAATCTCTCAATAATTGAGTCTTTCAATTACCACTGTCATTCTTTCGTGAGTCGTGGACTCATCCTAGCTCTGTCACAATCCTCTTACCCAAAGCCTCAAACCGCTGGCTGCAGCACCAACCTCACAAACTTCGCAAATCTTGCACACCTGTCCTTTGTATTGGGTATGGTACTTCGAGCCATCAAATGGGCATGAAACACTCTGAACTCCACTATAAATTGGAGTGTATGATGTTGCACATACATCGAAATCGGCAAACTGGTCGTATTCGATATCAATCCTATCGCTCGATCCCGACCGTTCGGCTTGTTGTTTCACCTTCTTCGCCTGTTTGGGGTTAGTCAATGTTTCTACGAAGGGGAAGATTACTGACCTGCTCAACCAGTTTGGGAGAACCGCCATTCGCAAGAACCCTGTTGGCGAAAGATAAAGCGCTGGAGAATTGCTTGTTGGAGAAGGCAAGCTTCATAGCAGCCATAAGAGCCAACTGGCGATGCGAAACGTCCAATTTTGGCATGGTGAAATATGCGGAAAGCTCCAGTTGTCGCTTAAGCTGTTCCTCTGAATCACTCCCAGATGCTGCAAGGTGACGTCTCTCCAATTCGATGCTCATCGCAAGCAGGTATTCCATCGATTTGGCAATGAGTGCTTTGGCTTCGTCGACTTGCGCCTCAGAGCTAACGACATTGACAAGGAGAGATTGCAGAATATATCGGAAAGCAACGACGCCATTTTCTAGTTTGTTCGTCCTCATCGCGGTATAGCCCTCTTGCAAGTCGACGCTGGATAGAGTATCAAGGCTGCGGGGGATGACTGGCAACAATTTTCTGCTGTCTGTCTCGTCGGTCGTTCGGCGGACATAATTCAAAATGGGGGAGAGGCCGGCGTTGGCGGGTAGATATGTCTTTGATGCTTGATAAATCTCCAAGAATCTGGACTTGAGCGGTTCGAAATGGACTGCGCCAACTTGTCGGTTCAACAATTGCATAGCACTGTCGAAAGAGCCGGCAGCAACGTGATCTGCCGCCAATGGGGAGTTTCGAGACCACATGTCTGCTTCTGAACTTCCTGGTCCTGCAGGCTCGATAGGAGCATCTGGATTGTCAACGTTGACAAAATCCGAGTCATTTCCGGCTGCATCTAGACCAATGTCGTCACCCATGTCCCATCCATCACCCGCATCAGCATCATCTACTGCTGCGACATCATTGCCATCTGCAGGAATCGGGATGTCTTCGTTAAGAAGATCAGGACTTGTGTCTTCGTCAACAGCCACCACCCCTATTTCGCCGAGGAGGGCTTTTTCAAACGAGGAATGTGATGCTTCCTTCATTGGCCAATTTGCTTTGAAAGTGGGAACGATAGCCTTGGGAATGCTCAGGCCGCCTCCGGATTCGGGCATCGAGATTTGATCTTCGGTCAATCCACAAAGTTCGAGGATTGATTCGCATTCTTCCGTCAGTCCGTGAGATTTCGCAGTAAGGTAGGCTAGAGGATATAGATCAATCTCTTTGAACATTTGTATCCTGCTTTCCACATCGCCCAGATAGAGAGCGTTTTGGAATCGAGAGACAAAGTCTCCGCGATGCTCGGCGATTTTGGCCATCCTAGTGAGTTTCTCCTCATCGCCTGTGCAGAGGTACAAGAATGAAAGTTTGTCGAAATTTCGAAGCTTCTGATAAGTCATCTCGACCGTTTGGTGGTTACCATGGATCAGAGCTTCGGCACCCAAACGTGTCCAAATCTTTGGTTTATCAAGCTCCTTGGCCATTTCTGTGGCGACTTCTAGGTTTCCGCATTCGATAGCGAGCTCAAATCGTGTCTGTGGATCCTGCACGAATTGTAGGGCGATCTCCGGGTAGCCTTTCTTCTGCAGATAGGAGATGATGCTCTGCCCGACCAAGCTGGACTCCCTGATGATGTGAAGCATTTCATCGTAGTTTCGTTTAACTAGCGCCAACTTGAAACGGTACTCGGTGGGATCGATGCTGAGGACTTTGGGCTTGGCCGCCCGGTCGAGGCAGTAAATATTTCGCCCCTTTACCTTGACGAGGTACACGGTCTGATCCAGTGTCCTCACGATGCCGTTGTCCCCGTTGAGTAGAGTATATTTGACATGATTGAGAGTTGAATAGAGGAGAACCCCTGAGTCATCCCATGTGGCGCTCTTGATTCTGATCGTTTCATGCAACGTGCTGACCTGCTCGAGAGATTTGTTCACAATGGTGACATTGTGCTTGCTTAACAAGGCCGCGTAAAGGCCATCGTTTGACCAAGAAACGTACTTGACCCCGGTAACGCTCAATTCTGCCAGTTGTTTCTTCTGTTGGATATCGTAAAGGACAACGTTCGTGGGGGTAATAAGAAGCAGACACCCAGTTCCACCGTATGTGATATCGGTGGTCCCAGCTGGTGCTTTGAAAGACTTCGTGGTTGAATTGCTTAAGTCTTTGATCTCAACGAGTTGTGTGGAAGAACTGAATACCGCAAACCGGTTGCGGGCAACGAAAACTGCAGCATTTCCGGAACCACGCTTCAAATCGGTAGGATCAGAAGCCCCAGTTGCATCTCGTGGGAGTGCAATCAATTCGTAGGTGCCGCCATCCGTGGGAGACGTCACAAGAATTGATCGTTCGGCGGGATTGTACGACAGTGTTCGAGGAGGGACCCAATTGCTCCCAAGCTTCCTAAGCGAGAGCAACGAAGGGGATTCAACATTTTTGCTGAAGTCGTAAGATCGAACGTGCTTGTCTTTGGTGATGTAGAACAGCTGATTCTGGTAGACGGATGATGCCGGACGTTCTCTTTCGAGCTTGAAGACCATAACTCCATTATCGTGCCCGGCAGCAAAGAGGTTGATTTCCGGATGAGCCGCGATAACCCAGAAGCGATCGTTTTCTCGTTTGAAAGATTGGACGGACGTCCTCTTGTTCAAATCCCACACTCGAACGGTTTTATCCTCGCCCACAGACAGAATGAGGTCTTGGTGGGGATGGAACAGACACGCAGATGCATTCTGGAAGTGTCCACGGCAAGTGTCGACCTCCCATGCCTTGGTCTCGCTCATTCTCCACAGCTTGACGAGCCGATCATCACCAGCGGAGACAATCAATGGAAGGGTCGGGTGGAAAGCCACCCAGTTCACTCCGCGGTCGTGACCCTCGAGCACAAATTTGACCACCGCGTCGGTATTTCCAAACATGTCTGCTTGTTGTTGATTCGCCCGCGCCATCTGATCTTCGAAGCTCATTGAGGTAGGTGCAGAATGCTTTTTTCGTAGCCCAGAGATATCCCACACTCGAACGGATTGGTCCAATGAAGCAGAAACGATGAGGTCTTCTTTCGGGTGAAATTGTGCGCACATCGCATAGTGATTATGACCGGTCATAGTGCAGACTGTAACTTTGTGTGAGCGTAGCGCGGGAGATAATGTGGTAGGGACATACTCAGCGATCGATTTTGCCAGTTCCAAATTCTAATGGTCTGGTCGTCCGAGGCGGACAATATCCAAGGCAATTCATGGTGAAAGAAGACAGTCCGAACGTAGTCAAGATGACCATTCAGTGTGAAAAGACATCTTCTTGTTTGGTATGACCAGACTTTGATTTTGTAGTCGTCTCCTCCAGAAACGAACAAGGGCTGTGTCTTGTGGAAATCGATACCGCGCACTGGTCCATCATGTTCTTCAAATCTGTCGATCAGCGTCCCCATCCGGTAGTCCCATAGCCTGCATAGAGAAGTTAGCTCTGGTGGCGCAAAGCTGTTTTGGAAGACTTAGTACTGGATGGTGCTGCTGTGCAAGCTAACAAGAATCCATGGTCTCTTCGGATGGAAAGCCAACCCTTTGGCCCGACTACTCTTGCTCTCAAACTAGGTTTGGGTTAGAATTGTATTATAGTCAACAGAGGAAATATTGCTTGCCTTGGTGAGCATTGAAGGGGAAGCCATATTGGCAATTTTGGAGTCGTTAAGGTGCTTCTTCCCTAGGTTACGGGCTGCTCAACATACTGTGACAGGCCTCTTCTCTGCCTAGGTAAGATCAGCAACGTTGAAGTTGGAAGATTGCCGCCCTCATTGGAAAAGGTAAAGGTGGCTCAGTCACCAGGGGAATTTGGGTCGTTGCCCGCAGCCTATGAGGTGCGCAGTGGGAAGGGTACGGCGAAGCACAAACGGCGGAATGGGGACTTGGCTGAAATTCATTTCGACTTCTGGTGGTCGAGCGCATCTCACTGTGCCACGGCGCCACCATTACGGAATCGGTAGGTAGTCTACTACATTCTAGATCATAGACACCTCTACATCTTCGTCCGACACATCGCTCAGACTTAGCCCCATCTTTGGTGTTCCAGCATGCGTTTGTGAGCGAGGTATTAGGCCAACATCCACGACAATGGATCAAGCACAGTACGATGCGATTAAGGACAACTGGGGGGAGGTGGAAGATCGGGATGGGGTCAGACTCAGTTGGAACATTATCCCTTCATCACGCATGGTCAGTGTCTGCCGATCTCTCATGCTGCCAGGCTAATATCGTCCAGGAGGCCAATAGGTTGGTAGTACCGGTGAGTTGTCTGCTCACACCTCTCAAAGTAAGTGTCTTGAAAATGGTGGATGTGATCTTTTGTTCAATCTGTTTCTAGGAACTGAACAAGCCGCTCCTGACCTACGAACCTGTTACTTGCAAACCCCCTTGTCGAGCAGTACTCAACCCGTTCGCGAATGTGGATGTCCGAGCCAAATTGTGGATCTGTCCATTCTGTCTACAAAGAAATCAACTTCCTCGTCACTATGGAGACATCAGTGCAGAAAATGTCCCTCCGGAAATGCACAGCTTGAACACGACAGTCGAATATCAGCTCGCGCGACCTGCACCTGCACCCCCGATCTTCGTCTATGTCGTTGACACCGCGATTGAGGAGGATAGCTTGCAAGCGTTGAAGGAGACTTTGGTGATGAGTCTCTCATTACTTCCTGCCAATGCTCTGGTTGGATTGGTCACCTTCGGAACAAATGTGGCAGTGCATGAGATTGGGTATACAGAATGCCAAAAGTCATATGTGTTCCGAGGTAGCAAAGACTACGCAGCGAAACAGGTCCAGGAGATGCTTGGACTCTCTGCTCCCGGACTGCGACCTAATATTCCCCCTCAGCAAGGACGGCCGCCTCCGCCCATGGGCCCTGCCGCCCGATTCCTGCTTCCTGTTCAGCAAGCCGAGTTCCAGATCACCAATGCGATTGAGCAACTACAAAAGGATCCATGGCCCGTTGCCAATGACCATCGACCACTCAGATGTACGGGCGTGGCGATGAGCGTTGCTGTTGGATTATTGGAGACTTCATTCCAGAATGCAGGGGCCAGAATCATGCTTTTTGCCGGTGGCCCCGCCACAGAAGGTCCCGGCCTTGTCGTTGCCCCTGAACTTCGTGAGCCCATTCGGTCTCATCACGATATCGATCGTGATAATGTCAAATACTTCAAGAAGGCAATCAAGTTCTACGATAATCTCGCCAAGCGGACCGCCCACAACGGACACATCATTGATCTCTACGTCGGCTGCCTCGATCAAGTTGGTCTGCTCGAGATGAAAGGACTGGCTAACTCAACCGGAGGTCATATGGTTTTGACGGATAGCTTTACCTCGTCTCAATTCAAGCAATCGTTTGTTCGAGTCTTTGATAAGGACGAAAATGACAATCTTCTCATGGGTTTTAATGCCTCCCTGGAGGTAGTCACGACAAAGGAGCTCAAGGTCACTGGTCTCATTGGCCATGCTGTTTCACAGAACAAGAAATCCAGCTCTGTTGGCGAGACGGAATGTGGCATTGGAAACACCTCTCTGTGGAAGATGTGTGGCATTGACCCCACCTCTAGTTACGGCATCTACTTTGAAGTTGCAAATCAAGGTGGCCCGACACCGATGCAACAAGGCCCTCAACGAGGCATGATGCAGTTTCTGACATACTACCAGCATTCCTCTGGTCAATACCATCTCCGAGTCACGACTGTGGCACGGAATTTGAGCGGCCCAGCTGGCGACCCCGCGTTGGCACAATCTTTCGATCAAGAGGCAGCCGCTGTCTTGATGGCGAGGATTGCGGTCTTCAAGGCAGAGGTCGACGATGGACCAGATGTTTTACGATGGGTCGACAGAATGCTTATTCGGCTCTGCTCACGCTTTGCGGACTATCGTAAAGACGATCCAACCTCCTTCCGATTGGACAAGAATTTCACCTTGTACCCTCAATTCATGTTCCATCTGCGCAGATCGCAATTCCTCCAAGTGTTCAACAACTCTCCTGACGAAACCGCATTCTATCGACATGTTCTCAATCACGAATACGTGGGTGATTCACTGATCATGATTCAACCCACTTTGGATTCGTACAGTCTTGAACATGAGGGGGGTCAACCGGTGTTACTAGACTCTGCTTCTATCCAACCACAGACAATTCTTCTTCTCGACACCTTCTTCCAAATCCTTATTTTCCATGGTGAAACAATGGCAGAATGGCGAAAAGCGGGTTACCAAGATCAAGAAGGTTACGAGAATTTTCGTGCTGTGCTGGATGCTCCTAAGGAAGATGCTCGTGAATTGGTCCAAGACCGATTTCCTCTGCCGAGATTCATCATCTGCGATGCTGGAGGCTCACAGGCTCGTTTCCTCTTGTCGAAGTTGAATCCTTCGACAACACATGCCACTGGTGGCTATGGAGGTGTTTCCCAGACCGCTCAAACGATTTTCACCGACGATGTGTCATTGCAAACTTTCATGGACCACCTCATGAAGTAAGCTGCCCCTACCAATTACGGTGATACTCGCTAACCATGTTCAGACTCGCTGTATCTGGCTCAAGTTAGAAGCATATCGTGCGTCCATGTCTTCGGGTGGAAGTATGGTTAAGTCCCAAATGGAGTGGAGTGGAGATAGCCGAGTTGTGATGACAACAAGCATTGGTATTGGAAGTGTCTTGAATCAAAATGGTCTCGTGTTTCCAGTGAAGAGACCGCGTCTGAACGGGTAGATAACCTCGGGCTTCTGAAATGTGAAATGAGTCAACTAGCAGTTCATACGTCAAATTGCTGCACTTTAAGTTTTTGTGACCCGCTGTATGCAGCTTTGCCTAATTCAGTATGGCGCATGAGATCTCGCACAAAATGGATTTCCGCATCTCTAAATCTCGAACTATTCCTCAGCGAGAGACGAGCTACGACACCTCGAGAACGACAGACTACCTTCCGCACTCGCCATGCGTAAGTATCGTCTTCTCGAGCGGCTGCGGCCTGGCGGCTAACGCGTATTGTTTTCAGCTCCCAAGTTAGATCCCAATGAGGTGAAGATCATGTAAGTGATGAACCTTCCGAAGGATCTCTTTTCCAAGACTGACAGAAAATTGCAGCCACCTCCGCGCCACCGGCGGTGAGGTTGGATCTTCAGCAACACTCGCTCCCAAGATTGGCCCTCTCGGCCTCTCCCCTAAGAAAGTCGGAGAAGATATTGCGAAGGCAACCGGTGACTGGGTGTGTTGGAAGACGACTGGTCACAAAATTGAAGCGGAAACACTAATATTGTAATAGAAAGGACTCCGTGTCACAGTCAAACTCACAATCCAAAACCGACAAGCTGCTGTCTCCGTGGTACCGTCAGCATCGTCTCTCGTCATCCGTGCCCTCAAGGAGCCACCCCGTGACCGCAAGAAGGAGAAGAACATCAAACATTCCAAGTCAATCCCACTCGACGAGATCTTCGACATTGCACGAACAATGCGCGGCGCTAACAAGTCTTTGGCCCGTGAATTGAAGGGTACAGTCCTCGAGATCCTCGGCACTTGCTTTAGTGTTGGGTGCCAGGTTGATGGCCGGTCGCCGAAGGAGATCAGTGACGAGATCAAGGAGGGTTCGATTGAAGGTAAGTGTCATACGAGCATGGCTCATTTACCTCATACTTGGCTGCTTGCTAACAAATTTACAGTTCCTGATGAGTAGATTATGCCACAAAAAGTACTTGAACTGAGGCCAAGCCCGGCTCAAAAATGGGAATATCGAGCTCTAAAGAACATGATGATACCCACGATCATGTCAGGTCCACAAGATGAACGTGTAACGATCCAGCCTTTCTTCCAACAATACACTTTTTTCCCGTCTCAGAGTTCTATGAGTTTTGGGGACAAAAAAAATTTATGAATACCCCTAATTCGTTCCCGTCCTTCCCAACGGGGCCTCCCCATCTCCCCCCAATCCATGAGCGATAAGCAAAAGAGACCTTTGCCAACACTCTGGCCTTTATCCCTCCATTCAGTTGATTGGAAAATATCCCAGGATATGGGCCTATTTTGCTGCAAAGAAGATTGAACCATCCTAGCTGACACGCTACTCACCTCGGCATCTCAGGTCCCTTATCCGGGACCAATGGATGTAGTGGTCCATCTCTTCTGTGTCCACAAACCCTTTTTTCTACGCGAAAATATGTCTTCTGAACTGACTTTTGCTTATGACTTTTGGATGTTGGGAGTGCTGCGAACCATTACCTAGTCTGATTACGAGTGATTCATAAGAGACATGAATATTTAGAGGAACTATTTCACAAGCAGGCTCTTTCCTCAACAATTCCAACAACTACCAAGTAGTCGGCACTTTCGGAAACTCTTTTGCCGTGATTCCAAGATCTGTAAAGACAGCATCATCCCCTATATCAGGACCGTCAGAAGATCTCACGTGATCAATGTTGGGAATTGAACACAACTTACCTTTCAAATGTTCGACTCGAATCTCATCTTCGCCCTCCAACTTTTCCATCTCCTCTTGCGGAGTTTCGTTGTTCTCCCGCTCATCTCTTGGCCATTCTTCCGTAGCATGGTCGAAGGACTTCCCAATCAACAAGAACTGCGTGTTGACATAGTCCAGGTATTTCGGTTCCAGGGGTTTCCATCGAAGACCTCTGAAGTCATCGAGAATTTCTTGAGGGTACTCTGGACCTTTGGGCAGACTGGTGCCGGGAGGGGCAGGTTGCGTAGGGTTTTTTACACTGGTTACAAAACTTCCGCGCTCTCGAAGACCGAGGTCTTTCTGCACTTCGCCCAATTCCCTGGGGATGTTGATGAGGTAGGCGAGATGCGACTCGCGCCCAGTAGAGGTGATTGCATAAACACCCTCCGCAACGGGAGTCACGGGTGGAGTGTGACTTATCCCAGCAGTCTTGGTTGCATAATCCAAGCCTGCCATGAACGATTCTTTGAGGTCGCTGAAGGATACTTTGGCTTTTTCGACAAAGGCCGTGAATCTGTCCTTGCTGCTCAGAGGTAAGACCTTTTTGGGCAGCGCCAGAAGGCGACAATTTCCCTGGTCACCGATGGGGCCGTCTCCAAGTTTCGCGTCAAGCGGAATGGGACGCATGACCATGTAGGTGCGGGCAACGTCTCTGACATCTTGAGGATCATCCACGTTGACCCTGGCGCGGAAGAAGAAGTAGATGACGCCTTTCTCGAGGATGCTGGACGGAGGGTCGGCTTCACGAGCGTCAGGCACAACGGCGTCACCGTTGGTCCCGGGTACTTTTGCATCCGCTTTTGGCTGCGTGACTTCCGTATGGGTACCATTAGCCTGAGGCTGCTCCCCATCTTCAACCTTGTCCATCGGTGGTTCCTCTGGGGCCGAACGGGGCTCGTCTCCCCCGGCTTCGCGGGCGGCTGGTTCATTGACAGTGTTAGTCATCTTGGCTTCGTCTTGCGCTGTGGGCTTCTTCTCCTCCTGCTGCTGCTTAGACTCGGTGGCGTTGCCATTGACCTGTGGTGCCTGAAACTCTTCTGACTTTTCCTGGGCCTGTTCTGCCTTGTTGGTAGGATCATGGGTAGGATCTTGTCCGCTGGGCGTTGGTTCAAGCTTTGCTCGCTCTGTTTGCTCTGAGCCGCCACTGATTCCTATGCGTCAGCCCAATGCCAGCGAGGCCAAATCGCCAAAGTGGCCCTTACTTTTGCGTTGTCTTCCCTCGGGTCTCCTGCTTAGGTTCAGCATCTTTCTTGCCGCGTTTCGCCCTTGGAGAGGAACCGGCAGTGTCTTTCTTCCGCTTCTTCCCAGCGGGTGATGGCTTGGGTTGGGGCGGAGAGGAGTTCTGCGACTGAGCCGCAATACGAGCGGAGTGGCGTCTTCCTGTCATGGTGGCGTAGATTCAATGAATACAAGCTGATGGCAAAGGCTTGGCTAATGGCAATAAGGTGCCTGATGGAAGAATTGAAGATGCGGAGGGAAAGTCGATGTCCATCGATTGGGGGGGGGGGGCCGCAGAATGCGCATACTTGAGGTCGTTGAAGCTCGTTTTCGCCGCCTTTAGGTGCAGCTAAAGTTTACTCCACAGCTCTTCCTGCTGTGTGAGTCGGAATGATGTAAGATCGGAATGGAACACGAACTGGACGAATTGGTGTACGAAGGAACAAGAAGCGATGCTAGTCAGGTACCAAGAAAGCTGCATTATGATTTGCCTGCAGTGAGAAAAAATCCCCGCTGGGTTCCCCTCCCCCCGCTCTCTATCCTGGAACAGCTGCAAAAGTACCCTATTGCCTGGAAGAGACCATGAGTATATCCAGCAACTTGGACATTCATCCAATGTCCATAACATCGAGCTCTCCATCCCCCGGTGCAGGGGTGGATCTGGCATCTGGGGTCTCTGAGTCTGACGCTTCAATCGTGGCCTCCCGATCATCAGTCTTATCTGAGCTGTCAGACCAGGCTTCTAGGGCCTGCTTTTTAATAACCCGGGGCGCCATGCTCTGCTTGCTGCTCTTGTGCTTGCGTCGCTTGGGTGCTGGCTGATCAGTTGGACCATCCACCAATTCAGACACCTCAATCTCTGGGCTCCTAGTCAGCGGACTAAGATCCTCGTCATCCATCTCTCTCGACCGACGCTTTCGCCCACGGTCACTGTCATCTCGGTGTGCTAGGGGGATGATTTGGGGATCACAGGACAATCTTCTTAGTCTGCCCGCAAGCTCGTCATCTGTGTCGGGCCATAACCGCCCCAGGGCTTTGTCATCCTCGAAATCGGACTCTGCATCTTCGTATTGATCAGGGCGAAGAACCTCGACGTCTCCATCATATCCCATATCATCCGGTGACATCTCCTCGATACACAGTTCGTCGCTTGATTCACGTCGAGGTCGCTTGCCTTTCCTCGGCTTTTGTGTCCCCATCGGGAAGAAAAGGCCGCCCCAGGAGGGGACTCCCTTTTTCTGAGAAGTGTCCCTTAGGACGAGGAAGCCGTCTGCAGTCTTCTTTAGCGTGCTGGCTGCTGCCTCATTTGCGGCGAGGATGAATTGCAGCCGATTAGTTCAGCGCGCAATATCACATCCACAAGCCATTGATCCTTTTTGGTCCGGTTGACTTGAGGGGCTGGTTCTTCGACTTCTGGGTGACTGTGATGCTGCCCGATTAGGATTCATTCCACTCTGCACGACATACATGGGTGACCACGGATGTTAGAACTTGGGTCGCCACGAACAATATCTGACATCGGTTGGTCGGAATATTGAAAGATGATGACGATAGAGTACGGAAAAAGCTGGAACTTGGTTGACGAATTAATAAAGCGCACCCAAATTGTTATTTCATTGGCTGAACATGATGGCACGTGAAAAATGATATCACGTGCACTCAATGCTCCTATAGAATCGTGGAGCCAGGGGACCTCGGCTTTCCCCAGCACCGAGAAAAGGTCTTAACATCGAGCAACCGTCGTGTCCCATTTTTGAAGCTCATTCCCTCGACAAAAGATGGCATTACCCAGGGGGTTGTCGTGTACACACAAAGGACCTTTCAGCTTTCGAGCTTGAGAGGTAGCACCTCCTCCCTGCTTTCCCCTTCTTCACTTCATTTGGACCTCAGCAATTTTCCGACCCACGGCATCGAACCGCCTGGACAAAAGCAGAGCAAGCTGCCCCGGTTGACAGTTCTAACGCATGTTCGTGATAATCCTCTCTTACTTTTCCCCGTTCCCCTCGGACTCCTAGTTTTGGAATACTTATAGGGAACGAAGTACGGGCCAATTCCAACCGTTACATGTGTGGCCAATTCAAAGAATGACGTTCTTGGGGCTGTTTACAAGCGCTTGTCCATGGTATCTTTCAGCAATGGCAGGGCAAGGTGTGAAACAATCCAGTCAGAGGCATGAATCCCATTTGAACTCCTCGAATATCGATGAAGGAAGCCTGGACAGTAGCCCGAATTACAAATACATGGGAAAGCAATTAATAAGAACTAAAATGAGAGTTGAAGATCCTTTCGACGACGGAGAACCTCGTACAACCCCATGATGCGTTGATTGGTTGGTATCATATCACATTTTACCCTTTCAGGCTCTCGGAGTGCTCGCGTTTCATGCCATGTACGCCCGAGATTTCAACCGCCCGAAGGCCTCGCGCTCTCGTACACGCCGCAAACTCATCCATCTACTTCCCTAAGTACGTTCGCTGCTATTCGTACCGCGAGCACCCGCCCTGAACCGATTGAAGCACGCAACGCACTCCCAGTCACGACCGAAGGTCACTGAATCGACCACTAACCCAGACTCGTGAGCAACACTTTAATGGTACAGGTGGGGGTGGGGAGTGTGGTTCTAAAATGTTAACGCAGGGGATCTGCTGTGGTATCAAAATCTGAACCATGTTGGTATCAATCTCCCAAATCTGCCAATCTCGACCGGCAACCCTAGCCTTGCTTGATCAGCGACCCTTTGTTCGATAGGAAATCTGGGAGGATATCTACTAAAGTACGTTTGCCTTTCCTTTGATCGTTGTGTTTTCAGCAGAATTCCTGTCGCCAACACATGTCATCTCCACGATGGACACAATGTATCCCAACGCTCACAAACCCTTCGGTAGTTCCTCCGGAGGCAACGCTTAACCTTCGGAACCCTGCCGACGAACGAAAGAATACTCAAGCAACAGATTCGCCTAACTCCTGTATCATGGATAAGCCAATGAATAGCGATGTCGAAAAGGATGTCGACGCAGAGCTGCCTTCGGACCGAAAAGGTCTTCGACAGATTGAGAAGCAAATGGAACCCGGCAATGGATCATCCGCTGTGCCCGTTTCCTCGCCTCAACCCGTCAATCCCATGGACCCCTCGCAATTCCCAGAAGGAGGAATAAAAGCATGGACCGTTGTCTTTGGGGCAGCATGCGGCATTGTCGTGAGTTTCGGCTGGATCAACTGTCAGTTATCTGCCTCTCCTCCCCCTCCACCCTCGTGCCGGAAAGCGAACATCCCTTCTGACATGAATATTTCGAAACAGGCATCGGCGTCTTTCAAGAATACTACGAATCACACCAACTGAAAAACTACTCGTCGCAAGAAGTAGCTTGGATACCCAGTTTAGAAGCCTTTATGATGTTTGCCGGTGGTATTTGGGTCGGGAGAGCATACGGTACGGCTCCATCCATTCTCCCCAGCCTCCCTTTCCTCATCCCCTTATCCCTATGATCATCACCCATCGTCGGTGGGCCATTCGTGTCAGAACTGGAGCCGACGACGACAAACTAGACAACTACGGCCCGCGCTATATTCTCCTTCTGGGCACATTTTTCCACGCGTTCGGCCTGATGATGGCCTCTATCTCAAAAGAATACTACCAATTTCTCCTCTCGCAAGGTGTATGCTCCTCGCTCGGTGCATCGATGATCTTCTACCCGTCCATGTCCGCCGTGATAACGTGGTTCTTCCGCCGCCGTTCCCTCGCTCTCGGCATCGCAGCCACAGGCTCTTCGATCGGCGGTGTCATTTTCCCCATCATGGTCGAAAGGCTGATTCCAGAAGTCGGCTTCGGCTGGACCATGCGGATCTGCGCCTTCTTGATCTTGGGTCTCATGATCATCGCCAACATGACTATTGTCAGCCGCATCCCTCCTAAGCCCAAACCTGTGCGACCAAGGGACTTTTTGGTGCCGTTCAAGGAAACGCCATTCGCTTTGTTGGCGTTTGGAAGCTTCCTTACATTTCTTGGTAAGTCTTCGGCCCTGCCTCTCTCCTCCACACTATAGGAAACCATGCTAACATCGATGTTGACTCTGACTTAGGTCTCTTCCTCCCGTTTACATTTATCATCCTCACAGCCCGTGCCCGAGGTGTCCCCGACTCCCTCGCCCAATACCTGGTCTCCATCCTCAATGCAGGGAGCACCTTCGGCCGTACCATTCCCCCTTTCCTCGCCGACCGCTGCGGCCGTTTCACCGTCTATCTATCCATGTCCCTCTTGACTTCACTGATAACGCTATGCCTCTGGCTGCCCTCATCCGGCACAAGCGCGACCATCGTTTTCGCCCTAATATTCGGCTTCAGCTCCGGCGCCGTCGTGAGCATCTTGCCCGCATGTATCGCGCAGATCTCGCACATCCATCAAATTGGTGTACGGACGGGTGTGCTCTTCAGCGTCGTTGCCGTTGCTGTCCTCATCGGTTCCCCTATCGGTGGCCAACTGATTTCCAACGATGGATTCAGGAGCATGCAGGGCTTTAGTGGTGGGATGTTGATGGCGGGCTTTTGTGTCTATGTCGTGCTGTGGATGAGGTTGGGCGGGTTGAAGGGGAAGAAAATCTGAGGGCGTTCTCCCCCTTTTCATCTCACTACTTGACGGTCAGAGGACTTTGGTAGGATGTCATTCATTCTTTATCAACACGTCGAATGGCAATAGGCTTGTTGGTTGGGGGGAGGAAGGAAGAGAGAGTGGGATGGGAGGGGTCTACTCGCTGGAACACAGATTTATGAGAAGGAAAATGGCATGTTGACGGAATGAGAATGGGGATCCATTTATGGATAGATTAGAATGGAAGAGCACCATTCAACAGTGATGAAGCCAGTGAATATATCATATTGGACTTCGTTGCCATTCATATCGCCGATGAACCTTTTCTGGGACCATGGCGGGAGAGATTTAGTTCCCAAAGCCGAAAGACCGTGGTATAGTTCACGACCTCGCTCAACGAACATCAAGCTGGTCTCGGAACGTTTAACCGCCCGGCTTTCAGTCCTATGTCTTCCAACCCATCACGACATGTCGAGCCCAGCCAGCATCTTGACATGATTGAGACAAACCGTCTCATCTAATTGTCCTCTTCCTCGTCCACGAGGAACTCGACAAACGGGTCTAACTCGACCCATTTGAACAATGGGCCCCATTTCAGGCGGAACTCCCTTTTTTTATACAAGCTGCTGGTATTCAGTTTGAAGCTGACGAGTTCCACGGACCAGCCCTTCTCGAGAGCCCGTTCCACCATTTTGAGAAACCCACCCGAGTACTCGGCCTCCGCGGCATCACCAGTCGCGAGGACGATCGTACTCGGTTTTTCGGCGTCGACAAGCGACTCGAGTATCTTCAGGTGTAGAATTTCGTCTACAGCCTGCTCGACCCACTTCTCCGCTCCTGGATTGGAGAGATTCGTGTTCGTTTCAGACCCACTTGTCTCCCCTGAGGAGCGGTACTTCTTTTGGCGTGGCGTCAGCCCTTTGGCTTTGTGCACACGTTCGAGAATGTTGGTTTCGTAGCCAATCGACTTGGCCTGCTGGATCGCGGCGTATTTGTCGGATCCCACTAGGACTCGTTTGGCTGCTGGTCGACCTCGTTCCAGGACGAGGGAGAAATTGTGAAATGAAAGTGGGACACGCTTGAGGCGTGTTTCGCGGGACAAGCCATGGACTAGTTTCAAGCAGTCATGGAACCCGATGGAAATGTTGGATATGTCGACGAAGACATGAATGCCAATGTTGGATATGTTCAAGGGAGTAAATGCGGGTTCTAGAAGGGCCGAGTTCTTCAAATATCTCTTCTCTTCTTGATGTTGGCGCATTAATTCGGCGATGAGGGCTAGTTTTCTCTGTCGCGGAGATAGACCATCACGGGGAGTAATGACTGTGCGTTTCGACGGGGACGGAACACCTGGACTAGTCCAGAGAAACGGATTTGATAGGGACCAATCCCGTTTCGGGTTTCTTTCCTCAGCCTTGGGCGGTGATGGGGAAGTCGGGGGAGAAGTGTTCTCGCGAGGAACGGGTCTAGGTCGACCAAGAATGTCGTCGATTATAGCTCTTCGGTCTGGTGATCGACGAAGGGATTCGAGTTCCTCAGCAGATTCAAGGTCTGTCGTATCGGATAAGGGCTTTCGCTGTGCGGAAAGCTGGAGCGCTCTTTCCTTCGCTCTGGCTCTCCTTGCAGTACGCTTTTGGTTGCGAATGTATGAGGCACCGAGTTTGTTGGGTGGGACATTGTCCTCTAGATCTGCACCATCCACCTCATCTTTCCATCGTACGCCTTTGTCAAGCTGATTTATGTCAAGCTCGGCGACAGGCTCATCGTTGACTTTGTATTTGACCAATTCCATAGCCGGCTTCTCATCGGCATGCTGAGGACGACCAAGGAAGTCCCAGAGGGCGGAAAAATCCCCCAGTGAATGGATCTTGTGTTTGTCAATTGCATTCTCGTCGGGAGGCGAAATCAGCCCTGGTGCCGAGGCAGGATCATATTGCTTGAGGGAAAGAGTATTGAGGAGCTTGATGGCAGAGTCCAGGTCCCATGACAGGGGGTCTTCGTCGTCAGGCATATGAGAGCGGGAGAGAGACGTGCTCTCGAGTAGATTCGGGTGTGGCGGTTAGAGAGGAGTGGTTTTGTTCGGGAGAAAAGGGTGTGGGTGGAGGCCTTTCATGTCTTTGATATAGGCGTAACTGTGGAAGAGGAATGTGAGCGAGTCAGTAGGGGGAGGAGAGTGAGGGTATAGCTGGTTCTCGCGGGTGGCTGTGTTTGGCGCTGAGGAATGTCAGTTGGACTCACGGGATGCCTTGGCCCGAAGCAAATGACTCCCTCCCGCCGCACCGGGAATGGTCGCAGGAACACAAGCATCCAGATCGACGCTAGCCGGTATTCCGTGTTAAGATAGAGCCGCTCGTGGATGTCAACAAATGAGGGTGACTTGAGGGGCGCTGTACTGGCGCATTGCATCTCGAATGTTAGTTGTTACACTAGTTTGAGCCGATACGAGGCATCATGGTGGAACAATTACAATCCAAACTTAAGACGGGCCCGGATCTGGTGGTGGGAAGTACGAGAGTGGCCCTGCCGACCCGCCCAATTCAACAGCAGATTTCCTCGCAACCTCTCTTATTTGTCCGGAATCCTCTATCCCCAATCTTCATGCTATACCCACCACTGCTTTGGCCGACAATCAAGTGCTCTTTCCATACTTTGGACCTGAGAAACTCCAGCAGCTTCGTCTGAGGCCTCCAGACAGCAGCGTGAGATGCTTTGACAGATGACTGCGGGAGAGGGATCAATTGAAAATGCATGACTCTACCAACCAAGTCTGTCAACAAGAAGCCAACGCTTCCCGCATGTGAGAGGTCTTCGAAAGAGGTAGTACTTTGCATATCTTAACACTTTATCCCGACGGATGTCAGACAGCGTCTTTGTTCATTCAGCCCCTGAAGAGCTGACCATTCCGCACAATCAGATAGAGACGTGTGAGAGCGTCAAATGAATTGACGAGGGTGTCCTTGGGTCGTTCACACGCCGAATTCATACATGTCGAGCCGAATCTGCTTCTTCCTCGACCGCAACATTCCCAGAATGCCATGGCTAGTTTCCATTCAAACCCCGGTCTTGTGCACCTTCTATCCCTTTCCTGTTCGTCAGCACGATTCACCCAAGTTTGCCGAGGTTCTTCGAGGGCCACATTCTGCTCATCACACTCCATTCCCTGCGTGGCAGCCTCGGGTCTCCCTGGGCCTCGTCTCTCGGGCACAGCCTTACTCTTGGAATACACCTTCCCACTGTTGTCCTCGCCACAAAAGTCATACACTCCGTCATCATGCCCACTCTCGGTGCCCGGATGCTCAATGGCAAGTTGGCGTTCTGGATGTCCGACGAGGTCAGTATGCCCTGTCATGCTCTCTGATAATTCCTTAATCAATCCAAAACTGGGGTTGGGTGACTTTTCGGAGCGTCAACACTACTCCTTCTCGCGAGGAAGCGAACGGCACGAGGATGGCGAAGATGAAAATGAGGCAGAGAAGGAGCAGCCAGCGAAGAGGCGCAAGACCGAACGAATTGTAAAAATACACATTTCCGGGCATAAACGAACTCTTCCAGGGGGTGAACATTTGGCTTTCCCAATGTCACTTGGTCAAAGAGGCCAGAATGTCAAGATTTGGATTGTACTCCTTGAAGGGGCCATAGCACCCCCTCTCTATCTCAGCCTCATGACGTTGCCTAGTTGGTCTTGACGCCGAGCTTGAGGAGCATCTATGAGGTACAGATGGTAGAACATGAACATAGGATCTACAACAACGGGTATCCCAGTTAATGCCATGCCCAATACGACAGTCTGTTGACCTTCTTGATCTTACATGGGTAGAGATGTGGTTGAACTAGACCAATCCAAAGACTGAGATGCTTCTTGGGCAAAAAGGTTGGAGGCGTCCTCCGGATATGGTAGCAAAATCACCAGAACCGTCCAATCGGCGGTGTATGGCCGTCAACCAATAATCATCAAACGACCAACGACTAACCGACCAACTTCCCTTGCCATCCCCGTTCCCCTCTCTTCGTCTTCCCTTTGTGCGGAACCGAATCTCAGAGGACTGCGTCAACCCTGTCCCCTACGAGAAGCTAACAGCATTCTCGGGAACCTCTCTGTATCGTCGCTTCTTCTCCGCCCCCATGCCCCTCTGAGCAATGATGGGACCCCGGTTGGCAATTTCCTCGCTTAAACCTCACCACACTCCGCACTGGAGGAGTTTTTCGGTTGATAATGAATGAGATGCGGGGGCGAGCACGGCAATGGCCTATGTAAAAGCCCCCCTTCTCAAAATCCAGTTTCCGTGTCCAGGGATTCCCTCTACTGAGCATTGAATATTCCCTGCTTCCAAGACTTTGAAAAGACCCTTATCTCCTGCTAACCATGGCCGGTATTCAAGGACAACTCGACCGCGGCGCCGTACCCAACCACATCTTAAATGTCTGTCCGAAAGGAACCAAGTTTCATGTCCTCGAGGTCGGCTGGTTGGAATGTGATGAAGCATTCGTGACACGTGGTGGAAACGTGAGCTTGAAGAGTACGGAGAACAAGTCCTTCGTGAACAAGCGCAGAGAGTTGCCCATGTATTGCATCTTGGTCGAGCATCCTCATGAAGGCCTGATTTTGTGGGAAACCGGCTGTGGGAAGGACTATCCAGAGATCTGGGGCCCTGTTCTTTCAGATATCTTTGCTCGCGTGCGTTATGAGCCTAGGCACGAGTTGAAAGCAGCGGTCGAGGCGACTGGAAACAAGTTGGAAGATATCAAGAAGATTATTATTGGTCATCTTCATCTCGATCATGCGGGCGGATTGGACATGTTTCTAGATCGGAAAGACGTCGAGATTTGGGTCCACGATCGAGAATTGAGAGCTGCTTTCTGGTCTGTTGCAACTGGGGCAGATGTGGGTGTGTATCTGGAGCATTATCTCAAATTGAGCTTGTAAGTTGTCTGGACGAAGGAGTAATGTCCTAGGCTAACATTGAACGGTAACTGGAAAACCTTCGATGACCAAACATTCGATTTCTGCCAAGGCATAACTCTGCATCACCTGCCCGGCCACACCGACGGTAAGTATACGACGACATTTTTCATATCCAACAAGATCTGACCCGGTCCAGGATTGATCGGGATGCAAATCAACATGCCCGATAGTGGTACATTCCTTTTCATAAGTGACCACTGCCACGTCATTGAAAATGTAAGGATCTCCCATTTCGTTGCTGGCTTCAGAATTTGACATATGCTGTCAGTGGCGTGATGGTATTCCACAAGGCTGGCTTGCAAGAGATCATCCAGCATGGTTCCGAAGCACCCAACGATTGAAGCAATTGGAGAGGACCACTAGAGGTCAAGTGATTCCCGGCCATGATAAGGAAACATTTGAGAAGTTGATTGCCAATGGCAGTACCTACACCTGAGAGGAATTTGCCGGAGGGAGCATAGTCGTTCATATCGAAGCTCCTATTTGGCACGTTGGGTCTCCTCCGGGACACGTAGTATTGGTAGCTGTTTGTATCACGTCGGAATTGACCCCTAAACACGAAGATCCTCGGATCGCATTGTTAGGCCAGGCACCATGGATGCGCATCGGCCCAAACCAAATGAGCATTTTCAGAAGGATTCTCACAAAAAGATCATCTGGTGAGACCCAGCAACTCCGCTTATCGTGCTGAACCTTCAGCCGGTTGGAGAGCCCTGATCTGCCATGGACCACTGACTAGACGTGAGGGCTGATTCAACCAGTTCGGGGGATTCTTCAGACGACCCCCCTGTGGCGAATTCGGTTGTCTCCTTTTCATCGACGGAGAAACCCACCGACTTTCCTGGTTTGCTGTTTTGCTTCTTCTCGACAATAACGTCACCATTCCACGGCCGACACTGGTAAATGATTTCACCACATCGTAAACAAGACCACCCTCCGCCCTCCTCAGTCTCGATCTTGGTAGTTATGCACACAAAGCAGTAAATGCATCCGCACGGGATGGTTTCATAAGGGTTGACGATATCCGTGGTAGCCGAACCAATGACACCTCCCCCCGCGCTGGTATTGGCTCCGAGTATTTCGGCTTCAGACGTCGAGCCTGGGTTCTGATCTTGATAACATATCGCGCACGTCCTCTCTGGCAAGAAAGAAAGGGGCCCGCTTTTGATGTCGTCGTCACTACCGCCACCAGAATCAGATCTCATCGCCTCTTTCGTTTTCTTCCACGCTCTCGTCAGCCACCGACGCCACCGACTGATGCCAACTAGCGGAAGAAGAAACAATAGAAACTCAGTGAAGGCATGCCAAACAAGTTGACGATTGAGATACTCAAATGAGACCTCTCGGCTGACTTGATTGGAAGGGGAGACAAGCCTCAAACTGAGAAGGCGGTCTGTGAGAGTCCGATAGCGACCATTGATGAGGAAGACCAGGAAAGAGCAAAACGCCGCAATAGAATGGGCGGTTGAGAGGAACGAGGTGAATCGCATCAATCTTTGGACTGTATGAGAAGGAGCAGTATATCCCCGCTCTTGATCAACAAGCCAGTCCTCCCATTTATCCCAACCATACCGCCCGAAAATTGTAATCAATCCGTACAGACCTTTTTGCCATTTGGTGGGCCTGGGTAATGCGAGACTCGGTTTGCGGCCGTCGATATACCGGAGATTCTGGAGAGAGGCACCGTATGAGGCGTCGTTGTCCCACATAGAAAGTTTGAATAGGATCGCTCTAAGAACGAGCAGGATTTCTTGTGACCAGTCATCCTGGAGATGGGGACCCCAGTACTTCAAGGCATCTCCAACCTGTGTTTTCAAGAGGCCCAGTAATTCTTCGTCTAGGAGTTCCGCGTCGACCTGGCCGACTCGAAATGCTGGCCTCGTTCCTTCAGACTCCAACAATGCCGACCATAGCGAGGACAATTCGGGGCGCAATGACCGGGTGAGTCGCGTCAGAGAAGACCGTCCATTCGTGATCTCGGGCTGCCGATGGGCAGCGCGAGCTTCTTGTTGCCTGGCAGTTTGCCGTGCTAAGATTCGCTCTTGAGCAGCGGCAAAGCTGCTGGATGACATGGTCAATTCATGGGAAGAGAGGCCACTGGAGGAAGAGGGGGTTTCTTGGGAAGGTTATCTATGTCGAAATTGTGAGAAAAGTCCCAGCGCAGCCGAGGTCGGTCCCAGAGTCTAGAAGAAATGCCGGGGAGGATAACGTGTGAGGCGTCTGACGATGAGGATATTGTAGCAAAGAGCGATGAAAATTGGTACAATGGCTTTTTGTCAGACCTTTAGTGGCGTTTGGTTTCTCTATTCGGCTCGGTCTCCACGCTGTTTTAAAACCAGACTACGCAAAAACTTAGGCGGTCTTTTGGCCACTAATGCACGCCTCTACAGGATCCAATCAGACTGGCCCTCCAGTTTTTGTTTCACCATCAGCCTGTTGGGTCTCAATTTTGAAGATATATTCGTTTGATAGCCTCACCTTTTCTCCTTCTCTCATTCACCCGGGCTTCTTCAAATATCATGGTCGGACAGCACACGTAATCTCCGTTGGAACAGTGATGCCCTCTTTCACCATCGAAGCAGAGGGCGAAACCAACCCTCTAAGTCGGACTGCTGTCATTTCCACCCTCACAAATGCTTCCCATCCTACCGCCCAATCTCTCAAAGTAGCCACCCAGCAGATCGGAAATTGGGAGAAGACACCGGGCTATTACGCTCTTCTCCAAGACGTCTACGCAGATCTGTCTTTGAGTCATGAGGTGCGCTTCCAGGCCATCATTCAACTGAAAAATGGCATCGACAAATATTGGCGCAAAACCTCATTGAATGCCATCGACAAGAGTGAAAAAGAACGCATCCGATCAAAATCCATCGAAGCCGGTCTCCGCGAACCGGTCTCCGCTCTCGCCCTTCAGAATGCCTTGATGCTCGCAAAAATTGTGCGCTACGAGTTCCCTCATGATTGGCCCGAAGTTATCACAGTGATCATTCATCATCTGCGTGCTGCGAGTCATGATCTGAACGCAAGTCTGTACACTTCCAACATCTTGACCATGACCCTACAAGTCATAAAGGAGCTAGCTTCTGGAAGGCTCCAGCGGACGAAAAAGAGCCTACAACAGGTCTCATTGGAACTTCTTCGGGTGCTTGGCAGCCTTTACATCAGTTTGGTCGCCAGGTGGCAACAAGGGGGAACGCAGTCTGATCTGGCCGGTGCTGTCAACAGTCATTCGGCGCTGAAGACTCTAAGACGGCTTCTTGTTGTGGGATTTGAGAGCCCACATCGTGAACAAGACGTCTCCCAGTTCTGGATTCTTTTGCAAGACCACCAGCAGAATTTCTGGAACGCGTACAATCAAAGCCCGCCCGCGGGTTTTCACAACATGCTTATGAAGCATCTTCTACAACTGTCCAAGCTTTATCTGGACATGGCCCGCAATCACCCGGCCTCGTTTGTCCTTCTAGGCTGCACAGACATATTGAATCGATCGTGGAATATCATCAGTCGAAGTGATGCCAAAACGGCCCTACAAAGCAATTTTGACTGGGCTGTTTATCGGAATGGAGACAGCACGGATGAATCACCGATCGAAAAGCTTTCACTGAAAGCATTGCTGCTGTTTCGAGCTTGTCTGAAGATGGCTTTCAACCCGGTACAAACATTCAGGTATCAAACGCCACAAGACAAGGCGGACAGGAAGAACGCTGTTGATTTTGTCAAAAACACGGTCCTAACAGAAGGCTTTGTCATTCAGCTCATGGAGATCCTGGTGACACAATATTTCGTCCTTCGACCTTCCGACTTGAGAGATTGGGAGCAAGAACCCGACGAATGGGAAAGACGTGAAGAAGAAATCGCAGATGCATGGGAATTTTCAATCCGTTCGTGTTCTGAAAAATTGTTCCTTGACCTCGTCATCAACTTCAAAGAGCTTCTCGTACCCCGCCTGCTTCAGGTCTTTCAACAATATGGTACGACCGATAGTAACAATGTTCTGCTGAAAGACAGTCTCTACTCCGCCATTGGCATTGCCGCAGCTTGCTTGGAAGACATTCTCGACTTCAATACCTTTGTACGTACAACGCTTGTGCCGGAGGTACAGATGAATCGGCCCAACTACAATCTCCTTCGGCGACGAACGGCAATTTTGCTTGGCCAGTGGGTTCCAATCAAACCAGAATCTCTCGACCGAGTTGCCGTCTATCAGATCTTCACGCATCTTCTAGCGAATCGCGATCAACTCAACGACCATGTTGTTCGAGTCACGGCAGGTCGCCAATTGCGTCTAGTTCTGGAACCATTCGAATTCAAGTTCGCTGACTTCCAGCCATATGCCACCCCATTGCTCGAGAGTCTTATGTCTCTCATTGCCGAGACCGAGCTGTCTGAAACAAAGATGGCACTCCTTGAAACGGTCCGAGTGGCAGTAACCAAACTCGAGGGTCATATTGAGCCATACGCACAAGGAATCATGTCCATGCTCCCGCCTCTGTGGACAGAATCCGGTGAAGAACATTTGATGAAGCAAGCCATACTGACCATGATTACTGCAATCGTCAACAGCCTTGGCCAGAAGAGTTTATCCTACCATGGTGCCGTCCTGTCCATCATTCATGATTCCGTCCAGCCAGAATCCGAGGCCATTGTCTATCTCCTTGAAGAAGCGCTCGATCTCTGGGCGGCGATTCTGCAACAAACACCAAAGGATGGAGCCTCAGCAGATCTCCTTTCCTTATCTCAATCTCTCCTCCCTCTGCTCGACATGGGTAGCGAGCTTCTTCGCCAAATGTTCGACATTGTCGAATCATACACTATCCTCTCACCCACAACAGTTCTATCCCCTCAATTCCTGACCCCGTTCCTCCAGAAAATGAAAGACCTGTTGCCAATGCTTACGTCGACCCGTACACGAGATGGAACCCTCGCACCGCACGTTCTCGAGAACGTCGTCTCCACAATCTCCATCGAATCCTACTCAGAACTCAACCCCCAGCAGGCCCTCACTCACTTACTTGAATCCATGCTCAGCACCGGCTATCTCGCATCAATTCTAGAACTCCTTAAAGAAGCCCACGAATACCATCAGGACCCCCGTCCAAACCGCAGACCGCCTGAAATAATCAGTCCGGGAGAAGCATGTCTCTTCACACTCCTTTCGCGTGTCGTCCTCTTATCTCCCGATCAATTCGTTCAAGCCATCGCCGCCACGAATATCACATCCACATCGCCCTCAACCTCTGCTGCAGGATCTCCCACGTCCTCGCCCCCGACTCAGTGGCTACTGACCGAATGGCTCCACTCAATCGACAGCATCGGTGACATCCTGCGCAAGAAGCTCCAAATCCTCGCACTGACGAACCTTCTCACCGCCACAACCCCACCCTTCCCACAACTCATGTTCGAAAATTTGCAGTCTCTCCTGACGATCTGGACCGACGTCGCCGTGGAGCTGGGTCAAGAAGCCTCCGATGAAAGCGAGGGTGACTACCTCTGGCATAACAGGCCGGGCGAAGTGCCGGAGTGGCCGGACGCGACGCCCGAAGACGCCCGGAAACGCGCCGTCAGCAACGCCGACCCCATCTACACGATTAACATCCGCGATTTCATTGCCACGAGGCTCCGTCACGCGATGGACCGTGCAGGGGGACCCGCCGCGTTCGAGCAGGAATGGCTGACCAGAATCGATTCAGCCGTGCTCAAGGCTTTCGTGGATTTGAAGGTACTTTGATGTGATGACTATAGTATGATACCGAACGGGAACGCTTTGGGTTTCTCCTTCCATTTCGTTTTGCAGGGATCACGTACGTCGTCTGACATGGGACGAGGGGGAATGGATGCTCGGGAGATATGATTTTCATAGTCATTGTCGTGCAGGTTTGGCTTGATCAAAAGGCCAACCGCGGCATTAATAAGATACGACCCCATGACATCAGCATTAGCATAGCAGGACGCAAGCGAAAAGAGAAGAGGTGCATAAAAGATTGTTAATTAGTTCGGTGATTATGATCTTGTTCGCATTAGGATGATTCTATCGACATGCTCCTCATAGTCGGCGTCTTCTTCAAGCCAACGTGGTAGCGCATGAACAACGTATCGATGAAGTGATCATGCTTGATGCCCGGCGGCTTTGCACGGGCGAACGCGTCAACCGCATCCTGCGGCCGATACGCCATGCGCTCAATCAAATAGCAAGCAATAAAGAAGCCGGTGCGATTGAAACCGTAATGGCAGTGGACACCGATGGCTTTGTTGGCGTGGCCTTTTTCACGGCGCAGACGGTCGACAAGAGCGATGAAATCGGCGACCTCGACGAGGGTTGGTGGCACTTTGCTCACAGTCGGGAATTTGTGGTATTCAACCCCACCCCGCTCGAGGGCTTGGGGGTCGTAGACGGGGCTGTCGTGCGAGATGTCGATGATGGCGAAGATCTTGTCGCGCCAGTTGCGAAGGAAGATCGAAGGAGAGTGTTCTTCGTCCTGTTCCCGGAGTGTCTTCATCGCGCGGAAGATGCCAGACGGCCCGATGGGCGCGGAAACGGGTAACACTTTTTTCCATTTCTCGAGGTTCTTCACATCCCATTTGCCGCTGGTCGTGAGTTGTTGGAGTTGCCAACCTAGCGATAGCTGGGGGGAGACGTATCGAGATAGAAAGTCTTCGATTAGGCCGGCGACTGTTCGGTATGTGCAGTGATCATACATGAGGGCGTGGGCTGCCGGGGCTGGGAGAATGGCTGTTTTGGTGGTGTTAGAGTTATGGCTAGACAATTCGTTCGTGGAGGGACGAATGCCGAATTTGCGTTCATCAGACATTGCATTAGCCTCGGAGGTGTCGAAGTCGGTTGTTTCGTTGGGAGAAGCATCGGCTATTGGAAAGGGTGCGTCTGATGGCGCCCCGCTAGCCATCTTCTCTGCTGGTGGTTGTAGGAATGAGACGATCTTTGCGACCTCTTTCGGTTTTGTGACTGTATCTGATTCTCCTGCAATAAGGAAAAGAGGCACTCTGATTTTTTCCCATGTAGTCTTTCCCGGCAAACCGCCGTGCAGTTCTCCAGAAGCATCATATCGTGGCAGGCATCCAATCGCCGATCTCTTCCAGACAGGGGTCTTGAAGTTTTTATTGAATGCCAGTTGTAGGCGTCGGAGATCTATCCCTGCGGCCTTACCGGCCATTCTTTCGACGCTCTTGGAATTGACTCCCCCTCGCCTATCCAATGCTCGTAAAAGATCGAGCACGGCATCCGGGAGTGATAGAAATCGTCTGGCCGAAGCTGCTTCACTTGGTGAAGGCGCTGTAGCTCGAGGGCATATGTCAACCATTCCTCTAATATCCAAGGGGAATGCTGGGTTCGTTGTTAATATGGCTGCAATTGAGCATCCCATGCTATGTGCCACAAAGGCCACTTTCTTGTGTCCTTTCTCGGCGCAAACATCCTCAACAGCAGTCTGCCACAGATCTGAGAAGGCCTCGATTGTATAGGCCTGGTAATCCTTGGGTGAAAAGGCGGACATGCCATGGCCCGGGAGTTCAATGCCGAAACATGGTGCGACGTTGATCAGACTGCCTAGGAGAGGGCCAAACTGTGGTAAAGATCCTCCCAAACCGTGGATGAATACCAATAATGGCAGATCTGCAATGGCTTGAAGCTTCTCTGCATGAGCATGAGGGTGATAAAATGTTCTTATCGAAGGGTATACAGCATGCTTGGTTTGGTATGAGCGTATGTTTGAATGATTCTTCAGTACGGGATGATCGATCTCTGAAGACTCCTCTTCGCTCCGTGATTCTGGAGGCGAAGAGAAATACGAATGCGTGAAATACAAAACACCGGCTCCCAGTAATACGCCGATAACGACCGGTGTAGGAGATATGAGTCGGCCCATGACCCAAAACCAGGAAAGATCGAAAGCTTAGGAGAGAGGAGGCCGAAGCGAGGAGAAGAGAAACGCCGGAGATTGATATTCAAGCATTGTGAATCGGAAAAGCTGTCCAAGCCAAGTATGGAGGGCTCCAACGCAATATGTAGACGTCAGACTAAGAAAATAACGGAATTGGGGAATTTATAGTCAAGAGGGACAAGATGTTTGTTCGTTGGCGCGCGCAGCTTGTGGTGGGCACGAGCTCAAGTTGTTGGGTGAGGAGGAATGATGACTAGCGGTTGGACGGTAATGCGCATAAAAGGGCAAGTGTTTGCCCTGCCTCTGCAGACATTCTGATAGATTGCCGATGTTTTTCCAAGAAATCAACGGTCGAAAGAAACGGAAATCAGACCCGGAGAAATGATATTATAATATCGAGATACAGCCTGGTGGTCGAAAAATATTCACGAGGGGAACCGCAACCTACTGGGAAGCCGGATTCCGGAGGATCAATTATCCCGGCCAACGCCCTTCGGCGACGTACACGAACTGCGGATGTCGTTGCCCTTCTATTTTCACCACAGCTGAGCCCGTTCTCGAGTCGTTCTTGTATCGCATTAACTCTTCCATCCACACTTCTCTCTAGGCTGTCCCACCGATGTTGGTGCTCTTCCACAGCCTATGCACCCAAGATGGAGAAGTCTGACTCTCCACTGCTCTACCCGGCGTCTCTGTTGTACACTTCTTCCATTTGTCATTCAGCATTACCGCTCTTTTCCCTCACGCGAATTCCATTCTGGTGCGTCACGATGGCAAGACGGCCGTGTTCCACTTCGCAAGAAACTGAAAGATGCTGCAAAGGCCGCAAAAACGGCTTCAGAAGCTCCAAGTCCTAGGAGCGCGGATATTCTAGACGACTGGGAACTGACGGTTGGCATCGAAATCCATGCCCAGCTCAATGCCCCCAGAAAGCTCTTCTCATGTAATACTTATCCCTTTATTTCGACATCTAAGCTGACAGCATCCAGCCGCCGTTACGGCTCCAAGCACCGAGCCGAATTCTCAGGTCTCTGCCTTTGATATTGCCTTGCCGGGCAGTCAGCCGGTTTTTCAACGCGCCGTCGTTCTGCCCGCACTTCGCGCGGCATTGGCTTTAGGATGTACCATAGAACAAATCAGTCACTTCGATCGAAAACATTACTTCTATCACGATCAACCCGCTGGATATCAAATTACTCAATACTACCATCCTTTCGCCAGAAATGGAGCAATTGTGCTCAATGAAAATGATGGACTTGAACAAGGTCGAACAGTCACGGTGGGGATCAAACAGGTGCAATTGGAACAAGACACGGCTCGAACTCAGGAGCAGGACAGCACTACCGTGTTGATGGACTTTAACCGTTGTGGTCAAGCCTTGATTGAGATCATTTCACTACCAAATCTACATTCTCCACGAGATGCTGCGGCCTATGTTCGAAAAGTCCAGGCAATCTTGTATGCGGTCGATGCTGTCACCACGGGAATGGAACAAGGTGGTCTCCGGGCAGATGTGAACGTTTCTGTTCGTCGTCGAGGCGAGGCCGGGGGAGGTTCCGCTTACGGTGGCGTGACTGGGCTGGGTCAACGGACCGAAATCAAGAACCTCAGTACGTTCAAGGGGATTGAAGATGCAATCAGGGCAGAAAGAGATCGCCAAATCAAGGTTCTTGAGAGTGGTGGAACGGTAGAGGGAGAGACTCGCGGATGGTCCCTCACAATGCCCAGTGAGACTCGAAGACTTCGAGGCAAAGAGGGCGAAGTCGATTACAGATATATGCCGGATCCGGACATTGCGCCACTCCACATTGACTTGGGTTTGGTCGAGTGGGTCAAGACGAGATTACCGCCTACCCCGGATGAACTGATCAATATGTTGGAAATGCAATACGGGGTTTCGACCGCCGACGCGAGAACGTTGACATCCCTTGATGACGGCGACCGGCTGATATATTTTCAAGAAGTTGTTGACGAATTGATAAGTCTCAGTATACAAACCGGCACACCCAGCGACTTTGGACAAATTGCTGCAAACTGGGTCTTGCATGAGTTGGGAGCTCTATTCGCCACTGACGAGAGTTCCTGGTCCAATTGGCTTGTTTCTTCACGAGCATTGGCCGATCTTATCTACCGATTACGAGCGAATGAGATCACTGGCGCCTCTGCCAAACATATACTCAAACTTTTATACCACGGCGACAAGCGAAAACTAGCCGAGATTATTAGAGAAGAGGATCTGAGTTATTCGGAGATGACCTCGGACGTTTACGAGGCAATTGCGAAGGAGATCATCGAGAAATTCCCTCAACATGTCAAAGATATTGTGGAGAAAGGGAAGGTCGGAAAGATTCAATTCCTGATGGGACAAATGATGAGACATGAACGGAAAAGCGATATGCGAGCTCCAGAAGCGGAGAAAGCACTTCATCGATTGTTACTTGGGAACGAATGACAACGGATCATGCCCATTCTCTGGTGTTATTTTCCTGTTGAACGCAAAGGGCATTCTTCTTCCGAGAAGGCCTCATCCATGGGCTCCATGAACAGAACCACATTTCGACACTAAATGCATCTCACGTACCCGGTTTGTCAGCAAATCCCTCCGCGTCCCCGTCTGACTCGACAATTGATTGCTCCGACCTCGAAGCAAGAGTCTCCATGGACACCATACTTGGATCTCGAGATTACAGTATTTTTCGAGACGTTATCTCGAGATGATCTGTCGACACCACCGAGTCAGTTTTGAGTCGCCAATATTAAGTTCAACCCATTTTCTGGGCACCCCGCAGGACAGATGCAGGACGGCATTTACAGTTGGTCACACTAATGCATATGACATGTCGATCGATCACCGATGGAGATTGATGATGGCCTCAGTTTGGTTGCCCAACCATTCTATAGTTGGCTAACCTCGATTATGGAAGCACTCACCAGCCTCCGCTTTCCAATATACCCTCGGTTCATTGCAATGTACCACCTGTCGTACCACGGCTGCCGACGATGTAAAACTTATGACAAGGCAGAGTTATATCTCCTTTGATGTCATTCGATCTTCTCCTTCGGCGGCGTTTTCTACCTTCGTCTGTTTCATCATGTCTTCACCTTATCTGCTCCTTGCCGTCGCCTTGACTGGTGTGGCCTCACATCTATTCTTCTTTAAAATCGGTGAACGCCATCTCTATCCATTACGCTATGTTCAAGCCTTTTTGTTGGGGTGTACTATTACCATCGTCGCCAAATCTCACTATGGCCGCACACCCACCAGGGACGCCATGGCTTTCACAGCCAAATATGCCACCCTGTACCTTGCGGGACTCTACACCAGCCTCATCATTTACCGACTCTTTTTCAACCCGCTGAACCAAATTCCTGGACCGTTCTGGATGCGCCTGTCAAGGTTCGACTTTGTCCTGCGCGTCGCTGCGAAGATGAACAGTCACCATACCCTTCTCGCGTTGCACCAGAAATATGGGCCCTTTGTACGCATTGGACCCAACGATATCTCGGTCACGCACCCGGACGGTGTCGAAGTCATTTCGGGCATCAAGTCCAAATGTTCCAAGGCCCAATGGTACTCACAGGATGTGCCGCTGATTTCAATGCACACGTGTCGAGATCGTGCGCAACATGATCGTCGAAGAAGGATCTGGAGCCCAGCATTCAGTGACAAGGCCCTGCGTGGCTATGAGTCTCGTGTCCGACGGTATAACGAGTTGTTGATTGAGAAGTTGGATGAGTCCAATGGTACGTATAAAATATATCAAATGTGTCCTGTCTTCTATCTCCTATCTTCTATCTGCCGTCGCGCCTGTATTCCGATCTGCGTTTTCTTGCCCGACCCAAAAAAAAGGAAAATCAAAAATCAAAAATCACCTCCGTCAGCTCACTTTGATACTTGTGTATGTAGGCCAACCCCTCGACATGTCCAAATGGTTCAATCTGTACTCCTTCGACGTGATGGGTGACCTCGGCTTCGGCACATCCTTCCACATGCTCGAATCCGGCGAACTGCACTGGGCCATTCGCCTGCTCAATTTAGGCATGGACCCCATGGGCTTCTGCTTACCTCCCTGGGTTTTCCGCCTCATGACAGCCATTCCTGGCCTGGCTGCAGGATACTGGAAATTCATCGGGTATTGTTCCGATCAACTCGATGCCCGTATGAAAGTCCAGGTTCAGCACAAAGCAAACACCGATCAGGACCGAGATATCACATATACGCTGATTGAACATTACAACGCATCGACGCCGGAAGCGCAAAATACTCAGCTCCCCATGTTACAAGGCGATAGTCGACTGATTATCGTGGCGGGGAGCGATACGACGGCCGCGACGCTGGTGCATTTGTTCTACCATCTCGCGACGGAGAAGGGATTGATGGGGCGTCTGAGAGAGGAACTGGACATGTTGCTAAAGGACAGCAATGATGGCGAGATTGAGCATCAGAAAATCCAGGACGCACTGCTGTTGAATGGTGTTATCAACGAGACGTTGCGTCTTCATCCGCCGGTTCCCAGTGGGGTGTTTAGAAAGACGCCGCCTGAGGGTGTCGAGATCGCGGGCACCTATATACCAGGATTTACGGTCATTCAGATGCCGCAGTATGTGATGGCGAGAGGTGAGTCTGCCTTCCTTCCCCCCCCCCCCCCCAACTTTTCTCTATTACATATATCTCTCTGTCTTTTTAGTTGTTTCCATCTTCCATGCCCACTCAACCACCCCTTTCCCCTTTCCTATCTACAGGCTTAACTACCTACCTAATCAACTCATTACTTTGTATTGATTAATTTACTTCGTTCTTAGATCCCACAATCTACGCCGACCCCCAGACCTTCATCCCTGAACGCTTCGGCTCTCGCTCCTCCGAACTCATGTTCCACCGCGACGCGTTTGCGCCTTTCTCCACCGGCCCATACGCCTGTATTGGCAAGAACTTGGCGTACATGGAAATCCGACTCCTCACGGCTCAGTTGGTGAGACGGTTCGATGTGAGTCTTGCGCCAGGGGAGACAGGCCAAAAATTGTTAGGAGAGAGTAAGGATCATTTCACGATGGGGTTGGGGGAGTGTTTTATGACTTTCACCCGCCGGGAGGCTGGCAAGGAGCAGGTCAGGGCATGAGCGTGAGATCGAGATTCAATGAGCATAAACAGAAACAGAGGCAGAGACAGAAATAAATTGACTCGGTTCAGTTTGTTAACTTGGGGGAAAAGGGAGAGAGGATGAGGAGTGTTGCAACCGCCACATATCACTGAGCGAAGCACCAGCAAGTAGCAATGAGAAGGAAAATGTTGGGTGAAGGTCAGGCTTTCATTGATCTGTTTGCCTCTTGTCCTTTTTCAGTATTTGAGGTGCAGGAGTCTGGGACGGCTCTCCCCCGGAACTGAAATGTAAAGTGAGCAGTTGACTAGTAAGAAATCCCAGGCACGAACAGAAAGGAATTGCATAGTTCAGGGAAAGAAATTCCTCAAAGATGAATGTGGATACAGGGTTAGCACCACCACCATATCTACTGTAGTTCTGTGATGCGCTAAACCGGACTGGCAAGGAGACCCTGCTTAGCTCCTTAGCCAGCCTTCTCACTTCTGTTACCCTTTTGAATCTTTTCGTGCTCATGATATTCTTCTGGATCTCGTTGGTTCTTGTCTTTCATTACCTGGAAAAAAAAAGAAATAAAAATTCGTATATCCACTTCAGGTTTCACCCTTCGTGCTGATCTGACCTGGCCATTTACAGCAAGGTATCTCCCAAGGCGCAACGAACCAGAGAAACGCCGGCCCTGACGGTTTCAGAAGCTCCCGCAACTTCAAGATTCGGGTTGACTTCGACCAAATCCATGGCGACCAATTGACCAGTCTCATGAACACATTCGGCTATATAGTCACCTTCTCTCAGAGTCAAGCCCCCTCTAACGGGTGTCCCGGTGCTAGGTGCCCACATGGGATCTAGGGCATCGACATCGAAGCTGAGATGGATGGGTGTATCTGTTCCGATATGAGCGAGAGCCATTTCCACAACACGTCCAATCCCATGTCGGTCGATGTCATGCATGCTGAAAGCTCGAATGCCGTGGTCTCGGAGAATCTTCTTCTCACCCTTGTCGACGTCTCGTAAACCAATATAGACAAGTTTTCGCGTGCTGATTTTCTGGTCATCTTGCAGCCAGCCGAAGATGTCCTTTTGGTCGGAAGTGGCTAGTCCCGTGGCAAAAGCGGCAGGCATGCCATGAATGTTGCCCGACTCGGACGTTTCCGGGGTATTGATGTCAGCATGGGCATCAACCCAGATAACAGCCATTTCTCGCCCACTGTATCTCTCACGGATGGCTTTGGCGGTCCCGGCAATGGTTCCGATGGCAATGCTATGATCTCCGCCCAAAGTGAGCACCATTCTCCCTTGTCTGGCCTGCTCATAAATTTGTGATGCCAATATCTCGGTGACGGCGGAGACTGACCGCGGGTTCTTCATGCCCCTATGTGGTTCGTCGGACGCAGATCTCATCTCGTTGAAGTTGTGAACCTCGCGGTCTCCATGGAGCTTGTAACCCAACTCATCACTGATTTGATCCAGTAGGCCTGCGCTTACCAGAGCTGTGGGAGCGGCATCGACTCCTTCTTTACATTGACCACCAGAGAAACCGACCAGGACGAGTCCCAGGTCGGACGGAGCAGACAGAAACTTCTGACGAATGGTGGAAGGAGAGGTCATGTCGTACTTAGAATCACCGTTCGCGTGGCCGTTGGTGGAAGGGGAGGACTTTTCGGGGGCGGTATGATGCATTGTCATAGATCCTGCGATCCGGAGGAGGGGCCTGTCCGAGATAGGAGATTGAGATAGATCAAAGGAACCGATCAACTCCAGGAGGAGGAGCCAGGGAACGAGGACAAAGAACAGAGGGAACGGAGTCTAAGTGAAAGGGATAGGCCCACCCAGCAAGCAATTAGAATGTTCGGTCAGCGCAGAAGGAGAAATGAGACGCAGAAATGTACACGCCTTTGACACCGGATCCAAAATATTTAAGAGAGAGCGTGTGGAAGAGAAAGGAGAGTCAGTCAAGGAGAATGTTTTTTGAAGACAAAATTGCAGACAAGTAATTTCTACCACGCCGCTGTCTGTTTCCCCTCTCACTCCTCCGCCACCGGAGGGAGCTGGAACGTTCACCCCCTGGTAAAGATGACGGATGCCAACCCGTGGATGGCAACTGGATGCAGTGGATGGCTTCCTCGGATCTCTACTAGTCTGCATGGTCTGACCCCTAAGTGCAGGATTACCCGCACGTGTGGGACGCCGCACTACGAGGCTAGGTTGTTAAGCGACAAAAACTCCCTTCCTTATCATTCTCCTTTCCCCTAAGTACAGTTGTTGTCGAGCCCAGCATATTCAATTGCTAACAGAAACAATCAACAGGTTGAAGGGCGTGGGAATGCAGATTCTACTTTTGACACATGATGCATCACATGGCCCATTCCACGGCGAAATTAATCTCGGTTCGAACAAATCGAAGAGGTGGTTGATGTGTATACCTGCATATCTCTCCTCAAAACATAGCGCCGTGCTTCTCTGGAGAGCGGGAAATAAAGCCACCCAAAAAAAAAAATAATTTTCATTTTTGCCCCCCATCTATTCTCTTGATTCCATTTACATTTCCTGTGATATCTTTAAATGTGTCTTTGCTGCGGCGATTTGTCGACAAAGCCGGTCATATATGTGCTGATTGACAAAGTACAGTGGCGCATTCTCCAATTTTTCAGCCACTTGGGAGAGAAGATGAGAATGAGATTGTGACTTTGGCGTGCTATCAATCCTGTCCTAGAAATTTCTTCAGGGTATGCTCAAGCTTCGATAATGCAAGTGGTTTGGGAAGAAATGCGTCTGTTCCTGCCGCCATACAAAGTGCTTGTGCCTCTGGACCGACAACCGCCGTGACCATAATGATTGGCAATCGTCGTGACAGTGGAGCTAGCAGTTCCATTTCTCGAATTTGCTTCGTGGCCATAATACCATCTTTGCGTGGCATAGATTGATCCATCAAAACCAGGTCGATCCCCTGACCATATTGCACAATCTTGTCGATGGCATCTTGTCCATCGTCGGCCACAACCACATTATACCCGAGCGTTTCCAACATCTTCACTCCAAGTCTCTGATTGATTTTGTTGTCTTCTACCAAAAGGACGGTAGACCCACTCGGCACCGGAGTCTCCTCAACTGGACTTTGCTCCGAATTGTCCAGGAAGTCCACTACAGGAGCAAATCTCACCGATCGATCAACAGCTGACTTGCCAGATTCAGCGGCTGAGACAATGCTATCAACCATCCGATGCCAAAGGAATGGTCTCCTGATCGGAATAATGTGTGGGAGTGGAATGGTCCCGAATGCTTTTTCCAACAGTACTTGAGAGTCGCAAGTGACTAGTACCACTTGGTCTTGGAGCTGAAGTAGCCGTCGGAGGAGGGTTGGATGTGCTTTCAGAAACAGGAGATCCGTCCAAATATACTCCCAGGCGTCGGAAATTTCGCCGGTCGGGTCGGCCAGAATCACCTGGAACCCAAAAGCATTCCAGGCCATCTGAAGTCCTTCCAAAAATCGACTATTGCATGTTTGAAAAACCGCTATCCGACGATTGGGTCCAAGAGAACCCAACGTCGGCGCTGCATCAGTGGAAGTAGAGACAGGAATCGTGACTGTAAAAGTACTACCGCAATTCTCAGGACCCACATCGGCCTTCTGTTGACATTTGCTTTCCACAGAAATTGTTCCTTGCATCTTTTGAAGCAATTGTCTAATGATGGCCAATCCAAGACCGGTTCCCCTTTCGGCTCCTCTGGTCTGCGCTTGTTTGAAGGGTTCAAATAGATGGGGGAGAAATGATTCCGGAATCCCAAACCCCGAATCTTTGACAGTGATGGACAAAGCTTGGTCTCTGAATTCGACAAGAAGAATGACGTAGCCAGATTGGGTAAATTTCATGGCATTAGTGAGCAGGTTCATCAAGATTCGTTGCAGATAAGTCTCGTCGATGAAGAGCGATGCCGGTACCTGTGGAGCGACCACTATCATCAATTCGGTTGTCACTTGATCATCCCTGCTCGGTAGAATATTGACAATCGATTCGCAGACTTTTCGAAGGTCGAGACTTGTGGGCCGGCATACGGCCTCTCCCTTTTCCAAACGTGACCAATCAAGGACGTTCGCCGTGATCATGGAAAGAGATCTGGTTGCTTGCTGTATCGCCAGAAGTAGCAAACGACTTTCATCATTCAACTGCGTCCGCGATAATAAATCGCTATATCCTTGCAGTTGATGGAGCGGGGTGCGAATTTCATGAGATGCTGATGCAATGAATTCACTCCGTGCGGCAGCTGCCGCCTCTGCATTTTCCTTTTGCGCAATGGCCGCCCACAACTTTCTTTTCGTTTGTACAATTTCTGCCAACTTGTTTCGGGCCACGGTGGCAGAATGCGCCAGGAGTCCATTAGCAAGAATGCAGGTCACGATAGCAATGCTGGTGACAGCGACGGCCAAGTTGGGAGGATATCCACGATCTTGTGTTGGATCTGCCCGAGACCAAAACGTCGTGGCCCACATGCCGGTGAAATGCATTCCAGCCACTCCTCCAGCGGCGACAACGGAGAAGAGAAGTTGTTGGGCGAGATTCACCTCGATTTGAGGGATGAGGATACAGCCAAGTGTACAGACCAGCCAACTAATCAACGCCGAAACGAGGACAATGAATGGTTGTAGAGTAAAGTGACCTTCTGGTATCTTCAATGCAACAATCCCGACATAGTGCATTGTGCTGATCGCAAGAGACCATACCCAACCCTTGGCAAAGTTCCTGATGTGGGCGCCACTGTAAAGGAGTTCAGCAATGCCCGTGATGGCATTCGTGGCCGTTGAGGTGGTGGTCTTTGGGAATCGGAAGCTCATGAAACCAGGGAGGCCCATACTGCTGCCGTCCGAGTTCAATTGTGCAGACGACCGACGTGATCCATCCCCGTCGTTGGAATTCCTAGGGAAACTCTCCGTATCGGAGAAGGAATCGTCTTCAGTGACTGATTCACTCCGCGCAAAGGATGACCGAGTACCAGACTCTCCTCTGGCAGCACTGACGTCTCGTGGAACGAAATGGTCTTCTAGAGGGCCGAGGGTAACACTGTCATGTCGACCAATTCGTCGATAGTGGCGATCTCGTCGTGTCCCGTTCGTATTCTCCGGCAGAGTGATATGATCCCTCTCTTCTAAGGTTTCCGGCCCCAGAAGGACATCCATGCTTCCATGATCGTCTTGATCCGGCAGAGAATAATTTCCCGCAGCCTGCCTCCTGGCTTCTTTGGCTTCTTGTTTGGATCTGAGTTTCTTTTTCTTCACCAGCCGTAGATATCGATGGCGCAGAAGATCTGAAATCAATGCTGCAAAGGTGAATGAAACCGCCAGGACCGCACTCAGAATGGTCAACGGAACATCCAATCCAATGCGCAAATCCAGTCCACAAGCCAGCATGGCTATGAAGTGAAGACTCCAAATGGAGCAGAAGCCAAAGGTTAAGCTCCCAAGGATTGTCCACACCAAGACACCAGACAAGTATCGTGAGGTCCGCGCTTGACACATCATCTGGGTCGAGGTAAAAGCACCCAGCAGAGAAACGGCTATGGACGCAGCGATCAATCCACGGTCCCAATGAGGCTCGAGCCGGCGAAACACCGGTTCTGTGAGGTCTTGACCCGGCATTGTATTCTGCTCGGTCTCTTGAGGCCGCAGTCACATAGACGAACCGTCAGCGAGTAGATCTTCTGTTCCGACGGTTTGGTATCCTCAATGGCCTCAACATGGTGGCACGTCCTCGTGCTTATGTATATCCCTCTCTTGTGCCCACCCTCCACCGCTGACGGCCTAGGTCGCGTCGTCCTGGAAATATGATGTAGAGGTCGACCGTGGTGACGGAGCAGATTGGGGCATGTAAACAGGGAGGGGGGGAAGGCGACGTTGAAATATGAGGAGCAAGTTCGGTTTGACGCCTGGGAAAGACAAAAAAAAGAAGGACCTATGCAGGAGGAGGGTGGCAGTTCGTGTAGACTGAATCTCGAATACAAGTTTATTAACAGAAAAGGCGACAGATCAATAAGGGCAAATGAGGGACTCCAAGGAGTTGATGCCAGGCACCTCTAGGCACTGAATTTATGGGTTGGTGGACCCCCTTGGCTTCGCTGGACTAACTTGAAGAGGAAGCTTAGCAGCCACTTGGATTTGGCCAAGGCGCACCACTTGAATAGCATCCGATGTTGCGGGGGGGAATTTGCCGGGCGAAAGGCTAGGGCTCCTGTGGCATTTTAGTAGTACACAGGGATCTGGATTATTAAACGAGTTCAGCGAAGGCAGACATGGAAACGCCCGAGATCCCTCTACATGACGCTGGATCGACATCTTTTCCGATTTGTACGACTTGACCTGTTGCCAACAATAGTGATTAACTCGATATTGAGACATCTGATTGGCTGATGTGAGAAGCTCACTGGATGCCCTAACTGCAGGTAGTCGGGAGAGTGCTTGTACGAGTTATAATGTATCCGGTACATTTATTTGTGGACATTGCTACGCAATGGAGGAAGTTCTTGGTACTGGGACATCAAGCCGTGCCCCTAGATATATAGGAGAGCCCCTCGCGCTCAGATTCTTCCGAGCAATAGGCGCCCGTCCTAAACATCTCCAACCAACCATATCATCTCACTCTTACCACTCCAAGATGATCCAAGCAGCGCCAACTAGTGAGATTATTGGACCCTACGCTCTGAATGGCGGTTAACTGCTCACTTGATTCTGCTCCTTATATAAGTATCGTCGTCGCTTCCGCGCGTTGCGAGTCCTCCAAGACTTCAGACAATCTCAATGATCTGACTACCAAGTATTTTCATCTAATATTGCCCCGTCCGCTGTTGAACAACGGCTCACGTCGATCTTCCGCTGGATTCTGCGTTCGATTCGGTCCTTGTTCCTTTGCTGTGTTGCATTTCTGTGTCGATCCACGTCTTCAATTGTCTGTAATCCTGCCTCCTCGTCATGTCTTTTCCTCCTCCGAGTTCAGGGCAACCACAGGGAGGGTACTATCCTCGTATGCTTTCTCCCAGCATTGTAATAATTGAAGCGATGGCTAATAAACCATTTCAGCGCCTCCAGATAGTGGTCAAGGTATGACAGAAAATAGAACACAGAACGCCAATCCATACTGATGAACCCAGCCTTTCCTCCTCCGCCTTCTCAGCCATCATTCCCTCCCCCTCCATCAGGCGCTTCTCCACCTCCAACACATGCAGCCCAGACACCATCACCTCCTCCACTTCAACAACCGACTGCCCAAAGACCATACAACCATGGCACTGCTGTTCCGGCCTCCGCTCCAGCTTATAAAACTACCTTTGACCATGCAGCGATTCACAACCGTCAGCCTTCTTATAATGGGCCGAGTGCTACTCAGCAAACTGAACAAACAGTCACTTCTCCGCGATTGCAGAAATTGACTAAAGAGATGGGTAATATGATGAGGGCACCAACAGGACCACAGATGCCCGGAGTTCCGGAAGGAGGACAATTTGTAGGTGTACAGTCCACGGCTTCAGACGACGTGGGAACATTTAATGGAGGCTCCTACCGGATATCCCACCGCGATTCCAACTCTATCCTCACCATTCAACTGGCCATGGGGTGCCCTATCACTGCCAAACCAGGAGTCATGATCGCCATGTCTCCATCCGTGATGTTGAAGGGAGCTGTCAAGTTTAGCATGAAGAAATTGCTGATTGGAGGCGAGATGGCTCATTCGACATTCACCGGTCCAGGAGAATTGCTGCTCGCTCCGGGCACTTTGGGTGACATCTCAATCCTGCGACTTGGAGGCAATGATACCTGGAGTGTAGGACGAGATGCTTTTCTTGCATGCACACAGGGCGTTATCAAAGAGTACAAAAATCAAGGAATCAGCAAGGCCATGTTTTCAGGTGAGGGTCTGTTTGTGTACAAGATGTCTGGAACCGGGATCCTGTGGATGTCCACATTTGGAGCAATCCTGAGAAAGGATGTAAGTTTGACTTGCCCCAGTGAAAGCTATCGGAGACTGTTAGGCTAACCACGAACTCGCCTTGTCTAGCTCGTCGAAGGTGAGAAATACATTATTGACAACGGCCATCTTGTGGCGTGGAACTGCAAATACATCCTCGAGCGAGTGGCTAGCGGCGGTATCATCTCCGGAATCAGTAGCAACGAAGGTCTGGTCTGCAAATTTACTGGCCCTGGAACCGTGTACATGCAGACCAGAAATGCCACCGCTTTCTCGGCCTTTTTGAGCGGAAACGCACACCGCGAGGTATAAAAACCGGAGTCAAAAGTAATATCCGCATCATGGGCACTGGGGGACATTTTTCCGCTGGTATGGGAATATGTCCCTACGTTATTTTGAAACGGCTGCATTGGGTCATCTCCTGGCATGTTTGCGATTTTACGAGGATCTTCGAATGAATATGCTAATTTGGGGAATCTTTAATTTTCAAATTTTTCTTTTCAATTTCTATTTCTTTTCATTCGCGCATGCCGTAAACATCCGGAACCTGTGCTGTCCTATTCCCTTGGCCTCGATTTGTATTTAAAACCACGAGCGTGCGAGATTATTTTCCTTGATGAATGCTTCCATTCTCAATCTCATTCAATCATTCATTCCATGCCCCCTCATCTCAAACCCAAATTCTAACCATTAAGTCTCTTGCGCTTGCCAACCTGGGCGGTAAATCCAGATTTGATGGCTGTGACCGACCTTCTCGAGCCACAGGAGTTGCAGGTGACGAAATATAGACGATTTTCACCCTTGGACAGTTCGGTGTTGGGTGAGCGGCAGGTCTTGCATGTAACGTATTCGACAATGTACCGACGCAGGACATTCTCAATCTGTTTCTGTTGGAATCGACCCTTGATGACGAGGCGCTTGCTGCCGTCGACGGAACCCGAGGTGCCCAATTCGGCAAACAAAAACTGCGTGACGTGCTCGTCGTTTCGGTTCATGCGCTTGCAGATCTCGGCGATATTGGCGAATATCGTCTTCTTGTTGCCTTCTCGCAGGCATTGTGGCGGCGGGATCTTGTACGACTTGCTGCCCGAAGACAGAATGTCGGGGTTGTGTTCGTTGACGAGCTGGAAGAAGCGTTTGAGGAGAAGATCATACGAGATGGGTGTTGTTGCGTCGTGCGCCCAGATTCCTGTTCCTGCGCCCAAGTCGCCTGTTTGTTCCTGTGGTTCCGTATCCGTCGCGTGCTCGCCACCATCGCCTGGTCCTTCGACGCCTGCGTTGGCCAGTTTCGCGGCAAAGTCTCCGGCGTCTGTCTTGGGCTTTGAGGACTTCTTCTTCTTTTTTTTCAGTGTTGATGCATCGAAGTCGCCGTCTACTGTTGCCACCGGAGCGTCGCCTTCTGCCGCCGTATCTTCGGTCTTGGGTTTTGAGGATTTCTTCTTCTTCTTGTTCAACCCGGCGAACATGTCGGTTATCTCGTCGACAGCTTTGTCTTCAGGAGCTGTGGATGTAGTCAGTACTGATGGCAATTTCGATTTCTTCTGCAGTTCCGTACGTGATGAGTGTTTCTCTGCTGTGACTTTCTCATCTGTGCCGCTGTGAGGGGCTTCTGAAATCTCGCCATTTTCGTCCATAATTGTGTCGTCGCCACTGAAGGCTACAGATTTGCGGGGTCTTCGTTCGACCGGGGGCGATTCCTGGACAATGGAAGTGTCAGTATTATCTCGGAGAGCGTTGGAGGATGAAGTGGTATTTTTCCCGGTGGGGCGAGGTGCATGAGGTTTCAGTTTGAATTCCTCAACTGATGCATGTGGATGTGGGGGGTGTATGACGTGGCTTACAACTTCAGCCATAGTTTATGGTATTTGCGCAATGTATATAGTTGGGAGAAAGAGTTCGGAATGCGTGATACTGTCTTGTAGTCTGCGTCTTCGAATGCTGAAGTCAGATGGAGAATGTTCAGGAAATGTGTGACGGAATCGATCCATCATATATGAGTCAAAGTGGTGACGCTCGTCACGTGAACAAACGTTTGCCAATACCCTGTCTGACAAAGCAGCTTGTGACATTTGGCCCAGGATTTTAGCTGCAGCTGGCCTTCAGCTTCCTGTCCGACAAAAACAGCATTAAAACTCCCCAGATTCGTTGCCTTCGACAATTCGCGTCTACATGTTCACAAACTGGTAGTGGAATAGGAGTTTCTCAATGGTATAAGTCGCAGTACTTCTCTCGGTGGCCTGTCGCTAGCTGAGAGCGAGCCTACCGCAACAACGACGATGACCGATACCGATGGTGCAGCTTCTTTCATCGAACCTCCTTCCAACAGCGATGAGAACGATGTTGATTCATTACCCTCAGAACCAGACTCGGACGAAGTCACAGTGAGCGAAGATTATTCCGATTCCGACGCAGAAAGAGAGTGGAAGGAAAGTTTGCAACAGCTAGAACTACTTCTTTCTATGGTGGTAGTCCCATATGTAGGGAAATATTTCGGGAGGAAGTTTGCCTATTGGGGTATGTCCGCAGGTATCTGACGAAGAATTACGAGCTAATAGCGATAGGTTGGAAACAGTTCATGGAGTGGAAATACCCCGCAGAAGTGGTAATTACGAACAAGGCTGCTTTCAAAGGAGTTGGTGCAGTCAAAGCCGCAGCTTCGTTGTAATGGCAGAAGATCGTGTCGGTGTCAAAATGAAAATGCAGACCTACCGACCATCCGCCATGGAGGGCAGCCAACCTTGCTCTCTACTGTATTCCAATGCACAAGAACCCAGTACACATCAGACAGCCGACGTCCCACTCATTAACTTGGACATTGATTGTGTGCTATTGCACCACCCTCCAGTGGAAATCCGAACGCCGCCAAACGCTTTCTTGTTCTTCACTGGTGAACAAAGGAAACGACATGATCTCAGAGATACTTGCTACAACAACTACAGTTGAAAGGACGAGAGCAACAGATTTTCGGGGTGGAATATTGCCGAAAGAAGCCTCCCTGGCTACACTCACAAGAAGGCTAAAGGCTTAGACGAAGAAACTCACCAAAATTGTAACTGAAACGAATAAATGCACCCGTATCGGGTAACTTAAACCTTGGAAGCTATTGGAAGCAGTGCGATACCCCGCGACAAATATCCTTCAAATCCAAAGTCTTCATTCATCCAGCCAAACATTGCTTATCGCTAGGTAATAACTGCTCTTGCGTTGCTGAAAGTGTATCCTGCTCACTCCTCCATTGAACCAACGTGTGCCAATGTAGTATCTCCCCTCAACATGCGTGGTCGATCCAATGCAATTGCCCGACGGGGATGACGGCCAGTGTTTATCCGACTCATCACCTGTGGACTGCAAAACATTCGGTGTTGACGGTATTCTTGCTCAGAGTAGTAAGTCATTCAGCGAACACATGATTTCTGTAGAACGTTACTAAATGACGAAACCTCGGGATCTTGACCCATATGCTCCAGTGCTTTATGATGTTGATGATTGCGAGACTACGTCTCGTCCAAGCATGTTCCATCGACTTCATAAAAAGCCAAAAAAGATTTTGATATTTTTGACACCATCGTTATTCCCCTCAACGAGCTGCTTGATCATTCGAGAAAGCATCACTGCCTCGACGCGATGGGTTGTCATAACTCCTAAGGCTGTGTAGTCGTCCTTGGATTGCAGAATCGCCCTCTGCCCGGGAGGATGATTCTTCTGGGTCTGATACTAATTCACCTCGGCATTCATGCTCATCAATTCCGGTGTAAAAGTGAACAGTGATTTCGGATGGCGCTTTGTTGCTAAGAAACCTACGGGAACAGCTTGTGGGCGTTGCGCATCATGGTCAACGAAACTGCCGATGGAATTGATGCCTGCGATGTTATTGGGTGCCATTTTTGCTTCTAGTCTTTGCGTCTTGTTGACCAGTTTCCAAATGGTCTAAGAAGCTAAGTGACCCGTGTGAGATTTGAAATAGACGTTGGAGGGGGGAAATCTATAGTGTCTCAGCAGGTTCGCTGTTGAATCAAGTTCGCATATTGTGAACGACTAGGGACGAACTATTGTTGTGGTACTGCTTGCACTAGTAGACGAATAGAGTTGATCAAAGCCAACACATCCCCAGAGGCAATGAAAGATATTCACAGGTCGACAGATACGTGGTCGCAAAAGGCCGCCAGAAATGTAAATTATTGAATGTCGTGGAAGGTGTGAAATTTTCTAAATGGTTCGCCGACAACTTTCCCGCTGGCATCAAACCTTACTCCCTCGCTTCGCAGTAGCTCAATTTTCTTGTCCGCATATTTGCCATTCCTTCCCCAGTCGCCGTGAAATCCGCCAATTGTACCGTTCGCTGCCAGAACGCGATGACAAGGTACATCAGGAGCGAAGGGGTTGTTGCGCATTCCGTTCCCCACAGCTCGAGCTGAAGAATCAAGGTAGTCAGACATTGCTGCGTAAGTCGTATATCGACCTCGTGGAACAGACAATAGAGCAGTGTAAAGTTTTTTCCTATATGGAGTAAGCGAAGGATGTGACCGAATGCGATGGAGGATTTGTTTTATATCTTCCGCATTTTCCTGATGCTTTAATTCGCGATCTGAGGAAGGAGTTGAAGGAAATGGTGAGTTTGTTGAATCCTTGTTGGCGCCAAAGTGTAACTGAGATTGTCTTTTCTCTGGCTTTGCCTTTTTGTTTGAAATTTCCTTTGTTTCGCCAACTTGTCTCAAAGACCGCTTATGTCTGCCAATTGATTGGTCTGCTTGTCCGGTTTGCACCTGGGATTCACCCGCTGTTACATCACTGAACATTCCCGCGGTCTTTTCTCTGCATTTTAGGCTGATCTTGTCCAACTGACAAAGGTCAACTTCTCCTGCTTTGATTTGTTCGCCTAAGGCAATGGCTTTCCGTAATTGCTGCTCAGTCATGTTCTTAATTGCCGGCCTTTCTATCACTGCGTCCCATTGTCGCTGACCGTCACCGACTGTATTGTCAAGAATTATTCTAGCAAAGCAGTGGTCTGGAGTTACAGGCCACCTTGATTGAGCGGGATCGCGAATTTTGGCAAGTTGTGGAAGGGTATGCGCGTAGAGCTCAGACCACTGCTTCCGTAGGTCTTCAAGGTTAGACATGGTCGTAGAACAGATTCGCGTAGGACTGCCCCTGTTGTGGATGAATTGGAGAATCAGGGGTTCGTTAGCTCGAGGCTGCGGAGAAAGGAGTCGCAGTGGCAGGTAGGCAAGAAGTTGATGGCCAGGTCACTGGCTCTGTCATCTGTAATTTTTCAGCATATCATACACATGCCGGACACCTGGAACGAGATTCCCACTGCGAAATAATGAAGAACAACTTCTAACTTCAAGTGTTGAAGTCTTCTTAGGACATCCGAGAGACACGTGACGTCATCGGAAATTTCTGCGCATTGGTGCTTCTGCTCCGTTCAAAGACGCGTTCCCTCGCACCAACGCGTCACACCGATTGATTGATGTTCGACGTTCTACATTCTTTCTAGTCCACCATGCACTTTTGATCGTATTATTTCACTGTGATATTCATGTATGGTTCTCGAACTTGACTGAAACTCGGACATACCATGTTTTCGTCTCCTAGGTCCCCTTCCTCGGCGGGATCTCCTCAAAGCACTGCCTCCAACGCCCTGACTCCCAGTCGTAAAATACAGTCCTTGCTCGCTCAATTCGACGAGTCAGATTCTGATACGCCTGCCCACCGCCCCCAAGCTGGCTCTATTGGGCATTCAGAGCAAACCAATCCGGTCCAACCAGCTCGTGCCCGTTCACCAGTTGACGATGGATTAGAAGAGGAGGATCTGCCCGTGGTTCCCCGGTCCAGAATTGCGGCACGGTTACAAGGCCTAAGCACTACATCTAACATCGCTACAGATGAAAAGGATCCGTCTCAGGTGGAAAGTTCTCGACCTAACACAGTTGAGGGTTCGGATGGCAATGGAGATGTTGCTGTGTCAGGCATGAGTAGAAGGCTGCTTACAACACGCAAAAGCAGTCCCATTCGCGATGTAGAAAACGTCCATACGTTCAGGTCGGCTTCTCCATTGTTCATCCCTTCGCCGAGTGCTACACGCCACGAAGCTACTCCAATTCGGATGAGCGACCGTTCAGACTCTGAAGACATTGAAAAGCCATCAGCTGCCAACAACTCGAGATTCCTAGCTCTTGTTGAAAAACACCGAAAGCAGCGCCTAGAGAAAGAAGCCGAGGAAGCCGCGAAGAGGGAGGCGCGAATTGAACGACTCAAGGCCGATGAACGTGGAGCTCGGCAGCAACGAGGTTCAAGTCCCCCTGATGATAACGATGAAGACAGCGACTCGTCCGACGATGAAGGGGCCAAAAAGCTATCGAGGCAAGCTCGACCCACTCGAAAGGCCAGCAAGAAAGCTATAGAAGAAATGAATCGAGAAACTCAACGACTTAGTCGAAACATGCAGCTCGCTCACCAAGCTCGAACGAAGAAGAAAATCACCAAGGACAGTCTGCTAGCTAGATTTAACTTTCCAATCCCTAATTCCACGTCCCAAATAACAGCCGATGGAGAAATTGAGGACCCAACCACAGGTAGCTCAAGAGCTGGTTCAGACACCGAAGCAATGAAGAGCCGTGGCTCTCCTCCAACAAGTCCGATGCAGGAAGATGGACATTCCAATAGCCCCAAGAGCGCCAAGGGCTGTGCAGGCGACATCCTGCACGCCGACCGGGTTGATGCTGTAGTTGGGGCTGCAACGAGTCCTCTCAGGCCTCCGACAATACTCGACAAGGGCAAAGGGAGAGCTCGCTCTGAAGACCCTATTGAACATTCGATACACGGATATCCGATAAAGACGCCCATTTCCCAGGATCTCACCGAGATCCAAGAACCTGCGTTGAGACCATCTACGAAGCCTTTTCGATCGAAATCGTTTTGGGCCAGGGCGATCAAGCCTGGGACCGATGACTCTGATTCGGATCTTGAAGTCATCACTTCCAAGGGCGATATGCGAAAGTATGCTGCCTTCGAACATGTGCCGAAGCGAAAAGCGAAAGAAGCTCCATCACATCTTGCACTGCGATCGCTAGCACATTTGGTTGGTGGCGAAGACCGTAAGCATTCTATGAATGCTGCAGAAATGGAAGCTTCACTGAGAAAGGCGGCTAGAATGCAAGCCCGACGAGAAAGAGAACAAAAAATTCAAGAGCTCAAAGCGAAAGGCGTGATGGTCCAGACAGCGGAAGAACGTGAACGTGAGCAACAAGAAGTTGAAGACTTGCTAGAGAAAGCTCGAAAAGATGCTGCAGAAATCCAGAAACGTGAAAAGGCCCTCGCCAAGAAGGAGGGCAATTACTCTAAAGATGATCTGGATGACGAAGAAAGTGAAGATGATGAAGACTTTGATGAAGACGATGACGGTGAGATTAGCGAGGATTCGGATGGAGATGAGAATTACGAGCACGAAAACGGCGATGGTAACCTGCTCGATAATCAAGCGGATGAGGAAGACTCGGCTGAATCTGAGGCTGTGGAGAACGAGATTAAGGATGCCAGCAAGGAGTTTGATGAAGCCTCAGATCCAGTCCGTGAGACAGATCATGCTCTTGCAAGGAAAAGTCGAACCAATCGCGTGATCAGCGATGACGAGGATGAGGATGTTCAGGATCAAATACTGAAATCCCCCCAACTTCCCGTACCTGCCAAAACGCCTCAGTCTCTGTCTCGTTCGGCGAGAAAGCAGATTCCGGGAATTCAGATGTCAGATGATCTTCCTATCGGCCTCACACAAGCCTTTGCTGCTACAATGGCAGATTATTCTCAGAATCAGGGTGTGGAGAACGTACAAGAGCAGGACAGCCTCACAATGACCATGGATCTTCCATCGCCTAACCTCGCAATGGTACCCAGACTACAGCGCCTCGATTCAATCGATGTGATTACCGACAGTCAACCAGCATCCCAGACGCAGCCGTTGAATATCAACCTGTCCTTCTCGCAATCTCAGAGAGTTCCTCCATCTCCTGCCAGTGGATTGAGAATCAACGCCGCACAATTGACCCCTTCTCAGCCGCAATTTGAACCCACTCAAGACGGGGGTTATGCATTGAGTCCATTTGCCGGGAATCGCTTTGCGACGGAAACTCCCCAACATCCAGGTGCTCATTCCACCATTGACACTGTCGTACTTCCGAACGATACCCAAGACAGTCCCATTGTTCAAAGAAAGGCAAGGCTGAGACGTGGCCACACTATCAACACTGAATCTGAGGAAAACTTACCCGGAGTGGTGGAGGCATCAGCTTTCGATGTTATACGTCATGCCGCAAAGAGGGAGCGCCATGATAAATTCGACAAATCAAAGTCGCATGCGCGAGATGCCGTTGACGAAGCAGCAGAGGAGTCCGAGGATGAATATGCCGGCCTTGGTGGAGCAAGCGACGAAGATGTAAATGAGGAAGAAAATGAGGATGATCGCAAAATGATTGATGAAGATACTCAGGTTGGAGTTGGGGATGAAGCCAGACTTGCAAAGCTATTTGCAGATCGTGAGCGTCAGCAGGATGAAGCGGCTGTTTCCAAATTGTTGAAAGATATCACCACTGGTGCTTTGCGCCGGAAACGCGGCGGCAATGATGTCCTGGACTTGTCAGATGAAGAAGACGCTATTCTCAGAAGAAGAGAAGCCAAAAGACGTGAATTTGCAAAGATGCGTCGAGAATTGCTGAAAGATGAAGCCGTTGGCAAGATTGCAGAGGACAAGAAGAAAGAGGCATTCTTGCGCAGCATTGAGGATCGGCAGCCTAGCGACGATGAAGAAGACTTTGATTTTCCAGAAACCTCGCTTGAAGACGAGTCACAAGAAAAGCCCGATGACGTGGCGCGGCAGTCTGAAGAATCCCAAAATCCACAGTCGATTGCACAGCTGCCGAATGGTGACCAGAGCAAACGCTCGCTTAGGACTGTGGGAGCCTCAAAACTCAACCAAATCAGGCGACCTCATGATCGTAGCGGAGTCAACTTGAATCGAAGACCGGCAACCTTGGCTGAGATTCGAGAATCTGTATCATTCCTCATTGAAGAACCTGATTCGCAGGCAGCGACCATTGACCTTGGACTCTCCGATTCCGATGAGGAACCAGAGGCGTATGTCAACCTTGACCGGCATTTTCAAGCTGCGGAAGCGGATGAAAATGCGGACGAGGGTGACGATCTGGGCGGCTTTATAGTGGATGACGATGGCCGAGCGACTGGTGAAAGCACATTTAAAAAACCAGCAGCACCATTCAGCGAGATTCGCGCACCATTCTCTGAACGACGGACGAAAGACAGACCAAATGTTGTCAACCGGCTGAGCATACTTCGTCAGTCCTCCTCATCTTCGGCTTCTTCAGCCAGCACCAAGATGGCTTTCTATAGCGCGAGCTCCTCGGCAAGCGGTTCGTTTAGCAAGGTCCCAAGTTTACTACGCCAAGCAACGACGAACTCGAGTTTGGGAAGCGTCGCCAATAGGGATGAGAATGTATCTGCAACGGGAGTGGTAACTAACAAAACGGAACGTGGAAAAGCAAGCGAAGAGAAGGAATTTGTAAGGAAGGGAAGTGGTGGTCGCAGAAATGCTGTCAATTATCGACCCACGATGAAAGAAGAGAAAATGAGTCAACGAGCCGGGATCGCAAAGAAGAGCGCGACCAAAAACAAGGGAGTGAGTGGGTTTCTGGGAGGTCTGTTCCGGCAAGACAGTTGGACATGAGCATTATGCCAACCGCAGAGATGACGAGATCATGCAACAATCAATCAATACGATTTCTTCTCATGCTCTCGACGGCATTTGCTTTGAAATACTTTGCATAAATGTACGTCTTTCTCCTGGCCAACATTTTCCCTGTTGAGGTCAGCAAACACACAGATGACTGCTCTTGTGATGCTTTATGTTCAAACCGGGTCCCTTTCTCTTCCCGCTGTCAGCACGTATTCGCACACCAAGTCTTCACACGTTCCTTGATATATTCACACTTTGTCGCGTTCTCCAGCCTGGGAGATAAGCCCCCCAATGCTGGCCCGCAGTTGGAAAGTCTGAAATTTCCCCAATCAGAGCCGTCAAATCCTGACCCAGACTCCAGAACTAGTGTGCAAAATGCAACCAAGTGGAATTACAGTATAAATACGAAAGCGGGCCTTCACACCGGGCCTGTATAAATAATGGCGGCCACGACAGCGGTTCGGTCATCTTTGTTGTGTCATCAGCCTCAATTGCTGCTCATCTGGGAAAAGGCTGAACTGGGCTCAATCCTTAAGAAATGTACTGAACCGCCACGGGGGGCATCCATAGCGCTGCCTTTGTTGCGAGGCAGCTTTTCCAGGATATGATCAGCTTGACGCGGATCGCAACTCCTTCAACTTGGCGTCGATAGCCTTCGTTCTCGCAGCCTCTTTTCCAAAACCAATAATGCACACCTCCATCTCTTTGATCTTCCATTTCGTGGCCCCTTGGAGATCTCCTTTTCTCTCTGCCCACTTTGCCATGCTCCGGTACGTGTTCGCCAAGGGCACACCAACGAGGCACTCCTTGAGCAGCAATCTCTCCAACTTTACCAAAGCATTCAAAGCATCATCCACACCATCATCATTCTTTTCTCCTGCTCCGACGTGGGCCCTGGTCTCCGAATATCGCTTCTCACAGCCCTGCACGACGCGGAGAGCTTTATACATGCCTTTCCTCCTCTCATCGCTTTTGGCCCAGAACTCGTTCTTGGGCTCACAAGCTTCACACTGGCACACGAAACCGTAATGCATCTGCTGTTTCCCCTGCCGCTTGGACGTAACCTCGAACACGGACTTGTCGTAGTTGCTGCACACTTCCTTGCCACGAGACATGTCGCGGATGGCATGAAATTTGATCTCGTCAGTAGCCCCGTCATAGCTGAACTGGACGTTGGGGACACAGCTGTGATTGATCCTGCTCACGATGGCGCCAATCGCCGAACCCCCTTGGCCGTCATTCTTGAAGCCGTCGCAATTATAACAATTGCTATAATAGATCGAGACGACACGAGACATTCGGGATTTCTGGGCATCAAAGAGTTTGAGGTAGGCCTTTTGATCTGCACGAGACAAGGACGAGAACTCGCGTTCGATAGCAGAATAGTCGTTTTCTTTGTCCTTGTCAAGTGATATCAGAGGCTTTTCGGCCAGGATCAGTGTTCCAGCCTTGATTTTGCGGGTGGCGAATACTGCAAGGCCGCGGTCGGGGGTGGAAGACACTTTGAGGAAGTAGTCTTGGGGCTTCAAGTCGGGTTGTGCTTCCAAGTCGATCCGCTCCTCGCTTTCCGGGGTTGTGCCGGCGTTGGATCCGTTGAGGCTTGGGTTCATCCCGGTAATGACGGTGGCAGTTGGGGTTGAAGCCGGACGGTTCAGCAAATGCCCCTTGAATTTGGAGATAATCAGAGCCTTACCCTGATGGGGTCCTGTGGCTGCCAGTTCATGTCTCTTGCTTTTGGCCTTGCCCCTTTCCTTCTTCATGTTCGATAGGAATCGTGCAACAGCGATTTAGGGCAGTATCTTTGGCAAATCGAGAAAGCACGTGTTAAAGAAGTGAAGTATGCGACGCCGGCATATCCATTACATCCATTTTGGCGAGTTGAAAGACAGAAGTCGGATTAGGCGATTCAAGAGGTTGTGCCAGCAGAGGTGAGGGAATTTGAGGAATAAAGATATGTCAGAAGACGAAATAATGGGCGATGTCCTCTTAAAACCGGGGCCCCCTTAAATGACACGAGGCTGCAACCTGATTGGTCCGGAAGGGGCCGCAGTATCAAACCACGCCGAAGTCGCTGAGATTAATTTCTTCTTATCTTCAAGTTTGTTCCTCATTTGCGTTCTCATCAATGAATGTTTATCTCGATCCTCCACCACTTCCATAGCCGTCCAGACATGGGTAGCAGGATTCACGGGCAGTCTATTGCTGACCAAGCGGCCTCGTATTTGTGCTTCAATCCTATTGGTCAAATGGACCCTGTGGTGTGCAGTGGGCGCTTCCCACCATATATTGGGAGACCAAATACCCAAAGTCTCTGCGGACCCTTCTGCTTTTGGGCTCACGATGGCAGGGCTGGCCGATATTATGGATCTCTTCAACCACTTAGCTCCTTTTTGAGAGTTTTCTACACTTTGTATTGTGGGATTTCAATTCACATCACGCATGCATCTTCATTCCCGCCAAAGAATGAATTTCATCTCTGCTCTTTCACTTGGACGTCTCCATTTTCAGCCTTTGCTTTCTCTCAGATAGTGTGCGGCACATGGAATCTCCAGAGTTCGTCTGATATTCCGTAGTTCATGTTGACAATAGTACCGACCCCAAATGTCTAGACGTCGAGACGGGTCAGGTCATCGGCAGGGTTAGTGCATTTTTAGAGATGCCGTGGGCTCCGGGGCCCCTTTGCGGGGACAACACGTCCTGGAATCCGTTCTCGGTCGAATTGAGAGAGGAGGTCAATCAGGGGAAAGTTTTGAGAGAGCGGAGGACCGTTCTCGCCAGCTCGTCAAAACTCATAGCGGGTGTGGCACAGGAACGCCATTATTAGCTCATCTTATGAAACAAGCATAGCGTCATCATGTATGGCGTACGAGAAGCCTAGTATACATATACGTTACGACTGAATAGAATGGGGACTAGGAGTAGTAGTGGGATAGGGTAGTTATGGATAACGAATATCGAAGCAAATTTTCCTCTGGGAAAGCATTTCAAATATCCTCCCCCTTCGCCTAAAGGGAAGTTTTACGTCTGATCCATGCAAGAGAAGAACAGAAAGATTTCAGCTTTCTGGGGATCGCCCTCCATATGATACCCGCATCCCCGCTCAACGCCATCCAACAAGTATAGGAGCCGGGAGGGCCAAAGGGTTGTGCTACGTCGCGGTAGAGAACTCCTCTTACGCGCAGGGTTCGTCGTCACGTGATATCACATGATATCATCATGTGCCCTGGACACAACATGGCGTCAACAACCATTTATCCACCCATGATCTCGCCATCGATGGTGTGTTTTCCAGATTCATTGGCGATCATCGCGTGCTAAGTGGTCGCCTGCCAAGCGCGTATAGCTCCGGGCCCTCCATTTCTTGCCTATTTTTAAGAGCGAATGGGCGTCGTCCTTTGGCTTGGACCTTAGTAATTGAATATTAACGTCGATTGCTATTCACAGACCCCCTTCTACGATAAGACGTATATCTAGAACAATATCACAGGTGTCTTCGGCTTCTCCTCTTCAATTTCAATAATCATTACCAGAGATCTGGCGTTCAGATCCGTCCCCCGCTTACAGCTGGCCCGTGGTCATCTATCCACTGCCAACAACTTGAATCAAAAATCACCCTCCAGGTCAATTCGAGACATGTCTGAGTACGTTTGAACAAATCATCATATTTATCATCGATCCGCTGACGCATCCATTCTCTTCAAGCCTCGCGGATTTGGCATCCAAGCTCTTCAATGCAAACCTGGACTTCCAGCCCAAGATTGTCCCCACTGGGAAACGTGTTCGGGGAATCCTAAATGGCAAATTCATCTTCGATACCACCGAGGCCAAACTTGTCTGGGAGCACAAATACTTCCCGCAATATTGGATCCCCCGATCTGACTTCCTCGACACCGCAACCTTCACAGATAATAAGCCCCTGTCGGGCATCCAGTCTTCCACATCGCAATTGAGCGTGGGCGAAAAATCCGTCCCGACACTCCTTGTTCCGGACTCGTCCAACTCGGACCTCGCGGGCTTAGTGAAGATCGACTTTAAGGCCCTTGACGCCTGGTACGAAGAACAGTCCCAGATTTGCTATCATCCGAAAGACCCATTCCACCGCGTCGATATCCTGCCCACCGGTCGCCACGTGCGCGTTGAAATCGACGGCGTGTGCATCGCTGACACAAGCAAGGAAGGTGGCGTCATGTCCTTGTGGGAAACCGGTTTTCCAGCTCGCTGGTACTTGCCGCGTACTGCTGTGAAATGGGAATACCTGACGCCCAGCGAGACGCATACAGGTTGCCCGTACAAGGGTGAGGCAAGCTACTATAACGCCGTGGTGAATGGGAAGGAGTATAAGGATGTTGTGTGGTGGTATAAGAATCCCATCGTGGAGAGTACATTGATCATGGGCATGTTGTGCTTCTACCCCGACAAGGTTGATACGTGGGTGGATGGGAAAGCGATTGAGAAGATTGGCATGCCGAATATGAAGAAGGTTTGAGGGGGAGACGCCGAAGAAGAGTTGCAATTTGAAAAAGGTGGCCCTGTACGGACTTTTACGACCCAGAAAAAGGGGGAAGGCCTACAGCCATTGTAGCGGTCGCCACTGAATGATAGTCCTGTAAGCACGTCAACATCTCTTATTAATTTCTTCTCTGTTCTACCAATTGGGTTATTCATCTTCGATTGAACGCTCCGTCAACATGCAATTTGTCTCAGGAATACGCCAGGGGTGCAAGGCTGAGCATTATATAAGCGGCACATCCGCAAGCAGAAGGACGTCATCCAATGCCGGGGAGCACCAGAACTTCTCGTCCTTCGGGCCAAAAAATTTCTTTGGAACTATTTGCTCTGCACCGGGGCGGATTTGTATCTCGATAATGCGCCCATGACGAGAAAGACCAATTTGTATCAACCTCCCCTGAATCTACAATGAATATAGCTATCACCACGACGCGCTTTATGCGGCAAGCAACACGTCTCTCCGTTCATCTTCGCTCGCTTTCGACTCTCAGCACCAACCCTCACATCGTAAGGCCATTCTTTCCTACCATTATCTATCTTTCAACTCCTAACATACCGGGCGACAGTACGTCTTCCCGGACCCCAATTCTCGATCGTCTCACCTCCTCTCCCTCCTGCCTACAGAACCACCTACCCCATCCCTAGCCATTGGCTCCACGACCAAACTCCCCCCCACACCATCCTCATTCACCGAGAATCCGAAATTCATCCCTATCCTCAACGCCGTAATCGGTGAAAACGCTTCGTCCGATTCCACGGTCCAATCCCAAGCTGCAGTCATGATTTCCTCATCGGGCGCCTCTCTCCTTCAGACCATCCGCAGACAAGAGACCGGCTCCGCGGGCGCTAGTGATCAGGGCGGTCATGGCAGTGCCGGTCGAGGCGGCTGGGTCCATGTCTCAGATCTTCGACACATTCCGGACTTTGGACGCATAGCTGAACCAGAAGACATTTTCGGCAGCGTAGAAGTCGATGGCAATGGAAACTTTGTGGATGGACATGGCAGATATCAGCCAAGTGGGACATACAGGATTTGTACGAACGATGGAATCTTGGGATTGACCGATTTTATGAGGAGGAAATTGGTTGAGAGATTGAAGGCCGAAGAGGCAGCGGAGAGCAATAAAAAGTGATCAAAATGTGAACAATACGGATGCTTGATTGGGGCACGTCCATACGACTCTGGCAGGCCGCATGTGACGCTATCATGCTGTTTATACATGGCATATGGAGCTTCAATTTCCTCCTGCATCCTGAGGAAATCCACCCGAAGGATCTACGACGGATTGTTTTCGCTCCAGGTTCCGCTCCCACACGTCGATGTCTCGACGAGGAGTGCAAACTATCGTTCAACAGAGATATCTGATAGAAAATCTCTGCACCCTAAACGTGACAGAGCAGATCACCAGTGCTGGGACCGAATGCTCTTTCGACTACGGCCAAAATTACAAGGCTGGTTTCCAGCTTCGAAGGAGAATCTCGGCATGCCTACCACATACATCATAGCATCTCTGTGAAATGACAGCAATGACCCCAGCAAACCTACATGGAGGCGAAAAGGACCCGAGAAAAGCCAGGGTTTTCCAACAGGAACTACGGGAATTTGACAGAGGAAAGTTCTATGCCTGAAGAACGCCAGAGGCAAGAAATGCCCCTATGGCAGCCCGGTTCTCCACTGTTGGCGGTGGTGAGTCTGGCTCTCATGACTGCGCTCAGGACACCAGAGATTTCGCCGCCAGGTTCAGAACCGACGAAAGCAACTCGGACAGAGTCGCCACTAACGCTCTGATCTTCTTCGTGAGGGACCAGGCCCAATTCTCTCAATTCATTCAGACGCAAAGAGAGATCCCTCGATGCACATGACACATGCTGATGACGTGACCAAGTTCTGAGACTGCTGGTCTCAGAACCGCGAGTCTATCCTCGAGGTATTCCTAATGGCTACCGATTCATGCATGTTTACTCTCGCCATTCCATGAAGCCCGTCGAGCAGGCGGGTAATTGGAGTTCATGCAAGGCCCCAAGTCCTTGGCCTAAGAAAAATCCCCCACCAAGTCTCCTGAGTCCTCCCAACAGGATTTTGTACAAGGCTACCGAATGTGGTGACTGTCCCCAGTGGTCTGTGGAGATCCGGACCATGACTCCCAAGCAAGTCGAAGAGGTCTGGGGGAAGCACGGCATCAACGTCCTTGGCCTGACCCACGTCCGGGCTCGGAAACAATTCCCTGTCCGCAAGGTCGGTGAATTTCCTCGAACGAAAACGCCATCAACTATTCCGCCGAAATCGAGCCAGTAGTATTCAATCCATCTCACTTGCCCCCTTAGCATTGAACCTTCTGCTGAACCCGTCTTGCAAATCTCATCTCTCCTCCGGTCCTGATACTCACCGCCACCGTGCGGGGAGTCAACTACCAAGAACTCCCGGTCAATGCTCCTCGCACTGCCTACAGGTATGGCAACTTCCAACGCGATGGCCCCATGACCTCCCACCAGGGTGCCCGTGCCAATTACCTCTACTCTATTGGCTCTATCCAATTCCCCACACGATCTGTTGATCTCGACGAGACCCACGGCCACTTCCCAAAGTAATAGCACTTTCTTGTCTCAGATCCGACCGGACGATTTCAATGACCTTAGAGAACTCTGAAAGAAAGGTTTGGGATGAGGCTGCCAGAGATCAATCCATCAACAACGTTGCCGGAAAGAGAGAAGTCTGCCGTGACAAGGGAATCTTGAAACGGCAGGTTGCCATTCCCCTGAAGCTAGAGACGACATTGTCCAGAGACGCCAAAAGGCCATTGGCATCAATGGATATGATGGTCGGTTGATCACAACGGTGGCCCAACTAAGGGGAACGCACAGTGATATCTGATTGACCGTCTCACGGAAGAAACACACTCAAGTACGCCCAGCCGAATTGCGAGAGGAGGAATGTATCTCATCATGAAAGTCGTGCTGGCCTGTATGGGAATGGAAATCCACCCCATCTCAAATTTGCTAGCTTAGTCTTTTGTCCTTAAGAATTCGGGTTAACACCGCCATTCGGCTGAGCTTCCTATTTAGAATAATTATCCTAAACCGCATCCAAACACATGCGAAAGTGAATTCGGTAGTCTTTGCACGAAAGACCTCGTCTGAAGGACGGAGAGGAGGTGGAAAGTGCCTTTTCACTTCATGCCTCAAGAGAAAGAATCCTGTCGGCCCTATGTCCCACCTCCATCACCACCGATGATGGGCCTGACTCGTGCGCATGGTGAAATGCGTCTCACACACACATTGAGAACGTCATGGCTACACCCACCAAATCGCAGACCGCTTCAACTCCCAAACCTCATCTATCTACTCCAAACAGACTGATGGCCTCTCCTCGACCCGGAACCTCGAGTAATGCTAACCGCCCACTTGCCCACAAGTCTCCCGCTGTCAAAACTCCAGCTTCAGTTCACGGACATGCCCATCATGTCAGTGTTTCCTCCCAACCATCCTCTACGCCTTTGGCTGCCACCGCCATCCACGACGACCTCCTTGCCCTTAATTCTCCTGCTACAGCACTTATCGCCTCGTTGGGACCGACAGGATTGACACCCTTGGGTAGTGGTGGAGACGGGTTGGGCATTACAACCAACCTGCCAGGAACCTCAATTAGAGCTCCCGCTGCTCCTGTCAATCCAGATGCCGAAAGATTACATCGAGCTCAATTTGTAGCGGACACACTCAAGACTCGGGTGGCCGGTCGTGGCATCACACGTGAAGGAGTGGAAAGAATAGCCCAGCTGCAAGGTTTCACCACCCTGTGGGATGAGGGAAATCTTACGATCGCTGGCAACGCGGTCGACCTCGAGATCAATTTTGACGCCGACAACCGAGATTACGTTAAAGATGTCGGTCTCAAACTCAACACCCCTGGTAGCGAGGAGCACAGTGAAGAACCTCAACTACAAGAGGAAGGGACAGGGATTCTCCGAGACAATTTACGACCTTGGAGTGTTCTAGATGGTACTTCACAATGGACCAGTCTCGACACCTTTGAATCCAACTTACAGTACCTCAGTCGGTTAGATCACATTGAAGGCGGGGCACCCTGTTTTGAAGCTGTTCGGGACCTATACAATGCTTTCCAGAAGATCTGGAATGCTGAGAAGGAGAGATGGAAGAACCGACCCGTTCGACACCATATCAGGAACGGTGCCATAGGCAGACCTTCAATCGACCGAAAGCCCCGATTAGGATTGTCTTTGGACTACTGGGTCGGCAAACAAGATGTCGAACAGAGATCCGAGAGCGACACGGACGACACGATGGACGATTCTACCGACGTCTACGCCGCGAGGATCTCTTGCGCGCCAGGAGCACCCTCAACAGTCCTGGCCAGACAATGGGTATCAGAGCAGGTCTTGATGGCGGAAGCGCCGGCAACACTAGGCCCTGAAACTGAGCAACTCAAGCCAGACTGGCAAGACCCTGCTCATGATGCCGGGAACTCAGATCGGGTCATGAAGGGTGGATTGGAGATGCACTTCGAATGTTCTCTGCGGCCAGAAGTCTATCTCCCGCTCAACATTGTAGCATCCCTTAATGTGGACTTTGCAATGCTGGAGATGGATCAAGAAATGGCCGTGACCTATCAAATGGCACTGCAACCACACCTGAACGTGACGAATGTTGGTGGTGCCAAAACCAGCCGTGAGGAGAGATGGCCGAGGTCGCTACCCACCACTACTGATGTGGGAGACCCGCCGCGATTTCGACAGCATTCCTACGCCCTTCATTCTGCTCAGCATGCAGCCCCTCTTTGGTGTTACCCAGTCAAGCAGCTGAAATTTACCCATCCCAAGCAACTAGCAGCCATGTTGCCGGTCCTCCGACAATACGCCCTGGTCTGGCGTATTTTGCGGAGTCTGGTGGACTATGGGATCGTGGATCAATGGAACGCGTCCACGACCTTCAATGTGGACAAGACGAGAGCATCCGACACCGTGGATCGCCCCTTGAAACGTAGCAACATGAAGCCTCTCGGCACTCAACTTGAGACTTTCTTGAAAGCGAACGGCTCGCTACCAGGTGACGAGGTTTTGCCGGTCGATTTGAGTCTGGATGTAATTTCTGATATTTCCAAGGCCAGACTTGATGTCTTTGTACCATTACGAGGGTCGCTCGCAAGAGGAATGCAAAGCCCTTTCATTTTCTTGTCCTTGAACATCTGTCAGGGAGGCCAAGTCGAAATTAGGGATTTGCGTGGTGTCCAAGCTGATGGCGCTGACGATTTGAATCTACGGGCCAAGTTGGTGCGGATTTTGACCACGACCGAAGACGTTGGTCTCACGGTGGAATGGCTTCTAGAACAAGCTCGTGCGCGAATTCAATGACTGGACCGTCTGTGGACAGATGGACACTGCCTCGCGAGACGACGGCTACAAATACTTCGGGATTCAAATAACCCCAATCGGACAGAGGACTTGCTTGTGGCGAACATTCGAGGCCATGAACGAGAACCGTAGCGACAACACAGCATGGGTTCTCTGCTTCAACCCTTTTGATAATCGAACCAAGCCTACAACGCTTCTACGGCGCCGGTTGAAGACTCATTGTATCGCATAATCTTTTCTTCACGGTTTGGCTGGTACACACGACACCTAAGACTTTATCCAGGTATACTAACTGTAATGAGCATATCAACATCATACCCCTTCCTTCACCTTTCTTTGGTATTTTCGGCGCTTAGATTCGCGGTCTCGTTTTGGATGCGCTCTGAGCTTCTGCACATCCTCGTCCGATCCGCCAAGTTCACCAGCCTTCAGTCGGCACTGGATCTCTTTGAGTCTTTCGCCCTTCTTACGAGCTCAGGCGTTCTTCCCCTGCCGTCATTTCTTAGCCGCTCGGATGGCAGGGTCCGACTCGTCAACCTTCTCCTACTTCCAAACGCTGGAGAATAGCTTTGTACTCATTCCTGATTCTTTGGGTATTCAACAACCTTGCTTGTACCTATGCATCAAGAACATTTCCGACAATAGGGAAATTCACGTGACCCTGAAACCGGCACGGCAAACCACGGCATTCAAAAGAGTTTCACCTCACCTCCCGCATTTGCCCCCGCCGGCACTTTCGACACTACCGTGCCTCTCTTTCGCATTCTCCTCCCCCCACCGAAAGCAGAGAGTCCCCGTTTGCTTTTGCTTTCGGTGCATCTTCCCTTTACGGAGTTACGCAATTGTTGATCGCGAGACCGACCGATTTCTAGCCGCACCGTGGGGCATTTTCTCCTTCAATCTGATCATGTTCACAACACGTGGGTAGTGGCCCGTGAGAATGAATTTTCTCTTTCAATTGCTTTTGTCTTCTCGCCTGAATTGACATCTGGTGCCAGTTCATAACAGATCCTCGCATTCAATCCACCAAAATGTCCAAAGCCACACACATCATCCGCTTCATTGCGAACGAGGACCACCGAATCCATCTAGGCCAACTAGTCGACACGAGCAGAGATGTCGGCCTCGATAGTCTCGAGGGCAAAAAAATCGAAGCGTATCTGATCAATGGCACGATATTCGCCCCCGAAGTCACGAAGCACATCTATACGGTTAAGCAATTGCTCTCGCCCGTCTCGATGGAGGATTGTAACTATATTCGCTGTCTGGGGTTGAATTATATGGATCACGCGAAGGTCAGTCAACTCAGTCAACGTTGCCCGCGGATGATTCTGCTCTGGGGCTGGAGACCCCCTTTTCCCCTGTTTTTCAGCGTTTTAGGATAGTCGAAGTTCTAACCAAGGACCCATAGGAAGCAAATATGGCCCTCCCTAAAGCTCCGATCCTCTTCACCAAACCTCGCTCCGCTCTCGCCGACCCCTATCCTAGCGCGATCCCCGTTCCCAAAGCCGCTCAGGACGGCACCAGTGACTACGAAGCAGAACTGTGCGTGGTAATGGGCAAGACGGGCCGAGACATTCCCGAAGACAAAGCCTTGGATTATGTGCTGGGGTATACATGCAGCAATGACGTGTCTGCGCGGACAATGCAGATGTTGACCACGCAATGGTCTTTCTCCAAGGGTTTGGATGGGAGTTGCCCTCTTGGTATGTCGTCCTCGTCATTTTGACAACCACAAGATGTGCGGTGACATTCTTCATACCTCAGCTGACACTCGCCCGAATCACAGGTCCGGTATTGGTAACCAAAGACGCTATCCCCGATCCTCAGAATCTGAAAATCAAGGCCATCTACGACGGCCAGACCGTTCAGGACGGTAATACCAAGTACGTTTCATCCGGGATTCGAGGTAATCTCAAATATAGCTGTTGAATGCTTTATTCACGTAATATCTAGGGACATGATCTTTTCCATCGCCAAACAAATCGCGTATTTGTCACAAGGCACAACCATTGAGGCCGGCACGATTTTCCTCACCGGCACTCCCGCCGGTATCGGGTTCTTCCGAAATCCGCGTGTCGTGCTGGAAGATGGTGGTGATATTCGTATTGAGATTGAGAAGATTGGCACGTTGGTGAATAAGGTTAGGTATGAAGAATGGTGAGACCGTATCGACATGATGGGGGGCCCCATATGGAGGGAGATGACGGGGTGATCGGAAAAGGGATGTTGCCGCGGAGGCAAGGGGAAAAGGAGGCTGAGATATTAAAGAATATAGAAAGACTATATACAATTTGACCTTTCCCATATCGTCATTCTGGAAACCTCACCACATGTGCACCCCTCCCCTTTCAAGTATTCTGTGGCTAGTATCAATTCCCCTCTTTTGTCTTCTGGTTGTGAAGAATCGGATCTCAGAGAAGGACAATTCACATAGAGGTTATTGAACGGTGAAATATCAAACAAACGGACGGACACTTCGACTAATACTAAGATAGTATTCGTTTCAGCTTTCCTTGCAACATATCCGTACAAGAACAACGTGTCGACAGAGGCTCTCTTGATTTGAAAGACCAACTCGAGATTTCTTCGTGTCGCTTCGGTACCTACGTAACTTCTTCCACCTCCCTCCTCGGATCTTGTTGGCTTAGATTCGGCGATATAGATGAGAGTGCTCAATACTCCGGGCCCATCCGTCAGCTTGTCCTTTCCTGCTTTGGCTCATCATCGGACATGGTCCCGTCCACCGTATTCTTGCGTTCACCCGTACAATCCATCTCCTTTTACTCCAAGAACTCCTTCGGCACCTCTGGTCCCCAGACGGCCAAACCCTCATGCCCTGCGGGCCCATAACCCAAAGGCGTATCTTCATTGACCAAGTCGCCGTCCACATAATGCTCGACCATAAACCCATGGACATCCCACCAGTAATCGAAAATCTGCGATCCCAAAATATGTCTTCCCACGCCCCAGACAGGTTCGTACTTCTTCTCCGCCAACCACTGGTGGCCCAGCTCTTGGGTGTCAAAGTCATGCACCTCAAACGAGCTATGGTGGACGTGCTTTTCGACACCAGGGCTCAAAGTCGTCAAGAACATCGTATGGTGGTCGACAAGATCTTGACCGCGGTCGATGTGGGCGAAGACAGCGACTTCTTTGCGCGCCGGAGCATTGGTCTCGGGGTCGATTTTGTCCAAAGGTATGTACAGGATGTCGCTGGGCGTGATGTTGAAGTACCGTGTGTACCAGTCCATTTGAGCGGAAAAGTTTTCGACATTGAGGCCGAAGTGGCCGAGCTACATAGTCATCAGTTAGTCAGGAACAGTCCGTGTGTCGTATAGATCTGGTCCTAGAGACAACTATCGCTGGGATGCGAAATATATCTTGAAGATTGACTTACCTTGTGAATCTCAGCAGGGCCGGGTTCGAATCTCTGGAAAGCCTTCCGCCGGGGCTTATCGACCTCGTCGTTAAAGACCAATTTACCAGGCTTCTTCCTCTCCTCTTTGACTTCGGCTTGGCCGTAGATGAAATTTACCGGAAATCCCTCAGGATCTGCGATTGTGACAATATATCCCCCACCAGGGGCGTCGGTCATTTCCTCGATGCCATTGGTAAGAACGGTCGCGCCAGGTACCTTCATGACCTTCTCGAGCTCGTCGCGCGATTCGACTTCGAAAGCACCGCCGAGAAATTTCTTGGGTCCTTGCTTTGCATAGTAAATGTATTGGTCGGGGCCGTAGCCGCGATACCATCGCTCGTTTTCGGATTTCTTGAGAACATGCATGCCGAAGTCTGAGGGAATTGGTCAGAGAAGATGAAGAGAAGGGTTGAGAAAGGGGATCCAGAAACTAAACACCGGTTTTTTTTGGTGACGTAGTTAAAACTCACCTCTCAAGAACGTGGTGATCTTATTTAGATCGGGATGCTGGTATCGCATATGACTCAACTTGACGATCTTGACCTGCTTGGAGAGGTCAATGCCACGTTTCTTCTGCCATTCCCGCTTCGATTCAGAGTCCGGTCCGATTGCGTCGACATCACGGACGGAAGCTCCTCGGTTGGGTGATGGTCCGCGGGAAATCGTGCCGTTGAAATCTGGCTATTCATGGCAAAATGTATTAGAATTTGGTTTAGCACCACACACTGGAAAGGGGAAAGTAGATTCGGGTCGGAGTTGGGGAGTGCTCCTTGCCTTGCCATTTTTAATCTTCTCCTCTGTGAGGCTATGTTTGAGGTCGTCAAGGGAATTCATCTTGTTGAAGCGCCGCCAGAAGAGGGAAGTGCCTCGACTCAATCGAGGTGAAAATAAATCGTGGTGCTGCTTTGGTTGACCACTGCGCCGTGTTACCACGGGTCGAATAAAGGTTCGGTGTATCTCCACCCTCCCAGAGGGACGAATACGTATTTCGAGGGAACTATCGCAGTTGATGAGATGCACCCCCAGAATTACTCCGTGCGGAGTAGGACCAATGATAGTCGTCGATAGTTGCCGAGTTGTTAGGCGATAACTGAATTGAACAGATCGGGGAAGGACAGAGATAAAATGTGCTTGAAGTACCAAAAAATGGATACAAATCTGACTTGGTTCGACGACAGAAAGGCTGTATTTGAACCAGAATGAACGAGAACGAAGGCTTTGTCCCAAAATAATAAAAGCCGCGAACTGTCACCCCACAAAGCTATTGGTCTCTGCCCGGGGATCCAGCTTCGTGAGGCCCTTTCTCCTGGCCGTAACACGACGGCCAACTTACCTACCAAGAAATTATGAAAGTGTCAGCCCCATCCACATCGAGGATCCTACGCCATGCCGAATCTGAAGATGACAAGGGAGCCAAGTCGAGAGCGGCCAATCCTAGTCGGCAGACTTTGACCGAAAAACACCGTTCTCGCATCCTTCAAAATTTCGGCATTTCCACCAGATTCCTTGAGGTGTAAGGAACATGGCAAAATTCGGTGTTGATCGTACGATTATTCAACAATGGCATCAATTGCATCAGTCAGCAAATAGCGGACTGGATTCCGTCTCTTCAAGCTTGCCATTTTCTGGAGGAAATACAAGTGAGTCCGAAGATGCCCCACGATCCCCGAAGACCGTAGCGCAGGAATTTGGATGTGGGGTCAATCTGACGGTGGGACACCTTCGAGGGAGCGAGACTCAGGCCAGTTCGGCTGAGTTTCTGTGTCGGATAGTGTGATTCACGATAACTTGTTCCATCCTTTCTGTGTTGAAAGATGGAAGAAAGCAACTCAGGCACCTGATGAAGAGTACTGGGTTATCGATTAGATAAGACCATTGATAACAGCCTCGCCAATTCTGGTGAATATACGGTACAATGACATTTTTATTGTGCCAATTTAGGTGGCCTGCTTCCCTGGTGGGCGAATGCCGACGTCGCGATCTGAAAAAGGGGTCCCCCCTTTTTTGCCCCCGGGCAACGAACAACCAAAACCACTTCCCCCCTTCTCGAAGGCAACACTAATCACCACCTTGTGCTGAGGGCCTGCCCCAGCAACGAGCCATCGCATCAGTGTTGCAAAATTGTAATCACCCACAATTGACGTCAGAGCAAGCACAGGCCTCAGCCGACGGGGTTCCGACTGAGCATCTCAACCCAAAACAGAGGAAGGTGACAATATACTCTCCCCAACAATGCTGGGCGACAATTGCCTGCTCTCTACCTTTATTAATAAAGCCTCGGGCACTATGATGGAGGACGACGAGGAACAGAGGGAAACGCATTGCGATCATGGAGTCTTTAGCAGGGCTGGTTTCAACGCCCCAGGTTTTACTCTTCGGGTGTTTACTTACCCGACATGTTCCGAGATCCATATGAGTTATTTCAGGGCCTTTGCCTCATGCTCAACTCATTCAGTGAAGGCATTATCGTATCGGAAGCAGATTCTGACGTGAATAGGGGAGTTGCATAGGAAGTAGCTGGTCGGTAAGCGAGCTGGAACACGCCGATTATGAGGACGTTGTTGATGAGAACGTACGTGTTACGTCCATCTCCTACCACTGTTATCATAGGATCAATGTTAAGCGCACCGAAATTCCAAGTTCCCATATGGCCGATCTCGAGTCTCCTGGAAGGTCCCCCGCCAACAGACGGGTAAACCATGCGGATACTAATCGCCGCGAGCAGCTAAGAAATGGTAACTGACGTACGAGAATATATGTTGTTGAGAGTTGAATCCGACTGAGACTTTCCCCAGGAAGCAGGATACTCGTCCCCCGGCAAAGACCAACCCTCTATAGTTTCATCGGGTGGTTCGAGGTGTGACGCAACTTCATTGCCCACAATCACAAGTAAAGGTTTGTTGCGGTTCCCAGAGATAGCACGCTGCAGCTGTCATGCAGATAGTTTTCGCCAAACACGGTCATGCCAGTGGTTGATATGGGATATAGTACGGTGACGAATGAGACTATGTGTCTCCCTCTTGATTTCGGACCAAGAAAGCGCTGGGACCACAGAACCACAGCAACCACATCACAAACAACAGACCCAGTCAATTTGATATCACTGGATACGTTATAAACTTTGGGGGCCAAAAAGCTACGGCCTGGTAAATTTACCCAAAATGCGAGCACATAATCTTCTACGGACCCAAGGAAAGCATTCTGACAGTTCCAGCCTGATAGCTGGATTGCACAAACCTCTGGCTGAGACAATGAGCTCCAATTCTTACAATGATCCCGTTTCGCTGATGGTCATCTCCGCTGTCTCCACCGATGTAGCAGCCGTGATTGCTCTGTTATTTTTTGTCTGGCGGCGAGGATGGAGCTCGATGATGCTGATCATGATCTCAGCCTATGTCGTCCACGCACTATACTTATGGCCCACCACTCTGCAGATATACCAGAGGTTCCGACAACCCAACTCGACCACAGTCGCAGAGGCAGAGGGTCGAGGCTTCGTGCGCGAAGTTTCATGATGCACCAGGTTACATGAATTCGAAATTCACATGTCGATGACGCCCAGGCTGGGGTGGACGTCAACGACGAAGCGTCATCCGGAGATGGCAACACGGAGACGAAGATGAACCCATGTTTCCCGCAGTCAAGTTTAATCCGTGCTACAACCTGCTCAACCATCCGGGATTGCGAGAAGAGCCAAAAGTTTTGGGAATCCTCGCTCTGCTTGCCCTCTGCTCGACCCTGGCTGGCGCGAGCTGGGTGAGAATCACGTGTAGGCTGACATTCAACGTGAAATGACCTTCTCACGGCAATGAAGATCATTGGCTTCGGACGCGGACAACTTTGTATGTACTCGATATAACGATCATCTATCACATGACCTTGTAAGTCCCGGCCGTTCTGTCGTCCAATTCCATCGGAGAAATCAGGTGATTCCTCCGGCCCTCTTCATTGCAGTTGAGCAAATAGCGGAATATCAGTGGGTTAGGCGCCAAAGGCGCTGGACGGACCCCACTCTTGCTCGGCCCATCTGACTTGAAACACTTTCACCCTGCTTCTATCGACGTGCTAGATTCCAGACTTATAAACGCTGCGTTTGCAATGATGAAGGCGGCCTACTCCTGACCGCTACTGGGCAACAAGTTAGCCGCGCGCTACCTGGGAGCTGAAAGTTATATATATCCGGAAATCCACACCTTTTGATCCCATTTCTCTTCCCTATATCCATCACCCCCCTTCATTGCCTGCATCATGGCGGACCCGATAAGCCTGGCATCTGGCCTTCTGGCGTTGACAACTTTTGCGATTCAGTCGACCAAGACTCTCTATGAAGTCATCGAGAGCTTTCGGAACAAAGCCAGAGCCGTTCGGGAGCTCAAAGAAGAACTTCAGGCGCTGGAGAATGTACTACAGTCACTGCAGAGCACCCTGAATGATGACGATCAAGTCGATCTGTCAGCTTTGAAGTTGCCCCTTCTTCGATGTGGCGAGGCATGTCAAGCATTTGCGGAGATTATCGAAAAATGCACGGCCCGTTCCAGCAGAGATAAAACCAGCTTTCGTGACTGGTTCATGCTGACGTATCGGGGTAAAGATATTGGTAGCTTTAGAAATGTCATCGGCGCGTACAAATCTACTATCGCTATTGCTCTGGCAGATGTCAATATGTGAGTCCGTGGTTATCTCAGAAGCTTTGTGGCAACGGCTGACTCGGCAGACGGTATACCACCGTGACGACCCAACTCCTTCGCCAGTACAAGGAGATGATTGACAATACCACTTCAGATCTACAAGAAATCTTGCAACAAAATGACCAAGAATTGGCCAATTCATCGCAACAGGGAGAATCCCCATCTCTTGCAGATCTCAATGATCCCGGTCCATTGGCAGCTGAAGAGGAAAGAGCGAGCATTGAACGTTGTCTCGATGTCTGCAAACGAGTTGCAAATCACTTAGCCCAAGTCCAAGCGGAGATCGTTGCCAGTGTGACGAATCGCGTCGACGGGAATAAGCCGGCTGCAACAAGTCCACGGTCAAGCCCAGCCCATATAATTACAAGCGAAAAGTTGAATGATTGCAAAACTGGAATTAGCTTCACCATCTCTGAACTCCAATTGCTTCTGCAGGACGCCAATCATCGAATTGAGAAACTGCTACACCAGTCGACCCCTGCGGAAGGTTTGGACGAAAATGACCCTCGCATCCAACAAGCTCCTGAAGATCTTGAGAGCATCAGACAATGCCTTGCCATTTGCAAAGAGGCTACAGAGGCACTTACAAAGGAGCGAGTGAACACCTTCGGGGATGTCAACTCGCTTGAAGATGCACATCAAATTGTCGTGGCGACTCTTGGGGATCTGATATCAGCCAGAAGAGTTTCGGCTGGTGCAAGATCAAAGCAGTGGCTAGGCCAAATGTCCGACGCGTCGCTTCAACAACTTTCCAAAGACAACGTCTCCAGTGCGAATGCTGCTACGACTAAGAATCCCCCCAGCAAGACTCCTGATGACGGCGTGCACCAAAACAGGACCACAGACGAACCAGACATCACCATCCATCCCAAATTCAACGGCCGACACGGGGCAGGGCGGAGACTGGGATAAATTAGCCTCGGTGTGAGCTGTCATCTCCACACAACGATGTCTGCCCACTGTGTGAGCCACCAGAAGGCTCAAATGGTGAAGGTGTGGCCGGAGCTCTGGGCCATTCAACACGTCCTCTTTAGCAATGTTATCATCCTCATTGTTACCGCACAAGGAGAACAATTGAATCGGCCGATGATCTGTGACAGTTGATTTGGGAGAATGACTGTTTCTCCCCCTATTTTCTTAATTTTTGGTTTATTTCTTCCCTCTGTTTTCGAAACTTGCTGCCCTTTACAGAGTTGAAATTTTTGGAGAAACTAGCCGGGTGTGTCGGCAGTCTTAAGGGATGGAAAGGAAAATTTACTACATGAAATCATCTCCCAGACGCTAGAGACTTGGGAACAATGTTATGGTATTTGTCGTTAGTGGTGTCAAAGTGCCGAAGCATGAATATATTGTTCTCACCCTGGACTCTCCTCCATTAGACCAGGCAGCCTTAGGCCATTTAGTCATAGGAGCGAAAATACCGTAGGACGCAACTCCACTGACCAAATATGTCACGGCTAGGTTCTGTGCCTAGATGTGCTGTTCTGGATGTCTGGTTGACCTGGGAGGGATGGGTCTGGACCCAGTTGTCTTCGAAAACACACCCAGCTCGTTTGGCACATTAGGACTTGGCCCGTCACAGGAACGGTGTCCTACCTGAAAAATTATGATAGAGCATCAGGTACTTTTTGCCTGCTCCACCCCCTCCGCTCGAGTCATGTCACAAAATTTTGATGGAGGAAACAGATCATCTAAATCGCGAAATGCAGTTAGCCCACATATATGTCTCCACGAGCGGACGGATACTCTGTCTCAGCTATCTCCGACATTACTCTCTGTATTTGTACAAGATCCGGTCCTTCCAAAGGTTTTCCAGTGTCGCGATGGTCAAGTTCCCAGAATGTGCTTGTAGTGGACTGGAGCATTCGGCTGAGCGACCCAGCCCACTCTGTCTAGTGGGCTCCTCGTCGCGATACCCGTTTATGTCTTTTTCATATGTACATGATAGATGCTGTACTTGTCATTCCTCATACCTTCACTCACACCTATGTTCCATTCTTGGAGAGAAATTAGTAGCTCTCGTCTGGCATCGTCGTAAATGGTCCAACCGTTCCCAAAGTCGGGATACGCCCCAGCAAGAACTCAGCTTGGCGATAAGCGGCCGACGGAGCGTATTGCGGAACCATATGGCCGGAAAGATCCACCGTTACCAGCGTCAGACCTCTTTCCGTATGATATTGGCCCATCACACCCGCGCCAGCAATGGTGCCCAATTGACTCTCATATTCCGTATGGTAAGGGACGTAGAAGTCGTCCCATTCCCCAGGAGGGACTGAGAAACCCTGAGCACCGTTGAAAGTCATGTTCTGCGTTGCGAGGAGGGTGCCGTTCCAGAGCAAAATCATATCAGCGATGCCGTGGCCAATGATGACCCGGTCAGCCTTTTCAATAACGCCGGGCAGAACGCTCAACGCTGAGGGGGGGGAGTTGTCGGTGCCATTCACAAAGACGTCCACGTTGGTGCATTCGAGCCATTCTTGGATTGGGGCATTGATGGCCTTTTGGACGTCGGTGCGGTTAAAGTAGATGAAGGCGCCTTCGGGTACATAGTCAAAGGAACCGGGAAAGCCAAGCACATCCCATAGGAGCGGGCAGGTTGTCAAAACTTGATAGATGTCGAAGCACGGGTTGACTTCGGAGATGGCGTAGAAGACTGCATCGAAAGTGTCGCATGAATCGTCGTCGAGATCGACGTTGGGAGGAGTCGGTAGAATGCCTTTGGGAGGGTATGTGAGGTATTCGTCCATGAAAGCAGTATATCCACACGAATCAGACATATTGTGGAGCTGGGCGAGGAAAGTCGCATTCAGATCGAGCGCCGGACCCCAAAAATCCACAAAGGCAGTCACGGGAATGTGTTCCTGCAGGACATCGTAGCTCAAGCTCGGGTCATAGATCATGATGGAGCTGATGTTATAATACTCCTTGTCGTCGGCATTGAACATGGCGTCGGCGATGTAAGAGACGTAGTAGCCGGCATAAGACTCGCCTGCGATGTAGACGGTGTAACCTTGCATGGCGAAGGTGTCGACGAAATTCTTGAAGAAACCCAGAAATTGCGCGGCAACGTCTTCTTCGGAGGTGGCAGTAGGAGTCCCTTGAGAAAAGCCCGTTCCCACGGGTTCTGAAATCAAATAATGGGTCAGTGTCGCCCACCGGTTTCAACTGTTGTTGAGACTCACGTTCAACCCATACGACGTTTGTCAAATTGGTCCACGCCCACTTGTTCTGAACCGGTTTGTATGTACCGTATTGCCACAAAAAGGGACCATTTTCTGTTCAGCGTCAGACTTCGCGCCTTCTACCCGAGTGCTGTTCGTTGTTCGCTCACCCTGAAGAAATCCTTCCAGGGAACTGCATCCTGGACCTCCATTGAGCCAGACGAGAATTTCATTACACGCAGCCGGGTTTGTAGATGGGAAGAACCAGAAATAAAGCTCCGACGCGTTTTTGGCATCGGAGATAGGCATGAGACCGGCATATGATTCACCAACATCGAAGTCGACGTCTGGAATTGCGCTGCCATTGACGACATATTCTGAAAGTGTGTTAATGACCATTTCCTCCTCCTTTTATCAATCACAAACGTACTTTTAGTCAAATCTGTCAAGAAAGACGGCGATGCTCGTTTCTCGGGTTGCACGGGGCCGGTATCTGCTCGTGGAGCCACATTTCTCTTGATCTCTGGAAGCTTTTTCCCGACATGCTGCGGACTTCTTTTCGCGGAAGCGAGGGAAATAAGGCCGAAGGCCACGGCAACGATTGAAAATTTCATGATTGCGCAAGAGAGCAACGACTCGCAAATGTTCACAAAAGACTGCACGAAACCACGGTCGCACCAAGAGGGGAGGACGGTAGATAAATAAATAACCCCCCCTTTCCAAAAAAAAAAAAAAAAAAAAAAGAGTAGAGAAGCTTTCCCCTCCTCGAGCTTGGAAATGCTAGATGCATCATACATGGAGAGCTTACCTTGAACGATCCGCAATGAAATCATTTCTCCACTGTTGTGGTCACCGTCCGAGTCCATCAATGATCTGACCGATAAAGGAATCCAATCGGTTCACCAGATGTGGTCGGCGAGAGCCGAGGTCGCACTGAGTGTATTGCTGCAGAGCAAGGCCAGTTGAGAACGCGATGCGACCTTGTGTGAGGAGCTATGTAAGTTCTGTTCCCTGTCGATGACGCGCGCGGTGGAAACAAGGTACAAGGTAGTTGTAAGGTATCAGCAGAAATCTTGTCAAGCATGGTAGTCTAGCAGTTATCTGGACAGATGATTCGTCCAACGTGTGATCGTGTGCCTGGGTTATAACTGAAGCAGTAATGATGAAAAAGGATCCTTGCATAAAGAGGTGACCCAGTCTAACCTGCTATCAGGCAATTCTCCACCAGAGGCCAGCTGTAAGGGTCTGAGGATTGGTAGGATCAAATTCGAAGAATGCCAGTGAGGAGAAGGGAAGAAGCAACGCGGCAAAGACGGGCTTCCGGCAAGCTACCAGAGACCCTCGCAAGAGCCAGAGAGCTTCCATGGCTGCCATTTGATGCTTCGAAAAGCTTGTTGATGAGGGATCGTCCTCGCTTGACCAGTTGAGGCAGGTCAGCCAAGGAGTAGCCCGTAGGATTGAGATAAGAACCCAATACCCGTACCGAAGAGAGGAGAAGAGAATACGAGGGAAATCCTCCGTCCGGTGGGGCCGCGGTAGGGATTGAATGGCTTGAATGTTTCGTGATATGCACAGTGCGTTGCACTGCCGATGAAATATTATCGTGACCTACCCATTAATAAACTATGAGGACTAAAAACAAAAAGCAAGGAGTGCGGCAGCCTCGTCGAATGGTATAACAACATCATATTTCTAAACTCAACCTCGCGTCTATCCAGGCAAAGCACACCCGTCTCCTCTCATGTCACTTCCACCACTAAACACCACCATTCCCGTCTCCTCATCAACATGCCGCCGAATGACCTGTCCTCTCCCAAACTTGGCTCTTCCCCAACCATTGACCACTTGGACATCATGGCCCATCTGCTTGAGCGTCGTGCCCACCGCCTCATCGATCCCTTCTTCTATAAACACCGTGCCCATCTGCGTCTCTCCCCCAGCCTTCGGCATTCCTGCACCAATGCATATTCGAGGAGCATCGAGTGCCTGCTGGGGATTCATCCCAAACACCTCCATGTTGAGCAGAACCTGAACATGGCCTTGCGGCTGCATGAAACCACCCATGACGCCATATACAGAATGCAACTCCCGTTCAACCTCTTCTCCATGGGTCAGCAGTCCCGGAATGATGGTGTGATACGGCCTCTTGCCGCCCTTGTAAATATTGGGATGGTTGTCGGGCCCCAGCTCAAAGTTCGACCCACGATTTTGCAGTGTAAAGCCACAGCCTTGGGGAATGATGCACGATCCAAACCCTTCATAGTTGGAATTGATGAAGCTCACTCCGTTTCCCTCCCTATCTGTCACCGCGAAGTAGACGGTATCACTATGGTTCTGTGCCGGGCTAGGCCCCGGCTGTCCTTTCGCGTGGTTCCCTGCTTTGTCTTTGTTAAACAGCTTTGCTCGTTCCGCGAGGTACGGACGAGAGATCATCTCTGCAGGTGAGACAGGGCTATGATCCGGATCGGTCACCCACCAACTGGCATCCGCAAACGCAATGCGGAGGGCCTCAATCACCGCGTGCAAGTATGGGGCGCTGTTGTGATCTTCTTGGGCAAATGTTTGGATTTTCTTGGTCGCTTCGAGTTCTTCCAGGATCCCAAGGGCCATCAGGGCCACGATCCCTTGCCCATTGGGCGGATGCTCCCAAAGCTCGACAAAGTGGCTATCCGCAACACCATTTGCCACTCTCTGTGATGCCGTGTTCTTAATATTCTGACCCCTGAATTTTAGTGAGATGGGCTCGGTCTCGCATGGTCCCCGATTCATGTGGTCCTCGAGGTCAGACAGCTCCATATGCCCACCCATCATTTTGAGGACGTCGACAATGGCTTGGGCGACTCTTCCGGTATAGAACCCTTTCTTCCCTTCTGCCGCCAACGTCCTGAACGTTTTCGCTAAACAGGGGTTTCTGAGGATCTCTCCGGCGCGGGGAGCGCGAACAAATAGCTCTGCATTTTTGTCTCTCTTGAGCATCTCCCGGAAATTCGGCGATGCATTTTTCAAGTCGTCCTCTCCAGCTTGCCACTACGACAACATGTCAATCCCGAGGTCAAGATGTAGAGGTAGCCCGGAGAGCACACTCACAAATGATGCCGCAAGCTCACTGACGGGAAACCCTTCTTCTCCCAGCTCGATTGCCGGGGCCAAAATCTGTTCCATGCTCAACTTGCCGCTCCCATACTTCTCAATGGTGTCCACCCATCCAGCAGCGGCACCTGGAACTGTAACAGCCAGTGCGCTGTTGAAGGGAATCTTGCCTCGTGCAGACGCTGACATGTCCAATTCTTTCCTGACCTGTTCCAAAGTTGTATTCTTGGGGCTGCGTCCCGATCCATTGAGAGAATGCACTTTCTTGGTTTTCGCATCAAAATACAAACAGAACATGTCACCGCCTATGCCTGTCGAGGACGGTTCGGTCATGTTCAATGCAGCGGCTGGGAGAGAAGATTAGAGGAAGGGTCACGCCTAAAAGACACAGGATTTGCGCATACCGACGGCGACGGCGGCATCCTAAGGGAACTATCAGCCATGGTTCCAGACACAAATTTTGGGTATCGTACATACCGCCGCATTGCCTCCTATCTTTAATATCCTCTGGCCTGCCTCCGCGGCCAAAGGTTGCGTGCACGCCACCATGCCCTTGGTGCTGTGCACTACACTCCTCCTACTCGGGAATTGAACGAACATCGGGTTGGCGGTAGGATATACGGCTTCCGCCTTCAACTGTTTCGCAATGGAGCCCATGTCTGCAATTGGTATTACTTGGTTGCCACGAACACTCGCAATCAAGTGAGGGGCACGCTGAAAGGATGTTGATATACGACTGCAATTACTGGCTGAGATTTTTGAGCTTGAAATCTAGAGATTCAGTCCGGAGAGAAGCCCAGAGAATTTGGGATAGAAAAAAGAGAATATACTTGACCCTCTGATCTTCTCCCAAATGAAAATCAATCCTTTCTGGGTTCCTCATTTCAGCGGAGGTGCATACATTTTTGTTGGAGCATCCCATTCGTGACGTGGAGAAGTCAGTTGCATTGACAACACGAAACATGTGCCCAAACTTTGGTGCTTGTGCCTTTTAGGCTGTTGTGCCATCTCGTCCTGCCTCCTAGAGTTAGTCGACAAGAAAGAAGGCAGGACTTCTCCGTCGACAGGCGACAAAAAGTTCTGAGATAAGATGCTTACGGCAGAAAGCCTCCTAAAGCCTCCCTAAAAGCCAGAACAACCACTCAACACTGCAGTCGGCTAAGGGATTCTGGTTAGAAGTTAAGAGAACGGAGTGGAGAGGAACCCTCCTTTCTAACCACAGCCTTGTGACCCTCGGGCTATCGAACTGTCATCAAACCATCAATCAGATTCGTTATACCTGGTACATCGGTTATTCGAACACATTATAAATATACAAATAATTGGCCTCTCGACCAATTTACCGCCCACATAGGAGATCCTCCAAAACAAACGAGTGCGCCTGGTCATACAAGTGTTTTTCGTGAGAAATCCTTGTATCCTTTTCCTATCCCATTTGTGAAAATCAGCCCTCAAGTCAATCAAGCGCCAACCCGTTCCGAACGCCAAATGTCTCGGACCGTAACATGTTCTGCAATGGTATTCATTGCCTTGCTCAACACTCCAATTTTCGGAGACGAATGATAGTCACCATGATAAGTCCTTGCGGTCTTCTGACTGGAGTGTCGTGATCTCGATGATCCTTCTCCTGAATGATGATGTCTGTGAGAGCTCTCCCCGTCTTCAATCTCTCGCTCTTTATCCGAACCATGTTTGCGGTGTTTGTGGTACTGATATTCCCGGCGATCGTGATAATGGCTTCTCTCCCTGTCACGATCTTTGTCCCTGGGGTAATCGGGTTCGTTGACCCTGATCATAAGAAGAGGTCCTCCTGTGTCACTTTCACCTGTTCCCATTCTCTTCAAGATGTTAGGAATAGTTCCGCCCGAATTGCTTCCTCCACTGTTGGAACCAGCGAAACTCGGTCGGCGAGGTCTTCGTCTGGGCTCACTACTTGCTTCTGTTGTCGCATCCCGAGAAGTTTCGGCAGGTGGCTCCTTTTCTTTGCCTTTGTTCTTTTCGGCTCTCGTCTCCGCTGCTTCTTGTCGCTTTCGTTCACGCTCAGCCCCAGCTTTGATGTGAATCTCTTCTGTAAATTTGCTCTTTTCATTCTCCTCTCGGCGTCGGCGTCTTCGTTCTTCCTTTGCCGCGGCTGCCTCTTCCTGTTGTCTTCTTCGATCTTCTCTGGCTGAAGCAAGTTTCTCTCTTTTCAAACGTCGCCTTTCCTTGTATTCTTCGGACTCGTGGCGGAGTTGCTCCTTTTCCTTAGCCTTCACAATTTCTCTTGCAAAGGCATTGTCGAACAGCTTTGCCTCGTTCTTGCTTCTTTCAAGCTTTGCCTTGTGTCCACGCAAAGGATCCTTGGGGTGATGCTCTCGTTTTGAGTCAGGATTTCCTCTACGCCTTTCCTTTTTCTCCTTTGATGCGACTGCTGCTGCAGCGACAGCGACAGCTGCAACTGCCTCCTCAACTGGAGGCTCTGGTTCTTCGGTAGCTGGTGCTTCTTTCTCTTCTGGTGGAGGTGCATCACCTTCAGCCGGTGCCGGTGCTTCCTCAGTAACGGGCACTTCCTTTTCAACAGCTTCTTCCGCAGGTTGTTCAGCAGCTGGTTCGTCGGATGCAGGAGCATCTTCGGCAGTAGCATCCTCCCGAGTGGCTTCAGGAGTGGGTTCACTGGCAGGTTCTTCATCTGCAGCGGGATCCTCTGCGGCAGGTTGCTCGGCGGTGGGCTCCTCAATGGCAGGTTCTTCAGCGGCAGTCTCCTCAGTGGCAGGTTCTTCAGCGGGAGGTTCTTCAGCGGGAGTCTCCTCGGCTGCAGGTTCTTCGGCGGCAGGTTCTTCGGCGGCAGGTTCTTCGGCGGCAGGTTCTTCGGCGGCAGGCTTCTCAGTGGCAGGCTCCCCACTGGCAGGCTCTTCGGCGGCAGGTTCTTCAGTGGCAGGTTCTTCAGTGGCAGGTTCTTCAGTGGCAGGTTGTTCGGCGGGAGGTTCCTCAGCAGCGGGTTCAGCGGCGGGCTCGTCAGTAGGAACTTCTTTGTCTTCGTCATTAGATGCAGGATCTTCACTTGTGACAGCGGCCGTATCAGCAGGCACTTCTGTTTCTGTGGCGCCGGCGACTTCAGTCGGCGGACTGGTGTCTTCCGGGGAAGCGCCCTCATCGTTCTCTGCAGGCGGTGATTCTTGTGGCTCGTTCGCGGCATTTTCAGATGCCTCCTCTTCCGGTTCAGCATCGGCCAGAGCTTTATCCTCTGCTGCAGGGGCCTCCGCCTCGGCTTCGGTCTGTTCTTCCTTATCTTCTGCATTGACTGGAGCTTCATCTGCAGGGCTGACCCCGTCCTCTGCTGCAGGTAATGGTTCCTTAGAGTTCTCTTCAATGGCAGGAGAATCTTCAGTGGCTGCCGGAGGCTCCGTCTCTTGATTCTCCTGTGTAGGTGTGTCTTCAGCAGAGGATTCTTCTCTTTGCTCGGCCGCTTCTGAACCACCGGAGGGATCAGGATCTTCTTCTCGTGAGGCCGGTTCCTCCACATTCTCCTCACCCTTGTCTTCAGATTCCGGCGCATCAGACGTATTCTTTGCCCCTTCACCATCAGCAGCATCCTCGCTATCAGCCTCTGCCGTATTTTGTTCGGTAGCATTTTCAGACTCTTCTTTGTCTTCCTCGGCTGAACCTTCTCCTTCGGCAGGGGGTTGTTCTTCTTTTGCCTCTTCTACTCCTTCTTCTGCCCGAGGTTCGCTATGAGAATCTTCTGGAGATGGCACTGTTGAAGCCTCGTCTGGTATGGCTTCGGCAGCAGTATCAGTCGGCTCCGCATCCGCAGACGCCTCGTCAGACTTTTCTGACCCTTCTCCTGGAGGTTCTTCTACATCAGCATTTGGAGCCTCTTCTGTGGAGTCGGCCTCTCCTGATTTCGTATCTTCGGTAGTGGCCGATACTTCTTCCGTAAGATCATCTGGCCTGGGATCCGCTGGGCTGTCTTTTTGTTCTTCCACGAGCATGTCACCGGCCTGAGATGCTGGCTCGGGTGAGTCGGGGCCAGCCCCCACATCCGACATGGCCTTCTCCAGTACTTCGGTGATTTTTTCAGGCGGAGCGTCTGCTTCTTGTAGTTTCTCCACCATTTCTACCACCGTCTCTGGCTCTGAAGGTTTATCATCACCAGGGGTTTCAGTAGCAGTGGCCTCCTCGGAATCGTCCGCTTCATGGTCATCGTTTGCCTCTCCAGGCGTTTCTTCAGCCGGCGGGTTAGTAGGTTCTTCTGCTAGTACCTCTGGATCTAGATCCAGTTCTGTCTCTAGTTCTTTGGGAAGTTCTTCAGGAGCATTGTCGGCCCCTTCCCCTGATCCTCCATCTGCAACCGCGTCTCCTGAGGGAGCGTCTGGACTGGATTCTTCTCCTGGGACAGAAATATCAGTACGCCCTGCACCACGGACGTTGGCGTCAAGCATACCCTCAGCTTCAATTTTCCCGGGTTCTTCCAATTTCATCCGCTCATCATCCGCTTTATCAGGTGCGGGAGCATCTTCTCCGCCCTCATTTGGCGGCGGATGGTCGTCCCCGGCGAGGTTGATTTCTCGGGATATCGTCAATGAGCGGAACACAGACAACGTCCAGATTGCAAGCTTACCTTCCATGTCTTGGGGAGGGGCTTCTGACGGCTCAGGATCGGTAGGATTGTCGTCCATTTCTGGCGGGGGTGGTTCGTCGTTCTTCAAAGGGTCGTCAGCAGGAGGATTGCTGGGATATAATCGTTCAGGTGGAATTATAGGATGAGAAGAAAATGTGCAAGTTTCTCGATCAAAGGTTCTCCATTGAAACACCGGAAGCTGTGCGTACTGATAACGGGGTGGCTGAGCCATCAATGAGGGGTTTGGATTCATCGACCCCCGGATTGTATGATTTAGAGCGGTTCTTATTCTTTTTCTTCCCTTTCCTGGCCTTGACCATGGCAGGGGATGGGCAATGCAAGGGTCAACAAAGAATCTTGTGTGTGGCCCAAAGCTCGGAGATTCTTGTAAACTGTTGTGACTGTTTTAGGCGGGGATCACGAACGTGGCAGAGGAATCAGCAAACAAGATGACGTGATTTGAGGATCGGAAACCGACGGCAGAGGGGCAAAACAGAGAAAGGACATGTAAAACCGCGCAAAAGGGTTGAAAGGAAAGGGAATGGCTGAGAAGGACTTCATGGTGCAGATGAATGGTTGGGCCATGGGAGGGGGTGTTGAGGAATCTGCGTGATTCTTTCCAGCGGGAAACAGTGAAGCGGGATGCCCTCAGCGATCCCACAAGGATCATCCCATTGTGAAAGTGAAAGAATTTTGCAATTGGACCACGTCAATGATGACAAGTGATTTCGGCGCAATTTTGAACGGAGGTTTACGCGGAAGTCATGCACAGATAATGTGGCCAGAAAGAGCAGCGAGACCAGCAGAGTTCTGAGTCAAGGTCAGACAACTGCGAAGACGATGGGGGAAAAATGCAGGCTAAGTTTGCCATGATGACCGCAATTGGACAAAATGTGCAGAGGAAGGGTGTTGATTGGACTGCAACATTGATAGAGGCTTGTCCTTGAATTGATGCCCAACTAGCCACAACTGGTCATCCAGAGCAGGTATTGCAGCAAAAAGAAGCAGCTCTTGCTCTAGGTCTCTTGGTGGCGAGACCCTTTTTTACTTTTTCCTTGAGTGACCATGTGGTCCTATTCGTCAGAAGCGAGTCGAGACCAGTTCGTTACAAGACGTGGGAGAGTTCATTCGAGGGAGGAATAGAGGCATAACCCTGGCTTGGTAGTCCGAGAGGGAATGACGACAACGACCCCGTGGATGAACCCAAGGCCCTGTTAGCGTGGAGATGTCATGGAAGTCTGCTGGATGAGTTGAATTTTCCTGGTGAAGCAGTCGACGAGGGGGAGAGGCCCGGCTCGAGCCGAAAACAGCCCCTGGAGCACGAAGATCGCAGTCCGCTTGGCTCTCCTGTTTTGCTTCCTCTCTTTCAATGGCCTCTCCTCTCCTTTTCCTCTCTCTGAATCGTCGCCTCACTTCCAACTGCCGTCCTCCTTGTTGGTCCAATATCCCCAAAACGACGGGTGTGCAGGTCTCAACCAAAACTCGCACATGCTCCAAACAAAAGACCGTCAATGAGAATCACGTGGCCGCTGTGGTAGGAGAGTAACACGAACACGTGTCTTGTTTCGAAATCTGTTTTCTGTTTCTTACTTCTTTGTCTATCTTAATTTGTAGATTGATTACCCCAGTTCTCGGTCCAGCTTTTCTCGCCATTGCGGCCCAAATCGTTTCATGGCCCAGATCACCAGGGCACTGCAAACGGCCCAGAGTCCCAAAATAGTAAATAGCCAGCCATTGCCAATCGACGAGATCAATGGCGCCCCAACAATGCCGCCAACACATGAAAAGATATTTCGACAGAAATTGTTCAGAGCCACGCCGGATGAAGACCTCTGAGGCATGAACTCGGTCAACATCGTTGTCGACATGGCAAAAATAAGCATTGAACCGATCCCGTAAAAGAAGTTCGCAATCATCTGCACCACACGTGTCAGTATCCGGTAGAGTACCTGCATATGCCATCAACGCCGGACCGGTGACTCACAGGTACAACCCAAAAGACCCCCTTTTCGACTGTCCAACCATACCAGATCAAGGCTGCAGGATACAGCAAGGCACCGAGCCATGCGTTTTCTCGCATGCGATCCTCCGGGTGGAATACCAATTTTCCTTCCTCGTCGACTCGATTGGCCTTGATCGCTTCTCGCTTCATGATGCTGTCCATCCAATGGCCGCCAAATACGCTCGCCAGGATGTAGCCGACGGAGTTGGGTAGATACAGAAGCCCAATAATGATGGTCGAAAACCCGTACGGCCGTCTTTCAAACGTGTACTGGACGCTGATGTTGAGTACGTAAAGCGAGCCGAAGGTAACCGCAGAATAGTACACCGTCAGCAAGACAGGCATGAATCTCAGGTACAAGATGATGCGGAGTGGGTCCAACAGCATCATCCTCGCCACCGTCAAGTATTTTTTGGACCTTTGTTGCACAATTTCTCTGGTCGAGGTCCGGCTTAACGGGGGCCTGATGCTGCCATTCGGAGACGACGTCGTGTCCGCGGCGGCTTCTTCAACCACATCTTCGGTCATCTTGAGGGTTTCAGGCAGAGCAAAGAACACCAAAATCCAGGTCAAAACTGACACATTGCGTTAGAACCGAGGATTCGTCGTCGGGCATCCCCGTGTGACGAACAAAACTGACGTACCTCCGTATATGGCAAGTGCCCATTGGGTCGCCCGCCAGTCCCAATGCTGCCCCAAAATGCCTCCTAAGATGGGTGCCAGGAGGGGACCACAGAGGGGACCCAGATAGAAGATTCCCATGGCTCTTCCTCGCTCTCTGGATTCCCAGATATCGGCTATTGTCCCCGCTCCGACCGCCTGGACAGACGCTGCCGCTCCGCCAGATAACATTCGCATGACTACGAGCATGGAAACAGAATGGGCCACGGCGCTCAAGACCGCAAATAAGGTAAAGAGAGCAAAGGATATTATATAAATGGTACGACGACCTGAAGCCTCGGAGAAGGCAGACCACCACAGCGGAAAGATGGCCATACTCAGCATATACAAGGCGACCGACAAATTGGTCGTGGTGGGGGTTGTATTGAGGTCGGACGCCACTTGATCCAGAGTCGCTGAAGGGATCATGAGGTCAGCCACGGCACCTGAGTGAAGGATAGGAATGGGCCCGCATACGAAATATGATGCCACTCCCAACGGGGGCCGCAGCGGCGGCAACCGCCACGATAAAGGTAATGAACCACTTTGTGCGATTCTTATAATCGGTGGGCTCCGTGACCTCGGCGATCAACGCGAAGCGGGCGAAGAGGCCTCGCCTTTTGGGCCGAGATACTTTAACAACAGGTTTCTTGGGAGTTATGGTTCTCCGCAAAACATCATCTACAGCCTCGACATCTCGAGGGTCTGCGACGGTGGATTGGTCTGAGTGTGAGATTGAGTGAATCGAATGTGGGGATCGACTGTCAAATTTGTCTCCATGGTCTTTCTCTTTCCCTCCGTTTTCCGTCGGAGGTGAAGCACACACGGTATCTGGCGTCGCAGGGCCCTTCTCGATGCTATGGCGAGCCATCGCTGGGTCCAGAGCAATGATCGGTGAGGAGAGAAGTCGAGCAGGGTGATCGAAGGTTCTGCTGTCCGAGTCATTCCGACGACATCTGGTTCAGAACCACCGTCAAGATCGAGGCTGGTTGTCAGTGAAGGAGCGAGAAGCAAAGGCCGAAGAGGACGAGGAGGAAAACAGTTCGGTCAGCCGCATATTTCTGCAAGTCTCTGGCCCTTCAACATTGTATTTAACGGACATAGGCAGAGTCCGTAGCGAGCAGGAGCCGACAACAGCCAAGGGGCGTGGAAATACAAAGCGAAAATGGTACGGCGAATACCTCGCAATTCTTTCCATTCCATACAGGATGCATTTCTCCGTGATGGAGAGAAAAGAACCAATGACGCCAACAAGATTGGTGGGGTTGAGCATAGTTAGCGAGAAGTATTTTGCTTGACGAGCAGATGGACAGATGACGTCTCACGGACATGATTGCCCTAGACGTGCCGTTTTTGCCGTAGGGCACAAGACCATTGGAGGGCCACGAGTGGGAGACCGAAGCTTTGAGTGAAAGCTTTCGTTCCTAGTCGGTAAATATGGGGCTTGAATTGAGATGATAAAAAATGGGGGATCTCGAGAGCATATGCGTATTGCTTCGGTGACACGCAATGCCATGCAGGTATTACAGGATAGCTACCTAGATGAGAGATGTTCAGAAAGACGACGAGATGGGTATCGACTTCGCCACCTCAGATGGTGCTCCATCGCGTAAACAGAGGAACAAGTTCGAGATGGAGATGGGCGCAGGGCTACGACTAGCCCAATTGCCGAGGTAGGTTCCGGCGGAAGTCGACCATCTGCAGGGCAGCAAAATATTTCTCGCTGAAAAGAATGATTGACGGTTGCTCATGATTAACATCTGTCAAGCTGTCAGGCCGACCGCGGACGATTGACCATGGCCGGATCCTGTTTGAAGCGAGACAGCCTTGTCCATCAGCATGTACCCTCGGTCATGCTCTATTGTAATGATATAGCCTTGGTTTGGCATATCCCAAACCCCGAAGCTATCCCACTCTGACCTGTTGTAACTATAATGTAGCCACCCTCGATACTACTACCGCTGGCTGTAACCCAGACTACTACGCATCACAATATTCCAACATATCGCTAACAATACAGGATGCTCCTTTCTACCACCTCGAATGCCTTCTAGTACTATGCATCATGCCCATTGCCCTCCGATGAGCTATTCCCTCATCCTGACCACGGCCAGGGCCGGACGTAACCGAATCTCATTACTAAACAATCGCATGCTCCCCGACATCTTGATATATATTAGTCTTTGAAATCCCTCCGTTCCCCAACCTCCTACGTACGTTGCTACCATCCACCCTCCCCGAATAACGCTGTTCTTCGCCCAATACGAATCATCATGTCCACACCTCTCCGGCGAGACCTCCCTATTGAGGAGGCCCGTGCCGAACTCAGGCGCCACTTCACCAATTTTCAAGGAGACAAGTATGCCGAAGGCTGGGCCGAATTATGGACCAAAGGTGATTTTCTGCCCTGGGACCGCATGGCGCCATCGCCCGCCCTGGCTGATACACTGATCCACCACGTCGATGTGGTCGGTCATGCCGTGCTCGACGAGGACGGTCAGACGCGCCGGAAACGGGCGTTAGTCCCTGGTTGTGGCCGGGGCGTCGATGTCTTGCTGCTGCAGAGTTTCGGCTATGATGCTGTCGGACTCGAGTACAGTGAGGGAGCATTCGTTGCCTGCGAGGAGTACGCCAAGGAGCATGCCGACGACTATCCCGTCAGAGACGAGAAAGTGGGCAAGGGAAGTACCAAGTTTGTCAAGGGCGATTTTTACTCGGATGAGTGGGTGGAGAGCGCAGGATTCGGAAAGGATGCAAAGTTTGATCTCATCTATGACTATACTGTGAGTACTCTTTTCCCATTGACGCTTCCTGCCAGGTGACGCTAGTCTAATTCAATGCCTAGTTCTGTATGTTCTCTCGAGTCTTGGATCCCTCCTTGGTTGTGAATTAAGGTATTTCTTGCGAAATCGGGCATGTGGAGAGTTTCAAGAAGCATGCGGTTCAAGGGACCTTGTACATCTTGAAAAGAATACATCGACCATTTCTCTAGAAATACCTTAATCCCTCTCAAGCCCGAGTTCTTTTGTATTCCGATGTCCGTGGATCATGACATGACCAGAGTGCTGATACACCTTTTGAGAGAACCACAGTTTGCGCCATGAACCCGAAGATGCGTCCAGCCTGGGCGAAGAGAATGTGCGAGTTGCTCCGTCCATCTCCTCGGGCCAACCTGATCTGTTTGGAATTTCCCACCACCAAACCGGCCGAAGTGGGTGGTCCTCCCTGGGCATCACCCCCCAAGGCCTACCTTGAGCACTTGAGTCATCCCGGCGAGGAAGTCAAGTATGACGCGGAGGGAGAGGTCAAGATGAACCCCCTTGCTCCATCCAGTCCTGGTGCTCTTGAGAGGGTTGGTCATTGGCACCCCGCTGATACGCACAAGGTCGGGAAGGATGCCGATGGCAATGTAGAGGATTACATAAGCGTCTGGCGGCATCGGTAATGCTGGGCTTTTTATGAAGAGGTTGTGCTTCAACAGCATTGGTTTCTCGACGTGATGGGACGGTATTTCAGCACTGTCTTTCATCCCGTCTTTTTCAACGCGTTGTAATGTTCACCCAGGCCGAAACTGTGCCGGTAGTATGCGAGCCAAATCGTGGTGGACTGTCCATGGTGGTCGGTGCCGGCACTGATCTTTTCTACTCTCCCGTCGGCTTGGAGCACGTTGATGTCGATGTTGTATGATCGCGCAATGGCTTGTAACTCCAGTTGTCCTCCCCATTCCGCCGTCTCTCTGACTTTCTTCACATACGAATCAAGGGGCTCTTCCATGAATGCTTCGAAATTGTCCGGATGCGCTGCCATGAATTCTGCCGCGGCATACCTGACATTTTGATATGGCTCTTTGTTTGGGCCTGATTGAGCGACGACTTCAGGAGACATGCTATGCGCGCACGCGGAAAAAAGGCAATGCCCATCTGGCCGGATGAGGGTCTCCGATAATCCATGGCTCTCCATGTGTTTCTTCATGGCGGAGATTTCTTGTTCTCGAAGGTCAGGCAAGTTTTCTGCCTCTAGTGCAGCCGCTGCAGCTTGGGCTTCTTGTTCGGCTGCTCTGCGGGCAAGCCTTGCTTTCTGCCGATTCGGCTTCTTCGGTCGTGGCCGGTCCATGGAAGGAGTCCGGTCACCAGCATCTTGCCTGGGTTCGCCATTTATCTCTTCAATGGGTTCGTCAATTTGCAGACCATCCGCAGCAGTCTCGAGTTCATCCGGGTCCGTGGGTGCTAGTGCTTCAATTTCTGCCTTCTGCTTCTCGGCCAGTTCCCTCTCCAGTCTTTCACATTCGCTATTGATGCCCTTTCTCGTCCTTTTGGTGGCATTTTTCTTCTTCTGAGTGATTCTGGACTGCAGATCACGCTTTTCTTTGCGATGCTGGGCTAGGAGTTCTTCCATGTTTCCCGCCTTCCTACCGACCGTAGGTTCCTACAGCAGGCTAGGGAATTGTGAGTGGGGTCTCAACACGACATCGTAATACGATTGAGGCGTTGTGCTGTCGCGAGAGACATAAGAAGATGACTCACTTGACACTGTTTGGGTTCACTGAACCGGTGTGGTGGTCCAAGGTTCTTTTTTCTTCTTTTTTTTTTTTTTTTCCCTCCTGCAAGGGGTCAATCATGTACGTGTTCATAGGGCCAAGGCGCGGGTTATTACAATACGGATACAGCATTTACCGCATTCGAACTGGTCATTGCTCGCCAAGTGACAAAGCAGACAGACTTGTCGCTAATTACGGTACTGGTATGTATTGCGACTGCCCCTCCAAACGCCGCCCACGTCCCTGATGAATTTCCATAGCGGCGCGTTCGACTCGCTGCTTTTGACCGATTCAACAAGCGCCAGTCCACCTCAGCGGCTATCAAGACGGGTTTGAAATTGCGTCGTCTTCTATATCTTCAATCTGCCCTCTTCTCTCATCATATCTTGTCCCGAGAACGCTTTTACTGGCTAGGTCTTACAGGACTTGCGCGCACTACCACTCAAGCAGCCCCCACTTCCAGACCTCCTGGTGTCAGCACGACTCAACTCCATCTCTCAGCCGCACAGTCCCAGCCTGCGCGTGTTCCAATTTGTTCTTCTGGGTCATATTTTCAACCTGGCTGGCTTGATCTTATAAGAGTCGATCTTCCTCGACCCCCTTCCCTTCCAACCCATTCCGGTGCTGCCTCCTGTTTGATCGTGAATTGAAGAAAGCCAGCAATCATGGGAGAATTAGCGGAGCGCAAGGTCTTTAAAGTCTTCAATCAAGACTTTATTGTTGATGAGAGATACACTGTGACAAAAGAGTTGGGTCAAGGTGCATATGGCATCGTTTGGTACGGCGAATCACTCTGGATATTGTCCCCGCTGACCGTGTTGAAGCGCGGCAACCAATTCCCAGACGGGCGAAGGGGTCGCAATCAAAAAAATTACCAATGTCTTCAGCAAAAAGATCCTCGCAAAGCGAGCGCTGCGTGAAATCAAACTCTTGCAGCATTTCCGTGGTCACAGAAACGTCGATGACCCCCTTCCATTCTGGAATGCGAGGCTGAATCGTCACAGATTACGTGTCTCTACGACATGGACATTCCCCGCCCCGACAACTTCAACGAAACCTATCTTTACGAAGGTACGAGCCTTCCCCACCTTTTCCTCGGGCCCCGGGGGGTGAAACGCCGGTTAATTTTTGAGCAGAATTGATGGAGTGCGATCTCGCGGCCATTATCCGATCGGGTCAGCCACTTACGGATGCCCATTTCCAGTCTTTCATTTACCAGATTCTCTGTGGTCTCAAATACATTCATTCCGCAAACGTCCTTCACCGAGACTTGAAGCCTGGAAATTTGCTCGTCAACGCCGACTGTGAGCTCAAGATCGCCGATTTTGGTCTTGCAAGAGGATTCTCTCAAGATCCGGAGGAGAACGCCGGATATATGACTGAATATGTGGCAACGCGATGGTATCGTGCTCCAGAGATTATGTTGAGCTTCCAAAGCTATACCAAAGCTAGTACGTCCCCCTCCACCACTTTTCCATCATACTCTAGTAACATGAGACCAGTCGATGTGTGGTCCGTTGGATGTATTTTGGCAGAATTGCTCGGCGGCAGACCATTCTTTAAAGGCCGCGACTATGTCGATCAGCTCAACCAGATTCTACACTACCTGGGCACACCAAACGAGGAGACTTTGTCGAGAATAGGATCCCCCCGTGCTCAGGAGTATGTCCGAAATCTTCCTTACATGCCAAAGATTCCTTTCCAGCGACTGTTCCCACAGGCCAATCCCGATGCACTGGATCTCCTGGACCGAATGCTGGCATTCGATCCGTCATCTCGTATTTCGGTCGAAGATGCTCTTGAGCATCGATATCTTCACATCTGGCATGATGCTTCCGACGAGCCTGCTTGTCCCAAGATATTCGACTTCGCTTTTGAGGTGGTGGACGATGTACAAGAAATGCGAAAGATGATTTTGGATGAAGTGATGAGATTCCGACATCATGTACGCCACCATCCGACTCAGACTCCCACCACCAACATGGCTGTTCCGATTCCTGAGAATCCAAATCAGTGGAGCCATGAAGACCCAAGGCCACAGGAAGCCGGCGCTTTCGTTGGCAATGATCTGGAGCATGAATTGCAAGCGGGTTCAGACATGATGAGACGATAGACTCTCTTGTTGTTTGCGCTTGGATATGACACGAGCGGGCTATTGATGAACCAAAATACAACTCAAGATTGAAATTCCCTCCTGTCTTATACTTGGAAACTGACATATCTGGCGAGAGCCGAAAATTGGATGGCAAGGAGTCTGGTCATAATTACAGCCTTCTCTTCAGTGAAACATTGAATTGTTGTTCATCCCTAGAGCAGATATACTAACACAACAAAGCCAGCCAGTATTCTCCTTCGATTGCATGATGAGGACGAAATCAGACTACGCCGGAGATGACACACCCATATATTCCATCACTTACCTCACCTCGTGATTACTTTACACTCTCTCGTGTTGATACCAGTGATCCAGAATTGTTCACACGGGAAGTCGCATCCGTCGGTCCTGAAAAAAACTTTTTCGGTGACATTCACTTCTCAGCGTAGCTCATGTCTACTAAAATGAGCCATCGGCCTCTGTTCAATCCTGCTTTTGCCTTTCCCTGACTCCTCATTGTCTCAACAACAAAACAACAATGTCGTGATTCTGTGCTCGATCTGCTCTGCATCTGAACCGACAAAATAATCACCTTCGCCCTCGTTCTACTCTTTTGTTCTTGGGCGGGTCTCGCCTTCTGGATGATCCCTGGGCCTTCAACTGCAGTCCCGGAAAGCCTCCCCCGGTATTCCAGAAGGATGGACTCAAGTACGATAAATCTGTCGAGAAAAGAACAGACTGACTTGGTGAAGGGAGACAAACCTGCTCCAACCAATGTCCTGAGGCCGTGGCGGGTTGTTCCCCAACCGGCAATGGCTGATTCTCATCAGCTGGTAATCGATACTGGCACTCCTGGCATACTATACATTACATAGCTATCCACCGTCGGCGCACATCCTCGATCCATCGATCAGTTAATCAACCACGACCATGCGTCCTCTTAAACTTGATCCCGTGACCGTTCTGCTTCGGTTGACTTCCATAGCTTCTCCTGGCCCCTTGCTTTTTGTCCCGCTGCATACTGGCTCCTAACTGAATGTCCACCCGTGGAGGAGTGGCGAAGCCGAAACTCTTGGCCACCTTGACCAAGTCGAGTTTGTTCACGTCGAAAACGGAGCGTAGACTGTGCGAGGCGTACGCTTGCAGATACGATCTATAGCCATCTTTGGCGGACTGGATGTGCGTGGGTTCATTAGTAAGCAGGTCCTCTCCTCGGCGGAACAAAATATCGGTGACGTTTTTGATTCTAGGAGGGCGTGAATGGGATTCAGGACGTCTTCGACTCACCTTGTTCAAGTAATAGTTCTGTGCGATCAATTTTTCCAACTGACTCTGGATATTCACTAGTTTCTTCGCTGGAAAATCAAATTCGACCACAGGGACTCTAGCCTCTTTCAACTGGCTGAGGAACCCGACTTCATTTGGTTGCAGAAACATGAGGCTCCGGCCCTTGCCATTTGCGCCTCGCGCCGTCCGGCCGACGCGGTGGATATAATCTCTCGGGTCGTCGGGCGGATCGAACTGCACGATCCAGTCGACCGCAGGGATATCGAGGCCACGGGCCGCGACGTCGGTGCACACCATGGTACCGGCGGTGGCGTTGCAGAATTCAAAAAACGTGTTGGTCCGCTTTTGCTGTTTCAGGTTCCCGTGCAGTTCTAACACAGGCAGGTCGATGTAGTTGAGCAGTTCGGCGTGGTACTTGACGCAGTTGCAGCTGGACATGAAGACGATGACTTTCTTCTTCAGGTTGCGTTTTAAGAAACTGAACAGCAGTAAAAATCTCTTGTCGCTTTCGCAGATCACGTAGCCTTGTTCGAGGCCTTCGACCGTGCTGTGTGTCTTTGTCTGGTCCACGTTGATGTACAGGGGTCCTGGACGTAGGGAGATGCGCGCCAAGTCCTCGACCTTTGTGGTTTGTGTCGCCGAAAAGAGCATTGTCTGGCGGTTTTCTTTCGGCAGGATCTTGACGATCTGTCGCATTTCGTCTTCGAATCCGACTTCGAGAATTCGGTCCGCTTCGTCGATCACTAGCGCCTTGACGTTCTTGTACACGAACCCTTTCGTGTTTTGCAGGTGGTCGAGCAATCGTCCTGGCGTTGCAATCAGAAGGTTCACGCCCTTGGTCAATTTCTCTGCTTCGGCGCTGCGATTGGCCCCCCCGATTACGATCCCAAACGTCTGGCTGTGGAATTGCATCAGGTCCCTTGCCACCCCGAAGATTTGCAGTGCCAGTTCTCGTGTAGGTGAAACGACGATCACGCCGGTGCCATTGCGCGGTTTGAAGCGTAGGGCGTGCAACATCTCGGCTGCCGGAATCAAGAATGCAAGCGTCTTTCCTGAGCCGGTTTTGGCGGCGCCCAACACGTCGCGGCCAGCCATGAGAGGTGGAATTCCTCGGCGTTGAATCTCTGTCATGGTTTCGAATTTCATTTCCGTTATGGCTTTCATTGTTTTCTCGGAGAGGGACAGTTCAGAGAATTTCTGCGGTGGGGTATTTGCGCCGGGGAGAGTGGGAACAGAATCGGTGGGTAAGTCTGTGGTTGTGGCTTGTGTGTTTCCATGCGAAATGTTCAGAGTCTCTTCGAGTCGGGAGCCTTCTTCGCTGTCCTCGTCATCATCCGTCTCGGTTGGTGGCTCTTCCCCTTGAGCGTCTTCGACAGCCTTTTGCACATTTTCAGGCTCGACATCATCCTCATCTTCGCTGGTATGAGATGTTTTCCGTCTCTTCAGGCCTTTTTCTTTCAGTTCGCTTATGAGGATTTTGTCGTTTGAAAGGGAGGCGGCAGGCGGAGCTTCGGCTGCTACAGTAGTGAATTTGCCGTGCTTTCTTTTCCGCTTCTTCGACTTCTCGACATGGAGCTCCATTTTGTCTTGGAAAAGAGGGCGGCCGTGGAAGGGGGAGGTCAATGAGGAAAAATGGTCCTGAGGTGATGCTGGCAAGCTTTTTTTTCTCTGCTATCGATAAAGACTGGCCAATAGCAACAGAGGGATCGAAGTTCCGCCCACAGGGTGCCACGGAAAGTCAGCCGACGTATATTCTCCAGACCAATACGGTCGTCTCTCGACTCTCGCGACATCCGTACGCTTTACTCCGTGAAGCGAGAGATATCGAAGGGTATGTGATGCTCACCTGCCTCTATTGGACTTCGCCCTGCATTCATCCTCCTGTCTAAGATGATAATCCATGAAATCTTGGAAGGAATCGTTCGACTGCGTTCCGGATTTGATAAGCCCTTATCAAATGAATCTGACTCCTATACTCATGTCCTGATTTTTGGAAGCCGAGAACTGGTTCGGGAAATGCACCCCCCTTTCTTGATGCTTATCGACGACCTAGTCGGCTTGCCCGCCAATCACGGCAGAAGACGTACAACAAAGGGCTCAAGCTGTACCACAATATCCTCGGCTTATATACTGAGGATGTCCTCATGGATCTTCTCGCCTCTTGGACCGCTTCTGAACTATCATTGAAATTTCCTTCAAAATCGGAAATGGCAGATAAAATGGACTCCGTTGAAGAAAAGATGATCAAAGAGGTTACCATCGCCCAAGATCCCTCTTCCCTCGAATTGGGGGGATCACCTGGAGATTCCTCCATCGTGGTTGGGGAGGCCGACCCGACCGCCATACCTAGCAATCTCGTCACCAACAAATGGCAGCAGCTGGCAAACAAATTGATCGGATTGATCGGAGCAGAGGCTCGGGGGATCGAAAGAGTTGACGAGTCTCTTCGAATTCCGAGGACCACTCTAAGACACTACTACGAAATGACGATGATTTGGTTTTCAATCAACTTGACCGCGAATATCTTGACCATTGGCGTCCTGGGACCTGTCACGTTTGGACTGGGAACTCTGGACTCTATGCTGTGGGTTCCGGAAATATATTGAGACTGTATTCTTTGGCTGATGGCTGCGACAGGTGCTGCCTCTTTGGTACGGTCCTGGGCTCGGTTGCCACCTGCTACATGGCCACATTCGGTGCATTGAGTGGTAATCGATCACTAGTTGTGTCAAGATATACGTACGCATTTATTGAAAAACAACAAGGAGCTAGCATTGACCGCATTCCAGAATGGGGTGGTGGCCGACAAAACTCTGCGTCATCCTTGCGGTGGTGGTAAGTAAACCCGGTCCGTATTCTAGATCCACCCTAATCAGCCGCACAGGTCATTCTGGGTTATGGACTTGTTGACGCCGTCACCACCGGTCTCATTTTCTCTGCAGTTTCAGGTGGGAACATGAGCACGATCGTTGGAATTGTGAGTTTCCTTCTTCCTGTCAATTCGGACTCGTCGCTGAATTTTTCCCAGGTTGTCTTCGGTATCATCGTCTGGACCGTGTCTTCACTGGGAATCAAGCACTTTCAGTACTATGAGAAATATGCATATGTTCCACAAGTCTGCGTTGTGAGCCAAGAAGGCACCCATATTCAATACCTCAGGAGGCTGACCCATTCAATCTTAGCTTTTTGTCCTCGTCGGGGTGGCGGCGCCTCATATGGACGTCAACGCGAAGAGTACTCTCACGGGAAGAGCTCTGATAGGTTCAAGAATCTCTTACCTCTTTGTATGCACTTCAGGGTCAGTAACGTTGCCCCAAGTGCTTGAGCGACACTGAAATATCCACCAGTCCCCTGGGTTGGGCACCCTTTATTGCGGACTCCTTTTGCTATCTCCCTGTATCCACCAGTCGAAAGGGTGTATTTTCCATGACGCTTTTAGGATTTATCGCATCAAAGATCTTTGTGGAATTCATTGGAATTGGTGAGTGGGTTATTGGAGCTAGCAGAATCAGCAGAAATACTAAGACCATATTTCCAGGTCTCGGTTCAGGACTTGCCGCAAACCCGGCCTGGGCTGAGGGATTTTCTTCTTTCGGTGTCGGAGGTCTCATCATGGCAGCATATGCCCCTCTGGGACGCTTTGGAAAGGTCTGTGGGGTGATTATGTATGTCTTTCAGTCACCATTGCGGATTCATCTAACGACATCTCCAGGGGCTTGGGGATTGCGGCAAATATGGTTCCCGGTAGGCTCTATTGGTGAATTCATTTGGAATTGGACTCTGACCCTATATAACAAGGAAATTATTCTGCGGCATTTTGCGCTCAGCTCCTTGGTAAACCCCATGCCAACCAAGAAAACATTATATCACCAAGTACTGACTCCTTTCAGCCACGAACGCACAGAAAATTCCTCGTATTTTCTGGAATACAGTGGCCACGATCATTTACATCGTCATTGCCATTCCCGGTCGCAACAAGCTCCTCACCATCTTCTCGAATTTCCTCCCTTTGATCGGCTACTGGACCATAATCTGGATCGTGTTGACCTTGGAGGAAGAATTTCTCTTCCGCCGCCGTCTGAATCCGCAGATGCCATATGACTGGACGATCTGGAATGTCAAGGAACGTTTACCGCTGGGTATTGCAGCATTCATCGCATTCATAATCGGTTGGGTTGGTGCAATTCTGTGCATGAGCCAAGTATACTACATTGGGCCAGTCGCGAATCTGATTCCGGCGGATATTGGATTGCCCGTCGCGGCAGCCTGGGCTGCACTGGTCTATCCTCCTATGAGAGTGAGTGATTTTCAAAGCGCCAATACGTTGTTGTCTCTGCAACGAGATGTTCTACGCATCGGTTTATGTGTGTCTCGCCGTTGCTGACTTGAAAAATCCACAGCACCTCGAGTTGCAAAAGTTAGGCCGATGATGATGCCACGCTGGAAAGAGAGTCGATATCACCGGTTGATGACTATGGACGTCTGCCCACCCATTGTCACATTGTCAAATAACGTTATAGACTCTACATGTTCCTCCATGGACAACGGAGTTCACGGTGTGAGGAGCGATACTAGTGCTGGTGGACATTGGTATACCATACAGATGCGCAGATGCCGAATATATCACTAAATATATTTTGCTATCTACCCGGCGGTCTAAATTGAACCGTACTCGCCATTTCGGTGCCGTGGGCAGTTTCCTGATTGTGCAAAGGTAGCAGTCGCCTTTTCGAATCCAAGAGAGTATCAGGTGTCCCCAGCCTTGTCCTTGCCTGGAAGCGTGTGCAGTCCGGTGATAAAGAACAAGTAACCTTTCATACACTTTGACACTGTCATCAATAAAGATAGCACATGACTGGTATCGGGAAGCGGACCGCGCACCTCTATGAAGATACCCAACTCTAGCCGCTATCGGAGACGTTCCCCGATAACTCAGCTGATCCACACTCCAGGATCTGGTCCCGAAATCATGGCATCGATTTGGCTCGGTTACTGAATCAAAAGCTCGATGAATGGGCTTGAGGTGTGAGGGGCAACGGCACCAGAGGATCGTATACCCGACACCCACGAATGGACATTTCCCAGATACCAGAACTGGTACGTGCCGCTTAAACCCGATTGCCATGTGGAGCGTACTGTAGCAACAAAGTCTGGGCAACGCAACATTCGTCCTCTGCTGGCCAAAGAACCTAGCAAAGGATACAACCGGATGGCCGCCTCAAAATATCTTTTTCTGACGATGACTGTGTGCCTGAATCACGCATTTTGATACATATAGACACACTAATATCTTACGCATGATCCGGTTTATTTAAGAAGCCGTTTGACTTGATCCAGAGAATCGTCCCCGCAAAATAACATACCTTATCACTAACGCCGTCATGGGAGAACCACATTCCACAGAGGAACCGTGCATTCTGCCAACAGCTGACATTTCAAGTCTCGGCGAACATATCTCCCTGTTACCGCCGCTGTCCCGGAGAGGGTACGGTCCTGGACTGATCCTCATTCTCCCAGAATGGACTCCAACGTATTCGCAAGGTGGTGCAGTCTGCGAAGATGGCGTCCCGCCCCCTCTGTTGAAATGGGCAGAAGAAGGATTTGCTGTCGTAGAGATTCGAGAACCAGCGTTCAAAGAGCAAAGCGTGGAAAAGGAAGTCCTTGAGAAAGCCGTCACTGCTCTTGAAGCGTGCGAACAATGTCGCGCGGAAGGTGGAATCGGCTTGATAGGTGATTTCTCCTCGATTCTGCGGTCCCTCTGGTCAGAGCACTAAATGCGCTTTAAGTCTACGATGCTTCGATCTGGAATAAAACTGTGAGCACGGTTGCTTTCGACTCGAGAATCAAAGCCGCTGTTGTTTACGGAGCCACGACTGAAGCACCCCTCGCATCAGCTTCGATTCCACGTCTCGGGCACCTCGCAGGGACGGACAAAGTTGAACCCGAGAATGGCACCGACTCAAAGATATACAAGTATCCAATGGTCAAATCATCACGATTTCCGATCCCATGCCTGGAAGAGTTTGATAGCACCATTGAATCCGTCGCGCACACACGAAATTTGATATTCCTCAAGAAATACATCCACGGCGCCGACTTTGATCTCGAGGCCATTTGGGACGAACACACCTATTTTGAATTCGAGGATCGCAATGTGAACAAAACTATGGCTACGATGGTGCAGGAGCCTTATGTCAACCATATTACCACGGTATGAGATCTCTGGTCCCTTTTCTCCTTTTATCGGAAACTGAAAAATTTTTCACATGACGAATGGCTAATGAAGATCCGTCCAGATGACTGGCGGCATTGGACGAGAAAGACTGACCAACTTTTACCGACATCATTTCATATTCAATAATCCCCAAAATACGGAGATGGTCCTCGTCAGTCGCACAATAGGTATCGATCGGGTCGTTGATGAATTCATCTTCAAATTCACACATGATCGGGAGATTGACTGGCTGTAAGCGGCCCCCTTTCTTCAAATGACTCGAATATTGCGGTGAAGAGTGGAACTTACAATATGGCGCAGTGTCCCTGGTATTCCTCCCACGGGGAAAGAAGTAGCGGTCCCATTTACAGCCGTGGTGTGCGTCCGTGGTGATCGATTGTATCACGAGCACATTTCCTGGGATCAGGCGTCTGTGTTGATTCAATTGGGCTTGATGCCGGAGTACTTGACGTACCCGCATCCAATGCCAGACGGGACGAAACCAGCGCCAGGCAAGAAGTTTGAATATAGAGTGCCGGCGGCCGGGGCAGAACTGTCGGTTAAGATGCTCGATAAGCATAAGGTACCGTCGAACGGGATGTTTGAATATAGGATTCGAGAGGTAGACTTGTGAATGGATGTCCGGGTGAAAAAGTCTATGAGAAAGGAGGCAGATTCTATGCTGACAAACGTTCGATTGACAAACTTCGAGGACATTTGGCTGGAATCGGAAAATACTTCAAGCTGAACCATCCGCGTCGTCAGGAGATCTTCCATTCGTTATCTTAACCCGTGACACCTGCGCAGACAAGTCTTTCGAGGTGGCGTTTGGAAGGTGGATTTCGTGGCCATTGTTTTCCATTACCAATGTAACAATTCATGTCTATGCAGATTTTACTCCACAAAGTCCGATTCAACACGATTTTGACATACGCTTCCATCGACCTCGTCCAGCGGCTTATCTGAGAGGTGCACGATGATTGCCGAATGTCAGGCAGTCCAATAAAGTTTCCACGAGCCGAAGCCGATCTTCCACATCTCTGCTTTCCCTCCTCCAAAATTTCAACATCTCAATTACTTTCTCGATAGCCTGGCGCCAACGGTCTGGCATGAGAAGGGACAGTTTTTCAAGACGGGCCGCTGCCAGAAGGACAAGGGCACTCCTCGTGCAAGATCGAAGCATCAACCATGTGCCGTGATGGCGGTAGAAGAATCCCTGCTCGTTCTTTTCAATTCGCTCCACACAGACGACGAGAGCCTTATGAACGAAGGACTCCATCGTTCCACCCGAGATAGTGGAAGTCCGTTCTGGATTGTCGTAATTCACGGCAACGACAATGAAGGGCCAGTACATCATTTCATAACAATCAAGCAGATGACCTTTCAGTATGAACTTCAAGGAATGACGTACCTCGCTCTCTTCTCCCAAAGAGGGCGCTTCGAGGTCCAGGGCTTGCGGTAGAGAGCGGATCCAGTCTGCGGCCTGCTGTTCGAATCCGAGCGTGGATTCGGCCATGGTAGATAAATTACTATTCGCTTTCGTATCGTAGATGAAATTTAGGATTCTGTTTCCAAGTCGTCGAAGGGCAATCTCGGCCAGATAGAAGTACCAGACGATTTCTCTTTGGGATCGGAGTCCTTCTGGCGGTGAAGGGAAGAAGGCTGGATAGGTGAGGTCCCATACCGATGTCTCCGAGACATTCAGTTCAAGACGAAGTTCGCTGGTGAAAAGTCAGCAATTTGCCGAATTTGGGGGGGATGATGTATGCTTTACAGTTCTGATTTGAAACAGGTCCAATAGATGCTTTCTCGCAGCCGTTGTTCTCCTTCCCGATCTGATTCTGGAGACTCCTTCTCCATGTAGAACGCCTGGCAACACGCGAGAGCCTGGACAAACATCTTCCATGCCTCCATTGGGCGTAAGGTGGCCATTAAATACACTCCCGCGAGGAAAAAGCATTGCGCTTCAAGAACACCGGTCCGGCAAAGCAAAAGGCCCATTCGTTTTTGAGCAGCAGAAAAGAAGGATTCAGCTTGCTTGAATGAGAAGGATTGTCGGAATGATGAGGCATCTGGCTGGTGTCCGCCGTCGAAAGGGCCGACGATTGATCCGTGAGCATAGATTAGGAGCTGTTGAATTTGTCAGACACAAGGGATGACTAGCCGACAAGATCTGTCAATTTACCAACAGGCATGACTGTGCATCCCATCCAATGCCATTAAGTCGGGCATCTCGCATGTACCGATGGATTTTGGCCTCTTCCAAGACTGGATTGTAAATGAAGACGTTGTTCATGAATTGCGCGACCAGGTCTTCTTCTACAAAATGATCGTCGAGGTTGCTGACCATGGAGACATTTCCTCCAGGTCCAGGGCTGGGTGCGTTGAGCAAACCTTTCAGATCGAGATTGGGACTGAGGTCATCGAAAACAGACCATGACAAGACACCTTCAATATTCATGTAGCAGGGTGTAGCATCCTTTGTCCTCTCAAGCGAAGGTGAATCCAACGACTTTAGCCGAGACAGCGTTCCTCGACTATCGCCATCTGTACTGCTTGGAGCTGCAGCAGAGCCTGAACTCCGGTGATTGGACCCTCTGAGAAGTTCTTCGATGGTGTTCAACTTGTCGAGAATGGCCAGACTGGCGGAATCGAAGCTGTACAAAGTTTCAGGAAAATGCCCCTCAAAGATCCGAAGATCTACCGCAAAATAGAAGACATAACATACGTGGAGTGGTCTCCTTCAGAGTATATACATTCCGCACCAATGGACAAACAGGACGAGCAACTCGGCCTTGCGTTATTGCATTTGGTTCTGCGGACGCGACACTTCTGACAGGCTTGTATGGCTCTCTTTCGCGGATAGGATGATTTTATCCGCGTGACAGGACGTTTTCGGGAATTGGACAGGGCATTTTCAGCCTCCATGGTTCTTCCCAACACGCTGCCATTGCTGTTGTTTGGTGGATTAGCCGGTAAATGGCCTGCGCAAAGAGTGGAGAAACCATAGGTCGGTGGCGGCTCATTGGTATGGAGAATGTTTCGAAGCGAACTCTCCATGGCCGAGTCACCACAGCAGATCAGTGAATTTGCTGATCTCTTTCTCCACCAGACACTATCAGACCACGGGTGAAGATCTGGGGAAATGGCCGCGTGAAAGCTGGAGAAAGTGATAAAGCTGACGAGCGGAGTGCCGGGACTGATAACTACTTCAGCGGAGTTCTGGAGGAGTCATTTTTCTCGGTGACAAACGAACGTTCCTGGATGACCCAGAAGGGAGGGAAGATGGGCCCGTGTCAAGCCAGCAACAGCAAGCCTCGCCTTTTATTGGCCAATCTACAAAATTCAGAGCATATCCAACACCCCCACTATCAGCAACTGGCTCTCTCGGCCCTTGACAACGAGCCGAAAAGTTAAGGCACCGTCTAGAAAACGAGAAATACAATGCGGATCTCACAAAAAGTCATACTGTGTGATTGCAACACCACTTAGCCGGACTGGGGGATACTAGCCTAAAGGTGGGACCATTGTTTTGAACATGAATCATACCAAATCGACGCCTCTTTCGCCAACAAATGCTACCCAAGCTTCTGGTACTCCCCACCATTTCCCCAGTGTAGGCTTTTTGCGGAGTCGCGGAATACGAGGCCTCCTTTCTCCTCTTAGTAATTAACCATCCCCCAGGGCTCCCGAGGTGACATCCTTTCCTGACTGATGCATCTGGCATTCAATTCCCTATGGCAGTTCCAGAACATGCATCGAAGGGGGGGGTGGAAGAAAATATTTAATATCTCCATGGAGGCTTCGAGGTTGTTGATGCTTCACACAAGGTGTATAGTTGGTGAACTATTGCCTGTGGCGACCAAGAACTTGTTTGCAATAAACGGTCCCATTCTTCTCTAACGACGATGGCCATGATTGAAGATATCCACGACGAAAAAAGAGGCACCAACTCATCAATTGTTGAAGATGTTGGACCAAAGGTCGAACAAGCACGAGTTGCTACCGAAGAAGAACACAACCTCTCAGTCTGGGATGCCTTGTCCAAGAACAAAATTGTTGTCTTTTGGTGCATCTTCTTCGCCTTCAGCGCTGTGGGATGGTACGTGATGTGGCTTTGCATTCAGCGACACCTGCAATGCAACTCGAATCACCCCCCGTTCACCACGGACTGACCGCCTTTCAGGGGTTTCGACGCCCAAGTCAATGGAGCCATGATTTCCGTGCCGCAGTTTCGCCTCGCATTCGGGTATGCTAGCCGAGATGGTTCGGTCTTGGAGCAACATCACTGATATTGTCACTAGATACATCTATAGAGGCAAACCCGTCCTCCCAGCAAGCTGGCAGAGCGGTTTCAACAGCATCTCTAGCGTAGGGCAGTTCTTTGGAGGCTTCGCTTGTTCCTGGGTCAGTGATCGGATCGGGCGTAAAAATGCACTCCTCGTAGGGCTGTGCTTCGTCAGCGGGGGCATTTTTGGTGAAGTCTTTTCTGGCACCAGGCCTGCCTTTCTCATCGGCAAATTGATCCTCGGCATCGGACTGGGCTTTTACTTGACTATCGGTCCGCTTTATTGCTCTGAAGTGGCACCGGTGGTCATTCGTGGCATGGTCACGGGTGGAATCAACTTTGCCATTGTTATTGGTCAACTCTTGTCGAACGCTGTGATTAAAGGGTTTGGAGATCGGGATGACCGATGGGCCTTCCGGGGTCCTTTTGCCGTGCAGTTCTTGTTCGTTGGTACGTTTCTCGAGGCCGCTTTCGCAATGGCAAAGATGAAAGTCTGACCTCTTTTCCAGCCATCCTCCTCGTTGGAATCCCATTCGCCCCAGAATCTCCATGGCATTATATTCGTCGTGGACGTGTGGAGGATGCTCGACGATCTCTACAACGGCTCCATGGCGAGGATGCAGACGTCGGACCAAAACTCGCCATGATCATCCGAACAGTTGAAGAAGATATGGAACTGTCGAAATCCGCCAGATGGATTCAATGCTTCCAGGGCACAAATCTGGTACGCACCATAATCTCCGTTGGTGTCTTCGCGTGCCAACACCTGTCCGGGATCGTTTTCGTGTTGGGTTTCTCCACTTACTTCTTCGAACTGGCAGGTATTGAGACTACTCATGCTTTTGATTTGGGCGTCGGCGTAACCGCATGCGGTGTTGTGGGTGTCATTATCTCCTGGAGCGTCATCAATACCCTCGGTCGCCGCAAACTGTTCGTCTGGGGCATGATCGGTATGACGATTGTCCTGGTGCTCATGGGCATTCTAGACGTGGTTCGCACCTCTGCCGCACGCTGGGTCCAAGCCTCCTGCACCATCGTCTACGCTCTGATCTACCAAATCACTATCGGATGCGTTGCATTTGCCCTGCTCGGCGAGGTCTCAACACCATCTCTACGTGCCAAAACCGTTGGTCTCGCAACCGCCTGCCAGGCCGTCTTTGGAACTGTCATGAACATTGTTGTTCCCTATATGGTGAACCCAGACAAAGCCAATCTCAAGGGCAAGGTTGGCTTTATCTTTGGAGGTGCTTGCCTACTTGGAACTATCTGGAGTTATTGGTACGTTCCCGAGCTCAAGGGTCGTACGTTTCAGGAAATCGATTACATGTTCCATCATAGAGTCCCGCCAAGGAAGATGGGTACGTATAATCTTGACGATGTCGATGATGTGATTTTGATTGATTAGTTAATCCTCAAACCGTGGACTAGTAGCGAAGAAAAGGAAAAGTTGAGGGGGGATGAAAGAGAACACAGCCTTGCTATAGTTTCCACTCTGAAGCCTCCTCACAATTCCTCCGTGTACTTACTATCCAAAAACTCCACGATTTCCTCAATCATCTCCCCATCCTCACTCATCATCAGTGTGAAATAGTACTCATTCTCATAAGGACCACCATCTGTCCCCGCATGACCTTTCTTTTCCCCACATCTACGATGGTTTCGTTGTCGTCCATCACAGTGAGTGTGAAGTTTCGGAATACCGGCAGTAAAGGCCGACAAATTCGGCGAAGTCAGTATTATTTCTATCTAGATTAGACATAGAGAAAGGACCGGTGCGGTGAATGCAGGCTGAGGACCGGATGGAGAGGATCGAAGGTACGGTCCAGGCGTTGTATGTCTGCAGGAATTTTTGGCTTGTGGCGAGGAGCTGAGAGTGCGTGCGAGCCATGACGGTAGGGCAGCGGATAATTATGAGTGTGACTTATGATAGAGATAGAGAGATATATGGACAGGTTGAAAGGTAAGATCAGGGCAGGAAGGTACGATGCTTCGAAGTCTCTTTTTACTCCTATATCTTCAAAGGATAGAAAGTCGTTGAGAAGGGAAGACTGGTGAAGTCCGGCTTGTTCTTTTTTATATAACGACAAGGCTTCAAAATAGGAGAACCGATAGAATTTCGGCCGAACGCAGGTGAGATCTTGAAGATATATCTCGAAAGGGCATCGGAATGAAGAGAATAAAAACCCGCATGAAGCTGACGAGGCTGACATGGTCGGAAATACATCTTAACTCTTGATAGTAGGAGTGCGAAAGGAAGGGATGCTACATGTGTCCAAGTACAAGAAAGAGAATCGGAGAGGGGGAAGCGCTGCCACACAAGTTTGTTGAGAAGCTTAACGAAAAACGATATAAATTGTGGAAATATCTAGGTCATGGTCCTGTTTTTCTACATACCCAGCTCCTGTCGTCTCTGAGCTTGACTATTCAAATCCCAAGCTAACAGCTGTCCCGTCCTGGAAGACGTCAGCTACTAATAAAGCGAAGCGAAGCATCACGATGTAGACCTGGATACGTCTTTAGCCTTGTCGAATGGAATACTTCCTTCTGGCGGAAATCGAGCAAACAGGAGCACGCCGAAGCCTATTAGTGCAACGGCCTAGAGAAAAGGTTAGTGAGTACGTGAATTGCAAAGAAGGGCTTTGGTATATAAGAAAGGAGAAGTGGAAAAAAGGGTTCTTACAGCATTGCAGGTGAAAACTAGCTCTGGTCTCCCAATGCTGGCGAAAGCAGCGAAGATCACGCCGAATACAAAAGCTAAGTTTCATCGTAGATGTCAGCACGCCTAAAATCCAACTTGACTTGGTTTGTAACGAAGAGGTCCGATCCCATCAAACTAGGGGAGAATTGAGTGCTCGAAAGTCGAGAAAGCGTTGAAAAGTGCCGAACCAACCAAAAGCGAAAGGAAGCGCACTTACTCGTCGACAATCTCGCCATATTCTCAACGAGACTAACCCCAGCCAAAGCGTCAGTTCGTTCATCACTACTTGCAGAACTGCCGACCATTTGGAGAATCGTTCCTTTCGACGCCGACCCCGTGCCAGCAGCAAATGGTAAAATGGCAGCGACAAGATACATCTGGTTGCCTTCATGGATGAATGAGCAGAGCAAGGTGAGCAGGCCGTCGGCGACTAACGATACTCTTGTGTATGTCAAGTCGAAAGTGAACGTTTCGTTCTTGAGTTGTGGGCGTCCTTGGTTGTTGTCCTTGGCTCTATCTTTGTCCGTGTTATCATTGGCATACGCATCCGCATTCTCTGCTCTGGTTGCCTGATGTGTTTGCGGTGGAAGTAATGGCTGTCGCTCAGACGAGGCTGAATCTCCAGCTTCTCCACCCGCTCCAGACGTGGAAGCTTTCTCTTTCTTGATTGTCCATTTCCTTCCCAGTGAAATGAGCTTCGGAAATGCAAACGTCAAGAAAACGCCCCTGAGCATTGAGTACATGAAGATCAACCAGCCGTTTTCCTTGGTTCCGAAACCAAAGACGTCAGTCGAGTATAGTTGGAGGAGGGTTGGGAGATAGCCTGGTTAGTTACTCAGTTCCAATCTTCACCATCTCCCCTTTTTTACAGAAAGGAATACTCACCAGTCGCCAAAATGCCCAGAAATACTCCCCATGCCAGCAGATGGGCACCGTATTCCGTACTCACAGCACCGTTTCCTGCGATGAATTTCCTCGGTGCAAATACAGCCAACGGACCGAAGAAATTCCCGATAACCATCTTTGTTTTGTTCTTCTTATTGCTCTCACTCATGGATCCTTCATCATCTGTCTTGACTTGAGCAGGTGGAATATGTGGGAGAAAGACAGCCACATACACGCACGCGCTGAGGAACAAGATCAAGGTCAAGCGGAAAGGAGCCTTGATTCCGAAGGCTTCCGCCACGGCGCCGCCTAGCAGGAACCCTAATGCCGATCCAAACATCATGGCTCCCGTTAACCGGCCCAGGGCGGCGGTCCGGCCTTCATGTTCCATGACTTCGGTGATGAATGCATTGAGTACGAGTAAATACCCGCTTGGGCCGCCGATGATACTGACGATCTGTGAGCATTGAATGATGATAATGCCGGCATTGCTCCAGACTTCGACGCCGACATTCTGCACTAGAAGCCGCAGAGCGGGGAAGAAGACTTGGATGAGCAGTGTGGGTTTGACCCCGATACGTTTGATTAGGGCCCCGGTTAGGAACAGGTTAAGGAGACCAAAAACCGTGGTACTGGCACCAAGAAGCGACACCGACAGGGCCGTGGATGTTTCAATCGCGTGGATCGAGCAGCGATCACGTTCGCTGGGGATGATCTGGGGATTCGTGGAGAACACTGTATCTTGAGTTAAGGCATATAAGAGATTGATTGCTCCCGCCTGTGCTCTTGCTGGGAGTGGCGTTGGGGATGAAGATGAGGTCAAATTTGGCCCTTGAGAAGGATGTTCTTCATAGTAAGCATCACAAGTCATCAGTCTGAAGACATACACCAACGGGACCTGCGTAACACCGAAACTCAGACTCGTGAGAAACGCGCACAGCAAGACCAAATACCTGACGCGCCGCGGCCATATCGTCGTCGTCGCGCCATCACCCTCGTCACCACCATCTTCTGAGGCGGACACAGATCTCGAGTCATCTGGGGGCACTTCCTGGACCGCAATGCTCTCGACGATGCTGAATTCCTGGGACCGCGTACGGCTTAGAAATAGACGTTCTGGGACGTCATCTAGGTCTTCGTGCGACACTGTTCGACGTCGATGTGGTTGTTGATGTTGTTGGTCAGACTGTTGGGACCAGCGCTGATTGTCGGTGTGCGACCCATTCATGATCCCCGCAGCAAAAAGTTACGAGACCAGCGGCACTGAGTATACGAGAGCGAGTGGCTTGGACGGATTTGTTGGAAAGGCTCATACTTGGCCCTTTTGCCCAGATCGAGTAGCGAGAAGAGAGAGGTCAATAGGTTTCGAATTTTCAAAGTTAGACGGCAAAGATAGAAGAATTAAGAACCAATGACCGACGTCTGATATGTCCCTTGTCGTATATCCGTGTCGATTGTCTCATCCGTCGGCTAAGCGGCTGCCGTAAGTGGAGAAGATACCCACTTCAGGTGAGAATGGCGGTCTAAACTGCATCACAGGGCGTTTTGGTTATGCCAACCCTTACCATTACCCGTGCTGCCCTTTGTAACTGGGTAACTGGTCATCAGGGAAGACTAAAAAATTAATTGATCGAAGACACTGCTCTGGCGACATCCCTTCAAATAGCGCATAAAATCTGCCTCCTCTAGCTCCGGTGAGAATCTCCCTCCTATCAGCCCAAATCGTCGGTTCTGGCATTTGGGGCCTGGCGCAAAGTTGCAGTTGCACAGTAGCAAGGCTGCGTTTGCGCCAAAGCTTGTCCGCCAGTTCTACCTCCACATGTACGAGATGACGATCGAGATGATTGATCATTCTACTTGCGTTTGAGGCAGAGGAACATCTTTACCCATACCCAGACGCAATACTCCAAGATACCTGTACAACCACAAATCATGCCACACACGGCGGTGCTGCAAGGCTGCAAAGCGCTCGTCAAATAGAATTATGCCTTGCCTTTTCAAGACATTTACGCCCGAACACTCTTCCCGCCTAGAAAATGAGGATCTACCTCCAAATTCCTTCTCATAATGTCCTTTTACATTGCCATCGCCGGCATCAGCAGCAAACTCGCACGCTTTGCTGCAGCGGAAACTTCTGAAGCATCCCAAGGTCACATTCCGTGGTTCCTGCAATGATATCGGCAAGCTGCGGCCCTTTCTGATAAAATCGTCTTGTGTCACATCGATCCAAAGCCGGACCGTATGACAACGACGCGGTTCGCTCGCTGTGATGTGGTGATCTGCTGCCACTTTGCGGACGATGAGACAGCAATACTGTAGTGGGTTGCTACGAATATGGATTATGTAAAGAGGCATGCCATACCACAGGGTCCGAGACAAGCATAAGAGAGTGCACGGGCAGGCAAGAAAGTGAGGAGAACAGAGGCTACAACAGACCTGAGTAAGTAGAAAGTCTTGGAGTCCATTGAGTTCCTTTATAGTTTTTTTTTTTTTTTTTTTTTTTTCAGCCTTTCCCAGGAGGTCCATACAGTCTATGCAAAAAGGAACCCACCGAGTTGACTTTCCTGTGTGGTTGCTTCACGATCCTGACTGTGATGACCTTGATAACTCTCATTGTCCAGATCTAAAGCTTGAATATTTTTCGTGAATTTTTGAATGGCCAATTTAAGGCAGGATGACAGATCTAGATTGGATATTCATTCTATGCCAGACGATCCGGAAGATCAAAGTGGCTCCCAAATGGTCTGCTTCTATCCATGCAGAAGAGTGCGTCTTATAGTCTTACTGTCAAAGCAGTCACCACCAGTCAATCTCAACCTCACACCCCCTTTTTGGGTTCCCCTTTTCCACATCAGGAATCAAGATCACCTCCAGCCCCAGGAAATCAAACCTTTTCTCTCTCTTCATACTCAATAACCTGCGTCTTCTCCCTCTCCACCTGATGGTCGTGGATCATTCTTGCTGCCAGCGCCGAGTCGCGAACTTCAGGCTTTGCGAAAATCAAATCGACTTCTTCCAACGTTTTACCCGTTGTCTATGATCACAAGGCTCATTAGCAAATCTCCTTCTTATTTCTTCTTGAAGGCGCCAAGGGCGGGGTGCGTTACCTCAGGACACAAGAAGTAGACAAACGGAACAGCCACGGCACAAGATAGTAGCATCCAGATCCAAATCTTCCAGCCCACATTCTGCAAGGCAATTCCACCGGCAAAAACAGTGATGAAGCTGAAGAGCCATTCGCCAAATGCACCTGCCGCACCTCCTAAATGGCGAAGTTTGAGGGGAGCGATCTGGAAAAAAAAAAAAAAAGAGTCAGAATCAGTATATCACATCGCCCGACTTTTCTTCGGCATCTCGACTTTAGGATGGATAGATGAACGCTTACTTCAGGGCCGTATAACCAAGGAACACCTCTGCAGATTCATGTCAGCGATTTGGTACGGCATAGAGGAGGAGGAGCGAAAGAGGAGGATTGAAAGCCAGATCAAAGAGGCCCTAAGCGAGACGATATGTAGGATTTTATCTCAACGGCTCTCACGTCGTGAAGTTACACGAGATGTATAATTTCGCGAAGAATTCTTGGCCAGAAGAGGAACCGGGGGCTGTATCAGAGGAAGTATAAGACCAAGCCAAGGTTTGAGAGAACTTACATCCAGCCATATCCGAAGACAAAGTTGTAAATAATGACAAAAGCGACAGCTGTCCATTGAGTTGCGAGCGTTTGAGTCGGGAGACCGATCATAATGACGAAAACCAGCATGCAGACTGTCAAAATGACGGCCGACCAGATCAAAACACCACGGCGGCCGGCTCGTTCAATCGTGTTGGGCAGGAAATATGTGCCCGCGGCAAATCCCGTGTTCATGACTGCGGCGAGCAGTTGAGAGAGAAAGGCAGATAGCCCGACTTGTGCGAAGATGACTGTCGAATAGTAGACGGAGAGATTGATTCCTGGACAGTTATGTTAGTTTCACATCGCTGTCTCGTATAGTTTGGACGCGTGTGGTACCCATCATCTGCTGAAGCGAGAGAATCATGAATGAAATCCGGATCCGGCGACCGGCTCTCAAATCACTTCTATCCCAGATCAAATCGAGAGGGTTGAATTTATGCTCATCCTCATCTTCCAACTTGATCGATGCCAGAATCTCCTCTCTCATAGCCTGAACTCGGGAGTCATCGCGAGGTCGAGCATGGAGACGCATAACGATTGCATCACCCTCGTCGTGCCGTCCTTTGGCGTAATACCATCTTGGCGTATCTGGTAAGAAGAACATTCCAACAATAGACACTGTGGCAAAGAACGCCTGGAACGCAATGGGAAATCGCCAGGATACTTGGTTCATCATCCTCGTAAAGCCAAAGTCCACCCAATAAGCCAGCGCGACGCCAGATATAAGCCAGACGCATTGAACTGCTACTTCTGGACCTCGTTCTTTCGAGTCGATGCTCATTTCCGCCATGTATGTGGGGACAGTGCATGAGATGAATCCAATTCCAAACCCGCACAGGACTCGACCGATGATGATCTGCGGAACCGACCAGGCCGAGGCTTGCAGACTTGCTCCGACGATCACGAAGGCGTCGCCCATGAGAATGCAGCCTCGTCGGCCAAGGGGCATTCCAAGCATTGTGACGGCAAGAGAACACACGGCTGCTGCCAATGTGTAGGAGGAGGCAATCATGGGGATCACATAGGTGCCCGTGGGATGGCCCATGGCATCAAGGAATGGCTCCGTGGTTTGAACGCCTCCCAGAACTCCGGCGTCGTAGCCGTACATGCAGAATGACTAGCATTACCCAGTCAGTCGGTGGTCATGACAGTTGCCATGAGGATGGACAGTTACTTACCATGGCACAGCACGTGCTCATGATCCGGTAGAGGGTTCTACCTTGGACATTTTTGAGGAACATTTTGAAACACCAACAGAAAGTAGGCTTGGACAATGTTGGGACGGTGTGTCAGGGGGGGTAATGATAGAGACCTCGAGAAGAGATATCTCCCCGACGTGAGACCATGGATGGTAATAAAAGTATCTCAGCCTGCAAGTCCCCTCGAGAGTTATCTCGGGTATATACCCCACAGAAGGCGAAGGGGAAACGGACTGGAAACAGGAACAAAAGGTCCCACTGCATCTCAATTGATTGGCCGGCCATTGCATTTCGCCAATTCCACCCCCGCATGTTGTGAGCGAGCTGACCGGGTTTCGAATCCCGGGGGACTCCATTTCCACCTGGACTAGAGTCCGGAAGTTGGGAAACGCGGAGGATATCCTGCGCGAAGCGACAAATGCTAGACCCACGGCATAAAAACACCTGGGACTATCTGGAATAAGAATAAGAATGGAAGTAACCGCAATTTTCTCTTTAGCTTCTCGGTATCTCTCCTGCAATATCAGTTTCTTTCCAATATGAGGAATCCTGAAGTCATTGTGATCGGAGCGGGCCCGTCCGGCATTGCCCTTGCACACACGTTGAAGCATAAGCTTGGGTTCCATGATTTCACAGTATGTTCAATTTGATGAAGGGGACAAGACCAGGAATATCTTCGTCTTAATGCTAATCGAGAGGCAGATATATGAGAAGCTCGATGGAGTCGGAGGAACATGGAGAACCAATACTTATCCGGGGGTGTGAGTAATCTGTTGGCATTGATCGAGACACATTGAAATTAACCACGTCACTGGCAGAGGCTGTGATGTACCCACGATTTTGTATTCGTTTTCATTCAACTTGAATCCCAACTGGTCGAAAGAACTGTGTGATGGTCCGGAAATTTTGGATTGTTAGTACCAAGTATTCACTCAGATCAAGAGGCCCCTTTCCCTGCTAAGTATCTGTTGATAGACATGGAAGCCACCGTCGACAAATACGACTTGCGCAAACATATGCAATTTGAGATCGAATGCCTGGGTGCAAAGTGGAACAACGACACTTCCGCCTGGGACGTGCAATTCAGAGATCTCCGAACAAAGATCGAGTATATTCGCTCTGCGACCATCTTCGTCTCAGCTGTTGGTGGCATTTCATATCCCCGCGAGGTAAAGTTCCCTGGGATGGAAACTTTCAAGGGGGAAATGTTCCACACAGCCAGGTGGAACCATGGATACGACTACCATGGAAGACGAATGGCCATTATTGGAAATGGCTGCAGTGCCGCTCAAGTTGTCCCTGCCGTCGTGAAAAAGGCTGCTTTTGTGAAGCAGTATGCTCGAAGTCCTCAATGGTATCATGAACGACCGAATAGACACTTCACAAACGTTGAGAAATGGTGTTTTCGCTATTTACCCTTATGGGAACGGTATAATCGGCTCATGCTGTTTCTTCAAAACGACGATTTAGTCTCAACTTATATGCCAGGAGCTATTGCGACGAAGAAGAGAGCGAACGTCGAGGACCATGCGAAGAAGTACATTTATGCCACTTCGCCGAAGAAATATCATCATTTCTTGGTTCCGGATTTTCCGTTAGGTGGGCAGTAGCATAATTCTCTCTCTTCCCCGAAAAAATGGTGTGACTGACATGGATGCTTTACTCAAGGATGTAAACGTCGAATTTTTGACCCCAACTACCTCGAGGCCCTGCACAGTCCGAATCTTGAAGTCGTTCCAGAGGGCATTCAAGCCATTGATGAGACGGGCATCATTTCCGATGGTGGTGACAAGACAGAATTTGATCTCGTCGTACTGGCGACGGGATTCCAGGTCCAACAATTTCTAACCCCCATGGAAGTCGTGGGTAAACATGGAATGACTTTGTCGCAACAATGGAAAGAGAATCGCGGTGCTCAAGCTTATATGGGCTCCTACGTTCATAACTTTCCCAATTTCGCCATTCTGTAAGTGATTACCTGGCTTTTTGGGGACCCCATCTGTGGGGATGTATATTGATCGATCCGTGCAGATTTGGTCCCAATACTTTTCCGGCGCATAATTCAGCCCTCTTCGCATGCGAAGTGCAAGTTGAGTACATTGCCAGGACAATGATTGCGCCAATCATTGATCGTCGAGCTTCAGTCATTGAGGTCAAAGCCACATCCGAAAACCAATGGGTCAACAGTATTCACGATCAATTGAAAGGTTCGGTGTTCGCGGCTGGTTGCTCGAATTGGTACATTAATGAATTCGGACGCAATGCAGCTTCCTGGCCCGGTTACGCCTCGACATATTGGAAGGAGGCGCTGATTCCTCGCTGGGGCGTATTGACATTCACTGGCGGTTCAAAATTTTGGGTCTGGAACACGATTTATAGATGGCTCCGGACGACGAGTAGACTCACATATCTTGTCTTGTTTCTTGCCTTGTCTTCATGGCGTTTGAGGAAGACCGAGGGTCTGGTGGATAAATTAAGAGCAATACCCGCTTTGGGGTGGCAAAAATTTCGTGCTTTGATATAAAGTATGTGTAGATCTAGAGAATGCGTTTTGAGAGAGTGGGAATGCACTTCGGACCTAAGATGTATTAGTCTTCCGTACACAGCCGTCGTGATAGAGAAATCTTCCCAAAATATCAGCGACGTCTATAGTACAGTACAGTAATGCAGACGGCTTGGTATGGCCACGGATAGGTAACGTTGAGTACCCAGAGTGTCAAAAGGTTGAGTGAGACCTGGTGGTCTTCGCGAGCGAGCTTAAGCGATTCCAACCTTGATCTCCACTCAACGGCACTTGAATCCCGTGGGAAACGTCTCCCTCGTTCTAAACGGCTGTGCCCTTCTCCACGGGGCTCCCCCGCAATCTGAGCTCGTTGCCGACGTGTTCGATATGTAACTGAGCCGGCAGCCGAATTTATGTACAAGACAGCTATTTTCGTCCAGAGGTTTTAAGGTTTGCGAGTTGACAATGTATGCAAAGCACCTGTTCAACAGACCGGCACTGGCTTTGCAACTTGGTTCAAGGCGAGTTGCCAACCTTGTGAGACCCAATTATGTCGTCACGCGGGCAATTGGACTCCCCCGAGCCATGAATAATTCTGCGGTCGGGAAATCTGGCACTTCTTCGACATCGAATAAGGCACCAGGAACTCAAATCGGAGCAGACACTGAGGAATTGTACAAGACGAGATCGATCCAGGATCTATTATCCTTGAAAGGCAGAGTAACTGTTGTTACTGGTATCAGAAAGTCTTCCCCCACAGAGGTGACGAGCCGCTGATCATGCAGGGGGAGCAAGAGGTATTGGACTTGCTTTGGCCCGGGGAGCAGCAGAACTTGGGAGCGACGTGGCAGTTCTTGATGTTCTGGAAAAGCCATCCGAGGCATTTTTTGAGCTTGAGAGTGAGCTTGGAGTTCGTGCCAAATATTATAGGTATGAACATGTCGACCCCTCCCAGGTGGCATTTTGTGTATCGGCTGGTGACCCCCACAATATCCAGGACGAGTGTCACAGACGTAAACGGTCTGACCAGCAGTTTTGAATCCGTTGTGAAGGACTTTGGTCGAATAGACAATTGGTATGCCCAACTTCCGTGTCAGAAGTACTCTCTTGCCAAGTGTTGTAGTGTCACTGCGGCAGGAATAGTGCATGATAAGCCATTCTTAGAGACTACTTGGGACGATGGAGCCAGGGTGCTGGAGGTAAATGTATGTCAGAATGCTCCTAGTGAATGGAGTTGATCCTGTCTCGAATGGCCTGCTGACAGCCTGATAGGTCATGGGCACTTTCTTGAGCGTCCAACTAGCCGCCAAACAAATGCGAGCTCAGAAGACAGGCGGGAGCATTGTCATGATTGCATCAATCGCAGCTCGAGCTGCATTGCCGTCTCAAAGGCTTTCAATATATGGAGCTTCGAAAGGCGCCGTGAAATCTTTATGCCAGCAACTTTCGGTCGAGCTAGGTCCTCTTGGAATTCGAGTGAACTCCATTTCTCCGGGGTATATCGCAACAGAAATGACCAAAGGTTTGGCAGTCACGAACCCAGAACTATTTTCAGTCTTCCAATCAGCGGCTCCACTGCAGCGTATAGGGGACAGGGTTGACCTCAAGGCAGTGGCGGGATGTCTCAGTGATGCAGCTGCATATACCACGGGTAGTGATATTCTTGTCACCGGGGGACTGCATGCAGGTCAGATGTAAGAGTACAGATCTGACTGATCAGGGAGAATGTCGACGGGCGCAGAGAGCAATTCCAGCAAGGCCGGGAATTGATTATATCATGGATCTTGGGGAGGAAAATGAGGAAGCTCCAATGTGTTAAACCCCATCCAAAACAGTGTGTCAAGCGAGAAGTCATCGTAAGATGTATCGAAGAAATTGAAAGCTTGGTCTGGCTCTGAGAAGGTTGGATCGAATGCTGAGCTGTCTTGATTTTGAGTTGCATGGCTGACGTCTCGGAACTCGCTCGATGCATCTGTTGGCCGGCGCTTTTTAGTCGAGACGTTCCCTGGTTCCTGGGCCTCATTCCAAGGATTTTGTCGCTTTGCATTGGATTTAGACCGTCTCAAGAGGTCGCTCTTAATACCCATGACGACTTCAAGTGCTCTTGCAGCATTTTTGAACACCAAGCCCATTTCACTGAGCGCCTGGCAACATATTTCCAAGTTCTTCCAGGCATTCTCACTTCGACTTTGATCCAATGCTCCACAGGCTGTAAATACGTGAACCAATGTGGCCGTGAAAATAAGATGGACTGCCTGAACGTTGATTCTCCTGAGACCGTATAGACGGCGATATAAATGGACCAATCTTGCGATCGAATTTGCCGAATCTGTACATGCTTTGCGAATCATTGCGAGCTCAGTGACAGTAATGTCGGGCAATGTCTTTGCGGAAGCAAAAAACGGGCGAGTGGTGATAATGATAACACAATGATATTGCATACTAGAGGATGTCAACTGTGAGATCTCCGGGAACAGCGGTTCTCACTCACTGGAGTTGTAGGACGTGCGGTAGGTAAAAGCAATTGTTGTCAAGGCCGTTGATCACCAAGCTCATCGGCAATGTCTCACGCCATGTTGACAATTTAGAGTACATCTGAGTGGCAAAATCATACAACTCTCTCACGCCCTTCGGATCTGTGATACCATCAGAATAACTAACATGTGTCAGTCACTTGATCCTGTCGAAATCAAACAATACTTACAGAACTTCGCGTATATCCGTCATATGGGCGCAGAGCTTCACATTCCAAATGCTCAGCTCGTCGATGCAGTCTGCCACAAGTGGTAGGTCTAGGCCCTCGTTGTCGTCGATGTAGGGCGACCAACACTTTTGCACACGTTCCGTGCCATTTCCTGGTATAGAGAATCGCACGGTGATATTCTTGTCATCGATCCCGACCGGCCTGCCAACGTACAGGCTCCACATTCTGAAAATAATCAGTGATCCCGCCGCGGCAATGCCACGATAGGGTAGGTACCTATCATGCACGAACACCCCGCCCCAGATAACTTTCCGAATCATTCCTTCTTCCGATGAAATGATACCCGCTTGAACGTATGGTTCAGGATCAAGGTGGAGCCCTAAATCGACCGCAAGCCTGACAGCTGCCCCTGTGAGTTGAATATAAGCACGATCCCTAGGGCGACGGGAGAATCTGAACGCCATACCGCTGTCGAGCCAGCCACGAGCGTCTCTTGTGAGGGCTGCATCCGTGGCACTGAGTATGACCAATGACTGCACTGTTGACAAGGTAGGTGCATCCATCTCGAGATCGAGTAATAACTTCGCTCTAGTTCCAAAGAAGTCTGGCAACGGATCCGGAAGACCGGGGCATTGCCTCGACGTCAAAGTCGCGCCGACAGAACAGCTGGAGACGAAAATTAAACCAGTGAGTAATATGAGGAAAAAAGGAGAAGGGGGGGCTGTTGTTGCTGGTGGATGCTTACATTGCATTCGTTAATACCTCAGAATATAATGTACTAGATTTACCCTCGGTCCTGACTTTTTTTCGTTCGCGCCAGAAGATCGACTCTTCGACAACATGGATACTAGGGTCTTCCCAACAGAAATAAAGCTTCAGGAGATGATCTTCGAGAGCACCATCGACTGTATGACCGACACCTGCACCATGTAGTAGATCTGCGCCTTCTTTGGAAGGAGAGCGGAACTTGGATCGGGATAGAGAAAGAGGGCCATTGTGAAGGATGTGGAGATTTGAAGTCGCACCAAACCAGCGGAGCTGGCCATCTTCTGCTATTTGTAGGGAGCCCATCCTTCCTGATAGCTGATCGACGAGAGGATCTGGCTGTGTATTGGGGTTGGGGTTGTCAATCATGGGTTGTTCAGGCGATGACCCCGAATAGAAGTAGTCATCATCGATTCCGGCTCCATTTTCTAAGAAAGGAGAAGTCTGACCGTTACGGCCTCCATGATCTGAGACTGATTCAGTTAGGCTCTGTGCGACTATGGAGGAGCTCACCTGGCCATTCGCTTGGTTGGAATTCTGTCTGACTCTTGCTAGGGAACGGGCCCTGTTGTTGGAGGACATCCTTAAACTGGCCGGTCGTAGATTTCGCATTTTCATAGATGTCCTGGGAGTGCATCGGAGGTGCTTCCGGAAGAGGAATACCATTGGCGGTAAGGAGGGATTCCAGCTCCCGGCAATATGCGGTCAAAGCAAGCAATCTCCCCTTGGGAGCAACTTTTCGTTTGTCCATGTCATGCCGGAAGACACACTCTTGGCCATAGAGGATGCAATTGGAGCATCTCGGAGCAACACCATCACATTTAATTTTTCTTTTCCTACAGCCCAGGCATGCGGTGGTCACATGCTTGCCTTTTCCTTTCAACTGTGAGTTTGTGGACAGTGGTCTCGACGACATGAGGTCACAGTGATCAAGGTGTATCAATCGATGTCGTAAGTCCTGACCATGTGTCTTTCTGCTGCATCGAGAGCATTATAATGTTGACTATGGATAAACAGGAGAGAAGGGAATGTCTGATGAGGTTTTGAATCCAAACCTAGAATTGCGGGGCAAGCTAATTTACCCCGGCTATTTCCTAATTTAGTTGGCAAGGCTACCAAGAATTTTTTAATTCACGACATGAAGAAAAAAGAAAGAAAAATATTTTATGTATTCACTCTACCAGTAGGAACATTGGGACGGTGCCAGAGACTGTGTGAACCAACCACTGCTGAAACCTTCATGAACGCGGCGGCTGTAATTCCTTACAGATGTTCATTAACTCTGTCATACAAGTAGCCTATTCATGCCCAGGACGAGCGCCTCAGTGACAAATACCAAGGTAACTCCCTTCAAGACTGCCAGCCCTCCATGATGGATAGCAAGTCTAGATATAATTGCATCTCACTAGAGCAGCTCAATCCACTCCAATGCTTTAGAGGGGACGAGTCGCTTCTGGTAATCCGAGTGGACAAAGATATTGCGGACTACACCAGTCGAATTCGCCGACATAGTTGCTGGAAGAGGGAACCTTTAGGGAATCTGTCCCCTATCGTTTCTTCCAGTCGAGCTGTGCAAACTCAAACACGAATCGAATGGAATCGGGCTAAGTCACAGCAGTTCCTAACTTTTGGACCACCTGACAATCAGTGTCTGGCCAAACAGCAGGTCCAAGCCCCTTTTTCTCACACAATACCGCAGTAACAAGCTCCCAGTTCAACGAACCTCATAATCGGTCTCTCTCCTGTCTGGATATCTGCTCAAATTGGCCGTAATGTCAACGGCGAAAGTGACCCCGTTTTTGTACTTCTCGCTCCGCTCGCAAGTAAAGATCAACACAAGCATTCTGGGCTGCGACCAGTCCGTCATCCGTACTAAGGTTACACAACCGATGCAAAACTTGTAACACGAATCTCGCCACGTCGAAGTCGGGCTCGGCGCTTTCGTCGCGGGCGTCGAAAATGATGTGTGCAAGAACGACTGCCAGGGAGGAAATAATCGTTTCCAGATTCAACCTGTAGCCTCAAGTTGAGTAATTGCAAACAGGAGGTTTATTGCCTTGGAAGAGATCAGAGACTTACCGGGTGTATCCGATATTATCGCCGGGGATCAATTTCATGAAATCGATGAACCTTCGTGCATCTCCATGTAACAGCTGCGCCTTTCGTTTGGAGATTCCCTCCGTCAGCCCATCGGCTGCGAACGGGTTCCTCCGTGCCTTGCTTGTGGGTGAAAGATGAGCGTGAAAGGCGAATGCCGTTGAGAAATAGGTCGATTCAAGAGCTATAACGTGCACCAGGTCGGACCTATGTAAATGGTTGTGCAGGTTGTCAACGTTCAGCTCAAACAACCAATTTCGTCGCCAATCCCCCAACTTGGCGGCCAACGCCTGAAGCTGCATGTCATCAGAGTATTCAGGCTTTCCAAGGGTCAGTGGTGCCAGAACTTGCTCCATGAATTCAGCTTGGAGCAAAGCTAGCTCCACGCGCAGACGGAAGGTGTTAACTTGGAACTCGCCATTTGCAGCAGCAATTTCACCTGCTATATCTGACGGGTCATATGCTGGTAACTGGACATTGATAAGTCTAGGGCTTAGGGACGGTAGGCGCCCCCGCTCTCAGACTCATGTCTGAGTCCATGAAATATGCGATCCAAAAGACTCGTTGCAGTTGAAGTGTATCTCCTGGAGGAACCAGATTAAACCTCCGGGGTTCATTGACATGAAGATCTTGGACCACCCGCAATGCCATCGACACATACAAGGCAGCTGGTTGAGGGTGCGAGGATGTTGATATGATAATGGCTATTCCCAAGAGACATTGAGCAAGAAGTGGAGTAGATCGCAGATGGAGAAGCGTAGGAACTTCTGACAGGGATTCTTCTAGGTAGATTGTGGCATTTTCCATATCCTGACCGACCCCTAATGGACTCATAGCACGCAGGCGATGTGCAATTCCTAGGACAACTTTCAGTGCAACCCATGAGATGACCGTACCATCTGCTCTGCCCTGGTAACAGTCTTGAAATAACGTGCTGATGGCGGCGGCGTCGAAGAGAGGAATGGCGGTGTTGAAATCCACCAAGAACTCTTGAAGCAGAAACAGTCCACCGTGTACCGGTGGCAAAGAGCACTTTTTATCACCATTAAGTTTCACTTGAGGCCGAAGGTCGACGTCGATCATATTGGGCGCTGACACTGACATGTCAAACTGCGTGGTTCCATTAGAAATCCATAACTGAGATATCTCTGGTGGCACTTGGGGATATTTTCTGGTGACAGATGGTGGATCATTAGTCACGGGGTTTTGCAATTGGTCCGATCCAAGACTCTGCATCAGAGCATTGGGAGCGGAGGTGCTTCCATTTGAGACTGTATCCGTCAGAAGCGAGTCGGACATGGATCGAATTGGCTGTGTAGATGACGTGCTAGAAGGCAGCGAGGACGGTGTCATTGCATCCAGCTGCTCTTGACGTTGAGGCTGCGAGGCGTTTGCAACGACGGAACTTTTGATGAGGTCTTCGAGACTGCGCAATCGGTCCTCTAGGTTCTCCATTCGTACTCTGCACCCTGTCAGCTTCAATTTCAATTGCAAACAAAAAAAAACTCAGGCGAAAAACTTTTTCCGCTTCTCTCGCGGTTTCGTCACATGAGTGATTTGGCAAACAGATTTGGACTTTTCGCACGCTGAACATCGTCCGCCCGAAGCCTTTAAGTCGCATTTTCTCTTCTTCAGACGACATAGGTCGCAAGCCTGATCGAGAGTCAATTTCTGCCGGCTTAGGTTGTGTATTCGAATTTTCCAAAAATTACCTGGACAGTATTCCCAGCTCTGGGAGGTGGGTTTGATGATTCCGCCATCACCCGGGATTCAATGGGTAAACGCCAAGTTGAGAGTAGCCCTCCTACCAGCGGCAGCGAAGAATGCCGCGCGAGGTTTGGCGAATTGTTATGTAGAGGGGGAATGGACTTTGTCTGTGGTGGAAGAGCCAGCCATCAAGACGAGCTGAGAGTGAGGTGGGTGAAGAGCTGCAGATTTGAGGTCTCCCAGGAGCTTCTCAAATATGGTTCTATCGCATTAGGCAACAATGTGTACAATTTTAATAACTTTCTGATCGAAAGTTAGGTGGGTATGACAAAGGAAGTAGTCGATGCGGACCTGCGGGGCGTTTTCTGCTCCGCGGAGCCGCCAACGTCAGCCTTGTCGAAAGTGGAAAAGCGCAGCCTTGTAGTTGCAGCCGAGGCACTTTGACAGCAGCCATCCTCCCTCGGCGTAGAAGGAATCGCTTGAACTTAAAGCTGGACTTCCCTTGACATGTGTTCCAGGGTCAGGACCTTTATGGAACGGTGCTCACCTGGTTCGAGGAATGGCGGCAAAGATGAACTTTCCTATCGTTGATGCGTGGGCAAACCCTATTGGAGGGGTAAGTAGTATTTGACCTTGATCCCGTACAACAATCGCAACACTTGACCTTGAGTGAGGCAAGCTGCAAAACGATGTTTTCACTGGCCTTCTCTCAAACGATGGTCTGACCTTTTCCTGGTAGAAGCCAATCCCAGAAGTCGAACGTCTCTTCCGTCAAAGCCATGTCGAACCCGCGCTTACATCTCGTCGGCCCACCCCAAAAGAATTGGTCGCCATGATGGACGCAGCCGGCGTATCTCAGATCTGTCTAGCATCATGGCGCCGACCGAGCCAGATCATCTTCTCTAACGAGGAAGTCGCCGAGTATACACGAGCCTATCCCACTCGAATCTTTGGGCTTGCATCGGTAGACCTCCTCGATCCAGTCAGTGCCGTCAAAGAACTCGAACATTATGTCGTCAAGGAGGGCTTCAAAGGTCTACGGGTCGTCCCCTGGCTATGGAATTTACCGCCCATGGATGCCCACTATTGGCCCTTATACGTAAAGTGCATCGAGCTCGATGTTCCTTTCTGTACACAAGTTGGACACACGGGTCCACTTTGTCCAAGTGAAACAGGACGACCGATTCCCTACATCGACACCATTGCACTAAAGTTTCCCCAGCTGAAGATAATATGTGGTCACATCGGTTATCCATGGACGGCCGAGATGGTGGGGGTGGCGTGGAAGCATGAGAACGTGTACATTGACACCAGCGCGTACCTCCCCAAATATTACCCCTCGGAGCTGATCACCTTTGCCAATACGACAGGTCGCAAAAAGGTCATGTTTGGAACAAATTTTCCACAACTATCATGGAAAGCTTGCGTGGAGAGTGTTGGCAAACATTTGATGGACCAAGGAAATGGCCTGAGGAATGCAGTTGTTGCCGACTTCATGGGCGGCAACGCGAGACGAGTTCTGAAATTGGACGACCCCAGCTCTGGAAATTCTAAAGCATCATTGTGATCTTCCAAATTGTTTATCGAGAAGCTGCAGGTGCTGGTGTTTGGGAGGAGACTGGATATGGCCCACGTACTAGACCGACTCCAGGCAGTCCCAAGTCATGCAACCAACCAACCGAAACGCCTGGTATTTGACGGCAGTACTGTGATCATTGTCGCTCAAAATTCCATACCGTCAGCTCCTGTCATTCCACTGTCATCTCTTTCTCGTTTGACTCGAACCGTTTCACTCTTGAGTAATGATTTTACAAATCCGTCAAATAATTCGACAAAAGGCTTGAGACTCGTCTTTTCCCAATCATTCAGTTTTCTCATTGTTACGCCCTCCTCGACATATCCATTCGACTGCTCTTCGTCTGCAGCACTGCCAAATTGATCAACTTCTCGGAGAAGTTGATTGACCTTTGGTACTCTCAATGGGTCAAATGACTCCGCGCGCTTCATGTTACCTCCAGCTGTAATGGGTACGCAAACTCTTCCTGTGCCGGGGTGCACGACAAAGGGACTTTTCAGAAGATGGATTCTTTTCTTTCCGACTTCCACATCAAGTCTGGGATAGGTATATTCGAGCACTATGTCCTGTTTTGCTTGGATCAAAGCTTTCGGATCGAGAGTCTTGCTGACGCCGGTTTCTGCCATGGAATCGATATCGGCCCATTTTCGTGTGCTCGGTCGGTTTGGGCTACTCGCCCACTTCTTAATTAATGCTTCATTCAGGGCCCTGTCTGGTAGTAACTGGAGGAGCCGATCTTGTCCCGCTTGTGACAAGAATGGCTCTTGGTCGACCAAGACCTGCTGAAAGTACGGCTTCAATATGTCGAGACTTCGAACGATGTGAGGGTGAAGAGGTCGTTTGAGGTTGACCCTCTTTCCACTCTGAACTCCTCCTTTTAGGACTTCGAAGTATCCGGTAACGGCTTTGCGCTTGTCATCATCTAATTCCCTAGCCTCTTTGTCACTAATCCATGCGTGGACACCACGACGTCCAGAATAGATCCAGATGATGTGCTCAAAGCCAAAGTCTTCTCGTAAAGCAACATCAACCACTTTAATGGCCATTGTTGCAAACGTCCAGCATTTGGAGCAGATGTTTGCTTTCTCACAGCACGTTCGTATATCATCGTAATCCGTCAAGTCGATATCGAATACGATTTCCTTGCTTAGAGGTCGGAACATGGAGCTCTTTCTGAGTGTCTTCCGATCTCTTGGGTTGGTGGTGTAGACTGGACCAATCTCGAAACGGGATGGATTGTGACGCAAGATGTCCTTTCGAAGCGTGTCTGCGGTAGGATATGATTGATAACGAAGGTAGGCATCATTTGGCAGGGTCAGCGCGAACTCTCGATTGCTGAAGTCGGGACCAGGCTTGGGAGAGTGATTGAGCCATTGGAAAAGCGATCGAAAGGGAAATAGACGGGAGTAGAATTGTAGCATTAGGTGGGGATCTGAATATGATTCCTGCTGAGTCGTGGAAGCCGTCTCTACTGGCGAGCTGCGCGCATTCTGCGGGGGTGAAGAGGGTATATTGGCTGCGCTCGATTCTTCGAGAATATCCTCTGAATCGTCGTCGTCATCAACAAAGAGATCTTCGAGTGGGACAGCTCTCTGATTTGAATTGTCCAGGCCGGTATCGCCGTCAGGCCCCTGATCTCCACTTGCTGGTGGTGCATCGGGCAAAGGAATATCCTCATCTTGTGTAGTCGATGCCGCTGGCGGCGACGAGGACTCTGCCATCTTGATACCCATACCGCTGGTTTGTCAGTGACGAGAATGGTAGGTGGCGTCCTCGAAGTTATGAAATGTGCAGACAACAGGGTAATCGAACGCGTCTCCGAAAGGAACGCGTTAAGCGCTAAGACCGAAATGTTCAAGTGAATTTATAAGCAGCCCGATCTGCTGCACTCTGGATTTACATTGTACAGCACCTCCGCTGACAAGAACACAAGCAAAGACTTTGATGTTCAGGGCTGTTCGAAATGCTTTTATTTGCGGTATGCACCAAAATGTCAGCGCTAGGTTTGATATCCAATTCACCCTAATCCAAACCAGACAAATCATCAAATATCCTCATGGCACACTGCCGGGTATTCCTCCGCAGAAAGAAATATAATTTTACATCAAGATTTATTTTCCTTAATCTCATTTGCATCTGAAAAAGGCCCTGAATCTTGTTTTACCAACTCTGGGCGACTGGTGGTGCTGGTCACGCCCATATGCTGAGGGTCTCTAGCACGGTTGATAGCATCTTCAATCATGACGTTCAGAGCATTGCTGTTGGTATGTCTGTGAGTTGGACCACTTGACACTTTCAGCGTGTCAGGTGGCAGAATAGCGCTCACAGACGAGGATCTGGCGGAATGATTGGCAGTAAAAGGCGGATTTGGTATCGTAAGAGGAGAGACAAGGGGTCCTTCCATGACTGTGCTGCGTGTTGTAGTAGTAGTAGGAGTAGTAGATGAAGCCACCACTTCCTTTTCGTCATCGAAAATAGGAGTACTCTTTTCAGATGTTGCTTGAGGGGTGCTTTTCTGGGCTCCTTCCTTGGCAAGATTGGCGAGAGTAGGGATTTTGGTTCCCGAGCTAACTTTCTTTACCTCGATAGGTCGTGCAGTAACATTCCTTGCCACAATCGAACTATTGCTGCCGCCAAGTTTGGGAACCTGGGGAATTTGCGGAGTTCTCGAACTGGGTGTTGAGGAGCTTCCTGGGGTATTTGAGCCCGACTTTACACTCACAATATTCGCTTGGGCCCGTAATGCATGTTGTGCCGGGATTTGCGGAACGGTAGCGTCACTTCGATAGATTGTTGTAGCCACGCTTTCTCGAGCCAGGCTAGGTGCGATACTTATTCGGGGATCCACGGAAGAAGCGTCCGACCAAGTTGAATCTCGCAGATCTTTGGGCATAAAGAAGTGTTGCTCTAGCTCAGGGGTAGAGTTGGCCGAGTTAGAAGCGGCGCTGCCAGGAATTGAAGGAACAGGCGGCACCAAAAGTCCAGGGGATTCGGGTGGTGATCGAACTGTAACTCCCGGAATGTAGGCGATTTGAATGACGTTGGAGGCTCGTGTAAGCACCGTCGAAGCAATAGAATGAGCAGACCTGGCCGATCGACGATCGGACCGGCGGAGTGTAGATTGATCTCTTTTTTCTGGAGGATCCCAAGTCTCAACTCGCCGTTTTTTGCGGATACGGAATCGATAGAACAAATAGATGGCAACGATAAGAACCACAACACCTCCTACGACGCCGCCAACAATGGGACCGATTGGCGTAGATTTTTTTGGAGCTGCTTGACCGGGGAGAGAGCCGATTTTGACACAGGTTGTTGATGCGCACGAATCGCATGACTGAGCATTTAATGAACAAGTCTCATCAGGGCCACATGCAGGACAGCTAGGCGGGTCTGGAGGACACTGAACACAACGCCGAAAAAGCTGATGATCAAAGACTACGCAGGAGGTTAGCAATGACCAGATGGGGTATGACGGTTTGCATACACTCTGGCGGCGCCATGCCAGCGTCGGGTAGCGAAGAAGGTCAAGGTAGCTTTTCAAAAGCCAAGAGCTTCAGAATGAAAGGCTCGGCCTGAGGCGATGGATTGCCAGGCAGGTCAACCCCCAGTTTTTGAGCACTGGTGATCCTGATCAATCCGTCCGTATCGCGGCACTGTCCAACGCTCCTGAAAACTCCTCCACCGAACACGACAACTCCAATAACGACAGAGGTAATAGATCTCGACGATGGTGATTGAAGTGCACCGTTTTGCTCCTTCGAACCGAATCGACGGAAAGGGGAGATGCGCGGACGGACTGAGGCGGATGGACCGTATTGGGAACGAGGGTGGCCGAAAGCAGATAAAAGAATGTGGCACGGGACAACCGTTCTCAACAACGCTCCAACAGCAACCACAGTCAAAAATTCAAGATGTGAAGACGGGAAAGATCGAATAAGAGTCGGTAGGTTGAAGGAATGGGGTTTGAGATGGAAGAAAAGATGGATGAGTTCGCGCAGGTGAAGGCTGCAGATCTCTCGTTCTCGGCCCTGGGTTTGGTTTGGCCGTGGAAGAGGGACGATGGGGCTCGTCGTGCTCGCTGGTCTGATGGCGGAGATGTTATTTGCTGGCCCAACTCGCTGGGGTTGTTCAAGTGGAGTCACAACGAGGGCAGAGGGAGATGAAGGGGGCATCCAACGAGACACCCGAACGGTGGATCACTATTGCGGTTGGTTGAGAGCTCATTAGCCGCGACACGCGGCAGGGCAAGAGGAGCCTAGATACTCCGCAGGGGAAAGCGTCGCTCTCCTTCAAACATGGTCATGCGAGGACCCTCCAATTTCCTGAATGAGATCCTCTTCTCCCAATCACTGCTGCTAAATTCGTTTTCTTCTGATGGGCTGACCGTGAAGCGAAATTCCTCGAAATTGACTGCTCAGAGCTTTGGAATCATATACAACATGTGATGGTTCTACATGAGAGAGAGAGAGAGAGACTGCGGCTCTGACAATTCCTGCAGTTTTGAGGCTTGGAAACATTCTGTCGATGTTGTTTCGCATCACTGAGCTGATCTCTCGACACTAAGGAAATCTTGGTCGAAGATATCGTTTCATCAAAGGGAACAACCACCTCCACGATGCAAGAAAAGATCAAAATGGGCCAGATTCATATATGATGGGGTATCTAGACTGCTCTACACAGGAGGGGATCAGAAGACAGCTGCAGAAATAGCGACGATGGCTGGAAATATAAAATAAAAATGGCTTCTTGTCAGGCCCGTCAAGTTCCATATCTACATTAACAGCCCACTACTGTGCGACGCGCGTCGCGCGTCGCAACCCTTCCACATCAACCAGCTTTTCTTTATCGCAGCTCAGAAATTCCATTTCCAATTCATAAAAGATGAATCTAAATTCTGTTTTACGAGGGGGGCAGAACTTTGCGAGATATAAAGTCAGATGTTCCTAGTGTTTCGGATGCTGATGAACATAGAATTGAGGATCTCTACTTGTGGCGTAGAGTCTGCACCGCCAACACGGCATGTTGTCTGTTTCTTAGCTTGTAGCGTGAGCAAAGAGGAAATGGTCAAAGCTCATCAGCTGGAATGCATGTTTGACGTGACTATGCCCCGAGTCGGACTTGATCGGCGCTCGAACATACGCTGGAAGGAGAAGTACATCAGAGGACATACTTACCGTCTGTCTCACAGCCCTATTAAATAGGTGGATGACATGTTTCCTGCTATTGCGGGGAGGATGCAACCAAATCTGGCTGCTGAAACCACTTAGACAATCCGAAGCCCTGTATTGTTAGCCTCAGGCCGATCAGGCGTCCGCTAGTTCCAAAGGTCCTGTATGGTGCACAAGGTACTTCCACAAAAATGGCCCGCATCAAATATGCAAAGCCACCACGGGACCGGGCGTAGCCACCAAACCCCATTTCAGGGTTCGTTACAGTGTTTCATCCCCATGAAAGAAAAAAAATACTCAGAGCCGGTTTTCGTTAAGATCGAGAAGAGATCTCCGTGCCATCGGAATTGCGTACATCGTCTTCTCGAAAATGTAGTCAACTTAGCAGCGACAGTAGGACCCACCCGACAAGGCCCAGAACAGGAATTTGTTGCAGGGGGCGAAAGACAGACACTTCGGCTCCCCTGTTGCTGAGCAGCTCAATTGACTCCCCTAAGAAAAGAGACGAACCAGCACCAGCACTGGGGTCCAACCGTAATTCTCACCTGCACAGCCTGGCTCTTTGCACACGAGAGTAGTACTCAGGATAGCGATGCCCTGGCTCATTCCATTGGTGTGAGCGGCTAGCGACCGCTGTCGTCAGCAGTTCTCCGAGCCCATCTGGTCAGCTCGGCGGTCTTCAGGGGATTTTATCCTGCAGACTGCGCTCAACCAGTGGCAAGACACTTGAAACATCGCTGTCTCTCGCTTCCTTGGTCTTCGGTCCAAAATCCGTGAACCTTGGTTACAATTAACAACTGCTCGATTCTTAACTTTTTTTTTTTTTTTTTTCTTTGTTCGTTGCGTAAAAATCATTCTCCTTTACCTCCGCATTCGTATCACCTCAGTCCCAATCCTTCATTCCAGCAACCACCCAGCTCTGACTCTCACTACTACCAGCAGCGTCACATCATATTACCAGCCCTGGAGGCTTGTCATCATTTTCCCATCCCTCTCTCCCCCTTTGGCAACTTCGTCCTATCGACTGAGGCATAGCATCTTTGCCACCGCATTCAGGGCCTATCCGGTCTTCGACTGTGTATTTGGACAAGTCGAACGGCATGGCGAACAAGTACCCTGGTGGCTATGAGAATAGTCATCAACTTCATGACATTCCTCCTGGAAATGTATGTGATGAGGATCTAAAGCGCAAAACAAAACCTGACATCTGGCAGAATTACCGACCCACCGGTCACCATTCAGACGATGAAGCCGAACATTCTTTACTACATCAAAATTCCGCATATCAATCTCAATATGAAGATCCTCACTCTCGACCGCTAACACCGGGACAAGAGTCGGTCTATACATTGAATGAGACATATGTCGGAGGAGATGTGTCGAAAGTCCCGACCACGGGTTACAATACACAATACAACCAAGTCTATAGCCAACAACCAGGCTATGGTCTCACGAATTCCCAAGCGGGCTTTCCCACTCCCGGTCCACTCGACCCAAACGACAGGAGCAGTTCTACTGAAGCATGGAGAGAGCGACAGGCTCCCGGTCTTGGTTCAATCAAACGATACGCGACCCGAAAAGTCAAACTGGTCCAAGGAAGCGTCCTCAGTATCGACTATCCTGTCCCCAGCGCCATTCAAAATGCTATTCAAGCAAAATATCGAAATGATCTGGAAGGGGGCAGCGAGGAGTTCACACACATGCGATACACGGCAGCCACTTGTGATCCCGATGATTTCACATTGAAGAATGGGTACAACTTGCGCCCGGCCATGTATAATCGACATACTGAGTTGCTGATTGCCATCACCTACTACAACGAAGACAAGGTTTTGACCGCCCGCACTCTGCATGGCGTCATGCAGAACATCCGCGACATTGTCAACCTGAAAAAGTCCGAGTTCTGGAACAAGGGTGGACCGGCCTGGCAAAAGATTGTCGTTTGCCTCGTTTTTGACGGAATCGACCCTTGCGACAAGAATACCCTTGACGTCTTGGCTACTATCGGTGTGTATCAAGACGGAGTCATGAAGAAGGATGTGGATGGGAAAGAAACCGTAGTTCATATCTTCGAGTACACGACACAACTCTCTGTTACTTCTAATCAACAATTAATTCGACCGACTGGAGACGATGCAACCTCATTGCCCCCCGTACAGATGATTTTCTGTTTGAAGCAAAAGAACAGCAAGAAAATCAACTCCCATCGATGGCTGTTCAATGGATTCGGGCGCATCCTCAACCCGGAAGTGTGTGTCTTGCTTGATGCCGGAACCAAGCCAGGATCCAAGTCTTTGATGGCTCTATGGGAAGCTTTCTACAACGACAAGGATCTTGGAGGTGCTTGTGGTGAAATCCACGCCATGCTGGGCGGTAAAATCATCGGGAAGAAGCTTCTGAATCCCCTGGTGGCCGCTCAAAACTTCGAATACAAGATCAGTAACATCTTGGACAAACCTTTGGAAAGCTCGTTCGGATACGTCAGTGTTTTGCCCGGTGCATTCTCCGCGTATCGCTTCCGCGCTATCATGGGCCGCCCGCTCGAGCAATACTTCCATGGTGACCACACTCTATCTAAGAGATTGGGTAAGAAGGGTATCGAAGGCATGAACATTTTCAAGAAGAATATGTTTTTGGCCGAAGACCGTATCTTGTGTTTTGAATTGGTCGCCAAAGCCGGGTCTAAATGGCATCTTACCTACGTCAAGGCCTCGAAAGCTGAAACGGATGTGCCGGAAGGTGCCCCTGAATTCATCGGCCAACGTCGACGTTGGCTCAACGGTTCCTTCGCCGCTTCCATCTATTCCCTCATGCATTTCTCACGCATGTACAAATCGGGCCACAGCATTATTCGCATGATTTTCTTCCACATCCAGATGATCTACAACATCGTCTCGGTTGTTCTTTCCTGGTTCTCACTTGCAGCATTCTGGCTCACCACCAAGATTCTGATGGATCTTGTCGGCCAACCGAGCGAAAACAACGACAATCAGGCTTTCCCCTTCGGCAATGATGCGACTCCAATCATTAATACCATTCTGCAATATACCTACTTGGCGTTCCTTTTGTTGCAGTTCATCTTAGCCTTGGGAAATCGTCCCAAAGGTTCGAAGATTGCTTACATCATCTCATTCGCTGTCTTCGCCATCATCCAGCTATATGTCATTGTTCTGTCTATGTACCTGGTTGTACGGGCATTCACAAGTGAAGATGGAACGGACATCGTCACCAATGAAGGCGCCAATGAATTCGTCAAGTCTTTCTTTGCTTCGACGGGACCTGGTATCGTCATCATCGCTCTGGCCGCCACTTTCGGTCTGTACTTTGTGGCATCATTCTTGTACATGGACCCATGGCATATGTTCACCTCATTCGCTCAGTATCTGCTTCTCATGCCGTCTTTCGTCAACATTCTGATGATATATGCTTTCAGCAATTGGCATGATGTCTCTTGGGGTACCAAGGGATCTGACAAGGCAGATGTCTTGCCTTCAGCACAAACAAAGAAAGATGAGAAGGGCAAGACAGCTGTTATTGAAGAAGTGGACAGACCACAGGCCGATATTGACAGTCAGTTTGAAGCCACTGTAAGACGCGCATTGGCCCCCTTCAAGCCACCGGTGGAAAAGGAAGAAAAGACTTTGGAAGACTCGTACAAGAACTTCCGAACTCGATTGGTGGCCACTTGGATCTTCTCGAATGCTTTGCTTGCTGTTGTTATTACTAGTGATAGCCTGGATAACTTTGGATTCACGGTAAGAATCTTCCTCCTCCTCCTCCTCCTCCGCGGGGTGACCATATCTTTGGGCCTTGCTAACATACTTAACAGTCCCAAGCAACCACGAGAAGCAACCGATTTTTCCAGACTCTCCTGTGGACCACGGCGGCATTGTCCTTGATCCGATTCATCGGATGTTGTTGGTTCCTCGGAAGGACTGGTTTGTTGTGCTGTTTCAACAGACGATAAAGGTGTTATCATAGGTTCATGAAACTGCATAGCGTCGGTTGGGGCCAATGGTCGAATTCAAAAATGGAGTCTCCGGGCATATCCATGGATCGAGTCCCAAACAAAAATTGTATTGGCTTATCAGAATTTGCAACAGAAGCTGCGTACTAAGGGTCAATAATCAGCATCAATCAACTGAGCAAGTTTGGGATTCAACATTGTAGATTGCCGTAAAAATACCCTGTATGGCGGTTTCGAATTCATCACACCGTAGTCGAATCCCATTACCCTAGACCAAAGGTAATTGGTATTGAGGCACCCCTTTCGGCCTTGCGTCATGTGGGGGCGGCAAGGTGACTTGGCCGATAACTCGCTTCGCACCTTTGGGCCGACTCGCTAAATGATCTTTTGCCGCCGTTTGATGATATCCCTTCGACCCTCCTGCGATTCGAACGGTTTATGTTGCGGCGCTTTGCGTTTGCGATTACCTAGTTTGATCATTTTGCCGTTAGCTGAGCTGCGAGGAGTATTTTGGGGGAAAAAGGGACACCAGCAAACAAGTGATTCAGGCTGCGCACCCACTTCTGCCTTTCACTCATTAAACATTAACGAAGCGTATATCCGCTTGACTTCTCCGAAATAAAATATACACCTCGACCTCGAATATCCTAGCATCTGGCACTTCCGAAGAACGTACAAAATTTTGACTTGCCGCTCTCCAATAACCCCTCTACAATAGAGCTCATTGCCTCCGTGGCGGTAACCGGCCGTCAAGATGATGAAGATATGGTCTATGGTAGGAGGAATCAAGTCACGCAGTCATGGACACTGTTCTGATGATGATATCCAGAAACAACAGCAGCAAAAAGATGAGCAAGCGCAGGGGACAACTCAGAAAAAGAAGAAGGTCACGGCTGCCCAACTCCGTGTTCAAAAGGGTATGTCAGATATAAGGACACGTTGGCGGAAGATGCTGATATCATCAGATCTCAGTGAACTATCTCTTGGGTCCACCATGAAGACGACGTTTCCAAATCCTGACGATATCCTCAATTTCACGCTCACGATCGAACCAGACGAGGGCATGTACAAGGGAGGAAGCTTCGTCTTCAACTTTGCTATCAACCAGAACTTCCCCCACGATCCGCCCAAAGTTAAATGCACTCAGAAGATCTACCACCCCAATATCGATCTGGAGGGTAATGTCTGCTTGAACATCCTCCGAGAAGATTGGAAACCTGTGTTGAATCTGAACGCCGTGATTGTCGGCATGCAGGTAAGTAATTGAGAAAGAGTAGATAATTTGCTCCAGATTGCTGACATATTATCAGTTCCTCTTCCTCGAACCCAATGCATCTGATCCGCTCAACAAAGAAGCTGCAGAGGATCTCAGAAACAACCGAGAAGGATTCAGACGAAATGCGAGAACGGCAATGGGCGGCGGCGCGGTTAGAGGCCAAACCTATGACCGAGTCTTGCGATGATATCCACGATACCCGAACTTAGAGGGACGATGAACATGACTGGAACGAGACACTTTGGACATGTACATTGAGGGTTTCAAGCATTGCAGAGATGGGTGTTGGAAAGGAGGGAAGGGGAGTGTTTGGTAGAGGCGCGCTTTCATATGGGTATTCCTAGCGAAAGATTTTCTCTGTTCCCGCTCGATATGGCCATTTGGATCGCTGTGAGGCTTTGAAAAGCGTCATGAAGACAACCCATGTTGACAATGGGTCTCCATACGGAGGTTTTCACGGAGGCAAAGGATCCAGAGACAGGCCCAGTACTGCCAAAAAGGGTGGGATCGGGGAGACTAAAGCATCTCCGAAGGCTTTCGCCGTTGTCGGAGGCAGGGGTGCCCTTCGTTGCTTGGTGCTCCCAGCCCAACCAGAACTCCCAGTGACTACTTGTAACTAGTGCTAATTAGTCCTCGCCGAAGTACAAACATTTCCCCAGACTCTTCTTGGACTCAGATTTTCGAATTTCTGATTTTCTTTTTCACAGTCGGATACTTGGGACATCATGGCCTCGAAGAACTTTGTCAGGACGCTGCGCACCGCTTCGAAGCAAAAAATCAGTGCACCCTCTCTTCAGAAACGTTCAGTTGTGTCTGCTCTTGCAACCAGACCAGTCGTCGCAGCAACTCGGCGCACTGCATTCACGGCTCCCTCTCAGCAGCAGCAAACAAGAGGTGTCAAGACAATCGACTTCGCTGGCACCAAAGAAACCGTCTACGGTGCGCAATCTAAATAGTCGCATCTGCTGCACATTGCTGATCCATTGAGCAGAACGAGAGGATTGGCCTCGAGAGAAACTTCTTGTATGTTGACTCCAACCTCCCAATATGCTCATCGATCCTCCCTGACCATATCCTAGGATTACTTCAAGAATGATACCCTTGCTCTCATCGGATACGGTTCACAGGGCCACGGTCAAGGTCTCAACCTTCGTGACAATGGCTTGAATGTCATCATTGGTGTCCGGAAGAACGGCGCCTCTTGGAAAGAAGCAGAACAAGATGGTTGGATTCCTGGGAAAACCCTATTCGAGGTGGATGAAGCTATCGCTCGAGGTTCCATCATCATGAACTTGCTCAGTGATGCGGCTCAGAGTGAGACCTGGCCAGCAATCAAACCTCAATTGACAAAGGGCAAGGTATGGATTGATCACTGCTACTGCTAAAAAGCATTTTTGCTGACGGCGGACAGACTCTTTACTTCTCCCATGGATTCTCTCCGGTCTTCAAAGACTTGACGAAGGTGGATGTCCCCAAAGACATTGATGTCATCCTCGTTGCCCCCAAAGGTTCAGGTCGAACTGTCCGGTCCCTATTCCGTGAGGGTCGCGGTATCAACTCGTCGATCGCCGTTTACCAAGATGTCACTGGAAAAGCTGAAGAGAAGGCTATCGCTTTGGGTGTCGCTGTGGGAAGTGGATACCTCTACAAGACCACCTTCGAGAAGGAAGTCTACTCTGACCTCTATGGTGAGAGAGGATGCTTGATGGGCGGTATTCACGGTATGTTTCTCGCTCAATATGAGGTTCTCCGAGAACGTGGCCATTCCCCATCGGAGGCTTTCAACGAAACCGTCGAAGAAGCCACCCAGTCCCTCTACCCCCTCATTGGTGCCAATGGTATGGATTGGATGTATGCTGCTTGCTCCACCACTGCTCGTCGTGGTGCCATCGACTGGTCCAGCAAATTCAAAGATACCCTCAAACCTGTTTTCAACGAGCTCTACGACAGCGTGAAAGATGGCAAAGAAACCAAGCGCAGCTTGGAATACAACAGTCAACCTGATTACAGAGAGAAGTATGAGAAGGAGATGGAGGATATCCGCAACTTGGAAATCTGGCGTGCCGGCAAGGCTGTTCGGTAAGTTCATCCAAGCTTAGCAAGACAAGCCATTTACTGACGTGTATAACAGTTCTCTGCGACCCGAGAACCAGTAAACTGCGGCTTGAGAGAGATATATATGTCAAGGCGTTTCCAAAAGTTGATCTTGTATCAAACAGGGGATCTTCGGTTGGTAAAAATGAATCTTGCAGCGATGCCATGTCATACGTCTATCAAAAAGGAGATGAACCCGTGCTTACTCCATATTTTTCACAACCAATTGCCGACTTCGGAGTTGTGCACGATTATCTAATTCGCCAACTTCTTGGTCTCGTCATTCGATATCTTCTGACTCTGTTTGGGTGTCCCTTCATGTTCATCTTTGTTGTTTACTGATGATCTCGTGATTCCATGTCGTCTCTTTGAATCTTTTCCTTTCTTGATTGTATTTACTGACTCCCGCACATTTTTCTACATATACTGCGCAACGGACACCGGTTAATCACGCCGTCTCCAAAAAGTTACGGACCACAGAGCAGCCCTACCAAAGTTTCTCCAGAATCGCAGTCCAAAACATCGCCCGCGCTATGGCCGACCCATCTACATGTCCACCATTGATTCCGTCTTCGATTACTACCGCATACTCCAAGATCTCACCATACATCCATAAAACACCACTTTTAACAAGCAAAAGCCTCGATGCGATAGCCTCATCACTTGACCCCACAGCATTTCTCTCCGACAATCCCCCTACATTCGATTCTGCCGGAAGTGAGACGAACAGCGGCGGCAGTCGAGATTTAGACCCCACGCCAAAGGTTAAACTGCATTTCAAATGTGAGAATTTCCAGGAAATCGGCGCATTCAAGGCCCGAGGGGCGTTTCATGCGGTTATGAGACTGATAGAAGAAATGGGCTTGGAGGAGGTCAGGAGGCGAGGCGTTGTGACGCACAGTAGTGGTGAGTATAGCCATAAATTCACATCAGTTCGTGTGCAGAGCGGAATCGTCGTATCCTCCCCCCTTCTTTCCTTCTTTCTTCTTTTTCTTCTTTTATCCGCCACGGCTTTTGATAGAACAATGAGCATACCAACCATTGTGATAATCTGACATCGGCCTAGGAAACCATGCACAAGCTCTCGCCCTCGCAGCTTCCACGTTCTCCATACCCAGCTACATCGTCATGCCGAAGATCAGTGCCCCGTCCAAAATCGCGGGTACACGCCTATACACCTCCAACGTAATCTTTAGCGGCTCTACGTCGCAGGAGCGCGAGGCCGTAGTTCAGGACGTGATCGCCGACAAAGGCGCTATCTTCGTCCCGCCCTACGACCACCCCGACATCATCCTCGGCCAAGGCACCGCGGGTCTGGAAATGGAGGCGCAATTCCTCGAAGAGCATTGCAGCAGGGGCGGCAAGACCAGCGGATTTGACGCCGTCATCACGCCCATCGGCGGAGGCGGCCTGCTAGGTGGCATCGCGACCTGGTTCGCCGATAAGCCTGGCACGCTTGTCTTTGGGGCCGAGCCGAGTTTTGAAGGTGCTGATGACGCAAGAAGAGGTCTGCGTGAAGGTAAGCGTATTGAGCATGTCAAATCACTCACTATCGCCGACGGATTGCGCACTCCTGTGGGTGTGATCAATTGGTCTATTATCTCGGATCGGAAGAAGCTTGAAGGGATATATGCCGTTACAGAGCAGCAAATCAAATGGACTATGCGTCTGGTTTTGGAGCGGCTGAAGATCGTGGTTGAGCCGAGCGGGTGTGTGCCGCTGGCGGTGGTGTTGTTTAATAGGGAGTTTCGACAGATGGTGGCGCAGAGGCAGATGGGGTTGGAGAAGGGGTATTGGGATGTTGGGGTGGTGTTTAGTGGTGGGAATACCACGGTAAAGGCGATTAATGCGTTGTTCGCGGAGGAAGAACAAGAACAACAGGAGAAGGTTGTCGACGAGAGACGTGAGGGTAAAGTTGGGGTCAACGGGACGAAGGAGGTAGAAGATGTTGCGGGCTGAGAACGAAAGATACATATCCGCTCTAGATTGAGTTTGGGCCCTCTTTATGTTACGTTTGAGGATGGGTGGACTCGGACATCCAGACTTTGATACTGTTCAGTTGACATCAGGATTCCACATGCACATCACGAGGCTGTGGACAAAGATTAGGACCGTTAGCAAAGTAGGATCTTTTAGGCGTGGTTATCTCATCTTCGAATGCCATTCCAGAGATAGTCTTTCGTAATATGCAAAGTCATATATCTGTCCCGATTTATCATTCGTGAGCTTTCCGTCTTCTGTTAGTGATCAATCGGTGCGTTTCATTTATTCCATTCCATCCCTGCCCTTTAGCGGCCAATCAACCCCGCAATCACCACCTATTTCCTTTCTTTGTCGTCCCTCTCAATATTGTTTCTTTATATATTTTCCAGGCCCGAAACTTACTGAATTTCTGCAGGGAGGATGGCCGAGGTAAATAATCCTCCATCCACCGTCTGTCTTCTCTCTTTGTTGACCTGTTTTCTCAGTGGTTTAAGGCGGCGTAAGTCTCACCACCTACCTACGCATAAGTTGGTCCCTCCTGGGTTTAAGATATTAACTGGCCTCTGCAGAGATTTAAGTCCATCGGTTACAAAGATGGCTGGATTTTGAACTCTGCTTTCCGCAAGGAAGCGTGGGTTCGAACCCCACTCCTCTCATTGCTCTTTTTTTTTTTTTTTTTTTTTTTTCCCTTACCTTGATGGCCATTTGGTGGGAGTGTGGGAAGTGAGTTAAGTTAGCTTAGGTGGGGATCACGGTACTATCTATTGAGAGCGGAAATCGGCAGGGTCGAAAGACTCACTTAGTAGGAAACAAGGACTGTTACACAGATCTGCGCAATTGAGCGCGAAGCACAGAATGTAGGGGATAGAAGATGCAGTAAGTTTTTGTATTCTACCAGAATACGTATATTCGTTGGTTCCTGAATACGAGGGTATACATCCCAAATTCCCAGGTAACTTGCGACACTGTAGATCGTCTTATCGACAGATGATGACCACCTCTCCCATGTCCCGACTCTTCAGTCTCTCCGTCAACTCCTTCTCGCTGATCTCCAGCTCCGTGCAGATCTCATCAAAACAATGTGTTCCATCCAAAAACTCCGCAATCCTTGCATTCAGGTCATGGCCATACTCACCGTTCTTGCCATTGGCGTGGCTATTATGTTTCATATTTCGCCGTGAAGGTTCCTCGGAAAAATGCCGTTCACTGGACATGCTCCGCGTCAGATATTGCGTGTCTTCCGTATTGTGCTGATTATGGAGCCCCGTTGCCTTTTGAGTACGGATAGCATATCGGTGCACGCGGTAGAGAAATCCCTTGATGACCCCAAACGTCACAAATCTTCGCATGTCGATGTTGGCGAGCATATTGGCATTCTGCACGTACCATTCCCGAACCGTAAGGCCCTGCCTTAAACTTGCGAAAAGCTGTACGATTCCGACTCCATCGACCGGATCGCCTTTGCCGGTGACTGGCCAGATATCGTCATCGTGAACATTCACCGAGGTCAATCCGCTTGTTCTTCGTTCAGTGCTGCCGTCAATGATGGCTTCTTCTTGTGCGCTGGGTGCGAATGCCGTATTCACATACCTTGCGCATTCCCTCTGCATGTCGATGTCTTTGGCAATCACATTGGCGAACTCCGCCGTCGGCGCGTAGATTGCATGGAAGCTAAATATATCGAGCAACAACACACATCCGTAATATAACAAATGCTTGACACATTTCTTGGTGAGTTTCAGATCGGCGTCTGCCAGAGCGGCGATCCTCTTGACGCTGTTAACACCGTTGATGTATGGAATTATCCGGAGCATGGTCAAGTCCCAATTCTCGTCCACCATGGTTTCAATTCGGACCGTAAACAATGGTACGTGCCATGGCTTCACACTTGCTGGGTTTGGTAATGTCGGAAACAGCTTGATATTCAACGTATTGAATTCGTCAATGGGTATCATGCATTCACAATAGTTGTTCAAGTCCTCCATCAGCATTTCGCAGAGACTGTAAATTTTCCCCGAGTTCGGTGCTGCCGTGTCGTCACTCAAAAATCTGGATTGTTCTTCAAGGCTTCGCATCAGATGTGCCAATTTCTTCACCACCGACTTATAAGATGCCACATCAATCGTCGAAGGTTCGCCCAGGACCAGGGCGAAATTGAAGATGAATTGGTTGCGTGGGTAATGATCCGATGTTATGCATATTGGATGGGACAGAACGAGCGTCGGAGGCATGCTCGGCGTGAGAGGCGGTGGCGAGAGTGAAATCAGGTTTCCACAGAGTGATTGACGTGGAATGACAAAGCGCGATATTGTCGAAAATGAAAGGAGGGGAGTCGATGAAACAATGCCATTTGATGCAGGCAGATCGGTTGTGGTCAAGACTGAGTCTTCGGGCACTTGATGAACGATCTTGGGACCTACAACTCAGTTAGACTCCCCCGTGCTGCTTGAAGGAGATAGAGATCATGCACCCTCATGAGGATCGAATTTACTGTAGAAAATGGCTTTGATAGACATTTTCTGCCGTTTTCGCGACGACTATTCTCGTCGGACAGACCAGGCTGCATGCTCGGGAAAGAAGAGGGGCAGGTTGCCCTCGCTGAGTCTCGTTCACATCACCGTGATTTCTATCCCTAGGGAGAGGTGTTGAAGTTGCATGGTCACGGGAAGCACAGCTTCTAAGGGACGTTCAGTTTCAATGGATGGTAAAACGGCCGGCCGGGCCAAGCCCCTTCTGAATAAGTCAGTCGATCTTTCGCCGCTTTATCGAAAAGTATAAGGACCGACTCTATATGTCACCACACATGGCTGGTTTCTCGAATTGCCTTCAAGGAACATGTTGCTTTCATACCTCCTCAATGCGCGATTAGTCAATGTAATATTACCTCACACCTACGTCTTCATATCATTATGATTCCGCTCCGAGGACTAGACTAGATTATTGGTATACAGGAGTTGACCCACTTCGTTCTCCTCGCACTTTTCCAATATCCATTGACGCAGAAATCCCGGGAGACTTGCGTCAAGCTCTCTCCCGTCGCGAAGTCGACTAATGGCAGCGAGCAGTTTACGAACATCGTACGTAGAGTGGAACACTTCGGGGACGCCACGGTCAACTTGAAGGAGCTGGTAGACTGCCTCCATTGAGGTACGTACAGAATATTCTGTGGTGAAGATACAGTCGCGCCCCGATTCGGCGAATTGGCCGATGAACGCAAAGTTGACGGCATCCTGTGGTACAACTGGTGGCCGATCGCCAGCTTGCCGAGGCATGAAGAATGAGGTCACATAAGGCATCATAACCGGTACACAACGAGCGCTGTCGGCAGCTAATTGGGGGATTTTTTCGATCGGTACACCAAGGTGATATAACCACTCTTGGGTGATCTCTTCTCCGGTACAGTCTTGCATGGCTTTATTGACGAAGTCTCCCGGCACATCGACGAAGAGAGAATAGAGCCATACCACAATCTGGTCGCGTGGCTGGTTCTTGAAATGAGGCTGCCGATTGACAGTCCAGCTCAAAAGCCATTTCGAGTCCTTGACTGTCACAACGCCGCCGGTGACGACTTTGCCACTGAAGGGGTCACGTTTGCAGACGTTCGAGATATAATCAGGAATGTGTTTGTCCAAAGTCGTGATGGTGGCGGATTGCCACTTCGACTCAGAGATATGCGCTCCAAACACGTCGGGTCTGCCGAAGGAACAGTCCTTTGCGGCTATACGCCTCCACAAGTCCCAAGCTGGCGCCGGACCTTCATCCAGTTTGGCCGCTGTGTGATGGTCGCCGGCGTCCGAGTTCTCGGTCAGAGATCCTATCGTCATGAACACCATGTCATCAGGACTGAGATTGACACCTCCCACTTTCCCACCCTTGATCCAGTGGATTCGCGTCGCTTGCTTCTTATCATCGTCCAGTGAGAAGTCGACATCTAGAACCTTGGTGGAATAAGAGAAATTGACACCGTGCTCTAACAACCACTTATGCAGAGGTAGGACCAGCGACTCATATTGATTATACTTGGTGAATTTGAGGCAACTCAAATCAGGAAGACCTCCGATATGATGGATAAAGCGGTGGAGATAAAGCTTCATCTCCAGTGCGGAATGCCATTCCTGGAATGCAAACATAGTTCGCCAATAGAGCCAGAAGTTGCTCTCTAGGAAATCTTTGCCAAAGACTTCGTTGATGCGCTTTCCCTCCATTTCTTTGCGGGTTGCAAGAAACACTTTGGTGATGTCTTTTTGTGCCTGGTGACTCAAGCCGAACAGGCCGTCGGTATGGGCGTCTTGGCCTCTTCGAACAGTGGCACGCTGCAAAGAGAAATTGGGGTCATCTTTATTCAGCCAGTAGAACTCGTCCAGCACCGAGGCGCCCTCGATTTCCAAGGAGGGGATGGAGCGGAAGAGGTCCCAAAGACATTCAAAGTGGTCCTCCATCTCTCGGCCCCCACGAATGATGAAGCCTTTTTCGGGCACCTTCAGACCGTCAAGTGCCCCTCCAGGCACCTCGAGTTCTTCGAGGATAGTGATGTTTTCCCCAGGCATTTGGGCATCTCGTAAAAGGAAGGCTGCGCCGGCCATCGACGCAAGACCGGAACCGACGAACCAGGCGGTCTTTTGGTCAACATCTTTCGGCTTGCGTGGGCGAGCAAAAGCTTCATAATTTCCACTAGAATAATACATGATGTCAGCTTGAACCGGTGTGCGGAGAGTTAGCTATCGTTTATGTGATAATGACTCTATGATAGACCAGGATTGACAGACGCTGGGCTTATAAGATATATAGGTAAGTCATAGACCGAGAAAGAATTCTGAACCGGCACATAGTCTTGTAACTTAATAGCTCGGACCGTAGTGGTGTGACTTCCAGGGGGGAGATTCTGGATGTAACTAGTTCGCAAGTCTGTGGCGAAATGGCCTCAACAGACATATTTCCGGCTGAGAAAATATTGAAAGGTGCCTAAGGTGCATCACTCGCAGAGAACCAGCCCAACGCAAGTTGCAGGGAAATTTGCCGCCGAATTGGGCCGCTTTTGGAAAGCCCTATTTCTCATAGCATCCTTGTTGCTAGCAAATGACGGTCGCAACACGGGGTGCGATTGTCACAGCCAATCAGAGCAATGTTGGAGGATTTGAACCAATAATATCGAGTGTACTTGACCAAGGGGTGGTGTACGGAATAAGGGAAGTAGTCGACAAGTGCTCTAGCCAGCTAGTCCCAATTAGGCATATAAATGTCACGTGATGTATGCTTTTTGTGTGGCACGAATGGTCCTCCTTTACCGGAGACTTCTTGGTGCGTTCGGGGACTTTTATACTCTACACCTTATGGCCTTGCTCAGGCAAACCATCCCCGATGCAGCTATATAGAGAAACGATGGCCAGTGTAGTGGCAGGCTCCCAACCCGAGTGACACTAACGCCCGCTTTAGTATGGAAGAATTTTCGAAGAAAACGAAAGCAGATGGCAATGTCACAGAAATTCAACGTCTAGCCGCAAACCACGAGGTGTTCACTCATGGCCTCGGTGGAAAGCTCACCCTCACTCCACTAGACTTATCCAAGCCCGGCCTAAAGATCCTCGACTCTGCATGCGCAGACGGTAAGTCAAAGTTCAAACTTGAGACTTTGGCTGATGCGGTAAGGCACTTGGCTTCGAGACCTTGCACGGCACAGCCCGGCAGCAGGAACAGCTTCCTACGTCGGATTCGATATCAACCCCGGGATGTTCCAAAGTGAGAAGCCTAACAACGTCGGCTCGATGGAATTAGTTCAGCAATCCATCCTAGATCCGTATCCTGAGGCATGGAAGTCCAGCTTTGACCTCGTCCACCAGCGACTCACCATGGCCGCCTGGCTATCTACGCCGAAAGTCGAGATCCTCGGTCGTCTTGTCGAGCTGGCCAAGCCGGGCACGGGATACGTTGAACTCATGGAGCTCGATCCCAACACTGGAACTCTTCCTGACAATGTACCGAAGTACAGGAGATTCATTGAGTTGATAGGGGAAGTCTTCGACTCCATTGGTTTTGGTCGAGACACCGTGAACAACATGAAGACCCTCCTGGCCCAGGCCGGCTGCGCCGACGTCGTAGAAATCAGGACAAGGTATAAAGTGGGTGCAACGGCGGACCCCCAGCTCCAGGAGAAGAGCATACGGGGTCAACTTGGGGCGATCCCGGCCCTCGCGATGGTCGCGAAACGTACGTTGCTTCTTGTATGATGAACTAAGACTAATCGTGGAATGCAGAATTCAAGACGAGCTTTTCGGAGGAAGAGCTTGGCACGCTCGAGAGTGACGCGAGAAAGGAGCTGGAGACTATTGGGGCCGAGTTCGAAATGGTCACCGTCTGGGGAAAAAGAGCGTAGAATGGCGCGAAGATATCCATTGATCCGAAGAACGTGGAAAAGACGTTTCCTTATAGGAGATAAGGAATAGTTTGATAGGATACTCTCGTTTAAAAGAATGGCTTCTGGACTGATTCGACCACGTGGTGATGAAGAGCTCGATTGACTAGAGCTGATATTCGAATGTAAGAGAGAATAGCGACAAGCAGAGGAACGGAAATGCTTCGGAATCACATATTTCGGTGACCACTCCGGAGTAAGTCTGTTCCGCTAACTAGAACGTCCAACATGCAACTCTCACTGACCTTATGACCGGGTCCACATCATTGAGCAGCAAATGAAGGACCTGGCCCTCGCCAGCAACTTCAACTTCTTTGGTGCTAAGGACCATCGCTTCGTCACGACCCTGACCTGGGATGAGATGGGGATTATCAAGCCTAACAGCAACGTGTCTGTATCGGAATATGAAGCGTCAGCGGTAAGTGATTCTTTATCTGAGATGCAGAGGGGACACTATATTAAAAACCAAAGGCACGTACGTTGTCAATTTATCATCCACGCTTCGAACAAATGCTGCTGATATGGCGGCGGTGACTGCAAAGAAACTTAGTAACAACCGTCAGAGAAAAGAGACGTAGTGGAATGGTGTTTACCTCCAAATGCAATGCTTACTAGGAAGACCATTGAGAACGCATTGGAATAGACGGTGCGGACAGCATCTCTACCGGCTGCAATGATTGCAGGGGTTGCTCCTGGAACAGCAAGCAACGCTTGTATGGATATCATCAGAGAGCATGTTCCAATGTTTGATATGGGATCACACATACGCAAGAAAGCTGTTAGAGAAGCAGGCGGCAATCCAGCCTGCAGGACAGCAGTAGAAATGGCTGGCACAAGCTTGGGTTTGCTTTGTTGATTGAGAATTGTTGAGTAGACAGCAGTGCCAATGCTTCCCCCTGCGGCCCGAAAAGTTCCCGACAAGCTAGGGACATACGGTCAGTAATTTAATCGACAAAGATGAGTTCAGGTGCTCACCCGGTAGCAATTCCAATTTGATGATCTTTGGCTCCAAATTGGATGATCAAGATTCCATAAATTTGTGTAGCCGAGGCGGCCACGGCACCTAGGGCCACGAATACACAAGCCATCACAGGTGTATTCTAGTTTACTGCTGCCATGGCCGCAACAAATGTCGCTTGGATTACCGTTGCTATCAGCAACTGCCACTTTGTCCTCCGAAACCTGGCAAATTCGACCCCTGAAAATATAGCTCCCGCTTTTGAAATTCGTCAGCAATTGAAGAAACAGGCACGGCCAGTCGAATCATACCAGTTCCTGCGCCATTGTGTGCAAGACTATACCAACCAACCTCTTCTGCCACAGCTGTGTACAGTATTTGAACCACTATTCGCAAATTAGCAGAGGCTTGTGACTTCACCGACCAGACAACTTACTTTGGGGCCACAATACGGCAATGCTGATGGCCTAGAGAAGAATCCATCAGCGCTTCGAACCAAGAATTGAAATATGTACAATATATCTTACTAGCAACAAATGTCGCACACTGTGGAAGTGTAAAGCCTCTGAAGTTTTTGAATAATTTGGGAGGACATAGTTTCGTCACCTGATAGGGGCAATAGATCTCCCAAAGTGGGAATGCAATAAACACAGTGATTCCTACCAACGATGTTAGTATATTTTCCCATCAAATTGGTCCAAAGACGTTACCTCCAACCAGCAAAGGGGCAAGAACGTGCACGCTTGTCCAAGGATATGGACTGTTTCCAAATGTTACCCCCACCAAAAAGCTCGTCAAGCCGCCCGCATAAAGGATCACCCCCACATAATCGAGTTCCTTGCATTGTTGGGTTCGTGTTTTGCCGTCAGGATGAAGACTCAAAAATCCGGGAGGCCAGTAAAAGATAGCGATCAAACAAGAGCTACCGCGTTTGACATGTGGCCCACGTAGAAGGCCCATCGCCATCCCAAATGTTCAGCAAGAGTGTAGGCTTAATATAGCCTTGGTCAGAAATGAAACATTGGAGGATATATAATGCGATACATACCAATGACGGCGCCGAAGGCTGCTCTCGGGATCGATGCCAGACTCACACAGGCCATGGTTGTACCTCTAGATTTTCTGGGGACGATTTCGTTGGCCCCGGCATATGCGAGAAGTTGAGGACGGCCCCCAAACCCCTAATACTCGATTAATTCTCGTTCACATTGCTCGGACTCGTACGTACAATCAACGCCATGTCCGCGATGACAGTATTAATGGATGTTGCCCTGCTAGCAATCAGCACGGCCACTAGACTCGTTGGATGGGATGCAGTCTCACTGGGAGGCAACAATACATCCTGCGTTTTGTTAGCGTATTTGACGTAGAACTGGAACTCTGAAGTAGCTTAGAAAAAGATGTACCAATCACCCCGAGCGTATTTCCCAAGATGGTCACGTTTCGTCGGCCCATGATGTCGCTGATGCTTCCACAGATGGTATTGGAAACGGCATGTCCTAGGGTATGAGCTGTAGGGATCCAGTTTTGATAGGGAGACGGCCCAATATCCCGATCGATGGTGAGAAGGATAGCCGTGGGAAGCACAAAGGTAAGTAAATAGTGTCGCTTCGGAGGTGAACGCCAGTGACTGCCGATTGCGGGTTAAATGTTTCCCCTTCCGAAATGTAGAATGCGTTTGAAGTATGACAATTTGGTACATACGATGATAGCCATCACAGTTCGAAAATCTAGTGCTCGACTTTCCCAAGCGGCCCTTTCTTGCTCCAGGTCAATGTTGCGATCCTCGGGATGTTACTCAAAGGGAGAGGTGCCTTGGACCCTCTCGATATGGGCCCTCTCCGGTTGCATGGCGACCTCTTGTTTGGATTCTACCATAGTGAATATGTGATGATGTTAGGAGAATATTGAGTGTGTTGCAAAATTGCAAAGCTCTACTCCCAAATTCAGAGTTGCACCAGAGTTGTTATAAAATGCAACAGAGATAGTCTGCAGATGCAATGCAACACAAGAATGGGATGAGCTCTGTGTTCGAAGCAGGGGTTGTCGCTGGAGCGAGTACCAGAGCAGAATATTATGGCCAGCAGGCCCCGTAAAGGCGGGCCCAGTGGGCAAAGGTAGTCTGAGACGATATCGGAGGTCCGTTCTGTATTCGTCAAAGTTCGTTAATGCTCCTAGAACACAGCTGTCAGTGAGGAGCTGTTCCCATTTTCCATAACTGTTATAGTTGAGGCGGGTGCCTTGTTGTATTTCTGGGTCCGGAAAGGAAAGCACAAGCTCCTTTGAAAGATCTGGTCATCCAGCATCCCGCATTTCAATGTCTCCATGTAGCGTATAGTCTTCAAAGGCGATAGCCGAACCCTACCCAACAAGAGATGCCTTGCCCTTTCGAGACTTGATATCAAGCGTCTTAGCTGTATATGGGCCGGGAATGCGGGACGCTTATTTTGCCTGGTGTCCTCAGAATGCCCTTGTCCCCACGCCCAGTTTTGTAATACAGTGTGCTCCAGAGACAAAGAGAAAGAGATTGGGAAGCAGAAGCCGAAAGGGTAAATGTATTGTAATGGAAGCTTTGGAGCACACTTTGTTGACCCAAGCCTGAGGCTGTCTCTGTTGGAGTCCTTTTCCGAGGGGATTCCGTATATCTTCCCTTTTTGGCTGCGTCCCGCACATGTTGATAGAGATGCGAGATATAGCCTTCCCCCATGGAGTGAATGAATGCGGGGGGAAAGACTGGATGGCTTTTCTGTGGAGAAATTTAGCTTCTATTCAGGGTTGCGCGGCCCGTGGACGTAGGGGCTGGTGTGTGCCTGGTCCTAACGATAGTAATTTTGTGACAGTATGGGATGAAATATTTCGGAGTCATTGCAGGTTTCATCACCTCGATGCATACTGTATACAGGCGTAGGATATGCGTCTCAGGAGGCGTCGAGAGAGAGTGGATTCGAAACGTCATTTATCGGAGCTACGGATTTCGCAAGGCCTTCCCGAATTGGTCGTATCCAAGCGGGACGACAAAGCGCAATCATTGGTACGTCATACCTAGGCCCGGAGAAACCGGGCGGTTCACCTCCTTTGTGACATATGAGAAGCTCTTTTCGACAATGATCTAGGGCTACAATCGCAAGCCTTGTACTAGGCAAGTCCATGAAAGGGGCATCTGTGGGACAAGGCCGATCTTGGGAGATATCCATAATGGCCTTGGGCTGTCGAGAAGAGTTCGGCACAAATTATTGTGCATTACATCAAAGGCACGTACGTCCTCGGTGTTTTGTGATATAGTGGATTGACGTGTCGCAACTCCTGTTGCGAGGACTTGTACTCCGGATATTATTGCCAGTGCATACCTCCTCCCTCATCTGTAAAGTGATTGCTTGAGCCTCACTGCCGGAAGCTACTTTTGATCATTGAACATTTTCTGTTCTGTTATTGTCTGGCTGTCTACTTTCCCTTATCAGTAGCTGATCGAATCCGCGTGGTATCTCGGAAAATCGAATCTCACTTGCTTAATGGCCGACATGAAGAAGCCCAACTTCCTCATTGTTGTTGCGGATGACCTGGGTTTCAGTGATATTGGGCCATACGGCGGTGAAATCAAGACACCTACCTTGGACAAAATCGCCAAAGAAGGAGTTCGCATGACGAACTTCCACACTGCGCCTAGTTGCTCTCCCACACGCTCGATGCTATTCTCAGGCACGGACAACCACATTGCAGGGGTGGGTCAAATGGCTGAATTCATGAAATTTAAACCCGAAGCATTTGAAGGAAAGCCAGGTTATGAAGGCTACTTGAATTACCGAGTGGCCGCCTTGTCCGAAATCCTTCAGGATGCTGGTTACGACACCATCATGTCCGGCAAATGGTGCGTAAATCTACACACCCGCGATGCAGAAAGCTAAATGGAGCAGGCACCTTGGGATGACTAGAGAATTTGCTCCCTGCTCTCGTGGGTTCAACAAGTCGTTTGCCTTCCTGCCTGGAGCCGGCAATCACCACAACTTTGAGCCCCAGATCGATCTCGCCAAAGGACCACCGCCACAAGTCGGGCTCGCAGAAGAAGTTTGGATGGAGGGAGATCAGTTTCTGGACAGAAAAAAGGACTTGCCAAAGGATTTTTACTCCACAAAGACCTATACAGACCGAATGATCAGCTTTCTCAAGGACCGATCGGCCGAAGACAAGGACAAGCCATTTTTCGCCTATCTCCCTTTGACTGCGCCACATTGGCCATTGCAGGCCCCCAAAAATGTCGTTGCAAAATATCGAGGTATGTACGACGAAGGTCCGAGAAAGCTCAGCCAGAAACGTGTCAAACGTCTGATCGAGCTGGGTTTGGTTCCAGCAGACGTGGAACCTGCTCCTCCCATTGGAATTCTTGATCCGGAATGGCACGACATGACTCCAGAAGAGCGTGCAGCTTCGGCGAGAAAGATGGAGGTCTTTGCGGCCATGGTGGACTTGATCGATCAGAACCTGGCTCGTCTTATTGCCTACCTTGAATCGACCGGCGAGTTTGACAACACCTTTTTCCTATTTATGTCCGACAATGGTGCGGAAGGTCTCCTCCTAGAGGCCCTACCGTTAATGGGATTTCCAGGAGATATCGGAGATGCCATTGACACTTATTACGACAACAGCCTGGAGAATATTGGTGAGCGTAACTCCTTCACGTTTTATGGACCGCGTTGGGCTTGCGCGGCGACTGCCCCAGCAAGAGGATTCAAAGGTATCATTTATGAAGGTGGCATTCGTTGTCCGTGTATCGTCCGGTACCCGGGTTTTGGCAATAAGGAGTCCGCCATCACGCATACGTTCACCACCGTGATGGATATCTTGCCCACAATTCTAGATCTGGCAGGAATTCCTTCACCAGGGAACACTTTCCGAGGACGGGAAGTGGTCTCTGTCCGAGGCAAATCATGGGTGCCACATCTGTCATCACGAACGGATTCAGTACATGGGGACGAGACACATGTCCATGGTTGGGAGCTGTTTGGCACGTGTGCCATCCGCAAAGGCAATTGGAAGGCCGTCTGGATCCCTGCTCCGCGTGGAAAGAATATTTGGGAGTTGTTCAACCTGGAGTCTGACCCGTCTGAGTCACATGATTGCGCTACATCCCACACGGACATATTGGCTGAATTGGTGAATCACTGGAACACGTATTTCGCGGAGACCGGAATGGTCATGATTCCCCAATATGCTGGCACTCGACGGTTACTCAGTAGTTCGATCTAAGATGACTTGCTGTAGAGGCTCAATTACTATCGTCGCTTGAGGATATGGGATAAGCTTGGGAACGTTTTCAAGGAGTTGCAAGGGGTGAGAAGGTCTAGGGAGGATTTGACAATCCCTTTTTTCCGCAATGAATCAGCAGTCTGTTTCCACACTGCTGGGGAAAATAAGATTTCCGACAATATTGCGCGGACTTGCGTTGTGAAATGAATTCACACGGCGTAGTGGTCAACGTCCTTTAATGTATTGTGTGTTGTGTCTTTCAGACAAGATGCAACTTGCGATAGGCAGAATTTATTTCGATAAGTCATCACAAGTCTTTGAGGGGGAGGGGGAATGGCGAATGGGTTTGCTGCATGGCCCGATCTTCAATTTGATTGGTCAATTGCTCGACCTTGGCAGCGCTATACCCGTTATAGGTATAGAATTGTGGATATCGATTGGACAAAACTTGGAGCAAGAGGACAAATGTTTGCACAACCACTCCCGCGAGAAGCGCCTCCAACATTGTCGGTCGGTGATTTGGAACAGGTCCATCATGATACAAAGATACGACGCTGCGGATATCTTCCAATTCGGCTCAGAATGGTAAGTATCCCCAGATTGCTTACAGGTCGGAATATCCATCGTGACATGAAAGATGCTACCCTCGAGCTTTGATGGAGGCTTGATGAAGTAAAGAGGTCCAAACAAGCACATTTTAATCAGACCCTTGGGCGAACATTGTCGGCATAGGTTTATGGCCCAAATGGTTTGGATAAACCAGACACACATGCATATTCTCAACCACCCGGCTAACGGTTTAGGGGTTTTGGGCAGGCAATTCTAGGGAATTTTTTGGACGTCACAGGGCGACCGGGAAGACCGGACATTTTCTATCTCCTTGGCCATAAGGTTCGAGGCTAGAGTAAGACGACTGGCACGACGGAGGGCGAAAGGAAGAAGACATCGAGGGCGAGGTGTGATATCTTTTCAGAGCCATATATAAATGAGTCAAGGCGTTGATTTCGGCTTGAACGTGGAGAAATTTGGAACGAATTGCATATTGAGGACGACGGCACATTGACTCAACCATCAACGTTTCAAAAGAGTTGGGAGTTTCTTTCATCGGATAACTCGGTTCAGGGACTGAGGCATGTCAGTATGGTCGCATGAGGATAGGGAAAATGGGGCTTGCAAAAAATATACCACATCAAAACCAAGAGAAATGATAACTCCGAAAACAAAAATTTAATCTTCATGAATTTGGTTTATTCGTTCTTACGCATTCATCTCTCTGGCTTATCCAACCTTTCTCACCCACTTCTGGGTATCAAATGCAACAATACCCTGCCATGCTTCGACATAAACCTAATTCCCGTTATGCCAGTGGTGATGTCAGTAGACCCAACCAACCATGAAAATGCTAAACCTCCATTATTCGTATCTTGATGAGGCAATGTAGAGCCATTCGACTCAATTCTTGAATGCAGCTCCATCCATCCGGCCGTTTGCCAACTGAACACCCATTATGCAAAACCAATCCATGATTGTGTTTCATAAAATCGTCAATTTTTTGGTCATCAATCAAGAATTTTGCCAAAAGAAAAGTAGTCCTCCCCGCAGGGAATTCTCCAAGATCAGACCAGTGTGCAGACACTCTAGAGTCATCTGTGCACCCCAGCTTCAGCCTCTTCGACCAGTTCTAACATCAGCGCCTGCGTAGATGGGCCTGGCGCGTCAAAGTCGTCCCACGGAAGTTCCCACGGAAGTCTTCGTCGTCCCTTTCTTTCCTGCTTCGGCGGCGAGTTCGGTGCTGTGATCTTTGGCTTTGGAGCAGACGCCATACCAGCTTCAATCTCTTCCGCAAGGGCAATGAGATCTTCGTCTTCGATCTCGTTGAATACGGAGCTGAAACTGTCTGAGGTTGTAAGACTTTTCGCCTCTGATGCTGCTTTTTCTGCCAGCAAGTTGACTTCGCAGGTTTGTTCCTTGGAAGAAGAATATGCTGACTTCTCTGAGGATGCGAAACCGTGAGTTTGTGGTGTCAAAACTTGAGGTCGTTGTTTGGCTGCATTCTCTTGTCCCGTTCGACATGTCTCCTGCATGGGCTTTTGCGTTGCATATAGCATGAGGAATGTCTCGTCATCTATTCCGTCTGTGAAGTCTTCTTCATCTCCTGTCATACGAAGACCTGTTGTATGAGTTTCTCCTCCTGAGTTTTGGCATTGCCAGTCTGCCACTTCCGATGCTTCTTGTTGGTGAGTCTGGATTTCGTTTTCATGGTCTTGGAATTCGGGTGCTTTTTGAGTGACGATTGTCGACAACGGAGGATTCGAACGTGGACTATGACAAGACAGAAGTGACGTGTCTTTGAATGTTGCCGCTGCTCCTGGACCCCCCGTATCAGGCTGCAATTTGATAGGCACCGAAGGCTTTTGAAGAAGCGTCGTCTCAGTTTCACTAAGATGCCGTTGCGTTCGAACTGATCTTGTGTTTATTTGTGAAGGCCTTAATTCCTTGAGGGTCGAAAGCTGGCTATGAGCAGGGCGTTGTTGGACATGACTGGATGCGTCAGGAATTAGGCCAGGTTGGTGCAAGATCCGTCGAAGAGATGGGAGAGAAGAGGGAAGAGTTTGCTTCGAGGGTGACTTGAGAAGATGAGACACACTGAACAACTTTGTTTCGGCGATATTGTTACTCGCAACATTTCCCAAATCTTCACCCTGATGTAGGTTTTCTGCATATCCTGTTTCCTTTTCGCTCACGAGGTTCTCAGAGACAATGACTTCTTCCGCAATGGGTTCGTCTTGCAACCTTCGCCGTTTCATCGGCAATGCAGGCTTTTGTCCAAAGAATTTGTTCAACCGCGGTTGACTGGCGGTGACCTTTCCCCAAGTGTCTTCAACAGTTATTCGGCCCTCTTCTAGCATCTTTTGTTTGACCACGCGCTCTTTCTCAAGCTTTTCTTCCTTTTTACGCTTGTTCTCGGCTCGTTGCTTTTCTTTCTCCAATGCCTTCTTTCGTTGTTCCTCTCGCGCGTCTAGTCGGTCTGCGCGTGCCAATTGAGACGCAGTGTATCGAAACCCGACATCTTTTTTGCGTGCCCGCTTAGCCTCCTTCAGGGTCATCGGAGGCTTTGCGGGCCACGGCATCTCGGAAGATGGATGGGGGAGTGTTGCGAAAGGAAAATTGGTGGATGGTCAACACAAGAATGTGGCTGCGGTTCTGAGCTCGCCTACCAAAGGCAGGTCACAGCGGAACGGATTCCGGCAGAGGTACATTTAAGCGGCAAGGCTGGACATTTTCAGCCCTTCCCTTACGAGACGAACAGAATGCTGATTGCGCAAGGCATGTGCATAAGTCGACTGATATGTCACAAACAAGACATTGGGCTACAAGAACAAAGGCGGCTATGGGAAGGAAAGCCGAAGCCGGCTTACACCATCAAGGGGTAATTTCTACTCCCAAGAGTTCAAGATTCTTCGCTGCCGTTGTTGGGCTCATCATCAGAATCCTCCCCCTCAGAGTCCATTTCCTCGACGGGAAATGTCAAAATGGCGGCAATGCCTCCCAGACCTTCGAGTCTCTTTCCACTTTCATGATCCCCGCTGAGAATTCTAACCTCTCCACCGTGAACTTCTCGGACTCGATCCACCAGTCTGACCCACCTTCTTCGAGTCGCTACGTCCTGGCTTCGAAACAGAGCGTTGCTGATCAGAAGGACTCCACCTCCTCGGCCTATTGCTCCCTTGTCCACTGCTGCCTCTACCTCTTTTGGCCCATACCAGGCTCGACCGTCGTCTTTGCGCAATAGAGCAAAGAACTCGTCCATCAAAGCTGTTTCCCTGGCATACTTGGTATCTTTTAATCTCGCCAGGACCTCGGGGCTTTGGAGGACCTCATTCAGACTATGAAGATGGCCAGAACTGCTGTGGATAACGATAAAGGCTTTCCGCTTGACCAAATCCAGTAGAAGCTTGTCGCCTTTGGAAGCAGCAGTGTCGTTGATATGCTTCAGAAATCCGGCGGCGGTAAATCCTGGGCTTGCCAGTAAGATGGGAAATCTTGTGCTGCTGTCTTTGCCTTTCAAAAGGCCTTCTATTTGTCTCATCAATGCATCCAAGACCACCCCAAAGAATTTTGTTAGCCCTTTATCATGGTCTGCAGATCTTCCTGCTCCCATCCGCTTTCGCGGTACTGACACCTCGACTCTTTGTCTCGAGACAGTCTGGTATTGTGTGATGAAGCATATGTTAGCGAGACCTTCCTGCATCACCACCGCGATAGTTTCTGTGCCTCTTGTTTGATCGATTGCCTCTTCAAGCTGCGCACGCGCAACGCTGTCCCAACCCTCACTGCCATTATTTCCGTCGACTTCTTTTTCGAGAGTAAAATTTCGTTGTAGCTCGAGGTCTAGTGTATGGAATTGGCCTATTTTGGTAAATCTGTTTTCGCGCGCAATCTGACCCGAGACATGAAGTTGTCCAGCCTGCGGATCGAAGTCGAGGAATTTCACCCGAATTGTGAGATTGGTGTGGACTCGTTGGGAAGAAGTTGAGCCAGTAGAGGATGACTCTGTTGTCACTCGTCGGATTGCGGATGCGGTGAGGAGGTCTGTCGGGCGAATGAGGTTATAAGCATGCCACTAACAATTTTCAGGTGAGTGCACTAGGATGATGAAGTCAATGGATTTTCCAATACCATATCTTCAGGCTCTTCCGGACATAGTGTTACACTTCCACTGCCGTCATTGTCAATATGGCGCTTGATGAGGCGCATTTTGAATTGACTGGATGAGTCAGCCCTTCACCTCCGGTTGCTTCAGCCTTGCGGCTAGAAGGAACAGCCTTCTATTATGACAGTTTTAATGTGGTGAGCTATGATGAAGAGAGGAGATTCGATCAACTGGCTAATTTTTGGGAAGGGGGAAGCAGTGACCAGGATGGTCGCATCAACCTCCTCGTTTCTGCTTAGGATGAGCTGTCTTTGGGTGGTCTCTTCCGCAGTGGAGCTGCCTCAAGAAGCAGCGAAGCTGGAATCGGAACGCCGCCAATCACCTAAGCGTGCCTGGGCCTTATCGGAGCCTGCCAAGATATCAGGACATCTCTCTGGCGAGAGCTCTGAGGGTAAGCTTTCCAGCGTCTTTTGGAGGAACTTGAGGATCATTCTTGGGCCTCACTTCCTTTAAAACTGAAGCGCTCGAGAACTCTAGCAGGGTTAAGCTGGGACACGAATAGCAGGCGGACGCGGAGCAAAAATGTTGCGTACAAGCACGCGTTGCTTATTTTCTTGTCTGCACTATAGGAGCACAACGCTCGCGCTGCCCCACTTATTCTCATGCTGATCGATTATCGAGTCTACAATCTATCTTCAGGCACTAAGAATTGGCTCCTTGGGAAGCCATGGTGATTGATCAAGCTTGCCAAACAAGGTAAGAATAAAGTTCGGGACGACGTGATACAGGTAGATATGTAAAGCTCATGCTCCTCTCTCGGACTGTGTGAGAGGCTGCAGCTTTGCTCATCTTCTCTGCCGTCCTTAAAACCTGTTGTCACACAATGAAGCTAGGCTTTCTTCCCAGTGCGTCTTTATTGACCTTGACCCTCATCGGGTACTCCGTCGCAGCCCCTGCTCGCCGACAAGATGATAGCTGTCGGCGAACCAAAGTTGCCATTCTGTAAAGAACATCTCTCATGCCTAAGGCTGAACTATCTAACTTATCCAGAGGAGGAGGAATGGCGGGCGTTACGGCAGCAGTAAGTCCAAGAGCAAATGACTCCCAAGCAAAGGTTAACATTCTGCTCAGCAAGCGCTGGCTAATGCATCTGTTGATGATTTTGTCATTGTTGAGTACCTGGGAGATCTTGGAGGGCGTGTGGCTCATACTACTTTTGGTGCTCAACCTGACGGGACACCCTACGTTGTTGAGCTAGGTGCAAACTGGGTCTGTTCAACCTTCAATCCACAAACCAGGACGAGGCTGAAGAGGTATAGGTACAAGGACTCCAGACTGATGACGGTCCTGAGAATCCCATATGGTATTTGGTACTGTACGACCTCCCCTGGTGTGAATACTACTGACCAAGTTCACAGGCACAGAAATACGAAATCAACAATACGTGAGTTGACAAGTTCAGCTTGAGAATTCGGCGCTCACTGTGATAGATACTCGGACTACGACAGCATGAAGACATATAACGAAACTGGCGAAGTCGACTTCCTAGATCTCCTAGACGAACTTGATGAGGCTTATGCAATCTTGGAGCAAAACGCCGGACATATGCTCAGTGAAGGCCTGCTAGATTACTCAACTCGTGCCGGGCTTGACATTGCTGGATGGAAACCCATGAAGGACCCCAAAAAGAATGTCTTGGAATGGTTTTACTTCGATTGGGAGTCAGTCCCCACTATCATTCGGCGGACATCTTGATATACTGACCGTCGGATCCAGGTATTCCTACACGCCTGAACAATCCTCTACGTTATTCACCATTGTGAACTACAATACCACATTCTACCAATGGAGCGAAGAGAACAACTTTGTCTGGGACTCTCGAGGCTTCAACACCATTATTAAAGGAGAGGCGTCAGTATTTATGAATTGTACCGAAGAGTACGACTGCTCTGGAGACTCTCGACTCCTGCTCAACACTATTGTCACTCACATCTCTTATTCGGACGCCGGCGTCACGATCACCAATGAGGATGGCTCGTGTATCGAAGCGGACTACGCCATCTGCACTTTCAGTGTTGGTGTTTTCCAAAATGATGCCGTCTCTTTTGATCCTCCACTTCCTGCTTGGAAGCAGAGTGCAATCGCGACCTTTCAGATGGGGACGTACACAAAGATTTTCATGCAATTCCCTCCCGATCAAGTATTCTGGAATACAAGTGTTCAATTTTTCCTGTATGCGGACCCGGTCACGAGAGGATACTATCCAGCCTTCCAATCTCTCGACGGCGAAGGATTTCTACCGGGAAGTGGTATCTTGTTTGTAACGGTGGTTGAAGAAGAGAGCTATACTGTCGAGGCGCAAGACGAAGAGACTACAAAACACGAGATTCTCGAAGTGCTTCGTGATATGTACGGGGCGGAGAATGTCCCAATGCCCACTGCGTTCATGTATCCCCGTTGGAGTCAGAATCCCCCTTCATGGACAACGTGGACGAATGTACTAACATACTTCCAGGTTTAGAACCGTGGACATATGGTTCATACTCGAACTGGCCTCCAGGGACAACACTCGAGCAGCATCAGAATCTGAGAGCGAATCTTGGAAGATTGTACTTTGCAGGAGAAGCCACCAGTGCACAGTACTACGGGTTCTTGCAAGGAGCGTACTATGAAGGTAAGGAAGCCGGTGAAGCAGTCGCGGATTGCCTGGTACATCCCAAACGTTGTAGTGGCTATGACCGTTACGAAGTGCTTCATGGTATAACGCAATCCAACGAGTATAACACGATGAATGGATGGATGGTGACCAGTTTCCAGACGAACGGGCTCGAGTAACCCTCGGGGTCCGGCGGGAAGAAGGAAAGGGGGAGTTTATTGCCTAGAGTGCTCGATATCAGGGGCGTGGAACAAAGTCTGCGGCGCTTGATTCTTTATCGAGAGATCATTCAACACATTTGAACATACAGTACCTTTGAACCTTGCTGGTCAAGAAGCGTGTCGCCAGGACTCACTCCCCGACACAATCGGGCAAGCTATTTGAATTGGCTATTTTGAATGTCCCAACTTCCGCCGAACCAGATGGAGTGGCACCAGCCTTAAGGGGGCGGGGGTTATCCACATAGCTGGCGCGGCCTGCGCCAGCATCATTAGGTAAGTTTGTCTGGCACGTCCCTAAGAGCGCCTATATGGGGAGCCTGCTGGCCTGCGCGTACATAGCCCGCCCGCCGGCCGCTCTTCTGGCTCCAATTTGATTGATGGGAGCTTAACCCCATGCTCTTATGTACCTATTTGCCGCAACCTCTCGAAGTTCCTCTTCGAAAAGATTCTGAGGGACAACGATCACTCGTTCCCCGCTGTCTCATTTTATCTCGCAATCAAGTGATCATCTTCTGCATTTGTGTTTCTGGTCCTTTGCGCATTCATTCTCTCCCATCAGTTAACATTCTTGTCGGCTGTGTCTGTCATCCCTACCTTTGCATCCTCTCAAAAGCACGAGTAGTCTCAAGCTTTTCTGAAAGCTTTCGCCTGCGCATCACATCGATCTGCTCATTCGCCCTCCTCGCATTCCCGCCACAGCTCTACGCTAGAATCCTCTATCAGTCATGGGAAGCTTCGTTTTTAGATGGTGAGTCAACGTGTGCATTGTCCAACAACTGGCCCCGGGGGCCGGTACAACCCCTGAACCGGACTTCTCGACTGATTCCCAGCAACCACTGACACGGATTCCGCAGGCCGCATCCAGATGCTGCGGACGTCCATGTTACTGGCACTTTCGATGACTGGGGTAAAACTGAGAGTTTGAACAAAGTGGGCGACGTTTGGGAGAAAGAGGTGGAACTCTCCCAAATAGACAAGAAAATACTCTACAAGTTCGTGGTCAATGACAAATGGGTCATCGATCCCACCGCTCCGCAAGAGGATGACGGTCATGGCAACGTCAACAATGTCTTGCACCCAGACCAAATCAAGCCCAAGGCGGCAATAGTTCCTGAAGCCGTGACCACCTCAAGCGCTGCGCCGGACAGTACTACCGCAGCGATGGCTGGTCAGGTGCCGCTGGAACCCAAGAAAGAGGCCACCGAAGGTATGTCGCATGCCGCGCTCGAGGCTGGAACTGTGAACAACTAGGACGTGAGACACTGAACCTGAGTGTACATCTAGTTACTCCTACCTCTGATTCCACCCTGAACGAAGAGACAACTAAAAGTAGTTTACCAGGTGCATTCCCCGAAACCCCGATGAAGGAACCCGACTCTTTCGGCGTCAATCCCCTCCCAGCGACCAGCGGAGCAGGGAACCCGGTCGACATTCCGGCAGGCGAAAAGCTCCCTCCTCCCAGCGAAGTCACCTCAAATACAATCGATTCCACGGTCACCACTTCAAAAGAAGACTATGAGAAAGCAGGTGGTTCGTCAATTCCGATCGTCGGGGGCACGCTTGCTGGTGCTGCAGGACTGATGGGATTTTCTTCAGACAAGAAAGAGAAAGAGAATTTGATCCCCGAATCTTCACTTCCTATGGGTGACCAGGCCACCGAGGCGCTTGATGCGGGGCCAATGATAAGCTCAGCTGCGCCAGCTTCCACTACGGCCGAAATGGCTGGTCAAGTGCCTCTGGAAGAAAAGAAAGCTGCCACAGTCGTCGATCCACAGACCACCACGGAGACTGTTCCTGAAGTCGTCAAGGAGTCAATCGCAGAAGCACATACCAGCCCCGAGGCCACCACTTCCCCAGAAGTCGTGAAAGAGAAGGCCGAAGTGGAACAGGAACTCTTGAAGAAAGTGCCAGAGAATGATGAGGAGGGCAAGCCAGCGCCGTCGGCAACAGTTCCTGAAACTACAACACCTGGTGAGGCTCCTACGGCCACTGTTTCCACAGAGAAGACGGAGGGTGACAACACTGAGTATGCGCCTCCACAAACCACCTCCACGGTCCCCGAAGAGTCCACCCTGGCTGGTGAACCCGCCGTGCAAATGATGAACAAGAATGAGGCCGAAGCGACCGGTGCCACCACAGCACCAGCACCCGCAGCAACAACCTCAACTGAAGGCACCGCTGCCGCAGCCACGACTGAGGCTCCCAAGGCGGAAGCACCCACAACGGCAGCCCCAGAGTCCAAGAAAGAGCCGGCCGAAACCCCCGCCACAACGAGTGCCACATCAACTCCCACCAAAAAGCCAGCCACCACACCGACTAGTAGCCCTGCATCAGACACCAAGGAGAAGAAGAAACACCGAATTAGCTCATTGTTCAAGAAGATCTTGAAGTAGATGCTACGAAAAAACCAGGGAACAACAGTGACCTGAAAAGGGATGGCTAAGCGCAAGGCTGCAGCCACAGGTGGGAAGGACTGGCTAGTAAGAGAGCAGGGACTTGTCAGGATATGTGAAAGAAAATGGGAAAGGGGGAAGGAGGTGATTCAGAAGGGAAATCCAGAAGGGATTGTTGGAGTGCATTGCCTAGGCTGGTGCATTGCTGGCTTGGACAGCGGATCCTTTGATTTGGGTTTGTTTGTCTTGTAGATATCCCCTTCAGCTGTGTTTGTACTAGGAGAGCTGGGCTTTGTGATAATGATAATAGGTTAGGAAGTGGCTGGTGGTTCGTGGCTCGAGCTCGCCAAAGTTCTCGTATTTTTCTAGAAACTTTCTCGAAGGTGTGGACGGATGGAGGCGTGTGGGCTGATCAATTTGCTCCGCGGGAACCAGGGGGCTAAAACGGCTGGTTTGAGGGTGATGCTGACGGAGCGCCCATTTCCCACACAAACTAAGACGCTTGCTACCGACATCTAATTGTATCTCTTCCTTGTCAAATTCGTTGTGTCATCTGTGTCTTCTTTTGCCTTTCCTTCTCTTTGTCCCATGTCCGATATCTGGTCATGACATGAAACCGGAGCGGTCTGTTCGGCCCAAGAATGCTAAGTCGCCTGAAAGATCCTGGATGATCCGGTGGCGGCATGAATGGTGCGATAGAGGCCAATCACCACCCTCCTCGCCTAATCTTGATCACCAGAAAGCTGTAGAGAACGACAATTGCCCAGCCCATGTTCCTTTGCTGTCACTAGTTTACGTGCAAAGAGGCTTGAAGGTTGGTTGAGGGGTACAACTGGAAGAGGACGGACTGAGCCATTGTCGAGTCTGAGTCTTCGAGACTTAAAGAGAAGAGAATGCTGCTTCAGCAGCAGCAAGAAGGGACTGGAGGACTTCCAGCCATCATTGGCAATACACGACTCGATTGCTAGCTACTAGTGGGGGGTTGAGCTTTCCATATCAGACCTTCAACGTTGAAGTACGGAATAGCACAGAGCTGTTAGCTGAGCTCCTCCTTCCTGGCCGCTCGTAAAAATTACTTCAACTAACAAAGTCTTCCTCCTCTTTCTTTTTCCTTCCTCCACCGCTCCTTTTCTCACTCATTATCGACATCAATCAGACCCATTGACACTCAAAACATTGCCTGTTACAAAACCTTCTCGTTAACGAAGCGCACTCGGCCCTCGACTGCGTCATCTGCGAACTGGGTCTGCCCCACTCGCATCCCTGGTTCGCTTCACGGCAGAAATCAAAAGCAGACTTAGGTCGGAGTCAGAGTCAAAGTCAGGTCATCACCCAGTCACCAATCGTTTGCGGGCGTCAAAGCGAGTCGACAGCGGCCAAAAAATTTCTGACATAGGCACCCTCATTACCCACCTTCTCGAACCCCAAATCGGTCCTTCCACACATCCACCAGGCCACACAGGCCACCTACTATCACCAAAGGGGTCTCCTCTTTATCCCTTTCCTAAACCTACCTGCAACAAGGCAGGCCACTTAGCAGCCCCAAAAGTCACCTAACTTCCCCCCCCCCCCGCATACATCTCGAAACTTCGCCGCCAATGTCCCTCTCTGCATCTCATCAAGCTATCGTCGATGCTCTGATCAAAGACTTATTGAAAGCCAACCCAGACGACCCTCTTCAATACTGTGCGAACTACTTCAACCGCCAGCTCGAATCCGAGCGGGCTTCTCACAAATCCAAATCGACCCCTGACACCAACGGCAAGATGGCAGACACCGCTGGCCCCTTCGACACCCGGAGCCCCTTCGCGGCCAAGAATGTCAACAGCATACAAGAGGAGGACGAAGAGCATGATACCCTTGGTTCACCCACCGATGCGACTTTCAAGTCCCGAGGCTCAGATCGCTCGCCTTTTGGTGGTTCTGGATTTGGGACTGCTGCCGGAGGTGCAGCTGCCGGAGGATTATTTGGAAGCTGGCTGGGTTCTCAGGCAGAAGAAACCGAGACACCAGCACAGACGCTGCCCAATAACTATGCGGCCGGTCGTAGAACTTCAGTCTCGGCTGAATCCATGCAACCAGATGCTGACTCGGGCAATTGGAAACCTCCCAAACACCAAAAGACACCCGAGCAATACGAAAGACTCAAGCATGCCGTTGCGGGCAACTTCTTGTTTTCCAGCCTAGATGAAGAGTCCTTCAACTTGGTGCTGGATGCGCTGGTCGAGAAATCCATTCCTGCGCCGAACATCAAAGTCATCACCCAAGGTGACGAGGGTGATTTCTTCTATGTCATTGAATCAGGAGAATTTGATATCTACATCAACCCCAGTGGCGCCGTCGAAGCTGGTCCAGAAGGCTTGGGCAACAAAGTCGCTACAATTGGACCAGGAGGCAGCTTTGGCGAGTTGGCATTGATGTACAATGCACCGCGTGCCGCAACGGTTGTCAGCGCATCCAAGGGTGGTTTACTCTGGGCGTTGGATCGAGTGACATTCCGAAGGATCCTCATGGACAACGCATTCCAAAAACGAAAGATGTATGAAGGTTTCTTGGAGGAGGTGCCGCTGCTCTCGTCCCTTAAACCCTACGAACGAGCCAAGATTGCTGATGCCCTAGAGACGGTCAAGTTCGAGGCCGGTGACAACATCATTACTGAAGGAGAGCCAGGTGATGCATTCTATCTTTTGGAAGCTGGTGAAGCTTCAGCATACAAGCATGGAATTGAGAAGCCGGTTAAGGAATACGCTCGAGGCGATTTCTTTGGTGAGTTGGCGTTGTTGGATGACAAGCCTCGCGCCGCAAGTGTAGTTGCAAAGAGCAGTGTCAAGGTAGCGAAACTTGGAAGAGACGGATTCAAGCGACTTCTTGGACCGGTGGAAAGCATCATGAGACGAGAAGAATATGATGCAGGGGACTCAATGGATCCTCTGAGCCAGCATAAGACTGTGACATAAGGGGGAAAAACAAATTCCGAGAGACGAAAGCTTACAGCCGTTTCAAGGGCTTTGACGAATGAATGGCAGGAAGCAGGACGCAGGGATGAAATTACAGAATACCACAACAGAGATATGAGAATTGAAAGAGTACGAGTATATTTCGTGATAGCATGGGGTGTTTGCAGGCTACCTACTTAGTTACATTGGTCGATCGATCGATCGATCGATTGATTGACCAAACCAGGTCACTAAACGGCAAGGGAGGCACGCAAGTATTTTGATGTAATCTCATATCTACATGGGAACTCATTTTCGGTTCGAAACTTGGCGAAGAGGGGATTGTGTCACGTGGAAAGTCAAATATCACGTGCTGCCTCGGTTTGCATGAAAGTCCAATCCTGGCCAATCAAATTGTTAATTTAATTACATAAGCATTCAGCATAGTTACCCTCGTCTCACCCTCCTCTGCGCCAGTCAAACTCCTTCTCCACCGCCAGCTTTCGAAAATTGGTATCCTTTAGAGACCGCACCATCGACAGCCGTGTCGAGAAGCTGGGAATTCGAAGGCCAAGACAAGGAAGGGATTGGAGGACTAGGAACTGGGTGTGGAGAACTACAGGATAGACGATCACGTGATACAGCTAGTTCCAAATGGGACTAGCGGCCTGCACGGGCGTAGGAATAATCAACCAATCAATCCCTTGCCTCTTCCCATTTACCAGTTGGCCAAATGACTTGCTGATTCGTGTATATCCCGACCGATTCGAGCACCAGGCTGACCGTACCAACATCTTTAAATGCTTCCTCTCATCCCCCTCTCCCCTGACATTCACATCCATCTCTATTTCCCCTATGTCTTTGTACAATTGCCAGTTCTGCATCTCCCTGGCGGGCGCCGCAACGGACATTTCCCGGCCGTAGCGCCGGTAAATGACTCCTTGATCTCCTGAAAATGCTTCGATTACTGATCGCTATCGGCCTGTTTCATTGGCTGGCGACAGTGTTGTCAAGAACAGAGCCATTTTCTAATCCAATGACGACGAGAATTACAAAGCCAAATTGCTCTTTCTGTGCTGTTTCCTTGCTGTTTGGATCTGGTGTTATTCAGCTTCTTGGCCCCTAACCCCTATGCTCCTGATTGCATACATCACCGCTCCCTTCTCCCGAGGTCAAGCTGGCAGTGTGGTGATTGTTCACTAAACCAGATAACCTCCTTTTGACTCAGTCGCATCTTTTGTTTTGTCTTCCTGTGGACCAGATCACGCCTTTCTCACAAGGAGCGTTTGTTACAACTCCCACCTCTCGTTTTGTCTGGAGATGCGTATGGGAATGGACAGGGTGGTATGTGGAAGCTTGAACTCGAAAGAGCGAACCTTCTTATAGCCCGGTCTCGGGTTGCTCTACCGTGAGTGTTTCCTCTGGGCACAATTTGGGAGGGCGTCTTGAGACTTCCTCTTCCCAATCTCTTCCGACTTGGTCATATCTACTCCAATCCAAAGCTTGACCCAGTATTCATTTCTTTTGGCTGAAATTCGATCCTTTCATCATGGCAGACACCTACGATTCCACCGCCGCGACCGAAAAGATGTCGGTACACTCGGATTCAGATTCGTCCTCTGATCGATCGATACCTGTCCCTATCGTGACCCGGGATATCGACCTCGAAAAGACAAACAGCACAGCTTCCCAGCGGACGACGCGGAGTGGCCGTTTAGATCGAGTCCCTACGACAGCTCAAGACTGGGATGGCGCGAATGACCCAGAAAATCCAATCAATTGGCCCCTCGCCATAAAAATTTATCATACTTTGATCCCAGCCTTACAATGTTTTACGATGTACGCTGGAGCCTTTCGAGATTGACCCATAGGGTTATAGCTAACATTCGCCAGCACTTTCGGCTCCTCTGTCTACACCCCTAGTAAGACCAAACCTCTAAACTACTCCGCACACTCAGCAGAATGAAATGACATACTGATTTTTTCTGTTTTTTGTTTTTCTCTTTGGGTAAGGTGTCCATGAAATTTCCCACCATTTTGGCGTAAGCAACACTGCCGCCATCCTCCCTCTGACCGTTTACGTGCTTGGTCTCGGATGCGGGCCTATCCTCAGCGCGCCTCTCTCCGAGACATACGGCCGGCGCTCCGTCTACCTAATATTCTTTCCCCCCTCTCTCCTCTTCACGCTCGGCGCAGGATTTTCACATTCCTTTAGCTCTTTCGTCGTCTGCCGCCTCTTCGCTGGCCTCCTCGGCTCAGGTTGTTTGGCGGTTGGAGCAGGCACCAACTCCGACCTCTTCGCACACCTCGACCGCGCAATCGCCAGCGCTGTATTCTTGATGGCGCCGTTCTTGGGTCCCGCCCTCGGTCCCGCCCTTGGCGGCTACGTCGCCATGAAAAAGTCCTGGCGCTGGACTCAATGGCTGATCCTCTTCTGGGGGGTCATCGCCTACGCGGTCTCCATTCCCCAGAAAGAAACGTACAAGAAAATCATCCTAAAGAATCGCGCGAAGAAACTCGGTTTGCAGTCGCCTCCTAACCCACTACCTCCAGGCATGTCGAAGTTGCGCTTTATTCTGATTGTCACCATCCTCCGCCCATTGAGGATGTTAATCACGGAATCGATCGTTGCGTTTTTCAGCATGTACACGGCTTTCAACTTTAGTGTGCTGTTCGGGTTTTTCGCTGCCTTCCCTATCGTGTTCCAGTCCCCGTATCCAGAGATTCAAATCTACCATTTCAACACGGGCGAATCGGGTTTGGTTTTCCTAGGCATTGGGATCGGGGTTGTCTCCGCGACTGTGATCTTCATCGTCCTGGACAGATTGACCTATCGCAAGAAGACGTACAAGAAACAGGCTCAGGGTGACTTCACACCTCTTCCGCCTGAAGAGAGACTCTGGGCTGCGATGCTGGGCTCGTTCCTGCTTCCCCTCGGCTTGTTCTGGTTCGCGTGGTCCTCGAGGAAGGATGTCCATTGGATCTCGTCGATTCTTGCCACTATCCCTTTTGGTATTGGCAATCTGCTTGTCTTTTGCTCATGTGTTTTGTATCTGATCGATACGTATGGTCCGTTGGCGGGCGCTAGCGCAGCAGCTGCGAACGGACTGCTGAGATATGTTATTGGTGCGGTGTTCCCGTTGTTCACGGTGCAGATGTAAGTTCTCACAACTCGTCTTCTCTTTTTTTTTTTTTTTTTTTTCTTTTCGCTCTTGCTCGTCTATTTGTCTCTGGTTTCCCACACATTTTGGTGACATTTTCATGGAAACCGGAAGAATCATGGTGCTAATTTACTACTTGGATCAGGTACCGCGGCATGGGCGTCGGTTGGGCCACCAGCCTCCTCGGCTTCGTCACCATCGCTCTCCTACCTATTCCTTGGGTCTTATACAAGTTCGGCCCAAAGATCAGACAGCGCAGCGCTTATACTCATTGACTACTTCTTCCCCTCATCTGAGGCTTGCCTCTCAATTCAATTCCAACTGGTTTCTGAAAAGCTGTTACGCTGCATCATCTTGGCTGCCCTCGCATCGATGTATTCAGTTTTGTTGATGAAGGAAGGAAAACAGAGCCGTGTGAATCAGGTATTGACTGATAGACTTAAGATATAGACATGGACACGGAGAAGGACGCACGTGACTATCAATATGGGGCTCCGGGCGCCAGAGGCCAAAGTCTGCCTGAAAGTATAGGGTGGTATTTAGTTAAAGCTTTAGGGATCGCATTGGTTAAAGTTTGGCCAAATAGCCCCCGGAGCAATATTAGACCGAATCACGTGCTGTTTACCCCGCCACGAAAATTACCCTTGATACCACAGTACGAACCTGAGCAACGCAGCGCGATGATTCGTCAATTAACTAAAATTGGCAAACGATAGCCCACCTCTGTCTTAACCTCAGTTATAGCAAAGTTGCAATGTGTCCCCAAGGATAGGGCGGCTTCAGGAACGGCTGTAGAGAACTGATGAGTCCCCAAGGGTTGGCCAGTTTCGCAACCTACTGTAGCTGAGAGGCAAGTTAAACCAGTTGCTGTAGGAGCTGGATTAAGCCCCCTTTGTAGCTCAGTGCGCTGCTCCGGGGTGCTCAGGCTCCAGGATCGCAACCAGGCTCCCGATGGTGAATCAACTCCCTCACAAAACAGAGATTCAACCCTCAAGTTTCTGCAATGTTTGATGAGGGATCGATCAGAATACATGCAAATGCTATCTTTCCCCAGATATTCCCTGTGTATCAACCCTTTCAAATAGCATAACGCGCCAAATAAGCTCCGAGTGACGCGAAATCGCGCAGAAGATTCCGGTCGGGAAGGTGGTTGGGTTCTCGCTCGCGATAAAGCCTAGTTCTCGGTCTGGAGATTCCCAAGCATAGGAAAGAGCAGAGAACAGTGGAGCTTGGGCAAGCTCGAAATTGAGAATGTCGAATGATGGTACTCTCCTGGCGACGGTTTCTCGCCGGAGACGGTGATCGGCAACATGCTCCTCACTTTTACGAGGAGTCTTTGACGCCTTCAGTCGCTTCTGAATTTAAGAGCCGAGAAGAAGCTGATGTGGCCAGTGGTTCGTGAAAGGCTAGGCTCGACATGGTGATCCAGCAAGCGGCCAAATCAACCTCAATAACTCGAGAACGATAACGCTTCATGCATTGAGCTGTTCCAACTCGACAACCCAGAAAAGCGGGCTACCAGGGGAGATAAGAGAACAGTAAGTTGGTGTCAAAGTAGAGTTGTCAGGGAGTAAAAGACATAGAATTGGCTGCCAACAGCCGGGACAGCACTTCCTATTGCACGTTGGTTTTTCACCAGAAACCTTGGAGCCCCAGCAGGCGCCGGTTCATAAGGAAGTTGAAGTTGAGAGTCTCACCGCGCCGATGCTGGGGCACTTCAAGGAGTAACCACCTGGTAGCTATTCATGGACCAGTGCCATTCTTAGTAAGCATGTCAGCAAAGACCAGAAGCACCGATAGCATTTAAAAAAAACTTCCGGATGAAGAGCGGGCAGCTGTTCATCTTTCTAACATAAACTCTCTCGGTACAAGACTAAGTAATCCGGTAGGAGAGGGATGTGTTACGTTGTTTCTTGAAAAGGGACTTGTTCGAGGTGAATGTCTATGGAGATTCAGAGGGATGACGAATCCGCTACTACTGCTGCTCCCCAAGAAGAATTTTGGTTGAGAAATTTAACCGAGGGGACATCGGTCCCACGTACGTTGGGAATTTGCAACCTCGTTCCGATGTGGCGTCGAGAATACTTCTATCATACCCACGCTATGCGGTTATTGTCATGATTCGTACGGCTCTTCCCGACCCAAAAGACTGGTCAGTTGCCAACATTATGTCTTTTTCTTTCCACCGGTCCTCCCCTTAAAGCTGCCTTCGAAGCCAGGTCTTCTTAATTTCTTGTCTTTCTTTGCGCCGCCCGCATGTTTCTCCTCTTTCCTTTTAGCCAGATTCTCCGCTCGTTTCTTCTGTTTCGCATCCTGGGCTCTCTGTACACCTTGAATTCTATCATTCCATTCACGTTCACTCTTCTTCTTCTGCCCTTGCTGTCTTCTCAATGCCTTCTTCAGCAGGCTGGTGTCGTCACGAACGTGTTCGCCATGGGCGCGTCGTTTAGCATTCAACCACATATCTTTCTGTTCGATCTCGCGGCGTTTCTGCTCATCTAGACCAGCAAGTCGAGATTTCTTCGCCTCTGCTGCTTTGAGCACTGACGCTGTGTCTCTGGGCCCTTTCTTTTTGTGTTCTTCGACAGCCTCGGAAGATGAAGGGTCAAAATGCGTGCCGTCCTCAAAGGCGATACGGCCAAAGCTAAAGTTGTTGTTGGAACTCGAGTGGGAGCTGCTGTCGCCGACAACGGGGGAATGAGGTGATGCCAAGAGAGAACCGGAGCCCCCAGGCGAGAACCGTCGCGCAATCTCTTCATCCTGTCGCCGAGCTTCTTCTTCTTTCTCTCGTCTCTTTTGTTCTTTCTTAGCAGCCTTTCTCTCTTCTTCCTTTCGATGCCGCTGCTCTAGCAATTCTTGTCGATTTTTTGGAGGACGGCCATCCACACCGTCGGCTTTCCGTTCCGCTCGAAGTTGCGATATCGCCGCCTGTAGTCGTTCTCGAGGGGTCTGAGTTGGATTGATATTGGCAGATGACGATTGAGGGGTTTGATTAGGCGTCGTTTTATTGATCGTTTCTTCAATCGTCGCCGGTTGGATTGAAGAGGTTGACGAAACGCCGGACTCATGTTGCGGGGAGAAAATTGCGGACTGTTCGCCATCGGAAGAAGCTGTAGAAGCTTGGTCGTTTATGGTGGGTTCGAGCTCTAGGGTGTCTAGGTTGATTGATTCCTTCAGTTGTACCTCGCTTTGTCCATTTTTAGAACCCAACTTCGCGGATGAGTTGGATTGCTGTGCTTCCTTCTTTTTAGCCCTCCGTCGTTCTAGCTTCTCTTTGGCTTTGGCTTTTCGCTCCTGTTTTCGCGCTCGCTTTGCGGCTCTGTTCTGTGCTTTTCGACGTTTTCTCTCTTCTTCTGTTTCTTCGATAGGTGCAATCTCGCCTTCCACTTTCCGCTTTTTGGATTTGTGGGCTTGTGCCTCCTGCAAGACCTTTGGTTGTTCCATCTCCGTGAAGTCTAGCGCAGCAGGAGAAACTGCATCATCTTCATCTTCGTCGGCATCTCTTTTCCGTTTCAATTCTGCAGCGGCTCTTTCATCCATGAGGTCCTTTGCACTCTTCCAATTGTCTGGGTCCAGTTTTGCCATTTTCGCTGCCCGCTTTTGCTCTGGAGTTTGCTTTTTGCGCTTCCATTGACCCTAGACCAATGTGAGTCATGCTTTTGAAACTCGATCTAACATTTCAAAACATACGCTGACATCTCCTGAATAGTAGTGGTCCGCAGGGATAATCGACAAAAGACTATCAAAGGCACGTGCATGGCTCTTGAGCCGTTCCTATGGTCAATCAGTTAAACGGGGCTTGAAAGGCAAGAAATTTAGTAACGAGTATACCTCTAGGTCGTCAGGCATCTCGATTGATAGTGTTCTCTTTCGTATCTGAATGCATCAACCACCTCGTCAATCACTCACGTCTGCAAAGCTCAAGAACCGAAAAAAAGTTTGCTTCCTCGAGGATGAGCTGCTGACCGACGACGCAGTCAAGTCGCAATGACACTAGGGTCGAAATCTTGGCATGGATTTTCTGCCCGTGACGTTGTGGGACTTTCAGTCTGATCAGGTGACAGAGTTCCACGTGACCTTCCGGTTTTCCCACTTGTAAACCCCCCAAGTCTCTGATGGTCCTCTGATGCTTCAACATCATCAAATGTTCAAGGACTACGTGTTACTATTCAAACGTATTGCAGATGAGATGGCACGATGCCATCAGCGAAAGGTAAGTCCACAACAGCACTCTCAGGCTTTGGTGAAGCAGCAAACCAATCCGAGTATTCTGCGCTGCTCCGATGTTCAAGTTCGATGCCGGGACGATATGCTCTCAATCCTGCCTTTTCGCTTCCAATCCTCCATTGCCTTTTTTCCCAACCTTCCCGGCCCTTCATCTGTCATCCGGAACAATGATCCCGACTACGACCGTCGTGATCCTCGAAAGAGACCGCGGAAATACGCGGCAAATGACCTGCAAAAATTTATTCAGCTAAATGAAACTTGGTCGGTAATATGACGTTTGAGCAAAGCCAGGCGGGCAAGAAGACAAATATACAATATGTCCAAGACCATTTAGGAGTTTTGATTGAGTAAGAAAAGGTATACAATCGAGTAATTGAGAGACAATTTTCAAGCACTCAAATCCCAGACCCGACAAGGCTTAGGGCCATCCCGGAACCTTATCCGGGGTCCGACTTCGCTGACCGAATCCAGAAAGGCGTTGTTGCATAGAAGGTGGAAAGGCACATGGCTCTAATTCCCAACGATAACGGCCCGCCAAACTTCACCCACCACGATCCATCCCACCGAGATTGGATTTCCCGGGCCAAAATGTTTCCCCCGTTATCTCTACCCGATATGATCGAGTAACAGATACCTCGTTCGAGTTGTCTTCAGCGTCGCTTCCCACGCTGTCTCTCCAATAACATTGCCAGTCTCGCTAGGAGCTCCAATGATTCCCATCGGACTCGCCCGCATGTATCACTCCACATTGCCATTTTTTCCAAAACAATTTCTGGGAGTTCTGATCTCTTGAAGGCTCTCGAGGAATAATCCAAGATGAAGGCGAGGTTTGGTCGAATCCGGCCTTCGAGAGGTAGTATATCATGTTCAATGGCTTTCCTTTGTTTGGTCCCCTGCATGTCTCGCCCAAAGCCCGTTCTCGAATCCCCAATAACCATTGACTTCTGTTTATCGCTTATCAAGCGTTGATAAGGACAACATCCCCCTTCACATGCTCGACGCCCTCATATCCAACTCCTCTGTGACCTCCCCTGAACCCTCTTTTGTCTTTCATGTCAAAGCCTAGCCGGCGGTAATATTCCCCCTTAACCATGAATAGCACGACAAGCGCCTTCCATCCTTATCCGAACCCTCCACTCTCTCCTCCGAATGGCTTATCAGACGCGGTAGACGAGGCCCCGATTACTGTGATCGCTTCCTCTCGAGCTATCAGGTCCGGACGGCTTTCGGCGGCCACGATTGTCATCTCCAATGCTACGGGCAAAATAACTGCGACATTTGATTCGATCGTTCCTCCTTCCGATTTCCCTCCAAATACACCATATACCGATTACTCGCCCCATATATTACTCCCGGGATTGGTGGATGCACATGTACACCTTAACGAACCGGGCAGGACAGAATGGGAGGGATTTTATACTGGAACGCAGGCTGCGGCCTTCGGTGGCGTCACCACTGTGGTGGATATGCCATTGAATGCGATTCCTCCGACCACCACCTTGGCAGGGCTCCAGGAGAAGATCAAGGCTGCTCAAGGTCAATGCTGGGTTGATGTGGGGTTCTACGGTGGCATAATTCCTGGGAATGAGGGAGAACTCAAGGCCTTGGTACGAGAGGGTGTGAGAGGGTTCAAAGGATTTCTAATTGACAGTGGTGTCGAAGAATTCCCAGCAGTTTCCTCGACAGACATCCGGAAGGTCTTTGCGGAACTTGCAGATGAGCCTACAACAGTCATGTTCCATGCAGAGATGATCCCTCCCATCGCCGATTCGGTTGGAGATGATGTCCAGACTTCACTACCCCCCTTGGAGCCCCACGGCCCATTAAATGCCTACGGCACTTTTCTGGCCTCGCGACCACCGTCCTTCGAGACTTATGCTATTGAAGAAATCTTGTCCCTGGCGCATCTTGCACCCAATTTGCCATTGCACATTGTCCACTTGTCGGCAATGGAAGCCATTCCTCTTCTGAGGAAAGCACGTGCACAAGGGATTAATATCACGGCTGAAACTTGCCCTCATTATCTATCTCTTGCCGCCGAGCAGATTGCATTGGGTGATACTCGCCACAAGTGTTGCCCACCAATTCGAACTCAATCGAATCAGGATAAGCTGTGGACAGAGTTATTACAGCATGCTGGGGAGGGCGTGATCAAGACTGTTGTGTCAGACCATTCCCCATGCACTCCAGATCTTAAACTTCTTCCCTCTCACGTACCAGGGCATGTCGCTCCCCCAAAAGGCACGGCGAAGGCATTGCTGCTGGACACGGATAGAGGTGATTTCTTCTCTGCTTGGGGCGGGATTTCCTCGGTCGGGTTGGGCCTGCCGATCTTGTGGACTGAGGTGGCAAGACGAGGCCTGACATCTACTGACACAGCCATCACTGACGTTGTTAAATGGTGCTGTACCAATCCTGCCGCACAAGTTGGTCTCGAGAAACGAAAAGGCGACCTCGCTGTTGGTTTCGATGCCGACATCTGTGTTTTTGACGATAGTGCTGAGTGGGTTGTTGAACCCAATACGATGTTGTTCAGAAATAAATGCAGCCCCTATCAGGGTAAGACAATGAAAGGACAAGTCAAGGAGACTTGGTTGCGAGGACGACAAGTTTTCGTCCGAGATGGGCCAAATAATGGATTTGTTGGCAAAGAATGTTCAGGACAATTATTGTTAGAGCCTAGACAGAAAGAATTGAAGAAGGTAAAGAGTTGGTTTAGAAGATGGATTTACGATTACGAGGCATGACCACGTGAACAGCAGTGGTTGGGGATAGAAGGGCATAGAGCGGAGTGATAAGAACAGATTGACACTTGATTTGAGGAATTTTGGGACGATGAACCATTCTCCCACCGATATGTCAATTCGTGTTGAATTTTCAAGTTTCAACCTTCTCGTGCTTCTTCTCCCACTTCTCTCTTACTCGCCTTCTCATACCGCCGTTGACGCCTCGGCCCCATATCTTTTCATTCTCCGTAGAAGTGGATAAAAGGGTATCATCGACAGGCTCGCCTCGGTATTCGCCAATAAACTCTTTCTTCTCGCGTTTGGCCCTCTCTTTCTCCCTACTCAGCCTAACCTTTCTCAGATATCCCGCATACACCGTGGCTTCAGCAATTCCGACCACAAGACCAGTGGACAAAGATACGAGGACTCTCGAGCCATCATTCGGCCACCATCTGGTTAAATAGAACATGGCCCCTGCACACATGACAATGCTGAGCAAGATGTTGAAAACCAAAGAAGGGCTGATATCGTCCTTTTCTTCGTCTGGACCCTGTTCTAACGCTCGTTTTGAAACCAGTGCAGCGTACTCTCGCTGTTCTTGCTCTTTGCGTAGTCGTTCCATGAGGGCAACATACTCTGGGGAAGGCTGCGGTTTCGGGGGCGGGGGGAAAACATGGACACACGTCCCTCTCAAAAGGGTGTTGAGAGTGAACCCTTTCGCAAGGTGTGAGAGTGCTATAACCGTTTTGTGTTCTATAGGTGCTCCAGACGCTGTGGGTAGTCCGTCGAGTGAGGACCGTTCGGAGTATGAGAGAGAGGAGATGGCGGCGAGAATGCAGGGCGTTGTGGTGAGGAGTACCATCTTATCGAAATCAATGATGTCTTCCTCATGGAAGATCCGTCTGTACCTTAGTAGTTAGGTGTCTACCTTGATAGGTAAAGAATGTGAAGTCCCAGGCAGCCTCATAAACGGGTTCAAGAATGACATGAAGAAGGCTGAGGGTCGCGGAAAAGCTATGGCACACCCTGCAAGGCTTCCTTTCCCCACACCGAATCACGCTAGAGCTTTGCCTACCACAATCTGCTCCCCCAATTCTTCGTTCACATTGTTGAGCATTAGTCGCACTCATGCAAAGCTGCAGTTCTGTATAAGATCGACTCGACACATCCTGTTCTTCTTCTAATACTCCGCCCGCGCTGAAACCACTACAATAGCCCTTGCCAACGACTAATATGACGCTATCAACCATACTCCACGACGATGGGAAACGAGCAGAGTCAAGAGTCTGCTCCTCCAACAGAGCAGGAAGAGCGTAAGTAAGCGCGGTCAGAGGACTATTTGACTTCGAAGTAGACTCAGGCTCATATTTTTCCTCAGACACTGATCTTTCAGACATTCCTGACGACCGAGATCCCGTCGTCGACGAACCAACAGTCGTAGTCAACCGGACCGAAGTCATGCCACCCTCGAGTGAAGCAACACAGCGGAGCAAGAAGAAAAAGAAGCGCAAGAAAGGACGGAAATCATCAGGCAGCTTTGTCGCCGTCAACCAGGCCCCGACCGAGGATCTCTCTGAGGAAGTGAAGCTGTCGGCAGGGTATCCCACGGGTGACAATCGGCCTTTAAGGGAGCGGGAGCCAGAAACTTATCACATCTATGCTACATCCGATGCAAGTGACGTGGAAGGAGCCGATGAAAATATTCCCCCGGGAAGCTCAGAATTTTTGGTCGCAGGTGCCGCAGCGCTTCCGGAAGAGGAATCTGCGGACATTCAAGAACTTTCCTTGGAGACCGAGGATGCGACAGGTTCAAAGGCTAATTCAAACGAAGGAGACCCTGAAAATGAGGATACCCCTCAAGCAGGAGAGAAATCAACCGGGGCCCCCTCCGTGATCAGCCCGAATTATTGGATATCAGAGCCCAAGCGCAACAGCACGGGTCGGTTCCTCTGCCCTTTCGCCGAGACTTACAAGTGCCAAGAGACTTTCAGTAAAAGTAAGGTTGCTGTTCGACATGGCGGTATCCATACCTCGGATTTCACTTGCTCGGTTTGCAACAAGAAGCTCAGCCGAAAAGATACATTGGAGAAGCATATAAACAAGCACACGGTGCTGGAAATTGCCGCAGCCGAAGCTGACTCGCAGGCTATTCCACAGCTAGAGTCGCAACAGCCGGAGAATGTTCAGACCGAGGTTGCAGCACCCAGTCAAAACCAGGACAAGGAGCATGAAGACGAGAGTTCTTCGGCACTCAGAACCCTTCAAGATACCTCTCAGGGAAAAGGTCCTGTCCAGCAACCAAAACCTGACTCTCAGCTAGAGGTGCAAGAGGGAGACAATGACCACATTGATGAAGCAGTTCAAGTGGGCAATGCTCCAGAAGTTCACTCTGAACAACAGTCATCCTCTCCAAGTGTTTTCGACGAAATTGAAGAGACGATCGTGAAAGAGACGCCGATGCCCAAAGAGAATGTGAAACGCAAGCGTGGCATTGAACAGACCGCTGGGCAAAATGCACCGAAAGCCAGAAAACGAAGAAAGGGATCTCCGAATTCTCCTCCCACTTCGGTCCAGTCCAGGGAGGAAGCGATGAGGTCGGATTCCGCAGAAGTGCCGACTACCAAGGAAAGACCACGCGCCCGACAAATTACTGATAAGATTATACCGAAGCTCCAGAAAAGTCGACAGGGCAATATTGATGGTTGGGCTCAGAAGTACACGCCCGGTTCCGCGCTCAGACATCCTGCTTTCAATCCGAAATCACCACGTGCGTCAGTTGGAACACAGGTTGAAATGCGAATTCCACGGACGAGTCTAGGAGGCCCTTCTAGGACGAGCAGACTTGCGGGATCGCGCACGAATTCTAGCGATGGACAGCCTCAATCCAACCCATTAGAGTCTTTGCGACGTGAAAAGAATCTTAATGTGACTTATTATACGACTCCAAAGGAGAAAAAGCGGGTTGATCCTGGGGTGGATTACTCAACTCCGTTGAAAGATGGCACGGGACAAAAGGATCTCAATCTCACATCTGAGGACCAAGATTCAGAACCGACGAACATGGCCACGACTGTCGCGAAAAGGACATTCCCCACCCTCCCACGACGGCAAAATTCCCGCAAGGCAGGGGAAGATTCTGGTTCAGAATATGATTTACTGGCCGATACTGACTCGGAGACCGAGATGCGAAATACCGTGATGGGACATACCGAGAAGACAGTTAAAAAGGCTGCGGGCCCGAAGTCCGTGGAATGTAAAACGTGCCATCGCAGATTTGCCGATTACGACAAGTTGAATCATCATTTGAAGAAGCCATCTGCCCATACGAATTTATTCGGTTGCCAAAATTGCTCCGAACAATTCTGGGCGATTGCTGTTCTCGCAAGACACGAGAAAGAAACCGGACATGGCCGAGGCAATGGCTTGCAAGGTCGCACGGGTGCATTTAGCGAGAACGAAATCAAGAAACTCAAGAAGTGGGAGGACATGTTTTGTGAAGAACACGGCATCAGCCATCTACAATTCAAGGATATGATGACAGATACTTTGAAGCGAGGATCAGGAACGAGTTGGAATTGGGCGTTTATTACCAAATCAGAGTTCCTGAATGAGTATGTCAACGTGCTTCCCGACCGGAACAAGCGGTCGATGTTGAGATATCGCGAGCGAAACCTTCAGAATCTCGAAGGCTCTAGAAATTGGACAGCGGAAGACGACAAAGAACTGATCCGACTACAAAGGGAGCTGGGTTCGAAATGGTCGGAAATTGCCCAGCGACTCATGAGGACAGTGGATTCAGTCAGTCAACGGTGGCGGCATAAATTACAGCACGGACCGACTGAGCAGGGCGAATGGTCCAGGACCGAGGAAATCAAATTCGCGAAGGTATTAGACCAAGTCCGAAAAGAATCTGGTGTTAGTCCAGAATCGGAAGATTGGCGCATTCCGTGGAATAGGGTCAGCGAAAAAATGAAGACCAGATCTGCTCAGCAATGTTCAAATCACTGGCGTGCCCTTCACGGGGTGAAGAAACAAGGCAGATGGGTCAAAGTTCGAGACCTCGAAAAGACTGCAGAATCAACTCGAATCTTGACGCCTTCAAAATTGGAAGGCAGGCTGAAGGGAGTCGATACGAGCTCCTACAATCGGAGGGAACTTTCTGAGAAATTCGTTCGCGATGATGACACAGATTCTGAAGATGAAGAGAATAATTTAGCTGACCGGGAAGATGTTCCCCACGAAGACGAAGATCAAAGTCTCGAAAATGAAGGAGCCCGGGATGAAGCCCCCGGTCGAACCGATCACGACGAAATGTCCTCGGAGGCAGAGCGAGAAGAGTCAACTCGTGAACCGGCAAAATTGCCTCGAAATCCACTTGCAAAGACGACTCCCGCCAAAACCCTTCGGTCAAGCCAGCTATTCGCTCAGACTCAGGCCAATAGTTCGGCTCTAAGGGCGTCCTACAAAAGAAAAAGTGAAGATGAAATAGAAGATCGACCTTCGCCAAGTATTGCCATCCAGCGCCGGGCACTGTCAATTTATTCTCCTTTGCAAGAAAAAAAGATCAGGGGAAGGGGTGACTTAGATTTGGATGAAGAGGAAGATGAAGATGAGGAGGACCAGAGAGCCCAAGACTCAGGAGAAGAAGCTGGTGAAGAAGATGATGACGAGGAAACAGCTAAAAATGTGGGGACCGCAGAGACGACGACGTCAGAAGTTGAAGAGAATACCTCTCTTGAAGACTCCGACGATGATGCCGAGGCTAGCAATGACGACTCAGAAGATCATCTCGTCGAGAATGAGACAGAAGAATCGAACGTCTCCAGGGGCGAGAGGGAAAATGAGGTTGTCGAGGAAATTTCTTCAGATGAAGATGATGATCCTGGAACCGAAGACGACGAAGCCCATGAAATCGATCTCGATGACAGGACGAAGAAGGCCAAGTCGGTCAGAGGGCCGCGAAACGATTTCATGGATAGCATCAATGAGTCGGCACGGCGGGTGTGGAGTAGCCAGCTTCAGGCTTCGAAGGAGAAGCCGAAGAAATTTGCACGATCCAACGGGGCAAAATTACAGCATTCGGACGATGATGACGAGGATAATGACAGTGATACTAGCACGGATGACGGGACTGAGACAACTACTGGGAATGCAACTGAAAGCCAAGATGAAAACGAGCACGAGGACACGAGCGGGGACGAAGAAAGCGAGTAAGCTGATGTATTACATGTTCATACGCAAAGTATACCTTTCAATTCGGTTCTTGTTCAAGCTGTACCAAATCTCGGTTGATGTTACACTTACCGAATCCGATCATGACATCAGGGAGTGGAAGCAAGTCAATATCGGATGAGAATCAAGAAGCTGAATATCGTAGGTAAATTGGTTTTGCTGGCCCCTTTCGCGTCGTGGGATTATTTTGTTATATGAACTATGTTCATGCATTAGACTAGGACCCAAATGGGTTCGTTATTCTCTTTCGCAAGCTGGAGCTGGACTTGGACTTGCTCGCTCGGACTCTCGGGAAAGAAGGCGGGTCGTTGGGTTAAGAAATTGTTGGAAGTTCGGTATCCCCGTTTCTCCTTTGCGATGACTTCTGACTTGGTGTCCGTCCTGCTACCGCGGCAGGATTTTCAAAGTTCTTAAACTGCGCAGAAGTTGGGTTCTTCGAGTCATGGGAGGCGTGATGTGCCACCAATAGTCCTGCTGAATATCATGCGCCATGACGTGCTCTCTCGTCCGTCCCCCGTACCATCGTATGGTGTATCCCCAATTTCATAGCGACCGTAACAATTGGGTATTATTCGGATGAAAATGTCTGCTCGATGCCTGTATAAGTAATTCTCGCCAATAAGTCATGGGCTGCGAGATCGAATAATGGAGCAAATCTCGTCAACTTTGCCTAGCATCCATAGTTCGATTCTTTAATAGTCGGCATCCAGCAAAGCGCTTCGCGTGCATTCCTATATTTTATTTTTCTCTCTCCCAATAGCGCACAGTCGAACCATTCTGAAACTCTTTTCGAGCCTGCTTAGTCCTTCTTTGCTGAATTTGGAATGTGCTGATATCTAGCGCTTCCAGTAATCTAACCGTGGGAAAGATTTATCTGCCCACACTCATCAGGCTGAGGCGGAGCGGCCAAAGGTAAAGGAGGTCTCAATTCAGACAGGTCTTCGCGAGTTACATGATGCAATTTGGAGACCGGGCGACGATGCTTGGGGCAAGAATTTCTAGAAATTCTCTCAAAACTCGAAGATAATATGTCTCTGCTCATGATATCTTCCGCTTGACGGCTGGTGGACTGTTCAGGCTCGAGCTGGAGTCGAAGGCGAGAACATGCAGAAGAGAGGGGGTACTATGTCGACGAAAGGCATTCCGAATGGATTGAGTCGAAGCAATTGGAAGGCAGCCGTGCCATATAGCTTTCGGTATAGTCCTCAGTCATCGGCATAGAGGGTAATAGAGCAGGAGAATGGTTACTCACCTGTATTTGCAATCGAAATGGTGTTGATGTTCATGTTGGGAAAATGTTGCGGAGTTTTGGAGAGGATCCACCGGCCGGATGATCAACTCCGCGTCGCAGCTTTGTCTCTGGGTGGTTCTCCATACCATCAACAGAGCACCACCTGTCCTGAACACCTTTCAATTCGTTTCCATTGTATTTCGTACTCGAGTGCGCGCTCTATGCCTGATTCTTCTTTCCGAAATCTCACCGATGCTTCTTTACGCTCACTTTTAAATATCCTCTGCTCTGCCATGTGTGTACTTCGTTTCTGATGATTTGGCAGCCTTGTCACCGTAACCATGCGCACCTCCACGCTCCCTTGGAGGTCTATTGGCCTCGCTCTCTTGTCTCTGACCTTGCCTTCAACTTTGGCGCAGTCCTCTCCTTCCATCAATGTGGCCTTAGAGACTTCTTTCTCTGCCGGGCCATACCTGGTCGAATTGCTGTATGATGGAATCTCTAACATGACCGCGAGAACTTGCGAAACTAACATCCATATAGGGAGACTGCCGCGCTGGAAAACTCATCATCATACTTTCCTCTTCTTGATCGCATCGCTGACGGCGTCTTTTCGGATTTGCACACGGAGCAAGAGCTGTACAATAAATTCATAGATGTGTTGAAGCAAGATGGCCACCTGTCCGATCCCGAATCTCTCTCCTCATTCAAATTCGCCCTCGCTCTCCATGCTGCCGCACCTCGAATTGAGGCCCATTTCCAATATTACAACACGTCGGTTCAGCCATATTTGATGGCGGCGCAGGACGCTGCCTGCCCTGTTTGGGTCTATCTGGATGGCAAGCAATACTGCTCTCCAGCATTGGATCGTGCACAGCAGGCAGTGGCATTACCAGATGTAACCGACAACCTTCCGTTCGACCGTGTGCTAGGAGACGTACTAGAGGCACCACCGTCCATCCTTTACGCAGATATCACACACCCCTTATTTGGCCAATTCCACCATGACGTCTGTCAGACAGCTCGCGAAGGAAGGTCAACATACAGAGTACGATACAGGCCGTCAATGGGTTCCGGAGAGACAAAACCCCTTTACGTCAGTGGTTATGGTGTTGAGCTCGTACTCAAACGGACGGACTATATCGTTATTGACGATCGGGACGCCCACAAGACTGGGAGCGGAAACGTTGACCCGGTGTCCTTGGAGCAGGTGCAGGAAGACGAGCTCACAGATTTAAAACCTCTCACCACCTCTGAAGTGGTCAACCTAGGCTTGAATGCTGCCAGCTTCATTACGGCGAGTTCCCACCCGCTCGAAAGCCTGCTACAAATCTCATCGGATTTCCCCCGGTATTCGACCCTCTTAGCATCTACCAATGCTAGCAGAGAATTTCTATCCGAGCACACGGCAAATCGGGAGCAGTTCCTGCCATCTGGATACAACGTATTTTGGATTAATGGTGTTCAAATCGAGCCGCGTCTCGTAAATGCTTATTCTCTTCTCGATCACCTGCGACGAGAAAGGCGGATTATCGGTGAATTGAAAGAAATTGGACTTACATCAGCCGAAGCCATCAATCTCCTTTCCAGTGAGGTGATTGCTGAAGCACAGGCCAATGAGATGCCACAACGATTTGACTGGCGCGATGATGTCGAGGCCGACAAAGTGCTGATGTGGTTGAATGATCTTGAACAAGATAAGCGATATGCTGCATGGCCATCAACGCTGCCCTCGCTGTTCCAGAGGGTCTACCCAGGACAGTTGCCTCAGTTGGCTCGAGACATCCACAACCTCATCGTACCAGTCGACATGACTGACATCAAGGATATTGAACTTGTCGCGACATCCTTGCAGAGTTTGGTCCGAAGACTGGTGCCCATCAGGATTGCGATTATTCCCACTGGAACTGGAGAAACAGCGAATCTCTATTCGAAACTAGCGTACCACATACTTGATACCTATGGCTTGAGCTCGTTAATGGCCTTTTTCTCGGATATTGTCTCCTCAAAGAAGCTGTCATCGAACCCAGAGAAGAGTTTCGCGTCAGCGATTAAAGGTCGTCCTCTGCGGGAGGGTAGAGAACAATCTTCCTACCAAGACCTTCTGACTGCGGAATCTTTGAACCTGCGACTTCAGGCCCGGGATAATTACCTGAATCGCCTGGCTCTGGGGGGATCTAGGCCTCCTTTTCTAATCAATGGAGTCGTCCTTCCTCGAACCGACAATTGGTTTGAACTGATGAGCGCACGATTGTACTCCGATCTGCAGTTGATCCAACAAGCTGTTCTCCAGGATGCCATCCTTGAAGACACCTGGGTCCCACAATTTTTCCTTTTCCAGGCTGCCGCCCGGCGAAATGAGATTGTATTTCCTCACGATCCCAAAGATGTCAAAATCGTTGATGTGAATTACCTGACCGCCAACTTTGGAGAAGACATCTCCTCTCTCCCCCGAGTTGCAGGCACAGAGGCCATGCTACTGAGTGATCGTGCACATCTTCTTATAATTGCGGACCTAGATTCTGAAGCTGGCCGAGTTTTCCTGTCCGAAGCTGCCGCATTCCAGCAGAAGCATCCAGAAACAGACATGTTGATATTGCACAACCCAAGTTCAGATTCACCACCGGACCAGCCATCTCGGTGGTTATACGCCTTTGTCCAAAAGAGTGGACGCGACCTGACGATTGAACAGCTTCAGCGGTCACTGGAAAATGAATCCGACCCTTTGCTAGGCGAAAGTGATCTCGCTGAAGCGTCTGCTCGGTTCTGGAGCTCGAAAGAAGGTTTGATAGGCAGTCTCGGACTTTCTGCAGGCCAAACTGGACTGTGGTTGAATGGCCGACTTCTCGAACCGTCGGATCAACCGCTTACCGCCATTGACTTGGAGTCGCTGCTCGATTTTGAGCGAAGAGAAAGAATTGCTCCTGTGACAACGGCCATTACAGGGCTTGGACTGGAAGATCGATTTTCAGACGCGTTGGATCTCGCAAAAGTTACGTCGCTCGTTGCAAGATCCCTCAAGTCTGACCTTCCCGAAGGTCTGAGAGAATCTGCTCCTCTGATCCGGATGGATCGATTCAAAATCTGGCAGGACACTCACACGTCCATCAGTGTTTCTAATTCGAATGATCCCATCATACAGATTGTCGCCGTTATCGACCCCGCCTCCGAAGTCGTGCAGCCATGGGTGCCGATCCTGAAGACCTTGTCCCAGCTGGATGGTGTCAGTGTTAAGATCTTCCTGAATCCGAAAGACAGATTGACCGAGTTGCCGGTGAAACGATTCTTCCGTCAGGTGATCAGCGCAGAGCCCCGTTTCAACGCTGACGGTTCGCTGGAGAATCCCAACGCCTCATTTACTAGAGTTCCCAAGGACACACTTTTCAATCTCGGAATGCTCGTCCCACCCTCGTGGCTAGTGGCCCCCAAAAGCTCCATCTATGATCTTGACAACATCAAACTGAGCAGTCTTGGAGATGGGGAGAACATTGACGCGCTGTACGAGTTGGAGCATATTCTGATCGAAGGCCACTCTCGAGATGTGACGAATGGTCCACCACCTCGCGGGGTTCAACTCCTTCTGGGAACGGCACAGGAGCCTCATTTCACCGATACGATTGTCATGGCCAATTTGGGATATTTCCAGTTCAAGGCCAACCCGGGTTATTGGCAGATCTCATTGAAACCTGGACGGTCGTCTAAAATCTTCCACATCGACAGTGTGGGACCCCATGGGTATTCGGCCCAAGCCGGTGATGAGACAACTGCCGTAGCACTTCTCTCGTTCCAGGGCTTGACATTGTTTCCTCGACTTTCGCGTAAAGCGGGAATGGAAGAGGAAGATGTCCTGGGGTCCTCGGTCCTGGGAGGAGCTCTGGACTATCTTAATAAAGGTGCATCGATTGCTTCGTCGGCTCTCTCCTCTCTAGGGTTCAAAAGCGCATCATCGTCGTCATCGTCATCATCCGTCAACGCTGATATCAATATCTTTTCGGTCGCCTCCGGCCACCTTTATGAGCGAATGTTGAATATTATGATGGTGTCTGTAATGAAGCATACCAAACATAGTGTCAAGTTCTGGTTCATCGAACAATTCTTGTCGCCATCTTTCAAATCGACGTTGCCCCATCTGGCGAAGCACTATGGGTTTGACTATGAAATGGTGACGTATAAGTGGCCACACTGGCTTCGAGGACAAAAAGAGAAGCAGCGTGAGATTTGGGGGTACAAGATACTGTTTTTGGATGTGTTGTTTCCCCTGGACCTGGACAAAGTGATTTTCGTCGATGCCGATCAAATTGTCCGCGCGGATATGATGGAATTGAACAAAGTCGACTTGAAAGGAGCCCCCTATGGTTTCACTCCCATGTGTGATTCACGAACAGAAATGGAGGGATTTCGATTCTGGAAACAAGGATATTGGGAGAACTATCTGCGCGGCAAACCATATCATATCTCGGCATTATACGTCGTTGACTTGAAACGATTCCGGCAACTGGCAGCTGGTGACCGCTTGCGACAACAGTACCAAGCGCTCTCCTCAGATCCAAACAGTCTCAGCAATCTCGATCAGGACTTGCCCAATCACATGCAACATAACCTACCGATTCACAGCTTAAGCCAGGAATGGCTGTGGTGTGAGACATGGTGCAGCGATGAAAGTTTCAGTTCGGCAAAGACGATTGATCTTTGCAATAACCCTCTGACGAAGGAACCGAAACTGGATAGAGCGAGGCGACAGGTTCCGGAATGGACGGCGTATGATGAGGAAATAACCGCAGTGATTAAGGCGGCGACGGAAGAGAAAGAAGAGGAGCCGGTGGTGCCAGAGGAGGCTCATGAGGAGGTCTTCCACGATGAGATAAAAAGGGATGAATTATGATGGGAAGAGGGTGTTTTCGGAAAAACAGCTATTAGACATAGACTGTACCACCAAAGAATTGGATCATCATTTGGGCCTAGGGGACCGGTAGTGGTTTGTTCTCATTTGTTGACGATGGGTCTCACGGCCTTGTATAGGTGAGAAGTCTTGCAGATTCTGTAGCCCAGGCATTATATGTCTGGACACTGGCTAACTGGGGGTGCTTTACATAGTTCAAAGACTTCACCACCAACGACATTCATCCATCGAGGAACTTGGCTTCTGTATAAGCATTCTTCGCCTTCGACTTCTTTTTCATTGAGCAGCCTGCCTCCTCAAAGCTGTTTTCCCTGGCTACAGGGTTTGTTGACTGCGAGAGCCGGACTGACTCGCCGCACCAGCAAATCCTTACACCAACTAATGAATATCTAGGCTGAGGTGAGCAGACACCTTAGCCGTCACGGCTCCGACTCGTCAAGCGACCGGAACGTTTTGTCTCTCGATCGATCGGTGCGGTCCATTTGTCCTCTGGAATTCCTCCTCGTGTGGTGTTTTTCCCCAAGGTGGCGGATCGCTGCAGTGGACTTAGTCACCGGTTCGCTAAAAGGCTCGACGGCACGCAGGAGTGTTGTAAAGGGCTAGGCGCATTGAAACGGTAGCAACAGCAGTAGTACTAGCCGCAGGCATATTTTTACAAAGTACTGCTGCCACGCAGCTGCCACCGTAGCGTGGCCACGCCAGGGCTGACAGTTTTGGTCAACATTGCTCAGCAGCCAAAGAAGCCCCCTAGTTCACTATCGCAGCTTATGTTGTGACCTGATGGTCTCCATTGATGCCCTTTTGTTATCTTTGGCTTGAACCGTAGATGCTTGTTTAACCTCAATCAACGAGAAATACCCTAGGAGATACATTGGTATCTAGAGAGACTCCCCGGCATCCAACATCATGGCCAGTTCAGCACCACCAGCCCTAATCAAGTTCGTCGATGAAGCACCCTCGTCGGATCAAAACGTCCGCGACCATGAACTCGACATATCCGAGCGAAAAGCCCATGCGGCTCGAGTCGCCCACGAAAGAAAAACAAGACAGCCGCCAGGCTCAACCAGCCCCAGTTCTGAGGGTTCAGCTGGCGATGCTGCTCCCTCCACACGGAAAGGTATGGTGGTAGCCAAACCCCGCCGTGGCGGGAATATACTCGTGTTCGACGAATCCTCCACAATCAAGTCCACATCAAAGAAAGGATCACCTTCGACGGCAAAGAAAACTTCAACGCAGCCTTCTACAAAGAAAGCAACAACGGCACCAGCAAAGAAGGTCTCGGCCGTTCCGCCGCTTCCATCTCCTCTCAAGGGAAATTCAGACCCCTTCGGCGCGCTTGCTATCTCCGTCACGCCGCAAGTCAGCCAAGTCTTGCAATTCATGCACGATGGGGTCTATCCCGGACTCTACTTCAATTCCTTCTTCCGTCGCATGTACGGAGACGTGCGCGTGACCTCTTGGGAAAGCAGTTCCTGGCTCCCGGCGCAAACCGCACAGGCAGGCTGGCACTACGCGTTATCCAGTCTCAACGACGAAGGTCTGGCACTGGCTTGCATTGGCGGCTATCTCAACAACATGGCCATGCTGATGCCGGAGTCTTCCAAGCGCAAAGCCACGCGTCTCGGCCTCACCATGATGACCAAGAGTTCCATGCTCTTGCGGCGCAAATTGCAAGACCAGATGGACCAGGATCTTGTCATGGGCACAGCGCTGATCAACCACATCTACTGGCTTTTCCGCGCCGCCATCTTTTCACGAGACGAGGCATCCATCACCACTCATGGCCAGATGCTCAATCTGTCATTGATGAAAGGGCTTGTCGATGGCTCGGCAGATATTCTAATGCTGATCCAGGCCGGGGTAGACGATGTGGACGTCTGTGCTCGACTCATGCGTCGGACGTTTATCCACCCTGCTGCGTTTGCAAAGGTCTGTGCAGGTCTTTGGGCCATGGCCGAGCCTCTCCTGCCACATATCAGACCCGAAGTGTACAGTGACCTGCACCCGAACGTCGAGATTACGGAACTGCGCGAGATCTACAACATCGGGCGACATCTCGCCGAGTACTCGGAGAATAAAGTGTCAGAAGAAGAATGGGGACCCCCGGACATGAGACGTCTGTCGTTCGCCTGGTTTGTGACCAAGAGCGACTGGTCGATGAGGATGTGTCTGTCTCTGATTCCAGATCTGAGAGATGATCGATATGAGCCGCGTCCCGAGACGTCCGGAGTGCGATTAACACAAGCCGGCCTCGCCCTCGCGACACTGTACTACATCAGGCGCGTGGGCCATCATGCCGTCGTCAACGGCGTCGACTTCCGCGATGCCTCTGGTCCCATCATTGAGCATATGAAGGTGGTGATGGACCAGGTGTATGCCTCGTGCACCGAGGAAGAGCTTGAGCGGTACGCCGAGGGTCATTTATATATATTGTTTGTGGGTGCCTTTTACGAACGACGAGGCACCAAGGCCGACCGACATTTAGCTGGCAGATGGTTCCAGCGGCATCTGGCTGCGCATGCGGTGAAATATGGTTGGCAAAGATGGACGAACGTGCGACCGATTCTTCGTCGGTTCCACTACGTCGAGTGGGTACAACCGAATGGATCTTTGTGGTATGAAGATATCGTTAAGGAGTTGAGTGCTGGATAAGAAAGGGAAATGGTATGATTAGCTTCTGCACCTGTATGATGATGTATGATACGACCTGAATGGAGGTTCTAGCCCAGTGGCTCTGGGGACAAGGAGTCATGGACTGACGTTGGATGAAGGACGCGTAGCAATGTCGACATCCAAATTACAATGAAAAGTTTTCAATTTTCCTCTAATAGACACCGTTCTGATCTCAGCAACCTGGTAGCCTTCGGATCCCAAAAGATATCCCAGGTCAAGCCGTGCACGATCCCATGTCAATAGTATGTAATATCCATCCGAGAGCGTGTAACCAATCAAATCGCTTCATACCCAAGTAAACGAGGATACATACCCGCCTCCACCAAAAGCTCCCAAGGCTCACACCTCGACCGGACTATCTCCCTAACACCACCCCCCCATATCGACAGCAGTGTCGTGCCACCGGTACCTGACACGCCGTCTTCCCGACCTGTCATCGAAAGAAAAGTGGTCAGCTAGAACGAACAAGAACATGCACTCACGGCCGACAACGACAAGAACCGCTTGAAGGAGGAGAGACTGGCTTCATCATTGAAACCCTATCTCGCCCGACCTGGTTTCCTCAAACTAAGCACAATTATCATCCATGGCTACCACGGAAAAAGACAAAAGCTTGGCCCTCCGCCGTCACACGGCCTTAGTGTCCAGTGTCTCGCAACAAATCGCCCACTTCCACACACAGAAGACCCCCTTCCGCATCTTCCACGGCAACACCAACTCGACACGGCCCAGCGAGCGCACCAAGACCGGCACCATCGACATCTCGGCGCTCGACAACGTCCTCTCCGTCTCGCCGGCGGAGCGAACATGTCTCGTCGAGCCCAATGTGCCGATGGACGTCCTCGTTGCCGCAACGCTGCCGTACGGTCTCGTACCGCCCGTCATTCCCGAGTTTCCCGGCATTACCGTTGGTGGCGGCTACGCGGGTACCGCAGGTGAAAGCAGCAGTTTCCGCTACGGCTTCTTCGATCGCACGGTCAACTGGATCGAAGTCATCTTGGCGGACGGCAAGATCGTGATCGCCTCGGAGAATGAGCGCGAAGACCTCTTTCGTGGTACGGCAGGCACGTTCGGCACACTGGGCGTGACGACGTTGTTTGAAGTCCGGTTGATTCCGGCGAAGAGTTTCGTGGAGCTCGCATATATCGGTGTCCAGAGCATCGAGGAGGCTCAGGCGGTCATGAAACAAGTGGGCGAAGGGGAGGAGATGGATTTTCTTGATGGCATTATGTTTGCGAGGGATAAGGGTGTGGTAATGGCGGGGAAGTTTAGTGAGCAACACGAAAAGAATCGGGAACTGAATGTCGTGACCTTCACGAAGCCTTGGGACCCGTGGTTTTATTTACATGCGGAGAAGATGGTGAATCTCACGCCTTCTTCTTCGAAACGAACTAGCAATGGTGAAGATGCACGCCAAATCCAGGCTTTGATCTCAACTGCTCCTCAAGACCTCATCCCACTGACCGACTACCTCTTCCGCTACGACCGCGGCGCGTTCTGGACAGGCAAATTCGCCTATTCCTGGTTCTTGACGCCCTTTAACAGGCTCACCCGCTGGCTCGTTGACCACTGGATGCACGCGCGCACCATGTACCACGCCCTGCACCGCTCGGGCCTCATCAATCGCTTCATCATCCAAGACGTGGCAGTCCCCAACCGCAACATACCCGCCTTCTCGTCTTGGCTCGACGAGTACCTCCCGCACATCTACCCGCGCTGGCTGTGCCCGTTGAAACTACACGAGACCGTGAGTATGCATCCGCACCTGGCCCCCCCAGCGGCCAGGGACGAAGATAGCTTGCTGAACATTGGCGTCTGGGGCCCTACGCCGAAAGGCATGTTACAGATCAGCGTCAACCGAAGGATCGAAGCTGAACTGAAAAGGCTGGAGGGCATGAAATGGTTGTACGCGCAGACGTTCTATACGGAGGCTGAGTTCTGGGCCATCTATGATCGGGACTGGTATGATGGGTTGAGGAGGAAGTATCGGGCCGAAGGATTGCCGAGCGTGTATGAAAAAGTTAGAACGAGGTTTGAGATAGACGAACAGGGGGCGGTTGTCGGGGATATGAGAATGGGGATCGAGAAGGGGTTTTGGAGTATTTGGCCATTCGCGGGCGTGTATGGGCTGTTGAGTATGCTTAAGGGAGGAGATTATTTGAGGAAGAAGACATAAAGAAATTGAAAAATAGGGAAAGAGAGAAGGAAGGAATAGATGACACGGAGGAAAGGAGGAAAGGCGTTGCTAGGAGGGGAGTGAGGGTGGTGTGAGGTAAAGGAGTATGAAAGACAGGTGGGAAATTTCAGGTCGATTCGAACTCATGTGGTAAGTAGACATCAATTAAACTGATAGATAGACTTGAGATGGATGCATCATTGTGAGAATTTGGTATAGGAGAAGGGGTAAGAAATAGGTGAGTACCAAGAGGGGGGGGAGAAGGGACAAGACAATGCGTATGTTGACATCGACAAACATGGAAGAAGGGAACCGCGGAATCTTAGCCTGGCGAAAGAGGATCCGGACTCCAGCTACGATTAATACCATGCCATACCGATGAGACCAACTCAGAACTGAAATGAGAGAGAAGAAGGGGGGAGGACTTTGAGAAAATCCCATACCACATACAGAATAATTTATTTCACTGTTTGTTTCTCTCTTTTTTCTCCAAGAGACACCGTGACGATAAGATATCTGACCACATAAACTGAATAATACAATCAAATGCCAGCACTGCATCGCATGCAACATAGCACAGACACCTGAATATCATAATATGTTGCAAGCAAACAACTAATATGGAAGGACCCAATGAGTTGTTCTGAAGGTGAGTTGAGCGGTCGTAAATTCGTGCATATCGTGGATATGGCATACATATGGAGAAGATCAAGACATCGAAGATCGATGTATTGTTCCTGTCGCAGACATCTCGTATGGCCCCGAGGATTGCTGATTGGCAATTAATCTGTTAGATCATTAGGAAGTCAGTATGTTATTTATAAGGTCACATGTCACATATCACTGATGGATGAACAAGCATTTAAATTAACCGGGGGGGAAGAAAGTATGTTGGTGGCCGGGATAAAATAGAACACGAGAAGACCAGACCAGTGAGGATGAGAGTGCGTAGAAAACTTACGGTGAACTCTGCTGTCCATGCAACTCATTCTCGAGCACCGGACTCATGCGGGCCTGACGCTGGAGGAAGGCCTCGATGCCGCCAGTGGCTGGGATCGGCGCTGCATTCACGGAGCTCGGACTGCTAGCACGCATGGAGTTTGCTTCTGTGCCCTGGACCAACGGCTGCGTCTCGTGCGGCGATTGATGCATTGCTGGAGGTGCCGCGCCGAAGATATCGTTACTCGGTGATTGCGGCCACGGTGATTGGCCGCCCATCAGGGGATTTTGCTGCATTGGTGCGGGATGGCCCGGTTGGCCTGGCATGTAGTTCGTCGGGTATGGGCCCGGCATGTAGCCGGTAGGCGTTGGGTTGCCGAAGGCGTCGGTCATGGGGAGCGGTGCGGTGGTGACGGACATGTGCTTGTTCTGCGTGGGAGGCGGCAAGCTGCCCCGATAGTCGTAGCCGTAGTTGTTGGGGGGCACGTACGCAGGTGGAGCCGGTACCGCTGCGACGGTTGGGCCGGCGGGAGGGGTGCTCTTCTCGTTGCGTCGGGATTTGCGTCCGCAGAAGAAGAGCAGTGCGGCGGCGGCAATGACGACTGCGGCTCCTCCTGTAGGGGTGGTCAGCTTATCTGTCAAAGATGGGATGGATGGCCTAGGAGGGGTTGGATTACCAATGGCGATGCCTGCTATGGCTCCTGCTGATAGGGTCGTATGACTTGATGCGCTCGGTGCTGCGGTTTCTGTAGCTGCAGGAGTGGCCGTTCCTGTCGGCGGAACAGTTGATGAGGCCGTCGACGTAGGACCTGGATAGGCCGACGAAGTGGTGGGGAGGGGATCTGCCTCGTCTGGCCAATCCTCACCAGGGAGTAGCATAAATGTCGAGTTTGCAGCATACTGTTTCTGGACTTCGAGAGAGGTGCTGGCATTGGGGTTGATGACTCCAACCATCTGATATCCAATACATGAGTTGGGAGCGCCGCAATAGAAGAAAATGGGATTGGTGTCGTTGATCCGGACTGTCCATTTAGGCGGGTCGGCGAGGATAGCGTCGACCGGTTGAAATCCAGAGAAAAATCCTACTTTATCAACACCTTTTGCGAGGACGTTGGTCAGCTTCGATTCACGTACGTTGACGTTGGCGGACGCTGAGAGTTGTCCTTCCACTCACCTGTCAACTCATAAGGGACACACGGGTACTCATATTCTGCTCGGATGACCGAGTGGTTGGTAGGGTAGAAATCGAACTCTGCTCACAATCTGTCAGGAACAGACTGATGACGTTCGCTCGTAAACATACCGACATAATTGCCAACTCCGACTTGAAGGACATCAGGTTCAAATGTATGGCCGGCACGACCAACAGCGACGGTTTGCGTGATGGCCTGTGAAGTTGTCGCGGTTGTCGTCGCACTGTCAGTAGCATAAATGTCGGTAGTGGTCGTTGTACTATCTTGGGCTCGAGCGAGTTGCAGGAACGCTGCCAAGGTCAAGTATGTGGTCCTCATCGTTGCCAGACCTTTTCACAGAGCGCTGGAAGGTAGGGGATGTCCAAAAGAGATGACAAAAAAGCAAAATGAATCGTTCAAACAATTTTCATCCCACCGACGAGGAGGAGCGACCGGTACCAGTGTGGGTGAGTTTCAATGTAGGTGGCTGTGTTATGGGGAGGGCTTGACACGGTGAGAGATCCCACGCATTATCGTATTGTGTGAAAGCCGAACCAGCTAGAGTTACGATCCAGCCACGCTCAATACGAGCCGAAAGAAATTTTCGAGTAGCCTCGACAAGGCTCTGCTGGCTTCGCAAAAGCCCAAGCACTGGCCTAGTTGAACCCGGATCGTACCAAAGGAAATCGCCGGAGAGCTGCCAAGTGACGCCGTTGAAACTGTTCCAATTATATCGTACAAAAAGGGGGCGGATTCGTGTTTTGTGGTAAAGCTAACAGCCAAGACGAGATCATAGCTTCAGGTAAACCCCGAAAACAAGAATCCAAGACACGGGTGACTGGATTTAGGGCTGGGAGCTGACTGGAGAAAAGCTACTTTGATGGCTTAGCCCTCAACAGGTGACCATATGGTGATTCAATGTCCTTTCTGGACGCTTCTGAGATTCGAACATCAAAAGACCCAAGATCTCTAGTTGAACCGATAACCTTGTCGATTCTTGTAAAAATGCCACCCATGATCCTTGGATTCAGAAGGCATTCCGTTCTAGTCTGATTGCGACTGTGTCGGGGAATCTCCTCGTCTATGGAGCCTCACGACCATTGCTATGTCGTATTGGAGGAGTGGTCGAATACGTTAGTCCCTGGTTCAGTACGTTTCTCTGGTGGATTGCCTCATTCGTGGCGATAAGAACATGCTGACCATCCTCGGTTGTCGAACATCAAGAAATTGTTGTCGGACGCGATTCTCTAGGAGAGGAGGCTGATTCCATCTGAAATACCCAGTACTGCCAACCCTAGGTTGAGTATTGCCTATACATCCGTCGGCCTGATCCTCCCGCCGCCCGTTTCTTCTCATTGAAATGGCCATCCCCCAATGTTGATCCTGAAAAGGGCTGGATTGGCCTCGATCTCTGCTTTTCGAGCGATCAACTCTGGCACATCCCAATTAGCCCACAAAAATCTTCCCGATCTCAGAAAATCAGCCTCTGGACTGGCTAGCCAGACCATGAAGTTTGCCGGGAGTTCTGGGTCGTCATATACACCTCCGGCAGCAGCTTCTTTATCGTTCCCCAAGAACTTTTTGCTCATGTTGCTCATAATGATGCCAGGATGGACCGTAAATACTCGGAGGGTCGGATTTTCTTCGGCCAGATACTCGTCGAGCTTTACCATGGCAATTTTCGAAGCGGCATAGGCCGAATTCTTCGGTGCTAGTGCGGCTGGAACGTGGCAAGTCGCGGCATTAGTACTAATGTAAGTGGCATTCGGTCGAGATTTTGGCAAGAAATGTTTTGCAAAGTGATGGGAGAATTTGGTATTGACCTCGAATGCCTTCCACCAATCGTCCTCATCTGCCCCGGTCATTGTCGTCAGTTCCGGTAAGAAGCCAGCGCAGTGAGCAAAGATGTCCCATGCGCCCAAGGTTGCTCTAATATGATGAGCTGCAATCCCTATACTCTCCGTTTTGGAGATATCTGCAACAACCACGAAAGCTGTCGTCTCGGGGTATGCTTGGTCAACCGCGTCTTTAGTCTTTTGAAGGGTGTCCACGGTTCTTCCAATCAAGGCAATTTTGCTTGCTCCAGACTTAGCAAACGCCATCACCACAGAAGCTCCAATACTTCCTTCTCCTGCCCCCGTGACGATCACAGTCTTGTCTTTGACCGACAGTTCGGGTCGTGACGGGTCAATGGCTGGATAACTCGCCTTCCGGTAGATATTGGTGAAGCAAGGATATGCCATTGTGCTATCCGGGAGACGACGGGTTTGGGAGTGAGCAGAACAAATCACCGGGGGGAGAAAAAGCCTTGTCCGAATGTCGTAAAACTGGAAGGCTGAAAATGGAAAAATTGTCGTTGACGCCGGGACGATGTCCCACCCCCGCGCGTTCGGTTATTGCCGGTTATCGATATTTGTAGAGTGTCTTCATCTATTGTTCTGTAGGATTAGAGTCAAGTCTTCCTTCCCTGACTTCTTCAAGTATTGAAGGAGCTCAGAAACGGCGACCGACACCATGCTCTCGACTGCTGATCGTCTCCATGCTCGCGGCACTCATGCCTCCGTCACTGAACTCGTCGGCCAAACACCCCTCGTCAAACTCCAGAAGATCCCACAATCCCTCGGCATCGAAGCGACTGTGTACGCAAAATGTGAATTCTTCAATGCGGGCGGAAGCGTCAAGGACCGTATTGCTCTGCGGATGATCGAAGAAGCGGAGAAATCAGGCCGCATAAAGCCTGGAGATACGTTGATTGAGCCAACCAGCGGGAATACGTGAGTGTGTCGGAATGGATATACAATCCGCAGAGAATGCTGAACAAGTTGAAGTGGCATAGGCCTTGCTTTGGTAGCCGCAGTTAAGGGGTACCGAACCATCATCACTCTGCCCGAAAAGATGTCTGCTGAAAAAGTCGTGGTGTTAAAAGCTTTGAATGCCACCATCATCCGAACTCCCACTCAAGCGGCTTTTGATAGTCCAGAATCCCACATCGGTGTTGCAAAACGATTAGAAAAAGAGGTACCCAATGCGCATATCCTCGACCAATACGTCAACCCTGATAATCCACTCGCACACGAACTTGGGACGGCCGAAGAGGTTTGGGAACAAACGAATGGAACCATCACAGCCATCGTTGCAGGAGCTGGAACGGGAGGAACAATTACAGGACTAGCGCGAGGCCTACACAAACACAACAAGGATATCAAGATCATTGCAGCAGATCCTCAGGGATCGATCCTGGCCCTCCCATCAACGCTGAACGACGAGTTCGCCAACCAACCGTACAAAGTTGAAGGCATCGGATATGACTTCATCCCAGATGTTCTGGACCAGAAAGTCGTGGATAAATGGTACAAGACGAACGATGCTGAATCATTTCACTATGCTCGTCGACTGATCGCAGAGGAGGGCTTATTGGTAGGAGGGAGTAGCGGTTCCGCCATCTCAGCAATGGTCTCTGCGGCCAGAGACCTCAACCTTGGTAAGGACGACGTTATCGTGACAATCCTCCCCGACAGCATTCGTTCGTACCTGAGCAAATTTGCCGACGACGACTGGCTGGCAGCAAATGACCTCCTCCCACCAAGATCTCCTCCCGAATCACTGTCTCCTCAACTTACAAGAAGAGAGAGTATCAAGCCAAACGACCCATTTCATGGTGCACGAGTCCGCTCATTACGCCTCAAACCAGTCCAAACTGTCACATCTGACTCCACGTGTGCCTCCGCCATTGAGATGATGCGCGAGAGAGGTTTCGATCAACTTCCCGTCCTGGCCCCCAAGGGTCGACGCCTTGTCGGCCTGGTGACTCTTGGTAATTTGCTCTCACGAATCAGCCATGGTCGTGCCACTGGTAAATCTCCTGTTTCGGACGTTATGTTTGACTTTAGCAAAATCAGCGAAGTGACAGTCGATCCGCGAGATTTTGGTGACCTGTCTTCTAGTGAAATGATCGGCAAAACCAAGGGCCACGAGAATCAGTCGCAGAATAAGAGAAAATTTGTCGAAATCACCATGGATACGCCCCTCAGCGCCTTGAATAAATTCTTTGAGTGGCAGAGTGCCGCCATTGTCACCGAGCGGGATTTGAGTGAGAGTTCAGCGAGCGGGAAAGGAGGCGCGTTGAAGCCGGTGGCAGTCGTCACCAAAGTGGACTTGCTCACGTGGATGTTGAGTGAACATAGATGGCATTAATCCGTCGAGTTTGGGCAATGGCTTTCCAAGCATCTTGGAATAATTTGGCAAATAATTGCGTGAGAAGGGGTTACATGATTTTCTCGGAACGTATTGGAGAACTCTTGAATAGATTGCATGGAAGGCGTGACGTTCATGGGGTGGGATGGCATTCAACATTAAGACTGGGATCATCATGTTTTCTCGGAGATGCATGGACAGAAAGAACATGGAGGTTGATTTCAAAACCAAGTGATTAATCATATATATTTAACAATAAAGGTCTGTCCGCAAGGACGATTTTGAACTGCAAAACTTACCTCAAATCTGCAACAGATGTACAACTACTGTACTGCTCAATCATCATGAGGCCAGACATCAGCTCAGTTGGATGCGGCGGTATAACGAAGCAGTAGATTCAAATTTGGAGGACGGCAGAGAGGTGAGAAGAAAACAACGATCGGAGGGGAATTGTAAATGCACGGATGAGGGAGAAACGGCGGATGCGGTGTCGTAATGCTAAGTTCGGTTAAAGATGCGTATGGGAGGACGAATCGGGCGTAAGTGGTGTAAGGGGTTGGACAGTAAAGTTCGGGAGGTCTGCGAGAAAGGGGGACGACCTGAAAGACGAAAAACGAGGCTGAAGGTCAAGGCGTATCGACGGGGACGGGAGAAAGGAGGGCGGCGCGGCACGTGCTGTCTAGATTATCGTCCGATTGTTTCGCATCGAGGTTTTCGATCGATTGTGCTATCGAATCAATGGTTGAATCGAGAATCCGTTTGTACAGAATCGATTCTGTACCGTTCGCTCGAAGTCGGTCTAACCGCACCGTCAAGTTAACTGAACCACCGTCATTGTTTGCCTGAAGCTTTCAGTTCATGCTCTGCTATGAAAGCACCATAGCAACACCGTCAATGATTTTTTTTAAAAAAAAAAAATAAAAAATAAAAAATAAAAAGGAAACCTAGCACGTCTTGTCCCTTGAGTGATGTCAACTTTTAGCACTCGCAACAAACTCCCATCCAGCGCCAACACTCGTCCATAAGTTGGGAGCAGTGGACCGTGTTCCCTTACTCAGCGGTGTCGAGCTCGTCATGAGCCGGAGGAGGGGAGTCCAGAGCTGATTCGGGGCGTCAGCGTTAATTCCAAGACTCGTCCGCGTCGACATCCATCGTACCTTTGCGGTCGTCACCGTTGGCACCGGCGGCACGGTCATCGTCGCGGCGGTCTCGATCATCCTTCATGTCGCGGTCACGGTCTCTATCAGCCGGGCTGCGGGATCGGCGGCGGTCATCGTAGTCCCGGTCGCGGTCACGTTCTCGATCACGGTCCCGTTCTCGTCGATCATCCTTTCGTGGCGAATAATCACGGCGTCGAGGAGATGGAGAACGGGCGCTGCGGCGTGGTGGGGTTCGATCACGACGATCACGACCACGGCCAGCTTCGTATCTCCAGGTAGCAGATGGAGGAGTTCGAGCCCACTAAGACGAAAGTGAGCAAAATTTGAACTGGATAATTTTTGTCTTGTTTGGTTTTGCAAAGAGTGTATCATACCTCAATCTTCAAGAGATCATCTCGACCAATTCGCTTGTTGTGCATCTCATGGTAGGCATCATCTGCGTCTCGACGGCTTTCGTATTCGACGAATGCAAACCTATTTGGTTGTTAGCTGGGTAGGCAGAAGACTCAAAATCATGACCATACAATCGGCTTGATGCAGTTCGAGGCGCAGGAATGTCGCATCTGACCAGACGGCCGTAGTGTTCGAATTCGTAGGCTAGGTCACGGGCACGAGTGCCATGACCGAAGCCAGTGACATAGAGGGTGGTACCAGATCGAGACATGATTGAAAGGGGGAAAGGTGGCGAAGAGGAGAAATTTGAAAGGCGTGCCAGCAGTTGAGGCTTTTTTTCTTTTTTTTTTTTTTTTTCCACAGCACCAATGCCTTCGAGAGTAGTACAACCGGTTGCAGATCACGAAGTGGTGATGCAGGGAAATGGTTGAGAGAAAAATGAAGATGAAGGATAAACAAATGGGAAGCCCGAAGTTGCTGGAAAGTGAGCAAGGTGTTGGTTATGACAAAGTTGGGCCCAAGTTTGGAATCAGGCTAGGCCAAGAATAGACGCATGCTTGGCAAAAACGCAGGGCCGGTGATTGTGACCTTTCATCTAGCAGTGCCCAGTTTCCAGTGGAGCGACAGCAAAACCCAAACGCAGTCTCAAGTCTCAAATGCTGAAAAAGGATCGGGTGCAGCAGGAGACATCCACGCCTGCTCTACGGCTCTTATCACTTCATTTCTTACACCGGTGACTTTGAATCATTGATGACAGTCACTGGGCCACCACTTGTCCCGTCGACATTCCTTCCCTTCGCAGGGTTTCCTTTTTCGTTTTGCCTTCCACTCGGCCGGGTTGTCCCGTCACCAGTTGGGCCCTCCTCCAGATCTTCGTCTTGAGGTCGTTGATACAAGAATCCAGTTGCGTTTGAGGCACGACTTTTCCTAACACCTGGGGGTCTTCTGTTGTTGGTGGAAAGAAAAGACTGTATCAACACATTATGTTCTCCTGCAAACACCAGCCTTGAGAAATTTTTCCATGGACACCAGAGCTTCAATCAGCACCAAGAAACCACTTGTTGTGACACACTCACGTTCTCTCCTGGGTGTGTCGATATCACTAGACTTCTCTTCGTACCCCCTTTCTTCGATATCGTCGCCTAGAGCGCGTCAAAATCATGCGCCTCGGAGAAAAGAATCCTGTCACTGTCAACGATAACATCGGCCAGAGCTCAACTTCACTGCGTGACTTGGCCAACTTGCAAGAGGTTAGTGTCTTGGTGATGTATTCTGGTGATGTCCTAACCCACCTAGAAAACCATGGCTACTAGCGATATCATCACACGAGCGCGAGAGTTCATCTCCACGCCTTTCACAGCCGCGTTCTGCGCCGGAGGCGTTGCAGGGGCTGTTTCACGCACCGTTGTCTCCCCTTTAGAGCGGTTAAAGATATTATATCAAGTGCAAAGCGCAGGTCGTAATGAATACAAAATGTCCATTCCCAAGGCTTTGGCCAAGATGTACAGAGACGAAGGCTGGAGAGGCTTCATGAGAGGGAATGGTACCAATTGCATACGCATCATACCATATTCGGCAGTGCAGTTTGGGAGTTACAACGTCTACAAACGCTTTGCCGAACCTTCACCGGGAGCCGACCTCGACCCAATCCGCCGATTGATATGTGGTGGTTTGGCCGGCATCACATCTGTCACTTTCACATATCCGCTTGATATTGTGCGGACGCGCCTCTCGATCCAATCAGCTTCCTTTGCTGCTTTGGGGAAACATGAGGGTCAACTTCCGGGAATGTGGCAGACTATGGCCACAATGTACAAGAATGAAGGGGGTTTTCTTGGTCTTTACCGAGGGATTATCCCCACCGTCGCCGGTGTCGCACCCTATGTTGGTCTGAACTTCATGGTATACGAATCAGTGAGGAAATATTTCACCGAACCTGGTGAGAAGAATCCTGTCTGGTACCGGAAACTTGCTGCTGGAGCGATATCTGGAGCCGTTGCTCAGACATGCACCTACCCATTCGACGTCCTTCGCCGACGTTTCCAGATCAACTCAATGTCCGGCATGGGATACCAGTATAAGTCAATATGGGATGCCATACGGACCATCCTCGCGCAAGAAGGGATTCGGGGACTCTTCAAGGGAATCCTTCCCAACTTGTTGAAAGTGGCCCCTAGCATGGCGAGTAGCTGGCTAAGTTTCGAGATAGCTAGAGACTTCCTCGTTGGACTTGCCCCGGCCAAGCCAGATCCCATATAAGACATCCGTTTCCACCAAAATGTCTCGTCTACATTTCCACAGGAATACACTTTGAACTTCTTAATATACCATTGGTTTGAATGGCTCGAAGTCTTGGGTAAAGGTTTTCATGCAGAGGGAGGAGGCCAGATGATATTGATACAGTATCTCGGCGCTTTCCAGAAGAACTGCACTACATTCAAATGGGTTGATGTATATTTCCCAACATCAGGCACTCAAGATATATTGACATTTTCATGGAGTCGAGGATAATGGGGAAAATTAGACCAGACCGGGCGGAAGCATTATCTGGAGCGCCGACATCCCGCATGATTTTGTTTTTGTGCGTTTGCCAATAAGATCAATCTGAAGATCGTACCTCGGTGGTGATCTCCAAACCGACCGGCTTCCATTGACTGTCTTCATAATCTGCTTCTGAGCTCCCAGTTTGCGAGTTGGAAACTACTCCATATCACGTGATCAAGGCCAAGATACGTCCAAGGGCGGTTAGTCGAAATAAATCTTGGCACCGCACGATTTCGCAGCAAGCATTTTCGTCTCTTCGAGGACTTCGGCTCTGGACGTCGTGGGGACATTTTCAATCAGCACAACCAGTGTCAACAGCCGACCATGGGTACGGAGATCGACATTGTGTACTGTTTCATTGCAGAACAACTGACATTGACCTCTCAGGTATCGACCTCGATCGCCATCACGTCAAAGCTAGCCACCGAAAGGCGCCCAAGAGCGACAATGTCTACCTCAAGCTCTTGGTAAAGCTGTACCGCTTCCTTGCCCGTACGTCCCCGAATCTGAAGAGAAACCGAAATGCTGATGACCATGACCACCAGGCCGCACCGACTCCAACTTCAACAAAGTCGTACTGAAACGCCTCTTCATGTCCCGCATCAACCGCCCGCCAATGTCCATCTCCCGCATCGCCAGCAAAGTGTCGACCGAGAGCGCACAGAAAGCATACAAGGACAAGACCATCGCCGTCATTGGCACCGTCACGGACGACAACCGCCTGCTTACCGTGCCTGAACTCCACATCGCCGCTCTACGATTCACGGCCGCAGCCCGCGCCAGGATCGAAAAAGCTGGCGGCGAGTGCATGACGCTGGACCAATTGGCTATGAAACATCCTACTGGAAGCAATGTCGTGTTGTTGCGAGGACCAAAGAATGCTCGTGAGGCCGTGAAACACTTCGGCTTCGGACCCCACAGCCACAAGAAGCCGTATGTCGAGAGCAAAGGAAGGAAGTTCGAGAGAGCAAGAGGCCGAAGACGATCTAGGGGTTTCAAGGTGTAAAAGGCTAGCGAGCAGAGAGGTTCAGATGACACTGCTTATGATCGTGGTGGAGTTGGAAAAGACGCTGTGGCCGAAGCGAGATGGTGGTGCTGAACCTTCATGGCCTTCTCCTTTCTACACAATGCATGGAAGATGAGACGAGCTCATGTTTGCTACTGCAAGAAACTTCCGTGAGAAATAAGTCAGAATCATGCAAGGAGAGGCGCCCCGGGTGGAAAAATAAACTATCGACTGGACTGCATGGTTATGATCAATGGAAAATCCAAGTATTTTTGAGACGAAAGACCACCCAAATTTTTCATTGTTGATTCCAGAATGCCTAAGTTCAACTCCTCGTGCTGATTCTTTATCCCGCCTTTTTCATGCATTTGCGGATCCAGACACTCCTTCATACCTTTCCCAATATTTGAATCTCGGATTTTGTTCTTTTGGTGGTGAACTCCCATCCCATGAATCTCGTTTCGTTAATCACCAACCCTCCAATTCTCCCACTACCAAGCATACAAATCTCAAACCAGGTTCATCCACCTGCAACCTCACAAAGCAATCCTTTCATGCATAAACTTCCTCCTGCCCTTTCCCTCACCGTATTCTGCCGCCGTCTGCCCAGTACCTCTAATCTTGTACTTGTAAATAGTTAGCCCTTCTAGACCCACGGGTCCACGGGAATGAATCTTGTTCGTGCTGATACCGACTTCGGTGCCAAAGCCATAGCGCATACCGTCTGCAAACCGCGTGGACGCGTTCCAGTACACGCCGGCAGAGTCGATGGCGGACATGAACTTCTCAGCTGCGGCCGATGAAGTGGTTACGATGGAATCGGTGTGCTTGGAGCCGTGCGTGTTGATGTGTGAGATGGCGAGGTCGAGGGATGCGTCGTTGTCGGTCGAGTGGCCGTTTGTTATACCTGTATTTGTAGATGAGGATGCTGGGACAGTCTTGACGGCCATGACCAAGTCCAGGAATTCGGTATTATAATCTTCCTCGGTAGCATCTTGCACCAGGGCCGCAGATGCAGGAGACAAGGACTTCTTCAACGCCGCTTTACTTTTCTCGTCACACCGTAACGATACACCCTTTGCAAAGAGCGCTTCAGTCACCGTGGGCAAAACAGTCTTCAACACTCCTTCATGAACCAGCAGTGTCTCGGCGGAATTGCAGGCAGCAGGGTAACCACATTTAGAATCAACGACGACCTTCACCGCGACATCTTTATCGGCGTCTGAGTGGATATACACACTGCACAGCCCATCCGCGTGGCCTAGCACCGGAATCTTCGTGTGCTCCTTGACATAGCGGACCAGCTCGTTGCCGCCCCTCGGGATGACGAGGTCGATGTACCGATCCAAACCCAGTAGCCGATCAATGACATCTCTTGTCTTGACTAGCTGTATAGCGGCGATAGGGACCAGCGTAGATTCCAACGCAGCGCCAATGGCAGTCGCAATAGCCACGAAGGACTCAGCACTCTCTTTGCCGCCCTTCAAAATCGCCGCGTTTCCCGACTTAATCGCCAGCGCCGCAATGTTGGCAATGACCTCAGGCCGGGCCTCGAAAATAATGAGCAGGACGCCAATGGGACAGGAGACACGCTCCAGCTCGAGCCCATCGTCCAGTTTGGTCCGCAGGTCGACTCGGTCGATGGGATCGTCGAGGCCACGCACGTCCAATATGCCCGAGAGCATGTCGTCGAATTTGCCTGGGCGCGACAAGTCGAGGCGCCTCAGCACGCTCTGGCTCAGGTGTCCGGATTGAGACGCTTGTGTAGCTCGTGCCATGTCGCGCGCATTGGCGGCCAGGATTTGTTCTCGGTTCGCGGCCAGAGCGCTGTGCATGGCGGTGAGGGCATCATTGCGCTCATCCACGGGCAGCACGGACAGGCTTCGCGCTGCTCGCGAAGCAGCTTTGGCTGCGGACTCGGGGGTGGATTCGGTCAACGACATTGTGTGTTTCCTCTAATATTCGTCTCTATGTTTTGAGAATGTATGTCAAGAGTATTTGGGAGAGGCAGAAACGTATTCAGAGCCAAAACTCCTCCTCTCCCAGAAACGTTGCACGGTGAGATACTTCACTCCGTTGCCCGAAGTCAGCTCCCCTCTCTGTTCAAGAGGTCAATTTTGTTCAATCGTGGGTTTCCTTGTCACTCTCTCACAAGCAATCCGAAAGTGTGAGTTGGACCATGAGGATTTCGGTGGTTAGTTGGCTGTGACGAACGTTTCACGCCCTCTGAAAAAAATTGCCGATAGCACAAGCGAAGACGCTCTATGATCAATATCTACATGCATGCCACTACAAAAATGTTATCTCCCTGCCCATAATTTTGCTCTTCTTCCGCATGGAGACCTATTTGAGACTTCCTAGCCTTCCCAAAGCCGATTTCTTGAATCATTCTAAATGTGACTTTTGTATACCCAATATGCACATATCACCACAGGACACAAGGCCGAAACAACTACTTTTTTTCCCCTCTGGTTTCTGAACTAGGAAGTCAACCGATAATGTGACGAGCACCACATTTTGCGGGTTCAGGTTCATAGTGTGTGCTATGCACATTTCGGGAGGATTCTATTCCTCTACTTCTGGACTCAAGGTGCTTGCCTTTCGTCTATTTCATATCGCATCAGCTCATGCCTCTAATGCTCCAACGCTCGCATTCAATCATTGTACAGCTGGGCCTTGCGTCGCTAAAGATATTGCTAAGAATATCTTGACTCGACTAGGTCCACTTACTTCTTGATCAACAAACTGGTCCCGCCCATTTCTTCAGGTTGGTCCAATCCCATGGCCGCCAGGACTGTCGGGGCCACATCTCCCAGGACGCCGCCATGCTTCTTCAAGCTCCAGCCTTCGGGGGCGTTGGCCATAACGAAAGGCACTTTGTTCGTGGTGTGAGATGTCTTGGGTTTGCCTTCCTCATTCAACATCTCCTCGGCGTTACCATGGTCGGCGGTGACAAAGAGAATGTAGCCTTCCTTCTTGCAGGTTTCGTACACAGTGCCAATGGCGGCATCCGTTGCAGCCACTCCTTTGATTGCTGCCTCATACACTCCAGTGTGGCCGACCATGTCGGGAGGTGCAAAGTTGTTCATCAAGAAGTCGTATTTCTGATCGGATATTCTTTCATTGAGCTTGTCTGCCACCTTTTGGGCACTCATGGGAGGGTCCAGGTCATATGTCGCCACTTTGGGGCTGGGGATCAACTCTCGATCCTCCCCTTCGAACTGCTTCTCAACTCCGCCGTTGAAGAAGAAGGTCACGTGAGCATACTTTTCAGTTTCTGCGACGTGACATTGCTTGAGACCTTTCTTTCCGAGCCACTCGGCTAGAACATTGCCCATGTGTTGGGGCGGGAAAGCAATAGGGAAGCGGTAGTCTGTCTTGTATTGTGTCATGGTGGTGATCTGGATATCCTTGGGGTAGGGGAAGTCTGGTTTGGGAGATCGATCATAATCACCGAGCAGCTGAGTAACTTCGCGGACTCGATCCGAACGATAGTTGAAGAAGAACAGAGTGTCGCCGTCCTTGACTCTTCTTTCGTCTCCTCCGATGATGATGGGTTTGAGGAATTCGTCATTCTCCCCCTTTTCGTATCGAGACTTGATGGCGGCAACAGGATCAGAAGATTCCTCTCCTTCACCGAGGACAATGCCCTTCATACCAATTTCCACACGGTCCCATCTCTTGTCCCGGTCCATGATGTAGTATCGGCCAACCACTGTAGCCAATTCACCCACACCGAGCTCTTGCAGCTTGTCCAGCAGTTGTTGCATGTAACCAGCAGCACTCTTGGGATCAGTATCTCTGCCGTCGCCGAAAAAGTGGATGAAGATTTGCGGGACTTTCATATCCTTGGCGACCTGGAGAAGGGCAAATAGGTGGTTGATGTGACTGTGAACACCACCATCACTGATGAGGCCTAGAAGGTGAAGTCTTCCGTTTCCATCGATCGCTCTTTGAAACGATTTCCGGATGTTTTCGACTTGGCTCATTTCCCCTTTCTTGATTGTTTGGTCAATTCGCACCACATCCTGCCATACAACTCTTCCGGCGCCAATGTTGAGATGGCCAACTTCAGAGTTTCCCATCAAGCCCTCGGGCAGACCAACTGCTAGGGAGGAGGCTTCAAGCTCGGTATAGCCTTGGGCCGTCTTGGAGCCTTCTTTGGCGAACTCATCCATGACAGGAGTTTCGGCCGCAGCGATGGCATCGCCTTCTGGAGGCGAGGTTTCCGATGGTATACCCCATCCGTCAATGACGACTGAGCAAACTGTTAGTCGAATCACCTTGGGGTAGGTTCGAGGTTGGGATCGTACTCAAGATGGCCTTGTGCTCGACTGTGGTCATGTTGATCGGAACGCTGGCGGAACGCGGGTGGAACTCTAGTCGAGAAAGTAAATATGGTTGGAAATGGGAATTCTGAAATAGTGGAGGACTGTATGAGAAGGATCTATGCGGTATCAAGCTCTACTACCGGTAAAGGAAAAAGGTGCAAGGTGAAGCGAAACGGAAGATAAATTTGTTGAACAGAGCAAAATGCAAGGCTTTTTGGAGGGGCTGATTGAGGTCACAGCTGTTTTCTTTTTTCGGAGCTCCTTTGGCGGGGAGGACCGGCTGATGCTTTAGCTTGGCGGGCAAACTGCGCGACGGGAACGTTCAAGTTTTTCTGTCCTCATCACTCAACTCAGCAACTCCCTGAACCTCCAGCGCCTCCGCCCCTCCATCTTCGGTCTCCGTATTCCCTTCACCGACTCTACTGTCGCATCACTAGGTGAAGGGATACAGGCAATCTGGCATATTGCACAGCGTTGGTTCCGTTCAAGTGAATTCTCTAGAAATGGCCTGGAGCGTTTTCGGGAAAGCAATGACCCATCATAGACTACACTACCATCCTCATACCAAGGCTTCTCCGGTCGGGAGGTAGATAGAAATCTGTTGTTCCCAGTCAATGCATCCAGACACTAGACCAGTAGAGACATATCTGGAAGTCTCACAGAGGATCTCGACATCCAGCTGCCTCAGATTAACATGAGCAGCGTCGTCCACAACTTACAAACAGCAGAGCTGAACCTCTACATGGGTCGGTCTTGAAACAATATGGCATCAGATACATCCCAAAGAATTGGGCGGAAATCCGAATATCCAAACCAACACTTCATCAGTGATCAACACATCCAGATGCTGGCCATTGTATGAGTACATACTTGATGGGCATGTCGAAACCTCTTCTAGACCTAAGAACCTGTTCCACGAAGCCATTAACAAACCAACCATTCGACCGAAATCAAATGCTCGCCTTTCCTGTCCCAACCTAGACACGACATGAACTGCCACTCGAGCCGACAACATCTCAAAGATCTGCTGCAAGACGTTCCACAATGAGAACAAACCCAAACAGACCCCTGGCCAACGATGTGGTAACCGGAAAACATTTCCCGGAGGAGTCACCCACGTCGAACTTTCATCGAAGATTATCGCATTTCTCAATCGCAGATTGGCTGATTCTTCCACGTAATGGTCAGAAGTCGATTCCTGGGTTAGGTCAAGCAGCGGGATTTCACAGTTCGCAGAAGAACCTCTGGACGACATGATGAATGCTACGAGCTCCAGATTTATCCATTCAGTGCAGCACGACGTCTGTCTCCACCCTTTCGAAAACACCTAATGTAGATCTACCTTAGTGTTCCACTGAGAGACATGTATGACATCAATCACTGCTAATCTTATACAACACCATTCTCCAAGCATCTTTGACTCAGCTTCGTGAAATATCTCAAAGCAGATCACTGTTTTCAGACAGTCGAAATATAATGTCGTCGATGGCGAATGTCCAACCTCGTCCCCGGATTGGGAACAAGCGAAACCATCGAGGAATATCTCCACCGAATCGAAACCCCAGAGATATTACCAAGACCCGTGTTTCACATGCCTGCGATCGTTGTCGACTGATGCGAACCAGATGTTCCGGGGGAGAACGATGCTCGAAATGCATCAAGGACGATGCAGTGTGTGTCTACGGAGATCGCAAGCGCGAACGCAACCAAAAGTACGAACTATGCGACAAAATCTTGACGTTGGACTCACTGATGTTGCCCAGAGACTTAGCCGAGAGCCTTGATAGAGTCCAGGAATTGGAAGGAGAGAATACGAAACTAATCAATGCACTTCGCTCTGTGGTGGCCAGCCCTGATTTTCGGACAGACATGCATGGCGACATCATGGAGATCTTGTCCAAGGTATTTTGCCCTCAGCATTGCCCTTCAACTCAAATGTCCTAAGTCAGTGTCTAGTACACAACGCCCGATCCTCCCGAAAGCGGTCAGCCATCGAGCTCCTCACAAACTGTAACGGGTTCTTCCGACAAGCTTCGTCGGGGAAACGAAACTCGTGACCGAAGCCCGGAATATGAGTCGAAGACCTCGGGCGAGAAGGCAGTTGCTTCAAGTGTGGGATCTCCGGGGCGGAAAGGAGAATTGGCACGCGTTGTTGACTTGGATGCTGGTTCAGGGGCAGCAGGCCTTGTTGGCAAGATGTCCGAAATGTCGTGGATTCAACATGCCTTCGAATCACTTCACCAGCGTCGGACAAACGCTCAGCCGGGAATGCGCGGGGCAGAAATCGATCATCATCTCACCACGGCGAAAGATTTCAGCTATTTCATGGACGACACGAACGTGTTGGCAATTGACGAAGACCACGTTAATCAGTATCACTGGCCGAAGCTGGAAATCGCCATCATTTTGGCCGAGGCGTACTTCCATGCCATGCAAGACGCCTTTCAAATTGTTCTTCGAGAGCAATTCCTCCAGACGATGGTTACCTTTTCGCAAAAACAACAACTTACTTCTTCGTGGAGTGGACGACGATGGTTCGCGTTGGCGAATCTTGTATGGGCGATTGGGGCCAAATGGCTGCAAATGACCAAGTTGGACCAGCCGAACTTTTCCGAAAACCACTTACTGTACTATGCCAGGGCCCGAGCCTTGGGTCTCGACCACAGGATGATGTTCGACCATCCTGACATAGAACGAGTTCAAGGGATCGGCCTTCTGGCCTTCTATCTTCTCATGAATGGGTCCATTTTTAGGTAGGTCCCTCACGACCAATGTGACTCTCGACTAATCCAGGACGACAGGGCTTGGAACATTTTGGGCCATGCCACTCGCCATGCAATAGCTCTTGCTCTGCATTTGAGAGTCTCGGATCCTAACGTGAGTGATCGGGACAAAGAACAACGTGCCCGCACGTGGTATTCCTTATACAGCCTCGAAATTTTGATTGCTGAAATTACCGGACGCCCCAAGTCCATCTTCCTCTCGGATGTGACCACACCGATCGACCTATTACAGAAACCCCCGACAGAGGAGCATGATCATCAGTGGCGAATTGAAGGGCTCATCTCGCCCGAAGAGTCGAGAAACATGTGGCTCGATTTTTTGATGGCTGGCCGAGATCTCTCCCAGGGTATGACCAGGGGAGTTACACCTTGGAAAAACTTTGCGTCTGTGGGACATGGAATCTCACGCTCGTATTTCCCTCATCGAGTCCGCCTTTGTCGGTTGAGTGACAAGATTGCCTCGCAATTGTACAGCGGAACATCGGAGGACTCGTGGGCAGACACACAACGTAAGATTGGTGAACTGCAAACCGAGTTGAGATTATGGGCGGAAAACCTCCCCGACGACCTGGCCATCCAGAGTCAAGCACCGACGAACACAGATCCGAGAGTCAAGATCGAATTGTCCATGTACTATCACAGCATCCAGATGATTCTCCACCGGCCTTGTCTGTGCGAGGTGGTGATTGAGCATGAGTCCCTTCGGTCGCAAGAATTCAACCGAAGCTCTGCACGCGCGTGTGTGCATGCGGCAATGTCAATGTTGGCTCTCATGCCAGACAACCCAAGTGCGCATGAGGCCTATCAACTGCTTCCCTGGTGGACGTTGCTTCATTATGTGGCACAGGCTGCGGCAGTGTTGCTCTTGGAATTGTCTCTCGGTGGCCAACATTTCCAGAATGAAATTTCCGACGTGGTGAATTTCTTGCGCAAAGCAATGGCGTATCTTTGGTGCATGACAGAGAGCTCTCTTTCGGCATATCGTGCCTGGAGGATACTCAGACGGTTACTGACTGAAGTGTCCCAAAGATATGATATGGATATGGCTGATATTCCTACGGAAGCATCTCAGCCACCTGGATGGAGTGAGAGGCATGAAATGGCTGTTAGAAATGCACTCTCTTGATCAGAATACGATGATTGTACTTCGTGCCTAAACTCCACCGTAGCGCGCTTCGAAGTCGACTATCACGTCACGCCCATGCGCCTACCATCACTCATACACCTCTTTCCCTTCTTCTTCGACGCCTATGACAACAGCCCTTGAACCGAACCCCCCTACCCTAATAACCTCTTTTGCAATGAGAACATCATACTCTCAGGTCAGCATAAGGCGCTGGTCCTCCAAAAGCAAGGACCCCCCCAATATTACCCATACCAAGGCCATCCATGTCTACGACTTCGACAATACCCTCTTTTGCAGCCCTCTTCCCAACCCTCAAATATGGAGTCCACCTGCAGTTGGAATGCTTCAAGCATATGAAACACTTGCATACGGAGGATGGTGGCATGACTCAAGCATACTGGCGGCAACCGGAGACGGCATCGAAAAGGAAGAACCTCGTGCTTGGGAAGGATGGTGGAATGATACCGTCGTTCAACTTGTAGAGATGAGCATCCTGTCAAAAGACGTTCTCACGGTCTTACTCACCGGAAGAGGAGAGACAGATTTCGCCGATCTGGTCAATCGGATTTGCAACGCCAAAAACCTCGATTTCGACCTTGTGGTCCTCAAGCCTGAGGTTGGACCATCCGGACAGCGCTTCGAATCCACCATGATTTTCAAACAAGACTTCCTGAAAGAGTTGGTCTTCACATACAAGAACGCGGACGAGATCAGAATCTACGAAGATCGGACTAAGCACGTCAAAGGATTTCGGGAGTATTTCGAACGACTGAACAAGTCATTGATCTCCCACCCAGTCGACCAGCCCCCCCCTCCACGAAAGCCCATCACGGCCGAAGTGATTCACGTATGCGAGTTGAAATCCGCCCTTAACCCGGACACGGAGATTGAAGTCGTCCAACGAGCCATCAACCGCCACAATCATGCAGTTTTAACCGGAGGTCCGAATCCGACCAAAAGTGTTCGCAAACAATTGAAAATCGTGGAGCACTTCTCATACTTTGGGTATTTGATCAACCAAACCGATTCGGCTCGGCTCATCACCCTATGCAGCATACCACCTCATCTCATTGATTCTGGAGAGGTCCGACTGCTGGCTTCCAGCATTCTGATCACTCCGTACTATCCTAGAAGAGATACCGTCAAACAGGCTGGCGGTCGTGGTAAAAAAGTCACGTGGCAAGTCACTGGCATCGCCAAGTTTGAAGACCGAATCTGGGCAGCAAAGGTGGCTCCAGTATCGGAAACCCAGATCTACACTCAAGATCCCATACCACTTGTTGTTCTGGCCATTCGAAAAGGCTCCCGACAAGTCGACGCTTCGAGAATCCACGAGTGGCAACCCGTTGCGCCGGAGAAGGCCTTCATGTTCGAAACTACGGTGGGGGATAAGATTATGCTGAAGATCGAGGAACAGGACTTCGTTGTTGGGACTGGCTCTAAGGGAGTACGAAAAGCAAGGACGGTTTTCGACTCAAGTGATGGGGGCAACAAACGGAAATACCCTCAAGATGAATCCGACTTCAGGGGCAAAGAGAGTTATACCCGTGTGACCGCCGGTGGGGATAGGGATGATGGGACCTGGGCGGCAAAAGATCGATCTGGTGGTGGTGGTGGTAAATTCTCCCAGCGGAATCATGCCAGCAAGACTCAATTCAATAATCGCAACAATCCCAACATGCCGGGAGCCCGAGGTAACATTCAAGCTGCAAATGCGAGTGCCAGGCAGCGTAACGCTGGGCCAGGTGCTGGAGGCAATCGAGGAAGAGCTGGTGGAGGGCCGGGTGGAGGTGGTAATCGAGGACCGCCAGGATACAAAAGCCTAGACGATTATGGACCAGGAAATTTTGATGGAGCGAATGATATGAAAACCGGGTCCGGCGAAATGGTTATGAACTATTAATGGAGATCTTGTCGACCGGATGAATGACTCTGGGAAGCTCTTGTGCGTATGGTATTGGCACGGCACGGGATGCGATTTGGTGCAGGACGGGACGAGCCGGAGTTGACAGTTCTTGATGAAAATTGGGTCATGTCGAATGAGCTGGAGGATTTTGCCTTGGACCAGTAATCCGTACTAAGACGACTCGATAATGAAAGCAAGCGTTTGTGGACGCCCAAAGTACGCGAGCATGGTAGTCTATGCAAAGCCATTTGCTAAGTGAGACGAAAATACAGTCATCGTGTGTCCAGATTCCTCTTCTAGTGGTCTCGAGTGCGGACAGTTCAGATAGCTGGCTCTAGGGAGGCACAAAGTGCTCCATGATCTATTGAGGTATGGTACCAGGTCCTTTCCAGATCTGATTTGGTCTTCCTGGATTGGATATTGTATGATACGATGTGACATTGTCGAATAGATCTCTGGACTATTCTTCGAGAGAAAACGGCGATTTCCTCTCAATTTCGATGTCGTCATTCCGATACCCCTATGTCCGGATCGTGAGTATATTCGAGCTGCTGGTTGTCTCGGCTTGTGCGTCACGCTTGTGTATTGATAGCAACAGACTCCCGGTGGTGGCGCCGGTGGTATATCTCCGAATCCAGGCTCTGTTACTGCTCTGTTGGTGGCGGGTTCTTCATTGTCCAGATTTCGAGGACTCCGTCGATCGATGGAAGTGTTTCTGGATCCGGGTAATGATCTTGATATGTTTCGAAAATCGCCATTATCCATGTTGAGTTCGATGCAGTTGGTCTTCGACGACTTCATGAGCTGATCGACGAAGCTGACGATCTGCCCTGGGAGATCTCTTCGGCCTTGCTCCCGGCAAGATAACAATGAAATATGATCCCCACAATGGGTGTTTCGGGTCTTCATTCAAAAACCATCGCCTTCATGCCATTCGCGACCAGACTCCTCCGCTCTGATCTTCGGATCAAAGCCCCTCCTCACCGCCGTCTCCCTCGACTGATCCAACAACTCGCCGAACCGCTTACTATCCCTCGCGAGCCTTTTATACCTCTCCCCGCCCTTCTCGCCAGCATCCCACAACTGCACGAGGCGCTCATCAACTTTCTCCTTCTCCCGCAACGTCGCCAGCCAATTCTGCAACCCGATTTCACCTTCAAAGCAGATCCCGTAGCCGTCGCAGTAGCATTGATGTTGCGACGGGCAAAATTCAAAGTTACCCGTGAAGATATATTGCCACGAGTACTCCATAATGCGGCCGGAGGTTCTGTCGTCGAGTTCTATCCTAAGAAGCCAGTCGCGGTACCGCGCGTAGTCAGAGCGTGGGCGCTGGCGGATACGGGTGCTCGACACGGCGAATTGCGCGCAACAGGGTTGCGAGATGGCACGCGGGAGGGGAATGTCGGGACCGTGTAAGTCGCGGAACAGCTGTGAGGTCAGGGCAGGCTCTTCGGGCTTGTGTTTCAGGTCCTGTCGCCACGGGGGCCGGTCGATATGTAGCCAGTTCGGGCAGCCTGGGTCCAGGTGGCAGCGGCTGTTGAAGTAGCCCTGTCGCGCGACGTGGGCGTCACTGAGCCTCTTGATGGTTGTTGCGCTGTCAATGTCCAACAGGATGTTGTTGTGCCAGGCTCTTTGATGCGGGTGGAAGAATAGGACTGTGTCGGGCAGTGAGTCGTAATGGTCGATAATGTATGTGAGGTATACCATTGCCTCGTGGCCTTTGTTGGCTGGGAGACCGGAGTGGTCATCGGAGTCGACGGTGTAGATCTTGGTCGGCAAGCCCGGTAGTTCGCGAGATACCCAGCTGACGTCTTCGGATTTCAAGCGACCCATCACCAGGATGCGAGTATAGTTGGCCCCCTTTGCCTTGGCCGTGCCGGGGGAGAACATCTGGCTGTTATAAAGGGGCCCATCTTGTCCGTAAAGGTATTTTGGTTTCGTGGAGAAGGGGGTGAAGTGTGTGGTGAGGTAGATGAGTGTGAGCAGTCCAAGAGCCAGTGATATGATGGATGTCCTTCGAATAAGGAGCATGGTATGTGAGGTATATCAATGTGTTCGACCATTCAACCCGAATACCGTTGGAGGGTTGTCATTGTCATATTGGTTGCGAATGGGGGAGTAGGTGTGAATGGATATTGGACCTCTATAGGTATCTCAGTCCGAAAATATCATGGCCATGAAAAATATTTGGGTGCTGTGACTGGGAGACGGTCTTGGTGAGGATGATGGGGCGGACCAGGTGGAGCTGACGGTGAGACATACCCCAGACGAGCCGGGAATTTGTTTTTATTTCCCAGTTACAGATTCAGCTCCATATGGCACGCTGATTTTGGTAGATATCATCTTTGTTAGAGCGATGCAACGCATGATATGAATATTTCATTCTCGAAGTTGAGTTGATGGAGGCATTCTGTATCCGTAAAGGGATCTTCGTAAAGGCAACCACCTGGGAAGACACCGTTTCACAAACAAGCGGCATCATCTCCGGAACACAGGAGACCTCTAAAAACATGAATGATTCATTTATACAGGTCATCATCACATCTACGCCTTTGTCCCAAATCCTTCCACTATATACAGTTCCGGGGTAGGATATGAGAGGAGTTGCGCCACCGCTTATGCTGGTTGCAAAAGTCTATCCCAACCATGACCCTCTTGATCTTGGGGTATAATGCCATTGCCATATACTCGTACATTCCATTCATCGGCCCCTCATCTTTTTCCCAATCAATCAACCACATCTCCCATCCTTCCACCCGTCTTTCCATCTTTGTTTCCACAAACTGCAGTCAAATTCAGGCTTGCCCAATCTGACGTTAACAGCATTGTGAGCCTGACACATCCACATGCCTAGTTCATCTTGACCTTTCACTCTCGGTTCGTTTCCTGCTTGGGCCATCCAATCCCGAAAATCCCTTGCGCATACCCAACATGGATAGAGCTTGGAGAAGGTGGACAGGAATTGCTGCATGATTGATTGGGTTTCGGGAGGCGCATCGGCGGGATATGTAGCCGCCATACTGTGAAGGACGGTCCATGCTGACCGACCGAGTTCTTCGACGTCCGGTGGACAATCTGGTGGAGGAGCGGTGACGGGTACGATAGCCTTGGGTTTTTTGCCGGTAGACGATTTCATCATGGCCATCCATGCAGCAGATGAAGTGCAGGTGCGACATCTACTATCGTCAGGACCGCAATTTGGTGTTCCAGTGCTTTAACTTACGGCTTTCCATCCTTGTCCAGCACCACGCCAGGAGGATGTTTCTGCGGTGCATCTTCATTGCTCGCATGGTCTCGAGAGCTGGATGCTTGGCCGGGAAATGAAGACATCAGCTCTGCCGCCGACGCTTTCACTGACCGCCCCTCTCCCTGGCTTCCAACTGATTCGTTACAGTTCTCAAAGGTCCCTTGAGGAAGGTATGCTGCAGGATGGGAAGCACAGCCTGGATTATCGAATCAAAAGCCCAATATTTCCCGATACACAGTCGGCAGAATTGCTGTTTGCAGAATGGTGCATCACGTGCCCGGGCTGTTTACTCAGTGCGGGGAGGGGTGTTTGCAGTGCCGTACCCGGCCTGATCATAAAGCCTCTCAGCTGTGTGCCTGTTCGACTCATTCCCCTCAAATATGTCCGACTCCGAACTACCAGAAGCCTCTGAATCCCCTGCGCCACCTGCCCATGAACTCGAGAAAAGCTTGCGCCGCGAAACAGTTAAGGCCCAAAAGTCCGATCCTAATTTCTCGTACAACTCCATACGTGCTGCTTCAGAAGCGAAATTGGGACTAAGAAAAGGGTTTTACAAGAATCATGAAGAATGGGCAAGTCGAAGTAAGAAGATCATACAAGAGCAATTGGTAATTAAGCCCCATGGGACATTCCGCCCGCGTTTGGTTGACGTAGTTAAGGCCATCCAAGATGACACCCGAAGCTCCCCTCTAAAGTCGGCCAAATCAAAGTCCAATGAATCCAAAGAACGCCCGAAGAAGCGCGCTTTGACAGAGAATGAGCCGACTCCGACGAAAAGGCAGAAAACCGGCCAACGAGATGATACTGCTTCGGAGGATATGTCGTCGCCTTTAAGTGATATTGATTCGGAGATAGGAGAAGAAAAGCCTAGACGGAAGAAGGATAAAGCTCCTCCAAAATCAGGCACGGCCAAGTCAAAGCAATCGGCGGCAAAGAAGTCGAAGTCTGCGGGCTCGGATTCGGAGGAGGAAGACGGAGAGGAGAAAGCGAAGGGTGCCGGCGCAGAGAACTCGACTGATCAAGATGACGTGCAAGGTGCCGTGAACCCGGATGATGGCTCGGCGAGTGACATGTCGGTTCCGCTAGGCGAGGATCCCAACCCAAAGAAGAAACGGAAACTGAACGAGTCGAAGTCGACCGGACGAAAGCCCAAGAAGACCAAAGTCCCCAAAGGCAAGGCGGATGCTGACCTGGACCCTGATCAAGCCGAAATCAAGCGCCTGCAAGGTTGGCTCGGGAAATGCGGAATTCGGAAACTTTGGGGCAAAGAACTCAAACCCTATGAGACCTCCAAGGCCAAAATCAAACATCTGAGGGAAATGTTGGCCAACATCGGAATGACCGGTCGATATTCCATTGACAAAGCGAACCAGATCAGGGAGGCCCGGGAACTAGCTGCTGATATTGAAGCTGTTCAAGAAGGCGCTGAACGGTGGGGCGCGGATGAAGATGATGGCGGCCGCAATGAAAAGCAGGACGGTCGTCCTGCACGCCGGCTTGTAAGAGGTGCTAAGAATTATGATTTTCTCAGCAGCGATGGTGAAGAAACCGATTGAGGCCGAACTGCTCAAGAAGGGAGTGCTGTTGCACTGGTCCCCCTTCTTCCTCTTTCCCCCCCACTTTTCGGGGCCAGGGCTATATGATGTTGATGTTTGCATAACATGGCATACTAGTAGCGTATCATTGCATTGCATTTATCGCCCGGCACGATTACTTGAAGGTCTTGTTCCCTCCCATGCGCTGAGCTATGAGGCTGAAAACAGCTACGGATGAAATGAATAACACCAAGTTGTAAAACTGATAAAATGATCAGTAATATTCCTCATCCTGATTGATCTCCCTCTCCTTTTGAATGGGTGCATACAGCATTGCGTGAATATTCATTCTCTTCGGCCTCTGTTCGGGCCTCGACGAAGAGTCGGCGAAGATTGGGTAGGGCCATTGATGATGACTGCTGCCAGCGTCGATAAAGGAGATGAATGAGAGCGCGATGTTATCAGGAGGTGCAAGAGTCGGAAAGAGGATGATCTTGAGTGTTTCTTGGCAGTAGGCGAATTCCTCCACCCCAGCCTTGTTGGAGCTGACGATGCTGCTTTAAGCTATGTTTCTTTTAATCTACAACGGATATTTAATTTTGAATTCTTCTTGAACGCTCAAGCCCCCGTTTGAGCTGCTGAGAAGGCATGATAACAGTCATCAGTCATGTATACAATTTCCAGAGGCCGGGAACCCCTCTTCATATTCCTTGGATCCGTAGCGCTCTTGCTGCCGCGGCCAATAAAGGGGAACCAAGCCTCGTACCCATTTATATGTACGCATCGCACGACAAGAAAAACACAATCTTGCCTGTGAGAGCACAATACGACATGGGGCAAATACGAAAATACGAATGACTCCCAACATGTCTTGGGAAGAAATCGTTGCGGCCTAGCGTGTGCCGATTCGTATGTATTCGGAAAGATATGATTGATTCAGGCTCCAGCCATTATTCCCACCACACAGCATGCGCTCTTTGGTTTGATTTCGACAATCAACAAACGCAGGACTTTTTCTCCTTCCTTTCTTTCCTGCTCGATTGTCAACGGATTGAAATTGGCTATGGCATCCGATCTCTGGTACGTGTTGACTCTCCAAGGCGCGAATGCGACGACGCACCTAATCTAACTGCTCAACAGCCCCGTTTACTCGGTAAGTTCGGCACAGAAAACACACACGCACGATTCACGAAGATGCGTCTATCTGACGACCTTTGTTTTCAGCCCTTCTTCGGCGCAATGGGCTGCATGGCCTCCATCGCCCTGACATCTTTCGGTGCGTCTTACGGCACGGCAAAATCCGGTGTTGGGGTGATGGCTGCTGGAATCCTAAGACCAGACCACGTCGTTAGAAGCATGTCACACCCATTTCCCTTCCACGCCTCCTCTTTACATGACATCAGGAACTGTTGAACGATTTTCTAACGGATGAGGATCTCTACGTATATACAGGCCTCATGCCCATCCTGATGGCCGGTATTGTCGCGATTTACGGCCTGGTTATCTCCATCCTCATCTCTTACGGCATCTCGACGCGACCGACGCATCTGGTGACGAGTTTCACGCAGCTGGGTGCTGGGTTGGCCGTGGGCCTGGCGGGTCTTGCTTCGGGTTTCAGCATTGGGATCGTAGGCGATGCGGGTGTGAGAGCCACGGCGCAGCAGCCCAGACTGTTTGTGGCAATGATGCTGATTCTGATCTTTGCGGAGGTATTGGGGCTATATGGGATGATCGTTGCGATGTTGTTGTTGGCCCGGGGAAGTGGTGAGGCGGTTTGTTGAAGCCTCCTTGGAAAGACGAGTCTTGTGAGTTCTGTGACAGGGAGGATATATATACATTATGGCATGCAAGGAGTTGGGTATGACAATGTCCTCCCAGATCCACGGGTTCTTCCAGTCCGTATATCGTCATGGTACGCTGGCGAGTGGAGCATTTGATACGAGCGTTGGATTTTTGAGGATTGGAGAGCGACTCGATTGAGCACATTTACGTGTGTTCAAACGTATCCCAACAGTGACGTCCTAATATACATACGATATCGATTCACGGAACATAGCGGTATCTTTTTCCGAGTCAGACTTGCATTGGCCAAGGGTGGGTGAACTGCCATCTCCGCTAACCGGTTCCAGTTTTGGACTTTACTCGTATGATAAAAGTTTCCCACGATAACGTGTATCTTCCGAGCATTAAGTTCAACCCCAATTTTTCTTAATGAATAACCTTTCCAACTCAACGAGCTCCAGATCCATCCCCGCCGTGTCCTGGGCTGCTTTGATACCAAGATGGCCGATGTTTAAGACAAAGGTTTCTCGCTTCGATCGTCCTGCCTCTGACCTCCTATAGGTGCTGGATCTCAATCTAATTGCAGCTAAAGCGAGATAATTCCTCTACTCACCATACAGACGTTCATTATCCCGACATTCGGAGCAAAACACCCATATAATTTCACAAACCACTCCAAAAGTTATGGCGACACCCAAAAAGATCAAAGCTGCCGCTGTCCACGCGGCCCCTGTCTTTATGAACAAGAAAGCCACGCTGGACAAAGTCGCTTCGTTTATTGAAGCGGCCGAGGGATCAATTGATTACCTCGTCTTTCCTGAAACCTTTGTGCCTGGATATCCCGTATGTAACGAAGGTTTCGTTGCGTGGCCTCGCCGACTGAATACTTACATATATGAACCTCGTTCGCTGATGAAAGATCACAGTACTTCATAGAATGCTATCCACCCTTAAAACAAGTCAGGGCCCTCGCCGAATACGCCGCGCAGAGCGTCACCGTCGTCAAAGATGGCGGCGATTTAAAGCCGATCATGTCTCTTTGCCGCAGCAAAAAGGTCGCCGTGTGCCTAGGTATCTCGGAGCGGGTCGAAGGAGGCTACACGCTCTTCAACTCTCAGGTATTTATCGATCGAGACGGGACCCTCTTGGGGGTCCACCGCAAGCTACAGCCTACGTACGTGGAACGCGTGGTCTGGGCGCAAGGATCCGGCCACACGCTCTCCGTGCACGAGAGCAGCGTCGGCCGCATCGCTGGTCTCGCGTGCTGGGAGAACACAATGAACGGGGCCCGCCAGAGTCTTATCGAGGACAGACAGGAAATCCACGCGGGGGCCTGGCCGGCGTTGAGCACTATGGCCGGGTTTGAAGGCGCGGCGAATGCGCAGATCGAAGCACTTATGAAGAACCACGCGCTCACGGCGCAGGTGTTTGTTATTTGTGCGTCGAATTATGTCGACGAGACATGTTTGAACTGGATGAAAGAAAATCTTGGGGAGCAGGACCTGGTCAAGGAAGGGGGCGGGTTCTCTGCCATCATTCATCCGTTTTGTATCTATTTGGCCGGACCGGAGTCAGGGGCTGGGGATAGGCTTGTCGAGGCAGAGGTCGACTTGGCGCAATTGGACGGTGTGAAGGTTTGGATTGATGCAAGTGGGCATTATAAGAGGCCCGAGATTTTGAGGTTCAGTGTGGACAAGGCTCCGAAGTGGGCGGATGATGTGGTGGCGAATAAAGGGACTAAACTGGAGGAGAAAAATTGATGGGAAAAGGCGTGTAATTCCTGTAATATGAAGAACTTCCTGCTCAGACACAACGACAGAAAAAGAATCGTAGATGGCTAAGTGTGCCAGGCCCCGATCCGACCGATACGGTCATTTTATCAATGCATCAGACTCGCTTCAGCCTGGGAACTGCCGCATCGAAGATGCCTTCCGGATCATATTTCTCCTTCAATTCCAGCACGAATGGCCAATCATCGCCAAAGCACTGGGAGATGTTTGTGTCTCTATCCTGCGTCATAGACACGTATGTGGCATCCATCGCCTCGCCGGTGGCCTTCAGGGCTTCAAAGAAATCTCTTATTTTCTTTCTTGAGGCGTCAACATGGCTCTCATTGGTCGTTACGCCAACGAGTTCGAGTACGAAATGCGGTGATCTGGGTCCAAAGCACGAATGAGGGTTTTGCTCTGCAGAGGGTCCACGCATTTCGCGGATCAGGAACACATTGGCCGCGTCCGCGGGTGGTGTTGACATGTAGTCTGCAATAACGTCCACGGTCTTTTCCGAGAGATTCTGAAAACTGACTGCGTTGTCTGCATCGGGGCCGGTGGGAGTCAAGGGGACGAAAAATTCAATCCATTCGGCTGGTGTCATTTCTCAGACCGCGTCTGCGTTGGTGTCGCCCAGGGCTTGGATTTGTCGCAAATACGCTTTTCTGCTTCCATATCAGGGGAACTCCAGGCGAAATTGACGGTGAATGTCCATCCACGCTCGGGATGCGGGAAGGCAAAGGGCGATACGGCCCCGTACGGAGATTTGGTCATAGCATTGTATCCTTGGAAATACCGTCGGAGTGTTTCTTTGATATTGGTCGAGTTGAACATGATCGGACCGGCAAGGAACTGTTTGGAGGCGATTAGACGTCCCCTTGTCTGCTGAAGATCAAAGATATAGCTTACCGACTTTAGCTCATACACCTTGACTCCCAGCTCTACTATCATCCCGAAATTTCCACCAGCTCCTCTGATTCCTTTCAACAACTCTGCATCGGCTTCCAAGACCTCTCCTTTCCAATTGACAACACGAGCGCTGACAATCTGGTCAACTCCAAGACCGACGTTCGGTGCCAGCCATCCATATCCACCCATCATAGCCCAGCCAGGATATCCAATCGCTCCTGCATAGCCAAATGGCGTGACGAGACCATGCCGGGATAACTCGGTGATCAAGTCCCCATTCAAGACGCCGCCGCCCACGGTGGCCGTCTTTCGATCTTGAGACACTTCGATAGACTTGATAGACCGCATATCAACCACCAAAGCTCCATCCACCGTGCTGCGGCCAAAAGCATCGCGGCCACCTGGCCGTACAGAAAGCTTTACTGAATGAGAACGCGCAGCACGAACGAATGTAGCCACCTCCTCGATGGATTGGGGGCGGGCAATGGCAATGGGTCTCGCAGGGTTGTCTGCAATGTAGGTTGCGCGAATAGAAGTCCAATAGGGGGATGAAGGCGTGACTACGTCCAGATCAGGATGTTTGAGGAGTTCTTCTAGCAGAGGATGCGAGATCGAGCTGAGACCGTCCATGACTGCACCGTCTCCGATAATCATGGATTTGGGCTGGAGTTTGAATCGATCTTTTTCGAGGCAGGCCCAATGTGCCGTAGTTATAGGAGCGTTGGCCACTGTACAAGAAGCGCCTTTTCCTTTCTTTCGATTGATTCAGCACGGTCTGTCATCGATGTCTCCGTCAGCTTACCTCCCTGTGCCATAGTTCGCCCAAGTAGAAATGTACACAGTTTCATGCTCGGCGTCTTGAAAATCGGATGGACCGGTGCACATCGTGGGGGTTATTTGAAATCGGGCACAGATTGCTGCGGTCGTGTCTTGCTAGGTGGCCGAGTGGATCACACCGACCAGATTGTCCGACAAAGATGTGCATTAACATGGTGAGGAGGATCGATGTAAGTTGATTTATCAACCTTGACCGTCCGTATATTCCATGTCTCACCGTATGTCTTACGTCGGTCCAGTATTGACTAAAAGTGAAGCCCACTTCCCGATTCGGCAAAATCGATGATGGGAGATGTTGAACTCTCCATGTGGCAAAAGATTGAGATTGCTGATGGAAATGTCAGTTGATCAAAAGAGAAGAAAGATGTGTTGGGACCTAAGCCTCCGGCCAAGGAATAAAGCTCAGTCTTTACCACTTGTGCGCTGACAGTCATTGTCGAGAGAGCTTGTCAGATTGACAGTATCATTTGCATCAAAGTATCAATTGGAATGGCCCTGCGTTTCTCTTCATAATCATTCTGCGAGATTATCTCCTTCTCTTTTCGTTTATTCCGTTGTAACTCCCGATTTGCACCGCCTTGAAGATCGAGCATTTCAAATGAAAGTGCGAGGGATCGTTGCGTCCAGCAATGCTCATTTTATCACGTTTCCCGAACCTTATATCACTGGAGTAAAGAGTGACAGTCAATGGTTTCTGGAGCACCTCCCACATTGGTCCATCATACGGACTGAAGGGTAAGGCGAGTCGCAACCTGCCACATGGAGGTCTCGAATATAAGGTGGATAGTAGGCGACCCTTATTTTGCAGTCAGCCTTTACGCAGATACCATAGGAAAGGCTACCAAAGAATTCACATACTTGGTGGAACATTGGCAGCTGAGAGCCTATGTCCTCCCATTCTCGGTCCCCTTCAATCGGGGGTAGATGTCTCTGTTTACACCACAAACATCTTGGTCGAGTTTCCTGACCTATGTTGGTGCCCCATGGATCAAAGAACTAACCTGCTCATTCCTAGTTCGGGGTCCGGGATCGGCGGGGAAAGTGGTTACCCTCATAGCGTTCTGGCAATCTTCGTTCTCCCAACTCCACCGTTCCATCGGTCTGTGTCCCATTCATGGCATATCCAGCGTGTGTAGATATCACAGTCACATAGTTCGTTCAAGAGTTTACCCCGAATTTCTTCGCTGACTTCGGCATCACATTTGGATCAGAGACAACATGACATTAGCGTTTTCCAAAGGAACACTTAGATCTGGTGGCGTTCTGGATAACCTGCGAATAGTCGCTCACGGGGGAGTATCGAATTCCTGTCGGCTTCGAAACTTGCCTCACAAACATTAACAGTGCATTTTCGGCGGGGTAGGGTATCAACGTCGTTACCCTTTGCGCCGACTTCAATGCGCTCATCAGGCCATATTCAGGGTTTATGACCTCAGGAATCGCTGCGGTCTTCAAAGCCGTACAGTCTGGCAAAATCTCGACGCTTGGCTAGACCTCCGCTATTACAGAGAAGGCGAGAATGTATGAGAATTGAATCCTGTTCGTGAATGCCAGGAGGACATTTCGGACGACCATCAACTGCTCACTGTTGATTCGTACGGATATCTAGAGAACGTTTGCTCCAAACTGTCGCTTGCTAGCTATACATCTACGACGTCTTCCGAATGATATTTCGAGGTGTCCCTAGGCTTGATGCAAGCACTGGCTCCAGCTCGAAACAGAAAAAGGGGTCTGCTTAACCTTGTAAGTTCGGGGGCTTGGCACTGGCGCCCGCCGCAGGAAATACAAGGCCATACCAGACAGAAGTGTTCAAAGCGCTGGTGGAAATGACAATTAGTCCCTCTCCAACACCAAGTCCAATACTTTGTTTCCTCACTCGCTTCCACGATCCTTCACTCCGTCTTTTGACTTGGTGAACTTCTACTCCACCGACCGAAGTATCTCGTGCCGTCTTTGACATGGCACGATAGTCCCCCTCAAACCCACAAATCCGTCACGAGATCCTGACAACCGTCACTACCTTCTCTTGGATTGCGGCAAGATGGCGATGCACAGAATGAGGAGCGCTTTTGCGCCTCCGAGAAAGGGAGAAACTTTTGAACTGCGGGCGGGGCTTGTGTATGATCTTGAACACCCTGCAGAGGTGCAAATATGCTGACCGAACACGTCCAGATCCCAGTATGCCTACGAACGGTGAGCGGCATTACACGTGGCTCTATAATACATCCTAATCGATCCGTTGCAGAAAGGAAGCCATACAGAAAACCATTATGGCCATGACGCTGGGTAAAGACGTCTCCGCATTATTTCCCGATGTCCTCAAGAACATTGCGACCGCCGACCTCGATCAAAAGAAGTTGGTGTATTTATATCTCATGTTAGTCCGTTCGATTCTAACTCGTCATGCCTCTATATTGAAACACAACCGACAGGAATTACGCAAAATCTCACCCCGACCTCTGCATTCTCGCCGTGAATACCTTTGTGCAGGATTCCGAAGATCCCAATCCACTGATCCGCGCCCTTGCGATTCGAACAATGGGATGCGTCAGAGTCGACAAGATGATTGATTATATGGAAGAACCCTTACGGAAGACCCTGCGGGACGAATCACCTTACGTTCGCAAGACGGCCGCCATCTGTGTGGCCAAGTTGTTCGATCTCAACCCTGCCATGTGCCTGGAAAATGGCTTCCTCGAAACCCTTCAAGAGATGATTGGCGATTCCAATCCCATGGTGGTAGCCAACTCCGTCCAAGCCCTGGCGGAAATCAATGAATCTGCCCCGGAGACGAAGGCCCTCCAAATCACTCCCAACACATTAAAGAAGCTGCTCATGGCTCTGAATGAATGTACGGAATGGGGTCGTGTTACCATCCTCAGCACCCTGGCCGAGTATAAGGCACAAGATGTAAAAGAAGCCGAGCATATCTGTGAAAGAGTGGCACCACAATTCCAACACGTCAACTCGAGCGTGGTCATCTCCGCGGTTAAGGCCGTTTTCCTCCACATGAAGTATCTGCCCTTGGACACTCAAAAGTCATACTTGAAAAAGATGGCACCCCCCTTGGTTACACTGGTGTCTTCCGCACCCGAAGTGCAGTACGTGGCGCTAAGAAACATTGACCTTCTCCTCCAAAAGCAACCCGACATTCTCAGCAAAGAAATCCGAGTCTTCTTTTGCAAGTATAACGACCCTCCTTATGTCAAATTTCAAAAGCTGGAAATCATGGTTCGCATTGCCAACGAAGCGAACGTCGATCAATTGTTGGCCGAACTCAAAGAATATGCCCTAGAAGTGGATATGGACTTCGTTCGGCGAGCCGTTAAAGCGATTGGGCAGGTTGCTATCAAGATTGAGAGTGCCAGTGAGAGATGTGTGAATGCCCTTTTGGACTTGATCAACACCAAGGTCAACTATGTGGTACAAGAAGTCATTGTGGTGATCAAAGATGTCTTCCGCAAGTACCCCGGCTACGAGGGGATTATTCCGACGCTCTGCAAATGCATCGACGAGTTGGACGAGCCCAATGCTAGGGGGTCCCTTATATGGATTGTGGGCGAATATGCTGAAAAGATCAGCAATGCCGGTGACATTCTCGGTGGATTTGTCGACGGCTTTGCGGAAGAATTTACCCAGGTACTTCATGTATTCTTGTTAGGTGCGAGGGACATGACTGACACCATCCAGACTCAACTTCAGATCTTGACGGCTGTCGTCAAATTATTTTTGAAGCGACCACAAGCGGCACAGGGACTTGTTCAGAAAGTTCTCACTACTGCCACGGCTGAATGCGACAATCCCGATATCCGTGATCGAGCATACGTCTACTGGCGACTTCTTTCGAACACCAGCGACCAAAACGCTCCCAAGAACATTATCCTCTCCGAAAAGCCTCCGATCACCACGACAATCCAGTCATTGCCACCGGCACTTCTCGAAAGATTACTGGCAGAGCTTTCGACGCTAGCATCGGTATACCACAAACCACCGGAGCAGTTTGTGGGACAAGGTCGCTTTGGCGCCGATGCAGTCCAGCGAGCTGCTATTGAAGAGCAAATGCAGAACGCCAGAGAGAATCCCTTGGCCGCTGCCGCAGTCGCCGCTGCGGTGCAGGGAAAAGCGTCAGAAGCACAGAACAACATGGAGAACTTGCTCGATATCGATTTCGATGGTGCTGCACCTGCATCAGCATCAGAGAAGCCTTCAAATGGTCTGTCAGGACTAGAAGGTCTTGCGGGTACACCCCAAAGGGTGGATTCACCGGCTGTTAGCCAACCACCGGCTGCAAACAATATGGACGATCTGCTAGGGGTGTTTGGCAATGGAAGTTCATCCACCATGCCCTCCAGTTCTTCCGCATTTGGCGGAATGTCTGACAGTGATATTATGAATGGCTTTGCTTCGATGGACTTGTCAGGATCTCAACCTCTCCCAGCAAAACAGCAGCTTGACAATGCTGGCGGCAAGAAGACGAATGAGGACTTGTTGTCCTTGTTCTAGCCGTGCTGGCTGAGCGAAAATTGCTGTCCGATAGACGCCATGTATCTATTCGTAATGAAGCCTCATGGGAGATGCGGGATCTTTGTCTTTGCAAGCGGGTTCTCAAAATGATAATCATTCCGGAGAGACTTTCAGCTAGCCATTCGTATGAATCTTGGGTTTGGCCGAGAGAGCCTACACAGGCTGATGGACATCGATTTCACGGTCGGGGGTGAATCGAAGAGAGACAAGAAATCAAACTGAACGACAAACCACTTTGCTAGATGTCTGCCTCCTCTCAATAGGTTGAATGGGGCATCACTTCACAGTCTTTGGCCTTGGAGATGGGTATTACATGTCAACGTCATCTTCTGGTCCCGAAATCACCAAGCTGGTGAAGACAATACATCTTTCTGCCAGACTCAGCACTTCCAATCAACTGGCCTCGGAACGGTGGCTGACAATACTATGCCATTGGCGGGTTGATTTCTTCCGCCATCACCATTCCAGCCGAGAGAGATCCATTCCGTCCATTCTGGAAAGCAGCTGCAAAAATCTTTCCTCCCCAGTTGGGAGTGGAATTCTCCCATGGATAGAGACAAGGACCATAGCACGAGCAGAGTCCGACCCTCCTTCCCGTGTTCACAGACAGTCCGAGGAACCTGTTCTACCCAATTTCTTTGCCAATTCTTGTGCCTTCCATTTGACCATCACATTCAAAGATGTTTGGTTCAACATCCCAGTCAAACAAATCCGCGCTTCCGGACAACGAGCATTTTTGGTTTTATATTGTCTAGGACTCTTCATGCTTTACTTAACATCGGTCTTGGAGAATCTCTCTGTGCGGGACGTTTGCACATTCGCTTTATCAAGTTCCTGAGTAAATTGCCGTTTGCCACCAATGTCGCGCCAGGTCAGCATTATCTTACCGGCCGACCGGGTGCGTAGTATAGGACAAGGAACTGAGGAATGGATAGGCTGAACTAAATTCCTACAAGAGTATGTTTACGAACCATCATCCTGTAATTTTCAGAGTTTGCACGCCTATCTTCACTCATCCAGAGTCTATCCCCGCGTGATGTCAACAGACAAAGAGCCGACAGCTGCTTCAAGCAGCTAGGCCGCCGGCTCGAAGAGAGATTTGGGGTCGCACGTTCAAGGGCGGGTATGGTATGTCAGCCGTGAACACGAGCTTCCTTCGGCCGTTAGTGGAAAGTCCATCGTTTTATGGTCGGTTCGAAGTCTGAGAATCTACGAAAGGTGAGTGCTCCAAACAGGGAGCAACATTGCACGAACATTCGGCTAATCGCCTATCTTAATTTAGCAAGAGGACGCCCATCAGCACAAGCCTGACTTGACCCTCACCTATTTTGATCTCACCAACGACCGTGTGATGGGCATCTTCTCTGGCTTTACGCGTACCAATTTTCCATTGTGTCAAGATGGGAAGAATAGAAGTGACCCGACGACGAGCTAGAAGCTATGCTTGGAACGCTGATAGGAGCACACCATTTTGCATCAAAAAGTGTGCTATTCCTGCAGGCACTGGACTCTGTCGACGAGCTGTTCCCCGTCAGGCTACGAGGTTTCAGCAAACGGACACCCGCGAACTACCCCGGGAAAGCCCGAAGAAAGCATTGGTCGATGCCTGGAAATATTGGTTGAGCAGAAAATAAAAACAAACAATCTTGATGGATTGTGAACAAGCATCGTGACTGGGTGGTTCAAGGTGGAAGATGTCCTGGATCCAAAGTAGTGTTTCAGCAGACACAGGGTGATCTGTTTGAGAGGGAAGTGCCTGGAAGCAGCGCGCTGGAAGGATAGATGGCCCACCAAAACTCTGGAGAGGCGGAGTGGTGGCCTGCAACAGATGAGCGACGGTTGAAGTGGGAGGTAGGCAAATGACTGCATTTTCAGCCATGTCATCGGTATTTAGTCGTGTCATATACATAGTATGCCTGGTCTTCACCGACACGATGCAATGACAGATGACACTGACGGTTTGTGCAGTAGTGCTGGAGCTGACGCAGACTCCCGAAGTCCGCGGTGAGCCAGTGGATGTAGGGCAGCATCTGGGTCCATAGTCACTACTTCGCTGTACGACTCAAGCCTAAACACAATCTACGAGAGATTCGGTGTATATAATGGCACCCTCTCCAACTTCATCTCATATTTTCTCCTCCTCAGCGCCAGCTCCGGTGTCAGGGGAATAAATGTCAGCCATGATGTTGTCCCCTGCCCGAGTTGCCTTTGACTTGTTTCTTTTGCTACTATCATTGTGGACTACGGGGGACTACATTCCCAATCACATCTACTCGAACATTATGCTCTCCACAACAAAGCTCCCTTTGGGGTGTGTGATGGGAGAAGTCCGGCCACTTGCACATATCGTGGTCCACACTTCGATCGAACAGCTCGGAGCATTTGTCGATTCCCTTTCCGCAATCCTCTCCCTCGACAAGCTTTGGGATCCTCTTCGCCACGCTCCTATCCCCAAACCCCGTCCGTCTTGGTATGAGAAGTTGTCAAATCGAAGGCTGGTACCAAAGAGAAGAGATGGAGATCGGCTAAAATATTCACACCTTGTTGGAGAGAAAGTCGTTTAGCCGGCCGCGTTCAATGGTGAAGAGATGATCACAGAGGTTTCAGATGGTTAAGGAATGCAACATGAACAGAAATTGAAGGAAAGGAGGAGATGGAACAGGAAACGGAATTGATGAGGAGGAAGTCAAAGTTGAACCTCGAATCAAGGAGGGAAAGTCACCCGAGGTTGCAAAGGGTGTCTATTACATTGAGCCACTTCCGGTATCTGACCCGTTGTGGACGAATCGTCTCTAAATTCTAATCAACGACACGCCCCGTCGACTTGGGCCAAAATCATTTCCTTTGTATCCAACAATTGTACAGAGAATATCCAAAACCGACCCCATCCACGACTGCAACTGACGACGACTCCTCAACGGAACTGGTTTCTTTTGTTGGGATAACATATCAAGGAACACGGTCACAGTAATGACAAAATCAAACATTCTCTAAACTTTTCCACCCATATACTACCATCGCATTCGCTCTTATATCAACGGAGCTAGATCACTCCGAGACCGCTGTGATTGGCTCTCTTGACGCTTCACTATCGCTTTGCGGACTCTCCAGGAGTTTTCCGCCAGACACGTCATGATACCTGAAAAACAGAAAACGACTGCTTGAGTTCATGTTTGACGGCCTATCATTCGCTTGTCACGCTCGTGCAAAGCACCAAACCCCTCCGAGATGGTTGTCTGCAAATATTTCCTACAAGGCAATTGCAAGTTTGGAAGTATGTTTGCTTATGTTCTGCCTCTTGTTGATCTGGGCATTTGGCTTCCCGTTTGATCCCAAGACTGACTCACTTCACACAGACAGCTGCAGAAACGATCACCCTTCATCTGGGTTCGCGAGTCAAAACAGATTTAGCCCTCTTAGTGGCAGCGGAGGTAATCGCTTTGGAGGATTCGGAAACATGAATGACGGTAGGCTGTCAGCAACAGCGTGTCCCGATCATGATCGCTGGGGTTTTCAATTTATCCAACCGTCACTGACACATCTTCGAACTAGGTCGACAAGACGCCTGGCGTCTAAACACTGCAGATGTACGCAATGATCTTACAGATGGAAAAGGTCGACCCAAATGGATTCTCTCGGCCTATGGCCCAGGAAAAGAAGCTCCAGCTTCGCTCCTTGAGTCCGATGAATTCAGCCCTGAAGAAATCCGAGTCCGCTTCTACGAAATGGCAAGCCAAGGAAAGCAGGACGATGCAGATCGTGAGGCGATGGGCTTGTGGAACAAGGCCGATCAAGACATCAATCAGATTCTCAACAATGTCGACGGCGTAATCAAATTCATGGAAGAGGCAGATTCAAAACATCCGAACAGAGGAGATTTTGCAAAGATGGATGGGACCAAGTCTCGCGACCAGCTTATCAAGGACGCCACGATGCAATCAACAACGTCGACTCCGGGATCTGGCCCTGGCTTTGGTCAGGGCTCTACGCCCAATCCTTTTGCGAAGCCTGCTGCTTCGACTTTTGGTCAACCTTCCCAGCCTTCGCTCTTTGGCTCTTCTACTTTTGGGAAACCAGCTTTCGGTCAGAGCGGGTTTGGAAGCAGTTCAGGGCAAACTTCTAGTCCTTTCGGGCAGACTTCCAGTGGTAGTGCATTTGGGAAACCGGCGTTCGGAAGTTCTGGATTCGGCCAAGCCACGTTTGGTCAGCCATCGCAGCCAGCGGCGCCCACATTCGGACAACCTTCTCGACCGACGTCGACGTTTGGCCAGCCGTCTCAACCGTCCTCTACATTTGGGCAGCCAGCCTTTGGGTCGTCTGGATTCGGATCTGCTGCACAAATGAGTCCGTTTGCTCCAGCGTCCGCGTCAAGTGGTTTTGGTCAAGGGCCATCAACATTCGGTCAGCCATCCCAACCAACATCGACGTTTGGCCAGCCTTCACAGCCCGGCTCTGCATTTGGTCAACCGACACAACCGAGTTCGACATTCGGCCAACCTTCACAGCCTACTTCGACGTTTGGGCAAGCAAGCCAACCTACATCTATCTTCGGCCAGGCAAGTCAGCCTTCATCAACCTTTGGACATCCATCTCAACCAACCTCTAAATTTGGTCAGCCTACGACATTCGGTAAACCCGGCTTTGGCCAGTCCACATCCACTTTCGGACAACCATCCCAACCTCCACCAACTTTTGGCCAGCCATCCCAACCTACGTCAACTTTCGGCCAGCCATCTCAATCCACTATATCCCCCTTCGCCCAGACATCGCAATCAACGACATCCCCATTCGGCCAAGCTGCAAGCACAGCGTCTGGATTTGGAACAACAGGTTTTGGGACCAGTTCCAGGTCTGAACCGGCTTTCAGTCAGACAAATGCCCCGACCAATCCAGTCGGCGTCAAACCAACAGAAGACCAACCCAATGACCAGACCATGGACACCGCATCCCCGGCAGAATCTCGTCCAGTCTCTCGCGCTAATCTGTTTGAAACACCGTCCACTCAACCATCCCAGCCTGCTCCCTCTTCCACACAACCACAGCCCACAGCAGCAGCGAAACCAATCGTCAACACCTCGTCAACACCACACCCACTAACCGGCAAACCTCCCCACGTCATTACATACACACAAACTCTCCCACCGCAACCGACCCGGAAAAATGCCTCGGGTCAAGTGACTTCCTACCGCGGCCAAGCTGTACAATATGTTGACGGAACGCCATGTTACGCACGACCCGACGGTAAGGGCCTGGAGAAGATCTGGTTCCCTGACGCTGGCGCGACGCCCGAGGTTGTGGTGCTGAACCGGGAGGAAAAACTTGATGATTTCCAGGGGAGTGAGGACGAGTATTCGGACATGGTCAAGGATGAGTATAGGTATTTATTTGAAAATGGAAGGTTTAAGGATGGGAAGATTCCTCTGGTCCCGCCGTTGAGGGAGTGGGGAGTTTATGATTTCTAGTTTACAATACGCTCGAGGCATCAGAAAATGCAGCAACCGGCTTTGGTAGGGACGAGCCACTGATACTGGTGCTGGGAAATGAATTGGTTTGGCAAAGCAAGGAGCGGTACATGGAATAACGCTGAAAAAGGGTATAGGAGTTGTATCGATATCGGTATTGGGTTCGGTCACAGGTGCGTTCTGAGCGAAGCGACGGTGTCTTGTCGTGAGACAATAACGTTTCCTCGCGTTGACTTGTCTGCCTCTCTCCGGAACAGGCCTGTTCTTTTATTTCTGCTCTGGCACATTCGATTTTCGTTGCCCCTGCCAATCGAGCAGATCAAGCGACTCCACCACCACTCCCCTCGGCCCATTGCCCATAGCCATAGACTATGCGCGCTTCAACTACAGCGCCTATCCACTCCATCCCATCGCACCTTGGTTCTCACTGATTGTCTTCTCCACGACAATTTCGCACCCGGCCCTTTCTCAGTGAAGAGACCTTGCGCTTTTCACGCAACAATGGTCGTTTCTGTAGAGATGAATGGTCCGTTTATGCAGCAATAGTCACTTCCACCTCGACCCCAGCCTCGATATTAATAATGATCTGCTTGACGACCTCGGTCGGCGCATTGAGATCGATCAATCTCTTATGGATTCGCATCTCATACATATCCCATGTCTTCGACCCTTCACCACACGGCGTCTTGCGCGTGGTAACTTTGAGCGTCTTGGTCGGCAAACGAACGGGGCCTTTGACGCGGAGGTTCTTGGATTTCGCGCGCTCGAGGAGCTCAGAGCACACTTTCTCAAGAGATTGTACTTTGCGAGAGGTCAACGTGATTCGGATTTTGTGGATTTTCTGTACGGACACCAGTCAGTATTGGTTCAGGCCCGACAAAGTGTAGAGAAATGTGAGCGAAGTAGACATGGACGTACCGGCCCCTCAGCGAAGTCTTTCTCAGGTTTTTGGAAGGACATTTTGGCCGTCCAACTTGCAGCTTGGGACTATTGTCGTGGAATTGAACAATGGATTAATGGGGTTATCGGTGTGAAAGTGAGGCGATGTATAGAGAGAGAGCGTCGGCGCCAATCAAGACCTGAACAGCCAGCTAGGTTGGGTTCGGTAAAGTGATGAGAGGCTGAAGAAGGAAAGAAAAGAAAGAAGAAGTAGAATCGCAGATGTTGATTTTGGAGCCCGAGTCTGTGGGTGGAAAATCTTGGCAACGGTGATCGATTTTGGTGCTAGCTTTTTTTGGTGGGCCGGGGCGGGTTTGTTAGTCATGACCACTGCTTGACATTAGTATGCTAGACTTCGGGACAAGAATTCGTGGAACTACGACGAGAAGAAGCGCCGATCGAGGGATTTTGTCCGGTAATGGAGGAAATACCTGGAGTTCCCAGACAGATACCGCCGCTGGCCAGCTACCCGAACTCAAATGTCAAAACGAATCTAACTCCTGCGGAGTGGGATGAGTATCTCGATTCATGGCTTTTCAGCATCGAGTTCCGACTACGTCTACAGGACGAGGACTTCTCGAAAGTTCAGCTCTCTCAACATGCCAGCGGAATAGAGTTCCTCTATTCACTCTTCCAGTTTGGTCGAGACCGGGGTCGGACACAATCCAAGTCCCAGAAGGAACGATTACTGCTGAAACGAGCGTATATGCTGCTGAGGAGACTTCTGCTCGGGACGCAAGTGCCGTTCGGCTACGATGCAACGAAACTTCTTGATCTACTTGGCATGGCCAGTCAGCTCTATGCTTCAGTCGGGGACTGGAAGGTTACGCTCCAGGCGCTGTGGAAAAGAAATCAAGCGCAGATGACGAGCGCGGTGGAAAGTTGGAAGAAAGATGTTTCCCGTACCGTATCGACGCAGCTGGATTCACTGTCCCTGTTGGAAAAGTGTCGTCGTTTAAATGCTCTGATCAAGGTCTCGGCTGAGACAGGGCTCGTTCTCATGACTGGATCCGATCACCTCGAAACACTCATGGAAGCGTATGATCGGTTGCAGACGGTTCCCAAGACCGGGCCGTTGCCAAGAGTGCTGACTGAACATATCTTTTATTGCTTGCGAAGTCTTATGTCTGATGGTTCGGCGCAGACCTCAATGCTGTTAGATCATCTCTACCATATGAAGGCCGAGGCCGATCGGACGACCCGGTCAAAACCCAACCAGCCGACTTTGTACTCCGGTCTGGTTTGTCAGACCTCGTTTCTGAGGCATCTTGCAGCAGACAACTCTGTGTCATCTGGTAAGAGAGGGCGAGATCTGCTGGAGGCACTTACGGCCTATCGTCAGAACACTTTGCCCCTCCTTCCGGCCATGGCGCCCCGAAAACGAAGAGTGGCCAAAGGGAAGGGCAAGGCTGACGGAATTGAAGAAATGCATATTCACAAAGCTTCCCATGTGTCACAAGTGCACGAACTGTTCCCTGACTTACCCAACAATTATATCCTCGAGCTTCTGGATCATTTTCATGACAACACTGAAGCTGTGGTTGCCGCTCTGCTTGAGCCCGAATCTCTTCCGGCTGATCTGCAAGATCCGACTGCGTTTGAAGGACCTTCAACCGACATTGATGGTCCGTCGCATGGCCTTGCACCACATTCGACGCCTGCTCTGCTCCCGCCGAGAAGGAATGTCTTTGACGGTGATGATTTGGATAACCTGCGGATCTCCTCGGACCGGCTGCATAGAGGCCGAAAAGAAATCACGGTTGACCAAGCTGGAACAGAGGACGAGCATGCTCGAAGGAAAGCAGCAATAATGTCGGCATTGGCTGCATTTGATTCCGATGACGATGAGCGGGACGATACGTACGATGTGACCGATGTAGGCGGCACTGTGGATTCTACTCTTGACTCCGACAGGCCGGAGAGAGACATTGATCGAAACCCTCACGAGCAGTCATTGTTCCGAGCATGGAAGGATAACCAGGAGATGTTTGCACGAGATCGGAAGACCAGAGCATCTAAAATTCGACAAGATCTCAAACGAGACACGGGTATGAGTGACGAGCAACTTGAAGGCTGGGCAATCATGTTGAAGAAAGATTCGAAATTACAAGATCAACTGGAAAAGAAGTATTCGGCGTCAAAACATTTCGCAGGAACCCAGACTGCTCTTGCTTCGACTAAATGGCAAGGAGGCACGCCTGAGGATAGCGAAGGTGAAAGCAGTGGCGGAGGAGGACGTCGGACGGGACAGACCCAAATGCGTGGAAATCGCACCTGGGCCGGTGGACACGGAGGTGGTGGTCGCACTTCAGGTCCTAGTGGTGATGTAGCAACTCAAGTAGCAAGACGGCGAAAGGAGCAAGGCAGAGGTCGTGGTGGAGCAAATCATGGCAGGCGTGAAGGGAGAGCTCGAAAGATGGGTAGAGGCATGGCAGGGGGAACAGGATGATAAAGCTAGATGTGAGAGATATCAACGATGTAGAGATTCAGGACAAAAGCCAAGACAATATAACCATTTGAATGTGAGAGCAGGAGTATATTGATTGCTCGTTGACACTGGGGTCGAAGAAGAGGAACGTGAAGGGGAATGTATCGGGGCAGCGACCCTTGGCAGCGACAAGCGACCTGATGAAGCTCGATTTGGAAAGAGGCAACCAATGATGTAAAGGTACATAGGATCCCTAGTGAAAGCGCACAAATCGAGGTACCAAAACATCACAATCGAAGTACTCGCATCAAGTCGCGATTTGAATGCTTATTCAGTCTTGCTCTCTTGACAGATAGAACAACAACGCATTCCTTCTCTAGACTCCACAGTCTATCAGAGTCTGGCAGACAAAGGTGGCATTTCTGCCCATCCCCGGATGGTCCATAGACTAGATCCCCGACGGGGCCGAATGTGCGATACGGGATTTCAGCCAATCAGAGCAAAGTATTTGGAAATTGTCGGATTAGAGATTTTCCGGATTACGGGTGCTGCGTTGTGGGGGGAGTTTCCAATCACGTGCGACAGTTGGCTTGGCATTGTCAAGTGAGAAGTTGACTTAGCAAAATGGGTGGAAAGGCGAGTGCGAAAGGCTCTGTCAAAAGCGTTCAACGACGTCGTTGAAAGAGCACTTAAAAGCGCCAACTACGCGAGGGAGGCAAAGTGGACGGAAAGGTACCTGAAAACCCCCTATTTTCCTGGGGATTTGAGGTACCTCGCCATCCTCCGAACAACCCTCGCACAACTAGGCTGCCCTGATACATTCCCAGGTGAAACCGGGTGCTCGTTGTGTTCGGCATTAGCCCGTATATCGGTGCACTCTATTGTCCAACAGAATTCGGGTTTGCTGTCCAGAACCTTCTGCGCTTTTCTTTTCCGCAGTTGTCAGTACTTCCACAAGGGGAGCACAGACCTCGACGGCGCAGAAGATCGAGATGACATACAATACATGTTTAGCAGAAGCAGCGCTAGGGAACTGGAGAATTTGTCCAACATTCATACTACTACCAAGATCTAAATAGTGCAGACAGAAGGCTTCCAGCAGTGGCTTGCGGAGGCCTTCACCAGTCTCCAGATTTGGGAGGACCTTCGGCTTGCTCAGCGAGAACTTATGTTTCAAGCATTTGGAGGATGGAAATATGTGATACAACGCTTGACAAAGAGCTCTGCGCCCTAGAATGCCTCGACACGTTCAGGCTATGGGATGTTCATCGAAAAGAGCAGCTTGCAAATATGAATCAAAGGGCACGATGAGCATCCAGAGCCTCGTTCGGCCTCTCTTGCTCCTCTAGCGCTCCAACAACGCGCCAGAGCAGTCATCTCCATCCCCACTGACCTAATGCTCTCAAATGTGTCTATGACCCTGAAGCCGAAGAATCGATCCATAACATACCATCGCTGACTGGTCTTCGTGATGCTATGCTAATCATCCAAGCTTGTATCATCGGACTCGTCTTCCGATTTTTCTGGGTCTTCCCCGGCATCGATCTTGTCCAACTGGTAACTGCCACTTTGTTTCCCTTCGTCGCCGAGGTGCTTATCAAAAACCGCTATGCAGTCTTTGAACAAGCGCTCCTTCATTGGGTCATCATCATCATCATTATTCTTCTGGGGATTCGTTGGCCCCTTTCCACTATGCCTCAATGCATTTTTGTCGTAGGTCCGCTCGTATAAGATGGTCTGAAGGTCCCATATGCAATCGATAAAGTCGTCATCTTCGCGATATGGCTCTTCAAAGTGATCAATTATCAACTTGTCGAAAGCCTCTGGATTCTCGAACCAATACAATTTACAATTTGCAATAGCTTTGGTAGAGGACTTATTATCGGTCATAAGCTCGACTAGAGGCTTATTTTGAAAGGCGATTTCATCGTCATAGTCGGGTGATGCGACCCAAAGCATGACTGCAAAGAACGACTCCATATCATGTCCCAATGTTCTTCGAGCGACTGATTCATCCAGAAGACACGGCGCCATGAATGCAAAAGTGCCACTTCGAATGTTTCTACTGGATGCTCTCCCGTCGGTGGTAAAACATAGATTCCAGTCAATGAGAGTACCGCGCAGTGTCTTGTGGGTAAGGCCGCCAGTAAGTTGAGTCTCTTTCACCGGAACCATGATATTCTCAATCGAAATATCTAAGAATTCATTAGTGCTGTTCATCGTCTAGCACACTCGTAAACTTACCACCATGAAGGAAGCCATGCTCAGGACGTTTGTACGCGTCATAATAAACGATCATAGCGTCGCAGACTGTTCGCATGAGTTCTTTCGGGTGGGCATTGCGCATCGCCTCCTTCAATGGTTGGCAATAGGAGACGACAAGGCGGATATACCGTCTGCGCACCCCGATGCATTCATTAAAATCTTCTCCCTGCGCTTGGGCTTGGCGAAGGATTTCCTCGCCCGCAATGCCTACAAATACGCCGGGCGGATTGGATTTTGAAGTGCAACTGGATACGAAGCTGGGTTCAATCACCTTTATCGCTCGATTCGTTACTGCCGCGAGTGCGTTCTCACAATTCGGAGGGAGCTTGCCAGTCAACACCTCCATTTCGTCGCTGGACGCCTTCACATTGTTACTGCCTTCCGCAGTCGAACGACACGATTCATGAAGCTGTGGAAGGCCTCGGACGTTTGCTTCGACAAGGATGCGGAGGACCTCCTCTTCAGGTGGCGGCGACGGGTTTTCAACCTTCTCTTCCCAGGCATTCTTCATGACCCACTTGTCCTCTGGAGAGTCGACAGGATGCCCCCGCGCGACCCTGATATGTCTCCCAAAAAGGCAGGGACGGTAGCATAGCAAGCCATCTTCAGCCCACTGCATTCCCGTATGCTCAATGGATGTCGAGCCGTCTCTTCGGTGAACCGTGACGGTGGGATCCCGTCCACGATGTTCTGGTTCCGCGGTGAAATCCGCGAGAAATTGAGTATATTAGAGATTCTTCACAAAAATCAAGTAGCTCAGAGTACCCGGCACAGCCATGATCAACGTAGGTAATCAAGGCGTGCTTCTGTATGAAAAGAATTCCGTAGAGGTAGCGGCGGAAAGGTTGATGATAGAATACATTCCGGGCACTGCGTAACCACCGCAGGAATTTTTCAGAGGCCATTTTCACGGGGCTCTGCGTGTGCTCAAAAACCGGTTCCACATGAGCCCAATCAGTACCCGTTCCGAGATGGACAAAGAAATCCGGTTGAGAAAGCGGCTCCTCGCCCTGCTTGGATTCGGATAACGTCTTCGAGAAAGAGCGGGATAATCGGAGGTCACCAAGAGCCTGTTGACTAGGTTAACAGAAGGTCACAACAGGCACCTTGAACAAGACCATTTTAGGGAATGCTTTGTGCAATCGCTGGAAAAACGACTCCTGTTCCCAAGAACCGACACCAACACTCTTAACGTCCTTGATATTGAGCTGCGGTCGTTCATCTTTGTGTTTGAAGCAGCTAAGAAAGGTCGAGCGGAATATATCACGAGGGATATCCTTCCTCGTGACTCCACGAGCTTCGGCCAAAATCCGTCCTTCTATTTCGTCGACATAAACTTTATCCTCCTTCTCAACTACACCGGCGTGATTGGCCATGCGCTTGTCGGTGCCGCAGTGGTAGATGTTGTGGATTTCTTGGAGAGCTTTCTTTGCCGCCTGCCGGCGAGGACGTAATGGGGGGGTTGGTTGGTGGATCCATCATCGCGCAAGAGCGGACAGATGGCGCATCAGTGTGAATGAGAATTCTTTTGATTGCAGACAGAAGATCGTCTCAAGCGTGGCTGAGATGAATCGCGGTATCACGTGCGGCAGATTAAAAGCTTGACGCCGACAGTGAGAGTGCCAAGCCAGGGGGTGTTGAAAAGGGAGCGCGGTTGACATATGCAGACCCTTGGCGCTGTGATCCCTGGCTCTGCAGCGCGTCGTCGATTCGCTTTCGGACCATGCCTGGTTTCTCACTAGCGATGCCGTTGTTCCCTGCCGTCGAGAAGTCGATAACCATGTGCGGTTGGAGGTCGTGCCCTGACATGACGCCGAGTTGGACGGGTTGATGGAGCAAATCTGGGTGATCGGTGTGCCTTGACTTGTCAGTCCAGGCCTCACGGCGCCGGCATAGCTGGTTACGGTGGCCATGTTCGCGGTGACCCGACCAGGGGAATTGGAGAGCACCTCTAGTGGTTCGTTAGTGATATGGGCAAAGGCCTTGAGCCTTGCGTCCGTTGCGTCTAGTTGTTCATTGGTGGCATGACCGAAGGCCTCGAATCTCGCGTCTGCCGCATCCTGTTGTCGTTCGAGAGCTTCGAAGTCGGTCGGCTACTGTGTCTTGTTGTTCCGCCAGGTCCCACACGACCCGAAGGATTAGGCTCAACTGCTCGCTGATCTTGCTGTCCTTCTCGTCATCTTCGGGCGGTCCTTCGATCTGGGCCCTCCTGCTCCACCATTGACCATGTTATCCTGCCTCTCTTCGCATCGTTCAGCTCTTGCTCGGGGCGCCGGTTTTGTATGCCGGCGAGTCTCGCTCGGGGCGCGTCACTGAGGCGCACTCCCTTATCGGTGTGACCGGTGCTCGCGTTGCCCCGGCCGCCATCGACCTCGTGATATTCGGGGATAATCAATCGCCCCCCGGCGACCAAATGGAGGTGCGGTTAGGAGGCGAGTTTGGTTCGTGAGTTTTGCCGAGCGTCGATTTCACGATGGGGAGGATGCGTAGACGTAGGGTCGGTAAGCAGAGGTGGATAGTGCTCCCTGGCTGGGCCGTGGACTGGATCCGATCAGTCCCTCTCGACGTGGACAGTATTCTCTGGTTGGACCGTGGACTGGATCCGATGAGTCCTCTCGCTTTACGGAATAAGGATTTTCCAGCATTGAGTGGTGAATATTGGAAAAATGGCCGGGTTGACCAGCCGTGATTGGACTTCCCATTGATTGATCCTCAGGCTCTACAGTACCGGGAAAGGGATGAAGTTATCGGGTAACTTTCCTCTTCGCGACAAGTGTTTGGCATGTTTGATTTATTTGTACTCGGCTCCAGCCTCCAATAAACAATCTGCCTTGATAGTGTCGCATGCTCTTATAAAACACCAAAGAAAACGCTGATTGTCCTCTCCGTCACCTGCGACACTGTTGCTCTTCTTCCTTTCCTCTGCGCAATATCTCAAACTTGGTTCCCTTCATGTTCTCTTAGGAGGCAGCGCTTAAAAACCGAAGTCGGTCTAGTCTTACAAATCTCGCCCAGAAGGGGCATTAATTTCTAAACTCCGTTCTTAGGACAGAACCACATTTTCGTTCCTAAAGCATTGCTCTACTTGCGTTGGAGAAAAAGAACTATCCGGCGCTTTCGTCTTGCACTTCACGCGGGGTGATTCGCCACTCTGCGGATTTTGTCAACGTCTGGTTGAAATACTTGCGCGGGATCTCTCTTCTTCGTCTTCATCATCGCTCACTCAGGACCTCGCACTCACCGCCTACCACTCCCCGATATGCTACCACTATCCTGAGTGACGGAGCTTCCTGTCATCTGGTCTGGAAATGACGGACGTACCTACCCTCAACGGCGCCACAAATGAAGCACATCCGCCTCAAGGCTTCGATGCCTCTCAGATCCTTCACGCCTTAGAAGTCATTCACAATCCCGCCACCAAAAACGATGTCCGCAGACACGCCTCAGAATACCTGGAGAACCTCAAAGTCAGCAGTGATGCGCCGCAGTATGGCTTTGCACTTTCCACCGATCGATCTCAACCGCCGCTGGTCCGACATTTTGGTCTCTCTCTGCTGAGCCATGTCATTCGTCATGAGGGCCACAATCTGTCGGAGGAGCAAAACAGTCAACTGCGGACATGCGCTCTGGACCTAGGCAAATCGATTCTCCCCTCGGATCCTCCCTTTATTCGCAACAAGATCACCGAGTTATGGGTAGAACTGACCAAACGCAGCTGGGCTCTGGATTGGTTTGACTTGGATCAGCACTTGGTTGAGTTATGGTCTAAAGAACTTGTCCACATGGAATTCGTCCTCACGGTATTGGAGAATCTTTCCGAGGATATTTTTGTTCGTGACGACAGTATTGCGGTATTGCGAGGTCGAGATCTGAACACGGCCATGGTGGAAATCTTCGCCTCCAGCGCCCAATATTCGGGAAGTATCCGAATCGGCGAGACAGTACAAAACATGCGTTCTGCAGACGAAGGATGGCTTGAGAGAATCAAGAAATTTCTCGACGAATGTTGCCAGAACCCAAACATGACTGGCCCTGTCAAGGACACCGCCCTGAAAGCGCTGGCCACTCTCCGTTCGGCTTTCACTTGGTGCATGGCCCCAGCTGTTGTTCAGTCGATGGCTTTGATCACAACTTGCAACTTCCTCACACAAGCAGACCCGGATCTTGTCACCGCGGCGGTGGATGCACTTCTGTCATTGTACGGGAGATCCCGGTTGGAGGAGCTCGAGATCCGGGCTCTTATTTACCCTCTGATTCAACCAGAGAGCATCTCAACGTTGAGGCAATTGTACATGTGGTCAGTTGTCTCGGTTGATGACATCGACAGCGGCAAATACGTCATCTCCAAGAAGTTGTCCGAGTTAATGGCCACCCTGTCCGATCAAATGTGCCAGTACAAACCTCCAGACCGGACCACCATGGATCTCTCACCATTTCTCCACTTTCTAATTGCCATCGCCGAACATGAAAGTCTCATTGTCTCTATTCCTGTCATTCATTCGTGGGTCAAATTGTTGGAAGTCCAATCATGGAGGGCAACACCGATGGTGGCCCAATGCATTGGTCCGCTCTTGCAAGTCGCATCGCAGAGACTGATTCAGTATGATCAACTACCTGAAGGCACCCCAGATCCCGCGGTCATTTTTGTCAACGACGAGATCGAGCTTTTCCCGGAACGTCAGGGCTTCTACATGAACTATCGCCGACTCTGTTCCGCCGTGATTGAGTGGATCACATATGCCCAGTTAGAGGAAGCGATGCAAGCGGTCATGAACAGGGTCGATCAACTCCTGGATCAGATCGAAGAGTCTGAACGACAATTCAACATCGCTAGATACGAAAGAATTTCCATGAATGTCTTGCACGCCGATGCTTATTTTGCCATGATTGATGCAGCTTTCAAAGGGCTCAATCGGTGGCAGTCAATGCATCGGGAGTCTCCGACACCAGAACAAGAGCAATTAGATCAGAGAATGAGGCAAAAATCCAAGGCGTGGATGCTTCACATGATGAATCAGAGAAACTTCAAAGACCCTCAGATCAGACAACGGCAAATCAAAACCACTGTCGAGGTTTCCAACCAAGCTTTACAGAAAGACACTGAGTTTGCCTTTAATGTGCTGGAGCACATCCTCTCGTCATTCACCATAACCCAACAGCAGCATGTCATTTATTCGGAGGCCGTCAATGAACTCCACAACTATGCCGCAAGCGAGTTGAGACGATTGTCGATCCAACATGCCGACTACTTCGTCACGTTTTATGATCAACTGCGAACCAAATTTACTGATCTCATCAATCAAATCGGCGCTGATGACCGGTTACAAATTGATCTCAAGTCCACGCTTTTCTCAGTCATTCAGCGAGCCTCAGGAATTGATTATGCTCAACGTCAAGCCAAGTTAGAAGAATTTCTTCAACCAATAGCTGCTGCTTGGGCTAATGAAGAACTACAAGCGACTCTGCAGAATTTGGACACTTTTGCTCGCTCCCAAGCATTCGATCAGGTTGGACCGTATATGGCCTCCATTCAAGTAGCTGATCTCGAGGACTGGTCACGGATACCCTATGACGATCGTGGTGTACGCATTCAACAGGAAATGCTAGCAGCTTTCGCGAAATTGCCCCTGCGTGAGACGAGAATTCTCCTCAGCATATCGACGGAAAGACTGCAGGAAGGATCACCTCTGCACCAGATGATATGTGACTTGTGGTCACCCATGATTCCAAATATGCTGAGTTATGTCTTGCGTCTCACCAGCTACAATCACCAATTGCACAATCCATCTTCCTGGCCGAACGTTGCCCCAGAGCTGGAAGGAGTCATTCGACGGATCTTGCGAGACCGATACTGGCAATCAGGAATATCCAGTGGTTCAATGAACGAGTTTCACAGCAAAGTTAAATCAACACGGTCAACCCTGGAAGGATTTGCATCGTCGGTCAGAGGCCGGATTCGTAACAATCTCGAGCAGTGTTACAGTATTCTCCATACACTGGGCAGATTGGGTCCGGCCTTCTACAACTTGCCGCAACTCCCCGAAATGATAGCTGAAGCGGCTGTCAATTCGGCGGCCCCATTGAGCCCTCATCACTTCTCCGTCATGGTCCAGATGCTTCCGAAGATGATTGATGAATGTCCGCCCGAGAGTAGACCACAATTCCTTACACCGATCTTGTCCGCGCTCCTGGAACAAATGGACACAAAGCTGTCGCACGAATGGATCAAAATGAACCAGAGGAAGCAGACCAAACACGACGAGGAGAATCTGAGCGAGGAAATGCGGGACGATTCGGTTCTCCGACAGACCACGTACAAGGCAGTCAATCTGGTGGCACACTGGTTGAACCCGAAACGTGAACAGCAGCCCATTGCGAAGAAGAGCGTGGTCAACGGCAACTACTTGACTCAAACCCGTCAGCAGACGATGCGTGAGTTTTTACTCTCCAACGTCCATATCATTGACCGCCTGCTTGTCTTCATCAACCACGCCCTTGCTTTCAAAGACCTCCGATCTTGCTACACGATGCTGGGCGCTGTGCAACGGCTCGTCCCGGACTTTGGGCTCGACCAGTTTCTGTCCGGTCCAGAAGCAACTGCTGTGCGCGAGTACATCTCCACCGAGATCCTCAAGACAGCAATCACATGTCTCAACGACGGCTACTTTGCCGACCACCAGGCGCACTACGCCCAGCTGATCGCGACCATTTGGCTTTGGTATGGCCTCGTGTCAGCCTCCGGACCGGGAGGGACCCCCTGGACCACCACACCACGGGACGTCATCCTCAGTCTCCCCGGCATGACAGAGACAAAGGTCGACCAAGCTGCCGCACAACTCATACAGGAAGGCCTCCCCGGGCGCTCAAAGAGACTGCGTGCCATCATATTGTCCTTGCTCGAGGGTGTCCGCGGTGTTCGCGTTAGTGAGTTAGGCAAAATCGACATGCGTCAACAACAGTCGCGCATCTTGGAGAAGTACAAGCAGCGTGAGTTGTTGGGGATGCAGGGCGTTGAAGATAGTGCGCAGACTGCGGGAAAGGATGACGGCGTCGATCTCACTGGTGTTGCGGATATGTTTGCAGGTTAGGAATCCTCTTTCGTGATTACGAGCTGGGAAGATGGTAGTGTGCGGTGGAAGAAATTGGCGAACATGGATTGAGTTCAGAGGAGTGGGTGAGTCGGTGGCCGTTTGTGATTTCGTCCCTGTGATCGTGGATGGTTGAACATCGATGAAGGCATGTATGGCTGAGCAAAGACGAATGATTGCATCAAAACATTCTAACGATAGCATGTCACAAGAGCACAAAACGTGGGAGAAAAGAACCGCATTGCAGGACATGAAAACGAAACGAAAACGAACAAGAGCTGATATCATCCACACGTATATCCACCAACCAAAATCCAAACAGAAAACGAAACACTGGTATACTCTAGTGACTACTGTGTATTGGGATACGCAACTCTTGGACGCTGCGTGGTGGCCAGGTCACGTTGAGTTGATGAGGAGTGACAATGGATGGCATGGATGCTTCTTGGGTTTAGTCGTGATGTACATAGGAAGAAACCACATACGGTTCTGATGCTGAATCCATTATCAGAGCTGACCAGACCACGCCAGCCCTTTTTCGTCTCGTGCTTCCTGTTTAAATTGGATTGGTTGGTTTTTATTGGTGTATGCACTTTCATTCCAAGTGATATCCGCTAATCAGGGCCGGCTGTCGATGCATCTCTTGAGTTTTTCCACCTCTGGCTCCTAATTTCATTTTCGCTTTGTCTATTCTGTGTTGGTGTTGGGTGCTTTTTGTGCTCTCCTATTATTTCTGGCGGAAGAGAGTCGAGATAGGTGACTTCGGTAGATATTCGAGGATGAGGTAACGACGTCAGGTCGAAAGCCGGGGGAGCGTTAAGTAGAAATTTTCGTCGACAGGTCTGGTTTTCTATTTTATCTCACAGTCCTTGTCGGCGTGGCTGCGAATGTCGGTCGGACGAATCTGTAGAAGAGGTGTCTGTTAGTGATCCATTTTCGGATCTCGATATCTGTGCTGGGCCAGCATGAACATGATGAGCAAGATGGGAACTCCATCTTCTGACTTCATTCCAAACTGCCTTGTCTTTCCGGTTGCTGATTTTCCGCAACAAAGTTCCCTCTTTCTTCGCACACCGGCAAGCACAGAAGGAAAAGACGAAAGGAAAGACCGGTGCCCTTCTTACCTGTCACTATTATACGCGCTCGTCTCTTTGCCCAATAACTCCTTCTCTCTCGCCAGATCAGCATAGTATCGTCTCACTTGATCACGGTCCTCTTCAGCCTGGAGCAACGGAATCAAATGGATACGTGACCACATTTTCTCGCGGGCCATTTCGTGTTTCTCGCGCTGCCCGATGAAGACCTGGCGCCAGCCGTAGGCCATGATTAAGCCGGCACCGAGCAGGTAGTAGACCGGTTTGAGGCCGCGGGTTGGGATGTTGCGCTGTCCGAAGAGAGTCAATAGATGGCCGAGCGTCGGGATGGAGCGGAGAGAGAACTAGGTGAAGACAACGAAAGGATTGGCTGAACATACTCTGTATTGAACGGCTTCATAGCCGCCGGTGGGCGGGAGATCTTGAGGCATTCTATTGAAGAGTTGTCGTGGTATGGGGTCGACATAAGGAGGGTGGAGAGTTCGTAGATGTAGGTGGGAGGTATATGAGAGCTCGGGTGTTAAAGCGGCACGTCAATAATATGGGCACTCACGTGACTATCACTTTTCTATCCAACTTTCCATCGACACTTGAAAACCAGCGTTCACTGCGGACGAGACATTGGTGAAGCACCCAGACAAAATGGAAGCAGAAGAACGGCCTACAAAGTTTCGAAAGCTAGACTCGAAAGATGACCTTGGGCATGAAGCCGTTTCAGATGCTCCTTTCCTGTCAAACGTGAAAGCCCCTGGCTCTGAATCCTCTCATACGCCTCCGTGGCGAAAGAGTAAGCCACAGGAGCAACCTGCTAATGTCGCAGAGCCTCTGGAAGAAGAAATCGAGGATGGAAACGGGCCCGAGGCGGAGGGAGAGACAGAAGAACGTCCTACAGCCGTAGAGCCACATCAACAGAATGGCGAGCCCCCGAAGCCCATGTCGAAGAACCAGTTGAAAAAGCTGCGGAAGAGAGAAGAATGGGAGGCAGGTCGAGGCTACCGTAAAGCCAAGCGGAAACAAAAGGCACAGGAGAAAAAGGCCAGAAAGAGAGCAGCTAGAGAAGAGGAGCAACAGCGCCAGGAACTTTTACAGAAGGATGATGGCGGACGAGGCCAAAATGGGGATGCGCTCACAACAGCGGTCCCGGAGATTCCTCCAAAATTGAAGTATCGTCGCCCGGTCCAAGTTCCTGTCACGATCATTATAGATTGCGGCTTCGACGACTTAATGATGGAGAAAGAACGGATATCCCTGGGCTCGCAAATTACGCGGTCATACTCAGACAACTCGCACGCCCCCTTCCAGGCACATCTTGTGATCAGCTCGTGGGGAGGCCTATTGAAAGAGAGATTTGACACGGTACTGAACAAGCACTATATGAATTGGAAAGGGGTCACCTTTGCAGAGGATGACTTTATCCAGGCGGCTGAAAAGGCGACGGAAGTTATGAACGGACCCAAAGGTGGGAAACTGGCAGGTTTCTTTGAGAAATATGCTGGTATCGAAGGGGAATTTTGCGGAGCACATGGTTCGAAGTCTCCAGAGAACGCAGATGAATCTGGCCCTGTTGATTTTAAATCCTCGCTCTCCAACGGCGAGCTGGACGGCAAAATGACACCGACGCCCACGACCCAGGAAGAAAATCAACCACCGTCCACTATCGCCAGCACACAGCCGGTTGCGCACTCAGGCAAAGTGATCTACCTCACCTCCGACTCTCCCGACACGCTGACCACCCTGACGCCATACTCGACGTACATCGTGGGCGGTCTCGTCGACAAGAACCGTCACAAAGGCATATGCTACAAGACAGCGCGGGATCGGGGAATCCAGACGGCCAAATTACCCATTGGTGAGTACATGGACATGCAGTCGCGGAAGGTCCTGGCGACGAATCACGTGGTGGAGATTATGATTCGGTGGCTCGAGTGCGGCGATTGGGGTGAGGCGCTTATGCAAGTTATCCCGAAGCGGAAGGGGGGAAAGCTGAGAGAGGATGAGCGGGGAGATGAAGAGGATGGGAACGGCGTGAATGATGAGGACGCTGACGGGTGATGAATGTACATGAACGACTGACAGAATCATCGAGGCGAGAAAGACGTAACATCTGCTGAATGGGCCATGGAGCTTCCAATCTAGCTTCACAATAACAATGACAATGAGCAAAGCAGAATGAAGATGCAAACAAATCATATGCAACCTATGCCGATATATTCTTCCAAGGCATCGACACTTATTGTTTTTGCGGGGCGTTAAGAGGGAAGTGAAACAACTATCGCAGGTCCCTCCCTTTTTTTTCCCCCAGAGGTTTGAGTCCTACGGACCAAGACACGGATGATTCTATCAGGAACTATTAACAGGAAATGTGCGGGAGTCATTGATTGACATAAAGACAGGTGCAAATGAACATATGTAGTAAGTGGCAGAAACAATGACGGCAAATTGTAATGCCCGACTCGATGCCGATACCTCTTCTCCTTTTGAGAAGAAACATACCGCCAACGCCAATGCCAACTCTCACTGCATTGCTTCGTAATCTCATTGTTTTCGTCACCGTCACATCACCGAGCAATTCTGGACAGAAGTCCATATTGTTTCCAAATATCCTGCGTCAGGGTCTGCGTCCTCGTCTAGCGTCCCAGGTCTGCGTTTGAAGCCTTTGACTGTGATATTCTGCTCGCCTGCCCCGTGCCACCATTTCATGACTTGCATACCTTCACCGTCGATGTCCAGAAGATCGATTCTCCATCTCCCGCCACTGGCTTCAACGCCAGTCCGACCGGGTGGGAAGTGAAATTCGGGCAGGAAAATTTCGGTCGGTACATCCTCTTTGGTAGCATGATCTGCCAGTAGGCTGAATGTGAAAGTCACATTGCGCAAGTCGAAACCGTATTTGACGACGTTCCCTACTGTAGCGATGGGAGATGGCCTGACGTAGGCTTCGGCAGCTCGGAGACCTGACTTCGGTGTACTGGAGTAAGGTTTCTGAAGGACCTCGGGAGTCTTCAAGGCATCTTTGAGATTTGAAGGGTTAATTGTGCAGGATTCGGAAAGAGCCGTGCTAGAGTATGAAAGAGATTTTTGATCTAACGAAGCCGTCGATGGGTTTACAGATGGAAGGGCAGATGTTGAAGAACCACTTGGGAGGAGTTGATCATCAATCGATACAATAGAGAGGTCTTCACCGTTCCAGAGATCGCCCCATTGATGATTATTCTGCGTAAAATCAGCACGAAAAAAAAAAAAAAAGAAACACAGATTAATCAATTCTCACCTGACCGACGTAGGTCCACAATGTAAACCCTTGAGCCCCACTTCCTTCCAAAGCATAATGATTGGCATCCATAGACGACGTCTGACTCGAGTAGTCGCCAGTTTTGTAAGCATATTTGTCATCCATGTCGAAAGGAATACCGATTTCCGTAAAGATCGTAGGATGTTCACCCAGACGTTCGAGGCCCTCGTCTCGTATGGCCTTAAGTTGATCCCGCAAGCAGTTCCTGATGGCCGTCTCACCCAGTCTGACAGCGAATACGGGACTTGAATAGCGGTGACGTAGTATACCGAAGACATCCACATTATAGAATTTGTTCCAATGTTTCTGAATCAGGGTAAGTCCATCATAATAATGCGTTGCGAAAATCATTCTTTGATCATCATCTGGAGTGCCTTTGATGCCTGGAGGTATCTCAAGGACAGCTGATTGCAGCAAGATGATGCAATTCTTGTGAATGGCTCGTATGGCGTCTCTGTACTTTCGATAATGATCCATGTAGTACAAGTTGGTGAACCTTTCGTAGTCCAACTTGGTTCCCGACTTTGGGATGAAAGAAAAGTAGTCCCTTTTCAAGAGTTGATCCTGACTTGGGTCCCAAACACCATTCTGTGCCCATATACATTCGCCGAGTTTCCAACCGGGGTCTCGTTTCCAGCCATATTGTGTATCATCGAAATCTTTGGAGAGCCAGGCAGATACTCCCCCAGGGTCCACCAGCTCTCGGCCGCTCTTGTATGGCCCAAATGTGCTGAAGGAATAGAAGTCGACTTCCACAGCACGTCCAGCACCGGTCAGAATGGCTTGCCAAGGGGTGGGACAGGTTCCTTTTCTCATTTTCAAGTCGTCGGGAAGGGCATCCAAATCCTCCCATCCGATCAGTCCTCGATGTGGTTCATTCATGGTTTCCCATCCAATGATACATTCATCCTCCAGACCGCCCGCGTCGTGTATCCTCTGTGCTAAATGGGCACACGCAGCAACAAAATGATCGGTCAAATAGTCTTGGATATTCTTGCCATCTATGATGGCATTCGGAGCGAAGTCTCGACCCGCATAGAAGAGAGTAAATGTAACCTGGGTGGCCAAACGGGTGTAGTTGGTGGGCCACAGCATCTTGGGGAATTCAGCAGGTTCGGCCCAAGTGTTCTGCACGACGGCGGCTTGTGTCGCAGCAAAGTTCTCCGGGTCCAAACCACAGGCATGAAGAGTCCATAGGGGAGCACCGGATCCGCCAGTAAATCTCGACCAGACATCTTGATGGGGATTCATAAAGACATAGAAACCGTAGGATTTTGCTATGCGTAGGATCTTGATCGTATGGTCAATAAAGGCCTCATCGTATTTACCAGGTCCAGCGTGTTCAAGAGCTTCCCAGGTGAAAACGTATCGAATGACGTTGTAGCCCCATCTCTTTAACCTTGCAAAGTGCACATGTGCCTCTTCTTCCGTGAAGGGTCGTCCGACAAATGAAACATTTTCGGCATCAAAAAAGCCTTTGGGTTCATGGGAAGGTTGGTCCGGATGGCGAGGGAATTTGCAGTCCCCAGCAACATTTATGCCCCGGAAGGTGACCTCCCGGTTCTCAGCGTCCCTCAGTCTAATCCCATCGATCTGGAGACCTGAGGGAGCCATTCGAGAATGGGAGATGCAGAGGCTCCCTGCGGGAGCAGGCGGCAAGAAAGGAGGAAGAGAATATTACGGGGTTTCGAGTTGGAGAAGGAGGCCGACCAACGGGAGACAAGGAGTCGACCACCAAAGCTTCTAGACAGAATTCCTATAGGCTTCAATGCTCAGGAAGAAAGTAGATTTCTAGTTGGCGAGAGAGAGGTGGTGTCGAGGATGGATGCAAACAACTTTTGCCGATGCTGCACTTGGCTGCCGAATGCTCTGCCGTCAAGGCTGCGACCGGCATTTTCCTTATTTGGATTTGATATTCGACATTTGCCTCACGTCAACTCGTGAACGGCAAAACAAACACGCCGTATTTGTGAAGATGAGGCAGATACGAATATACATTGACACTTGAGAGACATTCCGAGCAGCAGAATTACGGGACTGGCGCATTTGGTGCCGAGCAATGTTACCGTTGTTGGAGCCCTTTCCATTTGGCGGACCTCCTTCACTTTGCATGCACTCGCATCTCTCCTTGACCATTGGGATCTTTTCAGCGCAGGCCCTGGCTGTGGATTTCTGTCTTGCCATTGATGGCATCCTCGAAGGCGGCCCTAAAGGCCATCAAGGTCTCTTTGGACGGTGGCCACTTCGCAAAGGCCGCTGACCAGGCCGAAGATCTTCTCAAACAAGATGACAAAATTCATACAGCCTTGCTCTTCCTTGGATTTGCCAGAGAGAAGCTAGGAGATCTCGAAGCTGCAGAAAAAGCCATCCTCAAAGCTGCAGAATTCAAACCTCAAGATGTCCAGTCACTCAAAGGGTTGATTTCGTTGTATGAAAAACAAGGCAGTGCCAAAGTGGACCAGTATCACGATGCAGCATTCAAATTAGCAGAGATCTTTGCGCAGCAGGAAGACCGCGTACAATGCCAAAGTGTCATTGACAAGTATGAGCTGTTTGCAAGGAAGCATGGAAGCCGTAAACAATATCGACGAGCACTGGAGCTAATACTACCAACATCAAGCCTTTATCCAACACTCGAAGGCCGTGTTATGCCACCAAACTTGGCATATCAGCGTATTCTTGAGTCGGCCGAAGCAGAAGAGAAAGGGTGGGTCAATACACAAATTGGCGAAAGACGAACGATGTTGGGAGCTAAATTCGAACAAGTAACTCGTCAAGTCAAGGCCGAGGCAATCACTAAATTCCAGATTGAGGAAAAGTATGCCACGCTCATTGAATGGACTCGAGATGATGATTTGCGACACGATCTCGAACAGAAACTATTTCAACGCATGTACGACAACTTGCTTGTTATGCCTCAGGAGGCCAAGCCTGCTCAACGGGACAAAATCTTGAATGTCGCCAATGGCATGGTCATCATCAAACAGCCATTCCCTCCGGCTTGGAAGACTGCATTGGAATGGGTCGATGCTGAAGACCTTCAGGAATGGGATGTCAATATACTCCGAGAATATATCGGCTTTTTCCCCGACGATGGATTAAGCAAGGTCCTTCGCGCTTTTCTTGACAGTGATTGTTCCCCATTTCCTCATGTCCCCGCCGGGGAGAACAAAGACGACGAGACTGCTGCGAAATTCAGTGAAGCGGAGCAACTCGTCGTCATGAGTGAAGGGCTTGATGACTGTCCGGAATCAGTGCTTGCTCATCGGATCATGGCTTATACGTATCTCCACATGGAAGAGTGGGAAAGCTGTGCCGAGGTCGCTCGAAAAGCGCAGGCTTTGTACAAGGAGGCGGAGGGCCGGTACGCAGTCAAACTGCAAAACAGCATTGACGGAGTCAACCTCATCCTCGCGAAAGCTCTGATTACCTTTCAATCTCCACGACATCATCCTGAAGCGAAAGACCTGTACCAAGAGATTCTTCGACGGAAACCAAAGCTCACGGCAGCATTGCTCGGCGTCGGATTGATTTTCGAAGAGGACGAAGATTATGCAGAAGCCGTCAAATTCCTGGCCCAATCCGCAGAACGCGATCCTGATAATATCCGTATCAAGCTCGAACTTGCTTGGTGCCGGGCTCAAAATGGCGAACTCCACGAGGGTCTTCATGACCTGCAAGAAATACTCTCGTCCATCGAATCAGGAAAGCACCCGAATTTGGTCATGAAATCAGTCACGCTTTATCGCATCGCGTCTTGTCAGTGGCACGTCAACACATCTGCGGTTGCAAGAAAAGACAAGAACGGTCCTTATCAATATCTCATCGCTTCAGTCAAGGCGAATCCCAGTTATGCTCCGGCCTACACTCTGCTTGGAATCTACTTTCAGGACTATGGCAAGAGCAAGCAACGAGCACGGGTGGCCTTCCAAAAGGCGTTCGAACTGTCGACTTCCGAGCTCGAGGCCGCTCATCGACTGTCCAAAATCTTTGCAGACAGCGCGGAATGGGATCTTGTCGAATTGGTCGCGCAACGAGTCGTGGCGTCGGGGAAAGCAAAACCTGCACCGGGGTCCAAGAAGAAGGCATATAGCTGGCCGTATTCCGCGCTAGGAGTGGTCCAGATGAACAAGCAACAGTATTCGCAGAGCATTGTGTCCTTTCAGGCCGCGTTGAGAATTACTCCAGACGACTATTACGCCTGGGTTGGTCTGGGAGAGAGCTATCACAATGCTGGTCGTCACGTAGCTGCGACACGAGCCTTCGCCAAAGCCGAGAGTATCGACCACGGTCTATCACCAGAAGAGACTTGGTTTGCAAAGTACATGCTTGCCAACGTTCAGCGTGAAATGGGTTCCTTCGACGAAGCCATCGGAGCCTACAACGATGTCCTTGAACTGAAACCCCGAGAGTTTGGAGTTCTTATTGCACTGCTTCAGACGATATCGGAAAGTGCTTGGGCAAAGGTGGCTCTCGGCATGTTCGGAGAGGCGGTCAGGCTTGCAACACATGCCATTGAAGTAGCGAGACAGATCACTCAGGGAAGAACCAATTTTTTCAATCTATGGAAATCGGTCGGTGATGCCTGTTCTGTGCTCGGACAGGTGAAGCTATATGCCGGCGCCGTAGACATTCAAACAATAATATCCTTGCTGCGGACTTCTCTCGTGGACGAGTTTGGCATTCTCGCCGACGTCGATAAAGTCAATATTGACCTGCTGATGATTGCCGATGTTGAAGGAGACAGGGAAGCGAATACGCCTTCTTCGAAATTGCCTGACAAATGTCTACTCGCCGCGATCCTCGCTCACAAACGAGCCATCCATGTATCCTCGACTGACCAGCACGCCCAAGCCGTGTCATGGTACAACCTCGGCTGGGCTGAATATCAAGCATACATTTCTGGAGATCGGTTATCGAAGCTTGACGGAGGAAAGAAACCTCCTCGAAGATTCCTCAAAGCAAGCATGAAATGCTTCAAACGAGCAATCGAACTAGAGGCCGGCAATTCTGAATTTTGGAACGCGCTCGGAGTGGTGACGATGACGCTCAGTCCAAGGGTTTCTCAGCACTCCTTCGTCCGCAGCTTGTACCTGAATGATCATAGCGCGAGGACGTGGACAGACCTAGGAGTGCTCTACCTAGTCAACAACGACAATCAACTGGCGAATCAGGCTTTCACACGAGCTCAATCGGAAGATCCAGAATACGCGGAAGCATGGATCGGACAAGGAATCCTAGCAACATTATTTGGAAGCCTTCATGAAGCCAGAGGACTATTCATGCATGCCTTTGAAATAGCAGATTCTTCTCTATTGCCGGCAAAACGCTACTACGCAGTATCGGCATTTGACCACATCCTCAAAGATCCTTCACGGTCTTTAGAAGTTAGTGCTCTTCTCCAACCACTTTTTGCCATGCGTCAATACCATGCCCAGCATCCATGCGACATGATAGCAACACATTTGATGGCGCTGTTCGCGGAGCGTACTGGTGATTATTCGACAAGTGTTGAAGCTCTTGGAAAAGTCTGTGACGCAGCTGAAGCCGAATATGAGAAATCAGAATCAGACAAATATCGAGTCCGATTTGCGCAGGCAAAGGCGGATCTAGCTCGTGCACAGCTTGCGATCGGCAATTTTGTTGAAGCTCTGTCGAATGCAGAGCTGGCCATTGATTTATCAGGTGATGAGGGTGAATTGGGCCCAGCATATGCAGAGATTCGACAAAGATGGCGACTTTCCGCTCATATCACTGCGGGTCTTGCACATAGTCATCTCCATCAAATCGAAAACGCAATCAAAAAGTTTGAGGTGGCACTTCAGGAATCCGATGGGGAACCAGATGTCGTCTGCATGCTCGCGCCAGTTCTATGGGCGAAGGGTGGGACGGCAGAGAAGGAAGCAGCACGATCACAACTCTTTAATGTGATTGAAAGGTGTCCAGACCATGTACAAGCTGTCGCTCTCCTGGCAGTTACCGGATTATTGGATGAGAACGAAGAAGTCATCGAAGCGGTCGAGGAGGATCTGAAAGCTTTGAGACGAGACGATGAAACAGGAGTCCTGGACAAAATTAAAGTCACCAAGGTCCTGGCTGGGGTCGTCGGATGCAAACCCCAAAATTCTTCGCAGAATGGGAATTTGGATCAAACCGCCGTGATTGCAGATGCTCTTACTGGGATCATGCTAGCACCGGGGCAACCGCAGGGTTGGCTTGAACTTGCGCAGCTCACCGCACCGGATGAAGTTAGGGGCTCCTATGCGGCGGAAATGGCGGTTCTCAATGCAAATAGACAAATTCCTCCCGGTGGGGATCTGACCGCAGATGACCTGGCCAAAGCGTGCGAAGGAACTGGGATGCAGGAGGACTTTCTTAGGGCGAAGATGCTCGCGCCGTGGAGGTCCAACGTGGTTTCTGGGGCTTCGTGACGAAGAGTTTGTGGACGCTGATTGCTGGATTCTGGCGTGATGTGCCATGCTGGCGACGACTAGGAATGAACTGACCCTTTTACCAGGCTAGATGAAAGCAAAAGGGGCGACTTGGGTCCATGTGCCTCGAAACCAGACTTCGATGATTGCTTCATTCGTTTCAGTCGCTCGTCATCCTTCCTGTCCCTGTCCACCATCAGAGGCATTGGTAGCATTTTCTTCGTTCACGAGTGCTATCAAGCGCTGCTTTCGCATTTCCTTCCATTTTTTATCCCACGCCTCAACTTTCCCACCCATCACCACGCAATCTTCCGGCCGCAACATGACCATTCCTCTCCGAACCACCGTCCCCGGGTGCAAGAGCAGTTTGCAGCCTATGGACATGCCTGAGTCGACCGACATGCTTGAAGTGGCCGGTGTGGGTGTTTGATTCTGGGAAACGGGAACGGATGCAGATGCTGCAATGGATAGAGCAAGACGCGGGATCTTGACGAGTTCAAACGCAAGGGCTTTGGTTCCCCGTGCATCCTGAACAAGCAGCTTGTGCGGTCCTGAACTTAATTTGTTGCTCGCGTTCGTGTGAGCGTTTGTAGATGTAGAGGTATGCGACGCCGTGCTGTTTGGGTTTGTGCCTGTTTGCCTAGTTGCTGCGCCAGTATTTGCATCGCCGTCCTCATCGTCCGTCATTACATCAACTGTCCGGATGACCTCTCGGCCACGCACTTCCTCTCCGCGCTCGATGCGCTCAATCGCCTCGACTTGACTCCACTTACTACTTCCAACATCGATGACATCGAGGACCTGTACGATGACAGTGCCTTCGAGCCGGCGTTCCTTGATGTTCACATCCGCGACGTTCTCGGGAAAAGCATCCGCCGCGCTTCGAGGCAACAGAGACGCCGTGATATCGCTAGCTAGAATGCGGAAATGGGCCGTGGACACCAGCGCGGGGAGGGGGGTTAGATTCTGGCCTCGTGACGAGAGGGACGAGCTCAACCATTGCACGTTGACGGGAAGATGGTGGCGGGTTTGCAGTGTGGAGGAAACTTGGTCGTGGAGAGGGTGGAGAGGCGTCATTGTGCACAATAGATCAGTCCAAATTTGGCCTTTTCCGTTTTTAGTCTTGCTGGTGTACGCGACTCCCTTATTCCCTCTCCTTTCTCAACTTGGAGTGACTTCGCAGGAATTGCAAGTTGATTAGACTCATGCCATACTGTTAATACAGGATGGTGCGCCTGGGATAAACTCTCGCGAACTATAGCAGGTGCAAGTGGTCCGGAATAAGTGATATGCAGCGATTCCTACTTGGCTGTCGCAGTATAGACAAATGAGTGTCCTATAGGGCTGTTGAGGGTGAAATGTGGCTGGCACAAGGTTATTGTTGAAGGACTGCGATGAAGTTGTCGTCGGAGAAACATCGGCCCACAAGGCTGGTGATGCAAGGCTGATGAGTACCTGAACTTCAGTCCTTCATACAACTTCTCCCGCACCATGCCTCGCGTCATGTAGTCAGGTACCTCCTCACCATATATTCTCAACATGGCTACCATTACCTCTCCCCGGAGTGAATCTCCGGCAATTTCTATCCATCGAGTCACCTCGCCCTCTACCCCCGGCGCCAACGATACACCCTCATCCTCCGTTCGACCCTCTATCGAAATCCCCAGGAACAATGCTTCTTCTCCCGCCCTCCAACAAAATGTTATACCTGCACCCACCACGACGCAGCGTCGTAACCGCGCCGCCTTGCGTGATTACTATAATCTCAAATCTAGAGCCCCCTCCGGCGCATCTCAGGACCTAAATATAAGTCGGACAGCGAGTATTGCGTCCAACGCGTCTGACTCTACAATTACGTCCTCCGCCCCTGTACCGGAACCTTCGTCCTTAACAACCCAAATGGATCACCCCACTTTTGACGCCAAAGCTTACGTGTCCGAATTGCTGAAAACCGCCAGCCTACGTGACATTCTGAGAACAGAGGGTGTGCTAGTCAGCGAGATCAGAAACCTTGACGGTGAGAGGAAAGCATTGGTATACGACAACTACAGCAAATTGATCAAGGCCGTGGAGACCATTGCGGAGGTGCAGAAGGGCATGCACAAGAAAGGGGCAGATCGGTCCAGTGTGCTAGGAAGAGAGAGGGAACCGAGCCCCGGATTCGATGGCGTGCAGAAGCTAGAAGAAAAGCTGGACGGATTGTTGAAGGTGGTCAAGGAATTGAATCCGGCCGAGCGAGAAGGGATGAAACAATCGATAGAGGTGAGGGAAAAGAGGAGGCAAAAAGAGACCGTTCAGTGGGCACTAGACGCACCGTCTCGATTGCAGAACATGATTGCCCAAGGTCGAAGGGATGCTGCCATGAAGGAGTATAAGTCCGTTATTGGTCTGTTGGATCAGTGGAAAGGTGTTGGTGGTGTTAACGAATTACGCGCGAAATGTGAGAATACTATGGAGTCTCCTGACCACGAGGCGAAAGACGCCGAGGACTGAGTATGAGCCGAGCTGGTCACTTCTGGATGACCACATTCGTCGACATCAATATCCCAACCCAAATGCCCAAATACGTCCCTTGATCAGCCAAGGCGTAAGCTTGCCAGAGAGGCAAGGTCAGCTTGTTTCAAGATCTCTTGAGGTATTTCGAACTACTTGGCGAGATCTTGTCATCGCCTTCCAACGATGTTTCTCCCGTGGATAAGAGAATGGCAGACTTGGTACAGCACCCTGTGGGAAAACCCCCCACAAAAACTCGACATAATTGGAACTCAACCTTAACAGTCAAAGGTGAACATTCTGCGGAAGCGACGATGTCAATGCTAATCCGGCATTCTCCATCGACATCTCTATGCGATGGCATTGCCTCGTTGATGTGACAGCTTGGCTCAATCCAACCGAATCTCCCCGATTATGAAGGCTATCCACTTCAGGACTCTTCAGAACACGAATCCCTCCTCCACAGCTGGACGTGGATCAGCAAAGACATCACTATTTCCAATCCGCGCATGCCGCAAATTGCTCCTAAACAAATTACGCTCATCAGCATATTCTTGCTCTCGAAGTAAGAGATATAAGAATGCCCGAACGAAATCACCAAGCTTCCTCGCTGTCTCAAAGGATCAGAGGAGACACAGGTTTCAAACATCTTCAGTTCGAATCGTACCAGCCAATAGCGACTTAACTATTCCGTTCCTCCGTGCATCTTTCCTCATATCATCGCCATCACCGTCATCCTCCGGGTATTGAGGAGTATCGAGATCAAATCCATCAACAGAAAAAGGGGGATTTGGAAAAACGTGCGAAAATCGATCGTATGTGATAAGTCAACAACAGGGGGAATAAAAAGATCCGCCTAGCACGGCCTGACCCAGGCCTAACCCTTTCTACCCTGTGGCACCCCCGGTTCTTGAGAGATAGAAGATATCCCTCTTCCTATTTCTATGCGTCGTTCCTTTCCAGTCACGCCGCTCTCGCTCACTTCTCCGTCCGGAGTTCTTTCAGTAAGGACTATTCACGATCTCATCTTTCAAATGGCTCTGCCTTCCACTCCGTCTCGGCGCCGCCAATGCCCCTGCACTAATTCTGGCCCCTGGCCCTGCAATACTTTCTCTCGTGGGTTTCTTGAAAGTCCTCCGGCTGACCATGTCGACCTCATTTGGCAGCGCTAGGATGACATTCTTATCCGAGCCGAACTCAAAGTTATCCGCCATCACCTGGGCACTATAACGCTTGATCTGGTAAGGGTCTTTGCTTCCGGCGAGAACCTTCTTGAGGCTCCAGGTCACGAGGAATGGGCCTGTTGAAGTAATGATGCTGGTCTCCGTGCTATCTGGTCCTGTGTTGAATTTGGCGGGGGTGAATGACAACGGGGCGCGCGTTTCGTGCTGGAATTGAGCCACGTGACTGGGTGTCAGGCCAAGACGACGAGGCTGAGGCTTGCTGTCCTTAGCAAAGGATCTCTCGAAACCCAATTTGCCTTCGTTCTTGCCCTCCTTTTGAAGAGCGTCAATGAGGAGAAGGTATGTACGACATGTTGCAAGAATCCATCGACCATCGGCGCTGACATCGAGGCCGATAATAGATTCACCCAGGGCGGGAATGTGGGTTTTGGCGTTGACCCCGAGGCGATCAAAGAGACGGACATCACCTTTATTTGATGCAACCGCGATGTGGCCTTTTTCTGTGGTCGCTGCAGCAGAGAAGTCGTTCTTGGACACGTACTGTTTCAATTGACTTTCCACGAGTTTGTTGCCAGCAACGCGAGGATCGATCCGGAAGAGGGCGTTCCTGCTGTGGCCAATGAAAGGCTGCGCAGACGTCTGCTGGGCAAATTTGGTTTCGGGGGCAAAGTTCGTCACTGGGATATCATCATGGATCTTCCACTCATCCACAACTTTACCATATTCCAGGTCCATGCGATATAGGGAGTTCGGATTGCCGCTGTCCTGAAGAACCATGTTCTGATCTTCTGAATGCAGCATGACCTTGGTCGGCTGGAACAATCGTCCCTTTGGAGTCTCAACTTTGGAGATATTTGTTGTGAATTCGAGATGGCGGTTTGGGAGATGTTTGAAAACGCCAATCTTAGAGCCACGAACAACAAATGACCGATCATGTTTAGTTCCAACAGCCAATTGTGAATTAACGTTGCCGTCTCTGTTGTCCAGCTCAACATCATTCTCCGATTCGTCTTCATCGTATTGTTCACCGCCCTCACTCTCTTCCTCGTTTTCTTCTTCTTCTTCGAGTAACTCTTCCTCTGCTTCTGGAGCATCACCCAATGTCATATCATTGAATGCTTCGATTACATATTCGCGGTCTTGATCTTTGACCTTTGCCCATTTCATCTCATTCAGTTGCTCCCACAATGCTTGCATGATACCTTCTTGAAATTGTTCCAGGATCGATTGGTCACGAACTCGTAGCAACCAAGAGTAGGCTGATCCATCATCGGTGTAATGATTGAAGATGGCCGATAGATATTCGAAGTTGAAGACGGGGTTGATATCAGCGACAACCTCTTGACCAAGCCATTCTCGCCCATCAGAACTCGATATTTGCAGCCAGTATCGCCAATTACCTAAATCGGTGACGACCGCCACCACAGATGGATCCTGAAGAATGAATGTGCCTGATTGGAAATCGAAGAGATGTAGTTCCGCAGATTGCTTTGTAAGGACCTCCCCAGAGCTAGGGGCTGTTTTCGCGACTGGTGGTTCTGTGGGACCTGTCGTAATGTCCCTCGCTTGGGAACCATTCGCTTTCTTGGGAGATTTGACGTCTTTCGCCATCCGCTCGGCTGATTCCCTAGAGGTAGGCATTGGGTCGATCGGGGCAGAAATCGAGCTTGCAGCTGGAATGGAGTCCTCGTCGTGAAAGTTGAATTCCTGAAGTTCGGCTTCAGTCGCTTTATGTGCAGACTTGCGGTATTTTCTTTCGAATTGGCAGTCTATAGCTGCGAGGATAAAGGTGTGAATCTTTTCTTCTTGAACCGAAGCGTCACAAACAAACTCGTAAACGTCTCCGGGATCCCCACTCAAATCACGCCAGGCAAGAACTGATTCACCACCAGATCTCTTTTCAGACCTGAAGTGCAGACTCTGATCGAGAAGGAAGGTTTTCTCGTCCTTATCGAGACTTTCAGTGGCGTCGTCTTCGTCATCTGCGAGCTCTTCCTCTCCCTCCTCATACGCACGCTGAACGACCAGCTGATATTGAAACTCTTGCCCGGTTCGTCTTATGGTGGTGACGGCGTCTTTGTAGATGAGTTCGGAATAGCCTTTGGGCGAGAGAGGGCGGACGAGGTAAAGTTGACCCTGAGGGATTTCGGTGATGACCTCTTTGGACGCGTCTCCGAAGAGATACTTGCTGACTGGAAGCAAAGCAATACAGATCAATGGAGGATTCGGGTTGATTAATGAGGGGGGAGGAGAAGTGGAAGGGGGTTTGTGGGCTGTGATTTGAGGGTACATACCATTTTTGATCATAAACATTGTGGCGGGGTACTGCCGCTAAGCTGCGTCAAAGCGAGCACACCTCACAGAATCAAGGTACCTCAAAGAAGAGATCTCGGATAGTTGTCAACAGAAGAAATTTAGAGTACAATCATGAGGCTGCAGACACTGAAGTGATGTGCTTAATCTTGCTGGACAGAATGGTGTTGGTTATTGGTATTGGACTTGGGTTCCATGTTTGCTTTTGAAATGGAGGCGCAGGCAGAGAAAACAAGACCCGTTTCGGCCATGACGCAACGGGCGCCTGGATTTGGAAAACAGGCTGGCCTGATTAGGCTCAAACATCAGGATTCTCTGCCTAAGGCTCCAATTAAGCCATTCGCTGGTTTAAACTTTGAGTGCCAGGTACACCTCAAGTTTAGCCTGACGCTCCCTTTCTACCGCAAGCTGCGAGGCTGAAACATCTCTCACGTTTTTTCTCCGCCTGCGCCATCGCCTGCGCTTCCCAATCGGATTTAAAAAAACAAAATTCAAGAACACATCGTCACCAAAGTCTCCTGACCAAAGTCAACCCCCCTCCCTCTGGTGTCTTACTTCCCATCAACATCGACAGCCAAATCTTGTTCCACATCTCTCTCTTATGGCCTCAAAGGAAGATTCAGATAGGCGAGATTCGATACAGCGTCACAACTCACGCCCGACATTGGCAGACAATCCATACAATCCCAATTCAGCGGCCTACCTAGCCTACCCCGTCAAGCATGTCGTATCGAGCCTCTATCGTCGCATGACAGAGCCTCCTGAACATCCGGTTGGCAGACTTCTCGACGCTCCGGCCGTCCCGTCGTCATCGTCAGGTGTCTATACCCCTCCGAGAAGAACTCAGTCTCCCTTTCAGCCGCCTCCACTCACCCCTCTTGAGTTGAGGCATTCCTTGTCACCCAGTGCCGCAGAGTCGCTCCTCCTGACCCGGTCGCTTGCTGAAGAGATTCGACTGCTGATCCCTCCACGACTCCAACTCATTGATCACTGGAAACTGGCATACTCATTAGAGGCTCATGGCTCCTCGTTGGCCACTCTTTACGAGCATTGTGCCCATGTCTCTACATACACTCAACGCTCGGGCTATGTGCTGGTAGTGAAAGATAGCTCTACGGCCTCCGCCAGTGGCTCCGTGTTTGGTGCATACCTCTCAGATTCACCTAAACCTTCTCTGCACTACTTTGGCACGGGGGAATGTTTTCTGTGGCGTGCCAGCATTCTGCCCACCCTGAGAGACCTATCAGCAAGTTTGGACAGCAACCCACACTCTCACTCTGAAGATCTCCTTGAATTGGCGGGACTACCTCCTCCCCCAAGCGCCGACACGACGAATCTTCAACGAGTGACTACAGTTCGTGGCGAGCGTCGCACCCCTTCAACATCTACCGACACATTGCCACCCCCTGTGTCAGTGACCAAAGAATCAACACCACATTTACAACCGCCACCGAATCGTTCGGGCACCTCCACTCCGGATCGCATACGGTTCAAAGCATTTCCGTACAGTGGAGTCAATGACTTCTTGATTTACTGCGAATCCAGTTATCTATCCATTGGGGGTGGTGACGGTCACTACGGTCTATGGCTGGATGATGAGCTGAACAACGGTGTCAGTGAGACATGCCCTACGTTCGGGAACGAGCCCCTAAGTGATGAGGGACGAAAATTCGAAATCTTGGGAGTTGAAGTATGGTATGTGGGTGCTTGATCAGATCTAATCATGGTCAGAATTTCGACTTGAGATACCCCCTGATGGATCAAAATGGAAAATGGACACCACCCACCCCACACACTCTCAAATTAAAAAAAAAGAGAAGAGAGAAAAGAGAAGAGAAAAAGGAAAAAAGAAATAAAAAAAAGTTTATTCACTTTGACGACTTGGCCATGGAATACGATCAAGTCCTTTATCGAATGACTCGGCAATCAAGGCCAATTGCAAAATTACGCCTTTTTAACTTTCTCGGTGAGCAAAGGTTGCCAAACAGGGCAATAGTGACCAGAACAGAGTATAACGACGATGCAGCCATGATTCAAGAGCTAGCCTTGCTCATAGCCAGGTCCGGCGGAACAGTCATTGCTCAGCGAGCTTCTGGACTTGCGACGGTTTGACTTGCATTAAACCCACGGGAAGCGGCCGATTTGCAAATACGTTTCATGCAAGCAGGTAAGGTCGCAGAAGGACTCTGCGAGATGGATTGATCAACGTTTGTTGAATCAGCATGCCTGTCTTTTGGGAGATGTATTTTCGGGCAATACATCTCATCTCTCTGCTTTAGGGAGGGCTGGAGATGATCGAGGCGGTTGTTTGCTTGCTTCAAGCAACTTGCAAGGCGTGGGGTAGGACGGAGATTCGGAACGGGCCCTAATTCGTCCCATCTCTAGAGAACAGATGGATGATCCATTTGACACCCATTGCCGACGGGATGTAGGGTTGAGAGAGACTGAAAGAGTTCGGCGACCGAAAGTGTCGTCAAAGAGGTGACTCGGTCCCAGCTCTAACTTGGCCAATTCTGTTGAACCTTTCTTTTGCGCAAAGTATCAGACCTGCAGAGGTAGAAGGGCTCCAAAAAGTCAACCCTGGGTATCACCAAGCTGTGGAATGAGTGGATGAATGGTTGGGTGTTGGACGGCTATGGCTGCATGAAACATTCTTTATGATGAACCACGACGTCATCAGGCAGGCCTACAAAACTCGGGGCCGTCTAGATGGCGTGGGAGCATGAACAGATGTATATCAGGATGCGTCGACTCTAAGGGAAGCAAGCTTCGCATGCGTGCTCTGCGGATTGGATGGGGGCAAGACTGTAAAGAGGCTCTATTGATCCTGCGAAGGGATCAGTCACGGGTTGCGCCAAACACGTGCTCCTTCTGGATCGAGTTGTAGCCGGGGAAGGGTATTGCTGTTTTGAGCAAATGCGATAGCAGCGAGGGACAGCCCTCAAGTTTCAGGTTGGGGGGGAATTGAAAAAAGTAGACGAGATTTAACAGGTTAGTCATGATCACCCAAGCCCCCTACTGCGCTACCGTCAGCAAACACGATCCGGTTTCCGACCGGACGAAGAACAAAATGCCGTCCGGTAAGATTCCGACCGATTTGATTTTGGGTTTTTCTTTGCAATACGCACTCTTTTTGCGTATTATTGATAATCCAAGCCAAGGTGCTGCATAACGCTGCATAAGGCAAGCTAAAGACCAGCCCAGGTCCTCACCAGCCTCCTTAGCCCACGGTTAGTGGACAGACCCCGAGTAATGCTGCACACGTTCTCGACGGGAACAAAGAGATACCGAGCTGGGTGGCGTCGAGTGGAGAGGAGCACGCTGGCATGAGATGAAGAGCGGGGTTTTCCAGATCAGGGAGGGGGTTAGAGGGGCGCACGCGTATGAATGAAGATTATCGAGTATATGACCACCGAGAGATAGAGAATGTCCAGGCAAGCGGCATGGTAGGTACGGAGGCAAAGAGGCGGATTGAGGGAGTTATTGTAGGCACGGCTAGTTGCGATCTGTAATGTGTGGGAGAGACCGTATGACATCAATACCTGAACAGCAAATACCGTATCAGTCACAGAAAATAATATACCCTAGTAACAGAGTCCAAACCCCGCTGTTTTTGTGTCTGCGTCTTTTTCAGGCTCTCCGCCTAGTAGGTCATTCTCGTCATCTCGCAACGTCCCATAGTGGCAGAAAGGTGCACCCGTGCGATACTATCTACAGTGTGTGCTAAGCAATACTACTCCGAGGAGTCGTTTAACCATCATGAAATTCTTCCGGAACGAGAGCAAAAATACTAATCGCAAGCAGTATGCAAATGCTACTGTTGATCCCAGTCCAGAGGACAATCATCTTTGTGTTCATAGCCTCGCTGCTTCGCACATTTGTCGCCTTTCGGCGTAGCAGCTGGGCATGTCTTGTTGCCGAATCCCCGATAGTTAGTTTCTAGTTTGAATTGCGAGGGTCGGACCAGGCACAATGGATGGAGACTCGCCGACATCGATGGCGATGGCGATGGCGATGGTATCGGGTTCCTGTAAAGGGTACGATGCTAAAATTTCGCTCTAACAGAAAAGGAAAAAAAAGAAAACTAAATCCATGTCCATCGGGGTCCCATGTCATGACGCCTACAAAGTCAACTTCCATCATGTCATCACCCTCTGGGCTGGTCTGTTTCCCCCCCTGCTAATGTTAGCTTCAGTGGAACCCCTACCTTACACACCCTTGCCCCCCCCGGTCATGCATCTCTCGCCGCGTTGCCAGCGCCTTACCAAATGATGCCTCATGCTCGTCCCAGGCTCCACTGTTGCTGCTGCTACTATCTTACTAACCCAGCTCCTGCTAACGATATAAGGCCTCATGGCCTCGACGCCTTTCCTCCCACACGGTGTGCACACCCTCCTCCCTAATCTGATTCTTGTTCACCGGCCGACTGACTCGCCCTCGTCCTATTCCTTGGTCCTGAACAAGTCTTACCTCTCGCGTGATACCGTACTATTCGGACCTTGTGCTCTATACTCGTCTTAGGCGAACATTGCCGTACGGCCATCGCGGGTCCGGAGGCATACATCCCACTATATTTTGATCCCTTGAGCGATGGGCGCTACCATCATGACTCCTCCAATGGAACCTTCATCCCCTTTAGACGGCGGTATTCGAAAACGAGTTTGCAAGGCGTGCGACAGATGCCGTCTAAAGAAATCCAAGGTCAGTCATTTGGCGGCCTCTATACGGGGTCTTTTCGCGATATCTCTGCTGACATCCTCCAGTGTGACGGTGCCAGCCCTTGCAGTCGGTGCAAGGCAGATAATGCCATCTGTGTCTTTGGAGAGCGCAAGAAGTCACACGACAAGGTCTATCCCAAGGGGTAAGTCGCCGCCACGGTCTCCGGCATATCCTCCCCGCCGTCCTGACTCGCCTGGCTACAGTTACGTGGAGATGCTCGAGAGCCAACAGGCACAGCTTGTAGCCGGTCTACAAGAATTGTACAAGCGAACGCAAAATGGCCAAGGGTGGATTGGCTCGCCCTTGAAGGAAACCAACCACGGCATGCCTTTGACCCACGACATCCTTGAAAGATTGGGAGCCTTGAAGCAAGAGGGCCATGCTACAAACGACGTGTTCGAGGAGGACCTGACAGTCTTGCAGCAGAAGTTGATCGCTGATGGCGCCGGCTTCATGCAACGGCAACCTTCGCACGATTCACACTCGGACAGCAGCGCTCCTTCACCTATCTATGAGCCCGTCGCCCAGAGACCCAACTTCACCAACCCATTCACCCTCAAACAATTCCCTCCGACTCCTCCCAACCAGAGCCCATATCCCCAAAATGTCCGGGCGATCCCCCCCGCGAAGTCTCAAACTTACCCTCACGACCAGTCGAATCTGAGCTGGAACACCCCTGCTTCAGAGTTTGACGACAGTATGGATTTCATCAACCAATTCGAATCCCCCATGATGGACTCCTCGGTCGATATGAACGTCTTCGCCACGAGCATGTTTCAAGATCAGATCGTTCCCGCAGCCATCAACCCGTGTCTGACGATGAAGGATTGGGCCGGTCAGGAAGATCTCCAACGATATTTCAACCCAGCAATGATATAATTGGGTGGCATGGGATCATGATTTACTTGATGAACTATTTTGTATTGCATCCAAAAGCGGGCGGACGGCAGTTTGGGGGGACTATATTTGTCCCGGCACTGGAAGCGGGGATTCGGAAATGGGCTCTGGGACACACGAGGCTAGCTGCGTGTGAGAGAAAGATTCCCACTGCAACTTTGTAGCGGGGGCTTCTGTTTTGTATTTGGGCAAACTTGACGTCCTACTCGGCGTACTGAAGGAGTGCTGAGTTTCCTGCTGGTGGGCGGGCTAGCTTCCCACAAAGCGCCGCGTTGAAGGAGAATGGCGCAATCCGAGGGAATGCATTGGGTCTGGGAGAAGACGTTCACAGCAATCGGTTGGCAAGTGAGATTGGGGAAACGCGGGCTGGCATGCTCTGCGTACATCTCACCATGAAGGCTTTTTACATACGCTATACGATACCTAATGCTGCACGGCGGGAAATCGTCCCACGTGGGTACGGATAATGGATGAAAGGCTACACATCCCAAAGGACAAAAGGTTGTGCAAGTCAGGTTTCGAAACCGTCACCACCATGAAATATGTCCACAATTCTTCTCGATACACAAGTGACCATGGTGAATGTAAATCACGCTTTGCTGCATATACTTTCTCCTTCCTACTTGACCAAGTTACTCATGCAAGCCCCATAAGCAGATAACAGCGCCTTCTGAGTTCCCAACTAGAGCCAGTTTCTGTCATGGGAAAGTCATGGACCTTCTGTTACTCAGAAACCTACTTCGACGCAACGATTGACATCACAAAAACTCTATTTGGTGGTCAATGCCATTACTCTTTGCGATCGCCATGCCGAGTCTGTAACAGCATTCATTCTGCACCCACACATTATTCGTTCTGTCGCTGAAATGGAAAGCTACACAGAATCTGTACAACTGACTGATCAACAGCTCCTGGAAGGTGTGCACCGTTTTACTCAAGGAGAGTGATTTCCCGACACGGATGTGCTGGTTAGCAAGCATGCAAAGCAACGGGTTCAGTAAGCGTCAAAAAGATCCAGGATCAGTCCAGACTCCATGCCTGTCGTCAGTGCCATTGACAGAGCTACTTAAGTAGTAAGGGAGGGGGTTTTTTTCTCAACAGAATTTGCAGTTGCAATACGAAGGATAAGGCCTGGTGGCGTTGACTTATTTCCTGCCCCTGTCAACGGAAGTACCTACATCCACTTTCTCCTCGTCGCCATGGAATTTGGAATCTCCATTTTTGAGACGGTGAGACAACGAAGGATTTTGCCTTCTTCATCACATCATTGTTACTCTGATGCAGCATTTCCACAATTCTGCTTGATATATGTATATATGTATACATCATAATTGTGCCTTATCGACAGGACAAAGTCGCCCCCAAGGTACCGTCGTTCCGGAGAAGCATTCGCACCCAGTAGAAGGTTCGGACAACGCATATCGGACGTCCACACGTCGACTCAGAAGAGTGCCGCGTGCAGTGCAGCGACAGTCTTCTCAGCCACCACCGCCACCATGAATACACACCTAGTTAGTGAAGTGGCCCGTGAGAGCCTTGCGGCATACTGTACCAACTTCATCTCATGCCTTGATTCAGTCCCTTATCCATATTCCTTGAGGTGAAAATTGAATGCCATCTTTGAATGTTTTGTTTGGGAACACGCATTCTCCGCACCTGGAACGTCCATCGCGCCATTCGAATTCAGCCGAAGGCCATGGCCAATTCAAAGGCGGTGGTCCGGATAAATGACCACCGGTCTTTGGTTGGTTAGGGAGCCAACGTCCACCGGGCCAATATCCAAAGCCTGACGTTTCCTGAAGAAAGACTTCAGATTCCAAAATTCATCCAAAGAGAAAGTTACCATCTCTCACTTACGTCTTTATTTGTACCAATCGACTTGGATTTGCTTGCATTTCGGTTATCGAGGTTTTTATTCAACGGTCATGACGTCGGAATCGGGCTTCTCCTTCCTCCCACAAGGAGCAATCATCCAAGAATTCAAAGTTGCTGGCCATAACATCGTACTGGGATATCCTCAACCGGAACCATATGCGAACTCACCTTTCTTTGGAGAGACCATTGGTCGTGTTGCCAATCGCATCAAAAATGCCGAATTCAATCTCAACGGCAAATCTTACAAGGTCGCTGCCAATGAGGCGAATAATCACCTCCATGGTGGCCTCCGAGGCTGGGGCAAGAAGAAATTTACCGGCCCGCAACCGGTTAATCATCATGGCAAAGAAGCCGTACTTTTCACCTACGTGTCTCCCGATGGTGACGAAGGTTATCCTGGTACGGTGGAGTTGAGAGTGTGGTACACCGCTTGGACCGAGGAGGCAGATGCGGTATCCAAAATCGTGCTTGAAACAGAGTACGAGGTGGAGATGATTGGTTCCGAATGCGACGAAACAGTCATCAACGTTACCAATCACGGGTAAGTCGACTTTGCCGATTCGTCGTCGCGAGGCCTCTTATGTTGACACGGAAGAATAGCTATTTCAACCTTAGCGATGGGCCAACTATTGAAGGAACAGATGTGACGCTGCACACCTCCAAACACTTAGTTGTGGACCAGGAAGACATTCCCACGGGTGCCATCGAAGACTTCCCTGGCGTGGAAGCCCACAAAACTTTCGTCCTGGGGCCAACGGAGCCTGACATCGACCATTGCTTCATTGTCGACCCAGACCCCCAGAACATCCCGCTCGACACTCGACAACGACCGCTGAAGCCGTTGGTCAGCGTTGCACATCCCAGGACCAAGTTGCACATGGATGTCTTCAGCACGGAGCCGTGCTTCCAATTCTACACGGGTAAGTATATCAACGCCGCAGCAACCGCCGAGACACCCGCGAGAGGACCAAGGTCTGGCTTCTGCGTTGAACCGGGACGGTACATCAACGCGATCAACGTACCGGATTGGAGGAACCAAGTGCTGCTGAAGCATGGCGAACTTTGGGGCGCCAAAACCGTCCACAAGGCTTGGAAAGCATGAGGGACCCGACGCAGCGTGACCAAAAATGTGGAGATATGAGGCTACAATAAACCCGACATGCAGAATTCCCTTTCCCTTTCCCTTTCGCTAGGACCAATAGGTTTTCCTCCCGTTTCTAGAATGTTTTCCTATCACGTGGGACGGAAGATGACAGGATGTAGTGGATATTACGCCTCGTTCGAGTTAATGGGAGATATGGTGAGCACTTGGGAGCGAGATGGCAAGCCGATGCATGACGGTGTCTTCGACAATTCGAGTATTCTTGCCCATGATATTATGCCATGGATGTTCCACGGAGCCACATGGCCAACCAAACAAGAACAAGAGCAAGGCGGGCCGCGTCCACTCGTCCACAGCATCTCGTCTTATCCTGGAGGGATGCGAGGTCAAAAATCACGCGTGTGCCGACTTTCCAGAAGAAATGGTAGAAAAAAAGGGGGAGACTCTTCGTGATGTGGAAAATGCCTCATACCGACATTGTTCGCCGAAAATAAAGTCCCATACGTTTGCGTTTATTCAGCTTGCCAAAATTGATGTCCATGGCTGCGGTGCCGGGCTCGGACGAAAATGCTGATGTGCGTGCGATATGCGGATGCAACAGCATTACATCGGCCATAAGTAAAAGCCGAAGGGGCGGAACATGAGCCCCGTCTCCGAATTTCTCATCATCCAGCACAAGGCCGAATCCAGGATTCAGGGCGGAAGACTTACGAGGTCCGGAAGGCGTTGGACTCTCGATGTACGATTTTCATCATCTCGTGATTTCTGATTTCTCCATCTTTACCATCTACCCCGCCGACCGGCAGCCCCGTACTAAATCTAATCCAGTTGCACCAGACATCTAAGGTTAAGCGGCCGCGAAAATCACGCAGCAAGTTACAAGTACCCTTGGGATCATCAAGTTGAAGCAAAAGGGGGAGAAGGGGAGACGATCAATTGATTTGACCAACAGAACAGTCAACAAACTGCCCTCCTACAAGAGTGGATTCCTCTTTTGTGTCCATCTCGATCGCCCCAGCTAGACCCAATCAACGTTTAAGTCTGAGATTTCGTATCGGGAATCGGTTTTCCCGAATCCGAACGTTTGTTCATTCGTAGAAACAGTCACAATTGGAGCAAAGTCGACACGGACATAAATTAGTGGTGAGCAGTTAACCGGATGCGATCAATAGTTTCATCTTGGGGACCACCAGTTATTCGTATTTCTTGTAAGCGTTCACGAATGGAAAAGGTGGCTCGCCTAAATAATTATACCCTTGGGAGACAAGAATGCAACAAACAAAGAGAACTCAGAAACCCTTTTCTTCCTTACTGGGTTGGCTGGTGGTCATTGCACTCCCGCCCTGATGGTGATTGGATACCTCCTTTTCCCACCTGGGGCCTAAAGCTGAATCAACCCTGCTGCCAACTGGACACTCTCGCAAGGCAGGATCAATGGGGATAAGTGAAGCTTAGCTTGGAGGATGGGATGGCCATCGTGACTTGTTGTCCAGAATTGGTGAGGGATGCGACCTTGAACTTTTCTATGCGGACTGCCCGTCAAATACTACACTTGCACAACACTGCCACATACCCAAGTCTCCCACTGCATCCTTCTAGAAATCCATCGGGGAAAAAAAAAAAAAAAAGCTACAGAAGACAATCATTCTGGGCAGACAAGAAACTTCCCAAGACAGATTATGCTCTCAGGCATCAGTCAGATCATTTCAGCCAGAAGTCGCGACAAGAAATGCCAACGCAACCGAATGCGATTGGACGATGGGTTATAATTAATCCTTGGACTGTAGGAATACGAGAGTGTAAAAGCACTGGCGACTTGTCAGGCCCTATCTTTTTTCCCCTCTCACAGCCACGGCTTCTCTCTCAACTTCTCAGCGCGTTTCATCGTATTCGGTAAGCCTGCGCAATCTGGCATTTCATGAACACATGAAAGCAGTCAAGCCCAAGGCGGCAGCGCTGCCAATGCATTCCCCGCGCAAAGCCTCGTGGGCGTCGTAATCGACAAAAGCCGAGAAATCAGACTTGACGAGAAAGGGACAAGAGTACGGCCGTTCAGCTTCGACAAACGACAAGCGCACCCTAGTTCAAACACGGGCCCTAGCGTTTCAATATGCGTCAAGAACTCGAAACGTCGACGTTGTGGCGCTTTTGGTGCATAGTGTTTCCTTCATCGTGTCTTGTGTCTTGGAAATGAGGAGTTTTTCTTGTCAAACGGAAACATGAGATCACAAGATACTCTCTGCTCGAGAAAGCAGGCTGCACAGCCAGAACGCCGAATCAACGTCTTGGAGCGGCCAGCGGGCTGCTGGCATAAACTGGTTGCATAAAACCCGCCTTCGAGTCTGGTCATGACGGTATCGTATTACGCTTACCACATCTCTGACCGGTCACAGACAAACGGTATTGACATTTCAAGTCACATGACTACCTACCCATTTGTCCAAGACGTCGCTCGGGACCTTCATGTTCATCTTCTCTTCCATCCGGGGGGTCTACATATTCTCGTCATTCACTACGGTTTTTGTGACCGTCTCATGCTGGATGGCTCCTTTCCAAACCAATCCGATACCTTGGGCTCTGTCATCCACGCTGGATTATCCACTGCTTCAACAAGAAATCATTATCAAGATTGACTGATCGACGGACTTGCTACCACAAACAACGAAAACCTGAACGCATCCTGGCTCCCTGACCGGCTCGAAACAAATTCCCAAACCGACGCCTATCCCTTTTCGAGCTCATCTCCAAAGCTTCCCTTATTGGCTTAAGTCGCGGCCCAGCCGCTGACTCAGAATGCTCACCAAATCTCCGTCATGGTTCTAGTCTTCGATCCGTCGGCTTTGTCAACATTTTGTCCACAGCCACATGCTGGCCACATGCTAGTTTCTTCGTGGCACGTTACTAGACTTTGCAGTGCCCGTCTCTCTGCATTGAGTTCATGGACTTCTCCCTTCGGAAATCCTCCATTCCTCTTCCCAGACAAGATCAAAATCTCCCGTGTCCTGTACGTGAGCCGTCTTTTTGCCCCGCTCCAGCCTTGGATGGGCAAGGCCGACCATTTATCTGCAAGGCATTCTCTGAGTCATCGTCAAGGGACCACATTGCACCTTCAGATGGGATCTAGATGGATTTATCAGACCGCTTCCACCAACCACTCACGAATGGTCGAAATTTGATTTCTTCCTCCGCTGGGGCCTGGTAAGAGATGATCACGGAATCCCCAATACGAGGACCTCAAGTGCTGATGGATATTGGCCGTCAACGTTGGACTCCTTCTGTGAGACCATTTTATCTAGTTCTACTTTAACTGACCTGCGCTATGCATTCGCATTCTTTGTTAGGAGACACCACTCTCTGGCCAAGAACAAGACTCTGTCTCATTGGCAAAAATTGCCCGGTCTTCTTGGGGTGCCTGACACGGTTGCAGATTCAGGCCCCGCCATGTATTTGTCACACATATTCACAATTCATCCTTCGACCATTTCCTTCTCGACATGTGGGACTGATCTGACAAAGAGTTACAACTAGTGACCTCGGAGTCCCCCCGAATCTGTGGAGCGCACACCACAAAGGGCAATCACAGGTTTTTCGCCAAAATCTTAGCAAGAACCAGACCATAGAACGACTGCCAAATTGTACGACCCATGTCGGACGGTGGACGGTTCAAACTTGGCACTTGACCTTGGACAAGCCCCGATGTCTTTTACTTCGACCGAAATAAGGAAACTGACTTGGGCTTTGCTCATTCAGCGAACAAAATGGAGCGAAGGAATGATCTCCCAGCCACGTATTTATACTTTTAGCCGATGAATACTACCTACCATCCAAACTTATCATCAAGGGAGAAGGAATGGTGTTTCATGTTTCATCATCAAGCGGGCCAAGATGTCACCGTACACCAGCAACCCAGAGTCCAGCCACGTCTCTTTCTCAATTGGGTATCAACTAACTGGTTCAAGCCTGGAAACCGTTCTTAGGTTTGGTTTTGGAACACAAGGACCTTCTTTCGTCACTAGGTAATTATGACAGCCGATAAGTCTTCATCCTCGGGCCAAACCCGAATTGGTATTTGCTCGACCGAATCACTCCTCGCCACAAATCTTTCATTGTCTGATTACAAAATGGATATCAAAATGAAGCGGACAAAACACCTTGGAGCCAAAACTCAGCAAAGTCCACACATCCATACCAATGCATATCGCTTTCAACGGGAACCTCGAGCTTAGAGAAGAAATCGCGCGCGCTGTTGGAGTCACGTCATGTCAGCATATGGAAGAGGCTGGCCTTTGCTTGGTATGTCTTGATGATACAGTGCATACTTGCGTCGAGAAATATCGGTTGATTGTTCGACCGGCCTATTGGTACGATCCCTAAAAAGGGGGTCATTGACCCTTTACTCTACCGGCTCCGGCCGTGTGATGCTTAGGGACGCCCGATCATCTACGAGATTAACGTTTGGTTATCGTCTGCCAATAGTGTCACAGTCCTACTGGAAACAATGACCTACTTCCTTCTTAGAACGAAGAGAATCGGACAAGGCGGCCCGAGAAGAACGCGATTACTGATCGAAGATTTCGCTCGATTCGATCTTCATGCGAAACAGCGTATCCAGCTAGATGGGGATTTCAGACCCTGTTCGGTCGATCCTTCACCAATCCCCCCTACTCTATTTCTATCAGCTTCAAACGCTCTTGTGCAAACAGATCAGGGTCACATCAGTGCCTCTCAGCCTGAGACAGCAAAGGATAGCTGTAGATGACGACGAAGGTGCCTTTTCGCACAAGGACAATTTACGTCAATGGTACTCAAGGACAACTTGCACCTAACCAGCCTTACGTGAGAGGAACGTGGTTGGAAAATTCACATCATGGCTCTAGAGGCTGGAAGTCGGCTGTTGTCACGGAATACTGAGCACAGCTCTACAGCCTTGGCCCTGGCAGACACTTGTGTTGTGGAGCCCGACGCCTTCCCGGGACGAACCTCAGACTTACTCTCCACGCTCTATTTTCGACCTTCAGATTTCAAAATGCATGAAGTGAAGTTAGGTAGGGAAATATCAGGTTACGGGTAAGATTAGATCAGATCAAATCCTCGTCGTCGACTACGAGAATGTCAACGTAAAGCCGTCTTCTACTCTTCTCCATCAGCCGGCGAAGCGGAGACGCGCCAGTTTGTCGCAAAATACATCGACTGGACAAAAATCGTTGCCTCATTGCCTCGACCAGGAAACATCATCGCCTTATTCGGGATCGGTATATGGATACAGATATAAAGCTTCTTACCATCTCCTGAAAAAGCAGGACAGTGGACTATCTGCAAAGCCACTCGACGGTTCGATACATGGCACCTCCCTACACCAAACGTGGTTCTTTTGATGATCAGATACAGATACAGCTCTCACTTCGCTTCTCCCCCGTGGCCGCCTGGCCACCTCGCCACATTTAGCATGTTCCATGGATCAATCACGCTATCATGCCATCATGCTATCTTCTGCATACGTTTATTGTCGTTTTTTCTTATACTCTCCTTCTTGTGCACCGCGCGCTGTTTGACGTTGACATTTTCTCCGCTCATATCCGCGTACACCAGTAAGTGGGTGGTTACGGCGACCCAGCGGTACTACAGGACAACGCAGTCTATGCTTGCAGTGTGGGTTGATCCCTCCGGCCCACGGCTGAGAAATATTGGATCTCCAAATCCAGAAGTCGGACAACGTTGCTCTGTTCTTTGCTCATCATCAAGTATTCCACGCTGTCTTGAGATGATCCCCCTTTTGTTCACTGTTACGGTCAATCCCTGATCAACAAGACCCGAAAACTCAAAAGGTTCACAATCATCACTACGACGGTGTTATCACAGCGGAACAAAACAGATCAGAAGAGGGACAGAGCAGATCAAGATCTGTCATCATCACTACTGCCACCATAATCATTTCGGTGTCCGATATTTTGATATTTAATGTTTAATATTCACGACTTTTTCTCAGGGTCCTACTTTACCAATTGATCGGTATGGAGATTTTTTGTGCAGAAATCTGTTGTTTCCTCAATTCTCGACTGTGAAAATCCAACCCTGAGCCTAACAGTGACCCATTACGATTGCGATGAGGTCATGAACAAAACGCACTACTGGTGTACTTCTTCGTCCCTGTTCTACAAACTCAGCCTCGATGCTCCATCTATTGTGAATTTCAACATGGCTGTATTCTATTATCATTGTTCATCTTCGTCTTTCAACCTCCTCGTTGTCAGCATCGCCACCAGTGGCCATGTTCCACACTCTCCACCTCAGGCGCTCAATGACTTCTTTGCGCAACCATGTCCCTCCGGAGGAATTGAACCATTTGCTCTCATCGCCGTCGACATCCCGGTTCGCATCTGGAGGAAGACTTTCAGACTGTCCGGACCCATCATCGGGCAGTTGCTGCTGAATTTCTTCGTCCTCTCTCTCCCATCGATCAAACCAGGCGAACAATAAACGGAGTTGCCACAGTTTGTCCTTGCTCATTGACGAGGATGACGTTGATGTCTTGTTGTTTTCACTATGCGAAGACGTAGATACGCTCGACGCATGAACAGGATCCTCTGGATCGATGTCACCGGGGGGAAGAATGCCTTTTTCGAACTCGAGTCTCGAATCTACCACGGTGGTCTGCAACAGGTCTCGTCTATTCCAATCACCCATGGGCGTTGGACCAAGAACCAACGCTCGTTCCGCATGGTCGAATCCCTTCATTGAATCGAGTTCAAAGAGCCATTCGAATGGATTTACTGATTTGGACAATGTACTCGGACCCGAACCACCGCTTCCACTGGCATATGCATACGCATACGAAGCGCCAGCATTAGGATCCACGCTTGGGATACCCTCTGCCCCGCTTCTAGCCTGCAGCTCGGCCGTCAAGAGGTCTTGAGGCGGTCTGTCATAGGCCGGTCGTCGGCGTAGGTAGATGTTGACGGCGTTTTCGGCTTTGATGTCCTGTCTGAGTGCTTTGTATTCTGCGGACTTATGGTTGGCGAAATCAACGAAACTATCCCAGAAGCCCTCACCTTTGACCTCGATGGACTTTATGGCGTCGAATTCGGGGATGAGGCCTGGTAGGCGTATCGACCGGGTCGTGCCGTCTTGGAGATGGATGAAACCCGTTGTACCGCCTACGGCAGAACCTCCTGCATCGCCGTCCCGGGCGACGAGGCATCGACCTTCGACGGCGAGAGCCCACAGGTGGCGCAGGGCTTGGAGATGGCCGCGATTGTCAAGGATGTCGTTGGGGAAGACAGGATAGAATGCAATGCACAAGCTGGCGACTGCAAGATTCGAGGTGCCGAACGTCCGAGTTCCTCCAGCTAGGAAGAGCGCGCCTAGTGCCATATGAGCAGCAAGGTGACTTCCGAATGGCGTGTCTTTGTCAGTCCGTCCGTGAAGAGCGCGGAGGCGGCGCATGACATATAAATCGCCCGAACCTGCCATAACGGATGCGGAAGCTAGAGCGAGGGCATCAAGACAGTTGCGGATGCTGTTCAATGTCACGCGTGCATCGTAGTTGCGCGCGGGCAAGCGACTTAATCGAAGAAATTGGTCGAGGTACCGGACTAGAAGGCCGCGAACGTCGTGGCGCTGAGAACCGGCGAACCTAAGTCCGATGGCAAAACAGGTCCCTGCAAGGATGTTGAAGAACGGCATGTCTTCCGAATTCAGGAACTTTGTGGATTCGAGGTCTACCTTCCACCTATAAGGTGCAGGGAGCGATGCCTTGACGAACTCTCTTGTGGGTTGGATCGAATCCCACATGATGAGATGTCGAGCCAGTGTTCGAAGCAGAAAGATATCTGGTCTGACATAGTCGAACTGATGCAGTGTGTCTGGGACGTCGACCTTTAGGGCAATGGCTTCGTCGTTGGTTTTGAGAAAGATGAAAGCCATAGCCATGACAGCTCCCGCGGTAGCGCGGTCGAGAACGTGGACCATGTTCACATTCTTGGTACCTACCGCGATGGTGAGAAGCCGTTCAACAACGCCCATGTGGTGAAGACCGTGGAGACGTTTGCCCTGGCCAAGGTTGATGAGACCAAGCGAGAATCCCGCCGCAAGTCGATATCCTTCGTCACGAAGAACGGCGTCGGAGGAGACGCCTTCTTCAGGGTCGTTGTTTTCGATCTCTGAGAGCATCACTTCAGACATGCGACGATGTTGGGAATTGTGATACAAGAGTCCAATCCCCATGATGCCCGTGGTTTGGATTAAGGGGGAGAGATTCAATTCAGCAGCACCAGGAGGCAGGAGACGTGTGACATGGACAGAGAGGAGACGGGTAATCAATGTGTCCATGGTCCCAAGGAAGGATGCTGACAGTCCGAGAAGCAGGCCAACAGATGTCATGGTATGTTTAGGCGTGAGATACTTGAATGCCACCCACTTGGCCAACGTCTTTAGATGTCCGTTGAGGCCCAAAGCAAGTAAGAATCCAGCGTGTCGATTCGTCAGTTCTGGTGGCTTGTTGTAAAGAATCCAGGATGTGTCGATTCCTTTGGCATCGTTCGAAATCATGAGCCCCGTTGCTGCTCCGTTATGGAAGAACGCCCAACACACCTTTTCTTCCGTGAAGGACGATTTATCGGCGCTGAATGTCATTGCTTGAGTACTTTCATTAGCGTTGCGAGATTTCATGATACACTGTAGACTGAATGCTGGAATTGGCACTCTTTCAGTCAAAAGAGGAACTCGGGCATTGAAATGCATCATGCCTCGTCCTGCTGCCACAGATAATGTTCGCCGAGTAACATGCTGCGCTAATTCTTTCTGCGCTTCCAAAAGATCGACTTCAGTCCAATCTGATTCTGGTGTACATTCAACTACAGGCGGCCGGGTCTGATTCACAAGTTTCGAGGCTTCTGGGAATCGACGATCTTCATCGAAAATCAATTTTGTGATGGCATGTCGGTCGGCCTCGGAAGATGCATCCCACCTTTGAAGCGCCTCGGCCTCGAGAGCGGACGAGCAGATACTGTGGTAGTCTCTTAAAGCTTCATGTGTTGGAGCAAAGTACGATTTGTGGTCATGACTAGCTGGCTTTTCCGGAACGCTCCTTAAAACATGACACTCGGAATTCGTTCTCCCGCTCATTTGGTTTCGCTTCGATGCCATCGCTTGATAGAAAGCTGCAGCCACACCATCGGGGAGGGTATTCAGGATTCGCCCATTGATTCCGCTTTTGGACAATGTCTCGACTGTCCGCTGAGTTCCAATGTGATCTCTTGCTTGATACATGAATGAGAGAAGTGCGATGGTCCGGGGTGTTAACTCAACGGTCTGCCGCCAGATTGGGTCGTCGCTGTTGCCCATTTCGGTGGCACCGGATATTCTAGCCAACGTCAAGAATGGAGAGGATGAACAGCCATTTATCCATTTCTCCAGATGATCATAGATTGACGGTGGTTCAAATGGCTGCGCCGGCATTTGAAGGCCATCGATGACCGAATGATCGAAAAGACAACTAGGCCCATCAGTCGACTCGAATTCATAATAAGTATTGGCGTCAGCTGTCCAGTCTTTCCATCCTATCCAGCGCCCAACCTGAGCCATGACCATGACCAAGTTGTTTTTCGACTGGTTCATTGTCGAACTGGATGTCATATTTAGCTTGCTCTCTTCATATAGAAGATGAAGACCTAGAAGAATGCTTGGAAGAGCGTTGCAGCGTTGTTCTCTTTCTTTGTTGGTCGACGTTGGTAGATAGCCCTCTGCTCCCAGAGAACTTTCACCTGTAGGCGTCTGGATATATTCTCTCGCCAAAGCAACGCATTTAATCACGAAGGAGTTCTTCTTGTCGTTGGGATTATCACCGAATTGAGACGTGCTTGCTGCTCTTGGGTTCCTTGATTTTGGCGTTGTGGTAGTATGAAGAGGCTGCCTTTGGGAGAGCCAGTCCCAAGCTGGGCCACGCATCCCAGCTTCGAAAGCCATATCATGCTCTTCATTATGCATGGCATCATAATTCGTAAGGTCAATCGCACTTCCACTGCTGGATCGAAGTAGAGTGCTCTTTTTCTGTCGGTGGCTAGGTGTAGATTGTGCAATCTGGTCACTAGTGAAGGGGACAGCAAGAGAGAACAGGACAACAACAATGGCAACCCATTCGGAGTTCACTGCTGGTTTCTGGGTCTTTAACCAACGAAACACTTCCCAAAAAGCAACAACTAGACTTTCATGCTGGTTCATGTTCAACACCATGTCACACATTTTAAGAATGTCCAGAACCAAGGGATCTCGAGGTGCTAGTCGAAATTGTACGGTATGTCGGCGTGATTCATGATCAATCACATGAACCTGTGCAGGGCATCCAGAATCTTGCAGGGCTTGAACCTGCACTTCCGTTGCAGGAATCACCCTTCTGATACCAGTATCTTTGTCCTTCCTCGGAGTAGACGCTTGTGAACCCATAAATGGGTCAAATACCGCATAGCTTGTGGGAAGGTCCACTCGAAAAGAGGGAGACCATGGTGCCTCGAGCTGCAAGGCTGCGATTTGTGAACGTGATTGTGTTAGTATTAGCAGCCGCTGTATAGGGCCATCCACAACTTTGCAGGCATCTTTGATACCAGACAACCGGCGAATCTCTGTTGCTTTGAGTTCAAACGATTCTTTGGGACGTGTCGTTTTCCTAGGAGACCCATGAACATAAAATTTTACAAGAATTTTGACGAGGGTCATCTCCTGTACACTTTTGTCCATGATACACAAATAGATGTCTCTCGTTCGTAAGCTTCCCCTGTCGAAGGTTTCGGGAGTCTTCAATGTCAAGACTTTCACATCCGGACTGGAATCCTCTGATCCTTGTCCTCTGGGAAAACTTTTCACCTTAAAAAACCCAATATCTCTTGGTAAGTTGCTTTCCGAGCCATCGAAGGTGTCTTCCTCAAGTCGAATTGATTGACGTAGAGGATCGTATTCTTCTAGTAACCCACGAGCAGACACATCCAGAAACGAGGTTCCAGCGCTGAAAATAGATGTGCTGGCTTGAAACGAACTCCTCCGTCGAAAACTAAAGCTTTGTCGATCGTTGAAACTCCCAATTGATTCTCCTCTTCTGCCCGTCCTGTTAAGAGCCTGACGGCCTGTGTGGCCCATTGCGAGGTCATTAAAGGTATTTCGATCAGTTCCTGATCCTAAATTTGTCCGCGCTATCATGGAGCTGACCCTTCGAGCTGACCTAGTCTGAACTCCCACATCTCCAAATTCAGGACCAAGTTGAGAAGCTAGGTCATTTGCTGGAAATGATTTTTGTTCATCCAGTGAGGAAAAGAGGGCCCCGTCCGGATAGTTCTGGCCAGATCCACCAAGACTCTCCCTGAGACTACCGGGGTCTCGTCCGTAGATGTTTGAACTTTTCCTCAGAGACGCTCGCGGTTTGATGCTGTCAGCGTCGCTGCTCCTTTTCTCGTGATGAGGGGCTACCATATCACGTCCAACGTGCCAAATGGTGAAAGAGGAATTTGTCTCATTCAAGCTCAAAGCCATGCAGATCGCTTGTCTGTTTTTGCGAGACAACCCGAGTTCGTCAGATTGAGAAACAAATATCAGTCTCTCAACTCGAGGAAGTGTTTTACAGTCATCGAGAGTCTCGCCTTTTCGATTTGGACTCCATACAACCAGACCTAATTCTGACATCACCTCAGTAAATGAGAATGTGCGTGGCATGCCATTGGCATTGGAGCCAATCAGCTTTGGAGTCGAGTATTGTCCCCCTGGCAATACCAGGGAGGGTCTCGAGCTGTTGCCCCCAATGGATGTGAGGGTCTCATTGATGACGCTGAGATCATGTTGTGGAGGCACAGGATGGCCACCAGATTCATCTTCTCCCAGCTTTCGCTGTAAAATGAAGCCGGATGGGAAAGGGAAAGCAGATTCGACCTCGAAACAAAGGGGAATAACGTAGCCATCACCGGAGAGGAGGAATATATGAGCCTGAGTCTTGAGGACAACGACAAGACCACGTTCCAACGGCTTTGGACTCTCATCCTCCTGCTCATTGACGTTGTCCTTCTCTTCAGGACCCCCAAACTCTGTGACAAAGGCGTGTAGAATAGATTCACCCTCCACATTTAAGTTCAATGCTCTTTTAATCACCCCATTACGTGACCACACCACGCAGTGTTCCGTAGTGATGAGTTCCTCGTCGACAAAGCCTGTTCCATCGTCGTTCGGGGCCCGGGAAACTGTCCAATTATAGAGGGAAGTTGGGGGATCAGAGGGTAGAATCGACTCTGTCACGAGGTAATGCAAGGCACTTGGTTCATGTAGACCAAGTGACTGAACTGAACTCATTGTTCTGAAGTCGTGATGAGGAAGTGACGGATGTCAGGCATATTTTCGTCAAATAGAGCCAACTAGCCATCTCTCGACATTGCCGGGGTATCACGGTTGTTGCGTTGTCAATTTGTGGATGAGTGAGTGTGAGGTTGAGCATCCTTGACGCGCTCTGACGCGACCCAGCTTTTTCTCCGAATTTTTGTATGTCTGCTCTGTACACTCAACGCTGCCACTTCACCTGTAACAACAGGCACCATGGATCGCTCGGTGGTTCGACAAAAGGAACGATACCAGCTCAGGTAAATTGCCATTCGGTCTCCTGTTCGGTGACTGACGAATTTTAGCTATGAACTTCCCCATCAAGCATACAAATCGCACGTATATCCCCGCCAATCATCCAATGGCTCAACAGTCATAATTTATGGGCACGAACAAGGATTACGTCTCATCTGGTACGCTGGAAAGCCTTTCAAGCCCATCAAGAAAGACGGCCCGCCTCCGAAAGTCAATGAGATGTCGAAGCCCGACTGCATGATTATTGATTTGGACGAAGAAGACAACGAACCAGCAGCAGAACAAACACCTGCAGAACCTGCGGAATTTGAAGAGGAAGATGAGGAGGTTGATCCTTCTGCGCCATACCGGGACGTGATTCGATATGTCGACATACCATTAGGAGTAGCGGCGTTACGGGTTGCGATTCCACCGGTTCCAAGGGATGTCGAACAGATTCCTCCAGAATCATGGCCTGCAATCTACCTTGAACGCATTGTGATCGCTGTCGCCTGCGCAGATCTTACCATTCGAATCATATCTGCACCCATCGAACCTCCTGCTCCAGAAAGTCAGGACATTTCAAAGATGGATGTACATACGCTGAAAATCTTCGGTCCAAATTCTCATCAAGAATTCATATCTGATATAGCAATTACCCATACGGCAAATCTTTCAAGTGGCCAAGAAGAAGGCGAGGAGCGGTCACAAATTCGACCCCAGACACGATCACAATCTCACCAGAAGTCTACCGAGTCAGATACCCAGCGATGGTCCCTGTTGGTGGCTTCTGTGTCATGTACTGGGTCTGGATTGCTGTTAGTCCATCAACTCCCACTACAAAATGACAACCAGATCTCTACAAATCCGGAGGATTTTTTGCCCATCAGGAGGCAATACCTACGTTGCACATCCATGAGTGCGAAGCTGTCTTTCAATCCTTGTTTCTATCCCGCAGAGCGACATTCCAGCCTCTTGATCACCTTCACCGCAGCTTCATGCGTCAAACTGTTTCAAATATTTCCAACATACACTCTAGACCGCAGAGGTTCTTCTTCCACGGCCGATTCAGCATCGAGCATTCGTTCATCAAGAATATCGGGCAGCGAACGTGGAAAATTCCTCATGACATTTTTACCTTCGTTCATCCAAGACAGTGAGACCCTCGCCCAAAGAAGAAAAAGAGTCCTCGACGCTCAATGGATTGCCGGTGGTCGTGCCATAATAGCACTGCTTGAAGATGGTGAATGGGGAATCTGGGATCTCGAAGCAATAGGGCCAACGTCTTCAGGTGCGGGTGGCAATCTAATCCGAGGTCAAGCAAACATCTCCGGCATACAAGGTGGATCAATAACAAAGTTTGCAATACGATCCAACATTTTCCCTTCAGGAGAAACAAAGCAGAAATCATCAAATTCCCAGACTCAGCCTGTCTCAGGCTCACTAGCTCCGATGACACCATCGACTCGCAAAATTCGATCGGAAGGTTTATTCCAAGGGGCAAAACGAGATGCAGTCGCATCGAAACATAACAACCAGTTTGGGACCATCTTTGTTGGAGAACATATCACAAGGTTGCCGTACGATAACCACGTCGTCCTCAGCTACGGGAGCGAGCACGTCTATGTCCATTCAATTTTCTCATTCTGGAAATCCGATGAAAAGCCTGTCCGACTACCTACCGTACAATTAGGAAGTCAACAACAACGCTCTTTCAGCATACTTCCAGTCCAGCACAACGAAGTGAAGCCCTCACCAGGTCTATTTGGGGTATCCTCTGCTCCCGCATCCTGGACACCCAATTTCCTGATCCAAACCGATCGCCGTCTAATCCTGTCCGTGAACCCGTTATCTGAACCCATCTCTCGAAACGACACCGCGACGCAGACATCTCTATTGGAGACATCAGGGCCTTCGAACCTCGTTGGCGAAAACTCTGATCAAGCTCTCTTGGCCTCTGGCGAGTTGGATGTTGATGGGATGGATCGCATCCTCACGGCCATGGGCACTGGAGATGCTGGCAGCGTTGCGTCGAAACCAAAGCCAATGAATCTGTTTGGTAAGAGCGTGGGACTCCGCATTGACGACAACGACGATGAAGATGTTGGCATGGCGTCGCCCACGCCCGCTAAATTCTCAACCTTGAAGCACGGTAGTGGAGCTAGATTTCGGACCGATGCTCCAATGCCGCAAAGACGGATCTTTACTTGATCACAACCCTGAATTCGGCTTTGAGTACGATTTCAACTTAGACACTCTCAATCGACGGGTCTTCAACTTCACTTCACCTCATCACCTGCTCTTTGGAGTCACAGAACATCCAGCTCGAGGTCTGCCCGCATTTGCACTGTATCGACACAGTCAGCTCGTGCGTTTTCCCATTTCAACCTCAATCCTCAGCTCGGAGTTCTCGTCGATCCGTTATGTTCGTGTCGCAAATGCTGCGCCAAACGCACAGCACAGCGCATGTCCTCATGGTCTGGTCTTGTCAACAAAATGCACTACAAAAGCTACCTACACAAGTCCATTGACTTGTTCTCAGGAATTATATTGCCTTTGCTGCGGAAAATACCTTACGTGTACGTTTACATATTGCCAAGCTCAGGGTCCTGGTATGATTCATTGTTCTATTCTTTCCCTCCCTCTCCTTCCAAATCTATCCACTCTCCCAGTTACCCACCCCCCCTTCTTTTTTTCGTTGTTGTTGTTGTTAGTTCCAAAGGGTACATTAATCCCTCCAGTTCCCTATCTCCCCTCTTTTGCCTATTCACGCTCCTCTATGCAGCCGCTCAATATCTCCCTGTTCTCTGTCACCCTCTTCGCACCCGTCTATCCGGACCTTCTCTAAGCCTTTTCTTCTCCTCTTGTTATCCTCACAATCGCGACGCAAGGTGGAGCCCAAGGCGAGATCAATACCTTGGACCTAGACCCTAGAGTCTAGCTCAGTATTCTTCGCGAGAAATCAAATTTACACTGTCCTCCAATTCGTTCGAAATTCGATCCCCATCTCAGCTATCGACGAGGAGTGCTGTGCCGACGGAGTTGTAAAGTCCAAAAACGCTTGCTTCTTATTACTAGGAAGAAGGTATCACGGTTCTGGATGATTCGTCGTCGGCATACATTGCAACATTTCATTCACCATTCGTTCCCCCTTCCTTTGTTGGCTTTGATTGACTTTTGACTCCGGTTTTTCCCTTTTTTCTTGATCATTGACCTCGCTTGACCCAGGCATATGCTGGTGGCGGACCTCGAAAGGAAAAGAAAGGTACGCGTCTTCGACTACTTTCTGGTTTGGTTCGATAGATTTCTTCTTGCCCTAATTACACCCCTACCCTATCCTACCCTGTCCTGTTTCGAAGTCGTCGCCGCCGTCCATTGCCAAACATCATTGCTATTTGTCACAATGTTTAATATTTCTCTCGTATTGCGTTCATGTCTGTGACATGTAGACATGTAGCCTATGTCCCTCTTGAACTGATCCATTTCCCACGCTATGCAAATAGGTCACCCAAATCCGTTGAGTTCAGCGAGATCGCGTGCGTAACATAAAGCACGGCAACAACTCCGGGAAAGAAATTCGATGGAACCCGCCACCGGTTCCCCATTGTCCGTTGTCTATGGTCTGGTACCAGATGAAAAGCCTGCACGAACATTTTCAACGCAGAAGAGGTCCGAACAAATGCGTATCTTGGCCTTGCGTCGCAAATCACGTCTGGTGCCCGGCAGACCGTTGCACGGCCTGTTGATAGTCCGCCAAAATGCCGCCGGATGGTGGTGACTTTGCGTGTTCTGTGTTGTGGAAAAGACGAACGAGCCGACCGACAACCGCTGTTCGATGACTTAACACCACCGCGCACACTCTGAGGTCATTTCATCCATTATATCCTAGAGCCACCAATTCTTTTCTCACAGCATCCTCACTAGCAATCTTCCTCATCTGGGTATCTTCTAACTTTTCGCCTCCGGCAAACCGCATCTTCAAATCCTCGATCGCTCGGATCTTTTTCAAAAGACCACGGATCTTTTTGTCTTGGGGATTGCCTCCAGGAGTCATCGGGCTAGTAACCTCCAACTCTGGCGGGACCTGTCCCTGTGGTACCGGAGGCGGCGGCGGGATCTGTGCAGTCGTGTTAATATTTGTAGGTGCGGTAGCACGAGGCTTCTGATTGGGTGTTCCTTGAGCATTTCCAGGTCCTTTGGGGGTACCATTAGCCTGGCTATTAACCGAGTTCGTAATATCGCCATGTTGTCTTCTGCTGTTGCTCCGACTGCGCTCCTTCTTAGGGCCAGTTGGCGGTTCAAGACCTGGGGCAGGGACATAATTTCTGCTTCGACTGCGTTGATGACCACGGCCATCCGGACTTCGACTGGGACTCTTTCCCCTTCCTCCCGCTTGTTGTTGGTCAGGGACAAGGTTACCTGCCGCTGCCTGTTCACGTGCGGCAGCGGCCGCAGCTTTCTTCGCCTCTCGTTTCTTTGCGTTCTTCTTAGCCGCCTTTGACATCGGCTCTCCATCTGCTCCTTCTCCAGTACCTGTTAGGCTGACACCACCCCCAGGAGCCGCCCCAGGCGGCAGAGGGGTTTTTTCTTCCACAAATTCAGATCCTGGGACAATGCGTTGACGTGGTTTACCAAATCCATTGGCGTTGCTGGGAAATGACGACACGCCGTCACGAACAAACGCAGCCCCTCCCTCATCCTCACGTTTGAAAGCCAGGGGGGTGACTTGACCTCTCGCACCTGGTGGTCGATACGCTCCCGCAGGTTTGCTGGGTGTTTTGCGTGCGGCCATGTATTCCGTGGCACTGCTGTGGGGCGCTGGAGTTGGAGAGAATGGATTGGCGGCCAGCGGAAATGATGATGACGGCTGTGGTCTCCAGCAGACATGGTACAACTCATTCATGTCCTCGTTGTACATCAACGGGCCACTGGCATGCCAAATGCGAATACCATTGTCAACTCGGAGGCGGGGCGAGGTAGTTGCCGTCAGGACATGTATACCGTCGGGTGACCATTCGCACACACTGGCATTGCTTGCTTCGATGGTACAGATTTTGGTGAAGTGTTTCTCCAAATCATAGATGTCCATCTGTCCGGCAAGGTTCCCAAAACCGGCCACAAGCACAAAACGACCATGTGGGGAAAAGAGGACAGTATTTCGCGGTCCGAGAGGAAATGTATGGACTGACTGTGCTTTGGCATTGAAAATGACAGTTTTCGCCGGCATGTAACCGTAGACCACAGCGAAGCTGTTCGACTTGGGCGACCAGGAGACGTCATGAATCGGTCCCTCTTTGTCTAAGACGATGTTAGCTGGGGTGTGGGTCGACATGGAACTTGAAGAGTGACAAACCCAGATCGATCCTCGAGTCGACCCCACCATTTGCACTGAGCAGATAAAGTGTGGTCTCTCCGTAGTAACTCTTGCCGGTTTTATCCACTTCTGTCTGAGCCAAGACAATCAAAGAAGTACCATTATCATTCCATTTCAGTTGGACTTTGTCTCCCTTGAAGAAGTTTTTCTGAGATATTGGAGTAGTGAAGTTGGGCACATTGTAGACTCGGACGGCAGCTGGTTGTCCCTGTATATACAGATCAGGATTCGGCTCGGTCAAGGTACGTTGTATGCGACATACCTTTCTTTCGGGCACAAAGACTGCAATGGCGTGATTCTTTCCTGGTGAAACCGCAAAATCCGCCACACCTTCGACCCGGATCTTATTCCAGACAGTTGTCAAGTCATGGCTCTGGTAGATTTGGACTTCATTTGTGACCACTCTCGCGCAAAATGCTTCGTCGTAGGTGTACTGCAAGTTCCAACCTGTCTGGGACTTTTGAACAAACCGGGCAATCGCCTCTTTTTCGACACCTTCTGCCGTCGCCTTTTCATCAATGACCAGCCAGACTTTGAGGTTCCTAACCGCATCACCGTTTTCGTCTTTGGAGGGGCGTTGCCATGTAATAATGTAGGTGCCCAAAGGCGAGAAGCCTAATTCGAAAACATTCTCGGCCGGAAGAGAGGAGATTATTGCCCCGGTATCGGCGTTTATGATGTTGACCCTGTTTTCAAGTCAGTGAAATTTCCCAAGCTTTCCACGTCTACCGGGGTCATACTGTTCAGGAGAGGCCCATGCAAAGTACCGACCACAAGGTGAGTAGGCGCAGCAACGGAGATTTCCTTCCGGTCTACGGTGCGCAACATTAGTAACACGACTGACACTGGAGGAAGTAATATAGACGTACCTCTGAAACGCGGGAAGTGGCTCATATGTTGGTGCACCGTTGACCACGCCGATACCTTTGAGAGTCCGGACTACCTGCGGGTCAGCATTCCAACCTTGCTCTCTTGTGGCTGCGCCACCAATGACACCTACAGGCGAACTGGGTAGTAAGGGACATTTTGATCAGTAGAATGTCACAATTATTTTCGATTTCTGAGACGATCTGCTAGATATTTGAACGGAGCAGTACACCTAGTCCACTCTTGCCTTCTACTCGATATCATTAGAATTTGAGTTTCTTGCAGATAATGATATAACGCGGAGAAGATGCCGAGAACGTGCTGTAGAGGCTGAGAACCTGCGGTGAATATGCAGGGGAGGAGGGCTGAAAAAAGTTGTGTTGACGTACCTGGCTGAGGCAGGAGATTCCGGGTAAATTTTGGCACAATTCGAGTCTTTCCGTACTTGACAAGTCAATGTCAGCTATTGCGGTAGACGAGCAAATTGTTTGGGAGGCGAGAGGGTGAGGAGAGGAGGAGGAAGAGGAAAAGGAACAAAGGCAAAGGGAGAAGAAAACAGGTGAATGAGTGAGCCCGAGCGCACCTAAGAAAAAAGTTGTCGTGCAAGGATTAAGTGCCAATAGTGATGGCCGGTTGCGTACCAAATAAATACCAAATACCGCCCTTCATAATGGCGCAAACCCCTTGGCCCAACGGCTTAAGTGAAATGGTATACGGAGTGAATGCCAGATTAGCATCAAAGAAAAATTATCCTGTCATTAATATCAGCGCCACCCATGGGCCCATTGTCCAGAATTTCAATACTCTACGGTGAGCGCAAACACACTCAGTTGGAGGGAGTCACCCGCTGGTTACCGAGTATTATTGGCACCAACCCTGGGCCCTCAGCCTCTCAGCCTCTTCGGGGTACGACGCGGGGCGCCTATCCAGGGCAACCGGACTAGCATCCGCGGATCCAGTCGTCTCAAGCCATCCCAAGAAGCCTGACGCCTAGTCACGTGCTGCACGAAGCAGCGTCGCTGCTTTAGGGGATCTCAGCCTCGCCATATCTATTATTCCTACAAACAGCACTCATTTGTTTTACTTCATTCTTTCAATCAAACGAACAAGAACCCAGGCGACCAGATCAAATAGCTCTATGCGCCGTCATGCCACAACCCACACCGCATAGTATCAGGTACACTCCGAAGTTCGCCTCCATACCAGTCTTGATATCATAGAGTACAGTCAATATCTTCCTCGCCATAGAAAATTCGTAACCAGAACACCATGAACGTGCCGACCAGAAACATTGTGAGTCCAGGAGGCTAGATGACAGATGCTTCCTTCGCTCTATTCCTTTTCAAACGGAAACTTGCCCAGAATCTGACCATCCGCCGTTCCCAAAGGATGCTGGGGGTGGTCCAGATCAGCCAATCGATCACGCATGATTCCTTCGGCCATTTCCGTACCAAATCCTGAGAATCGATTCCCTTGAGAAGGCAGATCCACTGGCGGGGCTGGCTGCATCGTCGTGTCGATGATGTTCTGATCGTAACTCATCCCATCCATCATTTTCGGATCTGTACTTCCAGCAGCAGCACTCGGTGTAATTCCACTCATCGGAGTGCTCTGCCCTGATCCAAATGTGGGAACGGTACCCGTTCGTGGAGTTGAAGGCACGTTAGCATTAGCGCCTGCTCGAGAGCCAGAGGCGCGGGTGTTGTAAGGCGTCGACACTGGACCGCTGACTGTGCTCCCTGCTCCTTCACCAAATCCAACGAGACTGGCCTTGTCCTCGTCGCTGAAGCCACCTGTACTTGAGACGCCATCATCCTGATCCTCGCTCATCTTGTCTGCGTCGTAGTCAATACTCCCACTCGCCCATGTTGTCCTACCACCGACACTACCCGTTGCACTGGCGCTCCCGACTGTGCTCCGCTCCTTGAACTGGGGGACATTGTCAAATCCTGGGCCATATGCGCCTGATCCTGGAGCTAGGTGTCCAAGTGGGGTTGGTCGAGAGGTAGCAACTCGCTCAAGACCAGCAAGACGTGAAATACGGTCGGCTCGTTCAGCTTCAAGAGTGTTGGCTGAGGTTGCGGCTCCTCGTCCACCGTGACCCATTGCGCCATCTTTTATGGCTACAACAGACAAGGCGGAGAGGGAAGTGGTTGTGGAATTCGGAGTGCCGGGACCCATTTCGCTGGGAGTCGCAGGGTCGGACGGAGGAGGAGGAACTATGTAGTCACCGCGGTCAGCTTCCACTTGTTCATCTTGTTCGATTCAAGCTGGGTTCATGACATACGATTGATCAGAGTGGGGCCTCTGTTCGGCATATTGGCCGTTGGAAAGGTGTAAAGTAAAGGGGCAGGTAATTTGAAAGAACGCCGAGAATTTTGGTCACCAACAGACAGAGGAGATAAAGAGCAGGGCAAGTGCAAGTTAAGAGTGCGAGATCGTGAAAAGAATAGAGAAGCAGTGATGTGTCAGTCGCCGAGCCGTTAGAAGCCCCTGGAGGGGCAAGTTTGACTTGAAGAAATATGACGCAGCTGCTGAGAGGCTCCCAAACAGTGAGAAAGTATATGACCAGTTTCTGGTGCAGTGATTCGAGATATACGTCAACTACTTGCGAAGTAGTTATGGGAAGAAGGGGTTGGAAGTGAAGCGAAGGGCGCCTGGAGTCAAAGTCTATGGGCGTGAAAGCCGGGCCACGATGCGCAGTTTGGCAGCTAGTGATGAGTGGGTGAATCGTGAATGGCGCTTGTTGTATCCAAGGTTAACCCCCAGATCAGGGACTTGAAGCCAGCCCAGAAATGCAGGGGGGAACACGGGTGCTGTTGTTCAACTGGGGAACTTGTCAGGCTACGTCATTCAACAGCGTTTTTTGGTTCTCTGTTCGGAGTCTCCCGGTATCATTTTACCAACTACAAAAAAGCAGTCATCTACTCACGTGATATCCCAAACCTCCATGCAGCAATGCAATTATGACCCTGTATTTCCATATCATGCACATGTCCACATATCTAAAGACAGAGAGAACACCGTCATAGCCCCCCTGCGCCCGCTCTGGCAGCATCCACTTCTTTCTGGAGAGCCGCAAGGTCGGCCAGAATGTCTCTCGCATCTGTACCGCTTCGTCCAACGTTTGGATCGCTCCCTCCCGGCTCACTCATACCCAACGCTGCCATGGGCGGTCTTTGTGTCTCAACACTACTCCTGCTCGATCCTCGCCCCCTGCGAGGCGGCGGTACCGGTGGAGGAGGCCCTTGGCTCATGCGTTTCAAATAGGACGATGTGGAAGGTAATCCCGGTCCAGAGTCGGACCCAGGTGACTCTGTAGGGGACTGTTTGCTGGCGAGGCAGGTGTTTTCAGGGACAGAAAGCGCGTCGAATGAAGGTCCGCGGTCGCCAGTACTGTTCGACCGACGTGACGGAGGCGGCGGAGGCGGCTTGGATGTCGAATTCGTGGACGGACTCGGAGGGGCATCGTATCCGCTGAGCACGGAATATCGAGATGAGCTGCTCCTCGTCAACACCGGTTTACTAGGGGCCTGTTGACTCTTCCGTCGGGCCAAGGGAGGCGCTGGTGGTGTCCGTTTCTGAGAGTCAAGTGCGGTAGAAGCCGCTAAACTATCACCTGGAGACCGTTGACCGATTGGTGATGATCTCAAAGGAGGCGTTTCTGAGCCAACATTGCTGCTATCTGGGAGTGAGAGCGAGTGGATAAAGTTATCAAACGTCGCCGTTGGACCCTGCTCTACTCCGATTTCCTTGAGAGGCTTGCCGCGTCGGCTCTTTGGTGGAGGAGGCTTCTTCTTGCCTTCTGGAGCGGTCCCAAGGCCCGCTCGTTGCTCATCTGTTTCGTTCGCGCCTAGATCGTCTGAAGTCCGAGGGCTTTCTTCTTGCATAGGTGGGGCAGTCTCGAAGATCGAGTGCTGTGAGATTGAAGCCGTGTCCGCGCTAGAACTGCTCTCACTTACAGATTGACTTGGGCCTGCCTGGGTATTTTGCACCACACCGTCCCGAGGAGAAGAGGTGGAAGAGGGTCCTCGTTCTCCAGTAAGCAACATTCTCTTGAAAGCATCCACATCCATGGCCGGCTTCGTCGATCCGCTTTGGTCTTTCGCACCAACACCCAATTGATGACTGGACGGCCTCCTCGTACTGCTAGCAAATCGGCCCAAGGTATCCTTGACTGCATTTTCCGGTGAAGGTTTTGCCAAAGTAGCAATCACGGCATTGGCTTTTGCATTTTTCAATGCTTCTCCAATTGCGCCGTCATCCTCGCCATCGGAAGCTTCGCCCGCAAAAGGATCGCTCGCGAGTGCCTGGCTATAGTCTATCGGGAGAGGATCGGACGATTTTGGACCGGAAAAGGCAGTGAGGAATTCCTGTCGGGTAGATTCTGGAGAGGGTGGATATGAGACCGGCGATATGGGAATTGCGGGGGGTGAAGCGAAGTTTACATGTTTTTGTGTAGTACTCGGTGCTGTGCAGGGCATTCAACATCAGACGAGGCCAAACTTGAGACGAAAGGAGTAAACACTTACCTCTGGTATCAACTGACAAAGGCCCCGGACTGGTGCCGCGAGGATCCGCTGATGGGATATGGGGGGTACTGCTGCCGCCAGGACCTTTCAACGAACTACGGCGGAAAGGATTTGTGGACATCAGGTTGCAAAAGCCATGTACACCGCATGCGCGCTCCTGTGGACGTTCTCAAAGAGACACTGATATCAGAGTGCCTTACACAATGGAATTTGACTTGATTGTGTTCTTGGGTAAGCAGAAGGTCGGATCTATGGGCTGCCGAGTTCGGGGTTCATGGACAGGCCGTTGGGCTGAAAAGGGAGCCCTCCCACCTGATTGATTGAAATCGCCGAACCAACCTGCTCACTTATCTCAGCTTCCGTACAACACTCTACAATTCACACTCCGCCATAGTACAACACCGAAATCTATCAGAGCCAGCTCTGGTGCATGTCAAAGAAGTGCCCGTCCTGCACCATAAGGATCACCATGTAATTCACGTGACAACTCGCTATCAGGCCGCGATCGACCGTTATCGAAGGCCAGAAGCAGGCTTATCACGCAACCGCGCATTCAGGAAATTTACCTCATACGGCCTTCTCCGCAGCGAAACAACATATCATTCCAGAACTCACTTGATGAGGAGAGACAGGAAGACGTGAAACTCTGGGCGATGTCCATTGACCCTATGGACTGGTGAGGATTACTGTACACCTTCAACTCTTCGTTCAAATTCTTCTCTGAGCAGTCCTCGCACCGCGTGGTGGGTATATATAGCCATCTGTGCTCTTTCTTTTCGCTGGGAGACCTTCACTCCTCCGTGTCAATACCTGAATCAATCAGTGACAATGACGACCATCGACAATTCCGAGTTCCTCGCCAGCGGCGGATACTTGCAAAAGGGGCGGGAAAAGAATCTGGGCCCTGCGGATCTGGGATTGAAGACGCTAAATTTAGCGCCGTCAAGGTAATATCCACTTGAGTGTTGGCAAGGCGCTCAGACTTGCCATGTTTGACAAGACAAGCTATATTGGAATCTGTGGGAGTGTGAATCTCTTTTAGACGAGGGTTCTCGTGCTGATCAGGTGGTGGTGCAGGTGGTATCGCGATGAGAGGATCTTTCAGCTTGAACGACGAGGGTTGTTTTCTACCGTGGGTCCCCGTCTTATTTCGGTGGAAGCATGCGCTATATTCAGAATTCCCTGTCCCACAGAAGGGTTCCCGAGTCTCGAGAATGAAAATCTGACACACCTTGCTCTAGCTATGGCACATAGCGAGCTTCGCGGCAAGATTTCCGAAACCAGGTGATTACTTGACTCTGGAGGTATGTCTCCGATGTCCGATGCCCACCAAGTTATGTCCAAGGAATGCCATCGTCAATCAGGCTGAGACTCTGGGTAGATGTTCGGTTGGAATTTTTTCCTCATCAAAGACAAAGAAGGGAATATTAACGCGTTCCACAACATCTGTCGACATCGAGGACACCCCATCACTCAAAAGACCAGCGGATCGAGTATGGTTTTAGCGTGTCGATTTCACGGCTGGTAAGTCTGCGTGAGTCGGACTCTCACCAAGACGGGACATTCCTGCCTGGGATTCATGCCGACTCGAACTCGCAGGTCATACTTACCGACAGGAGAACTGCACAAAGCGAGAGAGTACAATAATCTGCCGGATTTTGATCCGCAGGAGCATTCGTTGTTCAAAATACATACTCACGTGACGGCTCAAGGATTCGTATTCGTCAACTTTGACGCGCGTGAAGCTCCAGCGGTTAGATTTGAGGAGCAGTTTGGCGATGACTTTGATCCTACTCCGACATCGAAAACAGGAAAAGAAGTCGGTGACGAATTTGCTCTTTTCCCCAAGGACGGATGGGAGTACGATCACACCTGGAACAGCTCGGAAGCTGGAACAAAGTTCAATTGGAAGACTTTTGTGGATGGATTTCAGGTTGGTCACCTGTCCGCCGCGTTCTTCAGGGAAGACGCTTGAGTGACATGGGCTGTGTCTTAGGAATGCTACCACTGTCAGACCGGACATCCGACAACACTTCCCAAGGACTTTGCCCTGGATCAATATTACCTGAGACAAGGGATCGGTGCCTCTCGTCACTTTCTACCTCCGAAAAGAGAAGGACTGTCAGAGGCTTTCATTACCTGGTTATTCCCAATCGGAGCAGTCATATTTAGCGACAATCTTCTTTTCATTGCCCGATTCAATGCCACGGGAGCGTTGGAAACATCATATCAAAGCGAGACTTATCGAAGAGCGAGCATGCAGAAGCCAAGCGCAGAGTATGACCATTGGATGGAGCACGACATTGCGTATTGGCGCTTTGTTGAAAGAGAAGATGTCGAACTGGCGGTTAGCGCGCAAAAGGGATTCAACAATGGGGTATTGGGATTGGGGAGGCTTCACTCCATCCAGGGTAGGTCCGGTAGTTGACTCTTTTGATTTCTTCTCGCATGGAAGAAATTTCCGGCTGATCGAGGATCAGAACACGCAGTCAAATGGTATCTAGACAAGGTCGGGGATATTTTGGTTCGGCATGCAGAGCTGGAAAAGGCAGAGGGCAAAAATATTGACTATGCCATTCCCAAGATACAGAGTGATGCTGTGGATGGGGACGCCTTGTGTAAGCTGGTTGGACCGGAGTATGAATGGTAGTGGTGGGCGCGAACCGATGGCTCCGGACAATACAAGCAGTAAGGGAAGCTGGTGATTGGTCCCTCTTCTTGAAGTCTTTTATCGGATATGTCCGACGGAGGTGAGGGAAGTTAGAAATGAGAGGCGGAGTTGTTGTGTTTGTAGCAGTGTAGCAGTGTTGCAATGGGAGTGTTTGATGGGGCCGAGTCGAGCAGATGGCCAATATTTTCCTCCCCCTCCTTCTTTCAAAACAGAGGTCGTGGGGATATCTGAAACAGTGAAACAAAGTCCACTGTGCAGATCGGAGGGCAAGATCGAATAGCACAGGATGCAGGTCAGAAAATCCCATCCGGTCGGGGGAGAGGAGCACGGGGTTTCTTTTCCGCCAGTGGTCAATGGGAGGGTATGGTACTGCAGACTGACGTCAGCACTCGACAAGAAAGCTTTCGTGGCTTGTATTGGCTGACACAAAGTGGCTTAATCAATTATTTCCACTGCAACCGCCACTGTTTCACTCTTTGAGTGCCCAGATGGGATCGTAGGAGTGCCCGGGTTCACATGTTACAGTATCATGTTATCGGCATGCTCCAGAGAGGAGATTTAATTTCTCTTCTGGTCTTAACCATGGTGTACGCCCCAGCAATCCACCTTCTCATTATGTATAGGAAAATACCATATCGGAACTAGCACCGAAGCATTTCCGTGTGGTTTTTTTGTATTGGGCCCTCCCACAAAAGCTTGACCTCAACATCTGCACACGATGATAGGGGCACATGGCAGCCACCCACGAACCAAAATGCACCCATGATCCCTGCCGTGTCTCTCTTCTATCAAAAGGATCATCAAGCATCCGCCTCTATCCCGTACTTGTCCGCCGAGACTGAATATTTTGGGTCTAGACTCAATGCAAGTCTGTGATTGCTCCGGCGCTGCTTATTCTGACGTGCTTTTTGCTACCCGGCCATATGCCCTGGCCCAGTGTTCGGAGTCGAGTACGGAGACGGGGACGGGATCCAACTAAATCGTAGTATGCTTTTGCTAGTTCTATCTTAACTAGAAATCTACGGAGTTAGGGAGCAGATAGTAAATCTTTCTCTTTGCCAGGATTTCCAGACCTCCCTCCTTCCTCTACCTGCCTCTACTCGACTCATTCGCTTTGTCGAGTTGTTTGTCACTGCCGTCAAATCCTCTGTCCTATACGCCGGTCGCTACCACTCCCATATCGATGTGTTTGACTTCCCAATCTGCATGACGACCTCCTAATTTTTACCCGATCTACCCCCCATTCACGTCAATTTCCTCCTGTCCATCGTCATACTCGACAACCGCCACTACGATCGCCTCTTCCGCACTCGCTCGCCCCAACTGCTTGTCTTCTCACCCTCAGTCGCTCGCTTAATCCTCTGCAATTAATCCAAAATATTCACCCATCCCGGGGACTCAAACGTGCCCATGACACGAAGACTTACTATCAGCGGCGGCCGCTCTGAGATGGGCCTGCTTGATCACTCGCCCGAACCGGAGACACCTCCCCCGAGTTGGACACCTGCAAAACACGATTTTTGGAAGAAGCCGTCAAAATGGCAGATTTGTATGCCTCGACTACGCCTCATGGCCAGAGTCATTGCCACGTTTATTACCTTCATTCTTCTCGTCAGGATCATGGGTCAGAAACCTCCTCCTCCACCGCCCCCCACGCCTCCCCCAGAACCCCCAAAGCCACCAACCGAGGAAGAAATGATGGAGATTGCAAAGAAAGAGGAATGGATCTGGAAAGATTTTATAACGTAGGTTAACCCGCACTTTCGGCGTCAACTGCCCGTGCGCGACGGAGACTAACTCTGCCACATTCTTCAGACACGACGGTTTGACGCGTGGAACATCACACCTCCGCTCTTGTGAAACTGAGGAGGTCGACTGTAAAAACAAGGCCCCCCGCCTCATTCGCTATGATGGATATCGGAATTTGGAAGAAGACCCCTCTCAAATTGTTTCGTGCATCGGTCCTCGCGGCGTGCCTCTGAACGAAAGCCACGAGGATGCAATTTGGGCATATCCTGGCAAGGCCACTGGTAATAAACGAGCAGCTCTGCCTTGGAATCACCCAGCTGACATATTCTAGGTGCGGTTGACCCTACCATCGGCTCCTACCAGGCGTCTGGATTGGACGGTGACGTGTCCTTTGATCGCATCGGTCGCTTCCAGGCGTACGGCCTCGATCAATGGGACGCCGTCGACGTAGAAGACCTGAAGAAAGGCGGTGACATTAATTGGGACACGGTCAACTGGGGCGAACTGCAAGACGAGTGTGTTGCTGCGAATAAACAGCGATTCAGACCCTTTAAGGAACGCCCCCAGAACTCGATTCAGTACTCAAACATACGACACAAGCATGACGACCCTCCGCCAAAGACGCTTTCATCCACTCTGGAACCAGGCCTCGTCAACAAGGTGAAGCGCACGGCTATTCTCATTCGCGTGTGGACCGGTGCGAAATGGACGGCCGATGTCGTGATGAACGTCCGTGCAATGATCGCCGAAGCTTCTTTAGCCAGTGGAGGAAAATACCAAGTTTTTCTTCTCTTGCATGTCAAGGATGAAAGTATTCCGCTCTTTGTCGGAGAAGATGAACCGCAGTCGACGATTGAAAAATACATTCCTCCGGAGTTCCGCTCGATCACAGAAGTCTGGAATCATGCTCAAATTCGAGGTTTATACTCGGGTCTCGCTGAGCACGCCTTTGTAGGAAGAAGCCCTTGGATGATAATTCAATGGTTTGCACGCAATCACCCCGAGTTTGATTTCTTCTACCAATGGGAATTCGATGTACGTTACACCGGCCACTACCTGGATTTCTTCGAATCCGTGGGGAAATTCGGCAGAAAGCAACCTCGAAAAGGAATTTGGGAACGCGCCGGGAGAGTCTACATTCCTGCTGTGCATGGCGACTTTGACACCGACTTCCGAATCTCGACCAAAAATGAAGATCCTCATCATGTCTGGGGTCCGGTCACTGTGGAGGGAGTCAAACCCCGTGGACCTAAACCACCAAAAGAAGCCGAAGACAATTACGAATGGGGAGTGGGAGAAGATGCCGACTGGATTGGTTTCTTACCAAGTTTCAACGTCACTGGTACCAACTGGTGGTTCCGGGATTATCTATGGGGTTATGCCCAAGGCAAATCAACTCCGAGAAGAGCCACTCTGATTGCACAAGGCCGAGTTAGCCGGCGGGTCTTGGATATTATGAACTATGAAAATGCCGAGAACGGACATCATATTGATGCCGAAATGTTCCCGCAAACCATGTGTCTCCATCACGGGTTGAAATCGACGACCTTTCCTCACCCAATCTTCGCCGATCGTTTCTGGCCGGAGGACGCCTTACAATCAACATTCAACGGTGGACCCTTTGGACAGGCTGGAGGCTATTGGAACAGCACTTTCAGCAAATGGAATGAATATGCCTGGGCCAACATGACCTGGTATTACAGTTCTGCACAGGCTATGCCGGTCTTCCAGAGGCTCCTTGGTGTCACTGCTCTCGAAAGTGGTGGCCCAGAGTGGGAAGGCGTTTATGGGAGGACTGTCGTTCGTCCCATGTTGCTTCACCCGGTCAAGGGCGGTAAAACATGGCAATGGACCGAAGATGGATGGCTTCAGACTAGGGGTGGAAAATGATCTCTTTTACGAACTGAAATCCTTACGAAGTCTACGGCGCTTGTCTCGTACATTCTCTTTCGCATGGGCGTTTGGATTCGGAGGTATAGATGGTATTTTGTCTGACAGTCTGGCACTGGTAAATCGACTTCATCTAACTATGGCCTTACATCAATCGGCCGGGTTAGATACAAATATTGGTCAGGGCAAATCATGGGCCGCCAAACACCGCACTCCGTACACGCTTTGCACACATTTCATGGCGGTTTATTTGCATGAACGATCAAGGGACACCTCTCTGGAGATGAGACACTGAAGACATACACGAAAGAAACATTAAGGACAGGACAGGACAGCTGGATATGAGCTCCGAGTACAGGATGTATGGGCTGAGCTGGCACCTAAGAGTTTCATAGATAGAGACACATACACAGTTGGTCCATATACCGACCGACAATAATGATAATATTTAAGTACGTGGATACTGCGCTATTTTCAGAGTATCTGTGCTCTCACCCCGAAAAGGAAGCCGTAGTTAAGTTCTAGCAGCAGAATCACGACAAAGGCCGCAAGATAGAACGATAAGCTCAGAGCCATGTGCTAGCTGTCTGATTAATGAGAAAACATACACCATGGCATGACATCTCATTTGCTGTATAATTTATGATAATACACTGACCCAAAATATATACAATCAAATCAACCCCCAAAATATCCTAACCGACCAGCGCGTGTGACTGATCCCTCGGGCCTTGATCGTCAGAAGGTAAAGGGCATCGCCGGCCGTGGCTCTCAGTCTCGTCTTCATTTCTTCCTCGGAATACTACTGATTTGTTGCGTCATTGTCCTTGTCCTTCTCATTGGCGACTTTGGACTTGAGATCTTTGAGCGACCAAGTCGCCTTCGGAGTACGGCGCTGCTGCTGTTGCTGTTTTTTGGGCTTTGCTGCGATTGGCGACGTCGGAGTGGTATCGACGAAGACCGAGAGGAAGTGTTGGGCGCCGCGCTTGGAAACTTTTGGGTTTGGTAATGGTGGTGGAATGATCAGGCTGTCCACGCGGCTGAGTGAGGTCGAGTACTTTGAACTGGAGCTGGCACCTGAGCCTGAGCGCGAGGCTGAGGCCGAAGTTGACCTAGAGCCGTCGGCTGATGAGTGCCCTTTGCGCGTTTGACTGGGTAATGGTAACGATAAGGCCTCCGGATACGTATCATCGCGCGGGTTATTGTTGGCAGAGGCGTCGGTTGCCGGTGAGGCCGGGAATGCGCCCGGCTCTTGGATCGCGCCTGAAGGTGCCAAGGATATTGCTGGGGCTTTGGACGCTGGTGGTGCTTCGGGTTCTAGCACTTGCAGGCCTTCAGAATCTGGTACATTGAGACGACGGCCTACGCGCAATGGAGCCGGAATAAGAGGTGGAGGAGTGTATCGTGATGGGAGCAGGGCACCGGACATCATGGCCATTTCCGGGCCGTATGTCGCATGTTGCATCGTCGGCCGAGTGTTGCGACGGGCCTCACGAGTTCCCCTGGGTGGTGACAACGGATCTGCGGTTCTTCGGCTATTCGGTGCATCGGTAAGGTGAGGGCTTCCCTCACCAGTTCCCGTCATCCACCCCCACGCGCTGTTCATCATGAACTGGTTCGGTGTCATATCTCTTGTCTCCGTGGCATTCGATACAGCGAAAGTAGGGTTCGAGTCTATACTGGAAAGCGAATGTTCAGACGTTGCCGCAAGCTCCGCCAAAGGCCGAGATGGCGATGTGAAACTCGTCGAGTCGGTCAAAGCTGGGGAAGATGCCAATGTATCCTGGGGCTGATCCGGCTTTGTGTTTTGGATGCCGTCTGTCGTCAGAGGATCAAGCATCGGGGCATTTGCTTCTGGGAATCCGCTCGTGATGAAAGGACCGATGGTGGCGGCTCTCTCCTCGGTGAGCCCTTCTGGATCTTCTCCAGCCTCCAAGTCTTCGAGCATTAGTCGAGCGTGCTCGGATACCAAATTCTGTCGTCTCTCGGAGAGGAACTGGAACCACATGCGATCTGCAGCTACCTCTGCCAAAAGAGCCTCAAATCCCTGTTGGTATTGCTCTTGGATTGCGGCCATTTTGCTGTCTTTGGCTCGCTTGATTCCTTCGAGCTCCATTGAGGTGCTTGCGCTCAAAGCCTCCAGCTCAGACTTGTGTCTTGTGACCAGCTCTTCTAGCTTTTCATCGCGTTGTCTTCTGAATCTTTCCTGAAGGCGGCGTTCTCTGGTGTCTTTGTCCTTCCTTCCACGAAGGTGTAATTGAATTTCAAGAAAAATGTCATCTTCAAGTTCCTGTTGCTCAGCAATGAATGCATCCATCTCCGCTTTATGTTTTTTTTCGATCGAATTCTTCCTCTTGTCGATATTGGATTCCATGGAGCTCAAGAGGTCTTCACTCTCCTTCTGCTGCGCTGACATTTCTTCCTCCTGTCGCTTGAAACATTGATGTTCGGCATGCATATGCCGGCTGTCCAAGCCCTTCTTTTGCGTTTGCAACATCTCAGTCAAGGCCGATTGTAGTACGCGACAGCTATCCTCGACCGAAACACGCATAGTTTGTCGAAATTCGCGCTCGAGTCGGTCTGCTTCCTCTCTTCGGGCAGTTTCTTCTTGCAATCGCTCCTCTTCCAGTCTCGCAAGCTCTGTCTCTTCTTTTAACCTCTCTGCTTCTCGTCTCTCCTCTTCTTGTTGACGTCCCTCTGCCTCTCGTCTTTCCATTGCCTCGATTTCGGCCATGATTCGTGCAATCTCTGCAGCTTCAGCAAATTGTTGCCTCTCTCTTTCATTTCTTCGATGTCTCAGTTCCGCTTGACGATTAGTTTCGTCTATCTCTGTGCAACGACAGGTTCGCCATTTGGCTCCACAAACGTAGCAAAACTGAGCACCACATTTACAAGTCATGTGACGACACCCTTCATTTCGCTAAGGCATGTTAGTATATGTTAGAATCGGAAAAGCAGAATACTCACTTCGACCATGGTCCGACATGAAAAGCAGCGACGCCAACCTGACAATTCAGCCAGAGTAATCGTAGCCTCTAGGCCAAAATCTTGAGGGCAGTCCGTATGCTGTTGATGTGCTAATCCGCGGCAAATTGCGCATATCTTGGTCGAACAATGGGGACATCTTTGATTGGAGCGAATTCTAGTGATCTTCCCCGGAGGAATCCATCTCAAGCACTTTGTGTTGGGACAATACCATCGCTCTTGAGCAGGAATTGCGTACTCCGCAGCTTTCTCTTTGTACGTTTCTCTCTGCTTGGAGTTCAATGCGAGGAAAACCGTCTGCAGGGGTATTTCCGTAAGGCAGCATTTGGGAGGATAGTTCGCCTCGTTTTGGAGAGCAGTGGTGACCAAAGTCGCCAAACATGTCTTGCAGTATGAGTGAGTGCAGGGTAGTGTTGCAGTTTTGTCCTTCGGAAATTCTTCGAGGCAGCTTATACATTCTGTCAGTGGAATCTGCTTTTGCGGAGTCTTTTTGATCTTGAGGCCTGAAGGTAGCTCTTGCTCTGGATTCATCTTCAAGGCTGATAGGATGCTGAGGCTAGATCCCAGAAGTCCGTGGCCGATAGAGCCCGGTTCCACGCTTGGTAAGCTCTTGGAGGGTCGTTCTGAGCGTATGGCCCGAGAGTCTGGGGCAGCGCCATTTCCAGGGTATTCAGAGAGAACAGGTCGTCGTGAAGTGTCGTCCTCCGGCTGTTGAGGTCGTTCGTCGTGATTGGTCCCGCTATCGTGCAGTCTTTGTTCACTCTTCGATTCTCTTACGCCATTTTGGGCTTGTATTGCTGGCGAAGGGGGATTCAGTCTAAGTGACCAAGCCAGAATTTGCCTGAGCTTTTCGTCCAGATTTGACTCCTCGGGGAGCCGCTGAAGCTCAGATGGGATCTTGCGTTGCCTCCAGTCATCATGAGGCTGCAGATTCGGGGTTGTCTTTTTGAAAGCTTCCCACCCTTGACTTTCTACAGCATCCTCCTCGGCCGAAGTCTCGACAGGTCTTTGTGACATTGATGTTTTCCAAAGGATGCTCAAGAAGATTAGTAGGGAGGAGTTGAGCCTAACAAAAGGGTCTCTGCAACATTGAAGAGGTCAACTTTTGGAGTCGAGCAATATTTACGGGGCTGAAAGAACAGGGGCAGTGTGGGAATTCGGCTGGTCGGCAATGCACCCTGACCGGGAGAGCTTTGGATCGAAGGTAGACCAGGGAGTTTGGCATCAAACTCAACTGGCCGGTGACAAACACATGAGTCAAGCCATAAGGCATACTGGTCGTCTTGAGACGACATGGCTTCAGAGGGTATTGTAAACTATGCCTAGGACGGAAGGCTGTGGTGGCATTGATGGATGGGTGGGAGAATCCGAATCAGGATGAAAAGATACCCGTGTGGAGGGCAGTGGAGTATGCGTGAAGACAAAGTGATGATTGAGATATCATGCGGACGAACTGAATCCCCGTTTTACGGTAGTAGGACAGAAAGACCTTGAACAGCCCAGTGGGGCGGTGCTGAGAGACGCCTTGCGCCGTTCAACTTCCAAGCGGCTGGGCGTCTGGTGTGGAGATTAGGACAAAACGTAAACAGACTAGCCAATCGATTCATCCGTATAGCGACGGGCTGAGCAAAAGAGGCAAGGCTTCTCAGAGCCTCCAAGTTGAATGAAGCACGAGTACGAAGAAGATGAAAATGTGGATGAAGAATTAATTGGCCCTTTCCCTAGGAACCTGCTAAGGCCAACAAGGCGGAATTTTGGGTGGCTGACGGAACAAAAGATTTTTCCATTCCGAAAAGCCAACAGCCAGTCTATACCACCCAGTACACACGTATGTCAACATTCGTTCGGGCCCTAATCTGAAAAGAGTGATTCAAGTAAGTCTGGACAACGTGGACGTGGGGAAGAAGCGCTGCTCCCTCACACATATGGCGTCAGTCTGCACTGCTAAAGTATCATGAGAGGGATAATCTAGGAGGAAACCAGGGCGAGAGGAGAGGCAACGAAAGAAATCTCTAAGGGAAATTGGTTTCAACATTGAAATAATTTCATTGGGCTCGTCTGCTTGAATCATACAAGAGAACTTCCATCACCTGAACCCTTTAGGCATGCAGTCAACTGAGTTTGATGTTTGGTTCCATGTTCCCAACGCTTGCTGGACAAATGACTCCAGCATGAATGAGCTGCCGCTCGTAATTGAGAAATTTTTTGGCAATTGAGTCTTGCCTTCTTTGATCTTGACCCTAACTTGAACCGTCTTCTACTCATCATCTTCCTCCTCGCCTTCCAGCGCAGTGAGCGCAATTCGGTCTAAATCTCGTGCACCAGCCGTCGTGATTCTTCGCCCACCCTTCGCGCCGCCCTCTTCACTGTCCTCAACCTTCTCCAGGATTCCGATTTTCTCAAGAGCTTGCATCACTTTTCGGTCAACGGCGCCGGAGGCATCCACATGGTGTGAGGGTCTTGAACCACGGTTCTTTGTGCTGCCGTGGACTTTTCGGAGCCGGCCTACACCAACAGATTTTCGAAGGTAGACGTGTCGGGCAACAGCGGCGGCTCGGACGTAGAACCAGTCGGCAGATTGGGGAGGAAGTTCATTGGAGTGAGAGGTCTTGACGGTGTCGACCCAACCTGTTTGAGAGATTAGTCTTATCGTCCATGATTTCAATTGTGACGCCCGATTGTTTCTTTGCTGGTGTTCAATTCGACCATCGTATGCGAGAAGCCTCGACAAAGTACAAGAACTGTCATCTGGTGGAGGATTTGCTCACCTGGTATTTGGAGCTTTCCCTGTTTCTTCAAGAATGCTGCATATTCTGTGATGAATTTCTGCGCCTGTTAAAACCCCTAGTGTTAGCAAATATTATGGATTACAATCTCCCGTGACGCCTCGGAACTGCTCGTTTCCAGATTCCTCCTTCGATTGACAAATTCGCAAATGCGGTTTTCGGCAAACTAGAAATTTCGGGAGACTCACGTCGACGTCTCGAACGGTAACACCACCCATGATTGCGACGATGGAGACAGAGCAGTCCCTGCAATCAAAGCTGTGGTCCTGAGTGAAGAATTAAGGTGGCTCGAAGGGAAAGGTTTTGAGTGCGTACTTGTCGGCAAGATGTCGAAGGTCAAGCGAACGAAGTGTGCGCGACCGCCGCCAAGAAATGTAAAATCTTGGCGGAGGAGGCTACGGACCCAGGCTGGGCGAGGCGACACTTTTTATTTTTTTAAAAAAAAAAAGCCTGTAACTTGAACAGTTCTTTGTTTTCTCGCCACCGACGCACTGAATCAAACTCCACTATCATAAAGTCCATTGAACAAAGGTCGAGAGATCGGGAGAATTCCACGCATGAGCCAATAGAAACCATCCTCCCAGAGTATGGAGACTCCAGGTTCTAAATAACCCCTTGACGGTCACGGCAATTCCAATGGTGCACTAGGAGGTCGAATGAGTGTGAGTAGATATTCGTCATTTTACAATGGTCTATTTTACAGATCCGTAGCCGTCATGGCATAGCCAATGGCATCAACATAGAACATTGCTTTCCTAATCGGAAAATTGTCAGCAAAATACGTTCACTCCTAATGTACAGAGTGTTCAAAACAGCCCACCATCGGACAAGATCGTGAGTCTGATAGCTCTCCACGGTTCCTTTCTCTGCACCCACTTTGAATTCATCTTCCCCCCCCTTTTGTTGCCGCATTGGCTCGTCGATGCAACTTGTTATTCGTCCTTTCCTAGAGGCCTAACTGCTCGCTCTGCAGCCAATTCATTCTCTCAGAGCAACGTTTCTCTACAACAGATTTAATCTAACGCCTGCGGCGGTCCCGGCGTTCCTTTCACAATGGGTCTCTGAGCTTTTTGAAATCCTCGAACTCATCTTCTTTCACTCCTGCCTTGTTGGCTTCGGGATATGTCGTTTCCACACATGGCCATCGCAAACCACTCGGCTGGAGATTCCCTGTCATGATCTATCATTTCCGACTCATTGGCGCCATCACCTCCCTCACCTTCGTCCCCCATCCATCAAGTGGTTGACAATCGCTTACGATATCATGAACAGCTTCGGACTGTTTGCGGTCATATACACAGCCTAGGACCTCCTCGACCGTGTAGACTGACATGATGGGAGCTGGCATTCCTCGTCGTGCTTTCCGTCTCCGCACCTTGTTAGGTTTGGCTGGTCTCGTCCTCAGTATCATCGGTAGTATCAATCTTTTCCACCGTGATGCATCAGATCTTTCCTAAGGCTTCATCGAACTCAAAGCCGCCATGTGTCTTTTCACAGCCGTTTATATTGCCGACATTCTCATCACCGGAAATGGCTCCTCCAAGTCCAGCAGCGTTCAGGCTGAAAAAAGACGTCTTCTTTCTGCAGCCCTTCCTTTTCCTGGGAGTTCGTGTACTCTACTCGCTCGTCTGTCGTATTCGCACAGAAACCAAAATACTTTGGCGCCTGGAGCTTGAAGTGGACTGCCATCTTGGTTCGCGGCTTGATGGGAACCCTTATGGAGACTATTATCGTCTCAATTTCCATTGCTCTCGGTTTTGTTCAAAAGCTGGTGGCCCCCCCTCAGGAAGGTAAGGTTGTCTCACGCGTTGTGTATGGCCCTGGGCCAAGACGCGTGTGGAGAGAGATCATCATGGGTGACATGGAGTCCTGGATGTTATGAAATGTCCTGTTTTGGCGAGTATCGAACGGTGTTGAGTTCGTATATTGGCCGTCGGGAGCGGGCGATGGATTGATCCAATGTATTGTACAGTAGTATTTCTCGCAAATACATACCATATTCTATTGAACAAACATTCAAAAACATGAAAGTTTCCTGACTTCGCAGGGTTTCAATTTGAGATGAAGACATTGATTCGGATTCTCATCGAGATCTCCTCAGCGTTAGAGATTACAGACAGTTATAAGTGGGTAAGAAGTAGATTGAGCTTGTACAATATCGACTTGATCTCGATACCGGAGGTTACACATCTCTGAACCTCCCGAATCTGGTCTTGGTGAGCGAGTGGACGTTGATTGGTCGAAGTCTCACGTACACACCGTTCGTGAACAAAAATCCATCCACACTGAGGACAACTTGTCTGTTATCACAAGACAATCTACAACTAAGGTTCTTCCTCGCCATCTTCCTGCTCACGAAGCATCTGTCGCTTGGGGACCTCTCCGGACTCGGTATGGATGATATTCTTCCCAGATTATCCCAACAATAGCCTCGCACGAAACCGATCTCTTACCTTCCTCGCACTACTCATCCCCGAAATCGCAGCCTGTTCCACACTGTTTCCCTGAGGTCGAAAAGGATCCTTGAAGCTTCAGACAATTAGGATCTCGGTCTCTCAAGATGTCGCAACAATATCCTCAGCAAGGTGCGCCGGGACAGGAGGGGTATCCCCAACAACCACCTGCAGAACAGAACTATGGGAACTTCGACACAAATGCTCCGTCCGGGGTGCCGCCTGTTCCTGCCCCAGGTCCGACTCATGGGGGTCGAAAGAAACGTGCATATGCAGGACAAGCCTATGAGTTTGGTGCTGGGGCAAATGCGGCCCTTGGAGGTCAACAGCAAGCTGGCGGCGCATACTCGGGTTACTCCGCCCAGCAAGACGCGGCCGGCTATCCTCAGGGTGGCTATCAGCAAAATCCTACAGCGGTACAACAAGGTGCAACACCTATGTATCCCGGCCACGAAGCTGCAGCAGTGGGTGGTTATCAGCCTCCAGCTCCAGGCTATCCAGCCGGCGGTGTCGCGGGAATGACACAACAATTTGGTCAGATGGACATGTCCCAGAAGCCTCCTGTTGTCCCGGCACCGCAGCAGCCTCGTGCTCCGATCTTGAATCAATTGTATCCCACAGATCTTTCAAATCAGCCATTGAATGTTGCAGAATTGGACTACCCACCCCCCCCGGCGATTCTCCCCCCCAACGTGCGTATATCTTGTCCTTGTTCCTTTAGAAAACTAACAACCGTAATAGACCAGTGTGACACCTTCTCCATACGCCAACTGTCCGCCCAAATATGTTCGATCCACTCTGAACGCTGTCCCGACAACACACTCTCTCCTTAAACGGTCCAAACTGCCATTTGCGCTCGTCATCCAACCATACACATCTCTTCACGATGTTGAAGATCCGGTTCCCATTGTCCCAGATCAGGTTATCTCCCGTTGCAGAAGATGTCGATCATACATCAATCCCTTTGTAACGTTCCTAGACCATGGTCATCGATGGAGATGTAATATGTGCAACCTCACGAATGATGTCCCACAGGCATTTGATTGGGATGCCGCTTCTCAGAAGAGTCTGGACAGATGGCAGAGACCTGACCTGAACCATGCTGTGGTTGAATTCATTGCTCCGCAAGAGTATATGGTTCGTCCCCCACAGCCCCTGGTGTATCTCTTTTTGTTGGATGTGAGTTACGCTGCTGTCACCAGTGGGCTTCTGGCAACAACCGCAAGATGCATTCGAGAAAGTCTGGATCGGATACCAAATGCTGATCGCCGTACGAGACTCGGATTTATTGCAGTGGATTCGAGCTTACACTTTTTCAACATTCCCCGAGACGGCATCGAAAACACCCAGACTAGTATGCTGGTTGTCAGTGACTTAGAAGAAGCCTTTTTGCCCACTCCCGCCGATTTACTGGTGACTCTGTCCGAATGTCGGGAGAACATTGAAAACTTTCTCGACAAGCTCCAAGAAATGTTCCAAAACACCCAGAATGGAGCATCCGCGATGGGATCGGCCCTTCGAGCAGGCCACAAGCTCATTGGTCCTGTTGGGGGCAAGATGACAGTGGTGACAGCTTCGCTGCCCAACATTGGTCACGGCAAGCTCGACATGCGTGAGGACAAGAAACTTTTGGGCACCTCGAAGGAAAGCAGCTTACTTCAGACCGGTAACAGCTTTTACAAGAGTTTTGCAGTCGAGTGCTCGAAACAACAGATCTCAGTTGACATGTTCCTGTTCTCATCACAGTATCAGGATGTTGCTTCGCTAAGCAATCTTCCCCGATACACTGGCGGACAGACATACTTCTACCCTGGCTGGAATGCTGCACGAGAAGACGATGCCATGAAGTTTGCCAAAGAATTCTCCGACTACTTGTCTGCCGAAATTGGTCTGGAGGCAGTCCTCCGTGTCAGAGCCACGACTGGTTTGAGAATGAGCACTTTCTATGGTAACTTTTTCAATCGCAGTTCGGATCTCTGTGCATTCCCGGCCTTTCCGCGAGACCAGAGCTACGTGGTCGAAGTGGCAATTGACGAAACAATCACCAAGCCGGTTGTATGTATGCAGACCGCTGTTTTGCATACCACTTGCAATGGTGAACGACGAATCCGAGTCATGACATTGGCTCTCCCATCCACACAGCAATTGGCAGATGTGTACGCGTCTGCAGATCAACAAGCAATCACCACTTATTTCAGTCACAAAGCTGTTGAACGAACTCTGAATGGTGGCCTGGACAGTGCTCGTGATATGATTCAAGCTAAGTTGGTCGAACTGCTCGCCACCTACAAGAAAGAGCTAGCCGGGGGCAGCATGGGTGGTGGTGGTCTACAATTCCCTGCCAACCTTCGAGGTCTTCCTGTTCTATTTCTAGCCTTGACCAAGAATCTGGGTCTGAGAAGGTCGTCACAAATTCCAACCGACATGCGGTCTGCGGCTCTGTGTCTTCTATCGACCTTACCTCTCCCATTGCTGATCCAGTACATCTATCCGAAGATGTTTTCTCTGCACGATATGCCAGATGACGCAGGAACCGTGGATGAGAAGACCGGCGAGATCATCCTTCCTCCGCCAGTCAACCTATCTTCCGAACGTATTGTCCCTTATGGGTTGTACCTCATCGACGATGGCCAGACGCAATTTCTCTGGGTGGGTCGCGATGCTGTTCCGCAATTGATCATTGACGTCTTCGGCCTTTCAGACAAGAGTCAACTCAAGGTTGGGAAACAACGATTGCCAGAGTTGGATAATGATTTCAACGAGCGAGTCAGAGCAGTCATTTCCAAGAGTCGGGATTACAAGTCGAAGGGAGTCGGAAGCATCATTGTGCCTCATATGTATGTGGTGAAAGAGGATGGAGAGCCAGGATTGAGGCTGTGGGCACAGACAATGCTGGTGGAGGACAGAGCAGACCAAGGTGTCAGCTTCCAGCAATGGATGGGAATGATGCGCGAGAAGGTACAGTGAATCGAGTGATTCGGTCAAGGTATCGATTGGGCTAACATTATGGCAGGTCGTGCAATAAGTCGTCGAGCGCCAGATGGATTCCCATAGAACGAATGAATCCCCCCACCCAAAAAAAAGGCTCGGCATGGCTTGGCCATGCAAAAGTTCAAAGTCGCCCATAAAAGCCCTCGCCTTTCTGTTTTTAGGAGTCTGGCCCATCGAGTGGCCAGGCTGCGTAGGCCTGAGTTTGGGCTATTTCAAGGTCCCATGCTGTGGTAGAGCAAAAGATGAAACACTGATCCGACTACTGCGACGAGGGTAGGTTGGGGGTGAATCCGGCTCGTCAGGAGCCAAGGTCGCAAAGTGGCTTAGGGTGGTTGAAGGGTGCCCTGAGATGGAGATGGGACGTGCCTTGGGAGGTCCCTTGCGTGTGTCACTTTGTTTCTGGAGCATCGTGTTAGCTACTTCGGTTAGCTGCAGTTTAGTCTGGCCAATACAGGCGGCTATTCCGCCATACGCACTCCAATTCGGTCGCTGTGTGAAAGCAACTCGATCCTGATGTGAATCGAACTCGCACAACTGTTATTCACAGTCCTTCTCGCCAATTGCACCTCCGTCTTTTCCACCCAGACCACCTTGACTTTCAGAGAAACACCTGCTCTGTTCTGTGATCACCTTACTTCTTCTTCATCTGCGAAGCCTCTTTCAATCCTCCCTCCTTTCCTGTCCCTTCGCAATCAGCAAAACTTTGTGCTCCGCAGCCTCTGTCCTCCTGATACCCCACCCATCTCGATCGACTTACGAGGCTCCCAGTTCTTTATCGCCGCTGGATATTGCGGAGACAAACCTCGCGGGCGAGAAAGAGTCCCCTTAAGTCAAGTAAGAGTGCCCCGTCCCGTTGTCGCAGAATGTCAAGAATGTGAAATTCGCAGCGATCATCTCGACTAACTCAGTCTCGAAGAATTCCATCTCAACCCCCCTCCAATCCTCCACCCCAAGCGCCGACGCAGATACCCAGCCACGTCAAGTAATTCCCGACCAACTCGATTCCTATCTTGAGTGGTTTTGTTTTATACCCACGATTCTCTTTCAGAATACCCGTAATCGACCATAAGATTGCGCAGACTAGTCAAAAGAGTGGTTGAAACAGGGAGCCAGAGACTCAGTTCACCTTCACCGTCTATTTTGGGCCTCCAAGACCTGTGCTCCAGCCAAGATCAATACGCAAGAGCTACCCACCCGGCGATCTGGAGCGATCGAGTCTATTCCCCACGCAAAAACAGTGGTCGTGTAGCCTTTGATACCAAAACTAAATCTTGGAAGGAGGAGACATTCCCCTGCAAGTTGTATCACAAGTTAGTCCGTTGCAAACCACGATAAACAAAATTCGACTGGTCAGCAATATGGGACAGCCTCAGCAACAAAATGCTCCGACAGGAGGCTCCAGAAAGATCTCATTCAACGTCTCCGATCAATACGACATTCAGGATGTGATCGGTGAAGGTGCTTATGGCGTTGTCTGGTACGTTCTCTGCCCAAATCCGGTCATCTCGACTAACATCTCCAAGTTCTGCTCTTCATAAACCGTCTGGCCAGAAAGTGGCTATCAAGAAAATCACACCTTTTGACCACTCCATGTTTTGCTTGCGCACGTTACGAGAAATGAAACTGTTACGATATTTCAATCACGAAAACATCATCTCCATTCTTGACATTCAAAAGCCACGAAATTATGAAAGTTTCTCCGAAGTTTACCTTATTCAGGTTCGTCTGTTGGATGTATAATTGAACTCAATTGACCTATTTCAGGAATTGATGGAGACGGACATGCACCGTGTGATCAGAACTCAAGACCTCTCTGACGACCATTGTCAATATTTCATCTATCAAACTCTCCGAGCGCTCAAGGCTATGCATTCTGCCAATGTCCTCCATCGAGACCTGAAACCATCCAACCTGTTACTCAACGCTAATTGCGATCTCAAAGTTTGCGATTTTGGTTTGGCTAGATCAGCAGCTTCTACAGATGACAACTCCGGTTTCATGACTGAATACGTGGCTACTAGATGGTATCGCGCTCCGGAAATTATGCTCACATTCAAGGAATACACAAAAGCTATTGATGTTTGGAGTGTTGGATGTATTCTCGCAGAAATGCTGAGTGGGAAACCATTATTCCCCGGCAAAGACTGTAAGTGTCGGAGATCTTGGCTTGGGCGCAATGTCTAACATTTTCCAGACCATCACCAACTCACGTTAATCTTGGACGTTCTGGGAACTCCCACAATGGAGGACTACTATGGCATCAAGTCTCGGCGCGCTCGCGAGTACATCCGATCTCTCCCGTTCAAGAAGAAGATCCCTCTCAAAGCCCTTTTCCCTAAGACATCAGACCTCGCCTTAGACCTGCTTGAGAAGCTCCTTGCCTTCAACCCCGTCAAGCGCATCACAGTCGAAGATGCCTTGAAGCATCCCTACCTTGAACCTTACCATGACCCTGACGACGAGCCGACTGCTGAACCGATTCCAGAGGAGTTCTTCGATTTTGATCGCAACAAGGATCAGTTGGGCAAAGAGGAATTGAAAGCGTTGATCTGGAATGAGATTATGCGATGATCGGTCCAACTTCGAGTGTTGCAATCGACGATTGTCTGTTGGTTAGGGGCCCGAGGGACTGTCAGTGTCATAAGCTCAACCCGAAGGATGAATTGAATCAAATCAAGTCAGTGAATGAGATAGAGACCTGCATTGCAATGTGAGACCAATCCATACCCCATCTGTCCTTCGTTGCATTTCACAGTGCTGGCTGTGTTTTCGCACTAACAGCAGGCAAATCGGATTCTTGTTCATGAGCTTTGCTGTTCCTTCTTTATATGCAGAAGGGCTCGCATCGATTGTCATGGCCGTATTCCACCGGATATTACGTGACAGTCTCCTCGTTAAGGATTTTCGCTTATACGACGATGAGCCCACGGCTGGTGCTAGTCACAATGGCATATTATTTCTCATGCGCGTGTCCGAGATCCTGGTCGCACCACATCCTCGTTCAAAGCGATGGACCGAAGGTTAGTGCCCCTGTCTATAGGGAGTTATTTTACCATTGTGTATCTGACAATCTTCATAATATGGTGTGTCGGTCTCGAGCGATGCGCTGGGGATTGATACTACTTCTCACGGCGCTCTTTCCACTATACATATCCGACGTCCTCCATATACACCGTCCGTCTCACAATGACGACTAATTTCCTCTGTACACATCTGCCGTTCTCCAGATGAGAAGTCCCCAGTCAGGATGATGGGTCTCGGTCGATGTTGACAGCAATCGCCATCTCTTCTCTCGCCAGCTGCGGCTTGATGGCTGGTGCTAAGTCGAGGGCGGGTAAACGAACATTAATTTTCTCTGATTCCGAGGCTCTCGACATTGAATCAGGGTTTCTGCCTGTTTCGACGGCAAATTGCTTTCTGATATCTCCAAATGCCCTTCCGAAATGTGACTCAGAGCTATTATAACAAGGACAGCTTGTCAAAAAATAACCCCTCGTGGCATCAGTTATGAGAGACGGGCTGACTGGAGTGTCGAAGAATAAGAGAGAAAGAGGTTGCGGGGCTGAATGGTGCAGGCTAATTATAGGAGAGGGGTCAATCATTCAAACATCACCGATGGCCCAACAAATAAGACGAGACAAGCGAGGGCGATGCTATGTGAAGAAGAAGTCTCTGGCAAAAAGGATACGTTTTTTGGACATTCAACCTAATAAGACCAGAGCTTGAGAAAAGAGAAATTTTCAGGATATCCCGCAAGCCAAAATGATTGAAATGGGTGAAAAGACCAACCTCCTGTTCTGCTGAAGGAAAAGGTATCCTGATGGTCAACACAGACTCCTGAAGTAGATATACACAATCCCCCAGCAGTAGCTTTTGGCGTGGTGTAAAGAGGGAAGATGGTCTGTACAGGTCCAGGCATTGAGCAAACCTGGGAGTCTTTCAGCCTTGTCATACGAGACGAGGCTGTCTCGGGTATGTCATCCGGCCACCGTGTGCCCACTGACTGGACCACGGGACGGCTTCGGGATGCCCGCGTTTGGGATTTGGTGGCCATTCGGGCGTGTGCGGGGACGCTGATGTTCCCAAGTAGACTAGGGCACAGACATGCAAAAAAAGACGATAACGACAGGAGTCGAACCTGCGAGGGCGAACCCATGAGATATCAAGAATATTCAAACATCGCAAGGCTGCGAGAGCCTTCCGAGCCAGTGCAAAAGCACCGTTCAAGTCTCACGCCTTAACCACTCGGCCACGTTATCGAAATTTGTGTCCAATGTTGGGGACAAAATTGCCCAATTTAATATAAAGAGTAAAGAGAAAAGCGCCGAGCGAAGGACCAATATAATTGGATCGCTTAGGCGCGAGGTACTCACGGTCAGATTGGTTCGACAGAGGGGAAGTTTGAGTGTGAGGGAGTCGCAGGCGTGGAAATCACCACAAGTGAGGACTATACATTTCTGAAAGTATGTATTCAAGCTAGGATTTTTATATACAGTGCTTGGCCTCTCCATTGGCCTCCCTCCCCTCGATTCGGTGAATCACCTACTGATCATCGATAACGTGCAAATATTTCTTTGCTTCTGCTTTTTCCCTTGCCGTAGCAGGAGGCAAGTCGTAGTAGCTGCTACTACGATAATCTTGCAGATAGTGGTATGTCAAGTCACTGAGCTCGGCAGATTCCATGCCCAAGTCTTTGAATGTCTTCGCTGTTTTGTCGATATGTTGATCAAGACATTCTTGCTCGACTTGGTCGGGTGACATGATGGGCCACCAAATAACTTTGTTGAGATAGTACAGAACTGGCTTCAATACGGCCTTGGGCAAATTGATATGTCTTCGTTGCTTGAGGATTTCCTTGTCGACAATCGCGGCAATCTCGGCCATGCTATAATTTGTCGGTCCGTAGAGTTCGAAGGTTTCTCCGGCTGTGGTATCATCATAACAGATCTTCTCAAGCGCTTCGCCCACATCAATTGCCTGCGAAACGTGTTAGATTTGCCCGACACTATTTCGAAAGCACCTACATGCACAGGGTTGAATCGCTCTTGCATGTTGTTGACGGTAATGAAGTTGGTCACACCTGCTAGACGATGTAGCAGGTGATCTTCGAAACCGAAGCAAGGGGCTGGTCGAACTATTGTAGTCTCCGGGAACAATTGTCTGGCAATCTGCTCTCCTCGAGCCTGTTTACGCGTCAATGAAAATCCGCCGGAGAATTTCCCATTCATACCTTTGTGGCGAAGAAGAGTGCTGGAGAATTTATGTCGGCATTGTATGAAGAAACGTGAATGAATCGGTCCACATCATACTTGGCGCACGCTTCTGCTATCCTCTCAACACCTTCAACATTGACATCCCACAGACTGAAGTTCTTCGTCGGGTAGTTTCGGCCAATCATGTTGATCACAATATCGGAATGTCGAACGCTTTCCTCTATAGATTGTGTGTTTCTGAGGTCGAATTCCATGAAACTGACTCTCCCAAGATCCCCCGAGACCTTGAGATGGCGCTTCCCCATTTCATCTCTGTACGGTATCACCACTTGATTTCCCCTCCTTGCAAGACGGTTGACAATGTATCGGCCGAGAAATCCATTTGCGCCGAACACTGTAGCTGTATGACCTCCTAATGATGATCTTCCACCTTGTGATCTTATGATTGGTTTGCCCGTCCGAGTGATAGCAATGTCTTGAAGGGTTCGACGTTGAGTAGTCCTCGGTCGGGATGCTCGAGCTGCGCGAAGCACGAGAGTGGTAGGTTGACCGGTCTGCATCTTGAATGCAGCACCTGGGTAGCCTTCACAGGCAAGGGGAAAAAAAGGTGTTCAAGTGGGAATCTGAACCTGTGGTATGGTTTGAAGAAAGCTGGGTGACGAGAGTCGACGTCGAGAGCTCCATGGGAGTTCGGAGACCAGGCTTGGCATTCAGCGACCGTCTACCAGGCGCAATGAGAGGCGCGTCAAACTGCGAAGACCCCAAATCTCTACCAACACATTTCTACCGACAGTCCATCCACCAACCGCGAAAGGTCGAAACGCGTACTTAGTTCTCTGACGCTGTTGATCACTCCGCGATGTCGAAGCAGGCTGATCCAGAGGCGATTTCCAATTTCCTTGCAAACCAGCGAGATGAAGCACCCATCGAACTTCAACACATCTTCCTCTCATTTGAAGATCTTTGGGAACGGAAGCTGTGGCATCAACTGACAGACACACTTCTGGAATATTTTTCCAACCCAGAAAGCACTGCTCAGAGATTACCGATCTACAATACCTTTATCATCAGCTTCGCTGACAAGATCAACCAACTTAAACTGGTGAAATTGGCCTTGAGTGCTTCTGCACAAATCAAAGGTGAGTTGTGAAGATGAGAATTACCTCTTCGTGTACTAATATATCTCAGATGATACCGAACGAAGTCAGTTTCTCAAGTCCCTGGCGGAGAGAGTGGACAAGCCAGATTCTGAAGAAGCGCATGTTTACACCGTCACCGAACTCGCCAGCGTGTACCTAAGATTAGGCGAATCATCAAAAGCAAGAGAACAACTCGATAAAGCCCAAAAGACACTGGATCAATTCGATTTCGTCGAGAACGTTGTTCACGCAGCTTTCTACTGTGTTAATGCCGATTATTTCCAAGCCGAAAGCGATTACACGTCGTACTACAGAAATTCCCTCCTCTACCTTGCATGCATAGACGAGTCCGAGTTGACACCTGAGCAACAACAACACAGAGCATATGACCTAGCAATCGCGGCGCTTGTGTCGGACACGATCTACAATTTTGGAGAGCTTCTATTGCATCCCATTCTCGACGTTCTCAAACCACCACACCCAAAATCATGGTTGCGCGATCTTCTCTTTGCTTTCAATCGCGGAGATTTGGCAGCTCTTGATCGGATGTCAAATAATCTGAGCCAAGATGAGATTCTCGAATCACATCGACTATTTCTGTGGCAGAAGATCAACCTGGCCGCACTGACCGAATTAGTCTTCAAACGACCACCACACGATCGTGCAATGACTTTCAAGACAATTAGTCAAGAAACAAATGTGAAGCCCGATGAAATTGAACACTTGGTCATGAAGGCCTTGAGTTTAGGTCTATTGAGAGGAAAGATTGATCAAGTTGCTGGTATTGCGAGGATCAACTGGGTCCAACCCAAAGTTCTGGAACGAAGTCAGATTGAGGGTATGAGAATTCGACTCAAGGAATGGGACAGCAATGTCAATGATTTGGGTCATTGGATAGAAGGCGTTGGCAAAGATGTTTGGGCAGCATGAAGACGCTGACCTGATCCGTACGGCATGGCATAGCAATGGCGTTGGGGAGGTAGGCGGGAGGTCATCAGTGAAATGGACCGTCAACAGCCATACCACAAGGAATCTGTAGAACAATTTAGTGCCCCAAAGGCCTCGCCGGTCAGCTGGTATGTACGCGAGAAGAGTCAAAGCCACAAGGCTCGTGGATGATTAGGGGAAATCCACCGAGCCCCATGCGCTAAAATTTTGTAACCTCATTCATGTCGAGCTTCAGGAGACCCATCTACGTTCTCCATTCAATTCAAGCATTTCTACCGCCAAAGTCCTTTTGATGTTTTGACTTTCTTGCTTGCCTTTCCGCTCCCTTCTCCTCCATTCACCCTCCGAAATACATATGTCCGAACAACGATGAATCCCTCAGCCATGGTCTTTCTCCGCGCCTGTCGCGGCGCACCACCAACGCGCAGCTTGATTCTCCAGTCTCCATCAACGAATACTAGCACACCTCTCCTCACTTCAACGCAAAATAGAGCTCCGCTTCGGTGTCCAAGGACTTTCGTCCACCGATTACAGCAACAACAACAGCAAGCTGCGTTCTCGTCAAGGTCTCTACTCCGACAGACCCAATCAGTCAATGACCTCTCTCCTGCAAGAACAGAAGTAGACGGTAAATGTAGCGAAGGAAGAAATTTACCACAGACATTCCTTTCACGAGCGACGACGGGTAGAGATACAATTCCTCCTACATCTACATATACAGGCTCCCCTTCTACTGTGAACTCAACATCCTCATCGCAACCTCCCTCCTCTTCGTCGCAGCAAGAGATCCGGAAACCCTCGTCGAAGCAAATACAAAAGCAACGAGAAGAAGATGCCGCCTTCCTGGCCTCCTCACTGACTCTAACGGGGCATGTTTCCCGCGTGGGTACAATGCGCAAAACCGTCCGCGTCTCCCGCACCATCCAGATCTGGGACAAATACCTGCAAAAATACTACAAAAAGGAAGCGCACCACCTTGTCCACGACCCGAATGACATCCTCAACGAAGGCGATGTCATAACATACGGCCCATTCCCGCCGAGTATACGCAGAGACAGGGAGAAGAAGGGTCGAATCGGCGGGAAGAAACTGGTCAAGTACATGGTAAGAGAGGTTATCACGCCGTTTGGGCAGCAGGTGGAGCAGAGAACAAGGAGGGTTGTGGGGAGTCAGGACGGGAGGTGGAAAGGCGGGCCGGGTGAGGTGAAGAAGATTGCCATGAGAGCGAGAAGGAAAGGCAAGGGAAAACTGGAGGCCCCGTTGTTGAAGAATGATGAAGAAAAGGCAGCCCATACCCAGGCCGAGCCGGTATAAGGCACAGGTAATGTTGAGACCAAAACTGGAACCTGGTCTTGTGTTTTGTTTCGTTCTTGATTGAGTTGAGTCTCGAGCCGAATCTGTGCTGTATGGGCCGATATTCGCGGCGTGTGGACCGGATCAAGTTCAAGCTGAGGAAGAGACATTGTGTTATATACAAGGGGGAGTTCTTCGAACGTGCTCCTATACTCAAGCACGCGTCGAGGTCGAAAGCGATACATGCAATTGAACCAATAAACAAGCGAGGACCGATTCCTTATTTCTCAACCAGCTGTCATCTCGACTCGGTCTCGCCAAAACTTCGCTTTTGCCTTCCCAACAAGGCCCAAAATTCCTTTCCCTGGCAACCCAGCTAATATCAGACTTCGAAACCTGCTTCAGCTTTGTCATAACCCATACCAACCTAAGCGGGATCGAAGCCCGTGAACCGAATTTTTTGCCTCGAAATTACTGGATTCGAATCCTGACCCCTTTCGTCCCGTCTCATCCCATCCCTATCCTGCGTGTTAGGCTTCACTGCAGTCACAGCTCCAATATAACCAAAATCTGGGGATGCAACAAAATAGACCTCGAGACTCGGACGGAACTGTGGTCAACCCAAGAGATGGCCGCTTGCTCTCGTCCTGAGCAGGAAGCCTTTCGTGTATGAGAAACAATAACAATAGAGGCAGTCAAAAGGATCTTTCCCTGTGTATAAGCATACAACAGTGTAATTTTTGAATCTATTTTTATTCTCGTGCGCGCATTCTATGCTTGCGACACGATCAAGACATGACCATGCTTCCTTACTACCTTTCCTATTGCTATCACCAGATATGTATGTTCTGGCTAAAATGCAACCCCCACACTGCAGAGGACCGGAAGATACTCCGCTCTATCGCTCGAGGATAACAAATGCAGCCGAAAACTGATCGTCTTTATTCTATTGTTCAACGTCCTGTCCTTCGTCTAAAGTATTGTGATCGTAACACTAACATGAGTCTCCCATAAGGAGTGTTATCCATCAGCTTCAAGTCCTTATTGGATGGAAAGGTTGAACTAAAGGGTCTGAAATTTGGCTTCGGCCTGTGCAAGCTTATCATCAGTCACACCATCCTGTTTTGAGTCCACGCCGTCAACCTCCGTTGTCGATTTATGTTTTGACTCTGGCTCTGCCTCTTTTGACTCTGAAGGGTGAGCAGGAGGTTTCACCAACGATGCTCGTCGTAATTTCAATTTCTTCTCCCCTTGGGCCGATATTCTGGTCAATTCCGCCACAAAAGACTGTCCCCAGAAGGCGCTGGCGTCCCCAGTCAGTATGACAGGTGAAATCGAGAATCAAGGGGCATCGCAGCTCACCTAGTATACTTCGAAACGTACTTATGCAACTTTGCATAATTGATCGCACGCTGTTCAGGGCTCATGGTAACAGCCTCTTGAATAGCACCAGCCAATTCCTCCGTATTCCACGGGTTGACCAAGATACTGCCATTTAAGCTCTGTGCGGCTCCAGCAAATTCAGAAAGAACCAGAACACCATGTCGATGCTCCTGCGTGGCAATGTATTCGAACGAAACCAGATTCATGCCATCCCGGGTAGAAGAGACGAGGCAAACATCCGAAACCGCATAAAGGGCGATGAGTTCGTCGAAATTGACTGATTTGTGCATGAAATGGATGGGCATGAATTCCACGGTGCCTAGAGATCGTTAGTGAAGGAGGCCGGCGGCGGACAGCGGTGCGTACCAAATTTCCCATTAATTCGCCCAACCAATTCATTCACCACAGCACGAAGATTTTGATATTCTTCAACATCTTGTCTGCTCGGTACAGCGACCTGTACCAGAACCACTTTGCCGATCCACTCGGGATGATCGGTGAGAAACACCTCAAGGGCGTGAAGCTTCTGAGGGACACCTTTGATATAGTCCAGGCGATCAACTCCAACCATCAATTTGACACCCTTGAACTTCTCCTCGAGGACGGCTATTCTCTTTTGGACTTTATCCTTTTTGAGACCTTCAGTGAATTTATCCGGATCAATACCAATAGGAAAGGCTCCAACGGTGACGATTTTGCCCTCGAACTCAACTCCATTTGGAGTGGTTGTCAAATTCAAAATTCGAGAGCAACTACTGAGAAAGTGTCGTGCATAGTCATAGGTATGAAAGCCAATAAGATCGCAATGAAGAACACCAAGGAGGACTTCATTTCGAACCGGAAGGATGCGGTAAATCTCGCTGGACGGGAAGGGGGTGTGCAAGAAAAAGCCGATCTTGACATTGGACTTGGTGGAACCGATTTCCTCACGAAGCATCTGAGGTAAGAGCATGAGATGGTAGTCGTGAACCCAAACAAGATCACCGTCTTCGACTTCGTCGGCAATGGTGCGGGCGAAGAGACGATTGGCTTCGGTGTAGCCATTCCAGGCAGATTCATCAAAAGTAATCTCGCCGGGGTGGTAATGAAACAAGGGCCACATGATAGAATCTAGACGTGTGTGTCAGCTGGAACCAAAACGGAGAAACTATTGATTTGCTCACTTGAGAAGCCATTGTAATGTCTATCGGCCAGTTCATCGGCCATGAAGACCGGAATAGCATTGAATTCATCCTTGAGCTTGGTGGTCACATCATCAATCTCATCTTGTGGGACCTCCAAACCTGGCCAGCCATACCATTGAAAGGTTGTGCTCTTCGCCAATCCACTGAGACCTGTGACCAATCCACCCGAGGACATGGAGAAGTCGTATTTTCCATCGTTGGAACGTTTGATGGTGATGGGGAGACGATTTGAGACCAGCAGTAATCGTGACTCCGGTTTAGGAGGGTTGTCTGTGGCTGAAGGCATGTTTCGGGGCGATATCGACAGCAATCTGAGTCAGATGGAGGCGAGCAAATCGTCAGATCCTGGGAGGTCGTGGAATACGGAGGCCACCATGCATGCAGAAGGAACAACAAGAGTTTGCCGGGGGGGGGGGAAAAAAATATTGGTGTGGTGGTGGCAGTGAATGACCAGCCTTGCGGGAGGGGACCTTCGATGGAGGACTAGAAAGTGATAGAATAAGTTTGTTCGTCACTCTGATATTGGAAAAGGACACCTTGAGGATGAAGCGAGGCTTTTTCGTTCTCGTCCACTTGGTGATAGCCCGGATATGATCCGGCAAATTGCAGGCCAACAGGTGAGTGGGAAGGCGTGGAAGTCGGTCGTAGGCGATTGGTGTTTGGCGACCTCGTGCCCAATACTCCCGAGATGCAGATGGCGACGGATGCGGGTGGAAGGAATTTGCGAGGGCCAGCCTGTGAGTGAGGAAGCGAAGCTGATGGGAGAAAAGCTACCTGCTCTTCACTAAGAAATTGATTTTTACGTTTAGGTAGGGATGGGGAAAAACAGTGACACTGGGAAAACAAGGAACGGAGCTGGATGAAGTTGAAGCTGCCAAGTGCCCCATCTACGCCAGAACAAGTGACCTGATATTGGTAATTGTCGTGTTATTTGCAGAGAAAGAAGAGTTCCTTTGGCATGTGCTCGGCTTGGTTGGATGCGATATGATACGGTACGGTATACATCTGTCATGACCAGAACATCTTAACCAGAATCCTCTTCGGTCCACTCATAGATGGTTGTTCTAGTTCCTTCGACGACCACGACAGAAAAACTGACAAGCGACCATTGACCGACATTTCCGCCCTTTGCCGTGAGGACACCGCCATCTTTTTTTTTTTCTTTTTCTTCAGGGAAGTCTATATAATATCTCCACATGAAAATCGTCTTGGACACTTCCCACACAGTTCCCCAGATGGAGTACATGACATTTGTCTCGGACCATGCTTGCTGTCGAAATGCTCATTGCTTCCGAAGCGCCGTCTGTGTTCATGCCCAGAATTCCCATATTCTCTCCCCATCGCTCAATGCAACTCCAACCGCATGAGTTACTCTCCCACAAAAGAAAATAATTCAAAGTCAGATTCATGCAAGAGAACGATGTCATCGTCATAACGTCGCGTACGTTCATCAGTCGTGCATTCGGATCTCGTTAGACTTGGAATATAAAAAAAAAAAAAAAATAGAGCAGTGTATGGTATCGTAAGACATCTCAGTCGCTCGTTAGATCTGCAATCAGTTTCTCATCACAGACATAAATGCGTTAATCTTAATTGGCTCGGATGACGAGTTTTGCCAAAAACTTATTCGACAGCGAGTCAAAATCTTTACGGTCGAACCGTGCGTTGGGTCGACCTCGGAGGTAGTTTTCTGTATAACGGTCATTAGTATCTACACAACACCCGTGGTTACCAGGTTGACTCACCATATTTCGTCACGTGTTCTCGAACTTCAGCCATAGTGTTGCACACATCCGTATTCGAGGCCAGTAAAGTGTGGTGTTTGGATGTATCCCATTCAAGGAAGGATGGCAGTTTCTGTGAGATGGCCTGGAAAAGACCGACAACCACACCCACAGGAGTGGTCTCCATGTCATTGCAAAACTTGTCCACGGCCGCGCTGTCAGGCACACGATAATGGCAGTCGAATTGCATGCATTCCCAAACCGCCAACAGCACTGAAGCCAGAATGAAGATGGTTGGCCAGTTCTTGAGCTTGTCACCGCTGTACACGCTCGAATACAAGATGGACAGTTCCTCAAGAACATCCTTGTGCAACTCACGCCACATATCGGCCATTGCACACTTGATCTGGAAATTGATCATCACTGGGGCCATGGTCTTGCCGAAGAACTTGGACGTCTCTTCTTCAATCTTGCCAATGAATTCTTCTTCCGACGGCACCCCCTCGACCATCGTGATATGCAGCGTCAAGTTGTATGCGAGCATGAGTTTTAGTGCCTTCTTGATTATCGGAGACCCTGTCTTGAAGTAGAAACGATAAGCCGTCTTGAGCATTTGGGACAAGAAAGGTGTCCCCTCAAAGTAGTCATCGACGAATTTCTCAAAAGTCCCAGTTCCGTCGATATGTCGGTCCAGGTAGTCGCTCAGCATCGTCGTCGAAATGCCTTCCATGCCGGCAGACAGTTTGGCCGTGGAGACTTCGTAGCCTTCGGGAGAAAGTTGGTTGGCTTCGACCCAATCCATCTTCAGACATGTTTCATCCCGGACGTAAACTTCGCGAGCGGTGACGGGTAGCATATGGCCATATCCGTGGGTGATAAACAGTGTCTTTTCCGTGTCGGAGAAACCCTTGATGTTGCCGACAGAGAAGCCGAGAGAGATGTGTCGCTCGTAGTCAAACTTCCAGTCCTTCAAGAAATACCCGATCTCTTTGATATCAATGCGAGTGCATGGTACTTGCCACAGGCGAGCGTGGGAAGGTTGACATCCCGCACAAGGTTCTCCCTTATCACAAGTCTTTTTCAAGAATTTGCATCGCAGGCAAGCCCTCAGCTTCCGGATCTCACTGGCTTGCTTTCTTTGCTCGGGTCGGAGTGGTCCTTTCCTTCGTCCAACCCGTTTCTCTCCTTCACCCTTGCCAGTTTGAGATGACTTCTTCGTCACCTTGTCGGTCGATTTAGCGGCAATAGGACTCTTTCTCGAAGTTTTCCGGCCGGGCGAGCCAGCTGAGCCTTGGGAGCTTGGAGATCGAATCGAGGGAGCAGAGGATTTGGTAGGTGGAATTGGGATGGGCCGGACGAGAGCGGAAGGATTGACGCTCACGGCAGGGGCGGACCCATGGTCTATTGACAGGCGATGAGAATTTCCGGCATATTCATAGTCACTATCAGACAACGTGGTCGGAGAGTAGACGGCTTGAGACGGGCCCATATCAAGGTTGGACATGAAGTTGTTATTGCCTTGATGCTCGAGGTCTGAGTACGATGACTCGGACAAGGTTCGATTGTGCACGGTCTGATTAGGATCGACAAAAAATTGTCGTTCGTATGACTCGAAGGAGTTTCGAGCCTCAATCATGGTCCATCCATGCTCGTCGCATGAGCTAGGCTGAGACAAGACTTCAAGGTGGGATCCCGTTGGCGAACTTGTCAGTTGCTGATATGGTGACACAGCCAGTCCTACGTCTGTGGTTGTATAGTTGATCAATTCACTCTGAAATTCAGACCAGTTATGTGGCATGCCTTCAATGCCGGATTCGAGCGGAAGATATGAGGATTCGAGCGGGAGGCCAGATGCCATGGGAGGCTGCGATGCAGGCATCATTGTCAACTGCGAGGGGTGCATAGGGAGGCCATGGAATTGGGTGTCATATTGCAGATCGTAGGAAGGCTGTTGAGTGGGAAAGTCGACGGTGTGATGTTGCTGTTGGAACCTCCAAGTATCCATCATCGGATGTTCCGCCGTGGTGGTCTGGCGAAGACCATGATTGTCGGTCAGGATTGGAGAGACATTTCTTCTCGAGTCTGGTCGTGCAGCAGCGATATGATCCATCTGTATGGGCCATGCTTGATTGCGGAAGTATGAGGCGCTTCTTGAGTCAAGATCATAGGCGAGATCCTCGCCAGTCAAGGCGACATTTCCTGCCATATTGGAGGATGTGTCAGACTGTCAGCCTCGTGGGAGAATGTCCGGTCGGAGGACAGGCTTCTCGAGGATAATTGTTTCGCTGGCCTCGTGAAGCAGGAGAGAGGAAACGGTTCAAAAGGAGGAAGAGTGTGTCAAAGGACAAGAGTTACAGAAAGTGACCGCTCAAGGCGAGCACCGTCGAGAGGACGGGACTGAGGTGTGCGGCAGGAGTCTGAGTGAGAAGAGGCGGTGAGCAGGATATGCAAGTTTGGGGATCGTCGAATTGGCGGGGACGAGTCAAGTGGTCCAAAGTAGGTCGGCCGTGGACTGGTGTAGACCGGTCACCTGCAGATAAACGATCAAAGGATCCTCGGTGACTGGAGGGCGAAGGACCGACTGGTGGTGGCGGAACGGACCACAGCCACTGTGCCGATGGTTGGATGCGGTAGAGGGGGAACGAGTCGTTCGGTCGTTCGTTGGTGGTTCCTGTAGAAGGAGAGGGTCCGGGGCTCTATCCTAGTACCGTCTCTGGGCAGTCCAGAGGCTGGATTTTCGCAAGCTCTTGGCGACCTGTCCGCTTCGAGCTCTCTTCCAGTGGATAGAGAGTCGTTAGCTCGGCCTCCGCCGTTTCCAGCTCAAGATAAAACGCAAAACCACCTTGAGCAAGGGGGCCAGATCCAGAGAGGCAGTGATTGTGGAGAACGAGGACACGGTGAAAGACCTCGACTAGATCATGATCCAGCAGAGAGGAACAGAGAGGACTCAGAATATCGAAAGAACTCTCTGTTGTGGGAGAAGAAGACAGGACCGTATCACCCATATGAAATACTACACTACTCACGACTGCGCCCTCTACCTGACAAAACTCATAAACTGCACTTAGGGACCGCTTTTGTCGCTCAGCCTCTGGGTGGGAGGCGGGCAAGCTCTGTATCACTCGGCGCTGGGTTGCCGGCAAAGTATCTTTTTTCCATTGGAGTGGCACAGCAGACAAATCTCAGTGCGAGAGCCCCTCACCTCTTTTGGACTACTGCAGCTCTGAGTGCTTGTGAACGAGTCATATCGCAGCAGTACCGTATGCCCGTAAATTGGCCACTTATCTGCAAATCGACAAGCTCCCACTAATGCAAGTAATCTTTGTCGGTGCTGACTACTAGTCTCTTCCAGGCAAAGTCCTTTTCCTCCAGTACCCGTCGGCCGTGAGAGGAGTCTGCTGCGCCTCAACAAATATGAATTCTCTTCTGCATCGTCTGCAATTAAACAGCCTCGTCGACGGCATCCATTCACATCTGCAGCAACAACATGTCATCTCCAGGTTCAAAGAGATAGATATCGGATTGATGTATTCTGACGGGCAACTGAATATCATGCTTGGGCATCTCCCGCCACTTTTCCAAGACGGCGCATCGAAGGGCGGTGAGAACTTGGACGGCTTGTTTGAGCTTTGCAGTTTGCGGATCCTTCGAGATTCAAGGACTCAGGAGTGCAGGTTTCTCACAACAATGACATTCTAACGATGCCCGCGACAGGCCGACGTTTCATATGTAGAGGCATAGAGGATATTGCTCCCCCAGATTTTGAGATTTGACGCTGTACAGGGAGAGGGATGGATTTCGAGTAATTCGGCAATTGTGGGATCCTGTGCAGCCTTGATCAGCCAGTCAACCTGCCGGGTTCGTCACTTTCTCCCTTCCTCTTGCAAACTGGCTTGGAAGCGTTGAGTCTCATGATTTGAAACCAACAGGTTTAAAATTGTGGCAATACACTACGGAGGAGTACATGAGATGGAAGAGAAGTACTTACGTCCTTGCCAAGTATTTTTGAACTTCGACGTCAAGCTTGAGGACGAATTCATAAGACCTTGTGCCTCGCGAATCTCGATTGTCCCTGAAATGGTGTGAATTCACTTGAAATGACCATTACGGGCTAGACACATTCTCCGGCACGACCGTTCAAGCGGCAAATTCCGCACAGCAAATACGGTTTTGGAATTCAAGAACAATACTAATGAAAGAAATATTTATGGGACTGTCTCGATAATAAACAGTTGTGATCCCTGTCAGCTACGATATTGTCTCATTGGGGAGCTCTTTTTCTTGCTTCAATTCGTGCGACATGGCCGACTCAAGCCGTTTCGCATCCCCCATACCAGCATATTTCCGTGAACCACCAATCTTGATCGACAGCCTCGAGACTGAGACATCCACCCTCCAGGAGAACACGGTGAATGAGTGTCTACCTCTGCTGAATGGAGCCAATGACCCTACCCGGAACCCTTTTGATTTCAATAGGTTCGGAGTACCTAATCTAGAGCGGGAGGACCACATCAACTTTCTCCACGACAATTTAGCTGAGTTCCCAGCACCATTCGTCGGCATTGATGCTAGCCGCCCTTGGATGGTTTATTGGGCCCTATTGTCGCTTTACGTGCTTGGGGAGGATATTTCTCCGTTTCGCTCAAGGTACTGCGGCTGATCTTTACATGTACTCTTCCGAGCCTTGGCTGCCGTATTGATCAAGGATATGAAGCCATCACAACTCATGAGCTAACAATGCTACCAGGGTCGTCAAAACATTTTATCCAATGCAAAATGCCACTGGAGGTATAGGCGGAGGCCATGGCCAGTATTCTCATCTTGCTGGAACATACGCAGCCTTGTTGAGCCTTGCTTTGGTCGGAGGCGATGAAGCTTATTCCCTCATCGACCGCGAACAAATGTGGCATTGGCTGGGCCGGCTCAAGCAAGTCGACGGAGGTTTTCAAATATGTGAAGGCGGGGAAGAAGATGTTCGAGGAGCATACTGTGCCTTGATTGCCGTTTCGCTTCTCGATCTTCCTCTTTCGCTTCCTCCAGATTCCCCCGCCAGGGACGCCGGCTTGGAAACTTTCGTGGATGGTCTCGGCGAGTACCTCTCTCGATGCCAGACCTATGAAGGTGGAATTGCATGTTCGCCAGGGAATGAAGCGCACGGTGCATACGCCTTCTGTGCGATTGCATGCTTATGTCTCTACGGCCAGCCTCATGAGTCACTCCGAAAATTCCTCGACATCGATGCCTTGATCTGGTGGCTGTCTTCTCGACAGTATGCCCCGGAAGGGGGTTTCGCCGGTCGCACAAACAAGCTCGTGGATGGCTGTTACAGCCACTGGATTGGTGGATGCTGGCCATTGGTCCAGGCTGCTTTGAAGGGGCCACGAGGCCCGGCCAACCGGCCAGAAATGGCCATGATCGAGAATCTGTACAGCAGCGAAGGTCTTGCAAGATACATCTTGTGTTGTTGCCAAGGTCCACGTGGTGGATTGAGAGACAAACCCTCGAAGTATGCCACTCTGGTATCCCCAGGATGGTGTGTAGCTCGTTCTAACCAAAAGTTCCAGGCGTCCTGATTCCTATCATACCTGCTACAATCTTTCGGGCGTCAGTATCGTCGAGCATTTGCACACCTATGGGGTAGCCGACAGTTCTGTCCCATTCGCTTCTGCTTTCTCATGGGAGGCTTCCAAAGCTCAGATTCCGAGCGAAGGGGATCCGGCCGCCACATTCGACGCAGGCGCGCATACCAGAGCTATTCACCCGGTCTATGTTATTCCTCATCAAGCTGCTCATGCCATGCGGGAGTGGGCATTATCTCGACCACTCAACCTGGCAGGGATCAAATGACTGATATCTCTCCCAAGTAAAGAAAATGTGACCGTGTTGCAGCATGATGCCCGGAAACAGTAATCAAACCCCTCCTTGTCGTTTTTCGTTATCAGTCGCCATAATGGTTTTCGTAGACCCAATCTCAATCAATCCTTGCGTATGAAGCAATTGATATTGAAACGCGGTTCGTGTTACTATTCAGGTGAGACGCCACACCCGATTAAAAAACCGAGTCATCCATTTTCTGGCTGCTAGAAAAAGAGAGCCTCCGTCGACCTCACTTTCAGCCTTCTTCTTCCTTCGAGCCATCCTCTATACCACCATATTCTGCATCGTTTCTGTCTTTGGATCAGCTGATCGTCCCCAAGTAAAGCAATATATCTGAAGTTGGATTCCCCTCTCCCCTCCTAGTCCCATTCCACGACAGCCGGGGCTCTGCAGTAAGCCTTCTGCTTGTCATTGCCGCTAAAGCTAAGTGGGGGACATTCTGTTTCTCATGCATCGCAGGCCAGCCAGCTCCGTTGCAGAACTTGCTTTGCTTTGCATATGAGTGAGCCTTCCAGGATATGTTGGCCGTCCTGGGGACCTGCTGATCGGTTCCCTTGCTTACTGTCAATTCGGCACAAAATGCGATAGAAATCAGTCTTGAAGCATCCTAGCCAGTCATGCATTCTGACACCTCTCTTACTACCCGGGCAAAGCCTGGAACGCGGGGATGGATGTCTATCGACAGCATATGGCTGCTTCGCCTGTTCGGAACCAGAACTTCGTTCGTCTCTTGAGGTTCATACGAGGGCTCCAATGAGGCCTAGGATTCGATATCCCAGACGGCTCAGGGCAATGGATTGATACGACAAGACAGCGGATCCTAATGCGTGTTGATCCAACAAGAACCCACCCTGGGACACCCGGAGTCCATCATCATTGACAACGCATTCATGCATCCGGAACTTTACGATTACAGAGCGGCCCGCCACTCGAGTTCGCCGACTTTGGACTTGGCATGCCGGTCAACTATGCGCTGCAGCTCGGTCTTCGAAAACGGTCCGCCAGTACGAATTTGTTTGTCGTAAGCGCTCGCTCCAGACGCATGTCTTCGAATCCTGTTCGATCTAGATTGCGCATGCCCAAATTTCCCTCTCGCACACTGGGCAAAAAGCTGCAGGGCCAGGCATGCCATTCAGTGTTACACCTCCACCCCTTCTCGCGTCTAGTCTACCTATCAAGAGGCTCAGCAGATTGCCCCTTTCTTCTTCCAGTATTCCTCGGGTCTCGAGACCTTGGAGGAGAGAAGCATCTGGCCCAAGCCCTGCTTGCAGCATCAAAACACCATTCCCCACCTGCCAGGTGTCTCTGCATAATATTGATTGCGTCAAAAGGAAGATCTTTGGGCAGAAGAGATCTTCTCCCGGATCCAAGTCACCTTTCAACAACTACATTTTCTGCAAGCTTTCACCGGTCACGCATGTCAGCGGAGACGCAAGTCAGAGCCCAAAAAGCATGGCTTCTGCGCGGGGAATCAGAGCAGAAGTCGGTCGCCAATCAGGGCCTGCATCTAGATCTGCACAGGCCCTCAGACAAGTCGGACGGTTGCTAAGAATGGTCCCAACATCGACGTTCTGGCAGTGGCTGAAAGGTATGCCAACGCATCAAGGACATTATGATGCCAGAAAAGCAGAGTGTTCACTCTCCCGAAATCGACCAATACCTAGCCGCTCACCAGAGGCATTTGGCCACTGTGGAAATTTTTGGCCTGCCCCACGCAATGCCGCTGGTTTTCGCGCTTGCTTCGTTGTCAGTGCAGGGTCTCTGCCATCGAGGCATGAAATATGTGGACGTGCCGCCACGCCTCACCTGTAAAAAGGGCCAGCTGTATCGATGAGATTGATTTCTTGCTACCTGAGAGTATCTGCCTGGAAACACCACCACGCCTTTGGCTTGAGGCGACACCATTGCGAGTAGTGACATTGGTTGATACGGCCCAGTTTGACGTCTATAATCTGACCTTTCGGGGTGTGAGTTTTCGGTGAAGAATTGAACAATTGGATGCACGACTTTTTGGGCTTCAAATCACTCTTCCATTCGATGCAGACATGCTGCATACCGTGTACCTGGCCAGTATGTCTTCTCCAACGCCGCCCACTTCCATTTTGGCGTTGATGTCCGGCTTATTCGGCTGTACCTGGTTTGATTGACTGGCCGATTACCTGTTAATGTGCATGAAGCACCACCTTGGTCCTCAGGGGTTGGCCAGCCTTGCAGGTGGACCTCGATATGTCCTGGAAAAGATCCCCTTCCCCCGGCTTCTCTTTGGCCCCCGAGTTCCATGTTACTTGGACATTGCGATTTGTTGTGATCCCAGACACTGACCAGTGGTCCCCAGGTCTATGTCAGCGCCGTCGATGGCCCGAGCCTTCTTACCAGATATCCTACAGTCCGTCCGGATATCGATGCGTTGTCCGGGTAAATAATCGTGAATACCAAACGTCGACCTACCATTCATCCGAATCTTCGGCTAAAGAGGGAGCTGCTCTGATTGCCTTTAATATTTGTCGCAACTTTTCTGCCAACGACGGCATGTACCCCACCGGTTTTGCCCATGGAGGCGTGATCCAAGGCAATCCAGTGCCCGTGGGCTCCGGTCGCCACAGTCGCAGGAGCGGAGCCGACACTCGAGCAGATTACCGTTATGGTGACACCGACAGCTCTGGGAGCAGGAGTGGAGGTAGCAGTCCTGATTGGGGAGACTGTCGTCGTTCGGATCCCTTCCGACTGGCTACCAGCCATCGGAGCATATACTCTTCGGATTGCAGCCAGTTCGGAAGACGGGCAATGTCGCGCTATTAGCCCAAAGGCCACAACCCCCCCCCAGAGATTTTCCCATTCCACGAGGGGATATGTCCCGAACCAACACTTCGTATTCCCACGGAATTGTACGACTCACGATTTAACGAGATTATGACCTTTTACGAGCGAATTCCTTTCATTTGACGATTCATGATGAACGACCACGCATTTCTTTCATAGCATGCCGTATTAGATAAGAGTTAAGCAGGCAACTGTGCGGTTTAATCGAATTTGTGCTTTGAAGCATAGCGCCTCGAACAGGAGGGGGAAGCAAGCTATCGAGCTGGCCTGATTAAGCTTGGAAGGATGTGTGAACGACTTTCATTCTAGATTTTAGAGTAGCAAAATCATCTTGTTTCTGTCTGTGTACTCGGAACTTAAAAAGGGGAAGTTGTGCCTTTCCCCTAGTAGAGCACGAGCTGATAGGGCAGGAAATCTTCCGACTCGTGGCGCACACTGGGGAGTCTCAGGGGTCCCCTGCACTGACGTCGCGGCTGTGTGCAGTATTGAAGCTACTTGATTCCTTTGCTCTGGCGGACTCACGTTGCAAAATATCTGACCTGCCCGAGGAGTTGGGAGAGTTCTTCAGGATGGACATGCTGCTGCGAAGTAATCGATGACGCGTCTAGAATGCAAAACCCCAATCTGGCAGCTCACCATGCTCACTCGTCCTCCATGGCTTGCGCCAAATCTCGGCTCACGCATCATCTTCCTTTCCAACACGGCAGCTCCTTCCTAGGAGTGGCCATCGACATGGGTTCTTTGTACAGATACCCTTGGGGAATGTGAGCTTCATCTACCCTAGCTTCAGAACCGTCACCACCCAAAAAAAAAAGGCCAAAGACTTGAAGAGCCCCTTGTCCAACGGCAATGCTTTGCAAGAGCCATGACAAAGGGTAGGCGTTGTGATACAGTTCGAAGTTGGCGAATCCTAACTCGTGACCAACACAGGGAGACTCTTGACGAACCCTTCGAGGCTGCTCAAGTTGGTACTACCTCTGACGACCATAGATCAAAACAGCAACAGAAAAGATGTCCCTCCTCTTGCGCTACTTGTTCACCCTCAACGGCCGCTGTGATACCTCGAAAGTTTGATCCAAGCAGAAATGCCAAACATATCTACAGAAAAGGGTGACAACAGAGGAGAGGACGAAGTCGAAATTTGTGAGATGGAGCGCATCCAATGAGACGCTGCCAGAGCCAAAGAATTCGAGGTCGAAATCGAAGGGAGCCCAAGGACTATCAGGGATCCAGCACCGTCTTTCAACGACAGGACATTCTACTTGCGTCAAAGCTGCGCAGGCCTTCGAGAAAGACTGCCGATATGGCGCCAATCAAGAAGGAAGTGCGACGTTGCAGTCCACCACGGCGGACAGAAACTGCCATAGCCGGTTGGGACGTTCTGGTCGGTTTCGGGTATCTGGTTTATCGGTTGACATTCAAAACAGAGCTTGGCTGAGACACTCTAGAACGTGTCACTATCTTGTCCGCCTCAGCACTCTCACTGACGGTTATGTGGTTTCCGCACCACAATTGCAAGGCTTCCCATCGATCTACATTGGATTTCACGATTAGCCATCGGCAGAGCTGTTTATACAAACTTAAAGGCTTTGACCTGCAAAATGGAGAAGGTTTGGTTGAACAGGGATTCCCTCTCAGGAAAGAAGGGGGGATCAGAGCAGTGGCACCGGAATACGATGTCGAATGGGACGAGCGAGCAGATGATCAGGATTTAAAACTGTGAACAAGGCACTCAAAGACGAACGAAAGAATTCCAGCAAACAGGAAAACTCAAAAGAAGGAGTCCGATGGCAGAGACGAGGATGATGCCAATTAAGCACTATGAATATCTGCTCAACACCTTGCATGAAATCGTACTCAAACTCGTACACGATTACAACACAATCTTGCCGTCTTTATCATGCTCAGCGACGTACATATTTGTCTCGGGCAGGATCAAATATGGCTGCGTCCGTGGCTCCTGAAAGTTGGCCTGGTGTCACACGAGAAAATCAGCTTTAGAGGGGGACAACATCAGGATGACTTGGACTTACCTCCACTACTGTTTCCCTCTCCAGTCCGACGATTGCGGTTGTTTCGGATATCTCGTGATCGAAAGACACTGTATAGCAGCCACAATGTTACCCAATTTGGGGCATGTTCACCCGTTGTCGCGCCTTGATCGAAGAGGGTACGTTGGACGGTGCCTGGTTTTGCTTGCTGCCAGGTTTCAATGACTGCTTGTCGGCGACGATCTTGACGGATATGATGCCAAAAGAAGGGAGGTGTGGTTGCCGAGTCGTTGCGCTTTTCGTCTATCAGATTGCTTCGATCCGAATTCAGTCTGCTGTAGACGGCGATTGCTTCCTCCTGTTTTTCATCAGCCTCGGGTCAGAGCATGCCTTCCTCGCTCTCGATTTTGAAGCGTACCCGCATGGCTCGATAGTAGCCTTCGTGGCGTGGATCGGTGGTGCTCAATCCCAAAGCCTTCATGAAGTCATCTTTTGGTGCTCTCGGTCCAACAGGTGATGTCTGCGGCATGCTGGTGGTGGAGGGAAAAAAGTCGATGAAATAACCCGAAAAATATGTGCAAGATGGGACGAGTCCGTGACCACAGCAAGGGAGTGTCACAAATTTGACGATGTGATTTCGCCTTGAGCGTATCCTATATATTCCAAGCGAGAACCCCCGACTCTGGGCGCAGACGAAAGCAAACATGATATCGATCCACAGGCGATACGATTTAGCAACACGATTACCCGCACAAACCTCGCGCCTCAGGAAGATTTCAATGGGAATCGCCCGCGACAGCTATTATCGAGCCTGAAGTCAAATATGCTCGTGAATGGCACGCAACAACGGGCTTAGCGAGTTTGACATATGTACGTATCCGGCTCAACACGGGCAACCTCGTGGCCGGTTAATGTGTGGAACATAAGCTGACGCCAAACCGGGCGACGACCATGATGCCGTATATTCCCCTACCAGTCGCCTTGTTGCATGGAAATTGAACCCGTCCGCCTCAATGAAAATCCCAAATTGTCCTAGGCACTTGTACCAAAATTCCAATTCGACGGAGGGGGGGGGCTCGGAAGGGTAAGCCGGCCGCCGCTTGATGAGACAGGTAATCAAGAACCTGATACGCCGAGCTGCAGCAAACTTCAAGTATTTGTATGTTGTTTCATGCACTGGATTGGACCTCACGGACCTCCGACAACGTCCGCGCTCGGTGGTTCATTGCCCATTTGAATACGTCTTGGGGTGTGAGCTAGGTGGCCAGGACGACCTATGACGGTAATTTTTGAATGGACTGGCTGGCCTCCTTCAAGGCTAATATGACAGCTGTTGGCTTGGGGGCGAATTTTGTCCGGCAGGTATCGCTGTTGCGCAAAAATTACAGGTCGAACGTCTTGATGTTTGCTACTTGGGAACCCCAAATCGACGACATGTATGCACAACAAACAACGCAGGTCGATCTATTTGGACCCTCGAAGGGACGGCTTTCAATCAGCAACGCTCTCTCCTCGGTCTGCTCTTCATTGAGTAGACTCCTTTTCCAGACAGTGTGCTGACGATTCTCCATCAATGGTTGTGAGTTGACCCACTTAGGAAGTTGTGTGTCTGACGAGTTCTTCTGGGAAGCTTTTCCCGCTTTGCTCGTATGGTCCAGCCATGGGGAATGTACCACCCCCAGCCGCTGGTGATGGTGGAAGCTTTTTGAAAGGACTCATTTGTCGCTCCACTCGGGCGAAAGCAGTCTCCATCCTGTCGTGCCGCCTGTCAAATATGTCAGCCCGCTATACGAGCTTCACAACAGCGTCACAGGCGATGCGCAACCACTACCCATGTCCTCGTCACACCCGGAAAAGTATTTCTTCCTGAGAAAAAATTCAACAACAACGTCACCATGATATGCCATCATCGGCCAGGACCTGAGCATATCCTAACGAGATTGATGAGATATTTTCTCGCTGCCGGGATTATTGAATCGTGGTCTGCTTGCTGAACCAAATTTTGATTCTGATTAGAGATTCTTCCATTAGGTCAAAGATGGAATGGTTTCAAGAGCAATTGTCATTGGTGAGGTTTGCAGGGGTCGTCGTCAAATCGGACGGATTCGATTTCCATCAACGGTTATGGGCAAGTTCCGAGCAGTTTCGAGGCGAAAAAGACTGAACATTGGCTTCATCACCTGTGGCGCGGGTACGTGTGGGACCTTTGAGACGTGATGAAGCGAGGATTGAAGAGGAATGCGAAAGTTTGCGGCAAGGCAAGGCTGCCTGCAGCCTATTCTGTGTCCAGTAAGCATTCGTCTCATGACGCGAAGGAATACTCGTACAAAGGCGACGACATCGCGAAGGTGCCCCCATTCTCTGCTACCTCGTTCCCGAGATTGTAAGGGGGACCAGACGAAGGAGCCTCAAAGCATCATCAACAGAAGCGAAACAAATGTGTGATACGTAGATCGTAAGACGAGTTGCTTGGAAGACCATTCGGTGGTGTGCCGTAGACGGAGAGAATAGAGAGACCGATGAATTCCATTCAGACTTCCTCATTGAGTAATGGGCACGGGAGCATGAAGCCAGAAGTTCCTCTGTGCCGGAGTAGGGCAAGGAACAGACCTCGGGTCACCGAAGTCTTAGGCGAGGCGGGTTGACGACTAGCGAGACTAGGACCTTTGGTACAAGCCTCTGATCCCTCCTGGATGCTCCAAAAGAAAACCCCCTCCTACTCGATCATTGTTTCGATCCCACACTCCTACATTCTACGACATCCCGGGCACTTGATAAGCATCCACCGGCACCGCCTCCCCCCACTCGTCTGGAACTTCTTTACGTGGATCTTTGCGTCTTCACACACCATTCTCTCGTTTCAGTGGCAGGGAAATCTGCCTTCCGATCTGCCATGACCACGACACCTTCAAAACCATTGACCATCCCCGTTCTCCTCCTCAAGACTCGGTCTCAACCACAAGACGCTTACGAGGAGTACTTCTCCACACACTCGGAGGGCCCGAGTCTCGTATTCCTCCCTCAATTCGTCCCTGTCCTGGAACATCGACCTAATGTCAGAAACTTGGAGGTGTTGGAGCTGTCGTTGAAAGGCGGGACGCTGAGGAAGAAATATGGCGGAATGATCTTCACGAGCCAGAGAGCAGTGGAGGCGTGGGCTGACGTGGTGAAGAAGGTGGAACGAGATTCTGACGGCGTGGGGACTGGTATGGTCTGTCCTCCAACACCGGTCATGTCGCCTAGCGTTCAGAAAGAGTGACTGACCCAGACGTCCTTGGGCAGGTGTGAAACCCGCAGCTGAGAATATAACAAACACCGAAGAGGCGAACAAGGATGTCCCGAGTCCTCTGAATAACCTAGTCGACGACGACTCTGCATTCCCCCTCTATACTGTTGGGCCGGCGACCTCTCGAGCCCTGAATACATTGGTCGCTCAGTCTTTGTCCCACACATCATCACCATTTGCTCGCCTTCGACCATCTGTTCTAGGAGAGCACACAGCAAACGGCGAAAATCTCGCACGGTACATCCTGTCGCATTACAACGAGATGCAGTCGCAGACACTCTGCGCATTCTCCGACGCGCCAAGGTTACCACTTGCACCGGTCCTCGGGCCTTCCCAGGGACAGCGAGGGAACAGCAACGACGCCCGACTCCAGAAAAAGGGCCTTTTGTTCCTCGTCGGTGAGCAGAGACGAGACATCATCCCCAAGACGTTGATGGATACGGAAGGTAAGCTTGAACCCCAGCAGCGAATCTCGGTAGACGAGGTTGAAGTCTACCTCACGGATATCATGGAGTCGTTCCAAGACGATTTTCGCGCGCGAATTACCTCGGCGAGAAATGACGGCTGCCGACTGGTGGTCGTGGTCGTCTTTAGTCCGCAAGGCTGCGAGTCGATGCTCCGCTCGCTAAATTATCTCAACGAAGCCAATGTCTCGACCGAGCAAGCGAGGAATCGCTGGAGAAGTACGGAGGATGAGTCCCCTCCTTCTCGAGACAAGAACGACCGGACTTACGTGATTGTCACTATCGGTCCTACAACTAGAGACCATCTCAAGAATAAATACGGCTTCGACGCGGATGTCTGCGCGGCCAAACCAAGTCCACAAGGCGTGGGCGACGGGCTCAGGGAATTCCTTTCAAAGAAAGGCTTTCTCTAGGTCGAGATCCTGCATCGCTTAGACGAATCACACAATGACAAGTTGTTGAATACTATGATTCCAAGTTTCATCGACCCTCTCTCGATAGGCCTATTCGAAACTGCTTCTCTTCTCTCCTCTCCTCTCCTTTTCCTTTCTAGTCCGCTGTCTTAACTATAGTGTCGCCTTCTCACCCATCCTCCACTTCCCTTCACTCGTCTTCACTACCTTCCCATCCCTCCTCAGCTTCTCCAGCACCATCAACAGCCCAAACTCCGCCGGCTGGTACAAATTCTCCGGATAATGCCGATAAATTACTTTGACCATTTCCATGCTCGTCCACGCTTTACCTGCGGCAACCTCCTTCCCTCCCACCCCCATTTCACTTTCGCTATCGCTTTCTCCCACCGTTGTCAATGAATCGCGCACCACAGATTGCGAGGGGGCGTCGGGATTCTTGGCCGTGCCGTAACGTAGGACATTCAATGCTTCCTCTTCACGCATGCGTCGGTGCGTGATGTATTCGTCAATCTTGGAGACGGCGTCCTCGATCACCGCGCCGTGCCCGGGGTATGCTCGTCTCGTTTTGCCGGCGGTGTTCTGCACCGCAATACTGGCGGCGACACGCTGCTTCATCAACGCCAAGCTCTCTAGGTAGAGGCCCAGATCTTCAAAGACCGCTGTGCCGTGGCCGAGGACATTGTCCGCTGTGAACATGGCGCCGATTTCGCTTGGGTCCGACGACGAAGTGATTAGGAAGCTCATGTGGTCTTTCGCGTGGCCGGGGGTGTGAATTGCTTCGATTTCGAAGTCAGGTTCACTTTCTGACGAAGCGATAAAGTGCTGGCCGTCGACGATCTCAAGCACGCGGTCCGGGTCAATGAGGCGGTCCGGGTTCAGCGAAGGTTGATTCTTGTAGACTTGCAGCTCCGTTCCCTCATCGGCGCAGAGAGATTCGAGATCCTTGACGCCGCCTAGGTGGTCATGGTGCCAGTGTGACAGGAGACACGTCGATACGGTCGCCGGTTGGGGCGATTGTGTTCGCAAGACCTCACGCAGGGTGTCGACCCATTTATTCTCGCCTTGGCCAGTGTCGATGAGGAGGCGCTGCTGGCCTCGGCCGAGAAGGTATGTGTTTGTTCCTTGCAGAGTGAACTAGAAGAGTCAGTTTCGAGTATGGAGACGTTGAAAATGTTCATCAGTTCACGACCTCGTTCTTCAGTTCCCCGTCGTATCCACTGACCTTCTCCTCCCATGCTCTCCTGTCAGATAAAGTACCACCCGTCCTCCTCCCAACATTAGGAAAAAAGAAAAGAAAAGAATGAACGCACCTTTCCAGGATTTCCCCCCAGGATCCTTATGATATTCGTACTCACTTGTTCCCAATCTGGGAGCTTGGGTAGGTTCTGTGCCATTTTTGGTTTTCGACGTTGAGAAAAGCCCAATGATTGCAGGAGTGGGAGGGTTGGGCGCATACAATCAACTAATGAATTCTTTCGTCTCGGTGTCAAGAGGTGGCAGCTATCCGAGTTGGACGACGGGGATGGAGATAGCCGGGAAGAGAGGAGGGAGCTGGTCTTTCTGTCTTGATGACGATGGCTTGCCGGACTGGCACACGGCGTGCTCTTGGGGTGATGGTATTCCTCACGTTTTGATATCAACACGGTGTATTAGTGAAGATTCTGACGGATCCTTTTCGCTTTCTTCAGTGTAAATCACATTTGTCGCTGAACATCCTTTTCATTTCCTTCTCTATCAGGTCATGTGGCATCATATCATATTGTATCTTTCGTATAAAAAAATGCTTTGTGATATCAGCCTTAAGAAAAAAGGGGGGGAGGGAGATGGCTAGAAGGAAGGTAACAGACTGCAACGCAAATCCAACACCGATGACCGTTCCTGGTTTCATATAAGAAAATAGGCAACAAGGAGTGATTCTACACCTTAAATACGTGAGCAGTGATGGAAGATGCAGCGCATTTTACAACCGGGCTCTGTCCACGGGTGTCGCAATCGTCGAATCTCCAATTGTATCGCCGTTATTGGACGATCACCTTCACGTATTACGGGACCAGGTCACCGAACCGAGGTTCACTGGCATTCAGTAAAGGTTCGGCGAGGTCACGGTTATGTGTGGAGTCTTTAGCGAAAATGATAGCCGCTTGGAAGCGAACTGCTGTTCAAAACAGCGCGCGCTTTGGTATTCTCGCTACCGAAGACACATAACATCGTCCTTCAAACCGGCCTCCATTGGCAGTACATACCGCTTGACCCAGGTTGATATTTGATGGCCTTGACCAGTACCATCCCCAAACCCTCTCGTTTCTCTCTTCCTCTTCGAGACTCTGAATCTGCCATTTCTTCTCCCCGGATGCCTTGCTGAATATCACTTGTCGCCGTATACACAAATTGCATATGCATCCGCCAATAATCCTAAACTCCCCTTTAACTGGTGTGCATCTTAGCCATGGTGTTCAAGGCACTGCCATTCTTGAACCACTCAATCTGACCAGCGTTGAAAGTGTGTAGCAGTTCGCAATCCCACGCCGGCCCTTCCTTGGGATGCACTCTCATGATCATTGGTTTGCCAGGTTCCAATCCCGTGCACAACAAATCAACCTTGTCATCGGGATTGATCTTGTCATAATCCTCGGGGTTGGAGAAAGTCAATGGCAGCATGCCTTGCTTCTTCAAGTTGGTCTCGTGAATACGAGCAAAGCTTCGAGTAATGATAGCAATACCACCAAGATGTCTTGGTTCGAGAGCGGCATGTTCTCGAGATGATCCCTCACCATAGTTCCAGTCACCAATGACAACCCATTTGATCCCATCCTTCTTGTATTGACGGGCGGTGGCTGGAACAGCATCCCATTCACCGGTCTTGAAATTCTTCACCTTGTTGGCCTCACCGTTGGCGGCGTTGACGGCGCCAATCAACATGTTGTTGGAGATGTTGTCCAGATGACCACGGTACTTCAGCCAAGGACCGGCCATGGAGATATGATCGGTGGTGGTCTTGCCCCTGGCCTTGATCAGGATCGGAAGGTCAAGTTGATCCTTTCCGTCCCAAGGATCAAAAGGTTGCAAAACCTGAAGACGGTCCGAGGTAGGAGATACCTTCACCTCCACTTGAGCACGTTCCTCCGGCGGGGCTTGATAGGTATCACGGCCGGGGTCATACCCATTTCGAGGCAAACCATCACCACTGGGTGGCTTGAGTTTGAACTCGTTGCCATCCTTATCCTTCAGGGTGTCGGCCAGAGGATTGAATTTGAGATCGCCAGCAATAGTCATGGCCACGACCAAATCCGGAGAGGTGACGAAGGAGTGTGTGGCCGGGTTGGCATCATTTCGGCCGGTGAAGTTTCGGTTGTAAGAGGAAATGATGGAGTTGGGCTCTCCCTTCTTTACATCTCGGCGATCCCATTGACCAATGCAAGGACCGCAGGCATTGGCAAGGATAATGCCTCCAAATTCCTCCAATGTCTTGAGTTGACCGTCTCGCTCAATGGTAGCACGAATTTGCTCAGAGCCAGGAGTCACCGTGAACAATGACTTGGCCTTAATTCCGTGATCCATCGCATCTTGAGCGATGGAAGCAGCGCGAGACATGTCCTCATATGATGAGTTCGTGCAAGACCCAATTAATCCAACCTTCAGCTCCTCGGGCCATTTGTTCTCCTTGACGGCATCTTTGAAATGGGAAATTGGAGTGGCCAAATCGGGGGTGAATGGTCCGTTGATGTGAGGTTCCAATTCGGACAAGTTGATCTCGATCAATTGGTCGTACTCGGCGCCCTCGTCCTCCTTGAGCTCGGCCGCGTAGCTGCGCGCGAAATCTCCAATTTCTTTTCGCTTGGTCGCGACTAGGTAGTCGTACATGCGGTCGTTGAACGGGAAGATGGAAGTGGTGGCGCCAATTTCAGCACCCATGTTGCAAATCGTACCCATACCAGTGCAAGACAAGGAATTGACACCAGGTCCGTGGTATTCAACAATCGCTCCGGTACCACCCTTGACAGTCAGAATACCAGCAACCTTGAGGATGACATCTAGAGACACAGATAAGCTTTTCACAAACGATCACCGAGCGTCTATCGGGGCCTACCTTTTGGAGCAGTCCATCCAGACATTTCACCAGTCAACTTGACTCCAATAACCTTGGGAGCTTTCAATTCCCAAGGCAAGTTTGCCATCACATCGACGGCATCGGCACCACCAACACCGATAGCCGCCATACCAAGACCACCAGCATTGGGTGTGTGGGAGTCAGTTCCAATCATCAAACCACCAGGGAAGGCATAATTCTCAAGGATGATCTGGTGAATGATACCAGAACCCGGCCGCCAGAAACCAATATTGTATTTGGCACAAGCCGTGGACAAGAAATCGTAAACTTCCTTGTTGATATCCTTCGCTCTATCCAAATCCTTGTCTCCACCGACTTGCGCCTCGATCAAGTGATCGCAGTGGACGGTGGTCGGTGTGGCGACGGAAGGCATACCGGCCGACATGAATTGGAGGATGGCCATCTGCGCAGTGGCATCCTGGCATGCCACTCGGTCGGGTCTCAATTTGAGGTACGAAACACCTCGTTCGATATCTTGACCATGCGGATCGTCCAAGTGTGAGTAGAGGACCTTTTCGGAGTAGGTCAGAGGACGATTGAGTCTGCTTCGAACAATCGAAAGGTTCTCGGACATCTTCCTGTTGACCGTTATCAGCACTGCCCGAACTACGTCCGCCGTTTGGCCCAGGTAGGCGACTGGCAGAAAATCGTTCCAAACTGATGGCTGCCAGAATGGTAATGAAGACAATGGGATCTTGGGACTCACTTATAGTTGATATAGTGCCCTTTTTCCCAGTTCGTCATCTCGACCTGTATCCGGGTGTCAGGACTTTCAGCCCAATCATCATATAGAGTGTGAGACTTATTTTTGCTCAAAGGATCATCAGAGACAGTAGCATATCCCATTCTGGACACTCGCATGGGCTGATATTGTTCTGTTAGCTAGCTGTTGTTGCTTCCGGATCGAAGGGAGATAGAGGACTAACGGTTCCAATGTTGGAGCCCTAAAGTCGGGAAATATGTCAACTACAGATCTTGACCGTGGTAACAAACAATTGAGTCCATGGAGTTGCTATGCAAAGGCGGGGAAGGGTACAAGCGACCATGTGGCTAGGTATGATGCAAGAGAACTTACCAGGCGAGCGGCCAGGCGGCCCAAAGGCCTCGAGGACATCATGATCGCGACGATGCTTGAGCTCTGACACAAGAGACAGAAAATTCAAGCTCGACGAGGGTGGCGATCGAGAGGTGCAGAGCGGAGAGGTGGAAAGAATGGAAAGAAGAAAGCTGCGATGCTGTGGTGTGGAGGGTGGAAAGCTATTTGTCGGAGTCGAGAGGTGCGGATCGAACGCCTCGGGGGAAAAAAGCACCCACTGAATATGATAAGCCCTGCAAAAGACGTCAACCTCAACCAGGCATGAATGCTGCAGCTCCAGATACCAGTTTCTGCTTGCTACTCTGGAAACGTCTGGATCGGGACACACGACTTTTTTGTATCCACCAGCCCGATGTCGCCGTGCTTCTTGGTGTATCTCTACCTAGGCAATCGAGTCCACCCAAGGCCAATGCTCCGAGCAAATGCCTCAATTTTTCTTCTGACCTGCAGACCTCCCCGGGTAGCCAATCACCGTCGAGACAATTACTCCCACCACTCGCTGTCGGTGATTCTGTGCTCTGTTCTAGCCACAGAAATGACAGCGGCGTGAGGTAATGGTTAGCACCCATTGTCTCTCTTTGGCTATAATCCCTCATTGCATCTTGGCCTCTTTGCTTCCAGCCGTCCGAGACTGGACAATATCAAGACCAGCTGGGGAGAACATTCGGGTGGGCGGTGATTGGATGGCTGAGGCATCGCTTCACAGACACCGAAGATTGGCCTGGTTGAAACTTGAGGCCTAGCCAGGTCCCACTGTGCCGAAGCCTTGTATTCCCTGCTTCCTGATATTTTTCGCAAGATACTGCTAGTGAGATATCAGCCCCCTGATTCTCAAGGACATCCTCCCGAAACATCAATATGGGCAGCATCAGGCGCATTAAAACCAAGCGGCGCACCCGGTTTGTGCAGCCCTTCCCAATATCACTTGGAAAAAGCTCGCCGCTAACAATTTTTACAGCGACCTTGACCAAGTCAAAGCAGATCTCAAGTTCCCCAAACACCTTTCTCAGCACAAAAATTCCAAGGCATCCGAAGACTTACCAGGATTGGGCGCTTTCTATTGCGTCGAATGCGCCAAATACTTTTCGGATAGTCACAATTTAAACGAACATCGGAGGGGAAAAAATCACAAGAGACGGTAATAGATTCTTATTCCATATCTGGAGAGAAGCTGACATCGACGGTAGTGTGCGAATGCTTAGGGAAGAGGCACATACTCAAAAGATGGCCGACGCAGCCGTGGGTTTGGGAACGGACAGTCGCCGCTCACAGCACTCGGAGCAAGAATCGACGAACGAGACCGTGGAAGATATCTAGTTTCTGATTTTGATTGGGCATGTGCTCCTGCTGCAACAGTCCAGTGCAGGCCCTCACACCGTGTTATTCTACTTCACAAGACGGTGGAAGAACCACAACTCTCATCATGTCGACCCATGAGTGGTGACAGCTCCGAAGGTGTCCATGGAACAGGCGAGGCGCTTGTCAACGCAGTGTTAGTTCCTGCGCAACGGACGAGGTCATTGCTGACGGCCAAAGAACGCCATAATCCGTTCGTAAGCATACCACTATTGTCCTGTTAGCAAGTCCTGATCACAGTGCCGGATGGCTCCCCACCTGCACGGCATTGACAATGAATGCTCTCAGACTGCAAATACCGACACCATGGTAAAATCCACGGAGACCGGTCGTCCGCCAAATTTCACGTGCAATACCTAACGAGGTTTGATCACGACCAGACAGTGAATTGGTACCCGGAAGAAGCGTTTGCCTTTCCGGCTGCCATGAAGGTTGAGCTTGGAGGCGGGTTTTGATCACGTCCAAAGGATAAATGGACACCCAAGTGATGATACCCGCAATGCCTCCGCTTATTAGAACCTCTGTTGCCGAAGGGGAAATGAATGGGTCAGGCTGTCTTGAGAGAAGCAGCCGCTTGCTTAGCTCATAAGACCAGAAATACCAGCCATATCCGAAAGCATCTCGAAGGCTAGTAATTGTGCCTCCATAGTAAAGGCCTCGGAGGCCTTGGCGCTTCCAGATGTCCTTGAATGTTCCGTATGAAGACCCATACCCATCGACGATGAGCTGAGCCCTACACTTGATGAGTTCAGACGGTGCTGATACAACAAATGTGGCCAACCCTCCAAGGGCACCAGCCGTCCATATCTTGCTCAAATCCACTCCGGCCAGTTTGGTGTAGTCAAAGATGCTGGGATCCATCCATTTGAGGGATCTGTTGAAGGACAAGAATAAAATCGAATTCAACGCACCGTAGCCGAGCACTGGAGCTGCTGTACCTCTGAATAATCCCGCAAGCCTTTGAAGGCTTGTCCCTTGCGTGGGACGCGTATCTGGGGATGCTCTCCCCGTGCCCGTTTGGATTTGGACCTTGAAGATATCAAGACGATTCCCGATCAGAATGCCCATTGAACCAGATATGTAGCTGGCCCAGAAATCTGCCGACATATTGTAGTCTAGTCTATTGAAGAGTCTCTCAAGTAGAACGAACGAAAGATGTAGATCCGGGCTATATCATCTTGCAACCTTTGCGGTTTTCCATCTGACGGGGGGCGACCGGCAACATAACGGTCGGCTAGAGTTGACGGTCACCTGAAAATTTAACATGAGGGAGGTTCATTCGACGAGATCACGTGAGTACGCGATTGCCTCTGCCTAACGGAACGCGTCCCCAAACACGACTCCCCTGTAGCTACTGCGGTTTATCACCACATGTACTCTCATCTGGCCTTCCTTGTGCATTTCTAGTTTATTGCTGACATTTCTCGATCCCTGTCCACCGCTAATAACATACCGGCCATGTATGATCCCGCTTACACGTTCAACGACGGTGCTGACCACGCTTTTCAGGATTCGTACGAGAGCCATCACGCTCGAGCAAAACAAGGAAAACATTCCTCCCGCGAAAGCCGGTAGGCTGAGTGTCAATTCTCCAGCGGCAACTGATCGCCTTATCAAACCATTTAAATGCCCTGGCTCTGCCAACTCTCGCAAGTCCAATGGAGAACCAGCCAGAAAGCGAAAAAGAGTGAACTATGCCGAGGCCGATGGCGGCACTGAGGATACCAGTGGCGGATTCAGCACTGATGGAGAGAGCGCTTTGCTCAAAGATCGTTTCCCTGTATTTAAGGTCAAGGACAAGGATGCAATATTTCGGGCACGATTTGCAATCCCTCTAATCAATAAGAATTCCGTCGATCCTTCACGACCAGCACCAAGTCTCGGTATGCGTCGAGGTGCCACATTTGTGAACAAACCCCTACACGACCCCAGTGGAGAATTTGCGATCGTATTATATGATCCAACAATAGATGAGACACCGGTGGACAAACCTGAAGAAAAGAAAGAAGAAGAGAAGCCGAAAGTCGATACACCTCTCATGCACAAAAGCCTGGCCGAGATATTAGGTCTCAAGAAACAAGTCGAGGGCGAGCGGCCGAAAGTGCCCGTTGTCATTGATCCACGGTTAGCCAAGGTACTGCGGCCTCATCAGGTGGAAGGGGTGAAGTTCTTATACCGATGTACCACGGGGCTGGTGGATGAGAAGGCCAAAGGATGCATCATGGCGGACGAAATGGGTCTGGGCAAGACGTTACAGTGCATCACACTCATGTGGACTTTGCTCAAACAGTCTCCCGAGGCTGGAAAGTCGACTATACAAAAATGCATCATTGCATGTCCAGCCAGTCTGGTCAAGAACTGGGCCAATGAACTCGTCAAGTGGCTTGGTGAGGGTGCCATTAATCCCTTTGCCGTCGATGGGAAAGCAAGCAAGGAAGAGCTCACCCTTCAACTCAAGCAGTGGGCAATTGCCTCGGGAAGGTCAATTGCGAGACCGGTCCTGATCGTATCGTACGAGTCCTTGAGATTGAACATTGAAGAGCTCAAAGACGTCAAAATTGGCTTGATGCTATGTGATGAGGGACACCGCTTGAAGAACGCCGAGAGTGAGACGTATATGGCCCTGACTGGCTTGAATGTTGATCGGCGAGTCATTTTGTCGGGGACACCGATACAAAACGATCTGACCGAATACTACGCCTTGCTCGATTTTGCGAATCCCAACTACTTGGGCAGCAAAGCCGACTTTCGCAAGAAATTCGAATTGCCCATTCTTCGTGGTCGAGACGCTGCCGGCTCGGATGCTGACAAACAGAAAGGGGAAGAGGCCAACGCGGAACTTGGATCGCTCGTCAAGAAATTCATTATTCGCAGAACCAACGACATTCTGTCCAAATACTTGCCCGTCAAATACGAGCACGTCGTCTTCTGCAACTTGGCACCTTTCCAGAGGGACCTTTACCGCCACTTTATCCAGAGTCGTGACATCAAAAGCTTGTTGAGGGGGAAAGGCAGCCAGCCCTTGAAAGCCATTGGAATCCTAAAGAAATTGTGCAATCATCCCGATCTTCTCAACCTGGATGAAGATTTGCCCGGCAGTGAGAACTTCTGGCCAGATGACTATGTCCCAAAAGAAGCCCGGGGACGTGATCGAGATGTCAAATCATGGTATTCGGGAAAATTTGCGGTGCTTGAGCGCATGCTGGCACGGATCCGTCAAGATACGAATGACAAAATTGTGCTCATCAGCAACTACACTCAGACCCTGGATGTGTTTGAGAAATTGTGCCGAGCACGCTCGTACGGATATCTTCGGCTTGATGGTACCATGAATGTCAATAAACGCCAGAAGCTAGTCGACAAATTCAACGATCCTAACGGCGCGGAATTTGTCTTCTTACTCAGCAGCAAAGCGGGTGGTTGCGGTATCAACTTGATCGGTGCCAACCGGCTCGTGCTCTTTGATCCCGACTGGAATCCGGCTGCGGACCAACAGGCTTTGGCCCGTGTTTGGCGAGACGGGCAAAAGAAAGACTGCTTTGTATACAGATTCATGGGAACGGGTACCATCGAGGAAAAGATTTTCCAACGACAGTCACACAAACAGGCGTTGTCGTCAACGGTGGTGGATTCCGCGGAGGATGTGGAGCGACATTTTACGCTCGACTCTTTGCGAGAGCTGTTCCAATTCAAGCCGGAGACTCGCAGTGATACCCACGACACATTTAAATGCAAGCGATGCAAGCCAGACGGCGTCCAACAAACCAAAGCCCCTGCGATGCTCTATGGTGATACCAGTTCTTGGAACCACTTTGTCAACAATGGAGAAGAGGGACCGCTTGGAAAGATTCAGGACCTTCTCCTTCGACAAGAAGCGTCAGAAGATGCGGTTAGCGCGGTCTTTCAGTATATCAGTCACTGAGAGGATTGTGGAGGAGCGTGGGACGTATGACGAAAGAGACGTCCAGTTACCATGAGTGAAAAAAACCCAAGACGGTCTTGTAGGCACCATCATTTCTCTGGATACTACTGGCAATTGAAAGGAGGGTATGACCACCTAGACATTCGATGAGTGGAATGGAGAAGGTCTGTGGTAAGAGCGAATCATGTCGTGTCTGCCCAAGTAGCTTTCGAGGACGAGACTCGACATTTGCGCAAATAATGATAGTAATACAGAAATACTGTGTTTCTTCTTCTCCATTGGCCAATCGAAAGCAGCGGCGGAAGCTGAACCGAACAGGAAAGTTGGACACTGGAGGACCTTTTGAAAACATCGACCTGGACAATCAACCTGTCACACCTCCCCCCACGCGTTTGTTCATCACCACAAATCCAACGAGTCCCATATTTGCGCGTCCATGATCCATTTGAAGTCTCGATCTTTCCAAGATGGCCGCCCTTGGATGACCTAGCTCCCGGATTTGGAAGCCCGATTCGGCTCGACAGATCGGCCAGTCTTCTCATTCGATGGATGATCCTGCCCACCCACCTCACTAAATAGAAACACCACCATGGATCCCGCGGTTCAGCGTTTACTGACCGACAAGCTCTATGATAGACGAAAACAAGGTGCTCTTGAGTAATGACCGAATACTGTCCGAGCTTTTGGCATCAATCACTAATGTGGACAAGGCTTGAGCGTTTTGTCAGAGAAGCTAGCGCCGCCAAAGACCATGACAAGATCCGAAAGACCATCGACCAATTATGCCACGATTATGCCTATGCTGTCCATCTGCCTCATGCTCGCAATGGAGGTTTGATCGGACTGGCGGCTGCTTCAATCGCCCTTGGCTCGGTAAGGCTGGCTTGACTACCACTCCTTCAAGCTTGAAAGCTGACGGGGTCGTGATTCCAGGATGAGGTTGCTCGGTACCTGCAAGTGATCGTCCCACCGGTTTTGGCATGCTTTACCGATCAAGACGCCCGTGTACGTTACTATGCCTGCGAGGCTTTGTACAATATTGCCAAAGTAGCAAAGGGCGAGATTCTGGTCTTCTTCAATGACATTTTCGATGCACTCTGCAAGGTACAGCCGTCGTTCTCCTGGATTTCTGTGGCTAACTGCGGTCTACAGCTTGCCGCCGACTCTGAACTCTCCGTGAAGAATGGGGCGGAACTCCTAGACCGTCTCATTAAAGACATTGTCTCCGAGTCTGCGGCTTCATATGTCTCGATCCTGAATTTCACCGACGAAGATGGTGAACCTGTCGAAATTGACAAGGAAAGCTCCGAGTTTCCTACGACCTTCTCACTCGCCAAATTCATTCCCCTTCTCGAAGAACGTATTCACGTCCTCAACCCCTTTACTCGAACCTTTTTGGTGTCATGGCTTACCCTTCTTGATACCATTCCGGATTTGGAACTTGTACACTATTTACCTGCATTTCTTGGAGGACTGTTCAAATTTCTCGGTGATTCGAACCGTGACGTCTACGTGGCAACGCAAGGCTTGCTCGAACGATTCCTTGGCGAGATCAAAAAGATTGCCAAAATCAAACGACGTATTGCCGAACGTCGCAGAAGTCGGGCTAGCCACCTTAAACCTGCTCCCAACAGCCAGCCGGATAGTACCACGGCCCGTGGCAGTGCCTCAAATGATAATGCTATTGATGACACGGAATCTGGAACGGGTCAGGACGATCCAAATGGAGTGGAGGAAAATGACGGTGATTGGATACCCGGACAGGACGTTCAGGTGGATCATGCCCAAATTCTCGACATTCTCCTAAAGTTTGTGGACGTTTCATCCAGTAAAGAACCGGCACCAAACTTACGACTGGAAGGATTATCAAAACAAAAAGAAGAGGAGATTGGCATTGTCGCACTACGATGGATCGACAGTTTCTTCGAAATCAGTCCCGAGGAAATTTTGCAATTTGTTCCTCGCCTTTTGTCTAGGGTATTGCCAGCGTTGTCGGCACAGTCAGAACAAGTCAGAACAACGGCAAGCAAAGTAAACAGGTCGCTGATGGATTACATCGTCACATTCCAGGATGAGGTGTCGACTGACGACACCAGCGCCAAGGCTCCCGGCACTCCCGCCCTGATATCTGCTCGGGATGGTGAAGCTCCAGAGAAACGACAGTCCGGAACCACAGCAAAAAGTATTCCAGTTCCATCATCAAGTCAGAATGATGTCCCTCCCGAAGCATCTGCGGAGTTGGAGACATCTCCTGCAGAAGTGACTCCGAGGTCCACCACGGCCCCTTCACCACAACCGATCGCTGATCTCGACTACGCGGCCGCCGTGAATGCATTGACTCTGCAGTTCCTGAACGAACATGAAGAGACTCGAGTGGCAGCATTGAGCTGGTTAATCATGCTGCACCGAAAAGCTCCGAAGAAGGTCCTCGCGTTCAACGACGGGACGTTCCCAGCTCTCCTAAAGACACTCTCCGACCCGGCTGAGGCGGTCGTCACGAGAGACTTGCAACTTCTGTCCCAAATCTCCAAGAACAGCGAAGACGGCTATTTCACATCGTTCATGGTGGCCTTGCTCCAGCTGTTCTCCACGGACCGAAAGCTTCTCGAAATCCGGGGTAACTTGATTATTCGCCAGTTGTGCATTAATCTCCAGCCAGAACGGATCTACAGAACGCTGGCCGACTGCATCGAGAAGGACGAGGACATCGAATTCGCCAGCATCATGGTCCAGAATTTGAACAACAATCTCATCACCGCACCAGAACTGGCCGAGCTGAGAAAATCTCTCCGAAACCCCGAAAGCAAAGACGGCCAGACGTTCTTTGTCGCCCTGTTCCGTGCCTGGTGCTATAATGCAGTCGCCACATTCTCCTTGTGCCTCTTAGCCCAAGCTTACGAGCAGGCTTATAACCTATTACAGATATTCGCGGATTTGGAGATGACGGTCAATATGCTCATTCAGATTGACAAGTTGGTTCAATTACTCGAGAGTCCGGTCTTTACCTGTACGTCATCGCCTTCCCCCTCCTCTCACGTATATCAAGCGTCGCTAATATGTCCGACAGATCTACGCCTCCAACTCCTCGAGCCCGACCGATACCCATACTTGTACAAATGTCTGTACGGGCTCTTGATGCTACTTCCACAATCCTCTGCCTTTGGCGCGTTGAAGAATCGTCTCAACAGCGTCTCAGCAATAGGATTGCTCCATACACCTGCCTCGATGCCTACGCCTGCAAGACCATCGTACGTATTTACTTACTTTCTTTCGCATTCCTTCCTCGCTTCGTCCCACAGTAATCTTTCACCTTCTCACCTCTCGTCCTCATTCTCTCTCCGAATGATCCTAACTTCCTTTCTTTTAGCATGGTAACCGGGATGACACCGTCCAACATCCCGCCCACCTCCAGCACAGCCGTCGCAGGCCGTCTCAACCGCACACGTGACGCCAGCTCCTCAGCCAACGAAATCAAATGGCCCGAACTCCTCGAAAAATTCAAACAGACACAAGAGAAAGCGCGCCGACGTAATGAACGCCTTCTACGCGGAGCCGATGCCGATCCCTCCTCCGCGGGCGGGCCGGTGACAAGGGGTCTACTCGATGGCGCCGAAGGCGGACGATCCAGCCGTGCCAGTCTCCATGACGAGGCCGATCGCAAAGGCGGCCTCAGGGCCGGCAGCGGGCTGGGACGTCCTTCGCACGGCCACACTGCTGGCTCGGGCCTGGTCAAAGCGGGCAGTGGATTGACTATTCCCGGCGCCGCGGGGGGAGGAGGGTCTGGTGCAGGTACAGGAGGTGGCGCCGGGGGAGATAGACCTGCCCCTCATAAGCGCGGACATGGTCTGGCGGGCGGCTTTGGCAAGTTTGCTAGTGGCATTGCAAGGGCAGGGAGTAGTCGAGATCGAGAGAAGGGAAAGAAATCGTGGTGATTTTGATGATCATGACAAAATATGAAGTGAGATGATGCGAGGTCTTTGGAAGGACTGGAACTGATTTCGTCCTTTGGCTTTGGTTTCGGTTCCGGGTTCTTCAGCCTTGTTGCGAGGTGGAGATTGGACGGGAATTGGATTCCAAAAAGGTATAGTATGATGTCGCATGACAGTGAAGGAAGAATACCAATACTACATTACGTTCTTCTTCACGCGTATGCCGTGATTCACTGGCCTGGTTGGCGGGGCCGGGAGCGAACTTGGAAGCAGGTACATGAGAACAGTGGGATACGAAATTGGGCCCACAAGGGCGAGGCGATTGGATCGACAAAGTGATTTGGGCAGTTGGGCAGTCTTTTCGCAAGGTTTTCGCTGCATTGAGAAGAGAACGCCATTTGAAATCCATCGCCATTCGCCATATATCATGAATCAGAGCTGGGAAAAAGAAAATGAACTTGATCATGAGTGTACTCACCTTTTGGATTCCTTTGAAAGATTTCGAACTGGACTCATTCGCCTTTGGTAATTGTGGCCGGAATGCACAACAAGGGTGGACTTGCACTGCCTGTTGAATGGTGGCACAGAACATGGCATTAGGCGGAGAAACTGAATGCTTGAAGATTTCAGAGAATTGAAAGCAGCAAAGTCTAGTTGAAGCCACTCAGTATTTTGGGCGAGTGATGCCTTGAGGGTCAGGCTTAGTTTTGGAGCAATTGCAACTGAGCTCCCATCGCAAACATCGCGAAGAGCTTCTGTGTACAGTACGCTCTGGTGGCGAAAGTCGTGCACTGTTCATTGGAACAAACGTGCTACCTGAGGCATCGATGAAGTTGTTTCTGCACGACCAGGTCTGCCGAATATACTCCACGTGACATCCACGTGCCACAGCATAGTCGCTTACATAATATATACATTGCCCAAAGGGAATTCTATGATTGCTTCATCCTTTTTTGTCTCGAAGATACTCAAGGGTTCCCGTGAATGTGTTGAAATATTATGGGACGACTAGAATACTCTTTTGGTAGGATAGGCACATTCAGACCAGATTTGGCACTTTGGTTACTCCACATATCCCATGCACGTAGATAGTGAACCGGTCCATACACGAGGAAGTTTAGTCTCGGGCGAGACTCATTTTTTCTTTGCACAACTGCATATGTAAGGCACAGGAAAACGAATAGAACTTCTCGATCGCAGCCCCTCGGTCTCCTAGACAGTTCAAGCAGTAGTTCGAGCCCCAGACTTGAACAGTTATGGAGCAATTCATGGCGGCGGTCAAGGCACCCCAGGATGACAGCTGCCACCTAGCACAAGACAAAAGCCACAAGCCTGCCTAGACACGATGTCAAGAAAATGCCCAATGACGCGACGGATGTAATCTCGTTTCCCATTTCACATCGCTTGCGTGATAGGGGATGAATGCTCTGCTTGATCTGCTCTGCTTAGTACTATGCTGCCGGTAAAGCCTCTTCGGCGGCAGTCATTGACCCAGCTGATCAAAAACACCCCCGGACGGAAGATCCAACACAACCCAATCCAAAGCGATCGCTCGTCTTCCATATCGAACGTGACCCGGTGAACAGTCCTCATGACGAACCTTCATCCTCTTTCTATCTTCCCAAATGACACCAATGGAGGATGTCATACTGTACTCCGTGCTCGCGCGATCGTCCAAACTCCGATGCTATGCAAAACCTAAGCCACTAAAATATACAAAAGAAATACCAAAGCGTCAATGCAATTCTCGAGAGATTGATGCATGTTACCATCACCTGCGCTGCTCAGGTGGTATCCACATCGCCGTGTTTCTTTTGTTCGACCGGTTGGATTGTCCGGTCGAGTTGGTCGACATGGTAGGGCTTCTCATGGAGTCAGGGCCACTGTTGTAGATGTATTCTCCATCCACATATTGTGCGCCGGTGGTAAAGGTCGTACGGTTCTTGCGACGGGCATACTTTTGCTCGAGACGGTAGAGTTCGAGTTCTGCATCAGAGACAATTAGTCACTAGCTCAATTGTTGCGTGTGAGCGCTTCTCAGGCTTGAGTATTCAAGGATTCAAGATGTGCCTTACTAGATTGTAGCTTGTCGATGAGACCCATTTTGAAAAAGCGGACAGTGGACGGCACAGTTGGAAAAAGTCGATGGGTGAGGAATGTGCAGATACTTCGAGGCAATCGACTCCTATAATCCGAGGCCACGAGGTAAGCTGATCTGTGGCGGGTCTTATGAATACGAGATCCCTCTATTTTCAAGGTTCCCACAACCTGGTATGAAAGGTCTAATTCTTGCTCTCTCCTTCGATTTCGGTTTTTCGGAACGCAAAGGGTGTGGTAATGAGATGACCGTATGTGTGCGATTCTCGCGCCCTTCCGGCTCCCGAGCGGACGAACGGTTTTAGGAAACGTGATCTCAAATGCTAAGACGTAAGTCTGGAGAGGGACAATAACTGGTCACCTGCCGATCTGGGATGACAGGCCTGATATGATGCCGAATGAAGGTGGGATGCCGCGGTGCGCCTCTGAGGGTTTGATTCGGCTTTTCCTGTTCAGCACTTTGAAACGAACGGTGGCAACAGGAGAGAAGGTTATTTGAAGTCAATCAGACTGAATCCGAATCTGTCAGATGTTGGGCTGTGCAGACACACGACGAGACACAAGGTGCGTGGAAGGAGAGGATGACGGTATCTGCACGAGAGATCCAAGAAAGGACGTCGTGCTCGTTGCCAGCAACGAGCGGTGGGCTGGGAGGAGAATGGATCATTATGGAGGAGCGATGGAGTGGGATTTCTCGCTAGCGAGCCAGAGTAGCAGTGGATGCGTTCCTGCAAGAAAGGGAATTGGCCGAGCTCGCAATCTCTTCACGGCGTGCTTAATTGACTGATAGACAATGTTCAGATGAGGCTAAGGACTGCTAGGCAGGATTAGGCCCGAGTTGTTGATGCCCAGACCGCCTAAACTGCCTGACCTTACACTTAAGCCCGACCGTTAAAGTCGCTAGCCATTTACCCTCCCCCCAACAAGACTCATTTACGCTTCTAGCCAGGGCTTCTAGGCTTCTAGTGCGACTACCTGGCAGTGGTAGCGAGACAACTTCCCGTGGCAGAATTTGATCCAAAAGGAACGGGAAATGATGGATACCGTGATGGTGCAAGGGCTATGATCCATACGACCGCAGCTTAGCAGTATATACCTGTCAGTCTGATCTGTCACAATGGGTCTCAATTTCTCTTTCTAACCACATCTTCCACGATTGACACCGCCAGGCCGTCGATTCTGCACGACACTCGACTGTCAAAGACGCCAACTGATCGGCGGGGTTGAGGGCGCACCAAGTCTTCAACTACTCTGACCGAGAAACCGTGGGCACTCCTTTTCTGGCTCTTTAGTGGGCCTTCTCCTCGATCCTCAACCGCCACGTGCAAAACACGAACCACCCCGGTGTCTCGGAACAAAGCTTCTTATCATCTCGCTTCCTGGGCAATTAGATGTCCGGTCATCGATCCAGATTCGGCTTCTTCATTTTCTCCATCTTTTCCATCTTCGATTCGCAATCATCACCCGACCCAACCGACCGAGGTGAGAAATAAAAGCGACCATTTTCTAGAATTTCTCTTTCAACCTCCTTTCTCGCAATATCTCCCGAGTCAGGGACCTCAAAAGGTGTTGCGCACGCTCAATTGGCAGTGGTGAGGGCATGTATCAAATGGCACTAATGATGGGGACTCCCTTGGAGGACGGGAACAATTTTTCGTGGTAACATGACTAGAATGGAGACCCGTTGAGGAGAACTCAGAGAATGCCTCCCCGCCAGGACCCGATCACTCGTCTTTCTTCTCGGCCTCGCGCTCTTCTTCCAGTGATTGTTCGAAGCCCATATCCTGCCCGATCGACACTTCCTGAGCGGCCCATAAGTCGGCATAGAGCCCATCCAACGCTAGCAACTCTGCATGAGTACCTTTTTCGACCACTTGGCCCTCCTTAAGCACAAAAATGATGTCGCTGTCAAAGATGGTACGTAGTCGATGAGCGACAAAGACACTCGTCCTTGCTTTCTCCTTGAGAATGCTGTTGATGTTCTGCAACAGCGTCTGTTCGGTATATGTATCCAGCGCCGATGTTGCTTCGTCGAAGAACAACAACGGAGGATCCTTCAAGAGAAGTCGGGCTACAGCAAGACGCTGCTTCTCACCACCGGAAATCATCATGCCCCTTTCACCCACCATCGTGTTCCATCCAGCAGGTAGACCTTCGATTAGATCCAAGATTCTTGCTCGCTGGGCCGCCCCTTTGACATCGTCGAAGGATGCATCAATCCTACCATATCGAATATTATGCTCGATTGTGTTGTTGAACAGCGGGGTGTCTTGTGGAACCACCCCGATACTTTGTCGTAAGCTGTCAAGGCTGACGTCTTGGATATTTTGTCCATCAATCAGAATCTTGCCAGATTCTGCGTCGTAAAAGCGAAATAACAATCGCAGGATAGTCGATTTTCCGCATCCACTTGGTCCAACAATGGCAACCTTCTTTCCAGCAGGAATGGTCATGCTCAAATTCCTCAGAATTGGTCTGTCAGCGTGATAGCCGAAGGTGACATTCTCGAATTTGATTTCACCCCCTCGAGTCAGGGCGAGCGGTCGGGGATTGGCCACTTCTTTCACGGTCACATTGACCTTCTGCAGGTTGAACAGCGTTTCCATGTCCAGAAGAGATTGCCGAAGTTCTCGATAAACCGAACCCAAGAAGTTCAAGGGCACGGACAACTGGAAGACGAGTTGGTTGACCATGACCAAATCTCCCACCGTCAATTCACCACTGGCCACACCATTTGCTGCCATATACATCATGCCAGCCAGAGCACTGGAGAAGATCACATTCTGGCCGGTATTCAGAAATGCTAACGAAGTCGTTACTTTGATCGACGCGTCTTCGTACTTTTTCAAAGCTTTATCGTATCGGCTGACCTCGAATTTCTCATTGTTGAAATACTTGACGGCTTCGTAGTTGATGAGGGTATCCACCGCCACTGTCGCTCCTTGGTTGTCGGCTGCATTGGCCTGTCTTCGAAATTTCGTTCTCCAAGACGTCGTCGTGATTGTAAATGCCGAATATGCGATCATGGTGGCTGCAGTCACCACTGCAAATTGGGGTCCATATTTGTATGTCAAGATGCCGCAGACCATGGAGATTTCCAACACCGTCGGGAAAATGTGAAATAACATGGACGTCAGCAAGAAGCTGATACCTTTTGTACCTCGATCCAGGGCTCGTGTCAACCCACCCGTCTGCCTTGATAGATGGAAATTGAGATCGAGCCGAAGAAGATGTTGAAAAACATTGCGAGCGACATTTCGGATTGCTTTTTGGGAAACACTGGCGAACACAGCATTTCGCCATTCTTGAAACAATGTCGCCCCAATCCTGGTGACACCGTATGCGACGATCATGGATCCAGCGACCGTCCAAGCGGTGCCACCGACGGCCAGAAAGTCGATATTCATTGAGTCGACGATGCTTTTGAAATAAAAGGGAACGTTGACGTTCAAAATCTTGGCTGACACAAGGAGACCTAAAGCGGTGCCGACTCGAAGTTTGGTTCCCCAGTCTCCCTTGGGCCACAGATACTGGACCATTTCCTTCATGATGGCGAAATCGACTTTTCGCTGCTCCTTGTTCGAGACTCCCTTCTCGGATAGAAGTTCGTCCTTCTTCGCCACGTCTGGCTCAGCTTTGAGGGACTCTGCCTTTTGCCGTGATTCAGGGTTGGTCACTTCCGTGGCATTCGACTTTCCGGTGATAATTTCTGCAACTTTGGTGGCTTGTATCGGTTTCTTAGCGCCATCATCGCGTCTCACGAAGGCTGTCTGCGTGAACACGCGGACACTGGTCCGCACAGGTATCCGGCAGCCAGAATTCCATGTCTTCAGATGAGGGTATATAGAATCGTATAGTTTCCGCCTCCCGCAGCTGCGAAATGTCCGAGATAGCATGGTGCTTGGTGAAAATGCTTCTGATCTTCAGGCGGCAACCGTCAGCGGGCTACCACTGGGCCCGCATCTGCTTCCGCCAACCACATGCAAGAGTCACAAAGAGAAACAACAAATTCGCACTGTTCGCTTAAGAGGAATGATAACCAAAATTTGGAGAAATCAGGGAGTTTTAAGGAGAAAGGGCGGTGTTATTGCGACATCTCTTGCTGAGATGTGACGCCAGTCGAACACTCAACGCGAAAATCCCGCGGACAGGACCGCCAAGATTGTTATTGACGACTTGTATGCTCCCCCTGAAATTCAAATTTCCGCCCGGAGCGATCCGAAATATAATAGACCGAAGTTGAGATTCTGAATTCGGTCCTGAGAACGATATGCCCGCTCCTGTCTAAAACGCTGTGTCCACAAACGCTAGGTCTGAAGCTCTGGCAACGCTTATGCTCGAAAGGAGGGTTGCTGCAACTCATCATGGGGCCTCTCGAGACATTTTCTTCCAGAACCCCTCCCGAATTAGTACCTGGAATCGTCTCTCTTGCGGCACCTGGCCATCGATTCGAAAGATGATACGAGGAATCTCTCACATCTGCGGAGGCGGCTTTTTGGCCTTCAGGATTCGGGATTCTATAGAGCGATGGAATTTGGATCGGGTGATGCTACCAGGTCCCGTCGATCGACAATTGGTATGGTGAAGGTGTCATTGAGGTCGTTCGAGTGGTGGGTATTATGCACAGGCCTGAGTCGTTATACGAAAAGGAGTGGGTAGAGTACAGAGTAAATGCTTGAAATTCATTTTGTTGCCGCACAATCTGAAAGCGAAGTTGAGTCCGGAGCGCCCTGCCATTATGAATGCAAATGCTGCCGTTCTATATGCAATTAAGGCAACGTAATTACACCGATCAGTTTCTTGCGGAAATCGAGCCCACTCCGTCCGCGCCCGGAATACCGGTCCAAGTCACCAATGCCCTTGTTGGATCAGAGTTTGGCGATTTTGAAGTTCGCTTCGTTCTCGTTACCGTGGAAGATCAGTCGAAGAAGGTGCCCCTGCTGCTGTTGAGGCTCTTCGAAGAATCGTGGTATCTCCATCTTTGGACCTAAATGTGAAGTAATACTCGATGATGGCTGCAGTTGATACCATTGCGAAGCTGAAATAGGCACCACCTGATCCCAGAATGCTGTATACCATGCCAATCAAAGCTGGGGCGATAGTACTCGGGGCTCAGCAGCCCGACATCGCCAGTCCGTTGACTTTGCCGGGTGCCAGCAAGGACTCGGTCGCGTTCGTGAGGGCGAAGCTCTGCAAGGCGGGAATGACGAAAATGCAAACACCAGGGTTCAGTAGAAGCAACACCAACGGCACTGCAAGGTCCACAAGGGGGCAGAACAGAATGAGGGATACCTCAGCTTTCTAAATCCCTAGCTTCGCCACGTATCTAGGGAAAACAGCCCCATGAACGAACAGGGAAATGAAGCCATTGACAGCAAGTCAGGTACCGACCTTCTGGAGAGACATGCCGAAGCCTCCTCTTAGATCGAGTTCGTGCGGACGCCGTCGAGGCGTGCCTAGGAGATAGCCTAGGAGACATACAGGGAGAAGCGACGAAAAGCCCACTTGATGATAGCACATGAGGATCAATGCAATTGTCCACATTACGACAGCTTTACTGAAATGTTTGATGGGCCCAGCTTTTGGCTCTTGCTCCTCGCCGTCATCTTCAACAGCAGACTTGGTCCTTGAAGCGATCTTTACTAACGGCTTGAATGAGCCGACGGAGGCGATCGAAAGTCGAAGGCTGGATCATTCGGGATAGGAGCGGAGCCGGCGACATAAGAGACAGCCGGCTGAGGCAACTGATATAGCATCCAGGGTCTTAAATAGCGTTGTCTCTGTGGCAAGGTGTTTAGAAGCAGCCGGGACCTTTCTCGACAGTGACCGCACCCTAGGGTTAGTTTCCTCCAGCAATACCCATCCCTGGGTTATGGCAATCACTATCACTACCGCTGCAACGAGATTAGGGAGGAGATAAGGGTATTCACCAAAAATTCCATCTGGGGAGAATAAATAAGAGTAGATTCGAGCGGGCTGTGCAGTATAATCTCCTAATGAAGCGCCGGCGATAGAGCCAAGGCTCCTACATGATTGATTGCAGTGCATATGCCGAAGCTGCAAGCAGAATCAGCCATTTCCTCGAGAGTCTTTCTTTCACAACAGCTTACATTCGTGCTTTGGCTTCCAAGAGCAACAGCCCAAGCTCCAGGGCCTGCTGGGGCATTTTCCACATTAGACCTTCAAGGACGGTCAGGACGATCAGGACGACCAGGACGACCATTGCCAATTGCTGCTGGTTAGGGATAACAACCTGCACGGCAACCTGAATGAATCTGGGTCGATGTTCTTGTGGACTGAAAGATTTGGGGCAGTTGTGCCTGTGTCTTCTCTTTGGGGGGGAATTTTCAGAATTGAGACTGTGCTCTCCATCTAAGGCGTGGACTGGGGACATTTTGTTTGATCATCTTTTCGGTTCCTCGACTGATTTTAGCCTTAGCTTCACGACGAAGGGTTTCATCCATAAGCACGCTTCTCTACTGCCAATATCAGGGTGGGATATCTTTTCTCATGGTCCATTTTCCATTACGAGGCCAAGGCGTTTTCTGCGCCCACTATTCGGGTATGGGCGATTTGTAGGAGACACAGCAGTCTTCATGTTCCAAATTCCAAAATGCTGCACAAAGCAGCAAGCAGCGGGCCAGGTTGTAAAATCCTTGGCAAGTTTGACATCTGAAAGTTTCCTACGTGATTCGGAGCTCGGTTCACAGAAATAACCCTGGCAAGCTTAACAGATATGCGTCCTTGACTTCAATCATCCTTCTAGAGAGGCTGGACTGGCACGTTGGCGGAAATGCCTTTAGTTGCCACCCCAAATTTGCGACGCCTGACAAACTTGTCGCAAAAATGGGTGTTTCCAGCGCACCAGGTCGCCGGAAGAAGAGTTGGCGGATACAGATACATTTCGGTGCAAGCGACGCCAGCCACAGACAGCAGCAAAATTAATGTCGTTGGAAAATCAATGTCCGCAGCTTCACCGGGTGAGTTCGACATCTCAGAAAGCCGGAAAAGGTCGCTTACAATTCAGATGCCACCTTCGAAGTACTGGGAAGCCCCTACTCGCTACTGTCTGTCGCTCTTTCTCCTTCTCAAGACCTGCATACGCGTCGAGGAACACTGGTTGCTTTTGCAGGAGTCCCGGACTCTACTGTCTCAACTCTGCGAATCCTCAATCCGATTCGGCGCGCCCTGGTCGGGATTCCTTTCCTGTATCAAAAGATTACCTCAACGTCCTCAATACATGCTCTGATATCTACGAGGTCACCGTTGACCACGCTTGCGATTCTTCAACTGGATGGGACGATAGACTGGAAGTTGGCACAAAGAAAAGCTTTGTTGGCATGGACTGGAAATACTTTGCTCATAAAACCAAGTTTGAGCACAAAACTCTCCTTGGCCTACTGGGGAAGCTCCGACGTGAGCGGAAGAGGTCTCCTCGCCCTGGCGGGCCAGGGGCAGGTCTATTCAATTGAACTTGCAGCTGGAGAGACCTATATCGTCCACCCTTCGAACATACTAGCCTACTCGGCCTCTTCGCCTTCTCCCCTGCCTCAGCCCTATCGATTCAAATCTACCAATGTTCGATTTCAAATCCCGCTTCAACTTGGCAACTTCTTTCCCTCATCAAAGTTTGTGGAGACTTTGAAGACCAGCGACACCTATAAATTTGTTGCCAATTTGCTTTTGAGGATACGAATGTGGATCCGAAGAACTATTTGGGGCGACAGATTATTCTTGCGGTTTCAAGGTCCCACGACGATCTTAATTCAAAGCCGAGCCGCCAGGGTCAATGATGTATTGACAGCCCAGGAGGTAAATGAAATCGCCGATGCTCCGGCTGGAGTCGTTCATGAGGCCATCATCGCGTCCCAAGAAGTGAAAGGAAGGTCTGAAGGAGCTACTCAATCTGCGCCGACGTATTTATCAAACAAACCGCAGCCAAAACTATCAGTTGCGAGCGTCAGCCGCGATGGCAAGGTATCTTTCGAAACCGCAGATCTTGCTCAGGCTAAAAATTAGGACCGGCTTCTTCGGAAACCGCATGTATAATACAAAAGTTTGATCGAAAGTTGTCCTGCATGCAATTTATTCGAACATGTAACCCGGGTCCTGTTCAAAATCACTGATGGAGATGGATGGGCTAAGACCGCTACAAAACATTTCTGGAGATTCTGACATGCAAGACTTTGGAAAAGACCGAACAGCCTCTTCGCCAGGCCATCGTTGACAAAAGTCTTGCATTATTAGCTCTATCCGAGTCTCTAGCTGTCCTACAGCCGAATTCGAACCATCTCGGAGCCTAATGGTCGACAGATGACATCGCCGAACATTAGAGAACTTCCACCGAGTTCACCTTCCAGACTCCGTTTGATCAGATGATGCGGGAACAAGAACGAGGCCGAGCGATTGGAGTTGACATTCCAACCCTCCTAGAACGCCGATCTGTCTCTTTAGCCTTTCAACGATCAATCTCCCTTCCAAACCTTTCCTGAGCAATTCCACTCGATCTCTCACGGCTGCTGCCTTCCCAAAGATCCCCCTGCTCCCATGATGTTAATATGATCTCTCATTTCCACGTCAATCTTGCTCACCTGCACCGTGCTTTGTGGGCACTCTTATTGACTGCGTCTCTTGCTCGGTCTGTGGGAAGAAGGAACCTTGGCGGCCTTTATTACACCCCAAAGTAGCTTTGCTGTAGAAAAATCTTGTCTGGTCATTAAGATTTCCGATGCATCTTCATGATCTCGTTTGCTTCTTGATACATTTCGAGTCAGATGGCCAAATATTGCGCATTTCCTCGAAGTACTTCATTGTTCCCTCAATGAGCTTGTTTTGCCAAATGGGCCCACTGAATTTCTCTGCGAGAGTCCACGCCTGCATCGCATGAATGATACCTTTGTTGGATTCGGGGATTGACTCATCTAATAGACCCAGGTGATGAATTGATCAAAAGCCTCGCAGCTATCATCTGACAATTCCACCTTCTTTCAGCATGCTTCTTTCATTTCGATGTTGGGATATTTGACCAAAAACGGACACTCTTCGATGAATACCTCTTTGTGGGCTGTGTGGCTTCTTGCCGGGAAGGACAGTGACGACTTCGGAGGACGTAAAACTGGCTGTTCTCGGCACCAAGCGAAAACTGAGGCTTGTTTGGGATTACTGAATTGGGTCGGAGCAAGTCGATCAGCGCATTCTCAATGTAAAACTTGTTTGCAGCTTTGTATGCAGGTAAAATGGACATGATCTTTAGTTGAGATGAGTTAGTTTCGTTGTGCATCCATCTGACGACAATATCGAGAGTTTGAGGGTCGTCATCGCAGGAAACGGTCGAGGAAGTTCTGAATCATACAATTGAGAATTGCCATATCCCGTTGCATGAGCCTTGTCGGAACCACAATCCTTGGTCCCAGTCATGGTACCGGTGGTGTGGATGAGTGAGGATCTTTAGATCAAGCATCTGAGAAATTCAAGCTGATCCAAGATTCTTCTATCGGGGAACTGATCTTAGAGCAAAGGGCTGAGCAAAATCTGTAGTGAATTTAGAATGCAACCCAACGCCATTGTTCGGGGAGATGGGAAGACGAACTGACCCTGGGCGTATTTCGAAGGGCGTTCGTCGGAGGTGTCATGAGCGGAGACTTCTTTGAATGTTCTGACCTAGCAAGTCGCGCAAGAGTCTTGAAGAGAATGTCGCTGAGTATCCGAAAGGGTCGGGAGAATCGAACAAGAAGAGGACCGGAGAAGTGCGCAGAAAAGTATTCATGAAGATTCACGTAAAAGAAGCATTTCCTTTTCAAAAGCCCTCAAGGACATGAACGAACTCGATTCTGGTCGAGGAAATTCCTGCATATCTTGATCGAGTTGATTCATCACGAGATCAGGTTGATTTGGCAGCTGAGGGCCTCCATTAGTGGGACCGGAATCCTTGAATGAAATGGACCACTGCTCTTCTTTTCAATTTTTCCTCCTTAAGCCACTGGCGGTAGGTTTGCTAACCCCAAGCATCCGAATTCTTCTTCCAAGCCAGAAAACATGAACAGGTCATCTATGGCAACAGATGTAAAGCGCGTTTCTGGCCGATTAAGAGGAGGTAGGTAGGTAGTTCTCAGGAAGATTCATGCATGGACACATTCATGCCGTTTGATCATCGATGTACTTTGTATTTGCCCCCAGCTTTGTGTGCTTTGAATCACAAAAGCTCTCTCTCGCAGCCTTGCCGATCTAAAACAACGACCTCCGCAAAATAGGAAAAGCTCAGATCAGATGCTTCGACCTGTGTTGAAAACACGTTAGCATGGATCAAGGCACCCTTGAGCTATTCAGCGCCAAAAGAGAACAAACCTGAAATAAGCCCTCAAATAAACCACCTGCCATGCACCCAACCCAACAAGCATGCCCATGGTCCCAAACGCGAACCATTTGACCCGTTCATTCGTACTTTCGTTGGTGTCTCTAAGTTTTTGTTCCCGCATTCGTAGATACTCCAATTCCTGGACGATTTCATTGACCGTCTCTTCTATCCGTCGCAGCTCCGTTTCCACGGGCTTCAGCTTCTCCGAGGCCTGGATGGCCGACCAGTCCCGAGCATCTGCGCCGATGTCGATGTCTAACTCAACATGACGGGAAGGGTGGGGAGTGTTGGCTTGAAATCTCGTTAGTTTTGGGACACAAGGCGATGGAAAAGTTTGAGATCGGGAACATACATCGGCCGGTTAGTGTATTCTCGAAGCATACATCGAATGCGGTGTCTGCAAGACTGGTGAAGGCCATTCTCTTCTCGCCCGCGACATCTTTCGGCCGGCCATAGTCGTTACCGACAGCATCTTTGATCTGAACAAAAGAGCAAGCAGTTAGTAACTTGTGTCCGATATAACCCAGCTCCTGAGAAATTCCCCAATTAATATCTTCTCGTTGCCGTCCGAGCACATACATGCATGTTCACCATCTGTCCATCGCCTCTCCTGCCGCTCACGATCGCGGTGACCACTACTAGGGTATCCTTCGCCACAAAGTTCCGTACACATCGTTCATTTTTTGAACTGTGGCCCGGTTGTGCAACGAGTTCGAATTTTAATGCGAAAGAGAAGGGTAGGAGAAGGAGGACGACGACGAAGTTGAGAAGCGGCTTCATGGTGGTCAATTAAACTCGCAAGACCGCTCAGAACCGTCGCAAGGAAACAGAGAGCCGATCGACGGCTTGCAACTGGAGAATGATGGTTCAAAGGAGAGTTCAAATCTGAGCTGCACAGAATTCTGCTAAACAATATTTCAGGAGTGGGCAAAAACACCGTGTACCATGCAGGTCACGTGGGCCGTGAGGATGGAGCACGGCGGGCTCCCCTTTTTCTCGCAGTTGCAGTGGAGCACGCGACAGAGTGAAATGGACAGTCGAACATTCCCGCCGACCATAGAAGACCTCATTGGCATTTATTATCGCGAGTGAAATACAAACAGTTGACAGCGCCGGCAATTGGCTCGCATGATTTCAGCTAAATTTTCCAGTTCTTTGCCGCTTGCTCAAGTCGATATTGAAGACATCGTTGTTACATTAACAGAGTAAATTTTAGCCATTAGTCGTTTCCTTCTCACTTCTTCTCACTTTTCACACTTCCCCGTCTCTGAAAGAATTTCATGAATCCTGCTTGGTCCCTCCCCGTGGTATTGACGAATCGTTGAGCTGGTGTTTCTATGCTCGGAGGTGGCCCAGAACTCTTCAAGTACGCCGCAAGATCAGCTGTCCCCCCAACATTAGACACGGTCGCATCTCTTGGCTCAGCACGCATCTTTTGCCGATTTCGCTCAACATGCGCTGCGTGTGTAGGCTGAGTGGGCCGATATTTGTCTAGCTTTGAGCCAACCCGTGTTAGATGGGGAGACTCCGATCGCGCTCCATTGGTGGGTTTGGTGGTAACTCCATTCTTGCCTGACGTGGTATTCTGGAGGTAGTCCTTCAACTTCGAGCTGCTGGCTGATCGTTTTACCATTGTTGAAGGGTCTGGCTGGGTCGGGTTTGGATTTGCGGCAAGAATTGGTAGAGTTGTCATTCCTGGTGGGGGGGCAGTGTTCCGGAGGAAATCAACCAGTGATTCCTCCTCGGTTCGACGCTTCGGTGGGGCGAACTCTTCCAGGTCTTCATCTTCTTCATCACTGAAATCAATGGCATACGGATCACGAACCCGTCTTCTGGTTTTCTTTGGCATACCATCTGCTTCAGGGATGACAGGTTGTCTTGAAATTGAATTTGGAGCAGATCCAACACCGTTTGTGAACTTGTTTGCTGCGAGATTCGTCGAGTCGAGCAGACCGGTGCGGGAATTCATGGAGGATGGCATCGACTTGACAGTAATAGCGCTTCCTTGGGCGCTCCCGTCAGAGGTACGTCCATTGACATCAAGTTCCGGTGGGGGGGCAAGGGCATTTAAATCATCAGAGTCCATAGTCGTCCGAAAAGGCGCGACATGCCGATCAATTCGATGTTCGCCCGGTGCTCGTGGAGGTCCCTCTCTGATAAAGTCAATCAGGTCAGAGCTTCCGGCTGTTCGTGGAGCTCGAGCATCCCGTGCCTGGTACTTGAGGCGGTTGGCGGGTTTTCCTAAAGTGGTGCCAGGACGTCTATCGCCACCTTTTTCATCGGAAGGCCCTGCTCCGCCATCTTTCTCTCTGATAAATCCGTCTGCCGTCCTGACGGCTTGAGCAGTTCCGGGCCGTGTCCCCAGTGATTTGGGAAGCTGCATATCATTTTCTGGGCCAGTTGAGCGTGCATAATCCGCGAGGTCTCTTGTCGTGTTCCGTGCCATTCTGGCATCCCGTGGCTCGCCTATGGGATTCTTAGGCCGCGAAGCTGACGTCACGGATGATTGGGCTGCCGACTGAGATGAAGCGCTCTTCGTACTGAGTGGAAGCTTAGGAGAAAGTGGAAGTTTGGGAGATAACGGTAGCTTGGGAGACAATGGAGGATTTATTCGGAGACCACTAAGCGCATCTTTCGCAGACCGAGATGATTTGGGCCGGACTGGTTCCTCTCCAGGTGGCACAGTGTTTCGAAAGAATTCAGCCAATTCCTGCGTCTGGCTTTTGACTTTGGGCTTGGATCCCTGTTAGGAAGGTCAGTCGTGCGCGTTTGGTATGATACAACCATGCATACCTCATTAGCAGCTCTAGCAGACGCAGGAGTCAGCGTGTAGTGGAGAGTTTCATCGCTATCAATCAGAAGATCGAGGCTCTTCTTTGTTCTGTCCAGTTCATCTTGAGGGGTGACACGCTGCCACGAGCCCTCATCAGTGCCTGATCGAAGTCGAATATGTTGACGGCGAGCCGTGGCAGACCCGGCTGTTGACGGTCTTCCGTCCTTTCCCCCTCCTGTAGTTTTGGTATGCACAACCTGGGTATAGTTGGACCCTACTGATCCACCAGGACCGCCAGCAAAGGCTGAAGTAGCGTATCGAGGCACTCGATCCTGAGGATAATCCGCCATCTTCTCGCTTTCAGAAGAACGTTGAGGCGCTGGGAGGAGTTGGGGAAATCTCACCTCGGCAGGTGACCGCTCAGATGTCTTTTGTTCTAGAGATGACCTACGATTAGGAATCACAGCAGGCCATGCAGAAGATGTCGCAGCTTCAGATGTGTCAGATGTGGTGGTAGTCGAGGCAGCGGCCGGGATATTAGAGCCGGCCGTTCCCTGTACAATGGTGGAATCAAAGTTGTTGTGATCGGTGCTAGGGCCTGGCGTTTGATGGATCAGAGCATATCCGTCATAATGCTCCGTCGCGCTTGCCCCGTCGCCTACGCTTTCAACCTGACTAGAACGTTGGTCATTGACGGCTACCTGATCGTCATGCGTTATTGACGAGTCTTGTTCGACAGTAGGAGCGATTTCGCCTTCTGCAGGAAGCTCGTCTTCGGAAGCAACAACGCCAAAACCAGAATCGCGAGGATTGGCCTGGTTGTTTTCTTCCGCATCCGGCTCGTCCGCAGGACTCAATGTCTGGCCTTGAGGTTGAATTCCTGCTTCATGATCCTCTATGTTTGGCGACGCCATTTCAGAGGTCGATGCTCGAACTGGAACATGCATACGGTCGAAGTCATCTTCTGTGTCAATAGAAGGCCTAACTTCCACAGCAGTCTCGGGCGAATCTGGTGCAGATCGATTTTGAGTTGATCGATCTCTGCGAAGTGCTCTGGACGCTTCCACGCTTAATGCACCAGCAATGGTGGCCACGGTGGTGCTGATTGCATTTGATCGCAGACTGGACAGTCTCTGTTCCTGTGGTGGTTCCGAATCATGGTTCTCAGGTATCTCGGGTTTCTCGCCTTTCTCTTGAGCGCTTTGTTCGGATTTGGTTGCCTCTACGGTTGTGGCAGAAACTTCAGGTGGATTTTCTCTTTTCGTCCTGTTCCTCAATCGTGCAGCCGAAGCATTTTGCGTCGAGGTGGGCAATGACTGTGATCTTCGTCTATTCCAAACAGGTCTCTCTGTGCTCTGCTCATCGGCTGTTGACGAAAAAGAGTCTGGGAAATTGCCGGGCATGATAAGCATACTGGAGGGCCTTCGGTTCTCAAGCGTGGGACGTTGGTCTGGTTCATCCTCGGGCTCGTCTTCAAAAGTAGGGGCCAGTCCCGGCACTTCGATCTCCTCCACATCGTTGTCACCCATCGGAAGCGGAATGTCAGCCGGTGATGGACTGTCCGTTGGCCGAATAGATGGGCTGCGCTCTTCTTGAATAGTCGAGATTGGAGCAGAGGGAGACTTCCACTCATGGCTCGGGGAGTCTGGACTTGAAGGCGACATGATATTGGGTGTTGTCGGGCGAGACGATATGCTCCCACCCGTGCGAACGCTGCCTTTCCACGAGCGCCAAAGTCGGATGAGAGGGCCTTCTTTACCCACTCCTGACATATCTATCTCCTCGATGACGAGGACATCCTGATCAGAATCTTGACTCTCTGTAGGTAACTCGGATGCACTTGGGCTCCTGGGGAGCGTATGACGCCTTTTTGAATGTTGCGCGGCAATACACAGAGCTTGCTCGGCGAGAAATTCCAGGACTGTGGTCAAGAAAATAGCGGACGGCGGTGTGATCGTCACAGAAGCCCTAATTGACTCCTTGACTCGGCTGATATGGTCCCTCAGGTCATCGTCATCCAGATATTCTTCTTCATCTTCCTCTTCCATATCTCCAAGCTTAGCATAGACCATGCAACGCAGTCTTGTAAGCTTCCAAGCGAGGTCGACGTCAAACTCCGCTTTAGGATCAAGGACACCAATGGCGGATTGGAGTTCCTCCATCTCCTCTTCTTCAAGATAGTCTTGCAATTCTTCGTCGGCAGCCTTGACCGCAGATTTTCCCAATCTTTGTTTCAAGACAACCGGTACCGCAGCCCGAATGGCGCCCAACGTGGTGGAATGTGATTTGGAGAGGATATCGTAGAGGACCTGATCGAGGAAGCCATTGACCAAATAAAGGGCGACTTCGGAGAGTTTGACCGGTCGCTCGATCTCTGCATATATCAATTGTTCCGCTTCCGATTCTGAGACGTAGGTGGGTGGGGGATTGGCGTGAGGAAGGGTGGCTCGCGAAGACTTCGCCGACATTGAAAGAACATCTGTTCCTGAACCCATGCTGCGTAGGATTCTGCCAAAACCAGAGTCTGGCCCATCAGATTTCGGGGGTCGTTGTGACATACTGCGCGGATGTGTGGCGATATGAGTACTTCAACAGACCGTCTCTTTAGGCAAAAAGCGGGATTCAGAGAGCGCGCTCAGTTGTCCATGAGGGGGTCCCCGAAGGGATACTCAGCTTAGATTGAACCGACTCTCAGGTTGGTGGTATGATGTCGCAATAGGACGACACAGAGTGAGAGATTGTATTCCGTCTTCTGAAAGGACCTTGAGGACTGTATAGGTTTGCTTCTCTCGTCAAGATTGTGATCGAAGGTGTGAAAGTATTGAGGAATTTCTTTTGCTAAATCGCTACCGCAGACGAGGCACGAACAACGATTGGAGACTCTTCGGTCCTGAAAACGAACATTCGGCGCACAATCTGCGTTGCTTCTGCAAGCCGAGTCTGAGAGGACGACTCGACTTCGTTTGGGGAGAGAGAGAGAGAACGTATCTAGGGTTTGAGGAAGAGTTTTGAGGCTGGTGGGAGTAAAGTATGAGGACCGGAGCAGACCAGACGACGCAGCTGGGCGTTCTCGGGGCTTGGTGTTTCAATTGGAACGTGGGTGCCCACAGATATCGTTAGCAGTAAACTTACTCCGTAGCCTTTTTCCCTTCACTTGGATGTTTGACACCGTTGCCGTGGGTAAAAGGAGCATGGGCCTGCGGCACTGCGCCAATTCGGATGGTGGACCTGAATTGCGGGTTGTGCCATTTTCTCTAGTGGGCGAGCCATGAGAGACGCACTTCCGCCATTGGCTTTCCACCGTCAGCGAGTTTGTTTGGTTGAATAATTGATCCGTCTGCTACGGAAGACGCCTTGCCCAAATAATTCCCTGCACCTCTAGAACAATGCGTGGCCCCTGAACTGCACAGCTCTTTGGCCAGCCTAGCCTTTCCTGACTCTGAAATGATCTGCCGAACAGACGGTGATTTCCCCCTGGGCGATGAGTAAAAACGAAACGATGGATCGAGCAGCATCCCGCAATTCTGTTATCTTGTCCATCTACGAAATGGTGCTTGCAATGGGGCCACCGCTCAGTACCCTCTCAACATGTGGTTTTGCGTCATATCCAGGGCGAGATGGCCGGCAAAACCTTTTAAAAAGAAAAAAGCCGGAGGGAGGAGTCTAAAACCTTGACCATGCTCATGGGTTCTCAGGGGATATATCCTTTCCGCCCCACAGGGGAGTTACTGTCAAATACGGAGAACGGAGCCCTATCAGTCGGGTCTACTGCGACCTTACTCGGAGAACGACATGGACTGATGCGAGATACGACTTCCTCATTTGGATCAACAAAGATGGACTTGAAAGCGCAAAGGAGCACCAAAATCCTGGCGAAAGCACACCTCAGCAGATCTTCACCCCTAGCAAAACTCCGACAGGCAGAAAGAGAGCGCCACCATTGTAGATGGAGAAGGCTATTTTGACACATCTACTTTAAGATTGAATCGTCATCCTGGACGAATTGATCTCACCTGGCAACGAAATATGGTGATACAACATACTAACATTTGGGTGACGGACCGTGCCCTCATCGCTACGTGATTGCTACTAGGAACTCACAAACCACCCTCGCCAGATACCGGTTTTTGAGAGGGCGGTCGACACACTTACAGATACCTGCCATGGACGCATAACCATGTGTTATCGATCGCGCAGTCCCTGCGCTGTCGTGGATTTGACCTGGGGCTCATAATGTGATCTGTCAACATTGTCGGTTTAATGTGCTCACGGAAGATGTGATATGTCTTGAAGAGAAGGCCGTCCGTTCTGGCTATTTAAGCATGCCAAACTCTAGGCACTTGAGCGCCATCCTTTCTCATCGATCAGAATTCCCTAGAGCAAAAAGCCGGGAAAAGCCTTCGGATTCTCCATATATCTAGAGCTGACACGATTGACCACCCGCTGCCCTAGAACAGCGCTCATCACTTCCTCCCTGTCATGCGTTGGAGGCATGGTTTGATTTCGCTGCTGACCCTCGGGAGAGGAGGTCGGCGATAGTGACAGATGCTCCTCTGCAAGCCAGGTTCCAGTTTCATATTTCCTGGAGTGTTTTGTTCCAGCAACGTGCCCTATAATACCAAGATCGTCTGCCGATCAGCTGGTGCATTTTCTGAACTCGATGTGTATCTTTGCAACAAATCAGGCAGCTATTCGCTTTTCGAACACTGCTGTACATATGAGCGCCAAAAAGGTATTGAGAACACTCCTGTTTCCTACCTGAATAGAGGTTTCGACTCGAGGACAGTGTTTGTCCCCGCGATAGTTTAGATAGGTTATCTCAAAAGCCCGCCCAGATCTTTTTCCATGCCTGATACGCGGTCTTCTAAAGCCTTCTTCCTCGCCTCTAATTCCCGAATTTCATCCTCTTCGAGTCGGAAGTCTTGCTCCGTGAAGGTCACACTGTCTTGGTTGCAATTCAATTCATTTCCAACGTCAATTTCATCCACCTCTTCTTCGGGATCTAATCCGTTATTTCGGCGTTCTTGCAGTATCTGCTGCTTTGCAACCTTCTCTTCGAGCATCGATATTGAAGTCGCGACTTCTCGATAGCGATTCCGAAGCGCTCGAATCTTCTCGGTCGCTCCCATGACATCGTATACGTTACAAAGTTTTTCTGCTCCACGGAGCAAAACTTCAACACTGACGCCGTCACGAGGTCGAGAAGTATCGCTGCTCGACTGCCTAATCTCTTGAAGCAGCTCGTTTCCCAGTAGTCTTGTGATCGCAGACTGTTTCATCGGATGTGCAGTTGGGAAAACATTCTTGCGCCCATTCTCGGTGCCTGTAGACCAGATGGCATTTTGCTGACGGTTTCCGTTGACAGCGTTCGGATCGATAGAGAATAAGGCACGCTCATGGGGTTCTGTGTCACGAATCAATGTTGTGATCTCGTGATCGTTCAGAAGCGCATTGGTAAAGATTTGGGGGCGAGGATATCTTGGATAGAGTCAGTCTTGTGGCACCGGCGATCACAGATCCCAAAGCCATACTCTAATTCTGCTATTGATTTCGCGGATAAAGATATTTGCTCTAAATGACTTGCCAGGAGAGTCATCCTGTCGACTGGTTCCGGGCACGTGGTTTGGATCTCGTCTTCTTGGTGGTCGCTGACATTCAAGGGCAGGCTCCAAATGAATCACTCTTGTTCTCCATCGATGGGCATTGCATTCTTCTCCTGGGACATATCAATCCGGCAGAAACGCAAAGTCGCATAAGAGGCGGCGCTGTGTCCTTGTAGACATTTTTGTTGATGTGGCTAACTTGGGTGGGGGTCCGGGAACGCGTTCGTTTGTCGTGCCTGGACCTGAATGACCGACCGAAGCACAAAGTCCGACTTCCACCTTACCTCATCACTTTCACTCCTCTTCGCCTTTGATACCAACCTCCACACCCGTTGCCATTCCCGGCCCTCTTAGCTGTCATCACCTACCGTTTAACGACGGACTTGTGATTGAATTCCGACTGAGAGCTCGTTCTGGGCCAAAATATGCCAACTGAGAGGCGGAATTTGCGTTCAAACAAATCCAACCGGACCTCTCCTCCGGAAGTCGAAAAAGCGAAGAACAAACCATCTACCTCTAATACCAAGAAAGACACCACCTCATCAACACAATCCACCTCGTCTCGATCGAGGTCGACCTCGAAAAAAGATCCGACCAGCTTAGCGGGAGATATGAGCGGCGACAAACCTCATCTCAACGGCACCGATCCGGCTGAGAATGGTATTAACGGGTCTGAAGATGCTGAAATGCAGGAAGAATCACAGCACTCCAAGAAAAGCTCGAAGCCGGGCAAGGATAAAGATGGTGATGATGAGATGACCGTTGTCGTTCCACCATCGAAGGGTTCAACCCCTCCTAGCGTCCCTGAGAAAGCTACCAAAGCGGACCTCACCAACGGCGCAGTGGACGAAGATGCGGCAGATCCATCGGAAGCCCAAGTTGACCCTCAAGACAAGGCAATATCTGGTGGGTCATCCAAGAATTCCCATTATTCAGTCATGGTACTTATATTCCTACAGAAATTAAAGCCAACCTCCCTTTGTTGGAGCGCGCCGTCAGCCAGTTTGATCCTCGATTCAGCTTGAGAGTCCTTCGATCAATACCTTCTATGCGAAAACAGTTGTCTGCATATGTCCTGGCCGCTGTCGTCACCGAGACTTATCCAGTTCCTACTGCGACTGCGATGTCCCTACTCGGCGCTGTCAAAGACGATCCATCTTTTCCTTCTCCAAAGGTTGAAGAATGGCATAGCAAAAAGGATGCGCCTCAGCAAAAGAGTGCCCAAAAGGAAATATTACCAGAGATTGATGTATATCTGTCGATTTTGGTCCAAGTACACCTCTACGACAAGAAATCCATCAATGCCGGTGCCCAGTTTTCAAGTGCCCTCGTCAACCACCTTCGTGCACTGAATCGTCGGACTCTAGACTCGTTGTCCGCCCGTGTTTACTTCTACTATGCTCTGTTCTACGAAGAGATGGCGCCATTGCCGCCTTCCCCGACCGCTGCAGTAATCTCCATTCGGAAAAGCCTTCTTGATGCTTTGAGAACGGCCACATTGCGGAAAGATCAAGATATTCAAGCTGCAGTGACGACGTTGCTCCTCCGAAATTACCTATCTACCTCCCACGTCACACAGGCCGATCTATTGATCTCTCACACCAGATTCCCGGCCACCGCCGCAAACAACCAGATCGCTCGGTATTTGTACTATCTCGGACGCATTCGAGCCATTCAACTCAACTATACCCAAGCACATGAGCATCTGACTGGAGCCACACGAAAGTCGCCAACGTCATACAAAGCCAGCGGATTCTACCAGGCCTCCACCAAGCTGCTCATTGTAGTGGAATTATTGATGGGCGACATCCCGGACCGAGCAATTTTCCGTCAGCCAAGTCTCGAAAAGGCTTTGCAGCCTTACCTCCAACTTGTTCAGGCTGTCGGCTCAGGGGATGTGATTGGGTTCCAAAATCTGGTCCAGCGCTACAACTCGACCTTCAGAAAAGATGACACCTATACTCTGATTTTGAGACTCCGACAGAACGTCATCAGGACAGGCATTCGGATGATGTCTCTCTCATATGCCAGAATCTCGTTACGAGACATGTGCCTCCGATTAGGATTGGACAGCGAGGAGTCGGCGGAGTACATTGTGGCAAAAGCAATCCGAGACGGAGTCATTGAGGCAAGCCTTGACCACGAACGCGGCTATATGAAGAGCAAGGAAGTTGGCGATGTTTATGCCACCCGGGAACCGGGTGATGCCTTCCACGAACGCATCCAAGCTTGCCTAGCTCTGCACGATGAGAGCGTTAAGGTATGCGCCGTCTCATCTTCGTTAAAATCCCCATGCTAATCCCGTCACAGGCCATGCGTTTCCCAATGAATCAGCACAGATTGGAGCTCAAGAATGCTCAAGAAGCACGGGAACGTGAGCGAGAGCTTGCAAAAGAAATTGTTGAAGGAGAAATGGATGAGGATGATGCCCCTGGCGGGGATTTTGAAGGGTTGTGAGCCTGGTTGAAAACATATCGTGTCGCATATCGGCGAGTCAACTCACTCAGCAAGGGGCCCGGTCGCCACATGCATATTTTTCACAGGGTAGGTGGCCAGAGGCAAACATGTTATCCAGTCAAAATCAAGTTGCATACCTTCCGGGTACATGTGGATTATTTGGAGTTGCAGGATCACCGAGGGGCCGACTGAATCTGGTCTCGTTGATCTCTAGACAGCGTTCCCAGCTGGATAGCTGGCGCAAGTAGAGAAGTGAGTGTCAATGTAATAGTTCCCCATGGATGTGGCATGAATGAATCATTCCGGTCTGTTGTTCTAGACAAGAGCACATACATCAGCCCTTAACTAGTTGCTCGTAAAGGGGTTCTCGTTCACGTCTTATTGATTTCGTGGCAGGGTGTTATCATAGTCTTACCCACGGCTTCGGGCTGTAATTGCTCCGTTCGCCGACTTAGGGTTGGTCGCAACTTTTCAATGCAAGACGCGCCCAAACAACGTGTAGGTAGGAGACACTGTATCTCTGAACAGTTGTCATCAGACCATATCCACGTCTCTCAAGATGTCGCAGCCTCGTGCACCATCTCAAACGCGGCTGCCTCCCCGAAATAGGTCTCGTTCTCCCATTTCTCGACCAACGACTCCGCTTCGTCCCTCGTCCCGCTCTTCATTTCGGACACCACAAAACAATGCCTTCGCAGGGCCATCCCCTCTCGACGATTTCGAGCCTCAGTTTGCAGAACTAAGTGACTCTATGGCGGACTTGGAGGCCAATCTGATGCATCTCCAACTGATGCATGAGAGTTTGAGCAGATTCGGAGAGAGCTTTGCCAGTTTCTTGTATGGACTGAACATGAACGCCTTTGTGGTAGATTTCCCTGAAGTAAAGATCTCTTTCTTTGTACCCATTAAACTAGGCTGATGTTGAACGATAGGCACCAATCTCCGAATCAATCAAACGATTTCAGAAACGCCACGGTCAAGGAAATGGGGATGAGCGATCCATCTTGCAGAACAATGCCAGCGATGGAAGGGTTGGGGATGGAGAGACAACTTTTATGACAACAGACGCCAGCTTCACAAGTTTGAAAGCCACTCCTCGTCGCAAGACAACGGCACCATCCGTTACTCCCAGCACTGCATCTACATTGAAACAAGGCAAACCAACCGGTCGTGGAGCTGACGGCAATGCAAGTAGAACAAACAGAGGAAGTGGTCGTGGAATACGAGGGAGTGGTCTACCACGCGGCAGAGGAAGAGGAGTCAAATAGGATCTGTGTCAAGGCACGCTTTACTGCCCGACCTGAGACTCCCCTCCGAGATCACATACGGATGGACTGCGTACTTCTTGTACATGAGCACTACAAGATTCTGGGTCAGCAGCTTTCATCCCTGTTGGCGCCGTTTGGACTCGTCGACGTCGCTCTCTACAGATCGCTCAAAGACCGACCATATTGGCGAAGAAGCGAATCGCGGGTGTCGAGAAGCCACCGGCATACATCATACGCATCTTTAAGCCTTCCAAAATGGATCGGCGGCTGACTTTGGCTCAGGAGGAACCTCTTGGTGGGCTTTTCTCTCCGTCTCTCCTGTGAATTAAATGTTCCTGACAATCATAGCGAGTGTGTGGGACGCATTCCTGGAAACAACAGAATATGATCTCTTCGCGAAAGACTTGTACAAAAATTCCGTGCGAGTGGTCCTGTTTGAACGGATTCTCTTGAAACTCCACCTCCAAATCAACAGGATTCGACGTACTCTGCGGAGAGGTAGAAACGTGGATGCGGTGGACGGACTGGCGCAAATGGAATTCTACTACGATCAAGCAACGGTTGGACTCCAGCACAGTCTATATACGATTAGGCTGTTGCGCGAGGCTCAGGGGGCCATGATGCGAATCTGGTTGCCTGAGGATCAAACACCAGAGACACAACTGGCCAAGGAAGACCTCGGTACTGTCTTCGAGGCATTGATGGAACACGAAGGAGGAGAGGCGGCGACTGCGGCCATTTTCCAGACTCTCTTGAGGAAATTCTACACATGAGCGGTCGCTCCATCTCCCCGTTGTTCAAACAACAATGAGAAATGAATATATGTTCCGGATCCCTTCAACCATGCTCCTGCCTTTGGAACGTACGCCTGATGTCTGCTTCTTGGTTTCTTGCTTGTAGAAGATAGTAGCTCTGAAGGGCAACCTGCATGAACACAGCAGGGAGGGATCACATTTCCTATCCCATGCAAACCTCGCTTGCCGTCCATTTTTGCCCTTGTGCTCACTCAAATTGTACAATATGCAAGGCTGGAGCTTTTTGTTTGGTGGCGATCCCGCAGAGCTTATTTTAGGTGTGGGCCATTGACCGAATTCCGGTGCCGAAAAAGATCTTTGGATCACGACAAACAAATAAGGTCGTATATGTCATTCTACCATCCCCTATTCAATCATCGCTATTCCTATTGTCTTGCTATCAATGTAGCTGTCAATGCATCATAATAGCTATTGAGCCTCATTCAAGACGGGCTTCAACCTCCTGCCGCATTCAGACTTTCGGATATAGAACACCACCTCTCATCATCAATCGTCTCCTGAACCCGACTCACGAACCCGTCTTCTATTTCCACACTCCGCAATTCTCTATTATTCGGCCTTGCCGATCACATATTCCAGTCATGGCTCTCGCTCTCCATATGCCCGCAGCTGGCTGCGAGCATTTGGACAATGACTCCATCGACAAGATCCGTCAATTTCGAGAATCGCCAACAACCACCATCGACCAGGACTTTGCTCAATACACATGTCTCCAGTGCCCAACAACGGGAAGCTTCCCAGCTCTCGACAAACACTTCTCCAAGACCAAACATGAGTTTGCCGTGACCCAGAAATCTGTCTATTGTGGACGTTGCAACGACTTGGTCTATGATCTCAACTTACTCAGCAACGGCAAGAAACGCAAACTAGCAGAAACAAACGACGAAGACGACTCGTACTTGACCGCCAACACCTCTCAACGACCTTGTGGCCGTAGCGGTGTTCGAGGACTGTTCAATCTTGGTGAGACATGCTACATGAACGCTGTTTTGCAAATGCTGGTTCACAACCCGCTGCTGGCCAGCTACTTTCTCGGCATGGGCCATCCTATTCACACCTGTCCAATCTCCAAAGAGCCAGAGAAAAAAAATGAATCCGATTCCGAAGATGAGGATGAGGAGAAGAAGGAACAGCAGACTTGTGTTGCCTGCGGAATGACCGAGCTCTTCTCCGATGTCACCATGGTTGATCAGCCACTTCCTGCTCACGCTGTCAATCTGCTTTTTGCGTCGTGGAAGAACATCCCAGTAAGTCTCCAAATACAACCCCGGACACACATATCCATGAATACTAAACGTCGGATTTTCCTTTGCAGCAAATGTCCGGCAAAGGCCAACAAGACGCGCAAGAATGGTTCACATGCATTATCGACCGCCTTCACGAATCTGTCGCCCAATATTCCATTCCCGACAAGACCAACAGCATCGATGCAGTCAACGGCGTCCCAACCGTCGACAAACAGTGCGTCTGCTTCTTCCACAAAGTCTTCTACGGTCGCTATAATAGCCAAATCACCTGCGACACATGCCACACCGTTTCCTCGCGTGAAGACGAGTTCTCCAGCATCAGCCTCGACTTCAAGAAACAAGTCAAGAAGAAGAAGAAAGCCGCCAAGGACGCAAATGCCGCCGCCGCCGCCGCCGCTGCTGCTTCTGCTGCCGGTGGTTCCGGTGGTGCCCCAGAGACAACCGAGAAAAGGGAGAAAGACAAGGAGAAAGAAAAAGAAAAAGAACCGCTCAAAATCGCTATCCCAACCCTCCACGAGTGTTTACGCGGCTTCACTGCCCCTGAACCCCTGAGCCCCGAACAATACAACTGCAATGAATGCAAGGCTCGTCGCTCCGCTAGCAAACAGACGCGTCTCCGCAAATTGCCTGCCATCTTGTGCGTGCACATCAAGCGCTTCGGCATGAAAGTCTTGAGCACCGGAACCGTCGTGCCCGAGAAATACGAAGGCAAAATCGACTTCAATTTGCACCTCGACATTGGTCCATACACGACTCGACCGCCACCCAAAGCTGGTCCTGCCAATGGCGGGGGTGGCGATGTATCGAGAGACGCATACATATACGACCTGGACTGCGTGGTGGTGCACCAAGGCGAACACGCGCAGAATGGCCATTATTTCGCCTTCTGTCGCCAGGACAGTCGTTGGTTCCGCTTTGATGACGAGATCGTCTCCGCAACCACCACGGAGGACGTCATGAGGCAGGAGGCTTACCTCCTGTTTTATTCTCTGAGAAGCTTGGAACGAGTTTAGATGTGCCTGGCGGTCTCCTGGGTGGCTTTTTGGCGGCTGGCGGTTTCATTTTCCGGGGGTCGTGATCGATAGGATACGTGAATGCAATTGCTCGTTTTGATACGGGTTCACTTCTGTGTGTCCGTTGTAGAGACTTTGATGTGTTAGGTTGCAGAGATTCTCTCGCGACAAAAAGCTTGGTAATGACAGGCTAAGAACGGAGACAAGGACGGGTGCGTTGACGAGAATCTACTCCGAAATGCATTCGTATGTCACGAGTGCCTGGGCATGGAGGCATCGATATACTCATGATCGACCTTGGAGATGGTTGTAGCTGTGACACTGCAGAGAACGAAGGGTCTACGAAATTTCCTGGACGGCATGGAGTGCTTGCGAACGAACCATAGTACAATAGAGAGGATGGTATTCTAGAATGATGGCTTCCCAAACTTCTGTTGATAGCAGCCATTGGGGGGATGTTCCCATACAACTGCACGTAGAATAATACCCAACACAATTTAAGTGCATAAACAGATATGCATTCGGATGAATTCGGCCGATGGGGAGAGAAGTACGGTACGAAGGCCAAGTGCCCTTGGTACAGAGCAATATTTCGTCAGGCTGCAAGCGACAGGATAAGGGCATTTTGTGATTGTGATGGTGATTGCGGGGCGATTGTAGGATCGCCAGTGCAGGCCTGGTTTGACGGGCTTAGCTGACCCCGTTCTTGTGACCACTTGCATGGCGCCAGCAACGGATGGTTAGTCACTCCCTTGGCTGGTGGCCATGAGAGAGACTAGGCTAGTGTTGCGGACGAGGCTTTGAATCATTGGGGGTACAGGTTCAAAGGTTGGGTGGTTTGAGAATGTGCATGGGAAGGCCTTGAGGCGGGGAGGGATCCTGGTATAAGGGCCGTTAGTTGAATAGACTGGTAGCAGCTTGATAAAATGGTGTTGGCCGCGTTTGAGCAAATCCAAGTCGGATTTGACGGCACACCAGCCACTGAAAATCACCGGGGATTCGGTTTCAGATGGCCGAGGAAAATAACAAGAAGTCGAGAAACTGGGGGGACCGGAGAGGGGTTCGCAAAGTCGCATGAATGGGTCTTGGACTGTGCTATTTTCTGAATGAGGGATTTTAGGGATCGAAGATATTTCGGCCTCTGTAAATAGGGTATAACGTTCCGGCAGTAATGGAGTGCCCACAAGTGCACGTAAATTGGGTCGGGCAGTGGTGTGCAATATATCAAGGATAGACGGGCCGGTCATTCATTGGTAGAGAGTATTATGGTGATCTCTGAAAGTCGATCAGACAACAAGAGCGAAGACTGTATCTGTTCACCAGATCTGGTTGGAGATGGGCCTTGGAAGTAGTAGTGAATGCTGTTCTCCGACCGTAAAGTTATAGATTCGTTTCTTCTCGACAGGCTATCGAACCGAAGGATAGGTACCCACTACCTCCACCCGGCAGGTGATCGGTACAGGATGCATTTTCCAGCCACCGTCAGCAATCGAAATGTATAATGCACAAAAGCTCAGGTAGCTTGCAGAGTACTGGGGTCAGGTAAGTACCTCTCCATTGTCAAAATCAGATGCTTCTTCAAGCCCTCCATTTGATTCCCCGAACGAGCCATTGTCACTTCTTCTCTCGTGTCACACCACACAAGACAAATGTATCCTAGACATCATCGTGCTCGGCGAGTTGCTGGGCTCTCCTGTATAAATGACATCATTTCTATTGTTTGCTATAGAAGCATATGATACAAAATACTTATGGCTATTTCAAGCACACAGGATTCGCACCGACTCTTTGCAGTCAGTTATCGTACCATGCATCCGGATGGTACGAGATGGGCAGGTATTCCATGGTTTGTTTGAGTCATAATGGTTGGGATTCCGCAATGACGGTGTAAAAAAATGGCCTACGGTTCGTCGTTCAGAGCCGCTGGCCTTTGTCAGCAACGCCCAAGTGTGTCAGGACTGGGCTTGGCTAGTACAAGTACCTAACCAGCATCCAGCTAGTCTAGTAACTCCTAGGGGCGGTGGAGTTTTGGCTGCATCAGTGGCAGGTGTTACTGTATTTCCGAAGACACACTGGATTTCTGCCTAAGGTCCCCTCTCTCCGTGACGTCGGGCTTTCATGGAATTCTTCTCAACAGTTGCTGTACATAGCTAGGTTCAGGCCCCAGGCTTGGACATCAGACGGGCAAGAAGCTAGCGAAGCCACTAAGAGCACAGTAGAGGTCGCCCCCATTCTTTTTGCGCCTGTTCGCCGCTTGAGCCCGCCAATGACAAAGGCGTCTCCACCGCGATAATCACTCCGTCTGCGTCACGAACCCGGCTCTTTTTCCTCCGCCCGGCGATAAGTTTTCTTGTGGGAACACATGCTCAAGCCTTCGTGCATCCGAGAACTCCGACCGCTCGCACCAATTGTCATCATCCAACCATCCACCCATCCCGCATTTGTCGCATTTTGCTGCCTCTGGTGACCTATTTCGTTTCCCGCTTCCAATCGCACGCCGTCGTAGCACCAGGCTCCTGGTGCAATGAACTTCTCCGGTGACTGGCAACCAGCAAGCTCCCCGTCCATGGCTATCATTTTTAATAATCACCCGTGATCTCGTTCGGCTTTCATGAAAAGCTTTCTGTTTCTGTCTTGTCCCGAACCTGCGTTCTGCTCTTCGTTACAATTCCTCTCCTTCCTTCCCTCTCTCTCAGGCAGTGCCGTTGTCTGAACAAAGCGTCCTCCTCTTACCTGTGACACACCGATCCCCACCTCCATTCACAGAGTACTCCCATTCTCTTTGTCCCTCCGATTTCCAGGGACCCCCCTTCTGAGAACGATCGAAGATCTCGGTTCGCTCTGCGTCGTTAGTGTAACGGAAGGGTTGGTGGAAAGAATCCGAACACACTGGACCGAATGGTTCCCTCAAGGTTCACCGTCGCAGCGGTGCTGCTTCAACTCGTTTCACTTACCCTCGCCCATGGCGGGGATGAAAATCATGGGACGGACATGGGTGGTATGAAAACGCCCAACACCGATGGAGGTGATCAAGGAAAGGAGATCGATCACCATGACGCTTCGAGCTATGCCGCCCTGGGGATGCATGGGAATATGATATTGGCACATATCATCCTGATGGTGTTGGCCTGGTTTTTTGTCCTACCCATTGGTATGTCGGCGAGAAGATCCCCACGGTTGTCACTGACTCAAGCAATCAGGCGTCATGTTCAGCGTCGCTCAATCGAGATACACTCTCCCCGTCCAATTCCTTTTCCTCATCGTCAACGGCCTCGGAGTCCTGTTCGGTACGGTGTACAACATCAATACTCCTGATTTGTATGAGAATAATGCACATCACAAGGTTGGCTGGATCGCCACCTGGATCATGACCGCTCAAGTCATCATGGGTCTGTTGTTCACCTATTCGAGAAGAGGGAAGCGAACGGCCGCTGCACCGGGTGAGCGGGCCGCTTTTTTGCCTCCCATGTCAGTGGAAAACATGGCTCAACACAATATACGCCCATATACCGATGGCCGCTGGTCTGGCGACAGCGGCCAAGGAACCGAACGTTCCTCAACCCTCCACAGCCAAGATGGGTCTCCGGCCGATACCCTTCGACGAGATACTTTCGACGACTTTGAGAAGCCCGAACCCGAAGATGACGATGACGATGAACCGGTTGCGACCCCCAAACCACGGGCTCGCGCAGCCTGGTGGCGCATCAACGTTATCGACAAGTACTTGTCCGCCCGAATTCCAAACCTGCTCTCAGCCGAGATCCTGCGAGTTATCGAGGTGGTGTACAAGATTATCGACAAAACCATTCTGATCCTGGGTTTCATCGCATTGACCACAGGAGGGGTCACGTATGCTGGTATCTTCGTAAGTCCTTCACGACCCCTCCGCGCGCGGGGGAGACAGCTGCCGTCTCAATGAACCCGGCTAACCATCCACAGCGAGGTAACGATATCTTCAACGGCCTTGCTCACTTCATCAAGGGAGGAATCTTCTTCTGGTATGGATTATTGACACTGGGACGTTGGATGGGGTGCTTTGCCGATCTAGGGTGGGCGTGGAACGTCAAGCCGACCCGCAGTGAAGTGGGCCAATGGAAAGCGGCTGTTCCCTCGGCTGAATTCGTCGAGTCCTTGGTCATCTTCCTTTATGGCTGTTCCAACGTCTTTCTGGAACATCTAGCTGCCTGGGGTGGTAAGTGGACTGCTCAGGATTTGGAACATGTATCCATTTCCATCATGTTCTTCGGCGGTGGCTTGGTAAGGCTCTTCTCCAATTCACATCTCGGCCCACGATTCTAACCTCGAGATAGTGCGGTATGCTTGTCGAATCCAAGATTGTGCGACGATGCCTCAATACCGTGGTCGATCATATGCCATCTCGAACGGAAATTCACCCCAGTGAGGCGCTTGAACTGCGTGCGCCACCGAAGCAATATAGGACATCTCTCAACCCAATGCCGGCGTTGATTATCCTTCTTCTGGGTGTCATGATGTCTTCTCATCATCAGGATTCGATGGTGTCGACCATGATTCACAAGCAATGGGGTTCTTTGCTCGTCGGCTTCTCCGTCGCCCGATTCGTCACCTATGTGATCAACTACATCTCCCCCCCCAGCTCGATCTACCCATCTCGTCCACCGACCGAGCTGGTCTCCTCATTTTGCTTGATTTCTGGAGGTCTCATCTTCATGGCAAGTACCAGAGATATTGTCCGTCACATCGAGAATGCAGATCTTATGGCCATGTTCGTCTTCACCGTCATGATGGGCTTTACTGCCTTTGTCATGTCTTGTGAAGTGATCGTGCTCTGCCTCAAGGGGTGGGCCTATCGAAAAGAGCTCAATGCAGCTGCAACTTCAGTTCGATACTGAACTCATTCCCGTCGACTGTGTCTTCGGGTAATCGTCAATCTATGAGGAAAATGGAGGAAAATTAATACACACATACCCGGGGTTTATGTTTCTCGCAATCATTCTGCTGGACGGCTGGAGCAACTTTCATGCATTGCCTGCGAGCGATACCCTCCTTTTTATTTGATGACTTTCATGACCTCCTCCCTAATTGGACAGAAAAAGAAGGAGGAATGCAATTATTGCTTGCACGATACCCCCGGACGCACTGGCGTCATGCAGTCTCTGGCGCTGGATGATACCCCCAAACCTCTGCATTGTTGATAGATAGAGCAGATATTTATTAGCCGATGTTTGTGGTGCATGAACTACTCAGAAAACAGAGAATCAAACTGTGTACCCAACTTAGTCCTGAAATCTTTTTGTAAGTGCTCAAAGAATGGGGAAATGGGAGACCCGGCAGGGCGCGGAAATAAGGAGAAGGGGGGTTCTTCACCTCCGCAAATTGAACCAGATCCTCCAAAAATTTCCCAAGCTGCGCTCACTGACTCGGCTGTTTATTCACAATCTGACTCCCTCACATACAGAATTTGGCATACGATGGCGCGTGAGGAATCATTAAATATGAAAATATCCTGACACAACTTCTAGACTCCATAAATTTTCAAGTCAACCCTGTCATCTCCTATCAAACGCTCAGCGTCAAAGCAGAGCACGAGATCCATCATTTCTTCCCGACCAGGTGCTGAGTAACCACAGCGATGGCATCACCGAGAATAACGACATCAAATCTTCCTCTCCCAACTCGCCTCATAAACCCTTCCCGCTTGCGCTCCTACATCCTCCGCCTTCCACTGTTCACGCGCCTAATTCTCGCCGCCATTATCGCTTTCTGGCTTCTCGAACTTCAGACCGTCTGGAGTGTAACTCAATGGGGCTCGTTAGACCCCAAGGAGGTTGGACTCGGGAGTATGTACAGATTCAACACGTTCGCATTGATCCATATGGGGTTTTGGCATATGTTGATGGATACTATGTGTCTCGTGCCTCTGCTGGAAAGGTTTGAAGCCGAGTGGGGGACATTGAACAGTGTGGCTCTCTTTCTGGGCCGTAAGTCCTGCCCTGTTGATGAAGATCAAAGAGACTGGATTGTTCACAGAACGGTTGAAGACGTTTACTAATTGTCGTTACAGCGCTGGGCCAAATTCCAGCAGGACTCTATCTCTTACTGGATGGCGTTATCCTGAAAGACAACACTCCAGTGCTTGGTGCGAGGTAGGACAAATCCACACCATTTCCGAAGATCGAAACAACAAGGAAGAACTGACCCCCGGACAAGCATATGGGTTTTCCTTCTTCTCTCGGCCGAAGCCGTCAAGACATACAAGGAGAACCCGTATATCGAGTATGTGGATCCGTTTTTCCATCCCACTTCTTGATTGAAGCGAGCTCCTCCTGAGTCCTGTCTGAAACTAACTCGCTTTCTCTGGAAAGGATTTCCGGTCAAAAGATTCCCACCTGGATATGGCCCTTGGCGATCCTGGTGGTCACCTCCGTTTTGATCCCAAACACTTCCTTTCTCGGCCATTTGAGTGGCAGCGTCACCGGTTATCTCTGTAAAAATTCCAAATTTCTTTCGCACTTCCATTCTCTTTAACTCAATTCCCCTGATCAATGGACTGACCCAGAATCAATCAGGGGGCCTAGGTTATATTCGTTTCCTTGCCCCTCCGGAGAAAGCCCTTCGCTGGATCGAAGGAAAACTCAACCTGTTGGGAAGGTTACCGCATTATGTCTCCGTGGATCAGAAAACATACGGCCGTTATGGTGTTCTGCCTACAAGCTCGACCAGTGGCCAGGGTGAACATATGAATCCTATTGGATTAGGTTGGGTCGGAGGGAATGGGCAGGGCCAGAGGCTTGGACCATGAGTGCGAGCATTTTTGGACCTTGAATTTGACCACGAGTCTCTAGCATGATGTTTTGGCGGGCAAGTGGTCGCATTGTATGACTGAATCTGGATGCGCTTGGATTGGGATCAAAAGGGATGTCATGTGCATATATAGCTGGTTGGGGCTCCCAGCTGTGCTGAGATGATACTACGAGACAACTGTCGTAATCTATCTAATTTCTGTCGAGTTATGGACACGATTCTAATTGCGTGATTCAGCTCAGAGCTGCGGGTAATCTTCGGTCAAGCACAGATTCCTCCTCCAAACACTACTCTCTGCGACATTTTGTATTTGAGGGAGGGTACCTTGCCGTGAAGCTCAAACTGGCTGAGCGAGGTTAAGATGGGTCTGATCCGTAAGAAACTTCTTTCTCGTCCGTGAGTCTCATGAAGACTAAGATGTGCCTCAGGGAACCTCATTTCAAAACTGCGCAAGGACGACCCGCGACTCCTGCGAGTACCTCCATATTTGTCTTTGCTCTGCATACTCGGTGGTATTGTTTGGATCCTCCTCTTGCCCTTCAATGAGTACTCGCGGCAGACATACATCTCCGAAAACGCGCTCTTGCCCGGTCAAGTGCATACCTACTTTGGTGGAAGCGAACAGAATGTCTTTCGAGCATATCGACATGAATTGGCTACGGTTCTGGAGCCTATCCTGACCTCTACCGACAACTCAACATTGAATACAGAAGAGAAACAGACTGCGCAAGACAAGAGAAGTGCGAAGATACAAGAGCTGTTCCGTAATGCGGGACTAAAGACGGCGAAACAACGATACTCCTACACCTCGTCTGGCCGAACATATGACGGGGAGAACGTCTATGCTGTGCTTCATGCCCCACGGGGAGATGGCACAGAAGCTATTGTGCTAGTCGCAGCTCTCAAGAATATCGACAATGTATCCAATGTCAACGGTGTACCACTCCTCGTCTCACTGTCAAGATATTTCAAGCGATGGTCCCTTTGGTCCAAAGACATTATATTCCTAGTCACCCCTGACAGTACCGCTGGACCTCAGGCATGGATTGATGCATACCATTCAACACATGATCCGGACCATGTTCAAGATCTACCACTCAAATCTGGCGCTCTTCAAGGCGCGGTTTGCGTCGACTATCCGTTCGAACATCGATTTGAAACTCTTCATGTTGCCTACGATGGCATTAACGGAGCCCTTCCCAATCTCGACCTCATCAATACAGCTGTTTCCATTGCATCGGGACAAATGGGAATCCGAACTTCAATTCAATTTCAGCACACCTACACCCAACATGACAGTCGAAGCTCTTACCCCGCTCGCCTTCAAACACTTGTGCGTGGCATGTCATCTCAGGCTTTGGGTCTTGCTTCTGGCCCTCACTCTAGCTTTATGACTTACCACATTGATGCCATCACTTTGACTGCGATCGATCAAGGTTGGCAAGATGAAATGGCCTTTGGAAGGACAATTGAAAGCATTTGCCGAAGTCTTAACAATCTACTGGAGAAGCTTCATCAAAGCTTTTTCTTCTACTTGTTGATGCAGTCCAATCGATTTGTGAGTATTGGCTCTTACCTTCCCAGTGCCATGACTTTAGCTGCGGCTTATACTATCATGGCAATTTACCTCTGGGTGTTGAGCGGCTACCAAATAGTCGAGAAGACAACAGTCGTCTCTCGTGAGCCAGTGGGAAATGGTTCGACGGAAAAGACGACCTCCCCCCAAGCGCGGACACCATCATCCGTCAAGAGCCCGTCAAGGATCGAATTCAAACCAATCGACAGGCAACTTGTCTTTCCAGTTGCACTGTTGACTACAATTCATTTGGCGTCATTCATCCCGTTATATCTCCTAAGGTCGTTATGCCTGGGAGCTATGCCTTCGACATTTACCCTGCTGACAATATTTCTCTTGGTCGCGCCTATCATCCTTGCATCAGCATTTGCAGAGATGCCCAACAATACTACTCTCCCCGCACTTTCTGCACCCACGAATGAACAATACCTTCTCATCAAATCGCTAAGTTTATTGTTGCTGGGCCTATTCTTGACAGTCCTTGCCACTTTGAACTTCAGTCTCAGCATGTTCCTCGGTATCATCTGTATGCCGCTTGCCTTTATGGGCCGAACTCCTAGCAGAAATGCGTTGGCATTCCTTCAATATTTGATTCTTGTCATTATGAGTCCAATGGGCCTAGCGGCTGGATTTGGTGGATATGCCTTCCTTGTCCTGGGGAGAGATAACGCATTGATGGACCGGTTAGAACAGTTTGCCTTTGGTTGGAATGTATGGGGTAGTTGGAGCGTGCCCATTGGCGTTTTATGCATCTGGTTACCGGCGTGGACTGTTGGAGCAACGTTGGTTGCGAGCTCATGGTTCACTAGTTCGATTGTGCCAACGACAGAAGTTGCCGCGGATCCAAAGTCTCCATCGCAGGGAAAATGAGTATGAGATGATTGTTCAATCAGAGCGAATGAATGTTGGTCTGGCACCACTTTATCACGAGCGCCGAAGAGACCTGGCAGATGTGAGAAGCTAACATCAACATGGCACTACATTCCAAAGCAGCTTTGTCCACCCGCAGACGTCGAGATCGAGCTACAGCCAAACGCAAGGCTTGTCTGTATGCATCAATACTGAACCGTACCAGCTCCCAACTACGCTTCTGGAATTTCCGCGTTAGCTTCCATACCGATTTTGCGTTGAATCAATCTCCTTGCAACGGGCCATAAATATCCACTGACACTCGTCATTCAAGTTCTCCGGATGAATCGGTCTCGTCGAAATATCTCAAATCCGGCGACGACATTTGAAGCCGAAATTGGGACTTTTCAGCGAACGAAGACGGGATGGCCGGAGAGAATCTGGACTCTGATACCTACAGCTACTTAGGGATTCAAGGCTTGAACATATACTGCCCGAACGGCCACTTCGCCATGCCTGTATGCGATCGGCTGGGAAGAAGGTCGAAGAGTTACGTTTCCTGACCAAACTATTTCCATTGGCGGTGGCCCAAGGAGGCCCCGATTCATTGGATCAGAATGAATTGAGGAGAAAGGGAGGACCGAAAAGTTCCCGTCCTTTCACCATATCCGTCATAATCCAGCCAATAGCATCCATCCCTAGACGCCTGAAGTTTTCCCGACCGTCGGACTGCGCTCGTGTGTATCACTACCGGTATTAATTTCGTCTTCATGAACAGTTCCCTATACTTGATTTTCGCTATATATTGATTGCCTATGGTACACATCAGGTCGATGGTATATCTACTCTTCTACTCGTCTAGTCGTCTCATCCTCACCAGACTTTTGTCGTCTTCTATTCGAACCTTGACACAGTTTGCTCCATTTCCTCCATCACTCCACCTCCCCCTCCGACTCCGATCTCTTCTCTCCTCTTCCCTTTTCCCTAATTTTTCATTCTTGTCCTCTTCCATCTTCTTTCTCCCTCTACCTTCCTTTCATCTTCCTCGTCCGTTTCCCCTTTTCCTTCTTCCACCCCGTACGTTTTTCTCTCCACCCCATCTTTATCCCATCTTATCCCTCACTTGTTTTGTTTTGGTACTTGAGCAATGCACCCTGGACCCCACAATCAACACCTCCATCATAACCACGTACCTCGACCACGCCACACATTGAGGCCACTCTCCCCGCAGGTCTTTCTGTTGTACTTGCGAAAGTAACGCGGACGCCACCGTGCCGTTGAACGATGACATCATTTTGATTCTGGTGGGGGTGTTGAGTGACGAGAACCAAAAAGAGTGGAAGCCGAGTGAAGGGTAGCTTTGTAAAGATAAGGTTGATTGAGGTGGGGAGTTTGAGCTAGTAGCGCAAATGTTTGAAAGGGGGCCGGAGGGATCATGGGTGTCTCTCTGCAATGGGCTCAGAGGCTGGTGAGCGATAGATGGAAGAGGATTGGAACGGAGGTATTGGCTACCTGCTTGATAATGGTCCCTTTGTTGGTATCGACCATTCTACTAAGGAACCGAGGGACGGATACATTATGTTGAGGATATTGCCCCGTTGGCGTGTAGGACAGTGCAGTACTGTCTGTGATCGATGACGGCTCCCGTAAAGGTTGGTGGAATGGGGTTTGAACGAGGGCTTGGTGTATGACGTGAAAGATTTAAAGAGGGTTAAGCAGGAAAAGGAGAGACTGAGGAACCGGGCAAGCTATCGTAACCATAAACATAAGGATACCGACGGGCGAAAGGGGTCTGGAAAACAATCTCGCAACAGGGAGATGCATGTCTTCAGAGGATCAATCCTGTCGGATGTTGATTGGTCTTCATTAAATCCTTGATTGGATTCGATCGATTTGATTTCCAAGTATTCTGATGTCTTTGCCATTCATACCGTCTAGTTTATGTCCTCATTTTCATCGCTTGTCAAATCCAAGCCAACTTGAGCCGCGACGTGAGCTTTTTGTTTCCACACGTGTATCCACCCGTGGTGGTCGTTGTCCCTCTGCTGTTTGAGGGATCTCCGTTCTATCGTCGAGAACTTGTGCGTTGTATTGCTTGATCCCGGAAGACCCAGGAATAAATGTGAGCTAAGGCGGTAGTTGGCAGGCGAGGGTGAAAGCAGTTGAACGCTCGATGACATGTCTCTGTTTGTGCAGGATAGTTGGGAAGGCTGGAGCTCGTCTTGCTCTCCGGACCTTGCGTCGTTTCGACTTGACTGATCCTCGATTGCTTGTAAGGCGACGATGTCAACGTATTGACGAGTTGCCATAGGGTATTCACGAAGAAAAGATGTTAATATCAAATTCTCCACCCTCTTTTCGCGTTCTCCTCCTCTCTTAGCTTCTCCTTCATCTTTAGCAGCGCATACAAGCTCTGCATCCGAGGCATCTCGCATCCTTTTTCCCTTGCCAGTCGTATTGGGTTGCCCAGGATGACTTCCATCTCCATTTGCTTTCCACTTTCCCAGTCAAGAAGCATGCTCGGTTTGCTGCCACTTTTATTTCTCTGCGTAGATCGTAGAATGGCTTCCGCCGTCGCGAACTCCTTGGGGAACGCTTTCCCCACGACCTTCGGCGCCGTGATGAGCACTTCATCCATCACCCCTTTAAGATGGACGTAGAGCTCCGAGTCTAGCGCCATGGCTTGGTTTGTGGATCCCCCCGATAGCACGGCAGATGGATTAAAGGCCGCGTTGATGGCGATCTTGTGCCAGCGGACCAATTGGAGCTTCTCGTGAGTGTCGGCGATGGCATCTTTGATTCCGCCTTTGAGCAAGAGGTCGACGAAAGTTTTGTTCTGTGCCGCGGCTTTTGCTTTCAACTCTGACGAGGAAGTCTGAGAGTCTGAGAAGAACGGTCCTACGTTTATCCGTGTCCAGCGGTTATGTTTGATATGGCCACTCGAAGGCTGTGCTGCAGAGGCCACAGTGACGGCACTTAGGATAGAGGAGTCGGAAAATCTCTGGGCGTAAGGCTGTTCCACTCCGAGACCGTTCTGGATTAACACGACCGCTGTTTGCGCGGATATCAAACCTTCGAGGAGTTTGGAGTCATCCGAGACATTGGGCAATGCTTTGGTGCTGACCACAACGAAGTCCCATTTGACTCCGCTTTGACGGACAGACTCAGGAGAATTGAAGGTGCGTGTCGGCGTCCACGTGTAGTCGCCGTACTGTGGGGAGGCTACCTGGAAGCCATTGGCTTTGACCGCGGAATAGTTTGAGCGACAGACCACGGAGACATTGGTGTCTGGATTGAGAGCGACGCGAGAGGCGTAAAAAGCTCCGATCGCACCGGCGCCAAAGAAGAGGACTTCAAGAGGCATTCTGAGGCAGAAGAGGATGGAAGAATCACAGGTGGAAGGAGGGTGAAGGAGAAAAGATCACTGAGGGCTGATATCCGAGGTTGCGAGAGGAAATTGGGTAAAACATTTTCCCGAACGGGACTCCCAGCCACAGCTGCACAGCCACCAGCCTCAGCCTCCTTTGGCGATTGCCGCTTTTAAAACTTACGCCAAGTTCTAGACGCGTTGCCCACCTCCCATCACAGGCAGACGTAATTGTGAGACAACAGCTGAGGTCCCATCTTGAGTATATCAATCTTCTCTCTTTCAACACCCCCCCCCCCCCCCCCCCCCCTTGGCATGCTTTTTTCCCTCGTTCGCATCTTCGTTTTTCTACTCTGCTTGAATCTTGGTTTGACTCAGTTTGTGCCTCAACTTACCCCCGAGCAATTTGACTTCACAATGGGAGGCGGGCATGGAATTCGATCGGTTGTCTACTACGTCAATTGGGCTCCATACGGCCGCAACCATCACCCGCAGGACCTCCCTGCCGAGAATATAACCCATGTCCTCTATGCCTTTGCCAATGTGAGGCCTGACAGCGGCGAGGTCTATCTTACAGATCCCTGGTCAGATACCGACAAACACTATGATGGTGACAGTTGGAATGATACTGGTACCAATGTGTATGGTTGTGTCAAACAATTGTTTCTTCAGAAGAAGCGGAACCGCAATCTCAAAGTCTTATTGAGTATCGGGGGCTGGACGTATTCTTCCAACTTTGCACAACCAGCTAGCACCGACAGTGGCAGGAAAAGATTTGCACAAAGTGCAGTGAGATTGTTAGAGGACCTTGGCTTTGACGGTCTCGATGTCGACTGGGAGTATCCAAAAAATCACAGCGAAGCTGAAGACTTTGTCAAATTGTTACACGAAACAAGAAGTGCTCTCGATGCAGCTGCTGCCAAACGTCAAAAACCAACACGATTCTACTTGACCGTGGCGTGCCCTGCTGGACCCTCCAATTTTGAGAAGATGAGAATTGCCGAAATGGATCGCCTCTTAGACTTTTGGAATCTAATGGCGTATGACTTTGCTGGGTCTTGGGATCAACGAACAGGACATCAAGCCAATCTGTTCCCATCTAGGTCTCATCCCGAATGTACGCCATTCAGCACAGCGGCTGCCATTGAGCATTACACAAGGCAAGGTGTCCATCCTTCGAAGATTGTTCTGGGAATGCCTTTGTACGGACGAGCATTCGCCTCTACATCCGGACCAGGGCATACTTACAGCGGAACAGGTGAAGGAAGTTGGGAGCAGGGAGTCTGGGACTACAAAGCCCTCCCCAGGCCGGACAGCACTGAGTATCATGACCATCATATTGGTGCAAGCTGGAGTTATTGTCCATCATCCAAAACAATGATCAGTTACGACACACCTGAATTGGTGGCGCAAAAGGCGGGCTTTGTCCGAGACTATGGACTTGGAGGCGGAATGTGGTGGGAGAGTAGTGGAGACAAATCGACAGGCGGCGGCAGCCTCATTGAGACTTTCTTGACACATAGTGGAGGGCCGAGTCGACTGGAGGAAGTCAAGAATTGCCTGGAATATCCCGAGAGCAAATACGACAATTTGAGACACAAGTTCGACTAGGTCAATAAAGTTGATGCCGATGAAAAAGTACTTATGCGTATGTACCCGCAGAAGGTTGGTAGGGAAAACGGAAGTCGAGAACACATGGTAGCTGAACAGGTCACAAATTCGCTTATCTGAGCCAATCTGGGTCTGGAGTATTGTGAGCTAGATGAACTTTGAATTGTTTCAACCTGTTTTTCCCGAACCGCGTTTGGTGTAACTTCAGATCACTTTATGGCGTTCGATGCCATTGCATTGATATACTTTTTCCCAACCGGGTGCGCGTGGAACCTCAATAGCTCGGTGTCAACGGCTTCGAGGAAATGGGAGATGACGACAAGAGGTTTGACAAATTACGAAGCTCGGAGCGTGCACCTGAGTATGATATCCTAAGTCCATTGAGTGATGTCGCGTACTTCGTACCTGGTACCTGCCAAGAGAGTCAAGTTCGGCAGAAGGTTCCGTACTAGTACCTGGGTGACTTTAACATAGCGCTCGGGTACTTTGTGGGCGAGTGCCCCCTGTCAACCATGGTGAACTTGAACCAACCCCTATTTCGTATTCCATATCGCACATGTTCCGTTCTAAGCTATCTGTTCCCTGCTGTCATCAGATGACAACTTGCCATCCGCTGTCCTTGCTCCCGCTTTTGAAATGCTCAGTGTGGAAATCCGACCGCTGCCCTCCAAGCAAAGGCCGACTAGCTCTACAAAGACCAAAATCTGTTGCCAGCAAATTACTTGCGTCAGACTCGGATCAGCCTGTGCGGTCACTCGTCAAATCTCGATTTGTTCCCTTCTGATTGACAAAGTTCTATGACAGCCTGGTGGCCACAAAGGCTCATGTCTTCTGCGTCGTGATGTGCACCTTGCTACTTAGGCCCCTAGAGCATCTCCGTGTTTGATATCTCAGGTCTACTTGCATGCTACACGGCATTACGTCAGGCCCTCTTCTCGGGATTACTGAATCTCGTGATAATATCGAGAAGGCGCCTTCTGGCTTCCTCAGCTCGGTCCAAAAATTTCGATGGAGGGTCGGCTGCCAGATTCATCCTATCGCTTTGTGCACTTCGAGAATCACGATTATCATTCCACCAGACGAAGCGCCTCGAGCCACCTATAACCCGACGAGAAGAAAAAAGTGCCGACTTGGCTTCGCTATGGCAATTCGCCACGCAGCTGACACATTTGAAGCTAAGAGAGGCCAGGCTTCAGGCCCCACAACACCTGCCAGGAGTTCGAGGGAAGTCCGAAGACTTGGGGTATTTGGAGAGGCTGTTTTTGTTTGAATGTGAACTAATGTGTTTGAGATGTGCTCCAGAAAGCATGGGAGGAATCAGGGACGTTTGAAACTGGCACCAAACCACCAAAGGAAGCCTTGGCATTGAGCGTCTCGTAGTGTGTACTGACTAAATCTCGGTTCAACGCCCCCGTTGATGATCTGTGAAACCAAAAAGCGGCGGAAGCAATCATCATCCAATAGCAGGCTCAGTGCTCCGCAAAAATTGTAGCGAGACCTCCTCTTGCACAGTGGCGGGCATCCAGACCAGGGTGGACAGCGACTATCGACTACCCGACTTGATTTCGAACACCGTTTTCTTTCAAAAGGAATCATTGACAATGAAGGATGCTGGGTAGGCGAGACCGGGTGTACGTGAGGCCCGAGCGCGTGGACAACGAGATGACATCTCCCGACTTTATTGGGCGGTTCCTGGCGTTGGGCTCTCACGAGGGGGGTTTGTCTCCTTGCATGTCGCAGGACCCTGACGTCGATGAGCATTTCCATGTATGGGTATTGATAAATTAAAATGCCGACCAAACTAGAATGTACAAAATTACCCAGTACCTGGGACTGCTGTCATGGTTGTAGGGGGAAGTCTCGAGTGGAACAGGAAGCCAGACAAAGTGAAAGGGATCAACGGGCAGGACAAGTTGGAACAATGCCGTGCATACAGCGATAGAGGTTACCGCAGCCCAAGAGGGACGTAGGCCGGCACTGGATATGGCTATAGCGGCTTTGTAGTTATGGCTGATGGAAACAATGCGATACTAAGTGCTGATTCCTAACATACGTAATTATCTTCCTTTCTGCCCTTGATAACTCGGGAACTCCCAAGCCAAAGTCGAGGTCACTAACTTGGGTAGCTAGTTGGGGTCAGTCCTATTCAAACGTGGCGCTGGTTGGCGTTCAGCCAGCGTGCAGGGGGTACCAACCGCTCATCCGCAAAGCTGATCTCGCATCTCTCTTTTTTGACTCTCTTTTCGACTCTGCTTTTGACTCTGCGCCCAATCCTCTAGAGTTCTAGCGTAGGGGACTGTCTAGAGATTTACCCCTGAACCCAGCGGCCCAACGACGCGAGTAGAGTGTCCACTGTGGACTTGTCCCACACCACACTGGCACTAGCACACCTCCAGAGTCCAACTTTCTCCTCTCCTTCTCTGCTTTGTTGGCCAAGCGTGCCCTGAATATCCCCAGCTCCCAAGCACCAAGTTCCACCATCCAACGCTCCCCCCCCTCCATCCTTCCTATCGCTGCGCCAGTCACCTTCTTCTCCTCATTCGTTCGTTGCCGTTCCTGGTTCCTGACTTCTGATCGTTGACTCCTGCTCGAACAACCATTCTCGCCCTTTTGTTCGCTCCCTACCGTTTCTCTTATCTTCTTCACCTCGCCAACCAGCGTCCTCCACGCTTCCTACAAACCCATTTTTTCCCGTTGTCGCCCTATCCGGCTGATACTCGTCGAGCCGCAGAAGGATCGTCAGCGTAGTCGGTCACTCTGCGCTGCACACCCAATCCAACCGCCCACACCTCCTTCTTGCTGAACATCACCCCGCCAGTTCTTCGAAAATCTCTGCCTGGCCACATTGCGTCGTCCGAATATCTGTAATATTTCTGGGGTGGAGCCTTCTGCTACGTTCGTCGAACCTTGTCAGGAGGGAAGAAAAACATAATTGTATTGCTCTCGCGCTGGTCGCATTGGCTCGGGCACCTGTTCAAATCAACACCAATAATCCTGGAAACCACCTGGTGCATTCGCATTTGCAATCCAGCCTGTTTACATTCGGCCCAGAAAAGGGTTGTGCATCCAAAGACCCGGATGACCTGCGGCCCATTCTGAAACACGTCCAACGTCACAATCATCCCCACCCGGAGGGTTGCAAATACAAATTTGCTCTTGAATCCGTCCACCGGTGCTGCTGAGTAGATGAGCTCTCAACTTCGCTCCGACGTCCCCAGACGTGTGTCCAGCGCAAAAGAACGCTCAAGATCACGTCGCAGCAAGACGGGCGATATGTCAGTCGCAACCATGCTTCAACCAGCATCACGAGGCTCGACCTCGACTAATTCCTCCTTCGAACCCGTCAGCCGTCAAAATACCTACTCGAGCCACGATGGCGCGCGATCCTTGAGACAAAGCAAGCGTGTTAGCATGACAGCCTTGTATGCTAGCATGAGCGCAAAAGATAAAGATTTGGAAATCAGCGACGACTTGGCCAGGGCACAACGGACACTTCGAGACCTGAAAGTGAAGATCTCAAACCAATCCAAAAAGAATTTCGTCCTGGAGAAGGATGTTCGCTATCTCGATTCGAGAATTGCGCTTTTGATCCAAAATCGGATGGCCTTGGAAGAGGTACGTTCCATGGTCCGGGCAGAGTGACCTGTGTCCAATGTTTAACCACTGCTACAGCAAAACGAAGTCGCTAGCCATCTCGATGAAGCAGCTGAACTTCAGGAAGGCTCGTTTCCAAACGACGAAAAGACTCAAAAATACGGCAATCTTTTATTTATGCTTCAGTCAGAACCCAGGCACATTGCTCATCTATGTCGATTGGTTACCATGGCCGAGATCGACTCCCTGCTACAGACGGTCATGTTCACGATATATGGAAATCAGTACGAAAGCCGGGAAGAACATCTTCTGTTGACCATGTTCCAGTCGGTGTTGACACATCAATTCGAAACGACCCCGGAATATTCCTCACTACTTCGGCAGAACACCCCGGTGTCGAGAATGATGACCACGTACACCCGAAGGGGTCCTGGCCAGAGTTTTCTCAAAGAGGTTCTGGCCGAGAAGATCAACTCTCTGACTGAGCTGAGCGATGTCGACCTCGAAATTAACCCTCTCAAAGTCTACGAAGCCATGGTCAAACAAATCGAAGACGACACCGGCACTCTCCCAGAAGACCTGCCAAGGTCTGTAACTGCCGAATTTGCAGCAGAGAATGTTCAAGTGCAAGCCATTATTGCACCACGTCTCAAGATGCTGACTGAGATTGCCGAAGGATTCCTGTCCGCCATTATCGAGTGCCTCGAGGACACTCCATATGGCATTCGGTGGATTTGCAAACAAATTCGGAACCTTTCCCGCCGCAAATACCCTGACGCTCAAGACCAGGCGATTTGCACCCTCATTGGTGGATTTTTCTTCTTGCGCTTCATCAATCCCGCCATCGTTACCCCAAAATCTTACATGTTGATTGAGAGGGTGCCCGAGGAGAAGCCGAAACGTACACTCACATACATTGCTAAGATGTTGCAAAATCTAGCCAACAAACCATCATATGCCAAGGAACCGTACATGGCCAAGTTGCAACCTTTCATTCAAAGGAACAAGGATCGTTGCAACAAATTCATGCTAGACCTTTGTGAAGTTCAGGATTTTTATGAGAGTTTGGAGATGGACAACTATGTGGCGCTGTCGAAGCGAGACCTGGAGCTGCAAATCAGCTTGAACGAGGTCTACGCGACTCATGCTTTGCTTGAGAAGCATAGTACAGAGTTGGCCAAAGATCCATCTTCCCATCTAGGAATCCTCTTGCAGGAGCTCGGTCCGGCTCCTCCTCAACTTCCCAGAAAAGACAACCGGGCCATCACCCTACCACTGTATAGCAAATGGGAGACTTCATTCGATGATCTAACTCACGCATTGGACATTACACAAGAGGAGGTTTTCTTCATGGAGGCAAAGAGCACTTTTGTACAGATCATGCGAAGCCTGCCGCAGAATGCCACTGCCGTGCGTCGACCGCTCCGTCTCGACCGCGTCGCAGAGGCGGCAGGAACACTGAAGAACGATGCTGTCATGGTGCGCAAAGGCATCAGATGCATGGAACTCTTAACTCAACTCTCTGAAATGGGAGCCATTGATCGCGCAGATGATTATGCCGTTCTTCGAGACGAAGTCGAGCAAGAACTGGCTCATCTCGGCTCTTTGAAGGAGAAGGTGCTGGAAGAGACGGCCAAGTTGGAAGATGTTTATAAGACGATTCGAGACCACAACGCATATCTCCTATCACAACTCGACACGTACAAGAATTACTTGCACAATGTTAGAAGCCAGTCCGAGGGTACAAGACGGGGCAAGGCTGAAAAAGTCCGGGAACTCGGACCGTACAAATTCACCCACGCCCAGCTGGAGAAAGACGGTGTTATTACGAGAAGCAATGTTCCGGAAAATCGGAGAGGTAATATCTTCTTCATGTTTCGAAGTCCACTTGCAGGCACGTTTGTCATCAGTCTGCATTACAAAGGTGAGTTTACTGTTTCACCTGCTCAGCCCTTCCTGGAAACTAACCTTCTCATAGGGCGTGCCCGTGGTCTCCTTGAGCTCGACTTGAAACTGGACGACCTGCTCGAAATGCAAAAAGACGGTCAGGACGATCTGGACCTCGAATACGTCCAGTTTGATGTGTCAAAGGTTCTCGCTCTACTCAACAAGCGATTCGCACGGAAGAAATAGAAACCAAGTCGGGTTCTCTCATTCACACCCCAGGACATCTCGAAGCGTACCGCGCGACCACGCAAGTATACCTCAGATTTCGACGACGACGACAACGACGCGCATACGACAAATCATACCCAGCCATGATGAAGTTGCTGAACTCTCTGAGGCATTGCACATCCGGGGCATTGCCTTCTTGACCTTTGTTTTATTAACACCTCGTTTCTCTTTCATATTGTAATATTTCGTCGGACTTCGAGCGAGGCCATGCGGTTTGTATCAGAAGGAAGAGCTGCTCTGTGGCAGATGAGTGGGCTGGTTCAGGAGAAGTTGTTTGTGCTCGGAGTAATATCGATGAACATGATTTACCCGGTGGTACGTTGGAACGAGCAAAGACGACACGGAGATGGATACCACTGTACTAATAGGAATGGGTTTCGGGTCTCAGTTAGCTTATTGGGACCACTTTAGAATGGGAGTCGGCTTCAGCAATAAGAAGGGTGAGAATGAAATTATTTGAGAGTTGAATTGAAGTAGGCGTTGAGCAGCTGTCTTCATTAAATGGTACTATGCCGGAACACGGTAAGGCAAAAGCGACGACCAAGAGTGGTCAAACCAAGGGCATCCCGGTGAGTGCGGGGTCGTCGCCATCGCGCTTCACGGACTCACGGTCCCTCTCGTTGCTGCCTGGACCTCAACGATTCACTGGAGCCTCGCAATGCTCACCCTCAACTATCTCTCTCTTTCGACATATTCTCTCACCCTTTCTACTGTCTTGATGCACCTTGTCTGAATCTCTTCGTCATTGCACCTGATTGCCTAGACGCTTCGTCATGGCCGAGTCAACATCCTCTGCTTTACTCCCCGCCTTTGGCGTACGCGATTTGAATGGATCGAAGGCTCCGCCAGGCATCGTTCAGATCACTGGCGGCCAATACGACACCACGATCCGGTCCCAGCCTGATGCTGTCCTTTCCTACATTGATGACGATGACGGTGATGTTATCACTGTTGGAAGCTCTTTTGAGCTGGAGCAACGACTCGATGAACCTGCGCGACATTCCGTCCTTCCCGTCTCACCTGCATTCCCGACAGGCAGAGAATCTAAGGAAAATAAGATGATGATGCATATCTTCGACATCAAACATACTAGCGGCAGTCTGGCTGTATGGAGAGAACATGAGGCGTACACAACCAAGAGTCTGGGGAGGCAGGACAGTCCGCGTTCCAGTAGGGACGCTGCCGTTCAGCATGGTTCAGCCTTGCACACGAAACCCAGTCTGACACAAAACGCCACAATTCCATCTCAGCCTAACGCGGCCACTAACCGGAGACCTCAGACGGCTTCGGACAAGGCTTCGACGGGGGTTTCATCCGAATCCAAATCAGAAATACCAACGTATGAGAGAGATATTTCGACTCAATTGGACAAGGCTCTAACCGGCGTTTTCAATGGCCTCGAGCCCCACCTCGTACCAATTGCAGATTTCTTGGAGACTACGGCGGAGGGTCTCAGGAAAGTTGCCGAAAAGACAGCGGAGCAAGATAATACACCTGCTGAGGTTGTCTTGAGCGGGTTCAAAAATATTTTGGCGGAGGTGGGTGAAATGGGTCTAGAGTTTCTCGCGGCTCTTGATGAGGAATATCAACAAGACAAGGCCCAAAAAATAAGCACGGCCAGCAAGCCTGCTCCTCAACCGGTGACACAACAGGGCCCCGTCGAAACGGCAACAAAAAGAGTCAGCTTCGTGGAGATACCACCTCCTCCCGTCGAGAAGAAACCAGAACCACTAAAAGACCTCGATCATAACGATCGCAAGGTCTTTGGGACCAATACATCCCTGTACGCCCATCGTTCCCAGCAGCCAATACTTGCAGATCCTCCATTTCGTACGAAGCCACAGCCGCCCGTCTTCCCAAGAGATATCCAACGGGCATCCCAGCTTGATCCTTCGAAGAGCTCCATTCTTGATCAAGAGCCATCTGATCCTGATTTTTCCACCCGTTACCCTCCATTGCTGTCTCTGAGGAAAGCCAAAAGCGTCAGTGGATTGCATGACAAATCGCAGAACCCTGATGTCTCGCAGCGTCCTAGCATGAATACTTCTTCTGCTTTGTCTCGCTATCCGAGCATCGCACAGCTCAATGAACAAATTCGGTTTCCGTCAAAAAGCAAACCTACGCCAAAGCCTACTACCGTTGGCAATGGTTCCATGAATGCAGGGATCCCCGTTGGCACAAGCAAGCCAGTGACCACCAACTCATACAAAAAGCCGGGCGTCGAAGATGATGTTAATACAGAAACATCACCAAAGGAGGGTATGAAGCCTGAGGCTGGCCCCGGCGAAGACTCCCCCGTGTTCCCAACGTGGTTACCTGGCGCCTGGCCAGAGCAAAGGACGAAAGATTCGACCACCGTATTGCCTACTACAGAAGCCTCCGGCATCCAAACTTTGACGAAAGCTCCTCGAAATTCCGTTGCGCCACCTCGTGAACATCTTGCCGATGGTCTCTCACACCGTATCAGCAGCCCCTTCAGCGATACATACTCTCGGGAAACGCCACCACCACATTTCCCGAAGAGACATCAAACGGTCACCGGAATAAATCCGGCCGCGAGACTCAATGGTCCATTCAACCCTCTGGATTCTCTCAGCCGCTTGTCCAGCCTCCAGCCTCGACATCAAAAGTCGCAACCAAATCTATCTCGAGTCAACACAAACTCGGAAACCTTGACGAAGGAACCTCCAGTAGTTTTCCCCCAGCGTAGCCGCACCGTCAACTACACTGACCGCTACAGACCGGTAGCTTTCAATTACCCAAGACCCAATTCGTTCGATAGTCATCTGAAAGACGGATTAGGCAGGCCAACGGCATCTCTCAGGTCCTCCGCTGAATCCACCCCAACGACGTCCTCTCATTCAGAAAATACTATAGTCCCTAAAATTACGACACGGCCTCAAGATATTCACCACCCACGGTCTCAACGTATGTTTCCTCAACCACCAGCAGCCGGCCAAAGACCTCAGTCTTCAGTATTCTCCCCTCCACCGCCTGCATCATTACAATCTCGCCATCCACGCCCCATGAAGAGCGAACCATACCTTCCAAGAATGACATCGACCAACACCACGTCCTCATCTACGTCCTTATATCCCCCGGCACCTGCACCGATTGTCGCCGAACCCCCTGCCAATATGTCGCCTACCTTCACTCTAAGCCCCATCACGAGTCCTCGAGGCCGCTCTGGTATCCCTCCACCTCCACCCACGGCCAGCTCCAGGGTTGATGATTGCGTTAAAATTCTCAAGGGCATGGGTTACGGCACCAGTGACGCGAACGAAATGTCAAGATTAAACGTCTACGCAGGCGCCACGGCAGGAAATGTCGAGGATGCCATCGAAATGATCGAGGAAGATCGTGAGGCCGCGAGAGAACTGGCAAAGCATAAAGATGTTGGGGAGAGAGCAAGAATCGGGCCCCCTGGGGATTCAGTCTGCTTGAGCGTCGACCACCTAGGGCAAGTTGACATGGAATGAAGCCCAAAAGTGGAAAACGGAAGTACATACACAACCGGAGCTCAGACTTTGACATGCAATGGAAGCGGATGTGATGCATTTCTCGGATCCGGTGCGCCAGGTTCCGCCGCCCTTCTGCGAAATCATCGGAAGCGAGACTGGAAGGACATGGATTCTGGGCGGTGCAAATACTGTGCTAGTGCTGATACCTTGCTTTGGTTTCGATTTTCGTATTTCCGGATCATTTTTTGTTCTCTTCACCATGCGTGGCGTTCCAGAATAAAATGGCAATGGGCACAGGATCGGAGAATGGAGAAGGGGAGAGGAATGGGAGAAAACGCAAGCTAGTTCGTTCAGTTACACTCAATAATGATGATTATGAATAATACGTAATTTTTATGTTTTCCCGTTCCAGGTGCCTCTGTAACTCCACTTGGAATACAAGCACGCAAGCGCCAAATGGTAGGGTATGCTACGGGAGATGTCCCACCACCACCAAACGCAAAAAACTTGAGACGGCTATATAAACCTCAACTGCATCGCGGGTGATAAGATGCACCACTCGTGGTTGTCCTACATACAAGTACTAACAACCTTGCATGTCCCGTTCCTGTCTCCGTTCCCGTCCCCGTCTCGTTGTTGCACAAGGCTGGTGACTGATCAATCTTCCATATTCTCCTTCCTACGGGACATGCGGATAAGTCGTTCAATCCGGGATTGTTCCAGACTTCCCTTGATGCTGTTGCCGTGACCATTGAATTGAAACGCCACTCTCTGAAACTTTTCAACTTTAGTCTTCACAATCTTCCTTTCCACGAGCCCCTTTTCTCTGAACGGCACGTAAATGGTCGAAATTGGGCCGACCTCAACCTCCGCAACACCATTCATTCCGGGGCCAAAGAACTTTGCCAGAGGCCAAATGCTCACGATTGAAAGCCTCGCCTTGAGGGGGGGGGGAGAAATTAACGATTACCGGTCCCATTCTTAGGCTGAATCCAGTTTGAAGGGTCTTCTCTGAGTGGTCGATCGATATCTTCTCGCGTTCACCTTTTACTCCTTCTCCGTACCGAGATATCCAAGAACACTTCAAGGAATCGTTTATAGCATCGGTTTAATGTCATCGGCGACCTTGAACGGTGCTTCGGTCTTGCTCTTGACTTCCTCAACAGTGACTCCGTCCGCAAGCTCGATGAGGGTGAGACCATCGGTAAAATCGACGTCAAAGACACACTAAAAGAAATATCAGCATTAGCTTCGGTCCGTAGGGATCGAGTTTGGAACATAGGAAGGCGCGTCTCTACAAGACCCCTCGTAAAATGAACAAGGCCGACTTACCAATTCGGTGATGATCCGGCTAACACAAGCTCTGCCAGTGAGTGGGAATTCGCACTGCTTCAAAATCTTGGGATTTCCCTTCTTGTCCGTGTGTTCCATGAGGGCTACGACCTTGGTCTTCTCCGGGTTGGAAACGAGATCCATAGCGCCGCCGAATCCCTTCACCTTGCCCGGCAACATCCAGTTTGCCAGGTCTCCCTTGGCGGACACCTGCATGGCACCGAGCATGGACATGTTGATACGACCGGAACGGATCATGCCGAAAGATTCTTCGGATCCGAAACAAGACGCACCGGGCAGCAGGGTTACGGTCTCCTTGCCCGCATTAATCAGATCGGCATCTTCCTCGCCCTTTCGAGGATAAGGTCCCAGACCAAGGATACCGTTCTCGGATTGCAATTGGACCTCGACTGAGGAGTCAACGAACGAAGGCGCCAGCATAGGCATGCCAATTCCAAGGTTGGCATACATGCCGTTCTGGAACTCCTTGGCCGCGCGCTTGACGATTCTCTCCCGCTTCGAGGCTGCGTCTCCTTTGCCCAGGCTGTCTGTGACGGAGCCCTCTTCGACTCTGTTGACGTATTTCTCAATCTTCTTCTCAGCGGTCGATTGGATGACTTTGTTCACGTAGATGCCAGGCAGGTGAACGGCAACGGGGTCGATTTCGCCCACCTCAACGAGATGCTCTGCTTCAACAATGGTCACTTTAGCATTTCGTCCCATGGCGCCGTTGAAGTTGTTGGCCGCGAGACGGAACTGGCAGTTGCCGAGCTTGTCGGCTCTGTAGGCTTTGACGAAGGCGTAGTCGCCGGGAATGGCTTCTTCCATCACATAGCTCTTGCCATTGAAGACCTTGACATCGCGCGGCTTTCCGAAGCTGGCGATGCTGCCGTCGGGTTTGTGCCGGAGGGGAATCTCGCCAGTCTGCACGACGGTGCCGAATGCGGCGGGGGTGTAGAAAGCGGGAATACCCTTTCCGCCGGCTGCGCAACGCTCGGCCAATGTGCCTTGAGGTGTGAGTTCGAGTTCCATCTCGCCGCCCAGATACATTTGCTCGAGGATCTTGTTTTCACCCACGTAGCTCGCAATCATCTTCTTGACCTGTCGAGACTCCAATAACAGGCCGAGACCGGCGCCGGGGATACCTGCATTGTTGGAGACGGCCGTCAGGCCGGTAATGGAGGGAGTCTTTGCAACTTCATTGATCAGCGTATCGGGGACTCCGCAGAGACCGAACCCGCCGCAGAGGAGGACAGAATCGGACTTCATGTCTTTGATGGCTTCTGCGGCTGAAGGGACAATCTTGTTGATTTCATCTCGACGCAGAGTGGAGGAGAAAGATCGTGTCAAGAGGAGATTTTGCTATGGGAAGAGAGACCGTCAATGGGAACGTTCTCGAATTGAATATATCAATGACTTACCCGTCGCTGGTCGCGTGTAAAGTATCTGGCTGTGCGCCAGCTTTTAGAGGCGGTGCGGAGAGGAGACTCGAGGAAGGACATGACGACGAGCGCCTGCTAGTTGAAATTTTACTGCTCGGGACGACAACGAGGATGAGAATTGAAGGTGGATGGGGGAGTGGAGATGTTCAATGGAACAGGAAAAAGGCAAGAAGCATAGTAGCAGCTATACCAGCAACGACGAAGAAAGTGAGATGGGAGGAGAGGTTCGGCTTCAAAAGGCGGAGATAATAACGAAAGAGTAGTCCCACCACCGGGACGTACCCCGGAATAATTACCGTTGACTTAGCAATGATTAAGAGAGACTTGGGCGTGAGATGGAAAGGAGAATGCGCGGGCATTCGGTGGGCGGTGCGACATCCGATGTGGAGGAGGTGCGGAATGTCAACAAGAAGGGCTTCGGATGGTGTCCAATACCTCGGAACAAGCATTCCTCATTCTCGTGGAATCCCCTTTTTGGGCACAAAGTAACCCGAGATTATCCGTGAAAACAAGACTTCATCCGCCAACCTCCAGAGGGCGGTACATTGGTAAGATCAATATTCAAGGCAATATCAGCGTCAATACCTAATATGTAACAGTGGGAATATATACTTTTGCGTATATACTTTGCCACCAAATTCAGCGCACCGGGTATCTTTCGTTCAAAGCAATTTGATAGGACGAAAGCAAAGCCCGGGGCCCCCCCATCGCCTTGCTAGTTTTCCCATCATACGCTGCAAATTCGTTTTCATAGACATTTGAACAAGCACTTTCAGTTGCTTCCCTGGGCGACACTCATGCTACTTAACGACCCTTCTGGCTCACGTCCTGATTCCTGGTCGACCACTGATGCAGCACTCCAACTGGCGCCCACCGACACCGCCAGGCTACCGCTCACCTGTCTGCCACTGGGATCGACGATGAAATCGGGGTTTTGTGCGGGACCGGCTCCGGCATTGGGAAGTCTGGCTCGTGCAGCTTCCAACACACCCAGGGATGAGCTCGCTTCTGAGTAATCGTCGTCGCCCATTTGTCGTTCATTAGAGCTAGAGGACCACTGCCACCAAAAGCCAACCGGAGCTGGTGATTCCTCCGCTTCCGACGACTCACTGCCATCTTCATCAGAGAAATAGCCTTTGTCTGCACTGGATGACGGGCTTGAGGTGAAGAAGACATAGCTGGGGGGTGGTAGGCGGGATGGTTGGAGGTCAAATTTCCTACACTCTGCAGTTTGATATGAATAATTCAACCGCTTTCGTTTGCCGCGGTGACCTCCATCTCGGTTGTCGATATCACGTCGCTTCGTTCTGGCAACCTTGACGTCCAGGGCAAAATTATCTTCGGGCCGGACACCAGCTAGACCAGAAACGGGGAATTCCATCGGCGGTGTCTCGTCTTCACCGGCCGAGGTCATGGGAGAAAATGATATATTGACATCCGGACATTCGGCAGGCCCATGACTCTGTTCTCCCTCCCCGAGACAGGTGAAGTAGCAAGCAGCGGCGTCTCGTTGATTTTCGTCCTCAGGCTGCGGCCGCTGCTTTTTCATTCCTAAAGCATCCACTGGACGTCGGTAGGTATGAAACTTGAAACCGGGGGGCCCTTTGTCCCCGCTCAAGTCGGTGCAGAAGTACGGGTTGCTGAAGAAGGTCATGAAGCCTTCTCGAGGATCGTCTTTCGATTTAAGGCTGGACCGACTCAATGCATGGGCAAGGCCACTGGAATCCGGTGAGAGGTCATCATACGAACTCGAAGAATCTAGGTAGGAATTTTCCGCCTTGGGGAAGTTCTTCTTTCTTTGGTAGACTATGGGCTTATAGTCGAAAGCAGAGGACTTAGATCGCGTGGAAGGATGCGCGAAGGGAAGCGACGAAGTCGAGGTGGAGTTCACCATCCTGGACGTGTTACTGGCCATTCTTCGGGTCACTTTGTCATCAGACAGTGACGTGGAAGCTCGATCATTGAATGTGCTTATTGCGCTTCTCCCGCTCTGACGTCCACCATCGTCGCCAGCATCTTTAGATGCGCGCTGCGTCGCCAATCCAGGACTCACCTGCTGGCTAGAGCGAGTAGTCTCTGCCGCACCGCCTTTCCAGCGAATTTTGTGACCATCCTTCGAGAGTTCAAATTTGGTACTCAATTGTTTGACGGCTTTGCGGACGAAAGCTGGCGTCACGTTGAGGGTGTGGAGTTGAGCCATACTGACAAGCAAATTGAGATACATCCATGGTTGATCTTTGGTCTCGACGTCCTCTTCAAGATGAGGCGAAGAAAGGCCCAAATGCCGAATGTACTCAGCATTGTCTGCCGCGATTTGTGCTCGGTGAATATCGAGGTCCAATGGTCTGGTGGGTCGCTGGTCCGGCGAACCAGGGCGATCGACATTCGTCCCCAGAGTTTCGGTTGAGGAAAGGTCAGACCCCAACTGATTCGAAGGTCGCTGTGTGGTTGTCTCCGAGAACGGTTGGCGCTCCTGATCCATGGCGTCGAGATTTACTTTAGAGTCGTGAGGGAGGATCTGGGCTTCACGAGGCCCTTCGGGTTTGGAAGCTCGATTCAGCCTCTGGCTTTCACGTCGGTCCGCCTGGGACGCAGACTGGGAGATTTTCTGCTGCTGAAGAGGTGAGCCGTGTTCTCCCGGCGCCGCCATCTTGCCGGTAAACAACTGTTCCAGTCGCTGGACCACCAGTGCCATCTTTGCGCTTTCGCTCACGGAGACGGTCTCCTGTGGAAATAGCGAGTCGGGAATGGCATGCAAATAGTTCTTGATATCCTTGACCTTCTTACTTTTGGAGACGGGCTCGCGTAATTTCGTCCCGCCGTATTGAGAGTTCAAGCCCCGATTGGAGATGGAAGCATAACCTGAATCGGTCGTGGTCGGATCCTGGACCACCTTCGGTCCCAGAGAAGTGCCATGCTCGGTGCTCGGAACTGACTTTTCCCAAGGCGTCGAAGAACTAGGCTGGGAAGGTGTGTCCCCGTTGAGGTTGGTTGCAAAAGTCTTCAGGAGCTGTTCCAGTTCTCTCTTCTTCTCCGTGGGCAAGCCATGCATCCGAATTTCGATTACCCTATCGGGACCGGCGCTAGGAGGACTCGACCGAGTCTGCCAATTCCGAAGGAGATTCTTTAGTTTTTTATTTTCAACGGTCAGATCGTCGATGACGCCGCGCAATTCGCTGTTTTCGGTCTCGTCTCGAGGTCGGAATCCAAAACTCTCGCCGTTAGGCGAATGGAGATTTGCAGATGGGTGATAGCTACTCTGATGAGCCATGTAAAATGGGGATTCATCTATTTTCGCATCAGAACACCATAGCATATAGAAGCAAGTCGAGACAACCTCCGTGTTTTTCTTCCTTGTTGCCCGAAGTCCCTACATTTTCATTGACGTTCCTGAACCATTTAGCGGCGCTCTGGTCGCTACTCGACTCACGGCTCTCGCCGACCGGGGGATGGGTCGAGTCCAATCCATCGGCGTGGCGTGGTGCTTCAGAGGAGCCGTCAGAGTTATGGTTGATTTTGACTCGTTTGTGTCTCGGGATCGGTTTGGATGAGGTGGGATGAGAACGACGAGAGTTGGTACCGATAGCTGCCAAAGGTCTCTTAGGTGACTTGGCCACTGATGTCGAAGTGGTTGGCATGCTGCGGCATTGCTCCGGGGCCGTGTCAGGAGACGTCGTGAACAATTGTGCGATGCAAGCTGGACTTGGGAGGTTGCAGTATGTGGGTCTGTCGGTCAGAGCGAAGGGGTTCTCGATGCGCACGGCCGGATTGTGCGTCGTGATTTCGATGAATACAAAGCGCGTTTGTGGTGAAATGATGGAAAGAAGGTGATGTAGTCGTGAAGCGACAAGGAAGTTTCATAAGAACCGGGAAACAGGAGAACATCGCGGTTCCAGCGGGCGGCGCCATTTTTGCTAGGCGGCCGTGTTGAATGTTGGAAGGGAAGGAGTATGTTTGGTTCGATCTCCAGAGCCTGGGGAGGAGTTCAGAAAAGAGGACACAGATCGGGCGCCACACTGTTGGATCTGCCATGCTTCAACTCGAGCGCCAAGGTCAGCCAAATCCAAGGGGGTCACGCCGCCTTGCCGGCCCATGCCTGCGCTTGGGGTCTTCCCTCGTTTTCCCTACGCCTGAAGGCCGCTGCGATCTGAACATGGCCCAGCATCTCAACCGTCCCCTTTAGCCCATCATCGAGCCGTTGATGTATCCCCAGTGGGGTCATCATTCTGGCACACACCCCCACGCGGAAATGCTCTGCAAGATACGTGGTTGACTATCTGGACTCGGCCATTGGCGGCATACGACTGGTATAAAAGGTGATTGAATTGCGGGAGAAGAGAGGCCGTGGATTCTACTCTGCTGGTGTTGGTGATCTTGCCGTTGTTTCAGTCAGCACAGCTGAAGTAAAGGGGGTGTAATGCGAATCGCCGATCATTCCACGCTCGAGAAGAATAATCCACATGATTCAACGTAGGGCTTCCACCAATATTGTCTCTGATCGACAGGGGGACTGATTGGGTACCCGAATACGCTTTTTGGGGGGCTCGTTTGATGAACGGCGACCATGACGTCATTTGGACCGATTCTAGTATGATTCCGGTAAGGTATATGACCACGTGATATATGATGTCATACATCTTGGAAAATGATCGGCTCAATCTCGATTTCAACGTCTCATAAACTCACGACGCCAGTCGAGCTCGAAGCAGATTTCTCCTGCGGTTCTAGGCTCACCCCTTGACCAACTTCCCTTTCTGCGCAATATCTCTTCCGACAGCAAAACCACGAAACTCATTTTTGCTTAGCAGCATCCCAAATCATCCAGAGCTTTATGGGCTTACCAAGCTCCCACAAGATTATGGCCCTCGATGCTTATCTCGTGCTACCCGTGCTACTCTAGAGCAAATGGCCATTGACTGAACTCAATACAGCAACACATGACTGGACCACAAACAACCCCGGGTTATCTTTAACCTCTAAGAGACCGAAGAACTTGCCGCGGATATTGGTGGTCCTAAGCTGCAGAAGGACAATTTTCGTGGTCAGCCATTGAACAATCTTGAAACGACCTCATCCTGCGTGTCGTATTCAGGTCCATTCGCCATACGTGTCTATCACCACCTCCATGCTGCGGCGCCTTGCCGTTGATGACAGGCAAATTCTTTTGTTCAATTAAAATGACTACATTTCCCAGCCTAGCCCGACGCCCGTATCGCAGTCGGATGCCTTCCCCAGCCTCTGAAACACAGTCTCTATGTCGGTTGCTAACCCAGGGTATAGCTATCGCTTTGGTCGGGCCAGATGCAGAACGACACTGAAATCAACGACCTCAACGAAGAACGAAGCGTTGCGTCTGATCAGTTTGATCCAAAGTACAAGACTCCCCAGTGGAAACACTGGCTGTGTTACTGCTATCGGCAACAATGGGTTGACCTTGTTCACCTTGTTCAACTTTGCGTCGACTGTTTTCCAGGACCTCTAACACGAAGCAGCCGGCGACAGCTAGAGACTATCCTTTGGGCTGCCTATCGAACCATCAATAGCATTGTCCTTCTTGCGTATGGCTAAGCCACCTTTTTCTGTAGAGTCACGCAATTTTCCTTCCTCTTATTCGTCCCCTTCTTCTCGCCACGGCCCTTCACTTATGAAGGCTCTCTACGCCCGCCTCAAAACCGCCTTATTCCCTTGTCACATCCCTTCCTCTTCTCTAACCGTCACTGCACAATGCTCCGCAGGGAGACTGAACATGCTTGAAAAACAATAAGCTCTTGATGTGAGCAACTACTTGGACAAAATTGATGGTAATATTGTCAATGCATATAATAGCATTACCGATGCCTCGATGTCGGCGCGGGATAAGAATGTCAGATGTACACTGATGTCCAAACAAGCTGAGCTTGACCAGATCACTGGCCAGCACCAATGAGAGTTGTTTTACTTTACAGAATCTGATGAGGGAGGATTCGTCATCCCCATGCAGGGACCGAGCATTGGGTAATGCTGGCACATGGCTTGCGCTCTCTCTGTGTCAGCTTTTTTCGGTTTCGTCGTTGTGATTCTTCAGACCGTAACTTTGTAGACGTAAAAGATCCGTTACTAGGTTGAGCTCCTGCAATGAGTATAGCTTAGGTGACTCATCGTCGTCGCTTTCGAGCCAACCTGCATGTCCTGGCCCGCCGCAAGCTTGCCGTCACGTGACCGGAATACTACGCAATAGTGTTAACATCTGGTCACCTTCATACTCACCCATCTCGACACTGCCTCGGCACCTGCATCTCGCGATCAGGGTGGGAAGAAAGGGGAGGGAAATGGGTTGAGCAACTCTCACCCTCGTCGTTATCCTGAAGAATTTTTGAGCCTATGCTAGTCAATAGAATTCTCTTTCTCCTGACGATCCTATGCCTCTTTTTGGATAATCTGGCCAGGCCGAGAAGAATCCTGGTCGAATTCAGAGGTTGCTATACTAGAGCGGAGATTCCAGCAACAACTTGTGGTCGACCCCGAAGTGCACTGAGGCTCCTGCGAAGAGGAGGGCTAACAAGGCTCCAATGGTTTATCAGGGCCCTTCTCGAGGCTGCAACTCGTGTAAAAAGCGACGGAAAAAGGTTACTCTTTGCTCCTAAGTCCTCTGATTTCTGACCATCCCTCTGCAGCGATGTGGACGTCATCTTACATAATTGCCTATTTAGTGTGATGAAACTCGCCCGGTATGTTCAAAGCTTGTGGATCACGACTTGATTTCCGTAATCGAACATGCCTATGAGGTTGGAAAGTCAGACCCGGTAAGACTGACGGATTGGAAACTAGTCCTGCATGAGATGTATCAAAGCCAATCGCGCATGCGGTGGCTATGAACATGGTACATTTTCTACATTTCGACAATATGGAACACAAGGCGCATATCAGCCATCGTCAATCCCATCGACGGCACGGAAGTGCAGTATGCCAAAGCGTGTCCCTGTCCCGGGTACCAACGTCCTTCCCGAAGACACTCTACCGGCAGAAACGTCACAGGCGGAGAGCAATGGGCTTGCTCTAAGGGCTTTCTTCTACGACTACTGCATTGTTTCGACCAATCAAAATCTCTCGCGGGGGTACCTCTCTGGTCTGGAGATGATGGCGTATCGTCTGGGACCGAAGTCTGACCTTGTGAAAGCTTGCCAAGCCGTAGCGTTCGGGAGCCACGGCAAGCCATTAAACAGGCCTCAACTCGTACAAAAGGCTGAGATGTTCTATCAAGAGCTCCTTGGATCTTTGGCCAGGGCCATCGAAAGTCCAGCCTCGGCCAATGTTACGGAATCAATCCGAGTCGCTATGTTGTTGGGACTCTATCAGGTACCTCCTCTCGCAGCTACTCTCAGCGAGCGTATCTGACTTGACATAAGATGACAATGGCCAGTGAGACTGATCACGGCGATCATGATACTCATGCCCGGGGCTTAGCAGCGCTCATGAACATTGGGCATTGGCCTCTGGATCTCTTGGGCACGGTTCGATCCGGTCCCCCCAAATTTCTGCCCGTCAGCAAGGTGCCCTCTGTTGGCAAAGCCTAATTTGACGTTCACGCCGATGCAAACTGACAGCATCTTTAGGTCTCGGGCGTGTTTTCTGTCCCTGCTCTGAGGGACCAAGCTGAAAGCTTAGACGACTTGTTACTCGACCTCGATTTGTTGTGGACCACTTTCGAAGCCTCATGTGAATCGAAAGACTTCAGTGCGCTGAAGAACGAAAGCATCGCTCTAGATCGACGATTTGCCAAGTGGCAAAACTCCCGAGTTACAGAATTCAAGCCCACTCGAGTCGGACATGTCAGTCAGAGCCGGTATGAATCCCAAATCGCCGTGGGCTATTGGCCCGGAAAAGTTGACACCTACTTCGACCTCTACGTGGCTGGCGTTTGGAATATATTCCGTGCAGCTCGACTCCTACTCGTTGCCTTAATTGTCAAGTTGTCGGACACCTGTGGGGGCCACGACAGCTTCATGGACCTGAGTTATACTGCTAATGGCATAGTGGAGGATATGATTGCGTCGGTTCCGTATCACCTAGCGGACAATTTGCAGGCCTTTCTGAACGAGCTGGCGAGGAGCACAGAAATAGCGGATCCTGGCAAATCACTTGGAGGCTTGCTTCTCATGCATCCCCTCTACGTTGCGTCCAAGATGTCGTTCCTTTCCGAAGAGATACGAGAGTACATGCGGGCATGTCTCACATGGATTGGGTCGAATATGGGTCTAGGACAGGCGACTCTGCTCGCAAAGGTGAGAGAAATTCGGTCATGGTCTCTTACACCACCCACATGAACCAATGGCTGATTTTTCATCACCTTTAGGCTCCAGGGATGGACAGGAACTATTTGGCCAGCGCGTGTATGATTATATGGACCGGCTTTCTTGGGTAGTTTACCCACAAATTGAACATCGAGAGTGAGACTGGTATTCAACTCCTATTGGTTTCAAACACGTGAAGACAAGCAGTGAACAACATGGTCTAACCACCGATCGTATCATTGCCTGCTCTTTTCGAGTATTGGCCATATGAGCCAACAACAGATCGAAGTCTTACCCAGATCTAGGCTGAGAAGCTCAGTCGTCGTCTCTGCTTTCGAGTACGCTAAGCCGACCGGGGAAAATTCTAGCTTTGAGCCGTTTTGGGTTAGCCTTGCGCTTGCTGTGTGAGTACCAGAAATTATATGTCACAATATGGAATCGGCAGGATAGAATGAGCAACTCATGAGGCCGGCCTCCAAATCAACAGGGTAAGTGTTGCATGCGCGGAGTTCAAAAACCAGCCTAGCCACCATGTGATATATAAGGCCACATCTGCTTAGAGATAATTGTCAAGTTTGATGTCCTCCTTGGTGATTCCATCGAGGAGCACCTTCTGCCATCTCCCTCCCCGGCCTTCTTCTCCACGCTTCGTGACTTCGTTCCAAGTTCTACACAGATCGACATCTTCAACAGCAAATAGAGCAGGACACGGCATATCCACCCTGCTAAATCTCACCAAACGCAAGTACACTATGGCATCCAACACGGCCGCCTGGATTACAGCAGCCAAAGCTAGGCCTTTCGAGGTCAAGCTCGCTCCCCTTGGAACGCCAGGAGAGAACCAAATCCTCGTAAAGAACCACGCTATTGCCATCAACCCGATCGATGGGAAGCTTCAAGAAACAGCCATGTATCCGCTCAACTATCCGACCATCCTCGGTCAGGACGTCGCTGGTGAAGTGGTGTCAGTTGGGCCCCATGTGACACGTTTCAAGAAAGGCGACCGCGTGATGGGCACCGCCGCGGGCTTTGCCACGAAGCGAGACGAGGAGAAAGCGTTCCAAGCCTACACCATCCTGCAGACCAACATGACCAGCCAGATCCCCGACACCGTCTCATTTGAAAGCGCTGTCGTGCTTCCTCTGGGCGTGTCAACCGCGGCTTCAGGTCTCTTCAATCCCGACTTCATCAACCTCCAGCTGCCGACCGAACCTGCGCAAAAGCCCACCGGAAAGACTTTGCTGGTCTGGGGAGGCTCATCGAGCGTGGGCAGCAATGCAATCCAGCTCGCCGTCGCGGCCGGTTACGAAGTCGTCACGACGGCGTCGCCAAGAAACTTCGAGTACGTGAAGAAGCTCGGAGCATGCCATGTGCTTGACTATAATAGTCCCACCATCGTCTCGGACCTTGTTGATGTCTTCAAAGGCAAGACCACGGTCGGTGCCTTCGACGCCATTGGAGGTATCGCCTGGGCACCTACCGTCGAAGTCATTCAAAAGTCAGAAGGAGCCAAGTTCGTGGCAACTGTGACACGCGGGTTCCCTGACCCTCCCGAAGGAGTCATAATGAAGCAGGTGTTTGCCCTTTCCATTCGGGACAACCATGTGGGTAAGGCTGTCTTTGAGGACTTTTTGCCCAAAGCGCTTAGGACTGGCACGTTCGTCCCGGCTCCTGAGCCACTGATTGCAGGTCAAGGACTGGAGAGTGTGCAAGAGGCTGTAGATCTCCAGCGCAAAGGGACTTCGGCTCAGAAGGTGGTGGTGTTGCTTTAATTGCCGTTCGCCGTCGACCTGCTAGTATGCTGCAGGGCATCGTCGGAAACAACATTTTCATATAGGTACGGAAAGAATGAAACAATAGATCATTAAGTATGGACCCGAAGACACGAATGATAAAGCTGTCTGAAAAAAATGCGCACATTGACTTGAAAGTCGATCACTGGTAACGTTTAACCCCCCCCTCCCCCTTCTATTTATCACTAAGTAAGTGGCGGACCGGCGTGTCAAAAACAGCCTACCGGTGTACTGGAATTCCTCGTTATACCAAGGGTCCCCAAATACGTACCTCATCCATACGTGTGGATGGTGGCGAACAAGGCTTAGAGCGTAGAGAAACGAATATGGGAAGTCCTTGGCCGACACAGCCTCCTTCAAAATATGCAGTCGATGCGATCCCTCCTCATAGATTGTCACTCCGATATTGAAATCACAGCGCATCAAGGCCCCTTGACTGTATAACAAGTAATTCGAGCATGATGAATGGAACAACATACCGAGATACAACTGGTAGGAGAAGACTAAAACGGCATTCCCGTTTCGAATGATAAACACATGCCATTGGACAATCCCCAGGAATCTCCAGACTCTTCTCGCAACGGGTTGCAACGGCTGCCTCGGTTCGCGAAAATCCGGATGAGAGGCGAATTGGAGAGGGCGAAGCTTGGAGCAATGAGGCACTCCATACAGAACAATCAATTGCATCTGGCCAAATCATGGTTGCCTTGAATCAAGAATGCCCTGCCACGCACACCTTGGTCCTTTACACCATTTGAAGGCGGAAGGAATAACCAAGCATGAAATTGTCCGATGTACACATCGATACTGACCATCGTATTTCGTATAGTCGGAAGCACCGACTTCCGACATCCTTTGAAGGGACAAGATTCTTGACCCGGGGCCTGAAACACCCCGAATCCGTCGCAGCCAACGGGATATGGCTAAGAGAGTCTTCAAACGGATGGTGAAAGACAGTCGAAATTCGTACTGACCGAAGGGAACCTACAGTTCTCGGCCTTGGGGTTGACAGCACAGACATGCACGGACATACTGCAGAGTTCCAGACAACTGGCAAGGGCGCGCCCTCGGTCTTAACATGAAACCAAGCAACGCCCTTGATTAGTGGACGACGAAACAGTGCCCAGTCAGCCGACCTTCGTCCAGCGTATCTCCGTCGGCCGGGGGCTTTCCCAGTCTCCATTGACAGGGAAGATTGTGGCAAGGCCTTCGGGCGACCAGGCAACAATCAAATGGTGGTGAGGCCACAAGGTTTGGGCCAACGGCAACCAGTTCAGCCAGCCGGGCCAACTTTGTCTCCTTCTCTGGCATTGCGACATTCGTGCGTCAGCCAATGCCAATGCTGTGCCATGCCTGGGCTCGCTAGGGTGTGAGTCAATCGCCCGTGTTGATTGATCGATATGGGCATAAAGCCGAACGAGCGTTTATGCACACCCTCGCCCGTCCGCGTGTGCGGGAATCTAAGCCTCTCAATTTTCCTCCGAGAGGCTTACGGAGTTTACTCAAACATGCTTATGAAGTACGGGCTCACGGAGAAATATTCCACTGCGATTACACGTACTGTGACTCAGGCATCCGCCAAATTAACACTGCAGATTGATTGATATATTCGACTGCCACCTCCACTTCAACCGCAGACTTCTTTTCTCCAAACCGGTTAACAATTTGTCCACCAAATCCATTCGCCAACAAACGTTTTGCCATCCGACTGTACAACAACAAATCATACCCTGGCTCGTGACCACAAAAGTTCAGCCGAACCCGAGCCTTCGTCACATGTCAAAGCGAGGCTACCAGAACATCAATACCACAATACTCCATCCACCACCATCTCCACCAGAAATTTTTCCACGGCAATCTCCACTTTAGAAAATATCATATCAACAAAAGCGAACAATATCTCCTGGATATTTCTTCACAAGCAACCCGGAGCAATCATAGTAACCTGAAAAAGATGCCCTTTTCAACCATGCAACCACTCAGCAGACCGCCTTCACGTGATCTCACCCCATCTCACCGACTGTCACGCGAAGAGACATACCAATTGGCCGACTACGCACGAAGAAAATCGTCAGACAAGGTGGTCCGAGAAGATCTCCGACTCCGACTCAGCCATGGCCACATGCTAGAAATGCTCCTGCAAGACATTGCACGAACGGAGCGAGAACTTCAAACATCACCCACCGAAGACAAGTACCTGACGGTACAAGAACGAAAGGGGTCTCAAAGTCAGCGGAGGAACGTGGAAGAAGCGACAGAAGTGGTGGATGAATATGGGTTTCCTCTCGAGGAAGAAGACGGCGAGGAGGATCTGGGGGGATTGGCGCTGATGAGGACCGAGTCCAGACGGCCGGTGAGATGAACAAATGGAAACCCTCTCAGAGTCGGGTACTTTCATCGACACGATCCTGCGACAGCTCTTCTTCTTGCGCGTTATGATACCCAAATTGATACCCCTTGGCCGAGAGAGCCGGATCTTTTCGAGATGTCCCTAACACAGAGGGGACGAAATACCCTCGGAGATCAATAATGACTGGTGCCAAAGAGCACCCACTTACAGTGGACCAAAGAAATCAGAGACGAGGATCTGGGCACAACACGAAGACAAAACCGAGCTCGATCAAGTCCTTCGACAAAACTGAACGGATCACCACAGGCTATTGGATGAGGCTTATGCACTCTACACTTGTGGCCCACTATGTTTATCGAAGTCGTGATCTGCTTTGGTTTTGGCCTTCTGAGATGGAAAGGATTCTCTATGAATGCCGAAGGAAAGGACATGGGAAAAGTAGCCAGAAAGTTACTACTGGCATGATGGTTCTAGCTATTCTTGAAGACGAATCAATAGGATGGACTATTCAACAATATTTGTTCTCCTGCTATTTTACCTAATTTTCTATGTGATCTGTGCAACTCACAATTTTCACTATATTTTTCCAATCCCTCATCTCCAAAAGTTGAAACTACCTTCCTTGTCTTCAGCCTTCCATCCAGGCGATCAGACGAGCAAACCTTCTTCAGCTTGACCGCACATTCCCACCCCATCCCCATTTCCGAGTCTTCGTCGTTGTCACGGTCGCATGGGTCCTCGCCCCAACAGCCCGCGCCCTGTCGGCACAGTAGTCTCAAATACTACATTCCCCATTATGAATGCCTGTCTCATCAATGTTGAAAGGCACGAGTCAACTTTCAGTCCTGTCATATCTAGCCTAGATAAGGATCCCACCAGGCGCAGGTGTCAGGCGGAAGAAAATCCGACTCTCGTAACAAACTTTCATCTAGTACGACGTCTGACTCATAAACGATGGGTGACCCACTTCGATGCGCGCCTTTGGGAAAGAAAATTTCTCTCGCACTTATCGGGCATACCGCGACGTTGTCGGTGAGAAGAGAGAACAATCACATGGAGTCGAGTGGAATTGACAGTGGGGCATACATCGGTGTTGGGATTGGGATTCAGACCGCTGAGATATCGCGGAAGGAGTGGCAAGTCAACCATTCTGCAAGACACGCATCTATCACTGTGACAATATTTGACATCTGCAAACCCCTCCGAAGACCGCGACGTCGAATCGAGGCCCAAGACGAATCTATCCCTGTTCCTTGTCCCTTGAGTCTTGACTAGACTCGTCCTCCAACCCTGCCTGGAAGCCGCAGACAAAAGTTAACAAAAGAGAATAGGTGGGGTGGTATTTTGTGCTTAGGTGATGAAAACTTTCGGCTTATTGTTGACCCACCGCAATTGGAAGAGCGCCTCGTGCGGAAGGATTGAGGAAGCCAGCCAGCGCTGGGTGACGCTATCTACCTGGAACCTTAACGGATGTCCATTCTCGTCGCCTGAAAAGATGAGTGGATCGATCACATCTCTCAGCCAAGGAATGAACAAGAGGAAAGAGGGCGGGACAAGGATCGAAGACATGTGACCGGGTAAAAGTGCGAATTACCGGCCAGCAAATGGGAAGAGACACGAGAAATTCAATCGAGATTTTACCGGAGAGGGTTGGAAACACATTGGATACCAAGTTTGACCAATCAGCGTTGCGCTGCGTTGAAGACGGTCTATGTGCCCGAATATCTTCGAGATGTGCTATTTCCATACATTTCATCCCGCGGTGCAGATGTTGGTGATACAGTCAATCTCAACATCGGCTTACCTTCGGAAGCCTGACACAAACCATATGCAAAGCATCAGCTTCAGCATATGTATACCACAATAAGGAATTACTGAACGACTATCGACACAAACAAATTTGCAGTGCATCTCAATACTCACAATCAGAGCACATCAATCAACCCAGGCTCCAGGCATACTGTTGGCGCTTAGTCCTCCTCGATCTACCGTCAAATCCCCGACACTCAACCATGTCATCAAGGTCTTAATTACACTTTGGGTGTGATGGTGTGAAGGACCAAGCACCTTCATACACAGCTTCATGCAGGAAACCATCAACGCTGCTGCGTCATTATCACGATTCTGTTTCTTCAGTGTCCAGGCCAGATTGTTCATGCTGATCAGCGTGGAGGGATGCTCCGCCCCGAGCGCACTCTTTCTAGTCTCCATAACTTGCACGTCAAGCTCTTCCGTCTCCTGCCATCGGCCTTTGATTCCGGTATGTCGACGCCAGATTGGCCATACTGGTCAGCGTGTCAGGATGCTCCGCCCCGAGCACCCTCTTTCTCGTTTCCATGACTTGTACTTCCAGCTCTTCCGCATCCTGCCATCGGCCTTGATTCCGGTATGTCGACGCCAGGTTGGCCATACTGGTCAGCGTGGAGGGATGCTCCGCCCCGAGCACCCTCGAACTCGTCTCCATAACTTGCACGTCAAGCT